TCCCGTAATTATATCTAGTACCAGTGGGCACGTCAATCTTGGAATGGGAAGCGTCTTGTTCATAAGTGCAAATTTAATCCGTATTCAATTGACTCGCCCGATGCGTAGGGTTCCTAAGAAAGGAGAAGGATTTGATGATGACTTCAACCAGGTGTATGAGAGGCCTAAAAGCGAAGATGGCGCAACTTATAATACGTATCGTATTGACATAGACAATGTATCGATTGGCATGGGGACTTTGCGTCACAACATTGTGGCTCTTGTTTCCAAAGATGAAGACGGTGGCGATGAAAAGCGAAAGCGGCTAATTGTCGACTTAGAAACACCTAACTTTGTTAACAATGACCTGGAACACATTTCCAATACCACAGAACTCAATACGGATCAACAAGCTGCAGTTATGAAGGTTCTATCTGGTAAAGAATTAAGCGATGGAATATACTCCCTACACTTTTTCTCTATTCTCTCTCTTCTTCTTTTGTGGACACACACACACACATATATATATATACGTGTGTGTAGAAAATGAAGAGTAACAGCAGTAACTGATACATATACTCTTAACTATAGCAAAGGACTATGCCTTAATATTAGGTATGCCTGGCACTGGAAAGACAACAACTATGGCACATATTATCAAGGAATTGATTATGCAAAACAAGTCTGTACTTGTTGCAGCTTATACTCACACTGCACTTGACAATGTATTGTTGAAAGTGCGTGAAAGTGGTATTGATGTACTAAGAATTGGAAATCCTTTAAAGGTAAAAAAGAAGAAGTATAAAAAATGGCTATTACCAAAAAATTTTGAAATCTGATCAAAAGACTTTATATGAATTACAATCGTAAAATTTCATCATAATAATACTAGATAATGCCTGAATTAAGAAGTTGCGTCGCGGAGAATAACCCGGCACTAGACTCTATTCAAGCCATAAAAGACTTTTATAAATCAAAAAAAGTAGTCGGAACAACATGTCTAGGCATAAAAGAGTAAGTAGCTGTTCAATATTTATAGTTAGAAAAAGCAAAGCAAAACAAAACAAAGAGAAAATATACCAGTAACAAGTCTAATTCTTTTCTTTAAAAGTGTATTCTTTCATAATCGCAAATTTGATTATTGTATTATCGACGAGGCATCACAAATCACACTTCCCGTTTGTATTGGGCCTCTACGATTTGCAGAAACTTTTGTATTAGTCGGTGACCGATACCAACTGGCTCCTGTGGTATATATAAAGATTGTCTATTAATGCATATTTTATTTTATTCACACACATACACTTGGACACACAATACACATGCTTAATTTATTTTATATACGTATATTTCTATATTAGATTCGTAACGAACATGCCAAGAGCGGCGGCCTAGAAAAGTCTTTATTTGATCTGTTGGCTGAAGCTCATCCCCAATCTGTTGTGTACCTCAAATATCAATACCGGATGAACAAAGATATAATGAAATTGTGTAACACGCTTATTTACGATAACAAGCTTAAATGCGGAAACAATCAAGTGGCTATGAGTTCATTGGAGATACCACAATTGAACAAGAATCTAGAAGAAATACACAAAAGTCAATCAGAGAAAGCCAGTATTCACATGTTGTGTAGTGGGGTATCTTGCTGGTTAAAGGATATACTCGATCCAAGGTAAACTTTTTTTCTCAGAAAAAAAAAGGATGACAGAAGAATGTACTTTATTTTAATCCGTTCTTAATAATCCGTTCTTAATAATCCGTTCTTATTGATTCTGGCATTATCAGCCGCAAGATTGTATTTGTAGATACAGATGCACTTGAAGGAGTTGAAGAAAGACCCCAAAAAGACCAGATGCAAAATCCCACAGAGCTCAAGATAATACAACAAGTAAGCAAAACTGAGCTTACAAGGCTGTCGTTGAATACACATAATTCTTATTTGTCATGTACATACTACTTAGATCATATATACGATGCTTATGTGCGGTATAAAACCAGATCAATTGGGTATAATATCTGTCTATCGGTCTCAAGTAAGAGCAGCTGCCCAATACTTTGGAGATATAGAAAGTTTGGAAACATCTACTATTGATAAGTACCAAGGTCGCGACAAAGATTGTATTATTATTTCATTGGTTCGCAAAAACCCACGGAAACAAGTAAATATCTATATATATTGACACACAGCACATAGTGCACAATTCTTATTCTTATTTTTATTCTTATTATTAATGTTAATTCGTATTTCTTTTTCTTTTTCATACAGGTAGGAGATCTATTAAGAGATTGGAAGAGAGTCAATGTTGCAGTAACACGAGCCAAAAAGAAATTGATCCTTGTTGGATCTGTATCTACCCTTGAATCATCTATTCTATTCAAACACCTTTTGATGATGCTGCGTACAAATAACTGGGTATATATTTCGTACAGTACAATGCTAATGGCACTGATAATGATAAAATATTATGTTATATATATACAGATTTATAAATTTCCTCCAGGTGGTGAGGTTAATCATATAGTCGACTCAACTCCACAAAGTCCCAAAGCCGAGAAGACTAAAGGGCCCAAGACATTCACTTCGTCAATGTTTTTAAAAAACAAGAACATATTGACTGATATATTTAACGAACTATCCTAAATATGCAGCTGTTAAAAAAAACGAAGAAAAGTGACCTCTCTCTCCTCTTTTCAATTTCCCTTTCATTCCCTATTTATTCTTTTACCTTTTTTTTATTTTGGGTCATCTATTATACAAATGTTTATTTTTTCAAGATACAATATATGTTCTCATTCTGGGTGACTCTTAAAATAGAGTACTTTCCATCTTGTGTGTATATGTGTGCTAGTCCTTCTTCTTCTATTATTTACTACAGAGAGGATAATCTACCAATTCTTTTCTTTCTTATAATTCTACACAAATACTTTGAGTATTACAAGTGGTTCTTCTGTATCTAATTAACAAGAATATTTATTTGTATCGTGACCCTAGATACAAACTAGAACTTAAAACCTCAACTATATATTATTGATCCTAATGCCTTTTGAAAAAATCATGTAGCATTGATACTTTCAACTATTGGTATAACCTCACCTCAATAAAACTCGACCCGGAATTAAAGATTCCGCCACTTCTTGCTAATTCAGATAATAAGTATATACATACTTTTTGCTTTCTTTTCTGCTGTCTTTATTTAGTATTTAATACTGTTTTGAAATATACGGGGGATATTTACTAGTCCATATTGATTCCATTTTGTGTCTGCTTGTACAAGCAAAAGACAAAATAGCTTTCTCTGGTGTCCTCGAACAAAAAGTGCACAGACCAGTTTAGAGTAACCTATGAATCGCTGCCATGGAAACTTGTACTCCAGCTTTAGAGTTATTGCTACACCGATCAAGACCAAACCTTTCATTACTTCCTTACTTCATTGCTTTGCCTTACTTCACTTTGCGAATTCGCTTTTATAAGTAACTTTATTAAATATTATTAGCCTCCCTATCTGTCGTAAAACAGTTACACAAACCCAGTAAAAAGAATATACAGCTATATCACGTTTGCTCTGACGTGAGCGTCAGGCCTGACAAAAAGCGCAGTCCTAAACTTTAATCGCAGATGAAAAAATTTTCTGTTACATATAGACCTCCTCCAACGCGCATCGTTTGTTTTCTCCTTGAGCAACAACAGTCCCGGTTTCATAGTGAGGCGTCTCTTGCGACCGTTGCAGGGAGATTATTCCATGCTACAAGCATCGGAAAGTGAAAGTTGTTACTCGCCAGCTCAGTTAATTCTGAGAAGTCGTGGGGCATGGTCTCTTTTCTTTTGGAAAGACTACTGTGTACATCGCATCGCCAATGTGGAATCATGATGCTGGGGGGAGGGAGGTCTAACCTGTGGTGAGATGTGCTGGCTCTTCACTGCTAACCTGACTGAACTCTTTAACGGCTGACGGTGAAGCTACTGGTAATCGAATGAGCTGGACCTTATCACCTAGTGGTAAGTTCTCTGGCGAGTTCGCACCCACATTACTCGGTGACGAGATGTGGGGCTGGATGAACGGGTGCTTTCCGTTGGTTTGCCACCATTCCAGCACCTCCTTCGCTACCAAGTCAGGTTTACGTCCTGAAGGAGATTGAGCCGCGTAATGCGGGGACAAAGAACTTGGTGTCATGCTTTTTATTCCTTTACTCATGTAAAAGAGCATTAAGTGAAATTAAATCAAATAGAATAGTTTCTTTATGTATATATATGTATATCTTTAAATAAATAAATATAGTCTTTTTTTAACTAGTATCGTCTCCAATAAAGAAAACACGCTTTAAAACTTTTTTTTTTTTTACTTGATTGAAGATGTCAATGTTATAATTAAGAGAGCTCATTTATAAGAAAAAATCAGTCTAATCGAATAAATCTGAAAAGAAATAAAATGTTATTTGTACATTCTAGCGTGGTACTGATAACCGTGTTCAACTATAGATGCCGTTTTTGTCTATAAAGTATATAAATTGTAGAATAATGTTAGATGATTCCGATGCCATGAAATGTATGCTATTGAATTTGGCTAATGATGATAATCAGTGTAAAGAGGATGCAGTGGAATGAGAGAAAGAAAAGAGGGATGTAGAGAAAAGAGAGATGAAAGCATCTATGACAATAGAATAAAAGCCTTCTTTTGCTGTCTAGAAATGAGTATTTTGAGATAAAGCGTCTGCTCATAAATAAAATATGAATACATATATATGGTGGAAAAAGAGAAAAGGGAAAAAAAAGAAGTAAAGAAGAAAAAAATATGTGTGTATATTTGAAAGAAAGAGAGAAAAGATGTAATGGGTTGAACACAAAAAGTACTATACCCGCTGTATTTATACATAGTGTATATAAGCGGTCAATTTGAATGTATCCATGAAACCATTGTTATTTTATAAAGATATGCTTTGCTTGGGATATCATTAGATATCTAGTACTCACTTACTGGTGTACACGCACACACACTATACAAGAACAGTCTAGAGCAAATACATGATACTCTTACTCTCACCCAATGTATTTTTTTAAGATGAAGAAGACAGCAAGATATATTGGACCATTATTTAGCAAGGTGTATATTCAATGACATTTGGCATAGGTGTTCCGTCCTCTGCAGTTTCCATCATTGTAAGGTCCAGTTTCACAAAAGCTATTGTTTTAAGTAATTTTGAATGACATTTACCAATGGCCTACAAAAATAAAATATTATTCTCATTTATATATTATGCGTATAAAAAAACAGCAATGCGCTACTAATAATGCAAACCTTTTTCAGTTCACTCTTTGACTTGTCATGCTTGTCTAACGCATGTACTTCTGAGTAAGGTTTACCAGAAAGCTCAGAAATAAACTATTATATATATATATATATGTTAGAAATATGCTACATATAATTATCTATAATTTATAAAATATTCCAATATATATATGTTACCTTGTCTCCAAACACAACAGCTACATCTTCGTTTGGGTTGTCAGTATCTGGATCTACAAGATGAACGACTAGATAATATCCTGAAGCCGGGTGGACTCTCAGTTTTCCCAACTTGCTGCCTTTGCACTAAAGAATATATCAGTGAATACAATAATGCTTTTTATTTAATTTTACACAAAGGATAGATGAAGGAATATTCACGAAAGTTTGGATTTAAGCAAAAAAAACATATAGCAAATTCATAAAGACACAGAGGCACAGGCACATATTTATCTCTATTTTACATATATATATATAATCATAGTAATAGTAATAGTATCTACACATAATTTGTGCATGTAATTGGATTTACCTTTAAAAGAACTTGATCAGGATGAGTACAATTTATAGAGCTTTTTATGCGTAAAAGTAATCTGCGAAGGCTGGCACATGTGTTAATTGGTTCATCTTTTTGAGAGTCTTTTTCTTGTTTGATCTGAATTTCATCATCATCATCAAGAACAACCAGATTATCTTCCATCCACCTGGACATATCATCGGGTATACTGTCATCCTCTGTTCGTTCCTGAGCCATTATTATCTGATCAGAGCTTTTACGACAGTTGCCTGAGAAATAAGGGGACACATACGGAGTAGAAGCAGCAGCAGCAGCAGCAGCAGCAGCAGCAGCAGCAGTAAAAGTACTACCAGCGCTTGCACTACTTGCAGTAGTAATACCAGTTTTGCTCTTCTTATTTCTTGAATCTTGATCTGACGATTGATGCTGAGAGCGCCTTTTGAGAGAGAGGGACTTTTGTGTGGATGTAGACGGCGTAGGCGCTTCTTCTTGGCTTATGAATGGGGGTGAGTTTCTTCGAGAATCAAAAGGTGGTGATAATGCTAGGTCTTCCGGGTGGTTTGGAGAATATACATTATCAGCATCTGTGCGGGTGGTTTGACCTGTAGCTAATTGTGTTGATCCAGTACGGCGCAAACTAAGAGCTGTCTTGGGACGGTTGATTGTAGTCTGCGGGGAGTCGGTTTGACGGACATAATCATTTGAAGAGTTAATTGGAGCTGGAGTTGTAGTTGTGGGAGGTATTACGTTATTCATATTTTCGTATTCAAGCAGAGCAAGTTCATCTTCATCAAAGTCGCCAAAGTCATCAATATCATTCTCTTCGTTTGGTGGATCAACAAGGTCAAACAGGAACGCATCATCGTCAAAGTCATCTTCAAATTCGTCATATTCTTCATGGTTTTTTGAGACTCGAGGCGTTGTTATGGATCGTTGTGGAGGCTGTGCGGGTGATATGTTGGTATTTGGGGGATTCTGGTTTCCAAGGTTGCTAGAGTTTGTAATCTCGGGTTGTCTTTGTTGAATCGAATCATTCGATAGAACAGACTGGGCTCTTAATAGAGAGATATATAGAGAGATTAATACATATATAAATATGGATTATTAATTTTAAGGAAATAAGGAACACTCTCCAATGTTAATACCACCATAAGCCTTACTCAAGTCTTTTCCTGAGACGACGTTCAAGTTCAAGTGTCATGTTACCGTTGTAAAGTGCTGGTACTTTGCCACCCAAGACCTTTGTGTTTTTTGGAGTCAGGAATAGTATTCCATTTGATACGTTACAGGTCTTAACGCAAATCTAGAATTGAATAAAAAAAAACAATATATTTATATATACGTATATGTATATACACATATATACATTATGTATATTATATAGCTATACAAAAAGAAAAGCAATATATTCATGTGTGTTTGTGCATATCTCTTGACTTTCTTTTATTCATATTTATATAGATATGCAAATATAAAACTACCTTGCAACCAAAAGGTGTATTAAAATCTATAGTAGAAATTCTTTCTAACTCGATGCCTGTAATTTGATTTGTGCCGTCAGACAAAGTCCATCGGAGTGTTCCACGTGGAAAGCTTATTGTAGTGTTGGCTTCAGGTTTTTTATATCGTCGAGCTCTGCCATCCTTTGACATGCATGAAAGCAATTCAGAGATTGAGTGACCGAGCTCAATGGAATCCATAATCTGCAGGACCACACCAGTTGACCGCATTTTAGCAGTAGGTGGAAAGCTATCGAAAGATTTCTTTCCGTAATCGGTTGGTGTGACAGATTTAGATGTCCTTGATATGTTTTGATTCAAGAAATTTGCATGGGAAGCATTATAAATTGCTTGGGGATCGTTGGAATTACTGGATTGGTCTTTGGACCACCCAGTGTACCATTCCGTAAAATATTCGGGTTTGAGTCGGATTCCTTCCCGATCTTCAAGCCATTGTAAGATCAAAGTTGTCATTGCCTCTGTGGTCATGATTAATTTGTTATTATGTAGTAAATGTCGTATTTGATTAAATGATTAGCAAATAAATAAGAATACTAATATATCTATATGTATGCCTTTTTTATATCTCTTTAAGTTATTTATATGTTTATGTTGGGAATGGACTGAAGAGGTATTATACTGTGCTTGAAGATAATGATTAATGTATTAATGAAAATAAAAATATTTTATATTGATGAAAAAATAAACATATATATATATTCAAACGTATTTAATTTGCGCTCTGTGTATAAACATACATACCCACCCACCTACCCACATATATATATATATAATGCTACATGAATATGAATTCAAGTCATTTTCAATCAATTTTTAGCCAAGGGTTAAAGGCTGCCTTGGGATCCTGGACCTTGTGCCATCATTAGACTCGGCTCTGCTTCTCTTCCTTTTCCAGGGCTACGACACTACAGATACATTAATACGTTGTCATAAAAATCATTTCATTTAAACTTCAATAACTGGACTCTCATGAATATTGCTGTGCTCAAAATCACAATTAGTATCGTTATTACTGTTAAAGGTCTAATGTTTGAATTAATGGCATATTTATGGTTGACGGTCAAAAATACATACGCGTACGACCAAGTAATCGATATTTTGCCTCTGTTGCCTATGTTATTTCTGCTTCTGTTGTATAAAAGGAGTTTCTGAGGACCAAACATCTGGCCTGCACTTTATACCATGTTGTTAAAGGCTATCCGAGCCCAAAAACCAAATAAAAGAAAATAAAAATATTGGAGGAACCAGCGATTTTGATGGTGTGTTATGTGCGAAACTTTAGACGATGTTGAACACTTTTTTTCTGGACCCGTCCTTTCAGAAAAAATAAATTAATTTTTTTTGGGGAGAATCAAATATGAATTCAATTCCTTATTGAGCCCGAATATTTGACCTTTGGCCACATTTTTTTTTGTTTAAACCTGTCTACCACGTTCAATCAGTGTAACCGATGCCGCAATAGACTTTCTTTATCTGATGTACTTGTTCTTATCCCCATAGCTACTCTAATTACAATGTACATAAGGAGTGTACGGAAATGAACTAATCTCTAGGTTTTATCTCGCCCTCCAGTTCATCTAGCCTTTTAAATACAAAATATTTCTAATAAGCAATATAAAAGAGTATTGTTCTCAATTAAGGCCCGTGTGTTAGTGGATGTCAAATTGAAATTTTTAGTAAATCTACACGTACTAACAAGATACAACTCATAATTTGGGGATGTGAATTTTGGCTAGAATTTCTATACCATCTTTATTGCCTTTTTAAGCGGAAAAGATATTATAGCATTTGTACTTTTTTTTGCTACACTCTTTCGGGAAATTATTGGTGCACTTTTCTATCCATTTCTCTGTTAAATTGATCTATTTTCTATTGACCCAATTTGAACCGTGGTGTGAAACATATCCTAGAAGACATATCTATGGTTGGCTTTGCTTAATTCATAGAAGAAGAAGAAGAAAAGTGAAATTAAGGTACAAAGAGCGAAATGTGCGTCCATATAAACAAACAATCATATATTTTAACATATGCTTATTGTTTTCATTAATCAGATTTTTTTATGTGATTTGAGTTTCCAATAACCTTCATATGTAGTTTACTTGCTGAATAATCAAGCCTCAAGACATGTCCTTTTCTTCTTCTTCTTTGATGTTGGATCAAGTAACTAGCCTGTTTTTCTTATTTTCTTACTTATATTTGTCAAATGGCTTTACAAATGAACATTAAGGTATCCACAGGTACATATATAAGCCTAGCCTTTACATAATATTCTATATGATTAAATGAGAAATAAAAAAGATAATTAATTGGAAATAGCCACCTTTCATATTTGATTGCTTGATTAATTTTTCTTATTTGCTCGTTTATTTGTTATATTTACTATATATATTCTGGAAAAATGATTATGAATTTATATAGTGAACAATTTCCCCATCATATGAAAATTCCAATTTTCTGGACATCACACTACCAAAAAATAAAAAGCCTCTTATATATATATCTTTGTGTGTGTGTATATTTTCTTATTTCTATAAAAAGAAATATATATATAAGAAAACAAAACAAAAAAACTAATCATCATATGGCAGTGGGTTGTCTTGTTCTCTCACAGCAGAAGCTTCTGGCCTCACTATCAAATTTTCCCCATTTAAAAAAATATTATCTTTCACAAATAGAAATTGGTCAATTCATTTTTTAGTAAAGTTTAACATTTAGTTTATATTGATAAGTATAATGAGAGTATTAAAGATAATACACATATTTTTTTGTCTTAATAAACCAACTTTGTGTGTGTGTATATATTTGTGCTCTAACTAATCTGACTATATTTGACAGCTAGAATTCATGGTCAACGTACGACAAAAAAGATCACCAGGAATAAGTCGATTTATTGAGCCTAAATGTCACAACAACTATGAAGCTTTATTTCAAGATAAAGACAGCATCTAATTATATATATATACCTACATTTACTAAGTATAATAATGGCTGTCAAGATACATAATTATTTTTTAATTGGTCAATACATATACATTTAATACTTTTATAACAAATACATAGAGGAAAGATAATGACTGAGTTCAGGGCATAGGATAGTTTTTGTGTTTTCTTTATTAAAGATAATATGATCAATAATAGTATAAGAGGGGGTTTCTTTCTTTTACAAAAAAATTAATATAGAAATGAAAAGGTTGAAATATAAGTACAAGGAGATATTATATATATATTTCTTTATATATAATACTAAAAACAGAAAATAAAAGAAAAAGAAGGTCAGCAAAAATATAACAAAAGAAAGGGTTGGTTAATATTAAAAAAAAAGAAGAAGAAAAATGATACTTGAAATGAAATGAAGTTAAATTGAAATAGAAAAAAAAAGAGGGGGCTTAAGAGTCATTGCCAAGATGTTCATCAAGTGAAAAATCGGCTAGATTAATACCTAGTGAGTTCAATAAAACATTAGTCTCGAAAACAAATACCTTCAATCAATCAAATGAATGAATCAATAAAAAGAATTACGTTTATTACCATATTCGCCTGGTTCTCGAATAAACGCGTCCCACGAGGGAAAATTCTGTAGCATGGTCGGCGGGTGTACCGGTTGGATGGTGTCATTGTTGTTGTTGTTGTTGCTATGAATTTGTTGCATATTGTTGTGAGGGTTAAGGGAGTTTTGGTGGCTTTGCAAGTGTTGTTGTTGTTGTTGTTGCTGTTGTTTTAAAGTTGAGGGTATTTGAGCATAGGGAGAATAGCCGGCGTATCCATTAGTAAGACGAATAGGTATCAATGTAGGCTGCTGTTGCCCGGTTATTGTGTTTGGTATTCCTGTCAATTTTCCTGTTTCGGTTGGCATCATCGTTGACTGAGACTGAGACTGATTTGATCTGACAGAGTCGCTAGAGACGGAAGACGAGCATGAGCCCACAGAAGATCCAATTTGATGATTATGTGGTGGTCTCGCTGATTGGGACATTGGTCCAAAATCGATACCAAGGAATGAGGAAAGATCGTTGAGCATCATCGGGCCCTGAGGATTTCCTGCAGATATATTACTAGCACCACCACCACCACCATTACCAGCAGCAGCAACGGGAGAAGGATGAACAGGGATAGGGATAGAATTAGTTGTTGCAGAAATGGAATTAATTGTACGGGGCGGGTAAATAGATGAGGCAAGCTGGGTAGAAAGCGCTGTGTCAACTGGCTTGTCGAAAGTCTTGAGATCTTGCAATCCCTGCAGTCGTCTCCATCGATTGGTCGTACGGCGCAAATCATAGTCTATTGTCAAGAACCAGAACTTTTCAAAAAATTCCTGCGGAAGTTCCCAGTTTCCAGCTACGGCAGGGTCGTTTCCGTGGAAGACGGATGAACCGAGTAGACATCGGAAACAGTCATCAAGGTCGAATTGATGTTGAAAGAGAATCATTCGGTCCCGCATGTGTGGAGTTGGAATGAGGTCGATACGAGGGTCGTGAGGAACGGTGAGCTTATTAGAATAATAATAATAATAATAATTAGAGAATACCAATATATTAGAAAGCATATTTCTAATTGCTGCTTATATTTGTGTATGGTATGGCATGGCATGGCATGGAATAGTATTGTGCTTTATTCTTTCCCTTTCTTTCTTCTTCATTAAATACATATACATATATAAATATAAATATAAATATAAATATATAAATATGTATTACCTGTAATAGAGTAGGTTGAATGGCAAAGGGGATTGATTTCATACGAATGCATGCAGACTGTAACCGCAATCTGAGACGGAGTGTTTGAATAGCAGCAAGGTTTGAGGTCAGCGGGTCATTTAGGAGTTTTGTTGGACGAGCTAAATTCGGCTCTTCTTGATGAGGTTGTGCTGTGGCTTCATCGGAGCTTGTGTTCATATTCGAATCGCCAGGAAAATAAGGTGGAGATTCTGCTACAGGTACAGGAGAAAGGTCAGGAAGGTTGGAGAACGAAGGTGACCTATCTTGTCTGCCTCCATCCGAGGAGTCGTAATGAGGCTGTGATTCAGTGTGGGGTTTGTCGGCCACAGCTGAATATATGAGATCTTTCCAGTCTGAATTATTTTTGGAGTGTCTACTGATGTCGTTATTATGGCTGTGGTTGTGGTTGTGGTTATTGCTATCGCTGTTGTGATATTGCTGCTGATTCTGCTGTAGCTGATGTTGTGAATGGATTCCGTCTTGAGTGATTATAATTGATCCAGATGAGGTGTGTTTGTCGCGATGTTTACGATTCTGGAGGCCTAGAAACTTTGGGACTATAGGGAGCTTGTTGTTTGCATTGAGTTTGACATAGGCCGATATGGGGGCCGGACTGGACTGGGCCAATACAGCCAGAGCTTGGTCGTTGATGTGCGGTGAGTGTTGGGGAATGACAAGATTGTGTTGGTAGCAGACGAGTTGGAGAGTGAGGACGATGCCTTTGAGGTACCAGTTTTCGCACTTGAGGACTTCGTTGTCGCTTTTTAGTTGTTCGTTTTCCGAGTAGACCTTTTCACGCTGTTCTCGCATCTGCTTTATTGTAACCTCAAGGTCTCGCATGTGTCTCTCTTTCCGTTCTCGAAATGCTCTCTGGGCAGCTCTGTTCTGAGCTTTGCGGAGTGCAGGCGAGGCAGGATTGGGTTTGCGGCCTGGCTTTTTTCTTATTTTGATGGGTGGACCTTCTGGCTGGGGAGCTGGAGACGGTTGAGCATCAGCTGTATCTTGGCTCATAGAGTCGTCAAAGTAGGACTCGGTGGACATGTCTATATCCCCTGATACTGACATTATTGGATTTAGCTAGTAGAATACAGCCGAGAAGAAGAAGAAGAAGTAAAAGAGAGAAAGTGAAAGAGAAGGAATAAGAAAATTGAAAAAGCAAAGAACAGATATGTATATATATATATATATACAAGTTTGAGTGTATGTAAATCTATATATTATATATTATATATATTAAATGTTGCAATAAAAATAATATTTTTTTTAAAAAAAAATGGCACTGGGGGATTCATATAAACCCAAAGTCACAGTGTTTCTGTGCGACAATGTTGAAAACTGGGTCATTGAAGTGGGGCAAAAATAAAATAAAATAAAATAATGTTTATAATAATAATAAGAACAACGTGTGTAGAATGCTATACACACCCTCAATACCCTCACTCCACTCCACTCCACTCATTTTCACTCCACTCGTTTTCACTTACCAACCTATCATATATCACCTACCCATATTCATTCAAAATATGTTGATAATTTATTTTTATTTTTGGACCTGTAAACTAACAAATGCGGGGCAGATATGAATTACCATTTACACTTACCCAATGGTCGTTCAGCTTACACTGGGTTTAGAATATATATAAAAAATAAGTGTTTCATTTTCTCATCAAGAATAAATAAATAGAAAAAAAATATTATACACATTAATTAGAATATTTATAATAGAAATATATTCCCTTTTTTTATGAGATAATAAAAAAAAACCAATACAAAATATGCGATTAATAACAAAAAATATTAGAAAATATGAGAATATTGGAATCCAAATTTAGCCTTGTACAAGAGTAAATTACAAATTACTCATTAATTATTGTAATCACAATTATAATTACAGTTCTTATTATAGCTGTAAAAATCTTGAAACTAGAATTAGAGTTAGAATTGGACTTAGAATTTGTCTTTTTATTATTATTAATTAAAATAAAAGAAAAATAAAAGGTCTGGTAACATCATACATCTCATTACATCCCCAACCTCTTTTCTTCTTCTTCTTATTGTATTAATGGTTGACTTCATTGCAAAATACCGAGCGATTACCGTCTTTGATGCTCAAGAGAAATAAAGAAGAGAAAAAAAGGCTAAATGACCTACTCTACTCTATAAGACGTCTTATTACCACAGATTTCTTGGCCGCCATTGCACAAGTGAAAAAATCGTGCTAGTCAATAACATAAGCCCAACGTACCCAGCGTATAATATGTATTGTGAAAACACGACGAGAGATTGTATGGATTTTGGAATGAAGATGTCGAAATATATCGGGGTGGTTAGAAGAGTGTTGCTATTTTTTTTAGTGACCAGCCCAGACACATTTGTTATATCACTATATTCCACTCGAGACGCTTTTGAAGAGAAGTTCTTCCCCTTAAAAAAAAGTGTTTTCCGTAAGCGTTGGGCGCGATGAAAAAGACAGAAAAAAATACCAGGACTTGGTTATCAAGAAATTACCCCATTATTGATTGCTATAGAGGAGGACTTGAGCAGATCAGAACAATATATTCGATTCGTCGAGATATTCTTGTGTGTATTATTTGATGTCTCTATCCACGATCTGAAGTTACAAGTACGAGTACGAGTGAAGTTCATTGGTAATTTACCCGCGGAGTATTATGAGGCAAGATCTACCGAGAAAGTGAACAGCAACTACGCTATCTACCAAGATCTCATTCAAGTGTCCATTTGTTTGAAAGAATACTCTTAATGAAAATTACATGAATGGGGTGCTCGGCTTACAAGTTGTGACGGGGAAAACTGTCATATTCCACATTCTGGGTTTACTAGCCAGCATGATTGTGTATATATATATGCGTGTATTTTATTAGTCTTTGATTTCACCAAAGTTTTTTGTTGTATTCAAAAAGAACCACAACAGGAAATTACACCAAATACAATTAAACCAAGCCACTTCCACATAAAGTAGACCTTTCTTTCGTTTGGCCACACCTTATTTTGTTATTTTTTTGCCAGAACCTTTTCTTACAATTCTAACAATTTTGCTTTCAGGAAATGAAAAAAGAGTCTCCCAAAAAAATGATGAACTTGATACCATACTTGCATTATAATAATATGGTCCTAGTTGTTCCACTGGGATTTCCTCTTACACGATATGTTAGAAACCACAGTGATATCAAATTATTTGACTAGCGGCCATCCCAAAGTCCGGGTTTGTGCCTAATCTATGGCGTATGACATGTTCCAAGACCTAACATTTTAAGAGAGAATAGGAGTCTCAAGATCTCAAAGCTCGTAGTGTTGACACCATGTACTAAATATTTTTCTTTGTTTTACAAATCAAAAACAAATAAAAGAAAGGTTTATCTTATCCGGTTGAATTCTTTAGATGTAGCATAAATAGGCTGATATGCCTAGTTTTATTTGGGTCTACTAGAAATCAAGAACTCTGGAAGTGATTTCTGTGGTGATGATCTACATCGGCTTCTAAAGAATCAAACCCAAAAAATGCCGCCGCAAGAAGAAATCAGGCACTTTATATTTTATCGATTTACTCATAAACGTACTCACTGTCAAGTATTTTACTAGAGAGGAGATACTAAATATATAAGCTTCATGGAACATTTTCAATGTAGAAAAAATAGGACTTTAATATAAAGATCTTTATGAGTTAATATATTTATTCTAGAATTTTAATTTTGGTTTTGAAATTCCATTATTCTGATACATATATACTAATGATTTGCAGAAATCCTACAAATAATTTAAATCAATCGATCAATAAAAAATGGATTTCTGTACCACCAAAGAAATATTACTTAAATTGGAATAAAACGACATTAATATATGTATATTTGATATATATATATATACTTTTACACACAAAACACATATCATATACATAGTTTTTATATATATATTAACCATTAATGATATAAAGACAAGTAAATCATCGCCACTTTTGTTTCAGTTACCCATGAAACCCAATGTAAACCCGATCCAAAACAAAATGTATCAGTACAGATAAATGTAAATATATTGGCAAGTAGATCTTGCTGTTAATGATGATAATGATGGTATTAATATTTACACGATTGTATTAAATATTTATATAAAGATGTCTGTGAATGTATAAATGTATATATTACTGCGGTAAAAGCCATTATAAAGACATTTGCTGTATTAATAATGGGTTGATCTTTGATAATTTTTAATGCCCCTGTGTGTGTCTGCGTAGTATCTGTGTGTAGGTTTGTGTATTAAAAAAAATGTTCCTGTGGTATCTGAGATACAAATATGTTTTTTGCAGTTCCATTTATAAAGACAAACTATATCGTCTGATTGGCTATATCGTAAGCCACCTTGCCTTCGTCAGCGCCGCTTAATCGTTTGCTTTGTAGCCCATCCTACACAACCCTTCCTTACTTTCCCTTTTATTCAATTCTCTCTCTCTATTTTCTCTTCTTTTTTTTTGCTTTTTTTTGCTTCTTCTTCTCATTGCATTCCATTCTTTTCTTCTTCTTCTTCTTCTTCTTCTTCTTCTTATTCTTCTTCTTTATATATTATATTAAATATATATACACACTTCATTTTCTTATTCATCTTCATTTATAATTTGTTCATTTCTTTTTCCTTTTTAAAAAAATGTCTTCTCGGTTTTACATGTCAGAAGTACCAAAAGGTACATTCCTTTAGAGCCTTATATAAAAAAAACAAAAAAAACTAAACCTTCTTTCTTCCTTCTCTTCCTTATTTAGGCCGCAAGCGTCGATTCTCTGAGGATGAAGACATGAGCGATGCCCAATCCCTCCCTTCCCCTCGTTCTTTTGTCGAGAAGCATCAACGTCGCTACACAGAGCGTCCTATTGATATAAAACGTTGCAAATCTGGCATCCAGAAGCAATCATCTAATGCAGCTCTTCTGGGTAAGCAATACCAATACCAATGCTAACATACATATCTATTATAATAGGCTTCAAAAAAATAAAAAATAAAAAAGACATACTAACATATATACCTTTATGTATAGCTACAATGAACAGAGATAAACTAGTATCTTTACTACAAGGCTTATTGGAAGGCCATCCTGAATTACGACAAAATATCATGACCTACATACCCGCGCCGACAATTGCATCAGCAACAAGTGTATTGCAGGACATGGAAAAACAGATGGTAGATAGCTTTCCATATAGCCGCCATGGTCCCAGTAGAGATGCTTACACTTTCTCACGTGTAAGAGAGCCAATGGGAGAACTTATTGTAAGTACTTGTTTCTTTTTCTTAAAAACATACACATACACACACACATATATATATATATACATATATGCATACATATTTGTTTCACTTGTGGGATGCCATCAGTACATCTAATGCAACTCTTTTCTTGCTTTTTTGCTTTGATGACACAGGACACAGTCACACAGTATGCGAGCCATTTCACATCCGCCATTGTCTTTCCAACCACTTGTTTTTCGTTTCTTGACCTTGCAACGCACGTAGCACATCGATTGCCGGTCTGGGATAATGAAGGTACTATACATACATATTTCCTTACATACATAAATAATATAATATAATATAAATAAATGTCATTTTACTTTGAATTATATAATTCTTATAATTTTTTTTCCGTATGTATTTTTCAAATCCTACAGAACACAATACCATGCGACGGAATCTTTATCGCGATTTGGCTGGGTTCTGGCTAAATACAGTCCGTTCAGCAGCATCTAAACTACAAGAAGGAGAGTCCTATAGTAGCCACACAGTCAGTGACTGGGCGAAAAGGTAAGCCAATATATGATTTTTTTTACTATCTATCTACCTATCTATCTATAGAGATACATTAGATAACTATCATTATTGCCTGGTTATTAATCATTAAACATAAATCTTTCTCTTTGTGTGTTTGTGCGTATAAATTATTATTATTATTTTATTGTTTTTAAGTCTTGCACAACACAATGGACACACGAATGGCCTGTTTACAGACGCAGTGCACGAATTTACCCGGTTGCTCCTTTCTAATCCTCCTTCTGAGAAGCCTCGCACTTCATTATGTCATCGTCCTGGTCTTGTTGACAAGGATCTTTCAAGATTTGGGCCTCAATCTCCTGTCGTTGGTTATGCAGATTAACACACACATATATATATGTGTGTGTGTGTCTACGCACATACTTGGACCATTTCTCTAGCCACAACTCTTAAGCATTTCATACTTTTTCTTTCTTTCTTTTTTCTCTTTATATCTATCTATCTATCTATCTATCTATCTATCTACCCGCCTACCTATCTGTCTACCAATCTATCTATTTCTCACCGTCACCACCCATATATTATATATATATACAAATTGTTTCTTTCTTACCCACTCATTCCATCCCCCTTTCTAACCTTCAACCCTTAACCTTTTACCCTAACCCTAACCAAAATCCAAATCCTGAACTTTAACATCCCTTCTGTTCCTTTCCTTTTCTTTCTTTCTACCTATCTCATGCAATACATTAGTTTTAAACGACCTGTCATGATTAGACAGCAAATAAAAAAAATACAAGCAAAAAAATAAAAAATAAAAACAAGAACCGCAACAATAGTAACATGGTAATTATATCTATTCTTCTTTGTGTGTGTATATTTTAAAGCAAGGTGACCGTATAGACCACGATGACCTTGTAAATATTATTATAAACAATGATCATTTAATAATAATAAATATAATCTTCTGACATGTTTTATTATTATTATTATTATTATTATTATTGTTACAGTATCCATGACTACAAACAATTAAAAAATATAGTTTATATTAATTACCAAATCAATAAATCAATAAATCATTCAGTAGAATAAGAATAGAAATAATAGCAATGGAGTTTGACAAGGTCTATTGATTGACTTAATAATAATAGAAGAACCTATTAATATATCTTGCTTGTCTTTGGTTTTATTGATCGTTTGATATACAAGTATATCTATGCTACGTTCTTTTTCTAGTAGTAGTATTATTGTAATTAATTCTATACCTATCAAATTGTCATGTTATATATATTATATTTTGGAATCATTGGTTCTATAATTGATAGATTCAAATGATTCTTATTGTGTCTTGGCAAAATAGAGGAGAAGATCATAGAGGATTCCAAAAAATAAATAATTGTTTATTGGTTTAATTGAAATTGAAATTAAAAGTACTAAGAATAATACAAACATACAAAATCAGAAGAAGTACAAGAAGTACAAGAGCTTTTTCAAATGCTTATGCCTTTTTTTCTTCCTCTGCTTATTCAAACAAACAATGGTATCAATAGTAATCATTATCTTTTTTTCTTTAAAAAAAAAATGGATATCCTTTTAATAAATCAAAAAACTTTTGTACCTCACATTGAGAGATCTTGTACCACATACGAAAATAACCATCACTGTAGAAAAAAATCTACGAGTATTTTTTGATACTCGTAACTTTCTGCCCAAAACTCGTAACTTGAAAAGGTCCGACACGCACTTACTAAGTTTAGTATGTGCTAAGCCTATTTTAGTATTCTGAGGCTGACATTAAAATATGATTGTTTTGTTTTTAAGCCAGAAGGCCGTTTTAGATGAATATAGTATGTGAAACTGCTTATCAGACTGCAAAACTGGGAAAGGGACAAACATGGCCTACAGATTACTTATATTTTTAATCTGAACTTAAAGAAGCCTTTGCCACCAAAAAGTAATGACTGTGATTACTTTTTAATGCATTGTTGTTTTTTTATTTTGTAAAAGTCTTTTTTAATTCTACTTTTTCACAAGGTCTAAATTATTAAAGGTCTCTAAAAAGAACACACTTAATAACTATGAAGGCTAGTATTAATAAAATGCGAATCAGCAAAGTTGACAAAAGAAAGTAACTTGAGAAGAATTGACAGAAAAATATCTGCATCAAGTACAATTTGGTTGTCAAGATTGCTCGCATGCTCATTAGAGATCTCTGTAGATTTCGAGAATCGCAGGGAATCTGTCTTCTGTTTTTTCAAAAGTAGGACTCAGGCATAACAATGTTAACACAAAGCAGGTTTATACTCTTTGATTAAAAGAATCAATTAAGAAATATACATGCCTTCATCAATATCATAGTACTTAGAAAATAGCTTTTTTTTAGATAAAACAATGTAAAAAGTATCACATAAAAATAGATATATGTATATTATTTAATGAATGTATAGCTTAAGCTGTTACTAAATATCATAAAAATTAGTACTTCTTCTTCGCATACTTCTTTATGTTTAACTTGTATTATTTTGATCAATAAAAACCAAAAAAATTCAATATAAAACATCATGCATTTGTTGAACCAATCATAAAGAGAATACAAATACCTAAAAAGGAATAGATCTGCCATATTTAGAATATTTTATTGGCTTAGATGCAAAATAATAGAAAATCCCATAAATCGTATTTGACAAAAAATAAAACTAATAGGCTAAAACAGGCATGCTATTGGCTATAAAAGTTACGAGTTCGTAACTCGTTACGAGGTCGGTATTTTAACGACTGACTTTTAAATAGCATAAGTTACGAACTCGTAACTTGTTACGAGGTCGGAGGTGTAAATCCTGCCATTTCCTACAGTGATTACTAAATGTACCATTGATTTTATGATCTTGATTAAAGAAAAGGAAAAAATGTTAGTGTAGTTGTTGTGGGGAGAAAATAAAGCAAAATATAATATAGACGAAAGAATTCGTGAGAACTTGTGTAGGTTGTTTATTTCAAAAGAAAAGTAGAATGATAAAATTCCATCGTTTTTCTACACGGAACTATCTACTGATATTTATATGTTTTTCTAATTTGTAATTCAGTGTGTGCTTAAGTAATCTTTATCACGATGAGTCATCTTCCAGGAGTATTGTTCTTCTGGAAAGATCCGGAAAGACCAATTGATATGATACTTCTCCAGTCAGATCAGTCCAAGAGTTTTGGTAAAGAAGAGCATTTATGCTATTGGTAATATTTTAGTATTCCGACCCAGATACTCGGGTAATGTTTCATAATATTAAATAGTTGTAGTTGTAGTCTCTCAATTAAGTATTTGTATAATAAAAGAAATATGTAGATGAAATATAATGATGCTATATATATAATGTATATGTATTTGTATATCCCATGTCATGGTGATAATAATAAATAATCAATTATGTGTATGATGATCTGTGTATTAGATAATATCATAAAGGGAGATCCGTTTGACTGGAATAGCTGAGGATATTATTTTATCCTTCAGTCTTACTCTCAGATTCAGCAGTAATCAATACTCATTCACAACACTGTCCACACTTGCTGTCCACACTTGCTGTCCACACTTGCTGTCCACACTTGCTGTCCACACTTGCTGTCCACACTTGCTGTCCACACTTGTCCACACTTGTCCACACTTGTCCACACTTGTCCACACTTGCCGACAGTCTCAAAAAAAAGTGACGAATCTCAGCTTTACGGCATGGGTTTTGCGATCTTTTCCTTTTCTCGTCAAACATATTCGATGCGTTTGCTTGATGCGTTATTCCTCTAGATGAGTTTTCTACTTTTTCCCTGTTGTTTTAGTGTTTGCTTGTTGCAGCCATGGATCGCCACTAGATTATAAGGGTGGAGATCATTTTCAGGATGGGCGCTCATTTTGGATTGCGAGTCCTTGGTATTGACACTTACATTGATACTCTGACCATTTTTAATGTTTTTTTTTTGCTTCGTGTTTGTTGCTTACCTTATTCTTATGGCGTAATTGTTTGGCTTTTAATGAAGTCGATATTGGTCATTACATGGGCATTTTGTTTCGACATTTATCCCAACACTTGTAAGAATGCGAAACGAAACCATTGAAATGACCTTTCTCCACACTTTTGCAGGCTTCTGTGATTCTTTTTGATAAAGTGTCTTTTTGCAAAAACCTGTGGCGCTTAACTTTACTCTTTGCCACTACCCAGAATTGTTCTATTTGGTTAAGCTCAGGAGAGTAAGTGGGCAGATACACACATTTATAACCACGATACTCAGTGTATTTCTTTATGTTTTCATTCGTGTGAATGGGTGCATTATCCATAACTATATAATGACCTTTCATATGTGGATGTTTATCCATTTCATCAAGTGTAGTTTTTAAGAAACTAATTTAATGGCTTGTTACAGTCCCTGAGCTTATATATCCATCAGCCTTTCGCATCTTGGCAGGTCTTGGTTTTTTAAGCCAATCGTGATCAAACTTGCGGCAGAGATAGCGTCCAATATAGACGTTGTATTTGCTCTCGTAGTTGGCCTGATAAAAATAGCACGGGTACCTTTTTTCGGACCAAGCTCTTGAACGTTTCGTGTTTATATCAAAAGCAGATTCGTCAAGAAACACGCAATTCGTCATGAAGTTCATGTCTGTATTTTCCCACTTACAAACCCGATCAAGTCGCTCCTCAATCTTCACTGGACTGTCTCTCTCGATAGAATGAAAATCTGCTTTTTTCAACGAAATGTTGCATTCACTTCTCATAAAGTTATAAACAGTGCTGCGTGAAACTTTAAAATCACTGAATCGCTTAAACAAATGTTCTACCACTTCAACAACAGCAGCAGAGGGATTAGCATCAATGAAGTTGACAATTGCCGTCTTATGATCTTTGGACAAGATACACTTACGGCCAATCTGTTTACAGCTCTCAATAATGCTATCAGGACATAAACTGTCTAACACATCTCTGAGCAGTTCGAATGTGAATGCCCAACTGCTTCGCTGCAGCTGATGCACTCATACATTTTTCAATCTTCAGGTCGAAGAATCTAACATTATCTTAGACGGTATAACGCACATAATCACGTTTCACGTTGGTTTCCTTCAAGCGAATGTCTGCATCTTTTGGTTTTTCTATTCGCATTGGACAAGCTGAAGATGATCCGCTGGAAGCTGGATTTTTCAAGTAATCAGCGTGAGTGGCAAATGTCTCAACATTAAACTCATTCTGATCGACAATGTACTCCATGGGCTTAGGGCCGCCATTCTCATCAACGACATTCCCATGTCCATCTTCAAATAAAAATATGGTACTCATCTTAAAAATGTAAAGTTTTTGGGAAAAAAAAATCACAGATGAAGAAAGCCTTTTTTTATATTTTTTTTTTCGAGTGCTAAAAAATCATGGTGATACGACATCATTTATTTCAAGCAAAACGACATTTGGCTTCCAAAAATACGACTTCCATTTCTGAAAATGTGAAATTGATTTTGATTGGCTGCGACATTGCTTTTTGGAAGCACTGTACATAAATAAATAAGTAAATATTTATATAATGGATATACATTTAATTTATATATATAAAATGCTGAGCCATTTGCGTTTAACCCGAAAACACCTGCCAAGTCTTTACAAATAAATAAATAATGAACCAAAAAAAACTGTAGTTTAGTCCAACCACATAGAGAGAGAGAGAAAGAAAAAAAAGTGGCTTCGCTGATAGATTATATGTAATAAAAATAATAATAAAATAATAGTCTAAAAAAACATATTAAAGCCGTGCACATTATTAGAGCACACGCAGTGCTATTGTTATTTCATATGTTCTTTTTCACATAGTAAATTGAATCGAATTGAATTGATCTTTCTTTATTATATATATATAAATTGTATACTCTTATTATCTTATAATGGTATCTACACATACAGCCATATATTTTGTATACGTAAATTTATATATGTATGTACATGTATATGTGTGTATGTGCACACCAACACTCACACAAAAATAGACAGGCAGATAGGCAGACAGGCAGATAGGCAGACAGGCATATGTATATATATATATATATATATATAAAGAGATAAATGTATAGGTGGTTATAAACGTAAATATTAATATATATATATGTATATATAATTAGATATATTATCTATATTTATATATATACAGTAACCAAAAAAAAAAAAGACACAAATAATAATAATAATACCTCTTTTCTTTCTCCTTGTCTTTCTTCTTCTTCCTCTTACTTTCTACTTCTCTATTCATATCCACGTCCCTTTCCTTTTTTCTCTTATAAATACAGACACACACACATATATATTCTTTTTTTATTATTTAATTTTTTTTTTTTTTTTACCTTTTTACCACGATGCAAGAACATGAGTTAGTTGAGCCCAGCTCATCTTCGGAATCTATACCTAAACGAAGAGTCCGTCCTCCTTCTGTCGTTGTCGAAACACTTGGTGCAACCACAATGGAAACCAAGGATGGCCGAAAGATTAACAATTACCTCTTGCGCGAAGAAATTGGACGCGGTGCATTTGGTACAGTCCATCTAGGCATAGACACTGACACCGACAAAAGCTATGTAAGCCAAAAAGATATATATATATATATATATAATTATATTTATGTATTATTTGTACACATGTACAACCACATTACACTATACCATACATTACAATAAAGTACAGTAAAGTACATAATTATATTATTTTATATTATAAAAATCCAGATCAAGAAAGACCAATAAAAAAAAAAGAGAGAACCTATTACGCCAAATCATTAAATCATACAATTACCAATTACCAACAATATTCTTTTATACAAACCATAACAACCAATAAACAAAATAGGCTATAAAAGAGTTTAGCAAGTCGCGCCTTCGCCGTAAGGAACGTTCAGATATGCTCAGACAATCAGGTCCTAGAGGCAGAGGGCGAGGTGGAATTGGCTTGGGTGTAGGAAGACCCGGAATGGGTGCCGGAAAGCCCTCGAACCCGCTTGATCTTGTCAGAGGTGAAATGGCCATTCTCAAGAAACTCAATCATCCTCACGTCGTGAAGCTTTTCGAAGTCCTGGATGATCCAAATGATGATTCACTTTATATGGGTAAATATCAATTTATTACAATACGTATATATATATATATATATGCGTGTGTGTGTGTGCATTTAATTTATATGTGTTTGTTCTGCATTGTTCTGCATTGTTCTGTAGTGTTTGAAATGGCTCAAAAGGGTGTTTTAATGAAGGTTGACGTGGATCAAGTAGCCAAACCTTATTCAAATGATGAAGCTCGTCGTTACTTTCGAGAAATGATACTTGGAATTGAATACCGTAAAGTCACTAGAATTATCATCATCATTTAATGAATTAATTAATTAATTAACGCGGGGAAACTCATTCACACTTTTAAATGATCATCTTTTATGTGCCTATAGTTCACAACAATGACATTGTTCATCGAGGTAAGAAAACAAATCACTATTAAATATATAATTTTCTCCCTTTTTCCAATTCATCCTCCTTCCTCCCCCCAACCTACACCCCTTTTATCTACATATATAAATATGTTTCAGCCAAGGAAAATAATTGAACCGAGATCTAACATTTTTTTTATTTTATTCTAGATATCAAACCCGACAACCTGTTATTGTCTAGTGGTGGAATGTTAAAAATCGTCGATTTTGGTGTATCCGAGATGTTCAAAGGCAATGATGACAAACTCAAAAAGTCGGCAGGAAGTCCTGCATTTATGGCCCCAGAGCTGTGTATAGCTCATCACGGAGAAATTTCCGGAAAGGCTGCCGATATCTGGTCAATGGGTATCACTCTTTACTGTCTCATTTACGGCAGACCTCCCTTTAGAACGTCCAGTTTGGTGGATCTTTTGGACATGATAAGGGATGATCCGTAAGTTTATATTTCTCACCATGTCATTTTATTATATAGATATTAATCCTTTTTTTTTTAGTATCCATTATGAAAAATCTACTGATCCTGATCTCCTTGATCTATTCTACAAATTACTTGAAAGAGACCCTAGCAAACGTATCACCATGCTGGAAATGAGAGTAAGAGAAGTTCATAGATAATAATTATTAGCTTTTATGATTTTCAAAGGAGAGAGAAAAAACTAAACGGTTAAATTTAATTTTTATATAGAATCACCCTTGGGTAACTAACCGTGGCAAGCTGCCAATGATCACAGAAGAAGAGAATTGTCGCGCTCTTGTTACTGAAATAACTGAGGAAGAAATGGCCAATGCTATCAAGAGTGTTGCCAATATCTTTACAGTCGTAAGTATCCAATGTAGATACAAAAGAGAGAAAAATAAAAAAGAGGTCTGAGAGTTTAGTGTTTATACTAACAATAATATAAAATAGATGAAGGCCGTTACAAAATTCAAGCGTCATTCACGTTCTTGGTCTCAGCATTCGTTGAACAAGATGATGAATGAGGTGAAGAAGCAAGACGAAGAAGCTCAGAATAAGGAAATTTTGGGTATTGAGAAAGGAGCCATGCATCTTTCCATAAACCACCCTATATAAATCAAATCCTTGATAAGATTTGATTTGACTTGATTTGATTTGATTTAATATATCTATATATTATCTTTTCACCTACCCATTCTACCTTTTCTCTCTCTCTATTTCTTTTGCACACAACTTTACTTTCAATTTATACGTTCACACCCTACACCCACTACTTGTTCAATTTTCTTCTCTTATTTTACTCACTCACTCATTCACCCATTCATTTTATTCAATCACTCAATTAACTATAGCTCTTGCTTAATATTATTATATTTCCATCATTACTGTTAGTACTCAATAATAAAAATAGTAAAAACCAAGTAATAATAATAATAATAATAATAATACTATTAAGAAATAGTAATGCCTGCATTTTATTTCAATCTTTTCCAATTTTCTGATATACAAATACATAAATATGAATATTAATTTATTTATTAAAAGAAGTATATACATATTATATTATATAATATTATATTTATTTATTTATTTATTTATTTATTTATTTTATTTTATTTATCTATTTATTTTTACTTTTATATATATACCTACCTACATAAATATTTTAATGACTCGAGAAGATCTCTACAAAGTTACAACAGATGCACGAGTTGAACGCTTGTTGCGAAGATTGACACGCGATGATTTACTCGAGATCATTCAACGCTGGTTCAATCAACCAGATCTAAAACCAGATTCATCAGATGCGTCCTGGGAGATTTATCAAGAGATGCAACAAAAACACAAATACAAAGTGATTGATCGTGTTTTGAAAGTAGATTGGGTAAATAAACTTTATATATATATATGTATATATTTAAATATAATTACAACATTACACACTTGAAAAAAAAAAGGAAATATTCAATATCTATTACATTAATGGATGAATGAATAAAAAAAAATAAATGAATGAATAAATGAATAAATGAATGAATGAATGAATGAATTAATAAAGAAATTAGAGTAGTTTATAAAATGATCATCAATCAAGACATTCTCAGCAGTAGATCTTTCTCTCTTTTGTTCTGCTTTGTCAATATATAAACATATATAAGCTTTTTATATAAATCTACATTTATACAATTGTGTAGGTTAATGGGCTACGTGCATTACAAATTGCTCAATTGGATCTCAAATGTAAATAATCCTTGTGATGGTGGTGATAGTGAGGGGGATTAGCTAATATGTGGTATTTAATGAATTTGCCCCCCTTTTTTTTTCTATTATACAAAGTATACTAAAGTCAAGTTAGATGCAATTGATCATCCAAATGTCAAACGATGGCAATTATGGCGATTAAAACCAGGTTAATATCAAACAGAAAAATCCCAAACAGAAAATCACATCAGCAAGAATGATAATTAGAAGAAGAAGAAAATATTGTTTTTTTTTTTTTTTTTAAAAAAAAAGGGCAAGACTAACGGGTTTAACTAACACAACAAGGAAGTTTAGTTAATAACGACACACCAATGCAATTGGCATTAAGTTTATCAAAACTTGAAGACCATGTTCAATTGTATCTGTCTTCATTCTTTCGTTGTGTAAGTCCTATCTTCATCTCTTCTTCTTCTTTTGTTCCTATTATTCCACTGTGTTTTATAGTGTACGTGATTTTTTTTGGTAGTGTGATTCTACAACAATCAAACCAAAACCAAAAAAAAAAAATTACTTACAGAAGTCTATATATACATATTGTACAGCATGTGTATTGTGCCCGTCACCCTAAACACCACACATATTGGATGCGGATCTCGTTCTTTGAGACCAGCTCGCCAGACGTGATGCCGTTGACTACAAGCAATGTGTATTTGATTTATTATCCAATGACAGAGTACATCCTGTGCGGAGGCACGATCCGCAAGAACATCTACACATACGTGGTGCAGGCACTAGTATCGGCTTTTGACGCAGGATCCATCAAGGATGAAAAACTAGGATCAAAAAAGCTAGAGGAACTCAACCGTGTGATTGACGGCAAAGAATCCTTGGGTATCTTTGACACCTATGCAAAAAACCAGGTTGATCCAAACCCACTCGACATCCACCAAAAGGTCATCAAACCCGACATGCCAGCCTACGTCTCGACAGCCGAAGAAAAGCGGCGTATTGTACCCGTGGACAGAAACACGATCAATGCACGTTATGAACAGGCCAATGCACTTGGTATTGATCCACCTGCAATTGAATCCCTCTCAATACAGGTACATAATATATAAAAGAAGAAGAAGAAGAAAAACAAGTATAGAGAATAGCATGTGTTGTGCTAATCTAACTCATTGTATTCTTGTCAATTTTATCAAGATCACCATGCCACCCTATCTTGCTCCAGAGGGAGAGGACATGACAGCTAAAATAACTCTCAAGGGTGACAATGTGATGAAGGGCATCCAAGAGTTAATTACATGTGGAATTATGAAACTGCCCCTTCCAGAGTGGCTACCTGAAGTAGCAGCAGCAGGAATCAATAAGGTGTTTCTGACGCGTGATGGCATCTTTCGCCAAGAAGGAGATGATGATGAAGAAGAATAGAGACAATAATAACTATATTTTATGTACTTGTTTAAAAAATAAATAAAAGACTCTTGGTGATTTTATAGAGTAAGATGATATTTGCACATAAATAAGACCAAAAACACAATACTTTCACATTAACCTTTATATATATATATATGTGATGTGGTGTTATTTTATTGTTGTATTGTAATATTTTATTTTATTTTATTTTATATTATATTTTTGTTTTTACTTCTTCTTGGCAGGAGCAGCAGTGACGTTGAACTTGAAGAAGATGATATCGCCATCCTCAACAACGTACTCCTTACCCTTCTGCATGTATTTACCATTGGCCTTGACAGCGCTGTCGGAACCGAGTTCATGAAGATCCTCGTACTTCATGACTTCGGCCATAATGAAACCACGCTCGAAATCAGTGTGGATGACACCAGCAGCCTGGGGAGCCTTTGTGCCACGACGGATGGTCCAGGCACGGACTTCATCAGGACCACCTGTGAAGTAGTAGCCCAACTGGAGAGCGCTGTAGCCGGTGACGATGATCTTGGGCAAGACCGAGACGATGCCAAGTTCCTTGAGGGTCTCGGCTCTCTCTTCGGCGGTCAAGAGAGACATGCGGTTCTCAAATGCACCAGAGTAAGGGATCATGATGTCACCCTTGCTGTGCTCGTCGATCCATCCCTTGATCTTGGGAAGCCACTTGTTCTTCTTTCTCAGGTAATCTTTTTCGGACACGTTGGCGAGGTAGATGACAGGCTTGGCGGTGATGAGGTGAAGACCGTTGATGACCTCGATCTCCTTGTTGGTCCAGACACCGTGGCGGACTTCCTTACCCTCCTTGACCCACTCGTACACCTTGGCGACGGTTGCGGCCTCTTCCTTCTTGGCCTTGTCGTTGGCGTTACCACCGTTACCGACGCGGCGGACAACGTTGGCGAGTTCGGTGGTCTGCTTGGCCAAGAACTCCTCGTCCTTGAGACGCAACTCCTCGTGGATGATCTCCAAATCACGGACGGGATCCAATTCACCCTCGACGTGGATAACATCGGGCTCATCGAAAGCACGGACAACGTGGAAAATGGCATCCACAGCCTTGATGTGAGACAAGAAAGCGTTACCGAGACCAGCACCAGAGGCAGCACCCTTGACGAGACCGGCAATATCAATGACAGTCAACTACAAAATCATATTTTAAGATTTAGTATCTTGGGCACATAATTTTGATACTTTATTCACCCAAACCCACCCACATAAATAATCTCTTTCACTTTCTTTCTTTCTTTCTATTTAAAAATCATATATAAATCTTACAAAGGCAGGGATCTCCTTTGAGGGCTTGTAGTGCTTGCACAACCAATCGAAACGGGCATCAGGTACAGCGACACGGGACTCTTCGGGCTCTGTATGATTTTATTATATATATAAATAAATAATTTCAAAACAAAAGAAACGATTTTGTTAATATTCATGATACCAATACACAGTTCTTGCCTTGAAAAATTATTAACACCACCACCCCATAGGACTTTTCCATTCAAGCCACAGCCACACACATTATATACACATTATCTTTAATCCAAAAAAAAATTAAAAATGTAGATAAAACTATGGACTTCTAATAATGATTATGACACTAAAGAACAATAAAAAAAGACTACTACTTTACCGATGGTACAGAAAGGATAGTTCTCGGCAGCAGCAGAGGCGTTGGTCAAGGCGTTGAAGAAGGTAGACTTGCCGACGTTTGGAAGACCGACAACACCAATCTTCAAGTTGTTGGAGGGACGTCCAAGCAAAGTCTTTTCTTCTTTAACGGCCTTCTTAGGGGGCATGATGCTAATGACAACAAAAACAGTTATGACATTTTGTTCATATAATAAATTTTTTTTATATATATAATAAAAAAAAAAAAAAGTAAAAATTTCTTACAAGCTATTTTTTTTTTTTTTAGGTTATCAAAAAAAGAAAGGAAAGGCAAAAAAAAATCCAGTGAATCCATCTCAGCAAACAAAAAAAAAAAAATTGGTGTTTTTTTTTTTTGAAACTCCAATAAAAACAAAAGTGTGATGTCAGCAAATTCTAATGGGTGAATATTTCCTGTCTTTTGTCCCTCTCTCTCTTTTTTTTTTTTTTTGTAAATATATGTCGGTGTGTAAAAAGTGAATAAGAGCCATTGCAAAAAAAATAAAAAAAAATCATAATTTATTATTATTATTATTATTATTATTATTATTATTATTTTGATTCTTTAAAAGAAACTATATACTTAATATGTGGGTCAAACAAATTAACGAAGTCCGTATTGCTCTCTCGCCATTCAACACAGCCTCAAAGTCTTCGAGGTTTGTATTCGATATCTATATAAATTCGTATATATATATATAGATAGATAGAGAGAGAGAGAGAGAGAGAGACATATATATATATATATATATTATAAAGAGGAATCTAAAGGAAAACTAATTGCAGAATTCACTATGGATAACAAACTAAATACAACAGCAGCAAATAATGACAATGCCAATAATAATTTTAATAATTTTTAATATATGTATTTATTTATGCATGGAACAAATATTATATATTATTATTATTATTACTATTATTATTATTACATTCGTTCCTTAGATTGTTTATAAACCGCATCAGCACCAACGAATCCCGCAAGCTTAATCCCACTATCAAAATCGTGACTGACGTTTTAGCTGATCCCAAGGCCGAATCTGTCATCAATGTTCTTTACCGTAAGTTTGTAATTACACTCCATTCTTGTTTTCTTCTTTTGGACTCATTAAACTCATAAATGCTAAATGTTCTATTCGACCAGGCGATGGAAAGACTTTAAAGGTTGAATCCGACAAGTTGAAGATTGACAATTTGGTGCAGGTTGTTAGCAAACATGCAAAGAAGTTGGAAGAAGCTGAACAAGCCAAGGCATGGTAGAAGGTGTATTATCATTATCTATAAAAAAGATACAAGCAACCAATTGATTAGAGGAATAGCAAGTTATATATATATATATATATATAAAAAATAAGAAACTTGAATTGTAAATAGACCTTCTCTTTGTGATATTTCTGGGTTTGGGATTTGGGATTTTTTGCAGTAGAGGTAAAAAAAAAAAAAAAGGTATAGAGTTGGTTTGAGTGTGTACATTGATGTGACAAGCAGTGGGTAAAAGTAGTTAGTTAGTTAACTAAAGAGCGTGAGTAACATTCACACACACACACACACACATTATATGTATAGAGAGTTAAATGATAAGCAAGTGAGCAAGTGAGTGAGCGAGTAAGGTTGAATGGAGGGGCACCTTTGGGATTCTGTGAGTTTGGGTGTGTAAAATGGATTTGTATGATTATTAATTATTAGGTTCTTTGGTTGTCGAAACAATTCGATAGGTAAAACAAGAAACTTATAACCAGTGAATTATTGATAGGTTTTTTTTTTCTTTGCTTTGATTTGCTTTCTTATTTCAACCATGAAGATCTACAATCAGTTTTCTCTCAAGAATGAATTTGCCTTCCTTGTACTTGTTTTCCTCTTTGAATGCCTTGACCTACAATATATATATATATATATATATATATATAGATAGATAGATAGATAGATATGTGTAGAAAATATAATAATGGTAACGGTAATGGTAATGATAAATAAATAAATAAATATTTTTACATTCAATTATCAATTATCTAATGATTATAATAATAAATCCTTACGTAGGTCCAGCCAAGTACGATTTTGCATTTACAGCATGAAATACTCCGGACAGTGTGGGTACCTGTTGACATTAATCGTTCTTCATCAGGCCCTTGTGTGACATTCACACTATAGACCAAACAATTATAATTTAGCAAAAAATAAAAAAATAAAATTATAAGACAAGACAAGACAGGACAGGAATACTTGCACATAAAAACACAGATATGCTTGTCCGTGAACACCTGTAAAGTCCTATCGTTGTTTATTATTAATTATTATTAAAAGAGATATATAAGATATCATTATCACTTTTTGTATAACTTTCTTCTGTTTTAATACCTCAGACTCAACTGCCTCCATCGTAGAAAGATGGGTCTTACAACCAATACAGCCATAGACAACTTTACCATCAAGGTAGGTGCGATATTTGAGTCCCATGTGAGCACGTCAGGCAGCCAAATTTGTGTGCGTATGTGCGTGTATGTGTATGTGGTTGTTTTGTTTTAAAGAAGAAAGGCAGAAGAGAGAAAGAGAAAAGCAAAAAAAAAGAAAGTTGTTGTAGTAACAGTAGTAATAGTTGTTTCTGTTGTTGCTGTAGCTGTAGCTGTAGCTGTAGCTGTATAATTGATGATGGTATTAGTGGTGGTATTGGTAGTTGTAGTGTTGATAAAGAGGTGTTGATAGAGTGATCAATAGACCAAGATACTTGAAAATATTCTATTTTTTTTTATTTTAAATTTTCATACAAGGAGAGGCACCAGATCTCTCTCTCTCTCTCTCTCAATCTCTCTCTCTTGTTTTCTTTAAAGCAAAGGATAGCTATACATATATTATATACAATAATATATATATATATATATATGTGTGTGTGTGTGTGTAGGTAGGTAGGTAGGTAGGTAGGTATATGAATAGAGTGTTAGTAAGGTATATATATATATAAATAAGAGTATGTAGTGTGATATAGAAGGGGAGAGGGGGAGAAAAGGCTAGAAGAGCAAAGAGGAGGAAGAGCAAAATGAGTATGAAGAGGGGAGAGTAAGAAATTAGATTTTTTTGGGATTAGAATAAGAATAAGAACATTATTAAGAGATTAGGACAAAAAGGTTAGAAAGCGTCACAGCATTGATCATATGATGGTGAGCCCCTCAAAAGGAAAGTGTCAATTCTTTTTTTTTTTTTTTTTTTTTTTTTTTAAAAAAAAAATGTATAAATATTTTTCCTTGCCCACCAAGATTTTCTAATAATTTTTTCTAATAATAATAAATAATAATCTTGTGTTAATGAGGGGGGTTCAAAGGGATATAAAAGATACACATGTATTAAAACAAAAACTAAAGAGGAAGTCATGCTTATTCGGTAGTTGTGGCAGCATATTTTCATTGGATAACATTCTATCAATAACATATACACAATTTGTGAAAAAAGATTGAAAAGAAAGGAGTCTATTAAAACAAAATGTATCTATGTGATTTTGTATCTATATATGTATTTATAGGACATAATCTTGAACTTAACCTTCCAAGCCCTCCCTTTTAGTCTTTCTTCTTTGTCTTCTTTGGCTTAAGAAAGAAAGAAGCTGAAGGACCATTAATTCATTAATTCATTAATTCACTTTATATAATAAGAACAAGAACACAAAGCGTAAAATAAAGAGTCGATCTTCTTTATCATATTCTACTCTATATTATATTAAATCTTCCCCACATTAAATGTATCCTTATTAATTAGTTTCCCTGTATACAAACCCCCTCCCACGACCTATTCCAGCCACCTTTTTCTCGAGTCAACAAAAGGGAATTTTCTAAAAAAAAAAAAAAAAAAAAATTATATACCACTTTTACATACTCCATCAGAACGAGTTTTGGGAGATAGAAAGGAATAATATAGGGTATTGTATAACACGAACAGAAAAATCAAGGGGATCATAAGAGAAAGTTAGATATCCAAAATAAAATAAATATATATATATAGCTAAAAAATGTTTCTAGGAGTTTATTTGGATATAAATACATACATATCTCTATGTACAGATCTATAATGTATATACATCTTTGATTTTTATTCTTTTAGCTTATAACAAGCCAATCTCCATAATTGAATATAAAATAAAAATAAGAACAAAAGCAACTTAAACTCAAACTCAAACACTTCTTTATCTTTACCTTTATCTTTCAAATGGATAATACTAAAGGTACTCAGGGTACCAACCCATATTTCCCAACCCCACCATTATCTTCTCGCCATCTCTCCCTTGACTTGTCAGATTCCCCAGTTTCATTCAACTCTTCAAGAAACCGCAGCCTTAACCTCAATTGCACAAAGAACCAACCAGAATCCCTTTGGCCAACCAGTGTAACAAAACGCTCGAGTATGGTTGGAGACCGACGGTTTGGAACCCGTCTGATCCCAGATCCAGGAAGACCGCGTGCAATCAGTCTTGACGTATCCATGCGCCCAGAGTTTGCTCCATCTTCGTCTGCTTCTTATTATTGCAGAACATCCTTGCCATTCGAATCTCACCAACAAAGTGAATCGATGGCGACAATTGTTTCTTCAATCCCTCGGCCTTTCTATCAACTCTACAAAAAGGTATTTTCGTTTTTTAAGAATTATATATATAAGAATAAGAATAAGAATAAATTAAAAAGCAAGGGAACAGAATGTATACTTATTTAAATTAAATATATATATATATATGCATTTGTAGTCTGTATTGAATCCAATTGTACAAGAAGAACGTTTGGAATCGCCTACACCTACACCAACACCCACACGCTCACTCTGGCTAGGAAACATTTCTTCGTCAGTCACCGCACCAGATATTGCGGCCATCTTTGACTGCTATGGTCCAATCGAAAGTATCCGCATCATTTTCGACCGCGAGTGTGCATTTGTAAACTTTGCCAAGGTTGAAGATGCAATTGAAGCCAGATCACACTTTCAGCCCCAGGCTGATGATCCCAGACTCGGACATGTCAAACTAGGGTTTGGGAATCCCGAGAATCCTATCCCTTTGCACGAGCCTCCAGCCCGTCAGCCCACCCGAGCTTTATGTAAGGACCACAAAATACACACACACACACACACACATACACATATATATATATATATATAAAATGTGTATTGGTTGATTGATTGATTTTATTTTTGTAAAAAAAAAAAAAAAAGGGATCGGCAATATCCCTAGTACTATCACACCTACAATGCTTTATTCAGTATTTGCGCCTTTTGGTCCAATTCAATCAGTCCGTATTCTGGGCCATAGGAACTGCGGCTTTGTCAACTTTCAGGATCAGCAAGACGCCCAGGCTGCAAAATCCGGTTTGACCAACAAGGAACTCTTTGGGTGTGCGATTCGCCTGGGTTATGCCAAGGCTCCTTCCTGTATGACTGGGTCAGAAGACCAGAACAATAGGTCTGATTCTTCTTTACCTTCCAATGATCCAAATACGCTTATTGTCGCAAATAACGGTAGTCCAGCCTCACTACCTTTAAGTGTAGAGGCCGACCACCAAGACATTATTAGAATGTTGTCTTTTCCGTCGTCGTGTTTGGCATTGTGTGTAAATTTTGTTGCTAATAATGATAATAATGATGATGATACAAATACAAATACAAATACAAATAAAAGTAAAAGTAAAAGTAATAAAGTGATATCAGAGAATGAGCGTTGTACTAGAAGATTCAAGTATTCCAGCTTTATTCCAGCCGCACCCGAGTTTGGTCAATTACGCCAGGTAGACACAGGACATCTGAGAGATGTGAGAAGACGATTGGATACTGGCCAGGTATCGACAGACGAACTAGAAGAACTGGCGACAATGTGTTTGGAAGACTTTATTGCTCTTTGTAGTGGTACTATGATTTATGATTTGATTATTATTAAAAGAAATGTGTATAATATACCATGAATATTTAATTGCTGTTATTATTTCTGCTATTTATTTTAGACCCGATTGGCAATATGATAGTTCAACACATATTTGAGCGGTGCTGTGAATCTACCCGCACGTTTCTTTTGGAAATGACTATCCCTCATCTGGCATCAATTGGCGTACACAAGAATGGTACTTGGGCAGCACAAAAGATTATCGAAACCGCATTTCTTCCAGAAAAAGTAAATCAAATAACCATTCTATTTAATATTTAATATTTAATTTTATTTTATTTAATAATTCATCATTAGGTGTGTGCTTCAATTAAACCTTTTGTGCCGCTACTACTGCTGGATCAATTCGGAAATTATGTTGTCCAGTGTTGTCTAGGACTTGGTCCTGATTACAATCAATTCATCTTTGATGCGATTGTAGACACATGCTGGGAGATATCTCAGGGTCGGTTTGGTGCTCGTGCTGTTAGGGCCACTCTTGAGAATCCCCAGACGACCATGGAACAACAGGTAAATAAATAACAAAGAATATTTGTATAGGCTAAAGAGCTGTGATTTGTTTATTACAGTACATTATAATAGTTGATTGAATAATATATATTTTTTGTTAGATATATGTTGCGGCTGCTTTGATACAACATTCCTTGTCGCTGATCACAAATCCTAACGGCTCACTCCTTTTGATCTGGCTACTCGACAACTCTGAGATCTCAAGACGCTACTCAGCTGTTGTGCCACGCCTGTTGCCAAATATCGGTAGACTGTGCAGCCACAAATTAGCTTCACTTACTATCCTCAAGATCATCTACCAGGACCAGGACATTGATGCCCGGCAGCTGTTGCTCGACCGACTGTTCTATGACGACCAGAATCCTCAGGTTAACCAGATCCTGGTTGACCAAGTGCATGGGGTTGGCTTTATCCAGCGCCTGTTGTCGAGCAGTCTGGACCTGTCCGAACGACGCCGGATTGCAGACCATGTCTGGCTGGCGATGCTAAAGAACGAGCTCTACCAGATCCAGGGATACAAACGCCTTTTGGAAGAAATTAGCATGCTTGGGGTCATTCATCCTTTGTTTGAGCAAGAAGATTTTTCTAACAAGAGTCTTTAAAAAAAATTATTTATTTATTTCAAAAAAAGTCTCCATGGTTTATTTCTTTATTTCTTTATGCTCCCATTATTTTGTTTTGTTTTAACCTTTGTATGATGCAGGATTACTATTGTTAGCTGTTATTGATTATATTTTATTGCCTACCTTTCATTTATTCACTATACTCTTCTTATCTCATCTTCTTATGATCTGTTCTCTTGATTCCTATGCTTATTTCTTTCTTTTCTTTTATGCCCACCCCATTATCAACTGTCATTATATAGACATATTTAGTATATAAAATAAATATGTATGCACATTATATATGAATTTATATGTTTTAGTCAATTGTGAATTAGAGTCTAACATAAAATCAAGATGTCCTAAGTTTGACGTACATGATCTTTGTGTGTATTTTCTCTGTCTACCTTTATTGATTTGATTTGAGTTGATTCTGGTTGCTTTAGCTTCATTTGCTTTACCTTGCTTTATTTTGATTTGATTTGATTTGATTTGCTTTGATTTGCTTTGCTTTGATTTGATTTGCTTTGACTACATAATTATTTTATTTTATTTTATTTGTCCTTTTTTTTTTTTTTTGCAGGTATTTAAATTCTTGATTTTCCTGCACCTACTTCTTCCTCTTCCTCTTCCTCTTCTTTTTTTCTTTCTTTTACTAATAACCACCAATATATATATATATATATATATAAAGATGGTAAATAAAGTACGAAAATACACATATAGCTATTATGATCTTGATTGATTGATTGATTGATTAGGCTTGGCTTGGCTTGGCTTGGCTTTGGATCAATCAAATATACTTATTTTATATTATAGGCTGATTATCCACCAAACGTTCCTCCACCGGCTTATAATAATGGTCCTACCACCTCTGGTCCTGGTGGCGTTGGTGGACCGAACACCAATTTACCTGGTCAGACATACTATCAGCCTCCTCCTCTTAATGAGCAACCACTACCTGGCCAGCCCCCGGTGCCACCTCCAGCCGGCGAACGAAAGAATCCGGTGATGACCTTTTACGCTCCTCCCCAGAACAGATCTCTTGGGCTGAGACGAAGACTTTGTTCGGTTGTCTTGTGCTGTATCATCATTGGTCTTGTTGTTGGGCTTGCTTCAGGCTTGACACGTCGGTCATATAATTCTGGTCGGGGAAGATGTCAATGGTAAGAAAGGAAAGAGAAAATACAGTTGACAAAATATTTGTACAGACAAACAAAGGCATACCAAAATGGGCCTTTTCATTATTTTTTTAATTTTTTTTTGTATGTATATTTATAGTCGAGTAAATTCTGATTGTTATCAACGGTTTGGTAAGTTACATTGTGTGTTATATGGTGCCGTAAAATCAAAATTTGATCATGATCATGATCATTTTTTTTTTATTGTTATTTTCTTGGTTTGGTTTGGCTTATTTATATTTGTGACTTTAGGTCCAGGAGTCTATTGTCAGTCTAATTGCATGTGTGGGCGTTAAGAGAGACATCAAAAATCAACTAATAGTAATAGTAATAGTAATAGTAATAGTAATAGTATTAGGATCAAAAAAAAAAAAAAAAAAAAAAAGACAAAATACAAAAAACAAGCATAAATTAAACCTTCCATTGTAATATATATATATATATATATATAAGTCATTTTACAAACAATTGTCTATCAATATAATTGCTATTCATCTTCATCTTCTTCTCCTTCTCCTTTTTCTTTTACCTTTTTTGTATGTATTATTTCTTTAGTGTCATGATGATGCAAGCACCAATATACATAATAATAATCATCATCATCATCATCATCATCATCGTCATCACTTATATTTTAATATCCGCTGTGACAAACTATACATTATATATCTAGTGAAGTAATTTATTCTTTCTTCTTCTTTAAAAGAAAAAAGAATATATCGATATATAAGATAGGTAGATTCTCGACCTCTTCTCTCTCTCTCTTTTTTTGTAACACGTCTCTATTGTTCGTCTATATATGGATAATTGCGAGTACAAGAAATTGAAGAAGAGGAGAGAAAAGAGTGGCTCAGCAAACATATATTTTATTATAGTAATTAAGAGAAAGAGAGTAAAATGTCCCTTTATATATAATCTATATAATATAAATATATTTTAACCGATCGATCGATGTTATACATACATGGATTTTATGTGTAAAGAAAGAAAGAGAAAAATCCTCTGCCAAAATGAGCAACAATAAAAAAAAATTTCTATCCTTCTTGGTCCTTTCGTCATACTTTATAATGAATTCTATTGAATTCTACTGTGTTCACTGTACATCTTATTCTCATCCTTGATACTCTCAATTTTATATAAATAGAGCCAACTGAAATTCCCTTCCTTCCTTTTTATTTTATCTTTATTACTTTTTAATACAACCAATCAAATTAAAACAAAAAACTTCAATGCTCAACTTTTCTCATCAAACAATCCTGTCCCGCAGATTCTCTCGTAACCGACACTCGGCTTCCTCTTCTTCTTCTTCTTTACCGGTCTCTAGAGATTCAAAGGCCAAAGAACTCGAATCTCTTATATTCCAACACCCCGAACAGACCATCAAAATCACCTTGACTCCAAAATGGGCATCCTAATCAAAACGACATTTCACTTTATCTATGCCAACCTTGTACAAAAAACAAACACACAAATACTATCTTATTATGTAAATCTGTAAATATGTCTCTTATCCAAAACCTCTTATCTACACAACCTTACTCTCATTTTGTAAATATAAATACCCATCTATGTTTGTTTCTCTTCCAAAAAAAAAAGACAAGAATTGAATTGAATTGAATTGAATTGAATTTGATATCATGCTTTGTCTTATGTCATCTATTCACTCTAGCCACTCTAGCCACATTAATAATAAACTCATTACAATTGCCCCGCTTCTCCATAATTGGAATATTCACAACAGATACACAACAGCTTGTGTGTATTCATATATAACATTTACCTATCTACGATTCTTTCTATGTATATATCCGTGTGTAACATGTAACTACTGTCTTTTGTGATTATACAAGAGATTTATTTTTCTTTAAAAGTCAAAACTTTGGTAGATATCGGCAGCAGCTTACTTATAACACTTGACTATACTGTGTAACAAGACATCCCGAGACTTCTTAGGAACATGGATTTTGGCTTCCAAAAAGAAAAGCATGACATTTCTGGTTGCACAAAAAAAAGGGAGTTCTTTTCTTTGCCTTTTTGTTCTTTTTTCCCTGTGTGTAATTCACGTCAGAGAACAAACTCAGAATAAGACATATTATTATTATTATAATAAGAATAGTAGCAGCACTAACAAAGACCTTTACAGTCAATTAGATAAAATACACTACAATACAACCAATTAAATATTTTCAATTCACACACAAAATAATAATAATAATAATATTTATTACTGTTTACAAAAATTGAAACAAGGTCGATAGATTTATCAGATCTTTTTTTTTTCTTTTTTAAAAAAAAAAGATTGCTCACTTAATTTTACTCTAATTACTGTAAACTTTATATTATAAAATCTAAAAGTCATAGTTCAAATAACTTATTATGTATATATATATAATGGTATAACTGATAAATAAGATACCTTACACTATATTACACTACACTAGACACAGAGAGAGATAGGTAGATAGAGAAAAAGGCATTATACGTGACAGCTAGTCTATCTAAAGTGACGTCACGCTGCGTGCACTGCAACTTACTCTTTTCGTGTCAAGGCTTTACTTCTTTTTTTTTTTTTTGTAACTTGCTCGATTCATTTTAGATTCCTGCCTTGTTGGAAAAAAGAAGAAGAAGAAGAAGAAGAGAAATAACCTTTTTTTTTTCTCTTTTCTTTTATTTTCCTTCTTTTTATTATATAACTAATATATTTATAATTTCTTTTTAAAGAAAAAAAAAGCAAAGCAAAGCAAAGCAAAGCAAAGCAAAGCAAAGCAAAGCAAAGCAAAGAATATACACACATAAACTTTTTACTTTATTTTATTTGACATTTTATATTTTTTTTCTTTCTTTCTTAAAAAAGAAAGAAAAAAGAAGAGTGAATTTTATACATACATACATACATACATAAAATCTATCAATGGCCGGTCGACCTGATGAAGGCAGGTTATATGGCAGACCTGACGACGCTGAAATGCCAGATACCAATCCGTCGGATGAAGAGGGAGAACCAATAGGTTACGACCATGATGATAACGATGATGACGAAGAAGACGAAGAAGACGAAGAAGACGACGAAGAAGAAGCCAGAAAGGTGCACCATTCATCCATTCATCCATTAACATCATTTAATTAATCGATTGATTGATTGATTGATTGATTGATTAATGAATCGATTGATTAAGATTGATGATTGATTGATTATATTTTATTTTTTACTCATCTAAAAAGGTTTTTGCTTTTTTTAATATATATATATATATATAAAATGAAATGAATTATATATATAAAAGGTTGCAGAAGGATTCATCGTATCCGATGAAGAAGAAGATCAAGAATCAGACGATTCAGCAGAAGTCACCGTGAGACGCAAGAAAAGAAAGAAGGTGGAAGAATGTAGGTTGGCCTGTCATTCAGCAATTCACTTATTCTCAACTTGTTTTGTAGACGACGAAGAACTTGATGAAGAAGATCTCGATCTCTTGGAAGAAAACACAGGAATCAAACTAGCACGTTCAGCAGGAGTAAGGATTAATATATATATCTTTTTTTTTTTTAAAAAAAAAGAAAAAATTATCAATTGATTTGAAGTATTAACAATAACATTATTATTAAACCTTGTATCTATTTGATTTGGTTTGGGGTTTCATCGTTTCTCTCTCTATATTTTTTATAGCCAAAACTTAAGCGTCTTAAGCGAGGCCGTGAAGATCCTGTAGGGAGCTCACACGAAAAATCAGATAAATTCTTCTCGGACGATGAAGAGGTAGCCGTTTCTCGTGGCGCTGCTCGTCGTTACGATGAACCTGTAGACGATGGTTATGAAGAAGAACCCTACGACGATCGTGCCAGATACCACCGAAGAGACGCATATGATGACATGGGCGACTTTATTGCTGACGAAGACGAGGACGATGACTTGGACGAAGTTTTGGGTGACAGACACCGAGATGACCGAAACGCTCGATATTATGATGAAAATCGCGGAAGACGTGCAAAGGGAGGAAAGGCAATCATGGATATCCTACCAGAAGGATTAAGCGAAGAGTAAGAAAACACAGCACAATGGGAATTAGTTTATATGATTAACAAAGTGAATTTCAAGTGTTGTATCAGATATGTACGATATCTTTGGTGACGGTGGAGACTACGAGTGGGCACTGCATGATGATGAAGTAAGTAAAAACCACACATAATTAATTGGCTATAAAGAGAAAGAACAAGAGGAACAAGAAGATGATCTGTGTAAATATAGACATGTTAAATAATGTATTTCATGTACATTTTTAAACTACCATGTTATCATCCTATGCTATTCTTTTAACAAATGATTTAATTTGGACAAACCCATTTTAGCTCGTCAGCACAGACAAGGAGAGACGGGAACCTCAACTGTCAGATATTTTTGAGCCAAGTGAACTTGCAGAGCGCATGTTGACCGAGCAGGACGATGCCATTCGTACCCGTGACGTGCCAGAACGTCTCCAGATGCGTTTCGAAGGTCTGAAAAAGTCATTTGAAAAGGCAAGTATTGAGGAGGTTCGCGAAGAAAGTTCTTGGATTGCTCGCCAGATGTGTCGTGTACGAGGCTGGGACCAGCCTCCCGAGAAATTCCTAAAGTCCATCAATTTCATCGTCGAGTTCTTTAACCGCGAGTTTCTCGAAGTACCTCACATCAAAGACCACCGTCGCGATTTTTTCACCGAGATCGACAAGACAACCGGCATGACAACCGAAACCTTGACAACCGACGACCTGTGGGAGATCTACGACTACGACTACAAGTACCAGAGTTTCGCCGACAGACGCGATGCCCTCAAGGACTTTGTGGCCAAATGTCACCTGGACGACGAATACGTGTCCGAGTGGATCAACAAGATGGAGCGGGTCGAAGAAATCGCTGACATGACGGACTACATTAGTCTCAAGTTCAGCAACCGAATCAACGCAATGCACCAACAGTCAAAGGCTCCAAAACGCCCGACAAACAAGTCGCTTTATGAGATCAGTCTCCAGACAAGGATACCCGAATTTTTACCTTATTTCGGTATCACCGCACGCCAGTTTGGATCAAACTACATGGAAAACAACCGTCGCTACTACCCCGAAGACTCGCTCGGAAACCCCGAGATCGAAGCCGAAGCTTACATCAGCGGTAGCTTCATCGACCCTTACAGAGTCCTCAAGGCTACCAAAGACATCCTCGCCCAGGAAATCGCGTTCGATCCTCAGGTGCGCAAGGCCATGCGCCGGGATTGGGAAATCCGGGCTGTTGTCTCAGTCCAGCCAACCGACAAGGGCTTCACGGTCATCGATGAGCTGCACCCCATGCACCCATTCAAATACCTCCGTGAGAAGCCAATCTCGCATTTCGTGGACGGCCAGTTTCTGCAAATCCTCAAGGGCGAGGCTGATAATCTCCTGACCGTCAAGATTGACGTGGCTGGATACGATCAGTGGCTGAACCGCATCGCAGAGTTTTACATCTCTGATGGCTACAGTGACTCGGTCCAGCAGTGGAACGTGCAGCGCAAAGATGTGCTCGAGCTCGCGCTTCGGGACCACCTGGTTCCGTTGATGGACAAGTACGTGCGCGAAAAGTTGCGAATGGAAGCCCAGGAGTACCTCTGCAAGGCTGCATCCCGTAGTCTGCAGGCCAAGATCAACATCGGTCCCTTCCGTGGCCCTGACTCAGACCGCTACAAGAACGGCATTCCCCGTGTGGTCACGATATCATCCGGAAATGGCACGATGAAGGATCCTGTCATGGCCGTGTTCGTAAACCCACGCGGTAAGGTTGTGGATCAGATCCAGGTGCCCAACCTTCGCGAAGAGCGCCACTGGAAGGACATGATGGATTTCATCCGCAGTCGCAAGCCAAACGTCGTTGGTGTGGCAGGCTACAATGCCGAAACCCGTCGGTTGATCAAGCACATGCAGACCATGGTCAGTGAGATCAATCAGCAGCGCGACAGCATCACCGGCGCAACCGACCTTGTGGTCGTTGATGATGAAGCTGCCCGACTCTACAAGAACTCCAAGCGCGCCCAGGAAGAATTTGCAGATTTCCCAGAAGTCATGCGATACTGCATTGCGTTGGCTCGTCGTCTCCAGAACCCTGTTCTTGAGTATGTAGGTCTTGGCCGAGACTTGTTGGCCATCCCACACCACCAGCTCCAGCACCTTGTTCCCGAAGACCAGTTGTTCTTCTACCTTGAACGGGCACTCATTAATGTTGTGAATGATCTTGGTGTGGATCTCAATGCGGCCATCCACTCGCCTTATTTGGCAAATGCACTGCAGTACATTGCTGGCTTTGGTCCCCGTAAGGCACAGAGTATCCTAAAGAAGCTGGACAACAGCGGTGAATTGGAGAGCAGAACGGCACTTGTGTTGCGCAAGCTGACACCTGCAAATACATTTATGAATTCGGCAAGTTATCTGCGAATCCGCGATGTTGATGGCGCCGACATTCTCGACGACACCCGTATCCATCCTCAAGACTACGAGCTCGCACGCAAGATGGCAGGCGATGCGCTAGAAATTGATGAAGATGTGATGGAAAACTTTGACAACAAGGTGGCTATTGTGACCCGAGTGATCACCGAGTATCCCGACAAACTCAATGATCTTATCCTGGACGACTACGCAGTCGTGCTCCGTAAGCAGTATCACCAGCCAAAGCGTCAGATTCTCGAACACATCAAGCACGAGTTGCAGGGTCCGTACCACGACCGCCGCCAGCGCTACTCGCGACCAAGTATGGAAGAGACGTTTATCATGGTGACCGGAGAGACAAAGCAGGTTCTGAGCGAAGGATTTATCGTGCCTGCCACAATCACATCTGTGCGCGGCAAGATCGCAAACTGTGTGCTTGGGTCTGGTCTGGAGGGCATGATCTACGTTGACAATGCCTCGGACGACCGGGTGATGAACATCGGAGACGTGCTCCAGCCCGGCGAGACGATCAACTGCAAAGTGCTGCGAATCGATCGCGAAAAATTCCTTGTCGATTTGTCAGCCAAGGCATCAGACACCAAACCCAACAGTGATTTCCCATTACGAAAGCTTCCCGATGACAAATATTATGACCGAGTGGCCGAAGCCATGGCAACCGACAAGCGCAAGGCCAACCGCCGTAAGCAGGCCAAGAGCACGCGTGTGATCAACCACCCGCTGTTTAGACCATTTAACCATCGCCAGGCAGAGGTTTATCTGCAGGACCGCCAGCGCGGTGATCTAGTTATCCGGCCATCTTCGCGTGGCTATGATCACATCGCAGTAACATGGAAGGTCGACGAGGGAATCTACCAACACGTCGATGTGCTCGAACTCAAGCAGAGCAACGAGTACGGCTCTGGATCAAAGCTGCAGATCGAAGACACAGTGTTTGAGGATCTCGATGAGCTGATCGTGACATACGTCGAGGCTGTGGCCCGTAAAGTAGAAGAGCTGATGGCACACAGTAAATATCAGGCAGGCGGTATTGAGGCTCTTGAAGAGCGCCTGGCTGCCACCACACGTGCCAACCCAAAGATGTCTGCATATGGCTTCTGTTTGAGCGAAAAGGCCGGTTACTTTGACCTTGGGTTCAAATTCAACGCCAATTCACCTATGATGCGCTGGGTAATCAAGGTCTTACCGGACGGTTACCGTCTCAGAGACACCGCGCATCCATCTGTTGATGATCTTATCAATGGTTTCAAAAGAAGACAAGCAGCCGAAGCAAGTCGACGTCGCCCACATCCCCATTCTCATCCTCGCTACCCACCAATCAAAAAATGAATCAATGAATCAATAAACCAAATACATAAATAAAGAAGTAAATAAAGGAATAAAAGCGTTTCTCTTTATTTATTTTTTATTATTTTTTTAAAAAAAAAGGATATTAGTAAAATCTGCCCTCCCCTGTATATTCTTTATTAACCTCTGCAATTAGTTAAAGATCGCAAACATCAACCGTACAGCCTTTCATTAACCTGGACCTTTAATTGTCTTTCACACACAATATATATTGCGTGTTGGCTTATAAACATAAACAAACATCTATTTGAAATATCAATGGGACTAGTACCACAAAATAACATAAAATAATACAAATTAATTATGTATGTATTTATATATATATATAAACAAAAATTGCCCTTTTATTATTTTTCTTCTTCTTTTCTTGATAATGAAGTTACAATAATATCATCCTCTTCCTATAAGTGATGATCTTTTTCTTTCTTTCTTCCTGTCTTGTTTTGTTCTTATTTCTATCTAACTTATCCAACCCATCGATGACCACATTCTTGACTGCCACACACGTAAAAGAGAGTCATCTTTGCTTCTGCGCGTCTGGATGAAGACTGGAAAAACACAGCTTCAGGATGATTGCACTGAGGGCAAGTGACATTGGCACGGGGCTATCAATGGTAACCGTGTTAATTCAATATCAATATTACTTTTATATATGTGTGTATAGGATTTTTTTTTTAAAAAAAAAGAGAGGTTATTGAGAGTAAGAATTACACGTACAAGAGTGGGATCTGTGGCAAGATCAGTCAACATCATAGTCTGTTCACTAAAATAATAATGATAATCGCATGTATGTGTGTATGGATGTTAGCAATCGTGATTTGTATCTTTTTGTAGATCTTTCTTTCTTTTTTTTTTTTGGAACATATATTTTACGAAGGAGTGTGGATGATCTTGTGGCTGTAGACACACATGTTGTCTGCATCTTCTTCATATTGACAGTTACGGCAGGAAAACATAAGACGACGGCTGGACTTGTCTTCTCTGGGATAGAGCAAGTTATTGCTACGCAAACACATCAACCATCATCTTCTTCCAGGTTTACTGCTTTTATTATATTTTGATTTATCTTTTTATTGCATTGCATTGCATTGCGTTGAATTACAGTAGCATACCATTCCAAACAGTATTTAAAGCTAGCCATTAGAAAGAAATGTAATAATTAATAAATATTATTATTATTTTTATTATTATTATTATTTAATTTATCTATATGTGTGTGTGTGTAAGTAAGGGAGTGAGAGTATTATATATTATATATATTTTATAATACATTATAAAAAATATGTATATATATAAAAAATTAAAAAATTAAAAAATTAAAAAATTAAAAATTAAAAAAAAGTCAATTCAGATTCGACTCAAATTTGGTTTGACTAATCCCAGTTTCTTTACTCTTTATATATAAATAATGCTATTGCAATTTTGAAAGGAAGAAAAATAAATTAAAAGGGGAAAATAGCTAAAAGGCATAACATGTTGAACAAAGTCACAGAATCCAATTATTCTTCATTTTATTTTATTTTATTTTACTTTACTTTACTTTACTCTACTTTAGTGGCTTTGATGCCTTTACAAAGACGGGTTGTACCCATGCATGATTAGCCAAAAGGCCAAAGAAGAACACAGAGACCTTGATAAAGATTCTATTTTCTAGATTGGTACTAATCTCATTTGCACCCAAAACCTTTTGGTGATATTCCATTGCCTTTGCAAATCCACCGAAAATACATTTACGATCGACAGGTTCAACAGCCACATCTACGTATCCCATTTCTACCAGCTTCTCTTTGTAGATCTCCGCAGACACTGCATTCTCTAGAGGAATCTCGACCGCCTTGCAGATCAAATTGAGGACCTGGCATTTCAAAGGCGTCATTGATTCCAACAGTAAAGGATCTAATGTGAGGTCATAGAGCGACAAAGTACCGCCTGGCACGAGACGTTCGAAACTGTCCCTGATAAAACGCCAGCGGGTGTTATAGTGATATGCAGAATCGATCGAAACAATAGATTCAAACATGTCTTCGTCTTTTAGACAGCGGCTGAGTTGGTCTGCTGAACCATGGACTAGAGACACCCGATTCTCAAGACTTTTGTAATCGAGTGACAGTCGACGTTGAGATAGTTTCCATTGACTGGCTTCATTCGTAATTCCCTATAACCACAAAATAAAGAAGAAGAAGAAAAAGGTAAAATTAGGGATAAGAACAGTGTTCATTTCTAAATATATATATATATATATATATATATGGATTGGTGGGAAATATTGTGGATTAAATTTGATCAAGTTATCGGAGAGGGTTGGGGTCACCTTACAGTTACAGTGCATTTTTCATTTCCTGTGATAAACAAGTTTCGTTTTATCGTACAAGTTAGTGTGGTGTAATAGATACGTAGATGTATACGATTATTCTCATGATATATTTAATAAAATCTTACTTGCTAAAAGAAAGCATGAGTCGCCACAGCCATATCCTACATCTATTAGAATTAGAATTAGAATTAGAATTAGAATTAAAATTATGGTTAGAATGTAATGTAAATGTAATTTAATGTAACATATAATATAATAGAGCAAAAGATGCGAACCGATACTAGAGCCGAAATTTAAGAGCGATTCTCTCTTTTTAAATAATAATAATAGTAATTAAATGGTAAAGCTTAAAGAAATATATGATATTATGATATATACCCAATATCCTTTTCTCTGTATTGGGGGGAATATTTTCTGTTGCCTTTGTCACCAATCGTTCGCAAGCATCTTTGTACGAAATCTTATCATCATCCCACAATCCCATATTGAGCCAAAAGGTCTTTGGAGGAATATCAAGATTAAATAACAAATGGTGTAGACCATAGATTTCGCCCTTGTTCCGTTCTTTTTGAGGGGAAGGGAATTGAAACAACATACTGGACAACAAATACGCCAGACCAAGAGCATGGCAGTACAATAGACACCCTATCCAAGGTGTGTAATTGTACCATAGAAGGACAGGTAGGACTACAATGTAAGAAATGATACCAAGAAAAGACATTTTGTTCAAAGTTGTACAAGAAAGAAAAGAAGAAAAACGGGTGTGATTCCCGGGATCTTTTTTATTGGTTTGTACAGACCCACCATCAGAAAGATATATATAACATAAAATAATAAAATTTCATTGAAGTACGTCACCCAATAAAAACCATCCATCCCACTCAAAACTGAATTTTTGTACACTTTTTTTTATTTCTCCTCTTTCTTATTTTATTTTATTTTATTTTATTTTATATATATTTTGTACAGCTTATTATTAATAATATAAGCAACCTTACTTTATCTATTTATTTTTCATTCTCATTTTTATTTTTCTCTCATTAAAATCATGGCTCTTCCCAGACGCATCGTTAAAGTAAGCCTGCTTAACTTTATATACAAAGAAATCCAATAACAAGACAAGTTACAACAGAGTCTAAAAGGTCTTCTTCTCTACCTCTCCATATTTTCTTTCCAATGTTTCTTTTTAGGAAACTGAACGCCTTTTGGCTGATCCTGCACCAGAAATTAGCGCAACCCCTCATGATGACAATCTGCGTTATTTTGATGTAATCATCGCCGGTCCTACTCAATCTCCTTTTGAAGGTAACAAAATAAATCAATCAATCAAATAGGCGCAGTATGTATGTATGTATAACATTACTAATTCATCCTCATTTCTCGCTCTCTTTGTGTGTCTATGTATGTATTATACTCTCAGGTGGTGTTTTCCGATTGGAGCTTTATCTTCCTGAGGATTACCCAATGGCACCTCCCAAGGTCCGCTTCTTGACCAAGATTTACCATCCTAACATTGATAAGCTTGGTAGAATCTGTCTTGACATCCTTAAAGGTTAGTAGTCTGTGGTCAAACTATTTCGTGTGTTTGGGTTTGGGTTTTCGTGTGTGTGTGTGTGTGTGTGTGTGTGTGTTTTTTATTCTTATCCTTTATTTTGTACTAACAAATTATCTTTTTTTTTCTTTTCCTTTTTATATAGACAAATGGTCTCCTGCTCTCCAGATTCGTACCGTACTCTTGTCTATACAGGCACTTTTGTCTGCACCCAACCCTGATGATCCTCTTGCCAACGATGTTGCTCAACACTGGAAGGAAAATGAAAAGGATGCTATTTCAACAGGTAATACAACATTTTCGTTAATGAAATTGTTTAATTTTATGTCAGTGCGTTAGTGCGTTAGTGTGTCTTCTTTAGTATGCAATCATTATGTATGTATGTGTGTATCATTCTAACAAATGCTATCTACTTTTGATTTTGAATTTAGCTCATGAATGGACTAGAATGTATGCTCAGAAATAAAGAAACTATTATATAATATTATCTCCTTTACATCAAAGAAGAACAACACACACACACACACATATATATATATATATTATGCATTTTCCAGCCTCGAGAGATAAAGAAAATGAATGAATTAACAATTGATTGAATGAATGAATTAAAAGAAAACGAAGAATTTAATGGATCTTTAACCATGGGATACTTCTCCAAACCTCAACAATGGAATCACCCTTTTCTTTTCTTTTAAAAAAAGATCAACTATTAGTGTTATCTTTCATTTCATTACCGAAATACATTTATTAGCATCGAGTTATTCGGCAGAGAAGATTATGAAGAAGAAAGCTAAAAGAACCACCGATATATCTAATAATGTAATAAAATTGAGACTATATAATTCGTTCATTCATACATAAAAATAAAGGAAATGAAACAAGAAGCAAAGGACTCGCTATGTCCTGTCATCAAATAAAAAGATCCAAATTTATAGTTTGGGGTGGACAGCTCAAAACGATCAAAAATTAGTTGAGCCAATCAAATTAGACTTTATTTGACATACCAATTTGTTTAAGATATGTTTCATAACAGCTAAAACCATATTCAAGGCTGCAATTGATAGCTTTTTTAAATAATAATAATGCTAAACAAATATAAATTATGGTACGCCTTTTTGCTCAAATAATAAATAAATAAGAAAAAAGAGTAATTGACAGTTATTATAGCTGTATTGATACTACCTTTTAATAAGACTATATATACACTCTTTCCGAAAATTATTGGCGCAAAAAGAGTTGCGAAAAGGGATCTTTTTTTTTATACACTTTGGTACATTCAATCTCTGTACCACTAATTTCTGGGAATACTGTAGATACATAGAAAGGGAAATTATGTATAGTAACATATACTGCCTATCTATTAAGAGTAAATGTGCTTAATCCGTAAAAGAGTCTTTGTTAAAAATAGTTTATTTTGAAGAATAAAAAAGGAATAAATAAACAAAAAAGTACGGATTGGCCAATTGAAGCTCTGAATTTACTTTGATTTACAATAGTAATGTACTTCTCCAGAGTTTAATCTTTGATTAATATTAAGCATTATATCAGAAATCAAAAAAGAAGAATGCATTTAAAAATAATAAAAATAAAGATGGTGTACTTTATTATAGAGGTGTAGACAGATAAATTGAACTTTTAATCCATAACAAACATGTCAAATCTGTATACAGTAAATCCCCAGATATTATTGAATTATAGTCTTCCAACACCATGAAAGTTCTAGTGAAGTATATAGAACTAGTATGAAACTCACAATATCCAAATATCTAACCTTGAATATTAGATATCGTTGATTTTCTTATTTTCATATGAATATCCATTTCCCTTTTGGACTTATTTCTGGCAGGTATTTAAATACACTATATATAACAAATGCTAGATATCTGCTATATTATAAGATACGTAACTAAGCCTGTTGAAACCTCCGGATGGGATCCACTTCATTAGATATTCACTATGTACGTGTACTTTTAAAAGAAGTTTTTAGTTAAAGGCTAATAATATTAATATATATATATACTGTCATGATTGTTGTTGTTGTTTGTTAAAATATACAAGGCAGTAAAAAGACGTTCGAAACATAAAATTAGAAAAATCAGCGATCCCAATTGTGAATTTTTGCATGAATATAGACGGTGTTTAACACTTCTTCTAGGTCTTTCCCTTTTTTTTTTTTAAAAAAAAAAGAGAGATTTGGGGCTCAATTTCTCTCCAGACTTCTCATCATCATCTTTGGATGAACTTATTTTGGGTATTTCTCACTTCATTTTATCCATGTCACAAAAAAAACCAATGGTCCAATAGATATTTGCGTAAGCATTGGTTGCACCCTCGGCACTTCACATGAGATGATCATTTCCAGAAGGTTCTTTTTTATATGTTACCTTTAACCCAAGATGTGAAGCTACCTTGACTATACTCAACTTCTGAAGAGTCAAAAACAAGCTTGGCTCTATCCCACTTTTTGTTTGTTTGTTTATTAGCTGGTTGGTTGGTTGGTTATTTGTTTGATCGTTTGTTTAGCCGTACACTCAAATGATTTCTGGCTTTAATGAAAGCAACCAAAAGATGTATTCAAATAAATGGTTTTAACAAAATATATATCTTCGCTGTACATCTACTTCTATACAGCTCTTCTTGACTATTTTTTTTACATGATCATCCTATTAGTTACTCGCTTCTTCTATCTCACTGACACAGGTACATGCAAAGGAAAAACAAAACACACTCTTTGATGAAATTTACGTTGGAACATAAAACTTGCCTTTCATAAATGTAGATTGTTCCATTACTTAAGTGTAGTAATGTTTGAGTTATGTGCCGTCCTGAAAGGAACGATTGTTTATTAAACAAATAAGACATATATCAACATCTGCTTAGTATCAGTAACAATGGAGGTTCTTTCTATTTGAAAAACGAACAAACAAACAAAAGAAGAGAAAGATGAGGAGGAGGTGGCTAATATGATTTAAGTGAGTAGTCGTAGAATAGTAATAAAAGGTAGAGATAGATAAAGAGAAAGTCCTTTGTTATTTGAAGAATTCTTCTTGATCTATATGAGCATGGTAACGCTTGGGATATATACCTTATATTATACTACCTGAGAGATAAAAGCTTGATGTTAGTCGATGAAAATGAGAAAAATAAAAGTAGAAATAGCAGAAGAAGAATAGTAAAAAAGCAAATTCTGATGTGCAAAAATCGGTCAGTGATCGGACAAGGGTTACTGCAGAATCTCCATAAAGTTCACTTTCTCTTTGCATACATTTTTGTTTTATTTTTGGAAGAAGAAGAAAAATGAAACTTTTACACAAGGGCGATCAGTCATTTGACCTTGCGTCATAATATATTCTACTTAATTGCTAGCAGCTTCTTTAACTTCCAGAAAAAAAAGAAAAAAAAACAGTGTATACTTTTTGATATTTGATCTTTTTTTAATGAGAAATAAAATGAAGGAAATGTAGCAAAAAAAAGGGTTATGGTGCCTTGGTCTTCTTTTCTCTTTATCGAATAAAGACAAAAGACTAGAATTAAATGAATTTCTAGATCTTGTGAAGTTGAGGACACATAGCAGCAAATACATATTTCAAAGCAGCAAGGACATGTCATACTTTCTCTCACCCAACTCAACCTTGACGTCTTTCTGTAAAGCCAGCCACGGTGGTTGAAGATAAGGACGAGTTTATCATATAAGACAATAGTCATAGAACAAGCATTATAGACTAGGCTCAAAAAGTCGATTCCTTATCTTTTAACAGCTCTCTGGGGGTAATGAGGAGCAAGCTGGATCAATATTACGACTGTCCTGACATCCAATAGAACATCAATTACTATTCAAAATATTTGGTTTCACCTTAAGGAACACACGGTTCGTAGTTTTAAAGTGCCTCGCGTATGTCTTTACTTCTCTCCCTCTCTTTTTGAGGCTTATCAGATCCATATTTTAGAGCTTCTTATACTATGCCATTTGTTTATATTATTGAATATACACAGAAAACTCCTACCAAGAAAACTCCACATGTCTCAGATCGTCAATACATGATGATCTTCATGTACAATCTTGAATGCAAGGGTTTACTCATAAACTCAGGCAAGCTGAAAATAAAGAAGAGGGAAAAAAGAGAAGAAAAAAAAGAGAAAAGGATCGGGCGATCAGCATCGGCATCGGCAGCTCTCGGCCAAACTCAATAAAATAAAAGACCTTATCATCAAAAGCAAAAGGTTTTAATAAGCCTGAAAGTATTTAATGGTTACTTTTTTCTTGATGAACTATAGGTAAACGAATTAATTGACGCGTATTGAGGCCTATAAACTTGCTTTATAAGAAGTGAGAATATCTGTTCTATTGTTTTCAATGATTGGCCCAGTTATAACAAAGCATACCTATACATACACATATCCACACATTTCTTTTTTTGGTTTGGACATAGCGTCATCGATCCTCTCTTTTTTACGGCAAAAATGAGGCAAGTTTTGGCCATCACCATTATTTTTAAAGAAAAAAAAAGCCTATACAAACACGATTTTACTTGAAGAGTCTTCAAGAGATAGCAAACCCGTACAAAGTAAAGCTTCTCGTGTTTGTGCCATGTACGTCCTGAGAACCGTACTGGAAATAATTAATATTGAGAGCTGCGTGTGTAAATATTCTATTATAAACCGTCTAGTTTATTTTATTTTTACACAGATGAGCACATATGTCGGCTTTTTTCTTCTTTTGGGGAGAGGGCATAATGGTCGAGATGTTCTTCAGCCTACTCCCATCTTCTGGCTTGGCTATTCACAGAATCTATTGTTCCCGGGCTCATGTATCAATCTATAATATTTCTATATTTCCATACTATTACTAATATTAGTTTAGTAATATGGGCTTGTTGTTGTTATTGTTGTGATTGCGGTGGCTGTGGTTGTGGGGTGATTCTGTATTAACCAATGTTTTCTTATTCTTATTCTTATCCCTTTGCTTACAGATGTATACTATCAAGCATGAGGGATCTATAATTGGAAAGGTCTTGTGATGATTAAAAGCGAACGACGTATTTTTTTTATGATATCACACTTGTAAATATGATCTATAAAGATAACAGAGTATTTGATCGATAGTTATTATAGCAATTATGTTACAATTGATTAGAGCTGGATAGTCTCTTTCTATATATCTTTTTCTATTTATTTATTTTTTTAGATAATGTGGTATTGATGAATAAATCATCTCAATATAATCAAACGATCATACCTAGATTTTATCATTTAATAAAGGTTTCTTTTCGTTAAAAAGTAGTAGAATATAATCACCTATTACTTTAGTACCTCTTTAGCAATCAATCGCTTTAAATCGCACCAAAAAAAATATACCTGAATAAAGCCTAAACCTTACCTTACCTCTTCTATCTTCTTCTTCTTTTCTCTTACTCTCTCTCTCTCTTGCTCTTTTGTTTTCTCGGATATTTTTATGCTTGAACATTTAACCTTTCTTTTGTTGATGTAACCAGGGTCTAGGATACAACTAGAGGCGCCGTTATTTTCATATTGTTTTTTTTTGGCTGCATGAATTTTGTGGTATTTTTAATTTTCTTGAATATTGGTAATAAAATAATAAAATGTCTATATATAAAAAAAATTAAAAGAATTGAAAAAGAATAATTGTAGGAGTTGTACGTGGTTTTAATTTTACACGTTCCGCCAAAGAGCGGTCATATGCTCGTTCAAGTGAAACCAAAGCCAATCGACATAGCCAACAAAGGATTTGCATACATGAATTTCGAGGTTTTTATTTTTCTTTTCGTTTTTTACTGTACAGATATATGTATTTTCCTCTATAGAATTGAATTGAACAGCCGTAAAGGATTTTGTATAAAAGGCCAATGTAAAAATCGATCCAATTCTCTTCTTCTTTCTGTATTTACTACTACTCTCTATTTTTTTATACTTCTTCACCTCGAAAATATACATACTTATATTTATATTTATCAACTGCAACTTTTATCTTATCCGACGAATTTGTAAAAACACTCCAAGTTTTACAAATTAATTACGAAAGCACGAAAAAAGCAAGCCAGACGAAGTCCAAAAAAATACAACAGTAAACGAAAGTAAATTCAGTCACCAAAAACACTTGTTTTGATTATTCTATCCAAGGTAACACATCAATTTGTTTTTTAAAAAAAAACAACCGTGCATATTTTGTTTCTTATACAAAAAAATAATCTGACACATTTCTTCGCTTTTAGATCTTCATTACTCCCCTCTATACTATATATACACTTAATTTCTTCATTTGTTTAATTTGTTCCGAAATGACCTACAATTCCAAGCGCTGTAAGTTTCTCTTTCATATATTTCACTTAATTTTTTGTCTCTGATTAATTATTTGATTTACATTTTTTTAATTTATTTTATTTTATTTTTTATTTTATACAGACAATCCTTACGGCTTTGCTGGAGGAAACAATGTGTCCAACAGAACCCCAAAGGTCACAGACCCAAGACTCGAGACAGTCTCTTACGAAGCTGAGAGACAGAGCACCCAGAGTCTGTCCCCAGTCAACACCGAGAGCCCTCAGCCCATCGACAACGCGTACTTGATCTATTCTCAAGACTTCAAGAACGAAGGATCGGATAGCAACGCAAGTCCCAAGTCCGAAGGCGATATGAGCCACGGTTCAAACACCACTACTAACAGTAGTTCGTCCGAGAGCGCAAACGCAAACGCTGCCCAGCCCGGTCCAAACGGCCATCAGTATTTGCAGCCTGCCATCTCTGTTGATCCCAATGCCACCATTGATCCAGTTCCTCAGGAAGCTTTTGTTTCTCAGATTCCATCTCAGAACATGTCTCCCCAGGTGAATGTTCCCCAAGTGAACAACGGTCCTCAGTTGGACAACGGTCCTCAGTTGGACAACGGTCCTCAGTTGAACAGCGGTCCTCAGTTGAGCAACGGCTCTCAAGTCAGTGGTCCAGACTACCAGCCTACTCAGTTCAACAGCCCTCAGCTTGCCGACCAGAGTAACACCCCGGAATATGTTCCCCAGGTTCCTGTTCAACCTACTGTCCAACAGGCCAGAGAGGGTTACACGAGTTCGATTTATGCAGTCAATTCTCAGCTCACCGCAGCTCAGCTCCATACTCCTCCTGTTCCTGCTCTCGCTCCCCTTGCGCCCAATGGTAGATTCCAGCAAAGCAATCTTGCTCAAAGACGCCAAGCTGGAAATCAAGTCAACCACCCAGGTTTTACCTATGGTCAAGCTCCACCTTTTGTAAGCATTTCTAACTATATATATTTAAAAAAATGTTTACGAATTAAACATATTTACTAATCAGTTTTATTTTATTTCATTTTTGAAAATAATAATAGGCTGTTGCACCTCAACCAGGTTCCTTCTATGAAGCCACTCCTCGCCCCATAGTTGGTCAAGAACCTACCGCAATGGCAGCCAATATATCGGCTTCGGTTTCGCAAACCAATGCCTATGTGAATGACACCCGTCAGCTCGTTCAGCAAATTAGTCCCCACCCAGGCAATCCATACGGTCTTCCACCTTTCGGCATTAACGCCCCTGTTCAACATACGAGTCATATAAACATGGCTTACCAAAGAGTCCAATCGCAACAGGCTGCTCAACAGGCCGTCTATCAACTTGGTCCACATGGACAGTTCAATCAGCCTACTCAGAACATGGCTCAAGGCTGTAAGTTCGATGCTTATATATATATATATACTTATATATTTTTACTGACTTTTTTTTTGTAAATTTCACAGTTAACCATCCGGTTCAACAGCCTATGCCCAACTCTGGCTATAATCCGGTGCCTACGAACTTTGCCAATCCTTATGGAAGCGCTGCCTACGAGAGCACCGAACTTCAAGTCCAAAATGGAGTTCCAGCACAAGGCCAAGGCCAAATTGGTGCGCCACGCAATGAACGATTCGTTGTTTCTACTGTCTCAGGACCCCCCGAAGGTGAGGCCCCACCCGATCAAGCCCAAGTATCTGAAGGTCCTCTACTGCCTAACCTTGTCTCGCGTCCAACCTTGACAATTGTAGGAGACCTCGGAGGCATGGTCAATGGTTGGAGTCCTGATGAAGTCGCAAGCGGCAGAAGACTGGTCCAGTTCCACAGTGTATGGACAAACAGTACAGTCAGATGCGTCGTAGAACGTTACCACTCTGGTTCTTCTACTATCCATCCCAACGATGTGACCCGCTCCATTGCTTCTTGCATTCGCTGGCCTGGAACCAACAAGTACTACATCACTTCTGTTGACTGCATCAACATAATCCAGAGCATCATGAATATCAGACTTCAAGTTGAAGAAAAGAACCGAGTCCGCCGCAACTTGGAAGGATACAAGCCTATCACTGTCAGCAAGTGCCACCCCGAGACTGCCGATTTCTTCAAGCTCATCATGGGTTTCCAAAACCCAAAGCCTCGCAACATTGAAAAAGACATCAAGGTCTTTCCCTGGGAAACTCTCGAAGATGCCTTGCAAAAGGTTGTAATCAAGTATACCGCCGCAAGATTCGTAAACAGAAACGCACCTCAATAGGCTATACTTTATTAAACAACCAATTACATAATTTCTTGATCTTCTTTTTGCCCTGCCTGTCTTACTTGTTGCCCACTCCACTCCTTTTAATCTACTATACTTTACTTTATTTTATTACGCCTTAATTCTTGCTCACTTTACCACCCTCGTATATATGTACATGTATTACTCTTCTTCTTTAATAATCATAAACGATTTATGAAATAAAACAGCAACCCTGTATTAAAAAATATAAAAAATATATAAAAAATAAAAATAAAAAAAAATAAAACCAAACTTTCGAGACTTTTATTTTGTAAAAATAAACTTTAAAGTTTAATTCACTTTTTTTTTTCTCTTTTTATTCTTCTCTATTTCTCTTTATTTACCTTTCTATTGCCATTTCTTGAAGATTTTATAAGTCAAGACACACTAGAATAATTTTTCTTAAAATGGCTCTAATCCATAGTATAATAAATTAAATGTAAATGATATGTTTCCATGTAAATAAAATGTATATACGACTGCCTTTGTTTGATTATATATTACTTGTAAAGTTTTCGATAGAAAGTCCATACTTCTATATATATGTATATATATATATATATATTTAAGAAATAAAGCATACATCTTGATAATCTTAAGAATACTAGGAAAATAATTTTCCGGGAGTATGATCATGTTCACTCAAGAAGTTCCTTATAAGTAAGTCAAATAAGTCATATTAAAAACGAGAATTGAAAGATTAAGAAGAAGAACAAAAGATTTATATATATATTTTGGCTATTATTGAGTTATCAAAGGACGTAAATTGCCATTGTCTCATATATAACAAATAAAATCCAGAATAGTAAGATTGCAAACTCCTGTACTATTCCAGAAATAAAGACTGAACAGTAACGTGATTTTCTAGGCGTATTGTAAGACAAAGCAGGAAAATATCAAGTTACTATTTTTTTTTGGAAAACATACTGTACATATAATATGTACATATAATAAACCCAAAAAAAAAGAACCAGATAATTTACGGTGTCAGTCAGCCAAAGTAGTAGCTTGTGCTTATAAAAGAATAACAGGTTTTTCTTGCTTTACCAAATGAATAACAAATAACAAGTAGCAGACATGGATACCTTGAAGGTAGTTTGTGTAGTATGTACAGTGTTTCGATTATCTACATAAATGATCCCAGAACCAGCTTGTTTTTAAAGCTATTTCATATACCCTGTGATTCAGGATACATGCTCCCTGAGGATCTTGTGGAATACATATTCAAATCTACCTGTAGTATTAAAATAAACTAGACTTGTCATCTATGTACTTGAATAAATACATTATGTACATTAATTTTAATTCAATGTATATGTGTATGTATATGTAAGGTTATATTATTATAATGTAGGATACACTACTTTATTGCATGCTCTTGTATGTATGTGTATATATAAAAACCTTTCCGTATAATTTAATATGATAAACAAATTTATCAATGTATTGGACCTTTGAAATGATATGGTTGATTTGATACGGTACAGTTACAGGTTACCCGGATTGAATGTAACTCAGAATCATCGCATAAAAAAAAAGTGTGTATGCGTAAATGAGTATAATTTAAACTAATTTTACTGACCACTCAGTGTGAAAATAAAACTCCTACTATGATCCCATCGTATCCGGGCAGGACTGGCAGACATAATTTTACCTGATCTAAAAGAATTTTTCTCCTTGTAATCGGAAAGGGCCATATTTCTTAAACGTAGTAATATTATGAAACTTCTTTCTTTTTTTAAAAAATTATATATTAACTACTTTACCATTACTACAAATCTTAAATCAATAAAATGGTTCTCTTGCCATTTCTATTGTCTTATTGCACACAGCCTATAGTTTACTAATATAAATACACATGTATTCTCCCTCCTTCCCTCTTTCTCTCTCTCTTTCGATGCCGCGGGATAATACACGCCGCCTAAAATTATACTGACCTGTCAAAAACTATAAATCTTTTTATTTTTCTTTTCTATTCTTTTTGTCCATTTTAGTCTAGAGGTTAAATCGAAGAACTCTAGAACTGATAGCATAATATTAATTTGTAAGGTTAGGTTTTTGACACTGATAAAAGGTATTAAAATATGGCTTAGCTTTAACAATTGGTGTATGAAGCTGTAGCCAGAATACAACATAATCAATAATAAAGTTTAAATTATTAAAGCAAAAACAACAACAACAATAGCTCTAAAAAGAAAAGAAAAAAGAATATACATATTCAAGTAGGATATATATACATATAATAGTGATTTAATGATCTATCTAATAAACACAGATACTCACGGAAATTTTTGCCATTCAAAATCCAAGGACCCTGTGGGATGAACTAGAGTTGCAAAATTTTCTCTTGTATATACACACATGAAAGAATCAAAAGATTATTAAGCTAGCCAACCTTTTGGTTTAATCCCAATCGAAAATTATATAACACATATTAAATAACGTTTTTGATATTATACATATATTTTCTTATTTTATCATTTTGTGCGCATAAATTATTTTTCAATATCTTTACGATGTCTAGGAATGGCTTCAAAGAGCATTAAAGGTTAAAATAGTAAAAGTGACATTTAGGTCTGCAAGATAAGTAATCCAAAATAGAATTCAGTGTGTTTGTACACCTAATATTCTGAACAGTGCGGTAATATGTGTAACATTAACAAAACCTACGCCTTTTACCAGGTGTGCGTATGTGCGTTGTAGCAGTGTACTATAATCCGTTCGTAAAGGTTCCTTGTAGCCACTTTATAATGGTATAAAGAAATACTAGTATATCAAGTCTACTATTATTCACTAATTGTTTTTTAACATATATATATTCGATTGTACCTAAAAGCTGGTTGTAATGTATAGCCATTTTTTTATCGCTTTAATTACCAGCCCTGGGTTTGTATATAAATCTTTGTTGGTATTGTTGTACTCTTATTTGAAGGTTTCTAAACCAGGATTGTTAAGAAACCAAAGGTATTCACTGAAATATACAACACTTTTCGTAGTTTCTAGAGTGGATATCTTACTGCTGTCCTAAATTTCTGCCACATTATACAAAAATCACACGCTACAAGAGGCATATTTTCCAGTCTTTTTAAAGCATCCTTCCCTTCAGACCTTCCAGTAATTCTAGCTACTCCACACAAGTTGACCCTCAAAAAAAGAAGAAGAAAAAGCAAGAAAAGAAACCACTCTCCCCTTTCTATTCATTCATTTATTTATTTGATTGATTGATTGTTAATTACATTATTTCTTGTATTGGTTTTTGATTTGTCTTTGGTGCGAACCCAATCGAATTATATTTAACAAATATAATTTTGTGAAAATACACAAAGATGCATTATGAATCTAGGTGATACTATACTACTTTGTTTGAATAGATCAGCTTTGTGCGGCACCTAGCATATTTTCTAAATCGTCTTGTCTCTCTATAAATTTTAAACAAATTATACAAAAAGAATTCGTTGATCGTTATGCTTATGTTCATGTACAAAATTCAATCTCTTTTTTTTAAAAAAAAAATTACTTTTTGCGGCAGACTGAACTGCTTTTTTATCATCGGCAAGGAAGAATATGTTCGATGATGGGACATGACGCTCATACAGAGCCTGTAATTCAACATAAATCAATATATATATATATATATATATATGTGATTGTATTTAGATTTGTAGTAATAATCTAAGGATTTTTAATTTATTTTTTACCGCTGATGATCTTAAGCCTTTCAATTCAGAATTCAACACCTTGGCTGCTCTGAGCTGTTTAAATGAAATGAAGTTCAGGTCATTTGATCATTCAATTGACTGAATCTATCTACCTCATTTTCCAAGTAAGTTTTGGTTGACATAATATATATAGTGTTTGTTTGGTTTACAGAGAAAGCAACAGTGACTGTCCGTCACTCACAAAAGAATATATATATATATATATATGTAAAGAGACTACTATAGATCTGTGTAATGACATTCTTATTTGAAAAAAAAAAACTATACCAGAAACTAAATCATCAAAAATATTAACACTATAAAAAACCCCCCACACTCCATATAAAACCCAAATAAAATCATAGTATCATATCACTTGATTATTTCCTTTGTCCCTTAGATTTTTATATATTTGTTCCGTCCACTTTATTGACTTTAAGCTTAGGGGGCAAAGCTGTTAATGAAAAAAAATGAACAAAAGGTGAGGGGGAGGGGGTGCTAAATGGTCAACCATAAAGTACGGTCATTTAGATCTCCTGGATGCTCAAAGCTATATAGAGACGAATATTTAGTACACCACATATTAAAAAAGTAACAATAAGGAAATAAAGCAAAAAGTAAGGATATTTACCAGGGGGAAGGGACTGTCTCAACTTAAGGGCCTTCTGCTTGTCGTTGACGACAAGAGTGTAAAGGTAGCGAGAGCATCTGACCTTGAACTTGTACTTGTCACCGTTCTTCTTGACGCGGGCAGCTACATGAGGCGGTTTGAGTAAGTATGTTGATCTACAGTGTGCTCGAAAGTAAAGGGTCGAGATCGGTAAACTTACAGACGGCGTCCTTTCTGCGGGTGATCTCGAGGAACTGCTTGATGTCCAAAACCTGCTTGGGCTATTGCGATGTAAAGAAAATAAAATACATAGTGATATGATGAGTAAATTTTGGATGATTTATCTCATTGGGGGTGTTCATCCATCCATCTGAGCCAAGTTCCATCAGAGCTTCTTGGATGTTGGTGATGTTTTCAAAAAGGTAGTTTACCATGATGTGATGTATATGCCAAAAGAAGGAGGAATGGCCTGTCTGGTTCACAGGCTTCCAAGAGGTGGACAAGCCCACGCGAGGTTGCGACGTGTCGGAGTACAAATCTAGAGCTTTATTGCCGGACCACTCCAAAGAACTTCACTGATAGAGAGCTGTCTATTGGCCAAGTCCAAAAGAAGTTGGCAAAATTCAAACGATTGCCTTTCTCTTTGCTTATTTTAATTTACTTTAATATAACGTTTTCATTTCATTTTTATTTCTATGTTTTTGCTTATTGGTGATGACACAATATAATATATTAAATATCACAAAAAGAACGGTCTGTTCATAAGTGCATATGTTTTATAAGTCGGTGGCTTTTTATGTGCTTTATTAAATATGATATACATATGGTTTAATTGTTAATTGTTTTATGGAATTAAATAAATAAAAGTACTTTTTTTCACAAGATCATCATCATAACCTTGAAGTTCTATTGACTGAGTATATCTGATAGATTTTGATGATTATGGTACAAGTTAAAAAAAAAGGAAGTTTAGATGGTGTAAGAATCCAAAATCTACATCACTTACCAGCCGCGGCTAAACTGATGAAGAGATCATCATCATCATCAATTTAGCCTTGACGTGACCGAGATTTAATCTCATTCGGAGTGTGTTTTTTTTTGGATCTCTTCCTTCAGGGAATGGAGCGGATATGAAATAGAAGAAGGACTTAAGATTTAATATACTATAATAAAATAACAAACTTTGAATATTACACTGCAGCATATCATCAATTGAATGAATTGTAAAGGGAATACATCAATTCAGACTATTCTCGGTAAATTGTGGTTGATATCCAATACCGTGCAAAAAAGTTTAAAGATATCATAAACACACACACAAACATAAAAATTTCCTTAGGGCTTTCCCCTGGATCTTCAATAGTATTCCTTAGAAAAAGTAGATGTTCGGGTATGATTGGATGTAAACTTGCATATTGTCCAACATAAGATGAACTCTCCAAACTTGATGAGCTTTGTGCCTTGATTGAATTTATATTTATTAGCATTACTACCATAATATTAAAGCCTCGATTTCATTAAAGCCTCCCTTACATAAAGTGATAGGGACCACTATAAAAAGCCTGTCAAAATTTGCTCATATATTTTTCTACTGCAAATCAATCAATCAGTTCATTAATTATATTTGTTATTCATCTATCGATCAACTACAGAATACAAAATGCCATCTCTCTTTTTCGGTCTTCGATTAATTCAGGTAGTACAATGAGATGAATCTACAAACTTCATGCCAAAAATAAGAATATATTTTATATATAAAAAAAAAAGATGATGCCCTGCTATGATTGGCTGGCTCTGAATAACGATCTCATCTTCCAGGAATTTAGGACATCTGTGGTTTAAATCATTTCTTACGTTTTGCATAGATTGGACCACCTATAAAAGCAAACTCACGGTTGTTATTCACTCACCATTATCTCAAACAATTCAATTATACAACAATGGTTACTGCCACTAATCTCGGATATCCCTATGTCGGTGCTAAGCGTGAGCTAAAGAAGCTTGTCGAATCTTTCTGGTCTGCCAAGATCTCTGAAGATGAGCTTCGTACTGGCTACTCCAAGATCCAGGAGTCTCACTGGAAGTTGCAGCAGGAGAAGGGCATTCAGCACATTCCCTCCGGTGAATACACTCTCTATGATCGTGTCCTTGACACCGCCCAGCAGTTTGGTGCCATTCCTCAGCGTTATCAGCATATCAAGAGTCCTCTCGAGCAGTTCTTTGCCATGGGTCGTGGTCTCCAGCGTGCTGCCACAGCCACCTCTGAGAAAGTTGACGTCCCTGCCATGGAAATGAAGAAGTGGTTTGACACCAACTACCATTTCATTGTCCCCGAGTTCGAGGCCGACCAGAAGTTTACTCTCCAGAACCCTCGTGCTGTCGAGCAATTCAAGGCTGCCAAGGCTCTCGGTATCCACACTCGCCCTGTACTCGTTGGTCCCATTACCTTCTTGCACCTCGGAAAGGCTGCCAAGGGTACCGAAGATTTCGAGACCCTCTCCTTGTTGCCCAAGGTCCTTCCTCTTTACATCGAGCTCATCAAGCAGCTCGAAGCCGCCGGTGCCGACTGGGTCCAGATTGATGAACCCGTCCTCATCCTCGATTTGGATGCCAACGTCAAGCTTGCCCTCGAGAAGGCCTACAAGACCATCAAGGCCCAGACCAACATCAAGGTCCTCGTCGCCGCTTACTTTGGCCGCATTGAGAACAACGTCTACGCCATCAAGGACAACGTTGATGCCATCCACCTCGATCTCGTCCGTGCACCTGAAGAACTCGACATTGTCTTGCCTTTGTTGAAGGAGAACCAGGTCCTCTCGCTCGGTCTTGTCGATGGTCGCAACATTTGGATCAATAACCTCTCCAAGTCTATCGAGCTCGCTGAAAAGGCTGTCAAGGCTCTTGGTCAAGACCGCGTCTTCATTGCTCCCTCCTGCTCTTTGGCCCACTCTCCTTTCTCTACCACATTTGAGAAGAAGATCCAGGCCAAGAACCCCGAACTCTTCAGCTGGTTGTCTTATGCTGCCGAGAAGTGCTCTGAAGTCTCCATTATAGCCAAGGCTTTGAACCAAGGTCGTGAGTCTGTCAAGGAAGCCCTGGCCGCCAACGCCGCCGCCATTGAATCCCGCCGCACATCCCCTCAGACTAAGAACCCCATCGTTCGTGAGCGCGTGGCCAAGATTCCCACTGAAGCCTGGAAGCGCCCATCTCCTTTCGCTGTCCGCCGCGAGGCTCAGGTCAAGAAGCTCAACCTCCCTCTCTTCCCTACCACCACCATCGGCTCCTTCCCTCAGACCAAGGATATCCGTGTTGCCCGCCAGAAGTATGCCAAGGGTGAGCTTTCCCAGGCCGACTATGATGTCTTTATCAAGGCTGAGATGAAGAAGGTTGTCGAGTTCCAGGAGAGAGTTGGACTCGATGTCCTTGTCCACGGTGAACCCGAGCGTAACGACATGGTTGAGCACTTTGGTCATCTTTTGCACGGCTATGACTTTACCGAGAACGGCTGGGTTGTCTCCTATGGTTCCCGTTGTGTCAAGCCTCCTGTTATCTTTGGTGATGTTAGCCGTCGTCAGCCTATGACCATCGACGAGATTGTCTATGCTCAGTCCTTGACTAAGTTGCCCATGAAGGGTATGTTGACTGGCCCCGTTACCATGATGAAGTGGTCCTTTGTGCGTGATGACATTCCTGCCAACGAGCTTTGCGCCCAGATTGCTCTTGCTCTCCGTGACGAGGTTGTCGATCTTGAGACTGCTGGTATTCCCTGTATCCAGGTCGATGAGCCCGCTATTCGTGAAGGTCTTCCTATTCGCCGTGCTGATTGGGATTCATACCTTGAGTGGTCTGTTGGATCTTTCCGTCTCTCTACAGCTGGTGTTCGCGATGAAACCCAAATCCACACACACATGTGCTACTCTGACTTTAACGATATCTTTGATGCCATTGCTGCTCTTGATGGTAAGTTCTTATATATATAAACAATACTCCAAAAAAAAAGACTTTATGAACCTTTTTACTTATTTTTATTTTTATTTTATTAGCTGATGTTATCACTATCGAGAACTCCAAGTCTGATGAGAAGCTCCTCAAGATCTTTGAAACTAAGCAGTACACTAACGAGATCGGTCCCGGTCTTTATGACATCCACTCTCCCCGTGTTCCCTCTTACGAGGAGATGAAGACTCGTTTCGGTGACATGCTCAAGTACTTGCCTGAGCACCTCTTGTGGGTCAACCCCGATTGTGGTCTCAAGTCCCGTGGCTGGCCCGAGGTCGAGGCTGCGCTTGTCAACATGGTCGCAGTCGCCAAGTACTACCGCTCTCTCAAGGCTACCAATGCCTAAGCTAAACCGCTTCCCTACTTCTTCCTTTTTCTTTCAACATAAAAAGTTTCTTCATTCCCCAGCAGTTCATATTCCATGATCTCAACATCCTGCACATAGTATAAAATCCAAAAATCAGAAACTCAATCTTACCAAAAAACAACAACCCGGTTATTTTAACAATAACAATGTAATTAATTACTTTCTCTATACCCATTATTTTCAACAAGGGCACTCTTATACATACAACCACCACTCAAAAATAAATCATTATCTTTGCTTTTTTTTTCTTCATTAATAATTTTTTTTTAATTTTTGTTTGTCTCAAATTTTCTTAATAATATATATATATATCAAAGATCTTATTGTAATGTACTTCTTGCTGCTAACCATTTATTTCAACCAGCTTGTAAACGAATCTTACATAAACGGCCTAATGCTTTATGAGCTTTTATTTTGTTTGGATCAATGTACCTTGGCCAAAACATAGAATACCTTCTTTTTTCTCACTCAATAAAAGGCGAATACAGGCTTGATGTTATTTACAAGGGGTGGGTAAAAAAAAAGAAGAAAAAAAAGCTGAGAGCCTTCTTATCCAGGTGGTCTAAAAGGACTTTTTTACTTTGTTTGTTTGTTTCGTGCGAGAAGTTGAGAACCAATCCATCCAAGACCATATTGCTTCTAATAAATGTAATTCATAGGTTCAAACACACATTGTTTCCAATAGTATTTCCTAATTCATTCTTGTATAACAAGCGTGTAACAATACTTTCTTAAAAAAATGTAAGGTGGTGAAGAATAATATTTGAATGCAAGAACAATAGTTGGTCTAAACAATACATATCTATACACAGAAGCTCATTGGATTATCTTTGTGAAATATCCTTCTTCTTCTTCTTCTTTGGAAATAATGTACCTGAATTGCTCATTGTTAGTCCGTACGACCTCTTTTATTTTATTTTATTTACAAATACTTGTATCAATTAGACTGTTAAAAAGCACAAACACACACACAGTTGCCCCTAAATACTCGTACCTTTTAATATGCCAGTATCACTTTAATTAGGGACCTTTGATCTATCGAAACAAAACTAATTTTAGGATATATATATATATTCCTACATTTTCATATTATACTTGGAGATGCATAACCTATTTTAATAAAGAACTATATATCTATTTAACCCTTCATTTGCCTATCACAAACATAGGGCCGTAAGATAGAAATCAAAAAAAAAAGAAACGAACAAACGGTATATGTTCAGACCATAGTTCTGAGCAAAAATTGACCAAAAAAACAAAACGTTTACTATTATTGCTGTTGTTATTTTGATAAATGATTCACAAACCATCTTTAGATTATCAAGCTAGTACAATAGACTGGTCTCTAGAGAACTAGTGAATGCGCCCAAGGCTTTATTGATGTTTCTTACTAGGTTGAGGGAGAAATTGATTTCTTGAGATGCTCTATTGAGACGATTTCTTCTTCTTCTTCTTTCTTCTATTATGGGACCCGTATATTTTCTTTCTAGATCAACTCACTTATTATTAACACGATGCCAAGCATAATGTATTAGCGATAATGAAGAAGATGAAGAAGTATTGAGTTTTGCTGTAATAGATGGTTGCTTTCATAATACAGGTTTTCTCTTTATTTTTTAAGTTTTAGTTTTAGTTTTAGTTTTGGGTTAAATTGTATAAGTCAATTATTAGAAACAATCTCAAGCAGTATGTTATGTTATGTGCTGTAAGATTTTATTCAATTTTATATTTTTTTTATTTCTAAAGAGTATTATTAATAGTCCAATATATTCCAACTTTAGTATTGTTTTCTTGTATTGACAGACATTATTATTGCCTTGTCTACTTCTCCTTAACCATAAAAACTGTTCTGTGTTTCAAATCGATTAGTTTTTTGATTATTATTTTTGGTCTCTATGGTTACTGCATTTCACGCATTTAACCGTATTTAACCGTACCCCAGATAAGCTTACTATTTCAAACCTTGACACAAAGAATATAGAAAAGAATAAAATAAATAAGGGGTGGTAAAGAAGATATTCACAGAACTTGATCATATATATATATGAATAGTCGTGTATTTACAACACATACTCATTCAAGATTATCGGCTCTTTTATTTCATTTTTCTTCTTTAACAAAATAAAATTATATAATGTAATATACTACAATAGAGCTAAATTGCTCATTAGAAATTTCGTACAAAATAATTCGAGACCCTAGTTAAAGTGTATATCCCTGATTCAATTATATTCAAAATAGATATGAGCGTAGTTACTTTTATATACATATGTACATATTAAAGTCTATCTAATGTACCAGCTCTTGTATTTGTCTGCAATGTACACATACACATACACATCTAACCACTTCTGAGCTTCTCAAAGAAATCAGCATTAGAAAGACCCCACTAGGAAACAATTTACGAATTCTATTTTCATCTTGTGATATTAGGCCAATGTTTGAATCTGTAAATTTTTAATTACACAATCAATACCTCTTATATAGCATGGTTAATTATCTCTAGTTGTTCTAATAGATAAGTAATATACATATATATTGACCTTTGAAATCAATCGAATATATATAAAATCATGTAGATACAAAAAAATCAAAAGTACGGAATATAATGTGAACCAAGATTTACAATGATGACACTATACTTGTAATTAAGATACATCATACTCGAGTACACATGTGTGAACTTTGGAGGCACTGGACAGTTTATCAATGCATATTTACATATTGCTTTTTACTTTCCTTTGTAGATAATGCGCTTTATTCAATGTATATCTTCTCTTGCATAGCATATTCATACGATGATTTCTTGAAAATCTAAAAAGTAGAGAAAAATCAATTTTTTCTGAAATCACAATCGAATAATTAGATAATATCTATCTATCTATCTATCTATCTAAAATAATAATAATAATTGAAACAAAAGACAAATGATAACAAACTAATATAATGGGAAATTAAATAACATACAATACAATAGAGGAAAGCTCATGGCAAAGAATCATCATCTGTGTCTAAAGCACAAAGTGTCTCAGGGCACAAGATACATTAGTTTTTCTTTTCTACTCATGTGGTAGTCATCCTTACAAATGTAATTTGATCCCCTTATCATTATTAGCAGTAGTATTATAATGTAGCTCTTGCCCATGAATACCTCACCTGCTTTTGGGATTTATGTATAAAAACTCTTGAGAAATAAAGAAATCAAAATCAAGGGTTTGATAGATAGATATCTCTTTATTATGCGTAAAGGTTAGAAGCACATTTGAATTATTATTATTAATAAGCAAGGAACTTAACTCCTGCCGAATTTGCTTTTTTTTGTAGTCTAAAAACTAACCCAAATGGTTGACTTTTTGGTTTTTGGGGTTTGAGTTCGGTTTAGCCGGAGATATAAAAAAAAACGATTACTGAAAAACGATTATCCTAGGAGGCAAGAAGTGCGGGATTCAAAGCAAACTTGCAGTTGATAGTCATTGTCTCTCACTCACTCACTCACTCTCACTCTCACTCTCTCTTTCTTTTTTATTTTTATTTTTATTTTATTTTATTTTATTTTATTTTATTTTATTTTATATACACCAAAAGAAGAAAGAAGAAAACCTAAAAACTTACAGTGGTTTTTCTAAACATCTCCCTCTAATCCCTATCTGTTATTATGCATCCCGTTTTATATACAGCCATAGCTATGGCACCTGCGCATCTTTTTATGGTAGCTTCATTGCCTGTCAAACGAAAGCGACTATCTCAAGAAGTGTTCTTGGGGTGTTGTTGGCTTCTAGGGCTAGCAATTCCGCTGTATTTTGCAGGCCAATTTTCATTTATGGTCAATATGATCCTGTCCGTATGGGCTTGGGCAACAGGGATGAAAATGGGAGTCTGGCTCTTTTCATTATCAATGGACGAACGTAGACAACGAAAGAGTTTTGCTAGCACCTTATTCTCCTGGCGTCAACGACCACCTAACCAAGCCGAACCACCTTCAACACCCGAATGGAGAGATATCCCACTCCAACCATTCCTCTGGCGATACCTAACATGTCAGATTGTATTCGACAGCCTGGCAGTATTTTTTCAACATGTCGATTCACAACGTCCAGTACGAGTGCTAGCTCAGCTAATCCATTGGTGGGACAGATCGTACGTCCCAACTGAATCATTCGCATCCATAATGATGAGCTTTGGATTCTGCATTCTATTCTGCGTATATCTCCAACTTCAACTACAGGTTACATACGATGCCTTCGTTTTGTGTTACTGTGCGCTATATCAAGTTCTACCCTGGATAGACCAAAGAATGCAGAGCTCAGCAAAAAAACCAATGTCATTAGGCGCAATCAAAGCAAGAGCCCAACGAATGATGTGGATGCGAGATCTCAAACATTATCTTGAGAGTACATTGACGATGCCACCTTTGTTCGACTCCCCCTGGCAGACAGACAGTCTGCGTGACTTTTGGTCTAGACGCTGGCACACCATTTACAACGACTGTTTTTATAGACTAGGCTACAAACCTACACGACAGTTGATGATATCCATGGGCATACGAGGTGTGGCATGTAGACTGGTACCTGCCTTGGCCGTTTTTGCCTTATCAGGGATGATGCACGAGTACTTTTTATATTGCTCTACAGGCCCTCGCCTTTACTATTCGCATTGGGTGGGCGGCCTGCAGTGTCTGTTTTTCGCTTGTCAGACGCTTGGGATCGCGATTGGAGATAGACTGATCAAAAAGGGTTGGGCTGGATGGGTCTGGGCAGTTTTTTATATGGTGATGACATCGCACTTGTTCGTCGTTCCTTATATTCTAACTGGCTACATGTACATGGACAAACTTAGCTTTGCACCTTTATTCGAAAAAGCAGTTCTTGCTGGCAAGACTGTTTGGAGCATGCCTTTGATTTGATACCAATTAGATAGAATACATTTTTTTTGCATATAAATACATAAATAAATTTTAACAATATAAAATATAAATAAATGGTATCGTTGTTGTAGAGCATCAATCAAACATGCATTCCTCCTCTATTATATGTAGTAAAATGTCTTGATCTGGGAAGCAAGGGGGTCAAAGCACATACATAAAAAAAACAAACAAACAAACAGAAAAAAATTATAGTCATGAAAACTAAAAGATTGAGATAATATTGAGAAAGAAAAGAAAAGAAAAAAAAGCAATATAAATGTCGCCTTCTCCTTCTTTCTTTGTATCTGTGCCTTTTTCCCAATGCCTCGTATTTCTGAATCCAAACCTACCCAGGAGTCTGATCATAAGGGTGATGTCTCTTCTGACTATAAGTTGTCTCTGATGCCTGGAATGCCACGGGACGACTCCTTGAGCGAGAAGGCGCTCAATAAACCAAGTCGGCTGGAGAACAGAAACAGGCTTCTTCGCCTATTGTGCTGTGCAGACTGTCTACCATCATGGGCTGCTGTCTTGGTGTGGTTCATAATCATATCCCTCGCGATTGCATTTGCGGTGATCGGGATCATCCTTCACACTGCCACTCCACCAAAATTCTCTATAGCAGACGTGGTACCAGTTACTGATATGGCAGCATTAACTTACACAAACGATTCGTTTACAATTCATTTCAACCTTGTTATCAATATCAAGAACCCAAACATATTCCCCATACACTTTAGCCATGTGAATGCCACGGTAAATTAAGAATCATACTTGAGTATTCCAGAAGATTATTGTATCTGGATTACTAACATCTAAACAATTTTTCTTTCATTGTTCTTTCCTTTAGGCATACTATCCTATGCCCGGTAAACCAGTGGCCGGAAGTAGTTTTGTGGAAAATGAATATGTACCTATAAAAAGTGATTACAACAAAAGTATCCCATTCTCCATGACATACAGGCCAGAAATCGATCGTTATAGAGTTATCCTTGGTACCATAACCAGCCATTGTGGAGTGACAGGTGGTCCAATGAAAGATATCACTGTTACTTATTCAATAAATTCCACTGCCAATGCTCTATTACTCGTCGCACACCCCTCCTTCCAAGCTACCTCTACTCTTCCATGCCCAATACAGGTAAACTTTACTGATCTGTCATACTTTACGATCTTACTAATGCTTCTAATTTATTTATAGCTTCAAGATGTTCCTGAGCTGGCTGCCATTACAGAAAGATTCAAGTTGAAGCCTTCATCTAATGTTACTCATACCACATGATCTTATTGTTGTAAATTTACAAACTATCTACCTATCTACCTATCTACATTCTCTACTATATTTTATTTTTATCTTTGTGCCTACACCCTCCAAAATCAGTTAGTTGCCAAATCCAATCCCACCATATTATTCCTATTTTATATAGGAATTAAATAATAGCCATTATCACTCAAGCATGTTGACTTGCTCGTAATTGACTAGAGCATAAAAGCTGTTTTATTTCTCTATAATTATTATATCAATAAGATTTTTCTTTTTTATATTTATATTTATATTTATATATAAAACGTTTTATTATTATTATTATTAAATATCCGCAAAACCAAAACCAAAACCAAAAACTCAAAATAAGAAAGTAAAGTAGGTGTAAAATTTAAGGTGCCTGCCTGTATTGGTTGAGATTCTCCGCAACCCAGTCATACACACATTTTGTAGGTTTCTGTTGATTCTCCACAACAGAAAATAAAAATAGGGCCTAAATATAACCAATCACGTCGATTCAACGTGAGTCACTTTGGATCTTTTGCGATAAAATAAACACCACATCGTATTTCCACACTGGTTACTCTCTTTCGCTTTTTAAACAAATGAAGTATAGATCTACCCGTGGACAGGCTCAAGGCTACACCTTCGAGGAGGCTGTTATGGCCGGCCTCTCGCCTGATGGTGGTCTCTTTATTCCCCACAGCGTCCCGCAGTTGCCTACCAACTGGCGTAAAGAATGGGCTAATAAATCCTTTGAAGAGCTCGCAGTTGCCTTGCTGTCACTTTACATTGACCAAACTGAAATCCCAACCAAAGACCTCGAAGACCTCGTCAAGCGCAGTTATTCCACTTTCCGCCACGAAGAGCGCACTCCTCTGGCCAGTGTACGTGACGGATTGTACGTTTTGGAACTTTTCCATGGACCTACCTTTGCGTTCAAGGACGTTGCACTTCAATTCGTTGGAAATCTGTTCGAGTACTTCCTCGAACGCCGGAACCGTGCCGAACCAGCCGGTGGAAAGGTTCATCGTTTGACAGTTGTTGGTGCCACATCTGGTGATACTGGCAGGTAAACAGATCAAAAACCAAAATAATGACATTATACAAATTAATTATAAGTAATACACAATTAGTCGTCAAAAAATAAAATAAAATAAAGAACAGACAAACAAACAAACAATGTATATAAAAGCTAATATAATCTATCATGTAATGCATAAAATACAGTGCTGCAATCTATGGTCTGCGCAACAAGAAGAATGTATCCGTCTTCATCCTCCACCCTCGCGGACGTGTTAGCCCTATTCAGGAAGCCCAGATGACAACCGTTCTTGACAAAAACGTACACAACTTGGCTGTAGAGGGAACTTTTGATGACTGTCAGGATATTGTAAAGACTTTGTTTGGTAACAAGGAGTTCAACGAGCGTCACCACCTTGGTGCTGTCAACTCCATCAACTGGGCACGTATTCTGGTACAGACCGTGTACTACTTCCAGGCTTACTTTGGTTTGTTGCGTTCGCTCAAATTGGTACCTGGATCTCCTGAAGCTGAAGCCATCAACATTCATTTCTCTGTACCTACCGGTAACTTTGGTGATGTACTTGCTGGTTACTTTGCACACCGTATGGGTTTGCCTACACATAAGCTGTTGGTTGCTACCAATGCCAACGATATCTTGTACCGTTTCTTTGAGACAAACGCTTACGAGAAGCAGACTGGTGCTGATGGAAACGTAAAGGAGACCCTGTCACCTGCTATGGACATCTTATTGTCCTCAAACTTTGAGCGTCTGTTGTGGTACCTTGCTCGTGAAACTGTCCAGACTGACGAACAAGCTGGTCAAACCGTAGCTAGCTGGATGCAGGCTCTTAAGACCGAAGGAAGTTTCAAAGTCAACAACGAAGTAGTCCTCAAGGCACGCGCTCTTTTCGATGCTGCTATGGTAACAGATGAACAGGTAAGATCAATCAATATTAGCTAGCAAAGAGAGATAGAGCGAGAGATAAAGCAACTGTGTTTCAAGGGTGTGTGTTAGTTGTAAAGTGAATATGTATATTAATAATAAAATTGGTTTTATTTGCTTTTAGACTATCGATACCATTCGTACATTCTACAAGCCTGCTGCTGCCAACCAGAACTCTTATGTACTCGATCCTCACACAGCTGTTGGTGTTGCTGCCGCTGAGAAGATCATCAAGCGCGACAATCTTGCATTGTACCCTGCTGGTCCTGAAATTCTTATCTGCCTCGCTACTGCCCACCCTGCAAAGTTCTCTGGTGCTGTCGAGACCGCACTCAAGTCATACAGCGATTTTAACTTTGAGAAGAATGTCTTGCCTACTGAGTTTATCGGTCTCCTTGACAAGCCAAAATCTGTTGTATCTGTCGAACGTGCTGATCCCGCATTGATTATTGAGGTCATTGAAAAGGAGTTGCGCCAGGAAGGTGTTTCTTTCTAAAAAAAGAAAAATAATAACAATAATAACCGTTACAATAACCTATCACTTCATCTCTATAAACATCCTCTCCCCTCTACATTGTTCAATCCTAAAAATAAATAAATAAAATAAACTAATTTGTAGCATGTTTTTTATAAACAATTTATTAATTTTCTAATTAAATGCAAGGAAGGAAAGAGGTATGTAAAGAAAGAAGTTAAGCTAAGAAAGTATGGTTTTTATTATTATTATTATTATTGGGTTCAGTATCATAAGTTGTTGTTTTTGTTGTTGTTCTTTTTTTTTCGTTTATTGTTTATCCTTTGAGCGAGAATCGACAGGTTTGGATCCTAGAGGAACATCATCATCTTCGTCATCTTCGTCTTCAGCAGCATAAGGATAGCGGGGATAATTATATAGACTTGTAGCAGGTGAGCCATACATAGAAGCCTGATTCTGCATCATCATCATATGCTGTTGCTGAGGAGTCATGCCTGGCATCATACTCATTCTAGGGTCTAGCATGGGCATCATCGGTAACTGCATTCCAGGCATCATACTCATGCGTGGATCCATCATGGGCATCATCGGTAATTGCATTCCTTGCATACCTTGCATGCCTGACATCATACTCATGCGTGGATCCATCATGGGCATCATGGGGAGTTGCATTCCTTGCATTCCCATCATCATTTGTGGCTATTTAGCAAACAATAAAAAAGAAAGAAAAAACGTTTATTTAAGCTGCAAATAATAGTAATACTATTTACACTTACGTTTTGCATAGCCATCTGCCGTTGTTCGATGATATATCGTTCACGTTCTCTCTCTAGAAGACGATCCTTTTCCATATCCATATAGCGAGACTTATTTGCGTCCCTTTCTTTTTTACCGTGTTCAATCTGTGTGATCATTCCAACGAGACCTGCGCGTGGTTCACTCTGCTTATTAGGAAGTTGAATAAGAGGTTGGCCAGTAGCTCGGGCATAACCTTCCTGTTCACGAGCAGTAGGATGGTCTGGTCTATACATGTCAAGAAGACTGTTTTGAGTAGCGAACCGATCTCCCAGTTGAGGAATTATTGGTCCGTCCTCTTCATCTTCACCATATACCATCAATCCCTGCTGGTATAATTGTTGCTGAGGTTGCTGCCCATAGTCGGATGGATATTGTGCCATACGAGGGTCCATTGGGTTAACCCAGTCCTCATAGTCTTGCTGGCTATAGTTGTCCTGCTGGTGTCTAGGATCTCCGTGAAGAGGTCTATCATCACTCAACTGATCTGAATTATCGTCATCTTCGTCTTCATCCTCTTCATCCTCGTCGTCATCTTCGCTATCCGACCCACTAACACTAGTCTGAGTAGGTGCCATTTTGGGACGTGGCCGCTTAGGGAGCATAGCAGTAGAAGGCAGAGCCTTGGGGACGTCCGAATCAGAATCAGATTTTTCATCGTCATCGTCATCGTCTTCTTCTTCATGATCAGTTGCAGGTGTGACTATGGGAAGTTGTGTGGTGCTGCCTAGAACGCTTTCTGCAAGATCATCCTCACTACTCACAATACGAGGAAGAGAGAGGGATTTTGTAACTTTTGCTGATTTCTCTTTTTTGGCTGGCAACACTTCATCTTCGTCTTCATCTTCGTCTTCATCCTCCTCTTCTTCGTCATCTTCTTCGTCTTCTGTTCCGTCGCTTGCGTAAACAGGTTTTGGTGTTTGGGTGCGGGATGCACGTCCTGTACTATAAACAGAGCTTCGACTAGTGTTTGCTGTTCCTGTGACACGATCATTTGATTCTTCTACTTGGAGCATACTGTTAGATGGCGGCTTTGCAGCTTCTCGTTTCCATTTAGAAATTAGTGCGTTGGAAAAAGCTAATTTGTAATCCCCAGAGGAAGGAACTTCACTAAGCTCGAGAAAAAGCCGAGATTTTTGGTAAAAGGGGCCTTCGCCAAAATTAAGCGATTTTGGGTCTTGGGGGTCATCAAGGAAGCGTGTTGGGCGTCCGTACAGCTTAAAAGCATCAGCAGTACTGATAAACCACTGAGCAAGATCCTGGGGTACGGATGTCTTAAGAAGAACGGTTGAAGGTGTACTGTTGTCACTTTGAATACCCTGAACTCGTAGTAATGTGGGAGCATCGATGGTAGGTCCGGTGTAAATAGCATGGGCTTCCGTAACATCGACAAGTGTAAATACAGGGTTTTTGGCTTTTTTAGTCTCATAAAGCATTAGTTGACCACGGAACGGAACTGATTTCTTGCCGAACAACTTTTTTTCATCTTTGCGATCAGAAACAACAGCCCAGTAGGTCTGCCAGTCCTCGTTCTTCCATCGTACTTGTATTTGTGCCTCTTGCTTTACTGTGGTTTTGATATCAAAGCGAGCGATCCAACGACGGGTATATATACCTTGTATAAGGCTGTGCTCATAAATAGCTAGACGTAGGGCTGTGGCCCACTGCTCTCCGTTAGGTGTCTCCACACGGAAGGTGGTGTCAGCGGAGTTGATGCTAAACACGTTGTGCTGATGGACTTGGATGTCAGCATCTCGGATGGGAATACACTGTGGCCATACTGGGGCATGAGCACTCGTGTCCCATAGAAACAAAACTGTTCCACATAATTCTGCGTACCAAGGAAGCCATGCCTCAGGCCCATCACGGCAGATAGAAATATTACCGTCAATATAAGTTTTGTTACTGAGCAGCAAGAATGCCCGCTGGATGTCTTGCATGTCGGTTGGTGCAGCTGGAATGTTCGGCAGTGCTGGTTTCACACAGCCTGGGGGTCTGTTAGATGAGCTCTCTACTCGCTTTGATAATGGGGTTTCATCGTCTGACGACATGCTCAATGATGCCCTTGAATCATTTATCCGTAAGGACTCCACTCCAGACTCTAGTCTGGGCATACTGCTGTTATCGAGACCCCGAGAAGGCATAAATTGGTGGGTATAGTAGAAAGAAGACGGGACTACAAGACTTGTATAAGTAATTTGGCTTATTATCTTGGCATTTCGGAGTCTATACCTCTAAAGCTTGGAAGAAAGGAAGGGAAAAAGGGTAACAATAAGATGAGAAGCTTAGAAAAGAAGAGAAGGAAAGAGGGACAAAGGGAGGAAATCAATCCCAAAATTGTTTTGGTCCCCTTCCTTCCCGCTCCTCCTCCCTTTCTCCCCCTCTCTTCCCCCACTCACACCCCTCTTACTTTCGTAGTTCTATACCCCTCTCCTTCCCTTACCATATTAGGTACGTGACTGTCAACCCCGCTTCTAGAGTGGCTTGGTCGAGCAGTCAACCCCTTTGGAGCTGTCTAAATTCACTTTTTTTTGCATAGTGGCGGTTTTAGTTTTTTTTTTTTGCTTTTTGCTGCCGATATTCTTCATTCGTTCATTGACTCGAAGCAGTCCCTTCCCCCGTCAAGCCCTCTAATTAATAGTCTTTCGATTCATTGTCCATAGCCCAGCATATTCACCCTTCAAACACAAAAAAACTCTGCATGAAAGATACTACACAGCCTTCCGAGCTCAATACGGGCCAAGGCACTAAGCGATTCAAGGTTAATACCTTTCTACAAACCTTATATTTATCTACTTAGAACAAAAGAAACAGGCATAAGCTATATGCATTTCCCGATCGTTATATTAATGCATGTACTGCTGTTAGTTCCAATCGTTCAATACCCGAGTGGAAAAAATAAAAGTTGATGTTATCCGACGATCTCGCTTAGTAGACGATGATCCCGAAGACAACGGCTCATTCTTCAACGATGGCCTTGAGCAATGGAAGGAACTCAATCTGACCAAGCATTTTCAAACGTTTGAGCGAGAGATCACACCATTAGTCAAGACACTCGCTTCAATTGTGTATTATAAAGACAAGATCATTGACATTCTCGAAAAACACCTTAAAGTACCTGATAGTCTTGCTCTCGATGGTCTGCTTGATCTGATCACCAAGCTTGCCCGGGATCTCGAAGGAGATTTTTACCCTTATTTCCCCCGTCTTTTTGCTTGTATTATTCCTCTTGTCTACCATCGAGATGTCCGATTACTTGAAGTAAGTCTCTATTTTTTTTTTTAAAAAAAAAGCACACATACAAACAGTGAGATACTTAATATTTAATCAATTTGATGATTTCTAGAGCGTATTCAATTGCATTGCGTACCTGTTCAAATTCTTGGCTCGTCAATTGACTCCCGATTTATGTGAAACATTCTCGTAAGTCGATATTTAACTAATATCTTTAAACATAAGCTAAATTCATTTTGTGTGTGTGTGTCAAACAGAATGCTGTCCAGACTTTTGGGTGAGGATCACGAAACAAAACCATACATCCGCCATTTCACAGCAGAGTCTTTTGCATTTTTAATGCGCAAAGCACGCGGACCAGATTTGCATAAGCTGGTAGCACATATCCTTAATTCATTACGTGCGGATGGGTCGGAAGAATATGTTGAGGGTTTGGCTATGCTGTTCTTTGAGTGTGTCAAGGTAAAACATTTAATAAATCTGTTAATTCAACTAAAAAAAAAATACGGAGTGTATTTATTGATATATCATTATTGGAAAATAGCAAGTGGATCATCAATTGCACTCTAGAGCAGTTGCTGTCTACCGAGAACTTCTTCACCAGACTATTGCCGAAGATGTTACTGTCGACGAATTGCCACAAAATGCTTCACAACGTCTTTTACTTAAGACTACTCTATTAATGCTGCATCATGCCTATCGCAATCGTTTCAATGTAATCCTGGAGCTTGTGTTAGATGATGTTGACAAAGTATTGAAGCAAGACCCTCTTCCTGAAAAATCCCTTGCTGTCCTTGTCTCAGTGCTCACAATGGTCGTAACTGTCCGTAAATCTTCACGTGTGGAAAATGTTAAGGCAGTAGTAGATCGTGTCCAGAAAATTGCTGAGCGTGTATTCACAAACCCCACGCCATTCTCACAATACCTGTCGATTGAAACACTCCGAACAACCACCGGTTTGTTAAGCTTCGGTTCGATTGAAGTAATTGCTAGCGGAGGTCGATTGATCCTCGAGTCCTTGATGTCATTTGATGATGTGACCTTGGTATATGGTTTCTTCCTCGGTCTTGCTAACCTTAGATGGTCCAACTTGACCCAAATCGCACTTCCATATATTGTCAGGTAAAATCCAAGGGAGAGAGAAAGGAAAAGGAAAAAGAAAAAAATGTGTGCGCGTGTGTATCTTTACAGTTTACTAAAAAAAGAAGGGGTACGATACTTCTTGGATTAGATATGCATCTCTCAAATTCGACTCACACAAACATCAGACAATTCTCTTCTTATCCGAAGTAATGACCTCAAACACCCTTGTTCTTACCCCGGGAATGCTTTCTTCTACTGTATCAGCAGAAGGTCTCATTCGCTTCCCTGCCACAAAAAAGGGTTCTTTGCCGGAAAATATCTTGGAAATCTTGAACAAGAAGCATGACTGGAGGCAGGAGAGAGATTCTTTGAATGCTATCGATGTTGCCCATGTAAGTTTATCCTATCCATGCATAATCTCACTTTTTTGTCACTTACACTATTATTATGTTTTTGCTTATGATCATAGTCTGACTCCAACACACCAGCGTCTATAATTCCTGTCATCTCGGCTATTCTCAGCCTTGTACCAGTAATTCAGATGCCTCTCGAGACTACCTTTTCCGCATTATTGAGCGTATTTGATTCTCTTCACAATTTTATCTCGGAAGATGCAAAAAATAACACCGTTTCACGTGTACCATTTGTTCTGGGTCATATCAACTTTTCTATCGAATGTTTGATGGGATTAACAATCGAATCTTTGGCTCGTATGGTGTCTTCAAACGGTGGTCATGGACTCGAACAACTCACCAAACGTCACTCATTATTGTTTACAAATGCACTGGAATTATGCAATGAGAACGAAGTTGTTTTGCGTGGACTTGTAGCATACATGAAACTTCTTAAACCTTCGGAAGAACATCGTGCATTATTTAGTGTTGAAGAAGTTGCCAAGGTGTATGAACTTGTAAAGTTCAATTTGAACTCTTACCAGCCCAATATTCGCCTCGAATCTCTTCGCCTTTTGGCTTTATACGAACAGCCCATGATGAAAACTGACGCTGAACACCCTGTCGAAGAACCATGCGAGTTGGTGAATGTTGCATTGGAAATGGACGAAATCGTTCCAACCATGAAAAACTATCGTGACAAGATTGTGTTAATCCAGAGACTTCACCTGATCTTAAGCACCAAGCGCGCGCCAGAACTTTATGATGATTTCGTGATCCGTATTTGTTTCGGTCTCTATACTATCAACTTTAGACCTATGTGGGAGGAAGCTCGAAAGATCCTCAAGTCTTGTGCCGAGATTAATCGTGAATTATACTGGACTTTAAGTTTCGCTGAACTTGCTAAATTTGACGATGAGCGCAAGTTAGTTCGTGATGGTTTCTCCTTACCTGTACTTGACGCTCTTTCTACTCCTGATGAAGCTGTCAGTGGTGAAGCTACTAAAACCGGCACCATCTCGTTCGAATGTCCTACCCATAATACATATATTCACGCTGAAAACAAGGCATGGGAAATTGTTGGAAAGAAAAGCTCTGTCAGCTACGCTATGTTGTTTGTCAAGCTGTGCGATCAGCACGACCCAAAGATTGATTTCTGGAACTATTACAACTGTATTCTCATGACACTCAAGGAAACACCGAGTGTAACAGAGCAACGTTCTCGACATTTGATGCCTCTCTTCTTCCGATTTTTGGAAGTTGAATTTGGTACTTTAGCTCTGGATGAAATCAACGACGACGAAGAAGAAGATGAAGAAAAAGAGAAAGAGACTAAAAAGCTTGATTTACTCCCACGTACCAGCCGTGTTGTTAAAGGGAAGATGACCAACTGGCTTAAACTCTTTTCCACATTTGTCAACCCTCGCATGGTCTACAAGAGCGCTGAACTTCATACTGTTTTGATGAACTTGTTGGCAAAGGGCGACACTAAACTTCAAGAGGCTGCTATCGAGTGCCTATTTACATGGAAAGAGCCAGACGTGACACCTTATCAAGATAATCTTCGTAACCTTTTGAACGATAGCAAGTTCCGTGATGAACTTACAGCCATGCTTGCCAACGAAGAGCAGACTATCATTGATCCTGCCCATCGCGCTGGACTGACACCATATCTTATGCGTATTCTTTTTGGTCGTCTAGTCCAAGGTAAGGGAGGAAAGTCTTCTGGAAAGACTAACAAGGGATCCCGTCGTAAGGCCGTTCTTGGTGCTGTTTCATGCTGCCGCCATTCAGAAATTCAGTACTTCCTCGATCTTGCTCTCGAACCATTTAAGGATATCTTAACTTTGCCAGGTGTCGAAGAAAAAGATGGCCAAGTTGTTAGCTTTTCTTTTGATGACAAAGGTGGTGATATCTTAAAGAATGTTGCATGGAGAAAGCAGATCGGTACACTCAATTTAATTGATGATATGCTCAAACAAATGGGCTCTCATCTCCTGCCATTCCTGCCCATTCTTCTCAAGGTTGTCTTGTACTTCATCCACTATGCCCACCGTAGATCGTCGAATGACATGGACGTTGACGAAGAAAAAACCCAGGATGAGCAAAGTAGCAGATCGAGAGAAGTCAGAGCCCTGGCCTTGAAGCGTGTAGTCGATTTCTTCAAGTTGAACGGAAACTTTGACTTTAAGCCTTACATGCCTGCCATGTTTGCTTCTTTCATTAATCCTAGACTTGCCAAACTCCAGGATGAAGCATCCCAGAATGCCTCTTCAATCCTCAATCTATTCGTGGTGTGGTCTGAGCGCGCAAGTTATGTCCGTTTCTTTGTCGATTATAACGACCAGGTGCTTCCCCAGATATATTCTGTCCTGTCTGCCAAAAAGTTACATGAACAGGCATTATCTGTCATCCTCGATATCACTGAGAATGTTTTGAGCCATTGTGAAAGCGAAATGGAAGTGGATGGTGCTGCAATCCTTAAAGACTCCCTTGTATTGCCCTACGTCGACCTTTTGCTTAGCCATCTTCAGTTCCGTCTATTGCAATCAAAGGATGATGTCAAATTTGGAAGTGGTAGATACTCTGTCCGTGAGATCGCTATCGTATCTCGTGTTGCTAAATACACCAATGATGGTGAACAGGCAGCTGTAATCATCAACCTTCTATTGCCCAGTCTCAGAAAGCCTTCTCGTATCATTCCTGAGCGCACCAAGGAGCATATTCTCTCCATTTGGTCCAAGTTCATTCGTATTGTACCTGGATTCGAGGCCGATTCAACCGTATACCATCTTTACTATGGTCACCTGGCTCCTATGTTCGCTACTTCTCAAACGCGCTCTAACCGCCTTCTCTTGGTTGACATCTTTGATGCCTTTGTTCAGATTAACCCTGCTCTGGCCAAGGTTGGCAGTGTATTGCGTGATCTAAACTCGTACTCTCCAAGACGTTTGGATGAGCTCGATTTCGATCGTATGCTGGATGCTCTCACTCTGATCGGTGATGAGTTATATGCTGTATTTGATCATCACCAGTGGTTGCCTGTCCTTCACCAACTGGCATTCTGTATGCACGAGCCTACTGAAATGGCAATCCGCGGTAGCGCCACACATTGTATGGTTCGTTTCATCAATGTGACCAAGGACCACGAGGAAGACGAAGAGAAGCGTAAGCTGATGGCTTTAGTTCACCACGTTCTTTACCCATCAATCAAGACTGGTTTCCTGGAACGTATCGAATTGGTCCGTGTCGAGTTTGTTAACCTTTTGAACAATGCCGTCAAAGCCTTCCCCACAATCTCAATTTTCACCGATCTTGTGCCTTTGTTGGGTGATGGCGATGAAGAAATTAATTTCTTTAACAACATTTACCACATGCAAATCCATCGTCGTGTTCGTGCCATGGCTCGTCTTGCTGATATTTCTGAGACCAAGACATTCAAACCTGCTACAATCAATAGTATCTTTATGCCTCTTATATCAGCATTCTTCTATGAGAGTGACCGCATGATGGATCACAACTTGATTCATCAGTGCATCAAGACCGTATCTTCTCTCGCCAAGTTGCTTCCTTGGAACCATTACTACAATTTGCTTAAGCACTATCTTTCAATGATCTCCCGCAAGGAAGAAATGGAGAAGATATTTGTTCGTATTGTCACTGGTATCCTCGAGGCATTCCACTTTGACCTCAGTCATGTGGTAGTTACGGATGAAACAGCTAAGAACATTATGGGTCGCCAAAAGGTCCGTATTGATTACTTGACATCACAAGAAATCATTGCCCGCGATGCCGCTGATAATGCAGAAACCCAAGGCATTATTCCCGAAGAAATTGAAGAAGATAAGGAGGTAGTCGCCAAGAAGGACCAGGCTGAACGTATCCACGATATCTTGATCACAAAGGTGCTTCCCGAACTTAACGCTTATTTGAACAATCACAAGAGCAAAAAATCCGTTTTGGTGCGCGTTCCTGTCGCACTCGGTATTGCCAAGCTTCTCCGCGCTTTGCCTGAACGCTCTATGCGTCTCAATCTTCCCGCCTTGTTGACCAATATGTGCCAGATCCTTCGCAGTCGCGCTCAGGATGTTCGTGATATGACCCGTGAAACAATTGTCAAGATCAACGCCTTTTTGGGTCCTTCGTACTTCTCTTTCATTATTAAAGAACTTAAGACATCCCTCCAACGTGGTTATGAACTCCATGTTCTTGGTTTCACTGTAAACGTTCTAATTAACGATATGATGCCTCGCCTCGAAGTCGGTCAACTTGACTACTGCATGGGTGATATCGTAAGTCTGTTGGTTAGTGACATTTTCGGCAGCATTGGCCAAGAAAAGGACAGTGATGAGATGACTGGTAAAACCATGGAAGCCCGTAGCAACAAGAGTCCTGCTACCTTTGAGCTTTTGGCCAAGATTGTTCGCTTTAAGAATGTTGGCATATTGTTGATGCCCCTGAAGGATATCATGTCTGAGACTGAGAGTCTTAAGATTTTGAAGAAGGTTGACGATATTCTGTCAAGAATTGCCACAGGATTGGTCAACAACCCCGAATTCGAATCCCAAGAGCTTCTGGACTTTGCTCATGGTTTGATATCCGAGAATGTCGAGACCTTCAAAATTAAGACAAAGACAAAGGTATCCAAGACCCAGAAAGAAAAGAACTTTGAGGTCCAGATGAAGCGCAATGTGGTTGAAACTGTGGATTATTATCGTGCCAATGTTCATCGTTTTGTATACTTTGGTTTGAGTCTGCTGTACACTGCTCTCCGCAAGAGCAAGTCGATTTTCAAAACCGAAGAATATAAGGATCAACTTGACAAATTTGTAGATGTTATTGGTAATACCCTTTACTCCAACCAAACTACAAACGTAATTTTGGCTTCCAAGATCATGTGTATTATGGTTACCCTTCCCCTGCCTTCCATCCCTGAATCTGTACCTGTCGTTGTCAAACGCACCTTTGCTTTGATTAAATCTACCGGCAATACACACTCCAAGTTGGCACAGGCCTGTATCAAACTTTTGACCATTTGTATTCGTGATACCAAGCAGTCGACTTTGACTGAGCAGCAGCTCACATATTTGTTGAACATTGTTCGACCGGACATGGAAGAGCCTGATAGACAGAGCACTGTATTTTCGCTTGTCCGTGCAATCCTTATGCGCAAGTTTATGGCTCCGGAGATGTACGATCTGATGGATTTAGTTTCAAACATCATGGTTACCAACCAGGCCAAGGAGATTCGTGAACAGGCCCGTTCGGTGTATTTCCTCTTCTTGATGGACTATCCTCAGGGTCGTGGTCGTCTGAAGACCCAGATGAGTTTTATCATCAAGAACCTCGAGTATGTGTACGAAAGTGGTCGCGAGTCGATCATGGAGCTCTTACACCATATTATTGCCAAGTTTGGTGATGAAATTCTTGAAGAGTTTTCCGAGGCCATATTTTTGGCTCTTGTTATGCGTCTTGTGAACGACGAGTCAGCCAAGTGTCGTGAGATGGCAGCAGCTCTTATCAAGGCACTCTTGGAACGTAGCGAAGACCGTATGAAGACTATCTACAAGCTGTTAAACACCTGGTTGGATTCCGACAAAGCCAATTTGCAACGTGCAGGATGTCAGGTGTATGGCTTGGCCATTGATACTTTCGGTGAGGGTATGCGCTCTCAAGCTCCCAAGCTCATTGAGAAGTTGACCCGTATGTTGGAGGTTACACGTGAACAAATTGAAACCTTGATGGACTCCGACGATGAAACTGAAGAGAATGTTATGGATGTCGATAGTGATATTGAGTGGGAGGTCGGATATTATGCTCTCAATACATTTGCGAAATTGGCCAAGACATTCCCCAAGCTTATTTATGCCCCTGGTACAATGAGCGTATGGAAGGGAATGGAGGAAGTTCTCTTGCACCCTCATACCTGGATCCGTGCTTCAGCTGCAAGACTTTATGGTGTTTATTTTGCCAATATTGATCCTGAGACTCGCCACACAACCACCGGTGATGATCAGAGCTCATATTTGACACTTGAGACATTGCGCATCCTTGCTGTCAATTTTGTTGAACAAATGAAGAGCAAGCACCTTACAGAAGATCAAGCGAATCAAATTGTTAAAAACTTGTTCTTTATCGGTAAGTGTATGTATTACCTTTCCGCAGAAGAAGACATCGATGAGCGCTCGGAAACCAAGGCAGATGAGGAGGAGAAGGAAGAACAAGAAGAAGGTGTAGATACTGAAATCGAAGCCAAGCTTGATGAGGCCAGTTCAAAGCGCTCTCTCAACTGGCTCTTCCGCCGTATCTCTTTCACAATTCGTGGTGCTGCTATGAAGAGACAGAAAAACTTTTTGTTGGTAAGTTAATTATGCCTTTGTTTTTTATTTTGGTTTATAAAGTACGTCTACTTACGTTTATATATCACCATTTAGTGTTCTTCGGCCTTCAAATGGTTCGCAGCAATGTGTAACTTTATCCCATCAGAAAATCTTGCTCCTTACCTTTTGCCTGTTATCACACCCCTCTACTATGTTGTTAACGACGCTAACTCAAAGGATGAGCAGTCTGGTAAGTACATTTGAGTAACAGATAACGAGCAGACTTGTTTTGGAGAAAGGGAAATATACTTACTTTTTTGTATGTACAATAGTTGAATTGAAGCAGTTTGGCAATGAAGTCCTCGGAATGATTCAAAAGAAGGCAGGTACAACTGTCTACTTTGCTGCCTACCAACGTGTTCGTCAAAAGGTGACAAAGTCAAAGGAGGAGCGCAAGGCTAAATTGGCTATTGAGGTATGATTTCACTAATTTAGACTGCTGTTGAATTGAGCATGTTTAACTTATTCATTCTATTTACAGGCCGTTGTCAATCCTGAACTTGCAGCCAAGCGTAAGATTCTGAAACAGCAAAAGAATAGAGATCGCAAACGCACTCGCTTCCATTAGAACTTTTTGTATATATATATATTTTTTGATTTTCTTTTTCTTTTATAATCAATCCAATATTTAAAAAATAATAGACCTTGCTTTTTGTTTTCTTTAAAAAAAAGTCTATTATTGAGGCGGTGGAATAACATCGATTTGACTTCTTGTACTTTACACATTTATGCCTCTTGGGGCTTTTTACTGGAATTAGCCAAATTATACCTACCCAAAAAAAATAAGCGCTTAGAAAAATATTGCATAAGTAACAAAAAGCTAGATGAAGTTAAATAAATAAACCCTTGGTACTTCGAAAGACCAAAAGAAAAACTCTACAATTCCTTCGATAAGAAAGAAAGACTACATGGCTTTATGACGGTAAAAAATAATGGGTAGTATTTTCTAAATGACTTTTTAAAAAACCTTATTGCTAGCCATTTATCTTTGAATAAAATTATTTTTACGATACTGCTCCAGCATATGAGATTGCTTAAATGTTCTAAAGAATATTGAATTTGAACATATTTTATTTATTTATTTGTTTATCAAATTCAATCCAATTACTAATAGTATGAGACTTGTACTGTAGAGTCCTATATGTTTATAGTAAATTTTTGTGATAAAGATATATAAATATATTTGATTACCACAAGTCTAACAATGTATTATTCTCTACACCTTTCATACTTAGGTATTGTGATGTGCTATTCTAATGGTTTAGCATAAACAAAGGTTTCGTAATATTCGCGAGTCTTGGTTTTGGCTTTGGGCCATTGAAAAGAAAGATAAGGAAAAAAATGCCTTTTGTCCATATTTTCATATTTCTTATTCATTTAAACTTTCTTTCCCTTTAAATATATAATGTATCTATCATTCTTATTATTGGCATTATTAATATTATTTCCTTTTTCTCAAATAGTATATAAATGACTAATAATACAAATAATACATACGCGCATGGAAGAAAGAAAAATAACAAGAAAAAATATAAATAAAAAGAAAAATAGAATCACAATTGTTGGTAAAATATCTACAGATCAGTGCCAAGCCAACAAGAAGCGATCCGATCAAGGTTTCTTTTTTGTTGTTATTGATGTATGATGTTGTTGGTTTTGATGCCGATGGTGGAGGAGGTTGTTGTTTCATTTATGCAAGAGTGAAAGTACTAAACATTGACCAAATATGAAATGCGAGCTTTGGTTTCTGTTCAGCCAACGTTGTCAAATCTTTTTCGTAAGGCGTAAAGTACGGTTGGCTTTGTGTTTGTTGAGAAAGCAATCTCAGTAGATGCACGGCTACTAGCGCAACACCCTTGATATCTGAGCTATCGATATTTGCATAGGTCGTGCTGGGCGAGACTGGTGAACTGGTGACAGATACTGGAGTAAGAGGTTGTTGTAGTGAATCACAACTAATGTCTTTTGAATTACTGCCAATATTGCATTTATCCTCGTCTTCTTGTCTATTTTCATTTGCTTCCTCGTCTAAATTATTGTTGACCTGACTCGAGAGGTGACTTATTAACACATCTTTGTCTGTCAATGATTCTGGCGTATTTGCACTAGGTAGTGGTTTAACATCGGCTGTATTAGTGTAGACTGGTTTTGAGTGATCGTTTAATACATGCTGGTGAAGCAAAACCTCGTCGTCAAATGGCATTGTACAATTCTCCCACTGACAGAATACGGTAGAGTCTATCATAGAATAAGTCTTTAAGTATTGAAGTTAAGACTTCCTTTTAAAAAATTCTTACCATCTTGGAGAATACTAAGGCTAATCTGTATTCCGCGCACAAACAAACCTTCTACGACTGGCATAGTAGTAGAATTATCTGAGTTTCCTGTTATCGTATTAGGTGAGCTTGGAAAGGCAATCTTCAGAACCGTGTAAAAGTCTTTCATTTTAAGCGCCTTCTCTAGTCCAAATCGGGATTCATACAGGAGGTACATGTCGTCTAGAGATACAACACTACTTGGATCTGCTACTTGGAATTTGTCTTTTAGCCTATACAAAATTTCCTGAATCAGTATACGTTTCCCTTGATTGCCCTTTTTTCATTGTTCATCCAATTGCTCTAAATATTTTGTCTAGTATTTGCTTCCCTAATTGTATTAATTGAATTGAATGGAATTCACATACCATCCCAGACATCTGTATGGCTCATCAAGCTTTTGGTATGCACTCAGATTTGGCATGTATGGCACATTGCTTGTACAGAACATAGATGACATTGAGCTGACATCTGGAGAGAACGAGGCCTGTGGCTGGAAAAGAAAATCTATATCATCACGCACAATCTTTGGACAAAAGAACTTTGATCGAAAGGACAGAAGAGATACCAGGAGACCAACGTATGCCCCTGAATGAGCAGCCAAGAGTTGTGAGCAAAACATTTCTGACACTAGCGCATGTTGATAGAGGTATTCGAGAATAGTGCCGATCAGTTCTTCATCATTCGACAACAAGAGTTGAATAATTCGGGATGTTACACGGGGGATAAGTTCAACGCCAAGGTATTCGCGATTAACGTCATTCTGGGCCATATTGGTCAGAGTACGGACAGAGCCAATGATCAAATGGCGGTCTGGTGAGTCTATCAGGTTTGCCAGGCATGATATGTAGGCATCTGTAGGACCAGCAAGAGGCGCTGTAGATGCAATATTCACCAGGATGTCGATACTTTGTCGTCCCAATTCGAGGTGATCTGGATCGAGAGAGAGTTCAAGGCAGCTGAGTAGCATGTCATTGAGTCTCACACTACCAGCCAATAGTGATGTATTGATCTCAACAAGTGAAAAATTTCGGATGATGTGTAATATTTTTAGGATGCGTTTGAGCGGCGTAGGCGAATTTTGAGTAGCTTCGTCTATCATTTTTATGTTTAACGTTTTGTTCATGATTTCTTCGATTGTATCGGTTTGGTTATCGTTCCCTTCTATTTTGACTATTTTTGCATCGACAGGTTTTTGTTTGAGAGATGGTGAGGCAAGACTAACAAGCATGTCGAGTAGGATTGGTGTGGTGTTTAGTTGGAGATGATCGGTCCATTCGAAAGATACTGTCAGTATATAATCTAATGCCCATTCGATCTTTGTCTCCGTTCCAAATTGCAATGCGAACAATACTCTTTGCTTGGTATTTGCGTCAAATTTGTTTGCTAATAGTATCTACGGTTAGATATTAAATGTTGACCTACAAAAACCAATTGTTCCTACCTGGCGTTTGGATTTCTGTTGAGTCGTGTTTGAGGACTTGTTCTATTTGTGGGTCTACGTTCTGGATGGGTTCATTATACGGTGCATCTTTCACTGACTCAATACAAGGTCTTTTTGAAGTATTGGTGTCATTTGACGTAGAGTCGTCATTTAAGGGTGCCGTAGGTAGTTCCTGGCCCTCTTTTTCATGTCAATTGATGTTATGTTTTGTTTAAATTATATTTAGACCTACGTCTTTTCTTGCGATACGAGGTTCCTGCTAATGTCCATGGTTTGTGCGCAGCTGGGCCATATAGTTCCTGAGGAGGAACCCATACTTTTCCCCAGACTTTTTCTTCTTCCCATCCAAGCTAAATTTTTGTTTGTTTTTTTTTGAAAATTGAATAATGTACTGAGCCATCAGAACTTGCATAATCGACCAATAAGAAAGATATATCGGGTTCAAGAATCTTACAAGGTTGCGAATATAAAGGCCTTTGAGTATATAGGCGCTGTTTGTGCATGTTGATGGGAAGCCAAAGCTGTCCCCGACTTGTTTCCAGCCTCGGTTTTTGGTCACCTTTTTTTTTAAAAAAAAAAGTAAGAAAAAAAAATATATGCAAAATTACAAGGAAAATTAAAAAAAAAATAAGATAATATAATATAATATATATATGTATATGATCCTACTTCTTCAAAACCACCAGCAGCGTTGACTACTTGGTATATCTTCAAAAGGTCTAGTTTCTTTCCGCCTAGTACAGGTTCGGCTTGTAATCGTGTGCTGATATAAAGTTTCGTGGTTAAACAAAAAAAAGTCTGTGTGTAGGTGGGTTGTATGTGAGTTGCGTTTGACAGGACTCACCCTTTTCTGTTGTGAAAGTCTTGAAGGTCCTTTATGAAGCTGACATACTCGCTCGTTCTCGCAATCGCGTCAGTCAACCTCGCCATGGAGCTTGATCTCGTGTCGTTTTATAGTATTATTAGATGAATCGGCTGGCACTTTTGTTAAAAAAAAAGTTGAAATCGGCTTTAGCTGTCTTTCTACTTTTGGAGATAACCCGTCGGGACATTGGTGGCTTGGTCAATGTGACGTAGTTTATGCTCTTACTGCTCTTGTGCATGTTTTATCTGTGTCTTTCTTCTTTTTAAAACACTGTTTCTCCATTACGAAAATGATGACTTTTGGGCGTGTTAGAACATCAGTTTATTAAAACGTACAAGAGGTTTATTTTGGGAACAATGAAAATGCGCTTCTAAAACCAAGGAGTGAGATATATATATATATATTATCTATATCTACTTATACTTATATATATATATATATTATCTATAAAGGAGAATATCTGGGTTATACTAATGTTTCTTAGTCAATAGAATGATGATAATAAAAGCTTATAGATTATTTAATTTGTGTATTTACAGGGTTTATAATTTACTTTACAAAGTTGCACGTATAATTATGATTTTTTTATTATAAATTCAAATACTTGTAATATTCTTATTATAATATTATATCAATAGTAATCATTTACACTGTCTTATTTATTGTGCTTAAAAGGAGTCGAAGCTTATTAAACTCTTTCCATTGTGTATTTTGAATTTGTTTGTAAATGAGATTAGCGGACAATTAAAATGAATATGGATTTTGGTGTACAAGGAAAGGCTTGGGCGAGATAACATGTCATAAGAGTGAAAGCGCATAACTACTCTTCAACTCCCCTTTTTCCTTGCTCTTTGACTTATTTATTTGTTTATTCTTCTTTCTTTTCTTTATTGGCTTGAATGAATGGCTTTACATAATTCTCATCACTCGAAAGTGAAGGCAGACTCTTGCATGCCATGGTCACATTCCAAACCAGAAACCTTAACACACCATGACCTCCATCTATCTTTGACAGAACTAGATTCAGAACCCTCGACCAACCGACAGTCTGACATATTGATAACAAAGAATCCTCAAAAAACTCCCCGTAAACGACGCAGGCCGCCGTTTTCATATTCTTCTTTAATTGCACAGGCGATACTTGCGTCTGAGAAAGAAAGACTTACCTTACAGGACATTTATAAATGGATTACTGATAATTATCCAACTCTTTACAACGAAGGAGATACTGGCTGGCAGGTAAGAAATTTATATGCGATGACAAAAGCGTGTTTCAAATTATTTTTATTCTGTGCACATGAAAAAACGAGAAAATGATCGCAAAGAAAAGAAGAAGTACTCAACATTTTCACATTACAAACAGAATACTATTCGACACAATCTCTCGCTAAACAAATGCTTCAAGAAAATCCCCAAATCCGAACTGGACGGCTGGCCGAGTCGAGGCAAAGGGGGTTACTGGGTGGTTGATCCAAAATATTTGGTCAAATTCAAATCCGGTATATTTATAAAGGGTAGTCCTGCTTCAATGAGACAGCAAAAGCCATTGCGGCAAGACAGACAAGAACCCTTTGGCCGGACATCAGATAAAAGACAAGAACAGACCATTAAGCCTTGTGTAAACGAACCCAAACGCTTATTCTCTGTCCCTCCGCCCCCAATTACCACAGATTTGCACAAGATGCAAATCAATACTCTGCTCAATTGAACCCAGAAGGAAGAAAGCACAAGCAAAAGATGAAGAGAGAAGGAGAGGAGAGAAAGAGAGAGACAAAGCAAGAAAAATATTCATTAGATACCTCCCATATATATCCATAATAGAAAAATAAACAAACAAATAACATATCGTGCCACAAACGATTCTATCAAACTAAATTTCTTGATTTTTAATTTTGTATGTTGATTTCCAATATCACCAACTTATTAACACAGACTGAAGCTTCTCCAGGAAAGGCTCGACAGACGTATCACTCTTGGGAATATCTGACTTTGGTTCATCGATATCCATATTCATATTCATAGTCGTATCTGTAGTAGTCTCATCATCTTGAACCTTCTTCTGATTCAACTTCTTTTGAACCCACGGCATACGAGTTCCCAAACTGCGAATAAGCTTCTTTAGCTTGCTCTCCATTGCATCTTGACGCCAAAAATCTCCAAAATCAACCTTTTCGGGAGATTTTTTGTAGATCTCTAGCAATTGTAACTACGCAAATTTATTATAATTAAAATGCCACTGATCCTTCTCGTGTGTACCACTTAATTAATAATAAAGACTTACCATACGGTTCTCGTGCTCCTGGGACAAACATTCGTCTTCTTCAAGTTCATAAATCAATCGTTTCGGCATTCCGCGATCTTCTGGGCTATTTCCAACACAAAACCAGTTAATAACCGAGGCTGATCCAGGCAAACGTGGATCGTAGGGTCCTACAATTGCACCAACAAAGGGTTCAACTGTTTGTTTAAAAGGCCCTTCCTGTTCATGGTCGCATGTTTCACGACACAAAACTTGATAATTATTCTGGTTTTCAATATCAACCAGACTAGGATCTGGAATAAATGTAGGATGAGAATGATACCATCCCACTACTGTCATGTTCTTTTCTTCAATTAACTGGCGTGTTTCAATTGCACTGGTTGGGTCCATCTCTACGTTCACATCATTCTGGCCAGTATTGAGCGATCTACAGGGGTAAGCCTCTCGAATACACATATCTAATTACAAACAAATAAAAATCAGCAAAATTTATAAACATCCAACATTAATTTATATATAATAAAAAGGGGTATGAAACTTACGTTTTCGAGCACTGTCCCATTCGCCTGCCAGAAATCCAATAATTTCGGTTGTCATCAGATGAGCATGAAAGTCCATAGAGAGCAAAACATTGGAGTGGACAGAGATCTCAAAGGGCTGGGCACCATAACCGTTCGAACCAGGCTTGCCATTGTAGGGCTCGCATTTGACCATTGTCAACGGGTCGCTAATCCATACACGCATACATGTAGCCATCCAGTTATGAGGATCATCCATGCACATAAGCATGATCTTACTCGTCTTTGTTCAATTGGCTATAAGTCACAGAATTTCGATCGCTGGGTTGTCGTAGCCGAGACTTGGAATACGTCGTTCGTCCGTTTTTGTCGTATGCTGAAGGAATCCTCACTCGGCGTTCGAATGATTCTTTTGGCCTACATATCGAAAAAGCGTATAAGGTGAGAGTAAAATTACACAGCCTATACTTGCATTGAAACGGATTCCACTCTGTACTCATTAGTATGAATTTCTGTTAAACTGGACACTGTCGGTGATGGTGGTACTCGTTCTACTGGTGCCTTTGTAGAAGTCAATGTTGAACTCGTGGGCTTCTCGGATTTTGGTACTTTTTTGGTGTTTTCTGGCTTTGTGCTTGGCTGTAGCACAGGTTTATTTTCTATGTTGGTGGGATCAGTAGTGTCCACATCCATCATCTCTACTTTAGTTTGGGTTGGAACCGGCTTTGCGGGGCTCTCGTTGTCGCCCATGCTATTACGAATCAAATAGGGTTTGGCAGCTGATGAATTTGGGTCCAGAGGTTTACCAGAAAGTGTATAGCCTTCACCTGTCAATCTCACCTGAATAATCACAGAATAATCAATTATAGTCCAAGAATACAGTGCCTTTTTATACTATACTTTTGCAGGTAAAGGAATATTGTCTCGAAATAGCTTGATTAGATGCTTCTGGGCGTGACTACGAATCGAATTGGCATCTCGGGTGGCGATGTGGGCAGCAACCTACACATACAAACACACACACATATACACATATTAAGAAGCAATCAGAAAGATATTCCTAATTTTACAATTAGCAAGGCAAGAGTATAATTAACCCACCTTTATCCATTCGCGTCCAAACAATTCCAATCCTTCGACAAAGCGTCGCTCTTCCTCCTCTGAATACACACCAGAATTAAATCCTTCGGGTACAGGACGTCGAGGTTTCTTGGAAAGTTGTTTTCCGGATGTCAAGTCTTCTGTCGGAGATCCAGATCTGGGACCTGCAGTGGCTTCGGTGACAATCTCATTAATTTTCTTTGTAGGATCATTGTTGATATCATCGGGTTTGGTAGAAGTATCTGTTATGTTTTTTGGTTCTGCTGTTGCTTCTGTTGTTGCTGCTGTTTCTGCCTTTGGAGCAGGCAAGGATTTATTGGTGAGATCAAATGCTTCTGGTTCACTTTTTCTCTTGCGTCCACGCCGAGCTGTATAATAATTATTTAATATAAATACAAAAAATATTATTAAAGTGTGTGTGAAGATTGTGTATTTTGACAGGACTTGATTTTGATTTTATTTTGATTTTATTTATTTATTTACCTGCTGTTTCTGCCTTGGTCGATTTGGCTTTTCCACGTCCTTTGCCTTTGTTTTTTGAATTGTTGCGTTTTGGGGCGTAGGAATCATCTTCGCTGTCTTCAGCATAGCTACCGTCGCGGTCTTCACGATGAAACTGCTGATATGATGTGGCGTCGTTGCTATATTCAGCGTAGTAATCTTCTCCACCAGCTGCCATTGCATCTTCTGCCAATAGTTGCGCAATGAGTGCTGAACTCATTTCCTCCTCTTGAGCCTGTGACATTTCACTTTGCTTTGTTTTCTTGATAGCCATTGGTCAATCTGCTTGCTCTTATTGTATATTCTATATATCTTGAATTTAATTATTTTTTATCTAATTCATTCACAAAATAGCACAGCTTTTTGGATATATATATATATGTGTATGTATGTATGTATATAAATATAATCACTGTGCGTAAAAGAGGGGATGTAGGTTGTAAAAGATAATAGTAGGTTTTTTTTTTGGATGTGTATTTGTGTGTGTGTTTTTTTTATAAAAAAAAAGAGGATAGCTTATAATTTGTGCCTTCACTTACGTGACTTTTGACAACCCTTCTTGTTTTGCTCAATCTGTGTTTGTGTGTGCTTTCTTACACCTAAAGAACTAGACGCGAAATACGTGTATATGAATGCTTGTTTTTATAAGAAGGAAAATGTGTCTTTTAATGAAAGAGAGAAAGAGAAAGACTTTAGACGCAGAAGAGCCATGTACTCTATATTTTTTATTTTTAATTATATTATATTTTTAAGAGGAGATACAGACACACAATTGAAACAACAACACCAACAACAGCAAAAAAAATCAGGTTTATACATATTTTCACGCATAATCTTGTACTTTTTTTGCCTAAAGTACCTTTAAGTGTAATCATGGCTATATGTGATATCTTGTTGAGTAGTTACACATTGACTTTCACGCGTATTTGCATTATTATTATTGGAAAGCAATTTATATGGCATAGCTCTTCAATCGACTTTAATTCTTTTGTAGTAACTAGTTATTTAGTCCCCATTATAGAACGCATACAAGTATATATAAATATATATATACTTGAGCTCTTGTTGAATACAAGCTATCTATGAATATATTTATTTATTTCTATGGTTAGATTTAACAGGTGTATCATTGAGTGCTATAAAATAGGGTTTTAGATTTTTTATCCCTCAATTTTAAAAGGGTGCCAATTCGGCCGTTGAATGGCCATACTCTACACTTGTTTATCTTTCTGATGTCTATTAACAGTCGCTACCGTGAGCGAAAATACATTTCCTCAGATAACGATCGTCTCTCACGCGCACTTTCTCAGCCAGTCCAAGCATGGTAAATCTAACCCATTGCTGTTATAATTACTTACACTTCTACAGGGACAAGAAATGGGCACCTTATTCGCGTTCGAAAAATTACGAGACTTTCAAGTGGGTTAAATGTAGGAATATGTTTAGAATCAATCCACAGATTCACAACTAAATATGATCATTAGCCGATCGACCCATTGTGTTTGAGGATGAAGACGATGATGAGGAACCTGATCAGAGTGGATTAGATGTCAAAAAGGTAAAATGTTATTCATAATAAAAGCAAAATGGGAGTTTTTTTTTTTCTTTTGCTTTATTTTATCTTTTGTTTCTAATCAAAGTAAATGACATGATTATTATTAGGACGAGGCAGATACTCTTGATGGTACGACAACAATGTCAGAAGACACACCCATGCCAGCCCTTCAACACCACATGCTTTTGGACGAAAAGGATGATAGCCGTACCCACACACCTTTACTCGAGGACATTTCTGATGCTGAGCCTGACAATGTACTTGATCAAGAGGATGGTGAAAGTATGGTAGACGATGTAAACGATCCTTCCAGGCACCCTGCATCGATTCCACATGTTCATCCTAGACTTGGAATGCCTGAGGACGCGACAGTGTACGAACCTGCATTGCCTGAGACAGGATACACTACCTCGTACTCAGAAATGGTCGTTGATCAGGATGTTCTTCCCACTTTGGCTGAAGAACCTGTTCAGGGCACAAAACCAATTCTGTCTTCAGAATCTTCAGTTCACCAATACAGCGAAGTAGTCATGGAAGAGCCACCTATTCAGCAAGCACAGTTACCAAAGTCACCTTCCCCAGTAACAGTAGCTGCAGAGCCAACAGTGTCCGCAGAATCAGCAGTTTCTGCACAATCAACAGAAGCAGAAAGGTCAGCAGAAGCCGCAGAGTCAGCCATGGATATAGAACCAACAGTTGCTGCAGATTCTATAGTGTCTGTAGGACCGACTGTGTCCGCAGAACCGTCAGCAGCTCCAGAACCAACAACATCCCCGGAACAAGTGGTGGCTGGAAAACCAGCTGAAACAGCAGAACCGTCAGTGTCAGCAGAACTAGAAACTGCTGCAGGATCAGCAATGGAGGTAGATACTACAGAGACTGTAGAAACAATGGAAACAGTAAAGGCTTCAGAGACAGTCAATGCTTCAGAGATAGTAAATGTAACAGAGGCAGTACATGCAACAGAGACCGTAAATGCAACAGAGACAGTAAATGCGACCGAAATTGTAGAGGCTACGGAGAAGCAAGTAGAGACTACGGAGGAGCAAGTAGAGACTACGGAGAAGCAAGTAGAGACTACGGAGAAGCCAGTGGAGAATACGGAGAAGCCAGTGGAGAATACGGAGAAGCCAGTGGAGACTACAGAAAAGCCAGTAGAGACTACAGAAAAGCTAGTAGAGACTACAGAAAAGCCAGTAGAGACTACAGAAAAGCCAGTAGAGACTACAGAGAAGCCAGTAGAGACTACAGAGAAGCCAGTGGAGACTGCAGAGAAGCCAGTAGATAATACAGACAATTTGGTAGAAACGACAGAAAAGCCAGAACATACTGTAGATGATGCAGTAAAGGAAGAGAAACTAGTGGTCGTTATGAACCCAGAAACGAGTACAGATGAAATAGACCACACCCAGTCAACAAAGAGCCCAAAAGAAGCGACAGCTAATATTAGCAAAGATCTTACAACAAGTGAACCTGTTTTGGAAGAACATAATTTATCAGTAGAGTCAGTCAATGAAAATATTGAGTCAACCCCCGCCGTTTAAAAGAAAACGACGAATTTATGTTTATTTTCTTGGTCTGTTATATATATATATATATCTTTGCTTATAATATTATTATTATTGTTTGTGGATATATTTCAACTTGATTTAAAGTGAAAATACTACGTGTATTTGTGTGTGTGCATATATATATATATCACTGTTTAACTAAATATTGGGTGTACTGGACGTCATCTCCTTATTTAAAGCAATAAAATTGCTGAAAATTAATCCTCATTCTTGTTTTCCACAATAATGGAAGATACCCACTCTCATCACAAGCTTGGTCAGATGCTTTATCTGTTCTCTACCCTTCGCAATGGGGCTATTGCTGTGTCTCGTTTCGCATGGGTATTATACCTCGAAATTTACAAAAGATATCCACCTGTTCGCTGGACAGGCAATATTATACAACGCCTGAGCACTCCACCACTGGTCGTATTTTTATTTGTCCTGATATCTTCACTGGTATTTCTTTTAAGCATTGCCACAGTGTTGGTTCTTTCTATCCAGACTGGGATCATCCTTGCTTGCGGATCCGTACTCTTACCTATACTTGGGATTATATGTGGTCTTGCTCTGACTATACTTGGTGGTCTTACGTGCCTGTTTGTGTTTGCTCAAGCGACAGTTGCTTTTGTAAAACCTATACTTCTTCATGTGGGACTTGCTTTAAGAAAAGATAAAAGAAGAATTTAGTTTAAGAAATCCCCCTTTTTTTGGAACCAAATATATATATATATATGTGTAAGCATTACTCATTAAAATAGTACCCTTTCTTTTATATAAATATATGATATTATCATAGTCAAAAACGAGAAACATAAATAAAGGCTTTGTAAACCTACTAAATTCCTTGAAATTTATAATGACATGCCCTGAAAAGTATCTTCTTCTTCTTTTATATAAAAAAGATAAACTGACTATATTTGATAATACTATAAAAGTAAGTGTATAAAGAAAGCATAAATTTGATTGACAAGTTGAGAATCTAAATTGTAGTATCCTTTCAAATAACCTGTACAATTAAACAAAATTGGTCACCACATCAGAATAGTCTAACACTGATAAATCATGTATCTTGGAATAAATTTCTGGAAGTATCATCTACTTGAACGTTACAATTGATACGTTGGTGCACACTTGATAAAGGCAATATGCGCCTTTAATATGTATACAAATCTTTACTTGTAGATCCAGATGTATACTTTGATGTATTTACTGTCTTGAAATTTCACAATTTCTTTATTGTTATCATTATGATTATTTAAAGAATATAGCATTCATTACAATGTATAAAGATAAAACTGAGAGACAAAAAGATCGCTTTACACTGACGAGCCGTTTCTTCTTCTTTTTTATTGTTTGTTTAAATTTTAACTACTACTGTCATGAAGCCTCATTACAGTAATGTTTATAAACAATCATTATACCAGTGTCAATTTTCGCCATCAAACGAATATGTCGCACATGCTGTTGATAATCGTCTTGTCATTCGTTACAATGATATTGATCTCACCATCATTCATGTATACGAATGTCCGTTTGTGATTGAATACGTGCAATGGTCCCCAGATTCAAAGTACATCTTAATAGCCTCGCCATCGAAGGCTATTGTGCATGTCTTGTCAATATCAGATACTATTTGGCGAGCAATTTTTGAAGATCATTATCATGGTATTCAACGCGTTACATGGCGTTCAGATTCTGGAGGAATCATAACAGCAGCTCATGGCCAGGTATATAATATTATTTATTTTCAGAATGATTATGGTAGTAATAATAGTTAGATCCATATAATAATATTTTTCCCAAGTATATAAACATAGTGCTCACATAATTAAATTATTAAATATGTATATAAACACGCGCACATAGTTTCAATTAAAGATGTGGTCTTTAACATCGAAAGATGTGCTGGTGATAAAAGGAGCCAAGTTTGCTAACAAGGGATATATGTCTAGCCCTGATGGAAAATACTTTGCTGTCTTGGAGACAAAGCAAGGAAAGGATCATTTAAGCATCTACACCCCTAGATGGACATTAGTCAAAGTAATATGTATAATGTGGCTTATGTAATCAAATTAGAATGCTAACAAATAGACTTGCACGGCCTATGTTTTGTAGCATTTCAAAATAGACACTGCTGATGCTAGTAATATTCAATGGTCGCCTAATAGTAGCTATCTGGCTGTCTGGGACAATTCTCTCTATGTAAGTTTCAAATAAAATAAATCACTTAAATGTGGATTAAGATTTGACATATCGATTGTCTATTTTTTTTGTTAGTACAAGATACTTGTGTATCGCCCTGATGGTCACCTCTACACATCTTATCAAGCACCTGAAGATGGACTTGGTATTAAAACTGTGGCATGGAATAGTAGGAGTTCTATACTTGCCATGGGAGGTTATGATCATCAAATTCGCTTCATGACAACATCTGATTGGAAAGTTGTTATTCGTCTATCACATCCATCTACTATTCACCAGAACACAGTGGTAATTTGTGGATCTCAAACGGTTGAATTTAATCTTAAACTGATATATATATACATTGTTTTACGTATAGGATATATATGAAGAAAACTCGCTGGGTTCTTCTGTCCCGACCCTTCAAGCGCGAGCCTATTGCAAGTTCTTTACTGAAAAAAAATCAGCAACTTACTAACAAGGTAGTTTTGTTCATTATGACTCATAGACCAAAAGAGTCTCAAGCGCCCGCTTCCTTTACCGATGACTCGGCCTGACTATAACATTGCCAACCCATCTACCGGAATTGGTGCCTTCCAATTCAGCCCTGATGGTCGGTTATTTTATAGTATTGATGGTGAGTTTATATAATCAATATCAATCATTATCTTAAAATGCATTTGTATTATCTTGTCTTGTTTTGGAACAGATAGTATGCCGACAACACTGTGGTTGTGGAATGCACGGACATTGAAGACCGAAATGATCGTGTGCCAGTTGAATCCGATTCGACAGGTTGTGTGGCATCCAGCGGTGTCCAAGTTGTTCCTCGTGTCTGGGGAGGACCGACTGTCGGTGGTTGAGTACTCTAGTGGCCAATGGGATATTACTGTTATAACAGTCCCTACAGGTAAACCAGTCATGACAGATTCTTTCTAGCTTTACTCATCCTTCCATTTGGAAGATCTAGTTGATTTCAAGGTCAGGAGAGTTCAATGGAGCAAACATCAGGAACATGCGTTGTTGATGGATACACACTTGTTCTGTTTAATGAATTTGTTTTTGAAAGAACAGGAAAAATAATACAATAGGATGCAATAAAAAAAGAGTAAAAAAAAAAATTAGATCTTTAGAGACTAAAGAACCAAAAGAATCAAAAAAGAAACTTTTATCTCAAAACAATAGTAATAATGGTAATGGTAATGGTAATAGTAATAATAATTATAGTTTGATTAATTAATCGCTGTAAGTAACGAGGAAATCAGCATGGAACTTGGAGAGGTTGGCGCAGAAGTCATCAAACAAGTGCTCCTCGGGAAGGAAGGTGGATCTAAAGTGCCAGGTGTCTTCCTTTTGACCAAAGCCAGAGCCTACAAATAAATAAATAAAAATATTACAATTGTTATTGTTAAGATCATATAATATGCATATATATAATTTATTGTTGGTGTTCCCATTGCTGTCACCTAGCCGTGAGAAAAAAAAAAGATTTGTGAATCCTTACCTGGTACAACACAGACACCGGTAGCTTCAAGCATAGCCTCGCAATAAAAGGCATCGGCAGCGAGACCCTGGGAAGCAGCCTTTTCAATTGCTTTTTTGGGAAGACGAATCCGGGGGAAAAGATACATGGATCCCTCGGCAGGCTGACAGGTTACACCCTCCATGGCGTTAAAAACACCCTCGAGCTTCTTGGATCGGCGACGGAGGGACTCATAGATTCCATCAAGCTCAGCACGGTAGTTCGCATAGGAGACGTCACCCTTACGAGGGGGGTCGCACATAAGATCGACAAGGATCTGACCGTGGAGGTTGGGGCAAAGGGAAACAGAGGCCATCTTGTAAACCTGCTCGAGTACCTTCTCATCAAAGTTGCAGCACTCGTAGTAACCACCACGACGACCGCACTCACCAACCATACCCTTGGAGATGGAGTGGAATGAGACCAGCTCAAGACCAGTGCGAATTGCTTCGTTGGGGTGCTCCATCATGGCCTTCTTAAAGCTTACAAAAGGCTTGGTCTCAGGGTTGTAGATGTTTGTCTGGTAGACCTCATCAGCCAACAAAACAAGACCCTCCTCGTAACAGAAAGACAAGATATCACGCATGTTACCGGCATCGAGACATTGGCCAGTGGGGTTACCGGGGTTAATGATGACCAAGGCACGAACGTCAGTACCCTCGGCACGGGAAGCATTGATAGTTGTCTTAAGGGATCCAATATCGAGAGTCCAGCCAGACTCTTCCTCGAGCAAGTAGTGGACAGGTGTGGCACCGAGGTAGGCGAGGGTAGCACTGTAAAGGGGGTATTGGGGGATGGGGATCATGATACCGGTCTTGTTGCTCTGGGTCAACAAGCCCAAGATGGCCTGGACACCAGCAGAGGCACCCTGGGTGAGGTAAATGTTGTTGAAGTTGGCGGGGTGGCCGTCTCTCTCGAGCAAGAAGCGGGCAACGGTCTGACGAATAGAAGCAGCACCCTGGGAGTGAGAATAGGCACCGATACCAGCACCGAGGGTCTTGAGGATCTTCTTGGCACGTGCAATTGTGTCAGCAGGATAAAGCTGGCTTACAAGCTCGGCCTTGTCTTCGGCCAAAAGATCGGTATTCTCACACAATGATGCAACCTGTGATTGGTAAAATAAATAGATAAAAGTAAAAGGATCAGTAAGAGCCGATGATTAGAACTATAGCCATAAAAATTAACCTACTTGACGGAAGAAAGAGATGGGCTTCTGGTTGAGCTGCTGGGGGTTACCAATGTTGCAGCTAACAACACGGTCAAAGGGGAACTTCTTGCCATGAGCCAGTTCATCACGGATTTCCTCGGAGCGAATTGCGATACGGCCACGAACGGCGTACTCAACAGTGCGGATGTTGCTGTTGATGGTATCGAGGGTGAGAACCTTGGGCTTTGTGGAGTTGGTCATGGCAAATAGAAGTATGCGATATGAAAAGAAACAAGGTTCGGGTTACAAATCATGGAATGCAGTTGGCTTTTTATACCCCTCTGCTGAGACTATGATATGGAGAAACCTATGAAACCTGTCACGTCCCTGTATCTATTAGTGCCATTTTTTTTTCTTTTTTCTTTTTGGTTTTACTTTTTTTTTTGTTGCGGGGACAATAGGCTAAATTTGGATTTTGATTTTTTTTTTTGGAACCGGATAAAACTTTCGCCAATGCTAAATAAGAAAAAGACTCAAGATGGGCTCTATCCAGTCAGGGATCAATTCTTCCTCCCATCTGATCAATCTCACAAAGGGACCCGATCTTATTTATTTATTTTTCCTTTGTACAAATAATTAAGCTTCTAGACATTTTCAGTCGTTCTCATTGGCCAAAAAGAGCCTATTTTGTTTCAATTTTCAGCTTTTTTCTTCTTGTCTGTCGTGAGAAGAAGAACCGATCCACAGTTCACAAGCGTTTTCTACTGTTCTACATGCATACATACATATATATTTATATATATGTGTGTGTGTGCATATAGTCTTAATTATACTCTTTTCAAAAAAAGTTGTAACACGGTCAAAATTCCAGCTATAATTTTTGGATACTAATGAATACTTCAAGAGTTTAAGGGCAAACAAAAAAAACAGTGAGTTTGTTAGCTCAAGAGCATAACTCAATCAAAATATCTGTATGTTTCGACGGAATGAATGTTGCTGAGGTAACTGGTTGAATAAACGGTCTATTAAAGAAGTAGATGATTTTATAAACGTCTAAAAGATTTTTGAGTTGAACTTTGGTCATCTCTACAACACGACTTTCTGTACAAAGGTCGCATGTGCGCTATCTTGGACTTAATATAAGGATGTCTCTTTCTGTCTTAACTTATTTTGAAGCTATCAAGTGCCCCATTAAAGTATAAAGAATTAAGAAAAGGAACTGGTTCTTGTTCAAGTGGATCAGTGACCCAGTCTAACGTTTTACTTTGTTCAAGTACTACATTAATTATAGCATGTATAATCCTACGTTCATCTCCTATGGACAGACATCTGGTCCGAACCGGAAATAAAACAATTTTGTATTTATTTTTCTCAAAAAAAAAACTGGATGACACTTTTCCAGTAGAAATCTTGGTCATAAACTACATTTTTTTTAGCTAAACTTGTTATGTTTGACTGGCTCTTTGATAACCGCCCATAGGATGGAACGTGAATAGGCCTATTATACAGCTTTAAGGAATATAATAAGGATTGTTTTCTTCCGGTTCGGACTAGATGTATGTCCATAGTATGAGACGTAGAATTAAACATGATTTATTTAGTGAAATACATGAGCAAAGTAAAACATTAGGGTGGGTACACTGATCCACTTGAACAGAAACTAGTTCCTTTTCTTAATTCTTTATATTTTAATGAGGAGATTTATAACTTTCGAATAAATTTATATAGAAAGTGACATCCTTATATTAAGTCCAAGATAGAGCGTCCTGACCTCTTTACATAAAGTAGTGTCGTAAAGATGACCAAAATACAGTTCAAAGATCTTTTAGACATTTATCAAACATACTATATTTCCACTACATCCTCTTTCACCAGACCCATTCAACTATCTTTCTTAAATCCTGGTTTTAAGTTAGAAATTCTACTCTTCTTTCTCATTAATATTGTGAGGTATTCAATGGTAGCTAGAAGCTATAGCTTTAATCTATACCACAATATTACAGCTGTCTTTCTTTCTTTAGAGCGTATGCCAAAAAAATCTAAAAAGTGTGTGGGAAACATAAAATTAAATTTGTTCAGGTAAAATTGACCCTTTTATTCAGTTCTATTGGGATGCTCGTATTTTTTACAGGTCTTTTTGAATTCCTGTGCAATGTCTACCAGTTTCTGCTCCTCTCCTGGATCTCCATTTAATTCATAAATCTCTTCTACACCATACCAGCCCAACTTTGCTGGCATTGACATTACTGCACCTAATCTGTCTACATACACTGACAATGGTCGAATGTCCCTTCGATTCTTGATGATCGTTTCGCACAATGAGGCAGTGCATGTCGCGATTCCAAAATAAGTCGATCCTTTGAGCTTGATAATATCCATAGCCTTGCCTGCGATCTTTTCTCGCACCAGCTCTTTATCGAGATTAGCTACCCGTGGAAAGGACAGAATAGGCTGTCCAGCAATATTAGCTGTGTTCCAAGAGATAAACTGAGAATCTCCGTGTTCACCCAGTACAGGCGAATGAATAGACTCATTATTAACCTATCACAATATCTATCAATGAATATCCCTATACATGCATACATACATATATACATACATATATATATATGTATATATATATATATATGTTGGCCCCAACCAATACCACTTTTGTACTTACTTCTAATACTTCGGATAAGAAGCCTCTGAGACGAGAACTATCTAGATATGTTCCACTTCCTATAACTTGATTACGTGGTAGACCTGATAATTCTTGGGCAAAGTATGTGAGGACATCCACAGGATTTGCTACCAGTAGCATAATAGCGTCCTTCTGGATAGGTTGCATTGCACTGATGATAGACTCTAATACTTGGTAGTTTCGATCAATTAACTATAAGCAATAGTGAGCCAACGTTCTTCCTTTTTCTCTTCTTCTTTCTTCTTTTGTTTCTTAATCTATCATTGCTGCTACTATAATCTTACATCTGCACGGGATTCATTTTCCTTTTGCCTTGCTCCTGCTGTGATAACAATCACATCTGCTTTTCCTGCTTCCTGAAGAGTCACATCTTTCACATGGGTTGCTGAGAACAGACTAGCATCATCAAGATCCAGTCTTTGTCCTTTTGCTAATGATCGATTGGCATCGACTAGTAAGATTTCATTTGCTACGTCTTTGAGGACTAGTGCATATGCAATTGAGGCACCCACATTGCCGGTGCCTACAACGGCGATGCGAGAGTGTGCACCCGGACTGCCATGATGGTAGAATTTGCTTGGTAGGACAGAGCGCTGGTAGGCAAAGGGTGTTCTCAGACAACGCTGGATAGTGGGAGGGCCAACCCGTGCGAATCTTGGGATGGTCGAAACAAGGTTTCTAAGGAAAGACATTTGGCGTAAGGTTTTGTCTTGCAAACAAAACAAAAAATAAAAATAAAAATTTGGAAAAGAGGGAACGGTACAAGACACGCTTGTTTGGGGGGCTTTCTTGGAGTACTTAAATCTAACCTAGATTGTACGACAATTGGAGCTGGACTTGCTTCTTGAAAGGATATATTATTATTATTATCTTTATTACATGAGACCACTTGTATTGAACCGAAAAGATCCTTGAGATACTTACAAAAATCACATTCTAAAAGTAATAGATAACAGTTAAATTCAATACGATAATGATAAGGAATTATTTTGTAATAATGACACAGTGGGATGCTTTTTTTTATTGTAGATATATTAATATTCATTTATGAAGTTGTCCTTTGAAGCTTGTACTCCATTAGGCGAGATTTTTTTAAAATAACCAATTCAAGGTCTCATTTTTTCAAGTATGGTAGTATTAATTCACTCACCCTTACTCTTTCTCTATATAAGCATCTAGATGATTTTTGAATAACGGGTCCCATCGTGTTCTACAAGCAATATATAAAAAGGAAGATAAGTCAAATTATTTTGTTGTAGATAGTGTGGCATGTTGCTTTGACTTGATTTTATGTTCCACTTGTTTTCTGTACACCCTAAAACCCTGTCTCCAATGACAGACCATGAATGCTTTCAAAGGTAAACACGCACTCTAACATTGGTCCCTTTGATTCCAAGCGTGAGAACAATTCATTTATTTATTTTATATCCATCCCATATTTTCCCTCGGAATAAGTTGCGATTCAGAACATACAAAACTATGTTTTTATATATATTTATGCATTTGTCAATAAAAGCTAAAATAATAATAATAGTGATAGTAATTTCAGCTCTATTCTGTCTCTATAAAACAAAACAAAATATTTTTTTTTATCCTTCACTTTCTTGCTTTCAAGAGCAACAACTTCTTCAACCAAACGACTTAGTCTGTGCAGTCAGTCTGAAGACCGCTCTGATTGACGTCATTCTCCCAATAGACGTCATTCAAAGAATATGTCTGAAAACAAAAAAAAAACACAATTTCAGGCAAACCAGAAAAAAAAACCTTGTTATTTCGTATACACGTACATTTCTTCTCTTTCGAAGCTTCTTTTTCCTTCTTCTTCTTCTTTTGTTCCTTTTCTTTTATTCTTAATATAAAAACGAAAGAAAGAAAGAAAGAAAAAAAAAAACTACAAGCAAGACTACATCAAGCTTTACCAATCATCATTTTGGAAGCGTTGAACACAAACTCCATTCAAAAAGAAAAAGAAAAATAAAATGGACAACCATCACCATAATCACCAAAGTCGTTTTGCACCTTACGATCCTAGAGATCCCGCACGCCAGCAACCTTTGCAACATCAAATTCCGCAACAGCAGCCCATTCAACAGCAGCAACAGCAACATCATCAACAGCAGCAGCAGCAACAACAACAACAACAACAGCAGCAGCAGCAAAATCAAGGATTTCGTCCACGTGAAACCTATAATGATTTCTCAAATGATCATTTCAATGGACGCCAACAACGTAAAGGAGGTATTGGTGGTGTGGGGAATGGCGGGGGAGGAGTAAGAGGTGGTAACGGCGGAGGCGGGGGCGGCGGCGGTGGCCCTATAAGACACCGTGGAATCCAAAAGCCTTTCAGAGGTGGTCGTGGAAAGAATATGAGACCCGAACATCGTGGAATGAGAGATTCCGAAGACGATAACTACCGAGCCTACAATGATCCTCCCCAACCGCCCTTTGTGCAGCCCTATGGGGCAAGACCGATAAACGAAGGGCGGGAATATCGAAATGAACCCTGGCAAGACGATGCTTATGGTAAGACTAAGAACCTTGCCCCTCCTTCATTATCCTCTTCTTTTTTTTGCGAAAATATTCGTCTCCTTCTTCTCCTTCTTCTTCTTCTTCTTCTTTAATGGAGTGACAACAATATCCATCAATTCTTAATCCTGCTGAGAGAAAGAGAGAGAGAAAAGAATGAAAGAAAGAGAGGATATAATCAGACACGACCAACAAACTGAGGCTGTGACCATGTACTATTATACCACAAAACGAGAGCTATTGAAAAAAAAACAATTAGCTCCTTAAAAACAAAAAGGGTATCTGAAGCAACTACAACCTACGATCGATAATGAAAAGAAGCTTGGGCAAAAAAAAAAAGAAAATCAGCTCCCCCTTAAGAAGTGGTATACACGCCATATAATGAAATCTAAGAAACAAACCAAACAAAAGCACCGCAACTCTACTTAGTCAACATATCAACCCTGGAAAGAAAGAAAAGAAAAGAAAGGAAAAAGGAGGCCTTTATTCTTCAACCAATCATTGCCTTTCTCCATTATGATAATCCAGTTGAGGTTCTTGTGTCTATCGTTCAGTCATAATAATCTTCTTTTTTTTTCTTTTTTTTCAACGGTGGCTTCATTCTATTCCATATATCCTTCTCTATGTGAATACGTCTTCATCTCTCTATCTCTCTACACACACATATGTACACACACACATCAGGTTCATCTGACCAAGCTCCCAAGGCACGTGCTTCTCAACTGGAGTCAAGGGCAGCTATGGAAAGGCCTTGCAGAACCTTGTTCGTAAGAAACGTCCAGGTAAAAAAAAAAGCACTGAATTATTCCGAAAGTTTTATTTTTATTGTTGTTGGTTTAAAAAACCAATGTTTCTTACTTTTTAAATTACGTTTGTCCAGTACACCATTCAAGTATCTGAGATCAGAGAAACCTTTGAGAAGTTTGGTGAGATCAAAGACATTTTTGATCTTATAGAACGCCGAGGAATGGCCTTCATTACATATGTAAGCCAGAATGAAACGAACAGCATAAAAGGGGGCGGATAGGAGTTTGATGTTTTTTTTGATTGTTTTTTTTTGTTCATTTGATATCCTTTCTCTTAGTATGATATCAGGGCTGCTGAGGCGGGTAAAGAAGCCATGCAAGGAGCTATGCTCAAGTGTCGAATGCTCGATGTACACTACTCTCTTCCAAAACAAGAAGAGGAAGAGGCCAGATGTGACAGAACAAAAAACCAGGCAAGCCTTAGATTGCAGAAAAAATGAGTACAATGAATCATAACTTACACACACACATACACACGTTGTATTTAGGGTACATTACTGTTGACCCTCAAAGATACCGATAATACCATCAATGATTCAGAGCTTAGTTTATACTTTAGACAGTATGGAGAAATTAAGGTGATTCGCACCCCCCATTTCAAAACACACCGAGAAAATACCGAGCTGAGGTAAACCGGGATTTTTCTTTTCTTTACACGATCATTTTGTAAAATACTATTCTATGTGAGACTAACTATAATACTGCATTACATATAGACAACGCATTATTGAGTTTTATGACTCGCGTGCATGTGTTAATGCATTTGATGGGTGCCACGATAAACCATACAAGGGTGGTCGTTGGGATATTTCATTCTTCTGGGATCATTCGTTCAAGTGAGTTGGATTTTTGGTTACAAACACCAAAAAAAAAATCAAAAGATTAATTTGTTAATAATATTTTTTTATACAGGGAAAGAACAGAGGCATTGGCAGCACGTAAAGAACAGCCAAATGACAAGAAAATGGACGGACATCTCAACGGTAGTCGCCATGGACGTAATGGAGGTGGAGGTAACGGTGGTGGCGGTGGCGGCGGAGGTGGTGGGCAAAGACGAATGGGAGGAGGAATCGGTGGACAAAGACGTGATGACCATCACCATCACCACGGCCACCACGGCCATAGCCATGGCCACCCCCATCACAATCAACGTCGAGACAGCTCGTACGACTCCATTCCAGATCACAACAGACCTCTTCATCGATATGGCAGCTATTCTGAAGAAAGCTCGGGCCCAATCATGTCGCCTAAGACGGTCTATGATCCAGCAATCCCATCTATGGGAGGTCCTTTCAAACCTGATGCAAATCAAGAACGTCTTGAGCAAGCACAGAAGGCACAGCAGGTAAAAAAAAAATACACTCACACCCAAATGTATAGTAAATAATTTATTACATAACTACAAAATTGAAGAAGAAGAAGAAAAAAAAGAAAAAAAAAGCCTTTGTATTTGTCATGATTAACTTTTTCTTCTTAGGTTCTTTCAATGCTGGCACAGACTCAGACAGTTCAAGGAGTTCCAACACAACCAGCCTTTGGACACCCTACAGGAACATATGGTGGCCAGGCAAATGGTACATCTACCGTTCCTCCATTACCCCAGGCACCTGCTGCAGCTCAATTACAACAAATCTTAGGACTTTTGGTAAGTGTAGCAAAAAAAAAGGAAGAAGAGGCTCGAAACCGGGAATATTAATCAGTGGAATGTACATATTATTATTATGATTATTATGTTATCATTATTTGGAAATCAAAAAATATATATTAAAGGGTCAAGTTGCAATGCAACAGCAACAAACCCAGCATCAGCAACAACCACTGTTATCATCGCAGCCTCAGCAAGTACCCCAGCAACAGCAGCATCAGCATCAGCATCAGCATCAGCAACAACAACAACAAGAACATCAGATTCCTCCTCACCAATCACATTCTTCTTATCAACCTTCTATACAACAGGGTCAACAGAATCATATGACGTCTTCTCAGGCATCATCAACTGCTACACCTGTAAATACTTCTATTGCTCTAGGTCAGCTTGCTCAGCTGTTAAAGCATGCACAACAACAACCTGAGAAGCCTAGCAATACAGGAACTTCGTCATTCTATTATGATCCTTATGGTACACGACCTTAGAGCAATCCTGGTGTCTATGGGATACCCTGTGCCTTGCATCAATATTTTTGAAACCAAAGAAAAAGAAAAAGAAACGAGAGAAAGAATGAAAGAATGAGAGAGAAAGAGAGAATCAACGAACGCATGAAAGAATGAAAGAAAGTGAAAGTGAAAAGAAAGAAGTAGACCTTCTTTTTTGTATTCTCATATAATTGAACTGAGAAAAAAAATCAACCTTTATAGCCATGGCAAAAATTACTCTTCTAACAACATTAACACCCAACACCCAACGAAAAATATATACATATACATATCCACATCTATCTATATATCTGTATATCTATATATGCACACACACAAGTATATACATACCCTTATGCTTATACTTCTACTTATACTTATATGAAAAAGATATAATATAATCTTGAGAAACTTTATGAGAAACTACCAGCAGTATCAAAAGATAATGATACGTTACATTTCAATAACTGTTCTTCATCGTCCATTGTAGAAATTCATGTATATATATATATGGTTAATAGTTTATACAAAAGAAAACAAGGCCTAAAATAAGAAGAATAAGAAGATTGATTTACTATTAAGAACCTCTCCAAGTTTCTGAGAATCAACTAACAACAACGAAAGCAAGAAAGAAAGAAAGAAAGAACAGAAAGATAGACAATTTGTGGTTGTTCTTCAGTAGGCCAAGGTTAATTATTGTCAGGCTAAAAAGAATATATATATTTCAGGTTATTATTAAGAAACTACTTTTGTTAATAATCTAGTTAATTGCATGATCAAATTTGAACATGTAATTAATCTGGTCTGCTGAATAACACCATACACATATATAATTATACTTGAGTTTGGTTTCATGGGTTGGGTGGTTAGAGCGCAAGTTGTGTCTGACATATATTTGTTCAAGGAATTCAGGGGTAAAGGCTGAGTTTACATCCAACCAGAAAAAAATCAAAGCGGCTTTCTAACATGAAAATCTGATATTTAAACATTCATCAATTACTATATAATTTAGGAAACTATTTGTATTAAAAGACGTCTTATTGGATAATGTACTTTAAATTGTGCCTTTTTTAAATCTCATTTTGCAATTTCATTAAACGACTGTGTAAACATGCTTGTTTAATATGTCTTGTTTTGTGATACGATTTCTCTTAAGGCAAACGCGTTAGACTATGACACTTCTTTTCTTTAAAGATAACATTAAACAATTTTAAAAGACTTTAATCAAAAAAAGAAAGTGAAGATAGTATATAACATCATCATAATTCTTTTAAAAAATATGTTTATTAAAATTAACTCTAATTTCGAATTAATATGTCAAATGACTTTAGAATATATTTATGTATATGTATTTGATCTTTCATATGGTATATTTGGTTCTTTAAACAAGTTTTATTTTTCTGGTAATAAAATTGTCAATTTACCATTGAGCCTATTACTTTAGATGGGTGGTTGGATTAATGAAAAGCTTTAATTTATATATATATATATATGAAAAACAGATCAATCGACTAATTTAGAGATTGTACAGAAATATAAGTATAGACTTGTACATAATGTATAATGAATATTTAATATAGTTAGTACTATGCTCAAGAGATGTAATTCTTTATGAAAGATCTTTCTTTTACTTTTCATTACAAAGAACAGAAAAGAAACATAAAACCAAAAGAGAAAAAAATACAGTATACAGTCTTCAATTGAAGGCATCGCCAATTCATATACGTAAGATTATACATACATATATATATATATATATATATACTATAAAGGAAACAAGATATCGATCAACAAGACAGAGCAATACAATAAAATGCTTCTTGTATGTGGTTCTGATAGTAATCAAAAGTGTATTGCTATATTTGGGTACCTGAAAACTATTTTTATTTTTTTACCCCTGCCATTTTGTATAGGGATACGAAAAATCGGTGCTTAAATAAAATGTTGCCAGTTTTGGACATGTACTACTTTTACAAATAGAGATAGACTTTGATATACCAGATTTATGTGACATATCACTCTGCCGACCAATCTGTAAAGTACCTATGGTGTATATTTATATATATATATTACTTTATTTATTCTAATCCTTCAATATTAGAGTTAACAATCCATATGTTTTTGTGTTACTGTGATACCAAAAGAAGTACTTATTTCGCTGAAACTCCCAAAAAAGGGATATTTGAGGTACAGAGGTATTTTATTTTTATTTTGTACTATTTTATACTATTTATATATATATATATGGTGAGTGTGTTGTCCACAAATAAAATAAAATAAAATAAAAAATGGTCCGAATTTAAACTCAAAAAAAAAGAAAAACTGTATAATTATTTTTAAAATAAAATTATATATTATATATTTGTTTTTTTTTTATTTCCCTTCTTGTCCAATATGGTAAAATCACCCTATGAAGTACTTGGGGTGAGTCCTTCAAGTAGCCCAAAGGAGATAAAACGTCGTTACCTTGAACTGTGCAAGAAACATCACCCGGATGTTAATACAGACCCCAAGGTTAAATTTGTGGATATCACGGGAGCCTATGAAAGCTTGACCAAACCAACAGCTCCAAGCAGACCTTCGCCAGGAATGAATGCTCACCTCACTCGCCAATGGACACGGCGCTCCCTGGTCGCATGTCTGGGACTGGGACTGGCTACGGTTGCATATGTTGTATATGAGCCTTCGATAGACCTAATCGATGTTCCCTATCAACCACCCCCATCCCCTAATATGAATTATCGTCAATGGCGCCAGCAATAATGGCAATAATAGTGCTAGTGATATCGACAGTGACAATGATAATGACAATTCCAGTAATAGTAATAATACTTATGATAATAGTAATGATAATGGTAATGGTAATGGGGCTGGTACTGCTGATATTACTGGTAATAGTTTTAGAGGTGTTCACAGTAATCATAACAACAAGAGCAGCAGCGGGAGCAGGAGAAGCAGCAGCAGCAGTAGTAATAGTAGCTGTAATGACTTCCAAAAGAACAACAGCAACAGATACTATACACTATACACTGTAGACTATACAGTGTAGAATTTCCATATCAAATATAGAGATAGAAATAGAAAGAGGGAGAATGATAAGGAGAGAAAGAGAAACAGAGAAAATGGAAAATAGAAAGATGTACAATAGATAGAGCTCTTTCCAGATCCCAAAAAAAATCACGCATCAGTGGAATCAAATCAACCCAAAAATATATATTTTATATATAAAATAAAATAAAATATTAAAAAAAATGAAATAAATTTGAATGTCTTTTTTTTTGTTGCTGTTATTTTTGCTTTTTCTTTGCTTTCTCTTCTGCCATTCAAACTGGGTGGGTTTGCACTTTTTGCATCATGTCTACGGTGCTGTCACATTCAGAATCAGTCATGCCCCTAGAAACACCATCGTCTTATAAAGAGATCATCAAACAGCTGGCTGCAGAATTGCCCAAACCCTATGGAGCAATACCTCCACTAATGAAGAAACGACGAAAGAAAAAAAACCGTGAAGTCAATACCACCACAACAAACTCAACCACAACCACAAACACAACCACCGCAACTACTACCACAGCGAATTCTGTGGAACATCCTAGCAATGAACCTAAGCAAACGATGCGTCGCATGTCGCATGTGGAAGACTGGATTGTAGTAGACAGTAAAGAGAGTCTGCCGGATGAAGAAGAACTGGTAAGAATTACATGGGCATATACTTTGGAGAAGAATGAATGAATTCTCTCTTTTTCTTTTTCGCATTTTTTCTTTGTTTTTTGTTTTTTTTTGTTTTTTGGAATTGCAATTGAATCCATTCATTCGTCATTTTGCTGTAGGTGAGCAATTCACCCTTTCGTAACTTTTTATCGGCCGACTTCTTTACTCAAGTCTTGCCGCTCCATATGCCGCCACCGTCACTGAGTGACCCTGGTACATTGGAAGACGATGAAGAAGATGAAGAGCCGGCTTCTTCGATAATACCAGAACAAGGAAAAGGGCAAAGACTGGAACTAGGACAAGAATCAGGATCTGAACCTGCGTCTTCCTCTGCCTCTGCCTCTGCCTCTGCTTCTGCTTCTGCCTCTGCGCCCGCTTCCGCTTCCGCTTCTGTTCTTGTTTCTGTTTCTGCTTCTGCTTCAGTACCAGTTGAGGTCCGAAGAGGCTCTGATAGACACAGCCGTAAGTCCAGAAGGACAGCAAGCCCTGATTGGAAAAGTGATGGGGAAGAGGAAACGGCGATAGTTTTGCCAAAGGAGCTTGTGAGACGGCATTCGATTTCTTCATTTTCAAAGGCACTCTTACCGTCCACATCGACCACGGCATCGTCTGTAATGTCGTCGTCTCCTCCCCAGGCCGATGGTCACAGAGCGCGCTGGATGGAGACAATTACCCAGCTACGACGATCACTGGTTCAGTCGGCTACACCAAAGACCAAAACGAAAAAGAAAAAGACTTTGATCCCGATGCCTCTACCTCCTCGTCGGCCATCCTCCCACCGACGACGTTCCGAAGCAACCACCCAACCACGGTTCAACCCAGATACGAACACGTACACACGCGATACCCGATCGAATCCCGATCACCTAAGAATGATATCCGCTGAGCTCAACATGATGCGTGCACGGAAACTCCTCAGTCCTCTCAAACCACGCGGTTTCTTGCCTCGCCGCAAAGACCCATTCGTTCGCGGCCTTGATAGAAGCCGTTCAGGCTTGCGATCAGAGCTGTGACTCTTCCACTTGTAATTTTTGCCCACAATAAATATCCACACACACACACACACACACACACACACAAAATACACACAACACATACAACTCACTCACTCACTCACTCACACTCACAACATATATACAACATACACATATTTATATACACACATTCACTTATACACCCACCAACACACACACACACATATATACAAAACACACGGACCCACAATAAACACATTTATATTCGATTTGCAAATGTATATGGAAATATCTTTATTCACCTTACCCATTACCCGCACACATATACCTATATACGTTTATAATATATATATACATATATTTGTGTATATGGCTCTGTCTGGTTATTATTTGTAATATAATTACCATCATCTTTACCACATTATTTATTTATATATGTATAATGTTTACTATCTTGAAGAAGTTAAAATATATATATATAAAATATATAATATAATATAATATAATAATAATAATTCAGAAACAACTCTAAAAACAACGTCGCTTTCTCTCCCTCTTTTTTTTTTTTTTTTTTAAAAAAAAAAAAAAGAACGTCTCTCTCCTTCTCTCTCCTTCTCTCTCTCTCTTTTTTTTTTCTTTTTTTTTCTTTAATTATTATTATTCATTATTAATTGGACATGTCTCCCCATGCGGGTGCACAACGCACACAAACTCAAGATCTTAAATCACTCAAACATACTTATGCAACTCAACTGACTACATTACGCGAGCTGTTTCCAGACTATAGTCGAGACGATCTTGTTTCTATTGTCCATGATTCAAATGGAGATCTCCACGTCGCCATTGACCGGATTTCTCAAGGTAAATAAATAAATCCATAGCAAAGTACAAAGTTCGACAGAAACCAAACGAAAACACATTGGATGAAGAAACCAAAGAAATCAGAAATAAAAAAAAATATATACATACATACATACGTGTACGCATGACTGCATGTTTGTGTCTGTGTCTGTGTTTGTGTTTGTATATAGTGTGTAGTGTGTAAGCGCATGTAGATGTACACATCTAAACAAAAAATATTTTTTAAAAAAAAACTTGTTGATGTTTATGAAATGAATAAACTTTTTTTTAGGTCATGCAAACCAATGGGGTCAAGTTAAACAAAAAAAAGTCAAACCAGTTAAGCCAGCAGCAGCACCTCCAGTAAAGAAACAATGGGCATATGCTACACGAGGAGGTACATAATTATTAAACAAATGTTTGATTGTTTGATTGTTTGATTTTGCTTTATTGCAAAATAAAAAACAACAACTAATGCATATATCTGTGTGTGTGTGTGTGTACGTATTCCATGTGTAATGTGTTTAGATGGCATGAGAGGAAGAGGACGTGGAAGAGGTGGAAAGACATGTAAGGATATTGTATAGCAAAGAAGAAGAAAAAGGTGTAGTAACGGTTTGTGCAGACAGAGCGGGCCGATCGAATGACATCAGACCAACCCCATCTAAAAATGATCAACAACAAAATCAAGAAGAACAAAAAGAGGAAGAAGAAATAGCAGCCTCGATTGTAGAGCAACCTAAACCATCATGGGCCAGTATTCTCAGGTATGGTATACCGTAGTGTTGGTGTTGATGTTGATTCTGGACTGTGATACTATGTGATATTATGTGACATTATGTAATGGGATGTGTTGTCCTGTTCTGTTCTGTTCTGTGATGTGATGTGATGTGATGTATGGGCTGTATATTAATAAGGATCCATAGAGGTCCTCCCAAACCTGATGTAGTAGAAAGTGTGGAAAAAGCAGAAGCCAAGACAGGAGAAAATAAGACGGAAGAAGACAATGAAAAATATATTGAGAAAGATGATGGAGAGCCAAAAGAAACAGGGAAGGAAGACAGCAGAATCCTCGATTCAAACGCAGTCCGTGTGACTGAGGACGAGACATCACCCATTAAAGAAAACGAACCAGAAAGAAAGGGCGAAAATGACGGTGGTGGTGGAAAGGATGACGATGTGTCTCTTGAGCAGAACCCACTTGTTGATCCACCTGTAGATCCACCTGTAGATCCGCCTGTAGATCCGCCTGCAGATCCGCTTATTGATTCTCTCGTTGACACACCTACAGAAGCAGGAGAAGAAGCAGAAGCAGAAGCAGAGACTACCGAAGAGCCAAAAGAAATTCCTAGACAGTCTATCAATACAGAGCCTTTTCTGGCAGTCGATGAATCAAATACAACCATGGGAGGGACTTTAGAGGTGCCTGTAGAGGTTGTCAAGATTAAAAAGACGACTATTCGACGACTAAGACAAACAGAGGCTGTTGTACTTCCAGCATGTTCGTCTAATATTCGAGCATTGAATGTACAGTTTGGAAGTCTCGGATTAGATGAAGAACCACAAGACAGTCCGATTCCGAAGAAGGAAGAGAATGTGTTGAAGAGTCTGGTGGAATCTAAAGAAGAGGACAAAGAAGAAAAGGAAGAAGATGAGGATGTGGTTATATTACCACAAGTGGCAACACCGAAACCAGAGCCACAGCCACAACTGCAACTGCAACCTCAAGTACAGCTGCAACCTCAACATCAACCACAACCACAACCTCAACCACAACAACAGCCACAGTTACAGTTACATTTACAACCACAACCGCAGTTACAACCACAACCAGAACGAGAGCCACAGTTTGAACCAGAGCGAGAGCCTGAACCAGTAAAGACACAGACACAAGTTCCAGTTGTGGCACAAGTGGCACCCCAGACAGTTGCAATCCAACCACCGATTCATGAACAAAGCGTGCCGGTGGAACCAGCAATGAATGCCTATTGTTCTCATATGTCTCCTAACCCAGCTAATCATTCGTCCTATACACCCATGGGGTCAGCGCCTGACTACGGACTGTACTCTGAGGCACAACAGTGGGCCATGGTGAGTGATTTTGGCGTAGATCCTTGAGATGGGGGGTTTGTCTAATGTTTAGTATTTCTATAGGGATACTATGATCCAGGAGTCTATGGGCACACACCTTTGTATGGAAGGGATAAGTTCAGTCACGGCTCAATGAATAATGGTCCGGAACATCTTATGAGTGCCGCACAGAACACAAATGTACCTGTTCCGCTCCAACAGCACAATTATGGCGCGACCATGCCATATTACTCGTATTATTACATGCCTAACCCATATCATCCTCATCCTCATCACCAACCACAACAACCACAACAGCAACAGCAGCAGCAACCGCAGCAGCAGCAACCGCAGTTACAACAACAACAACAACAACAACAGCAGCAGCAGCAGCAACAGCAACAGCAGCAACAGCAACAGCAACAACAAGGATATCCGTATAGCAAGAACACGTATATGGTGTACAAGCCTAGTCATGGCGCTAGTGGAGCTTATGATTACGGCACACCAGTGTACGATGATTATGATACTTCTAAAGATTCTACACAATACGACAATAAACCATTGATGGCTCAACAGCAACAACAACCAATGCCGGTATATTATCCTCCACAACATTCGGCTTATTACTACCATCCTGTCGCAGCAACAGCCACAAACTCTTCACATCCACGTCAGCCTGCTACAACTCCACATCATCCTCCTTATTGGCACCAAGCATAGATATTAAATATATATATATATATATATATATATATATATATTTATATATACATACACACCTACACTCTAATGCACAAGCACACAAGCACATAAGCACATAAGCACGTATTCAAGTACTATATATTTAATATATGGGCGTGTTAAAAAAAATCCACACACACAAAATGAAAGAAGAATTTGACTTTTCAATTTTTTTTAAAAAAAAAAATATGAAATCTTAATAGTAAATAATAGTAATATCAGTAATAGTAATAAGAGCAAGATAATTGGATCTAAATTGTCACTTTATATAAATATATATATAAAAATACAGCGTACATATTTATACTTACAAAAGAAATCACTTTCATTATCAATGATTTTCTACCTGATTCTTATAAAATACATACAAGAGAAAGCTATTTATAGATTTACTCGCATGCCATAATTAAAACCAAAAACCCAAACAAATACAATCTCCGCATTATTCCATTTTTAACCATTAACTTTACTTATTTATTTATTATTAATTTTTTTACTTCTTATTCACTACGCACATATACACACATAACCTATAATTCTTTCTTTCCTCTTTCACTTTCACACACACACACTCTCTCTCTCTCTCTTTCTGTATTTTATTTTATTTTATTTCCCTTGCTAATGATACCTTCCACTACAGTTGATGTGTGGGGGCCTTTGACTATGGCGCTGCTGGCCAGCATGACTCAAGCACTCGGCATTTCACTCCAAAGACGCTCCCATCTGACCCATGCTCATTTCGAAACTGCCCTTTATCGACAACCCATGTGGGTAATAGGCTTTCTAGTCTACACGATCAGTAACATTGTCGGGTCAACTTGCTCGATTGGATACCTCCCACTTGTTATTTTGGCTCCTATTGGTGCCATGGGTCTTGTTTTTAATGCCATTTTTGCACGTTGGGTTCTTGGTGAACCATTCAGTGCACGTACTATACAAGGTTTGTGCTGTCTATAGTTTATTTCTATATATATATTTTAAAAAAAATGAAAATATATAGAAGCATTAAACACATAAAAAATATATACCCTTTGTGTACTTACTTTACAAAAAAAATATTATGTAGGAACCACGTTGATTGTGCTGGGTGCAATGCTCGTGGCAGGATTTGGAGTAGTCCCCGAGCCAAGCCATACTCTTCAAGATCTGATTACACTATACAAGCGACCTGCGTTTATATTCTATTTCGCCGTAATTGAATTATTGACTTGTTTGGGACTATTGGGAACTCATATTGTGGAGTATGGAATGAACAGTGGCTATCAAGGAGGTATCTATAATCATCCTGACTTAAAGATGTGGTTGGGTATCAGGTAAGAAAAAAAAAGACCTTTCAAATATATATATATATATATAGTAGTTATCTGGGTATTATTATTATGGAGGTTTTTTTTTTTGGATCAAAATATTTTATTCTAGTAAATTAATTTGTTCAAATTTATATTATTATTTTCTTGCTTTGGTAGCTTTGGAGTACTTGGTGCAAATATCAGTAGCCAGGCCATGCTGTTTGCTAAGAGTGGATTAGAATTACTTATTCTGACAGTATTCCATGGAGAAAACCAATTTATATATCCTTTAACATGGGTATTAGTTGCTGCCCTTGTGTTTACTGCTGTTCTTCAGGTAAGAAAAAGACATTTATGTATTTCACTTGACAATTTTTTTATAATTTTTTCTTTTCATCATTTTACTATTATTGGTATTGGCATTAATATTCTTATTCTTATTTTCTATATCTATAATTATAATTATTACCATTTTGCTTATTTTTATTTATATATATATATATATATATAACTTTTAAACCATGAAAATCTTATAGCTGTATTACCTTAATCGGGGGGTCCAATTGTGCGATACGATTATCCTGGTCCCACTCAATTTCTGTTCATTCAATGTCTCGTGCTTATTTAATTCCTTGGTGTATTACAACCAATGGGACCGTCTGTTCTGGTGGCAAGTCGTGGCTGTCTTGGTTGGAATTGCTATCCTAGTTTGTGGTGTACTGGTCATTTCATGGCAGCCTCTGGACCGTCGTCCCGATTACTCCGTCAAACCTACACATGAAGAAGACACTCAGCCCTGGAAACGATCCAAAACCGATCCAGACGAGCGAACCACGCTTCTTCACTCCTAAAAGAAAATAATCAACAACCAAAAGTCGAGAAAGAATAAGAATTCCCCCCAAAAAAAAACCAAAAAAAAAAACCAAAATGAACAACAGTCTGAGTAAAAGCGAAAAAAAAGAGGAACAAGTAAAGAAGCAAAGGAAGAGACAAGTGGCCATTTATTTATTTATTTTATTTTTATTTTTATTTTTTTTACCTTGACACCTTTATCTTTAACTCCATCTTCTTTTCTTCTTCTTGATCTACCCTATCTCTCTCTCTCTATATATATATATATATTGTGTACCTTTCCCCTCTCTTCTCCTCCCTCCTCATCTCCTTCCATTTTTCTCTTCACTTCACACTATCTTTCTCTATACCCCCCTTTTATCCACAAACCTAGTAACCAAGCCAACCAACCAACCAACCAACCGACCGACCAACCAAGCAATCAATCAATCAATCAATCAATCAATTTCTACACTGCTTCTTTTTTTTTTTACATAAAAAAAAGAAGAATCTTGCCTCCTTACTCTTCACTTTGTAAATACAACAAATCTATATTATTATTTTTTATTTTTTTTCTTTTATTTTTTATTTTATTTTTTATTTTTTGTTTGATATTTAAATCTATAAATTTATATAATATAATATAAATTATACAAACAGCATAAAGAAGTACAATAAGGAAGAATAAAAGAATAAAAGAAAAAGAAAAAGAAGTCTAATTGGGATAAGAATATAAATAAATAAATATATTTTTTCTATAAAAAGAAAGAAAGAGATAATTTGGAATGATAATTTAATATAATATAATATAATATAATAATAGTGTAGTGTAATGTCGTGTAGTGTAGTATAGATTGGTTAATGGGGTTTGCTGGTGAATGGGATTTTGGTGAATAAAAATAAAATAAAATAAAATAAAAATATATATGAAAGTGAAAAGAATATTTATAATATATTAAATAATGGGGATGTATGTAGTGTAGTGTAGTGTATAGTGTATAGTGGTAGGCGAAGAGATAGAGAAAGAGATAGAGGAATTGAATTATTGGGATAGGCGGGGAGTGGTAGCCCACCAGTTCTCGGCCCGCTCAGCAGGCTTTTGAGTGGATGATGAGATGGTGGCCGCCAGCGGCATTTCATCTGTCCAGGTTGTATTGAGCCACGTTCTCTTTGGTTTCCGAATCAGGTCCGTCAGTGCATTTATCGCGTGGGACAGACTTCGTTTGGAAGGCACTTTTGGTACTTTTTCGACTGGCAATGGTTCGTAAGCCGATCTTCGTTTCTTGGGCGGTTCTGAATGAGTGCGTTTGGGAGAGTGTGGTGGTCTGGCCTGTGTGTAAGATACAGATTTCGTTTGACGGAGAGATGTTGTTGTTGTTGTTGTTGTAGTAGTAGTAAGGTTGTGAGGAATGTCCATGTCTAGGCGCGTAAGATTGGACATTTTTGTTTTAAAAGGAAAAAATTGATTTGGTGGTGTGGATTATTGCTGATAGTCAAAAGGAAAGGAATCTAATCAAGACGATAATGCGTATGATACGATAAAGAAGTGTTGATTGTTGAAAGAGGTTGAAAAGGAATGGAGTGGAGATTTTGTGATATCTTTTTTTTTTCTTTTTTGGTGGTTTGAAAGAAAGTTGTTTATGAACGAAAGAAGAAGATGTTGAGAAAATAATTTAAAAAATGAAGTATAATGTGGTTTGTGACAAGGGACCTCTTATTTATAGGCGGTTACCCACGCAAAAGGGCTCAACTTTCACAAAAGTCGGGCACATCTCAAATGAAACTCATCGGGTCTCGCCCTTTCCAAAGCACCACCAAAAGGGATCATCTCCACAGAAGAATATAAATAGATCTTTATAATACCTTGTATATAAATCTAAAAAAGAAAATGCTGTGGGTCTTGATGGGCATTGAATGGGTTTTTGTGTATAATATTATTTAGAATTATATATATATATAAAAAAATTCTAGGCTATAGAAAAAATAAAATAAAGTCTGATAGGTTTAAATCTCCTCTCAAAGTGATGACGAAACCATATTTTGCAGCAACATTACAGAGGCACCACCGTAACCCCTTCTGAATTTCAATTTCCAATGAAATAAAGGAGAAGAAAAAAAAAAGTTATAATAAAAATAAAATTCTACTTTGTGTATTTTAGGGAGAAATAAGAAGCCTAAAAATACAAATACAAATACAAATTCAAATAGTTTGTATTATGCTTTTGGGTGTAAAGTGGCAATGAGACCTACAATGGGCTACACAACAGGGCTCTTCTTTATTGTCATTTAATTAATTGGATTAAATGAATATCAAGAAATACCTTTATTTGCTTCAATTGAATTGAATTGAATTGAATTGAATTGAATTGAATTGAATTGAATTGAATTGAATTGGTTTCAATTGATTTCAATTCAATTAAATCAATTATATTCTATACAGCCTAACTCTATTCAATTCAATTCAATTCAATTCAATTCAATTCAATTCAATTCAATTCAATTGTATTGTATTGTATTTAGTTCTAGTTAACCTTGATCTTGCACCATAAAACGACAATCACCGAATATATATTATATTATATTATATTAAATTAAATTAATTCAACAATCAATCAATCAACAAATATAAAAAAAAACCTTTTATTTATTTATTCATTTATTATAAAACTAATTAAATCACAAGCCAAACTCATTATATATTATTTATTTAATATTAAAATATATATATGGTGTATAATACAATACAATACAATACATAGAGAAATAAGATAGATAGATCATAGTCACCCACCCCTTTGTTTTCATTTATATGCAGTGTTGTTGGAAATAGACTGTGGCTACAAAAAAATAAATAGCAATAATAATAAAGTATATTTTGTATGTAATTTATATACATTTTATATACATTTTATATACCTTATATATATATATGTGCATATATATTTATATATACTTTTTTTTTAATAATACAATGATTATGTAGCCCTTTTCTATATAGATGACATCGACAACCTTTATATTTTATATTTTACTTTATTTATCACGCGTATCTCTTTACACTCCTTTAACTATCAAAAAATAAAATAAAAAGAAAAACCCCCTTTCTTGTTTCGTACATCTCTTTTCCCTCTTACAACCCCCTTTCACCTGAGAACAAGAATAATCATCAAATTCTTATAATATATCAATATATTTAAACAACCAGAACACGCTCTTATTATTATTATTTTATTATTTTTTAATATTGAATGTGTATCGATATACAAAAGTATATAATATAAATATTTAAATATATTTATTTATTTATTTTATTATACAAGCATTTTGTTCGCCTACGTCTACGCACACACTCAAACACGTACTCGCACACCCATACAGAAAGAATATCAAATGACTAGATCTAAATCAACCTGCAGAAAGAAGCTCCATTCAGCACTTTCTAATCAATCTTTACATCATCTAATGGACCCTGATCTCGATTACCCTGAAACCATTAGACACAAACCATATTCGTTTTTAGCAAGAAAATCCAAGAATGTTTCACAACGGGCTACCGACCATTTGTTTTACCAGAGTCCAAAAAACCCACTTGCAACAACAGATATGGAGGTAAAATATAATATAATCTAATCTAATTTTTTTTTTGTTTTTTTTGTTTGTTTTTGGTATATATTTTGCTCAACTTGCCAGTTTATTTAGTACCTCTTTAACTATGCAAATTTTCAACTCCTCCCAGAAGAAAGCAAAATCGAACTCGTCCAACTTTTGCCAAGCGTAGACATATCAGATCAACCGGATATCATGGATATCAATCCCTCGTTTTTCACGAGAACAGGAAATCCTGTTTTCTGGAGTGTACTTGACGAATGGCAGGCGATAATTGGAACTGAAAACAAACGGGAGAATATCAATCCCATCGAAGGACCGACCATAGGAGTCGGAAGTGAAGTTGCGTTAGGAGGATCTGAAGTGGTAGTAGGAGCGAGTGGAGTGACTGTAGGTGGAGTAAGAGTAGGAGGAGGAGTAGCTCCAGAGTACAAGGTAAGCGTTTATATATATATTTCTCTTGGAAAAATCATTATGTTTGATTTACACTTATATTCTTTCTTTTCTGTTCTTGCTCCTAATTATCTTACATAAACAAGGAAGAGGTATTTGAGCAACAATGGACTGAAATCCAAGAGAAAGACAAGCCTATCAATGTCGCAGGGTAAAATAATTACACAAATAATCTATCTATCAAAAGTATCTTTTACTAAATAACTATATTTTTTTTCTTATCTTTATAATTTGTTTATTTTGTATTTGCATTAATGGCTTTATATATAAAAGGGATTCAAAGGCAATCACTTTAAAAGACATGTGTCGCAAAGGTCTGATTCGCAAAAATGATAAACTCATTTATAAGCGCAATTTCAGTGCTTGTAAGGTGATTGTCTCAAAATCAATGAAGGTAAAGAAAAAAAAATACTAATAATACCAATTAAAGAAAAATATTCTTTTTCATTCGATTCCTATTCGGCTGCTGTCATTATCGTTCTTTATTCTTAAACAGTAACTTTAACAATGATATTTCTGCTACTGTTACTGTTTTTAGGTTGTAGAGGCAACAGGCGACACAGGCATATCGATCGAATTGGACGGCCAACACTTTAAAGATTTTGAAACCCCTACAGCATTAGAGACAAAAATCCTCGATGAAAATGGTGAGGTGTCCAAAGACAGGCGGCCAAATGGAAACGCATTCAAGAGCATCCGACTCTTTAGAGACGGCAATGACCTGGGTCGTTTGTTTGATATCCGTAAGGATGGTTTTGGTGATTCAGCTTAATGTAAGAAAGCAAATCAAAAAGCAAACCAGACAAACATACACAAAAGCTTCTATTTCATTCCATTTTATCTCATTTCATTTCCAAATGTTCAATTTTATTCAATTCAATTATGCCTATTCTTGATTGTAATTAACAAAGCAGCAGCCTATTATTATTTTAGGCTGAAGAAATCTATTCATTTTTCTCTCTTTATATTTTATTTATATATATATATATATTACATTATCATACTCTTTTACCTTTAATAGAGAAAATAAAAACCAAATCTCACTCACTAATTCACTAACTTTATTCTGTTTCTATGGCATTGAAACTGATTAACTACCGATTTTTATGCTAAAAGAAAAATGTGTGTGTGTGACTCGGTACCTGACAAGTGGCTTTTGCAGACGTGACTTTGCAATCGGCATTTTAATTATTTTCAAAAAAAGCAAGACACTTTTTCTAACATTTTTATAATTTATTTTTTTTGACAGGAAATAAAAAAAAAGAGGCCAAAAGAAGAAGAAGAAACCAAAAAAAAAAATTAAAAAAAAACCTCAAACACGCATCGATTGATCCTTCTTCATGTCATCCACTCACAAAAAACTAAAGACCGAAACTGTCGAGCTGGTCAAGCAACCTGAAGAGAAAGATCTCGAGAGCTTCTTGTTCGGAAACACAGACGGTAGTCTCTGGGACAAGACAGGCAAAGAATTACAAGGAGACGACGACGCCAATAGCGAGAAAGATAATGACGATGCAACCGAGACGGACGAGCAAGACCTCAATGAAGAGGTACAAAAAATTAATTCAATATATACACATATGTATATATAATTCCAAAAAATATTACTATTATATTAAATAATAATAATAATAATAATATATCTACAAATATATATATATATACACAAATATATTTGTAGCTCTTCTTTTTTGATGCCGGACCTGGATTTGTAGCTGAAGAGAATGAATCAACACCAATGGCATCCGATGTAGAAGACCAGAGTCAATCAGATAACGATTATTCGGACGATTCAGAAAGCGAAGAAGAGGAAGAAGAAGACTATAGCCAAAAATCTGCTTGGAAAGACGATGACGACGCTCGCTTGCAAATCTCTCTGCAGGGCTTGGGCCGACTTCGAAAATTGCGCAAAACAGAGGATGAAGATCTTGTGAGTGGTGTTGAATACGAACGCCGATTACGCAAACAGTAAGTCAATCACCAAACTTCAAATCTTTAAATGTACACAATGGAGCAGAGGGGGTCTTTTCTTTTCTTTGAAAATAAATACAATAGAAAAGTAATAAAGAAATGGGAAAAAAAAGAAGAGTGTTATTGATAACGAATAAAGAGATAAATAAATAAATAAATGAAAAAATAAATAAATGTACAGGTTCTCAAAGATCTATCCTCGTCCAGCATGGGCTACATTACCTTCTGAATCAAGGAAACGCAAGGCAACAGCCGTCATGTCAGACGATTCAGATGCAGAACATATCTCAGACGACGAGAAGCTGGATGATATTGATCGCTTAGATTTGTTGAAGAGCACCTACGGTATTCTCGAGAAACGCGGCTCAAGTCATCTTCTTTCACCTCGTACCTTGGATGTCATGCGAATGAGTGACGCAAATCAAATGTCCCGTAGCAATGTGAGTATACATAATTAATGAAATAGGATACCAACCAAGTAACCAAGTAACCAAGCAATCAAGCAATCAAGCAAAAAAAATACGCACATTATATATTGTGGAATAAGATATCAAGGATCTAAATTTGCAAAGAATATTATTTATTGACAAATTGTTTGTAATCTTTTTTTCTGTTTTTTTTGTAGGGTGAAGTGACCAATATTCAATTCCACCCTAATGCACAGGTCATGATGACTGCCAGTAAGGACAGAACCTTGAAGCTCTTCCAAATTGACGGCAAAACCAACCCCAAAATCCAGTCAGTCTACTTCAAAGGCACATCTATATACTCAGCCGCATTCCACCCCTCAGGCGATCAGATTGTGGTATCTGGTCGACACCCACACTATTATATTTATGACGTCCAGACAGGAACAGTAGACAGATGCCCAGGTATATGGGGCCGACCTGAGAAATCACTAGAGAACTTCTCTCTCAGTCCATGTGGACGGTACATTGCATTTTTGGGTACAAGTGGTACAATCATTCTAGTGAGCTTTTTGACAAAACAGTGGATGGCAAACCTCAAGATGAATGGTGTTGTTGAGAGTGTAGACTGGTCCGCAGATGGCAAGTACATCTTTGGTATCGGAAGTGAAGGAAGTGTCTATCAGTTCGACATTGGGCAGCGTCAATGCGTAAAACGATGGTTGGATGATGGTCAGATCGGAGCCACTTGTTTACGAGTCAGTCCAAACGAGAACTACTATGCTACTGGGTAAGTTTTGTATATTAAGAAGAAAAAAATAAATCAATTGTGTTTATGGTCATTACAGAACAGACAGGAACTAACAATCAGGATAATTGTAGTTCAACATCAGGCATTGTGAATGTCTATGACCGCTCTGTACTTGATCCCAATGTCGGCAAGCCAAGACCCCTCAAGGCTATTGGAAATATCAGAACCAAGATTAACGAAATCAGATTCAACCACGATTCGCAGCTTATGGGAATTTCAAGTCGCAAGGCTCGTGATCAATTCAAAGTTGTTCATTTGCCTACATGCAGTGTTTATTCCAACTGGCCTACTGGCTCAACTCCATTAGGCCATGTATCTTCCTTTAACTTTTCACCCAACAGTGATTACCTAGCCATCGGTAATACCAAGGGTCGTGTTCTTCTTTACGCACTCAAGGATTATGCACTTTAGAAAACACTTGATCTTACCTATCACACATACACTCTCTCTATCTATCTATATATATATATAAATCATCATTTTTTTAAGAAAAAAAAAACAAAACAAAACAAACACCAATTCTCAATTTTTCACACTTTTTTTTTGCATTTATATTAAAAATAAGTGTCTTTGTTTGAGACACAGTCATTTCCAAAAAAAAAAACAAAAAAAAAGTTTCGTTTTGTTTGATTTTATTCATGTTTTACGTTTTGTTTGATTTATTTGCTTGTTGGTGGGTAAGGGTTGAGATGAGTGTATTTAGTTGGAAGGAAAAGAAAGATACAGCTAAAGAAGTAAGTATTATTATTTAATATATATATATATATATCTTTTTCTTAGGCATCAGTATCCATCTTATTCTTTTCATCTTCTCGTTTCTGCTTTTGTTCTTCTTTCCAGCGTTGGATCTGTTCCTTTAGCTCGGTAGCTATTTCATATACATACAAATATTTAGATATATAAATACACATCTAATAACTAAAGTATCTTATTATCATTTTTTTTTACCTGGCTGGACCATATCCATAGACAAAGGTGTTCTGTTAAAGGGATCTCGAGTATCGCCTAACAAATGAGCTCTGATCGTACTGCGATCCACAATCACACCCGAGGTTGGAAGTACGACTGGATCCTCCATCAATGTAAAGAACAAAGGATCCAGGTACTCATCTGGCACATCGCCCAACTCCTCCTCTTCTTCTGCTCCACTGCGTACAGCCTCCTCAACCTTGCGCACAATTAACTCAAGTGCGGCAATATCGTCTGTCTGTTTTAATCCGTGCTTCAATAGGATCGAGGCTGCCTTTGAGAAATACTCTTTACGATACGATCGTCCGTCACGTGCAATAGCCTCAATAAATGTTTGGCTATTCAGATTGAGGTAGATGTCGATGATTTGAGACAAAAGAGCGCGAGGTTCAAAATGATACTTTTTACGGTTCTTAACCTAAAATATTAATTAACCAAAAAGAAAAAAAAAGTGAGAGGGGAAAAATTAGCAATAATTAATTAACATGGATTAGATATATACATAACAACATAACAACATTACTATATTTTCTTATGTTTGTGTTTAAGGGGGTGGTAGTAATGGTGGTGTAGTAACTTACATTGAGTCCAGTGCATTTGGGACCAACTAGTTGAGAAAGGTTATAGTCCAACATTGCTGCCAGACGATCGACAATCTCATTGACCAAAAAGGGCTCAACCACCTCAGCTGTCAAATAAGTCAACATGTTGACTGTCTCGTTACCCAACGAAACGTATGACTGAGCCTGTCGTTCCAGTGATCTGAACTGGCCCTCGCGTTCTTGTCTTTGTTGCTATGTTCCCAAAAAAAATAGATGAATGTTAATACATACATACATACATTTAATTAATATTCTATACACGTTTTTTCTTCTTACATCGGGTTGTGCATCCCAGGTGGCACTATCTTCCATTTCTGTTTGAATCTGATGAATTTCTGCCAACTTGCTCAAACTTTCATCAAGCAAATATGTCACATCGCTCATCAACATGTTGACAAAACGTGTGAAAACATCTGTATTTCTAATCAAAAGATATATAAAATTTGATATTAAAAGATACAAAATAAAACAGGTATGTTTGTCTTTTTTATATATAGCTTCTCCTTTATCTTATTATTTATTTTTACCTGCTTTCTTCTCTCAACTTGGCACGATGAGCAGGATGGCTCCAGATGGTCTTCATTACATGACTAATATTGTATCTAATGTTGAACTTGTCATAAAACTGCGAACTTGCTCCTGTCTGTTCCACCTCTATAAAAAACGATAATAATGATAATAATAATTGATTATTATTAATATACACACATATATATATATACACTTCCCCAAAAACAAAAAAAAAAAATTAAAATATTTTGTATCTTTACCAACATAGAATGTCATGAGAGATGGGACAAGGTGCTCTAGAGCCAATGGGTGTGAATTTAACATGGCTTCGAGTTCTCCAGGCACTCCCTTGGCAATAGGATATGTATAGAAGAACAAGATCTGGAAAGTGTATATAATATATATAAATCTCTTCTTTTTCTTCTTCTTTGATTAATTATCAAAAATATATATAAAAATTTACCTCTACAAACTTGGCTTTCAGGTAAGGATTCTTGATATACTTTGTGTTTCTTAAGAATGTAATGATAAATGTAACCAACTCCGTCTGAGGGTTCATCTTAATCACTTGGGTATCATATCCAAACCTTGAACAATGTCAAATATTAGTTAAAAAAAACCCCCAACTTTACTTATTTATTTCTACTTTAAACATCTATATATATATATATCGTGTGTGTGTAATATAATCGTATTTACTTACTTTCCAACAAAAATAAAGAATTCTACAATATCTTCCACAATCCATTCTGGCAACATGGAAAATGTATCAGGAATATCCTTTGGAAGAGGTAGCTTGATTGGGTTCCATGGGTGCTGATGTACAGGATCTACCATACGAACCATCCAAGCCATAACCAGGTTGTAGAAGCGCATAGTTTGAGTCAAGAATTCAGGATCAAGTACCATTGATTCATAAGCAAGCTTGTGCATTGTCATTGTTTCCAAGTTTGCCTATAATTATCATTATTATTTTATAAATAATCAAATGAATAAATTGTTCAAAATATTTAATTTTGTGTGCATTCCTTGTAAATACTGTGTACTATTTTTTGTTTTTTTTTGTTACCTTGAGTCTCTTTGCAACAAAGTCTTGCATTACACGTTGGGTGTTCTACAGAAATAAAGAAAAAAGAATGATCACATAACGTGAGTTAATAAAATGACCATGTACATCAAAGTAATCATTTCTTGATCGATATAAATGTGTATATGTACGTTTGTCAAACGAACAGCATCTTGCTGAGCTCTTTCGTGATGCTTTTTGGCCTCATTGTATTCTCTAATCAATTCATTATAGTTCACAAGAGATCGAATGGGTCCGTAGTGCATAGCTGCCAAGGTGATGTAAAAGGCCTCGGTAATGAAGTTGTGGGCTGGTTTCCAACATTTTGATCAACAAACCTGTCCAGCTTATTTTTCATTCTACACTTACATTTATTCGGGATGGCAGCATTGTAGTAAGCATCCGACTGCTCCTCGGTAGCATTGATTTTTGTGTCTTCTTTAATATCAATTCGTTTGCTGGTACGGAAATATGATGTATCAATTTTATCAACCTATTAAAAAAAAGAAACAATTTCAATAAGAATAAAAGTAAAATAACATTCTCTTTTTCTTTCGATATAATTATATATGTATATATGTGTATTGTTTATATTTACTTTCGATGCACCAACGTCTAGGAAGGGATCTGAAAATGCCAGCATGATAGCAGCCAAATTATGCATAAATCCATCAGTTGCAACTGTCTGTGGGTCAACCTGTATCTGTGCGCGCTTCTGGTTCAATCTGATTATGTGAGAAAAGTACACCAATAATCCTTCGCGCGATGTTGTAGAAGCACGAACAATGGAACTAGATATACCAAAGAGAGATCTCTAAAGAGGGAGTTTTTTTTTAAAAAAAGAAAATAAAGAAATAAAAGGAAACATTTTAGTTGGTGTTTTCTATTGTTGCCATCGAAACTGTAATCTTTCTTTTAAGCAATATCACTATACCTGGATGTTCTGGATAGTACCACGGACACCATTCTTGCAAGATTCAATATCGCCCGAGTTTCTACTTTCTGCATTTTGGAACAAACTTTCGGCAACCTTTGGCTACAATTAATAATAATAATAATAAAAAGAAATAGGAACATATTAATATTTTATATATATATACGTATAATGATTACAATAGTATTATTTATCATCCTTACTGCACTTCCTGGGTAAGCACTAAGCTTGAAATAAGGACCAAGTAAAGAAAGTTCTTCGATGGTTCGAGCGGTTGCAGTCTCAGGATCAAATTCAGGAAGTGTAGGAAGCTAATTTATATACATGCATATATTTAAGTATTTAGTACAAAAGAAAGAGAGAGAGAATATTGATATATCGGTACAACAAGAGTATATTTATCCTTACCACAGTAGGCACAGATTTATTCTCGCACAAAAAAGACAGCGACTAACCATACCACAGTGTCAGTAAATAATTTTAGTCAATACTCTCTTTTTAAAAAAAGAAAAGGTAGACATGTATATATATTATTTACCTGAATAAAGGGCTTGAAATTATCAAGAATAGAAATCCTTCGTACTTGGTCCGAAATCATTGCTAAAGGAGTACCTAAGATCTATTATATATATACATTCGTAAGTAATCCCACGCATACTAATATACGCACTCTAAATATATAAGCACAAAAGTACGAACCGTATCCAAGCCGTCATCTGTAAACCGATTAATCAGCTCTGAGAGATATTCTGTAGGCAGACCTTGAGCTGTATCAGGCTGTGCCAATAATCTTGAAACGAGTTGTGATGGACCCAAGGGTTGTTGACTATGTGTTGTTGTTGTTGTTTTTAAAATTACTATCTTAATATTCTTTCTCTCTTCTTTTTTGATAAAATGTTGAATATCTTACGTCTCAATTTGTGGAAACATATCTGGAATTTGCAACACAAGTCCAGAATAAGACACCAACAAGAGCTTCACACTGTCCAACACTGATAAACGCTTATCCAGAACAGTCTTTTCAAGATTCTTGTAAAATACACATTTTAATAAGATAGTAATAATAGTAATAATAGTTCGAATACATATAGTAAATTTTATTAATCGACTAACCTTGCTTCTTGTCAGAGTATTGCGTTTGATATCTTGAGCCCTTTTCCAGCAATTGAGTAAATAATCAAAGTGTGAGATCTTCAAGTCCTGTTGAACATTTTGTGGGAGGTTGGGATAAGTCTCATTAGGATCCAATGAAAGGCGAGCAACAAGAATTCGATCCATCAATGCTTGGCTTAGCTTAAAAGGCTTAGGCTCTATATACAATTATAATGTTAGAAAAATTAAAGTAATAATAATAATAATAATAAAAGTTTGGTTGGTATTAAACCTATTTGACACATCTACTATAATTTTTGCTGCGCATCTTACAAAAAACAAAAATTCAACATGTAATATAAATATTTTCTTTACCTTCTTCTTCTTCTAATTCGGCAACCATTCCTTCAAGGTATATACATCCTCCTTGTTTATGAATAGCTTCTGACTGCAAGCGCATAAAAAAATGTGAATTCAATTTTTCAATTTCATTTTGTCAAATTAACTTTTTTTTTACTTGAAACTCACATCTAACGTCACTTGAAGGATACGAGACAACACATCATTCTGCCAGTCCTCGAATGTCTTTGGTGAACTGATGGGCTTTGTAACGGTAGGTTGTACGGGAGTAGGAGCAGGAGAAGTAGGTTTCTGTATAGGGGCAGAAGAAGTAGATGCTGCTGAAACTGGTACCTTTATATTTATAAATGCGTACGTGCGTAAAATAAATAAACAAATAGAAAATCGGTCATTAGAGTTTTTATACATTTACAAGAAAGTGATAATAATGATAAAGTGTGAACATAACAATATTCAATAATAATTATGAATTTAATCTATATGTCTGTTGTCTTCTACACCCGAACTAGTGGAAATTGATAGATAGAAAAAGCGCGTTCTTTCCCCTATTTACCTTGACGGGTCTTTTATAGATTTCAGGTTCAATAGATGGAAGAGGTTGAAGAGGAGATGCCGTTGCACGTTTTTCCGATGCTTGCTGTTGTTGTTGCTGCTGTTGCTGCTGTTGCTTTTTTCTCTGTTCCTCTGCCTGCTGTTGCAATTTAGCCACACGCTTAAGGCGGATCTAAAGTAACATTGTAAAACGATGAGAATGTCTTTTTTTCTTTTCTTTTCTTTTTGCTCATGTAAGCTTTTGGTTCAGGTAAATCTTTAAAAAAAAAAAGGCAAAAACAAGGAACAAGGAACAAAGAAAGAAACCTTGTCAGCATCAGATAATTGTTCCTGGTCCATATCTGTACAAGGCTTGAATATAGAATATGGAAAAAATTAAGGAAAGAGAAAAGCAAAGAAGAGAAATCGACGGATAAAGCGTACAGACAGCGTCAGACACGAATGTGCTTTACGTGACAAGTTTCTTGACGTCATGTACATTATGCGGGAAACACTTCCACAAGCAATGTAAGTAGAAAGGTGGGAAGGGTAACTTTCTTATTATTACTATTTTATTTTATTTTTGTGCTTTTTTGTTCCTTTAATCAATACAGTATAATATCTATACAAATACATATACACACACACATACACATATATGTATATATATATAAATATAATATTGATATATTGATAATTATATAATGAAGTTTATTGGCTTAACTGGAGGAATTGCCTCGGGTAAGATGATTAAACAAAAAGATAAACATACAACCTTATATGTACCTCATGTAATTCATATCACACTCTTCTTTAACTCTCAACTTCCCCGATATTCCTCTATAGGAAAATCTACTGTTAGTAAGCTTCTTTTGGAAGAAAAGGTTCCAGTGATTGATGCAGACCTAATTGCGAGAGAAATCGTCAAGCCCGGAAGACGATCCAACAAACTAATCCGAAAGCATTTCGGCGACAGCGTGTTTTTAGCCGATGGAAACATCGATCGCCCCAAACTCGGTGACATAATCTTCAAGGATCCTCACAAGCGTAGCATTCTCAATCAATGCACACATCCCTATGTTCGGCTCGAGATGGCCAAACAGGCGCTATTGCACTGGTTTAAGGGAGCCGATCGTGTTGTATTTGATGTCCCACTCTTGTTTGAGAGTAAATTGGATCATTTTATGGGAACTAACATTGTTGTGTATTGGTATTGTAAACTCGTCATTTTCTCTTATATATACTTTTACTTACAAAAGCATAGTTTTATGCATACGCACATTTACGCATTAGTATTAAAACCAGACTAAAAAAAAGCCTCGATATTGACCAAATCTGTTTTTTTTTTCTTTTTTTTTCTTTCCCTTATCTAGTTCAGAGCCTCTTCAACTTCAACGACTCAGAAATAGGGATGGATTAACGGAAGAACAGGCTTCTAATCGCATTCAATCCCAGATGCCATTAAGCGAAAAAGTCGAGAAAGCTGATATTGTTTTGGACAACTCGAGCGATGTTTCCCAACTTAAGACACAAGTGCGAAACATGATTCGCAAGACAAAGCCATCTACAGCAGTCTGGTTGGCCGAATACATCAGTCCGGTAGCTTTGGTAGCTCTTTCGATTGTTGGCATACATCGGCTGGCTCATTATTTGGGACCTTATTTGAATACCCTGTTTGAAAGAATATTATTAAAACACTAGAAAAAAAAAGAATTAAGGAAGAAAAGAATAGCTAAATGTAAATACAAAAGCCATATTTTTGAAAGCTTTTCGTTGAATTTATTGAGATTTAATCGTATTCTTAATAGAAAATATGATTGCTTTTATTTATACATCATGTGAATTATATATGTGTGCGGTTACTTTCAACCTCTGGCACAAAAATATACAAAAGATACGGTATATTAAAGCTCATGGTCACAACCGTTGTGTAGATATCAAAACACCTGCCATACCGGTAGAGAAAAATAAACAGCATATTAATTAGGTGGATTTGAAGATAAATTTATGAAAGAGAGAAATATTTAGCTCTAGTCATTACTATGTCCAACCTAATTAAGCTAATGCACATTGCTGCTTAGCTAGGTAGCGCCAAATATATTGGTTCCTTCATTTAGTGCTCATTTTATCTCTACCTCTTTATATCTGTTCGGATTAACATATTAAACAAACAAACAAACAAATGGCAGTAATATAAATCGTAAGTACACCTATTCGATAAAATACAAGCTCTACTTTCTATCTTCCTAAGATGTTGGTTTTCTAAAAAAAAGGCGCTAATAAAACTCCTCAACTATGCCAAGTAATAACAAAATACAGCTTGACAATAATATATCGTCGGTATATGAACGAGGCTTTGAGAGGTGGTGACAAGGAGACGGCGACAGACAGACAGATAGAGAGATGGTGGGAGCATCTCAAGCAAAGAGAAATCAGTGTATGCTAGTAGATACAAATAAAGTGAGTAGCAGTGGGTCGAGATCCATACTGAACAGCAATACTTGATTGAGGATCATATTGACAGAATATACAAAACTGAAGACAGGTGAAAAAGACGTGCGCTCATTGATTTAGAATATATTACTAAATAACTTTCAATGAAATTCTGTGATAATCCAGTATTTTATTACCCACGTAAAAAAATATTGTCATTTAAAGGAATCTAGTGGCGAGAAAAAAAGACGATTTTTTTTGGCTACACTATCAGTGATATCACAAAATGTATAAAAAGTCCCATTTTTGATACTTAGAATCAAGAAAGTGTCTTTAAGAATATGCTCCAATAAAGTACCCCTGTCAATTAGTTAATTTTGTTCATGAACAAGCTATTTCTGGTATCGAGTAAGCTAGGGATGTATTTAGATCCTGTTGTCTATAAATATGCAAAAGTGTTATATTTCTGATAATCTTAGCTGCAATAATCATGTTTTAATACTATCCAAAAGCAATAGAGTAGACCTAAAAGGCTTGTACTTTATGATATCTTTTACATACACTTTGTTCCTTTCCGGGATATTTAATTTATACTATATGTTCTGAAATAGCTGGCTTGTCCGTGTCAATTACACCTCCTAATAAAAGAATAAAATTTGATCTTTTCAATAATATTCACTTGTTAAATAGTTTGCTTTTTATTAATATATGGATGATATTGCTATCTAGGGTTCTTATAAAGCGAAAGTTTGAGATCTACTATGCTCTGCCCACCATCTCCAAAGGTACGATGTCTATTATTCATTCTCTTAAGAAATCATTTTGATGCTTTCAACTATCGGTATAACCTTATTCCAGTAGAACTCAACCTGGAATTCAAAATTCCACCTCCTATCGTATTGTGATGAGATCCAGATAATATACATATATACTTTTTGCTTTCTTTCTCTGCATCTTATTTATTGTTTAATGTCGTTTTATAATATATGTGAATTTATTTCTTAGTAATTATTGGGTCCCTTTTGTGTCTACTTGTACAAGCAGAAGAAAGAATAACTTTCTCTTGTGTTCTTGAGCAAAAAGTGCACAGACCACTTTAGAGTAACCTACAAATCGCCTTTGGAAACTTGTACTTCACCTTTAGAATTATTGCTACACCGATCAAGACCAAACCCTTCATTACTTCATTACCTCGTAAATTATTTACTTCTTTGCTTCACCTTGCAAAGTCGCTTTTATTAGTAGCTTTATTAAATATTATTAGCCTCCACTTCTGTCGTAAAACAGTTACACAGACCCAGTAAAAATAATATACAGCTATATCACGTTTGCTCTGACGTGGACGTCTAAGACTGACAAAAACCGCAGTCCTAAACTTTAATCGCAGATGAAAAAAATTCTGTTACTTATAGAACCCCTCCAACGCGCGTCGTTTGTTTTCTCCTTGAGCAACAACAGTCCCGGTTTCATAGTGAGGCGTCTCTTGCGACCGTTGCAGGGAGATTCTTCCATGCTACAAGCATCGGAAAGTGAAAGTTGTTACTCGCCAGCTCAGTTAATTCTGAGAAGTCGTGGGGCATGGTCTCTTTTCATTTTTGGAAGGACTACTGTGTACATCGCATCGCCAATGTGGAATCATGATGCTGGGGGGAGGGAGGTCTAACCTGTGGTGAGATGTGCTGGCTCTTCACTGCTAACCTGACTGAACTCTTTAACGGCTGACGGTGAAGCTACTGGTAGTCGAATGAGCTGGACCTTATCACCTAGTGGTAAGTTCTCTGGCGAGTTCGCACCCACATTACTCGGTGACGAGATGTGGGGCTGGATGAACGGGTGCTTTCCGTTGGTTTGCCACCATTCCAGCACCTCCTTCGCTACCAAGTCAGGTTTACGTCCTGAAGGAGATTGAGCCGCGTAATGCGGGGACAAAGAACTTGGTGTCATGCTTTTTATTCTTTTACTCATGTAAAAGAACATTAAGTGAAATTAAATCAAATAGAATAGTTTCTTTATGTATATATATATATGTATATCTTTAAATAAATAAATAAAGTCTTTTTTAACTAGTATCGTCTCCAATAAAGAAAACACGCTTTTAAACTTTTTTTTTTACTTGATTGAAGATGTCAATGTTGTAATTAAGAGAGCTCATTTATAAGAAAAAATCAGTCTAATCAAATAAATCTGAAAAGAAATAAAATGTTATTTGTACATTCTAGCGTGGTACTGATAACCGTGTTCAACTATAGATGCCGTTTTTGTCTATAAAGTATATAAATTGTAGAATAATGTTTGATGATTCCGATGCCATGAAATGTATGCTATTGAATTTGGCTAATGATGATGGTCAGTGTAAAGAGGATGTATTGGAATGAGAGAAAAAACAAAAAAAAATGAAGAGACATGAGAGATTAGAAGGAATAATTTAATTCATGTCTGAAAGAGAGACAGAGAAGGTATGGTGAATTTAATACACAAGCAAGGTCCTCATCGTATTTACACAGACTGTACACAAAAAAAAAATTCAATTTGTATGTATTTATGAAATAAGCTTTCTTATCTAAGAATCGTTTTTTTTTGTACTTTGAATATCAATGAATACTTAAAACACTTTGTTTGTTCTTGTATACACATATGCTCAATTATATTCACGGTGCAAAAGATTATTTGAATTCAAATAATAAAGTAGGAAAGTTTGACTTACAAAACACATCCTTCAATATTCTGTATAGAAATAACCCGTCAAAGATGTACAGATAGCTTTTATATTACACTTTGAATATAAATTGACAGTCATTAGGGTATATTGAATTGCATGGAGTGGAGGATGATTTTGGTACTTGCTGGTTATTGCGTTTTATTCATTGCTAAAGTTAATTTGTATGTTGGTTTTTTGTCTTTTTTTTTGCAGTAGGAGATCTTGTTTCTTTCATTCTCTTAATGCTGTACTTGACAGTAGACATGCTTTATGCAAGCTATCAATGAAATCTGGACTGCACAAAAATTTGCTAAATGTATGTACATGATGCATCAGTGTTTTGTAGGTATTATTTCTGACATATGAACAGCGGGTGTTATCTGATGAAGATGTGCCTTGAATATTGGATTTGATTAATAAATTTAAAAACGAGGGCAAAACACTGTTTTTTTTTCTTTAATTGATTTATTTATTTGAGTATCCTCTTTTAAATAGTTTATAATAAATGCTAGTATACATAAATATCCAAATATCATATTGTCTAGAAGCCTTTTTTTATACATATATACTGTAATTAAGTATACAACTGATGACAATGAAGATACAGACAATTTTAATCGCCTGTTTCATTTTGCTTTGACGGGGAGGAGTAAAATAAGATTTAACCATATCAGTGTACACTTTTGGCCACCCTAGTTTTTTTTTGAAAAGAGATTGAGAGAAAAAAAAGGTTTAGGCCTAGATCATAGCTGATCAAGGAACAATTTTGAAAGTGGTTGATAAGCTCTATTAATTTTCTTCTTTGATCCTTGCTTTCAACTATAAGGTTTGAATGAAATTCTAAATAAAAAAAAAGCTTCTTTTTTTTTGGCTTTTATGTTGTTAGAATGAAGAAGAAAAGCCAGACAAACAAACAAAAATTAGGTGTAAAAGGCCATAATAAAATACAAAATAATATAGTAGAGATTATGCTTATAGATGCAAGCCAAATAAGGATTAGTAAAATAGAATAAATCCTTAAAAAAAAAGCAAGGGACAAAAAGACCCTTTGTGGCAAAAGAAGGAGCCCAAGGTTTACTGTTGTAGGTGCTGTGGGCTGTCTTCATGATCGATGTGCGTTTTCCCTGCACATTCCTTATATGTATATATCTATACAACTATATACCTATATCTATATATTTCTTAGCTTGGTGGTATCCGAAACATACTCTTCTAAATCTACATTGTTTTGCAAGCTCGATGTAGCGAAACATCGAAAGATTTGTGGCTGAATTTGAAACAAAAAAAAAAGGATCTCATATCCTACTATTCAAGGCAGTCTCTCTTACTGTTGCAAGCCTACTCTACAACGTCTAGAATCTCTATATACTTTAGATTTTCCGTATTATCATTATGATAAGAGGTTGATTTTTTTTGCTCTATTAGACCACTCAAAACGAAAGTCCAATAAAATAATAATAATAATAAAGGTTAACTAATTTTGATATAAAATATGTTTTTTCTTTCTAAATATATGTCTATATGTTCGTAATATTGAATCACAACTATTCAGTTTAAACATATCTTTTCAACAACCAAATACATCATAAAGCTAGGAAGCTTCTGAATTGACAATACATCATTAGCATTAGCATTAGCATCATCATTATTATTATTATCATCATCATCATATTTTTTTTTCTTAACCAAAATAGTTCCCAATAGGTGTAGACCTAAAGTAAATAAATCGATAAAGAGGGTCCAGACTTTTGAGAGCCACACTGGTCAAAATAGACAGAGAAAGGATTAGAGAGAGAGGACCCTGTCTTTGTCGATAGACTAGGTGTTTTGGTTTTAACTTCAATCGACTCCTCGCATAAGATATTTTGATGCTGTGTCTGCCTATTAGAATTGGTTGATTGATTGATTGATTGATTTTCTTATTTATGTTTTTGCACAACGTAAATTTTTAGAGGGAGGTACCACATGGGATCATGTATAATACTGCAGCCTTCTTTTTATTCCAATGAAATGTTTAGGGTCTGGAAAGGTTTCTTCCTTGTTTGTTGTTGATTTATTCTCTGTATGCAGGATCAAGGCAATTTAAGCAATGTAGTATATATATATATATATTTGGATCATGCTTATTAAATACAATTATATGACTTTTTTTCTTCTTCTTATTTTCCAAGATATACTTCTTTATAAGATTTGTTTATTATTTGAGCTTTATGATGAGTATGGTACAGAAATATTCTCTATGCTTTTTGCTTTGCTTTATTTTGATTTGGTTTTATTGCTGGATTCATATTCACCAAAGAAGAAAAATAAAATAAAGGAAAGTCTGGATCGCCAAAGTAGTATATAATACTCATTGAAGTCATAGTAAAACTGACGTGTGTGGCAAATGTCTAGAATTTGTACATAATGGTAATAAAAGAACCGGGGAAAAACATAAAAGACAACGGGAGGTTTGAACTGTTTCAAATATAGTATAAAGGAAAAGACAAACAAATAAACAAACAAACAAACAAACAAAGGGATGGTTTATGAAGAGTATGCACATAAATATAAAAAGAAGAGGGAAGGAACACTGTCTTTCCAAGCCTTTCTGCATTGTTATCTTTAAAGTCAATTAAATAATAAATTCGACCGTATTCTAATGCACTCTAATGCACTCTAATATACTGTACTTTGTTATGCTTTTCTGTGCTGTATTGTAGTAAAAGAAGAAACAGAGCTCTTTTTGGTTACCTGTAACTTGGCATACTTTGGCTCTAATTAGGAACAACATCGGTGTATATAGCAACAGTACTCTTTTTGAAATACTCATTCACGAATATATATATATATATATGTGTGTGTGTGTGTGTGTGTGTGTGGGTTATAGCTGTAAAAGTGACTGATAATTCCAGCATTATACAATAGGTGTACTATTTCCTAACAAGGAGTGTGAATTGATGAGTCTAGGCATCTAATATTTTATTTTAGTTTTACTTTTTGTATATGCCAATAATATCTCCTTCTTTCCTCCTTGCTCTTCTTCCTCACTTTCTCCTGTCTTCCTCATCTCCCTTATTGATCTGTCGATCCTGGCGATCCTGATTAGAAGCAGCTCTTTTACAACAGCTGTATTCTTTTATTTCCTTTGGATAAAATAGTGTCATCAAAGAATTCCTTTCTTTCAGGGTTCATATTAGTGTATATATATAATGTACTATAAGATGAAAGTTGCAAAGAAAAAGAAGAAGAGGAAGAAGAAACACATATTCCACTAGGGGATAATGCTTTACATCCCAAATTTCAGATCTATTATATATTTCTATATATATATATATAAACATATAAAAAAATTCAAAAATAAAATTATGGTAGTAAAGATAAAGTGTCAATGACAGTACTAACAACAGTAATGACAGAATGAAGAAAAAATGTATCAGGCTTAGGGTCTAGGTCAGTACAGTACAGTACAGGTGCTCTATACTCCTTCCGAAATGTTGAGCATGCAATGAGCAATAATAAAGAATTAATACTTTAAAAAGTTTATACATTTTCCTTGCTTAAATGGTTTACAAGCTTTGTTTTTTGTTTATGTTTTTTAGCTCCTTAAAATCCACACATACAGGACGTCAATATATACATATTTGTAGATATGTGTGTGTGAAAGAGTTTTGTCTTGTATTCTTCTTTTTTTTTGCGTATATTTTTCAGACAGATCCTGGTATATTTAGGGCTTGAAAGGGTCAAGGTCTTATAATAAGTAATGAAAAAAAAGTATATGCAAATGCAAATTGAAATGCAAAAAGATAAACGACAGTATGGTGAGGACACGGACCATCGTTTGAAAATCAAAATCAAAATAATTCCGAATTAGTTGTATTTAGGGCCCAATATACAACTCATTGGATAACCAGCATCTTATAAAGAAAAGAAAAGAAAAGAAAAGAAAAACAATACATGGTATTGATATCACCATTTATTTGAGAATAAGTTGAAGTATAATTCGATTTTCAACCGGGCACTATTTCTGTTATTATTATCAAAGCAGTCAATGGAATATTGCCCAGCTCTTTAGGCAAACAATGGCTATCAAATATATATATATATTAGAAATGTCAAAAATTATAACCAGAAACTAGTATTAAAAAAGTCTAAATTCTTATTAGCGACTTATATATGGATTTATGAAGCTGTTCTATATTCATTATGCTCTATCTGTCTCTCTGTCTTTCTCTCTTTATGTGGGTGCATGATATTGATGAATTATTGTACAGAATAATCCACCAAAGTGTTGGCTTCTTAATTGACTAATAATTGTATTAGTAATTACTAGGAAATGAATTTTACTTTTTTTAGGCAAATGGATACAGTCAAAGCTCGATATATATAGTGATATGGATGGTGGACAGAAATTTTATCGCTATCACTATATCGAGCGTGTTTTTTTCTTACTCCGCGCATTATTTAGTGATATTTCTAATGCCGCTGTGAGTGACTACTGTTTTCTAATAGGATTTATAGTATTTTGTCTAAGAAACTGGGCTTGCTTTAAAATGCTAAATATAATATATATTCTACATTTATTTTTTTATAGTACAAAAATAAACTCAGAGCTCGATATAGTGATACTGGTGGATTCAAATTTCATCACTATCACTATATCGAATATCACTATATCGAGCTTTGACTGTATATATATACAGACCCATATCAGTACTGAATAAAATTTTAAGATTCCGCCAAATCAAGGCATCACCATTACACTACCTTTTATTTATTTTTTCAAAGCTTTTCCTCATTCGAATCTCACCATGTCTCACCAAAACAAAAAGGAAACTCTTCCCAAACGAAAGCAGCTTTCAGATTATCAAAGAGGACTGATAATTAGTGGTGCTATAGTAAATGGCACTGCTGCTGAAATTTCTGAGAAGAATGGTATACCTCTAGCAACGGTGTATTCCACAATCAATAGATGGAGAGATACTGGAACCGCATTTCCTGATAAGCGAAAAGGAACTTTGAAGATAATGGATGAGCGAGATGAGCGTCACTTGATTAATGAGATGAAGACGAATCGTGAGACAACACTTGGGGGTCTTACCACCTTCATGTCTGACACCCTAGGGCATCCCATCTCCAAGTCTACCATTCGTCGAACTATTCGTAGATCTGGATTGTCTTCTTGTAAAGTTGTATACAAGCCACTGCTATCAAAAGCACACAAGAAGAAGCGGTTGGCATTTGCTAATCATGCCAGAGAGACCAATCAGAGATGGGATCGCGTCATCTGGAGCGATGAGTCAAGGTTTATGCTTTTCAGCAGAGATGGCAATACTAGAGTATGGCGGTATCCTCAAGAAAAATACAGAGAAGAGTTCATTAGACCAAGACTGCAGTGTGGTGGAGGCTCCATTATGGTTTGGGGCTGTGTATGGGCAGGAGGAGTTGGCCCATTGAAAACCATAAAGAACACGCTTGACCAGTATGCATATATGGACTTAATGAAAAGGAAGCTTCTTCCATTTATGGAATCTCTTAGTGAGAACAATGATGGGGAGTTTATCTACCAAGAAGATAATGCTCCTTGTCATAAGTCTAAGCTTGCAGAAGAGTGGAAGAAGCGTCAGAACTTCCCAGTGATGGTATGGCCGCCGAACAGTCCAGATCTCAGCCCCATAGAGAATTTATGGGCATATCTTACCAGAAAAGTGAAGGCCAGAGTCCCCTCTCCAAAAAATCTTAATGAGCTGGAGAGGGCTATTCATATAGAATGGAAGAATATTCCGGCTGACGTTTGCAAGACACATTGCATGTCAATGCCTAATCGCTTACATAAGATGAAGAAGGCTCGTGGAGGGTCAACACATTATTAATTTTTTTAATAAATTTACTTTTTATTTTTTTAAGAGCCATATCTTAGTATATATATGTTTTCAAACATGGGGTGTTAAGTGAATATAGACAAACTACAGTCGCGGAACAGAAAATTTGGTCGTTTTATATTTCTGCTATTTATTTCATAATACACCCTTACACTTCACTTTACTCAATCTGCTAAATTCAATAAAATCTTTTTAATATAATGCCTAGACAACGAAGCAGTAAACCTCACAAGCCATTTGAAAGGCTTTCAGAAGTTGAAAAAGGAATCTTTATTGGACTTCATGAAGATGGCATGAAGATTTCTGACATTGCAAGGAAAAAGGGAATACCAAGAACTACTGTCACGCGTATCATAAAAAAATACAACGAAACCGGATCTGCTACTAATAAGAAGCCAACAGGAAGACCTTCTAAATTAACTGCTAGAGATAAAAGACATCTCTTCTTGGATGTCAAACGGGATCGCCATCAAAACTTGGTTGAGATGGCAGACTTGATTAAGGAAAAGTCTGGAAAAAAAGTCAGTACAAAAACTATCAGCCGAACGTTGCACAAGATGAATCTAGCCTACCGTGTAACCAAATCAAAGCCTCTTCTAACTAAGGAGCACATTGCCAAACGTCGTGCTTGGTATAGAAAAATAAAAGGTTGGAAAAAACAGTGGGATACTGTCATTTGGACAGACGAAGCAACCTTTACCCTTTTCAAGAAAAATGGTCGTAGTCATGTATGGCGGGAACCAGGAGAGAAATATCATCCAGACGGCTTGACTCCAAAGGTTCCAGGAAATGGAGGTTCTGTATCGCTTTGGGGATGTATTTGGTCTGGAGGAGTTGGACCACTGGTTATGCTTAAGGGTAACATGAATGCCCCATTGTACAATGAAGTTCTGGAGAAGGAATTCATGCCCTTCTACCAAAGTCTTCCTAATGTAGAAAAGGGAGACTACCTTTATCAAGAAGATAACGCGAGTTATCATAAGGCTACCTTGGCAGAAAAGTTCAAGAAAGACCTTGGATTGAAGATTTTGGAGTGGCCTCCTAACAGTCCGGACTTGAGTCCAATTGAAAATATCTGGGGTCTTCTTGATAACAAAATCCGCGCAAGACGACCTCAGCCTACCACATTGCGACAATTGGAAAATGCTTTGCAAGAAACGTGGAAAGCAATTAGCGTAGAGACTTGTATGACGTTTTGCCTTAATATGCAAAATCGTCTATCTGAACTTAAGATGCGTAAATTTAGACCAATCTCTTATTAAAGCTTTTTCAATTTTTTTTTTCAATTTATCTATTACATCTTATACAGTTATCTGTGAGAGTACCAGAGATTTATAGAACTTTACTATCTTTTATCATAAATTTAAAGCTACAATATAAGTTGAAGAGTCTTGGCGGGGGTTAAAAATGACCAAATATTCTGTCAGAAGTCTGTAGTGTAAGAATGTTAAAGAAGTTGATGCCTTGATTTGGCGGAATCTTAAAATTTTATTCAGTACTGATATGGGTCTGTATAAAAGATAGTCCTTATAGGATGATAATGTATGGACACTTGTAGGCCAACCACACAAATACGCAAATACACAAACACACAAACACACAAACACATATTAGATTAATATATTTATATAGATTATTATCCGAAATAATAATAATAATAATAATAATTTTCCTATAGATTTTCTTTCTTCTTTCTTCTTCTTCTCTCTCTATATATATATCAATGGAACTACAAGGATCTTGTCACTGTGGAAAGACTTCTTTTAGTGTGGTGTCGCACACGCCAGCTCCCGTAAGAGCTCTTTACATGTTTGTTTTTCTCTAATGATATTATGATACGTATTAATATTCATTTAATAATGATGTAGTTTATGCGATGTTACTGGTAAATAATAATAATAATAAAATATAGAATAAAATAAAATAAGACATTTTAATTCCTCTAGTTCCATTTGTCGTAAATGTCAAGGAGGAGGAGGTTACGCTATTAACATAATGGGAGTGGTAAGAATGAAAGACATATACATACATGAAAGGCATTAACCCAGACTTGCATTTAATGTGAATGTGAACGTTGTTTGATTTCCAGTACAGTACACTTAAAGTCACCGGGAAAGAATATATTCGGTAAGCTTAAACCGACAATAAACATAAAATCCTGTTGACATTTTATGTATGTATATATTGTGTACCAAAGAGAGTACAAGGCTTTACGCGACAAGACTACCAAAGAGCTCTGGTAAATGTGATAATAGAAAGATAAACAATTGGATATACTAACATTCTATATCTAATGATAGTGGAAATACGCGTTATTTCTGTGGTGAATGTGGTAGTCATCTATATGCCTATAATCCTGCTTATGCTGACAGTGTGTATCCAATGGCGTGTGCTATTGACAGCCCTTTGCCGGTTGTTGAACCCAAAGATATTTATCACATCATGCTGAATAAGCAGTCGAAAGCCAACTGGGTCCTTGCTCCCACGCCCAGCCCTGAGAACCATGCATTTGAAGAATATCCCGATACATCGATTTCTCAATGGCACAAGGACAATAATATTCAGTATTAACCAAATCAATCAAAAATCAAAAATCAAAAATCAAAAATCAAAAATCAAAAATTGAAACATATTGATTCATTGATTGATCTGTTAGAGGGACTCTTTTCTTTTTCTTTCACCTCTGTACACTGTACACTGTACACTGCAGATGTATATATGATTATCAATCTATATACACACACAAAACAAAACAAAATAAAATAAAATAAAATAAAATAAAGTAAAATAAAATAAAATGCATAAAGAGGGAAAGGTCTGTAAAGCAAACATGATTTTTACTTATGTACATTTGGGCCTAGAGTGGTAAGAACCAATATATATAATTATTTTTAAGAGTAAAATAAAAATACGACCCGCAGTGGCATTAATGGTGTGCAACAATAACTGGCACAAATTAAGGATTCGTGACTTGACATGTGAGTCGCACACACACACACATTGAAAAAGAGAGAGAGAGAGAGGGAGAGTAAGTGACACTCAAACACGTACACTCTGCTCACTCCACTCTATTCACTCCACTATACTTAACTTTAACTCAACCAATATAAATATATATACACACACACACATATATATATATATCATATATAATCTTTATTCTTCTTTTTCTTCTTCTTCTTCTTCTTTTGCTTTCCCTTTTTTTTTACTTGTATAATTAAACATCAACTTTAACATACTATATACAAATATGACAAAGTCTGGTTTCCGTATCGAAAAGGACACGTTTGGTGAACTCAACGTACCTATTGACGTCTACTGGGGTGCACAGACCCAAAGGTAAACTAGATAACTACATACCTATCTATTTTTAAAAAGAAGTAAAAGACAAGAACCAAGAATCTGTCTTGTTTATCATTTTGAATTTCTTGATTGACTCACTCATTGACTGACTCGTTGGTTTTCTTTCTTACTTTCAAAAAAAAATAAAAATAAAAATAAAAAAGATCCTTACAAAACTTTGACATTGGTGGTCCGTCTGAACGTATGCCTCCTGCGCTGATAAAAGGAATGGCGATTCTGAAAAAAGCTGCTGCAAAAATCAATATGGAGTATGGACTTGATGCTTCTGTAGGTGAAGCAATCATCAAGGCTACTGATGAGGTGAGTTTGCGTTGAGGTTGAGGTTGAGCTGGTATTTTATTTGATTTGATTTCAAATTTTAACAATACAAAAAAAAAAAAATTTTTTAAAAAAAAAACTGGGAAAAACATAGGTGATCGCGGGTAAATTAGATGCCCACTTTCCTCTGGTTGTTTGGCAGACTGGATCAGGAACTCAATCACAGTAAGGCTTTTGTTTGGTTGTAGATCTCCCTCCCCTTCCTACATTTATTTTTGTTTCTCAATTAACTGATGAGATACATCATTTGTACTATTGTAGTATGAATGTCAACGAGGTAAATATGCAAATATCCAATAGTGTTTTGTACAAGTCGTTTACATACACACATCTTAGGTACTTTCTAACCGAGCAATTGAAATTCTCGGTGGTACCCTCGGTAGCAAGACACCAGTTCATCCCAATGATCATGTCAATATGAGCCAGTCTTCTAATGATTCGTAAGTACTATTGAGTAGCAACCAGTCTTTATATTATTATAACAACTTGATTACTTGCTTTTATATAGTTTTCCTACAGCTATGCACATTGCGGCTGTTTTGGAAATTCGTGAACGCCTATTGCCTGCCCTTGATACTCTAAAGGACGCAATCAAGGCCAAATCGGACGAGTTTGATAACATTATCAAGATCGGCCGTACCCATCTCCAGGATGCCACGCCTCTGACACTGGGCCAAGAGTTCTCGGGCTATGTCCAGCAGCTAACATACGGAATCCAGCGAATCCAAAACACCCTGCCACGTCTGTCGCGTCTTGCTCAAGGCGGAACTGCAGTCGGAACAGGACTCAATGCTCGTCCTGGATTTGATGTCAAGGTTGCAGAAGTTGTGTCAGAATTGACAGGATATCCGTTTGAAACGGCGCCAAACAAAGTAAATAATAGTAAATTGTCTATAGATTATGACTTACTTGCATGTGAATGTTAAAAGAGGGAAAGGGAATTAGTCTTCTTTTTTTTTGGTTTGGTTTGCTAAGCAACTAATTGATTGATTTGAATTTGTGTGTGTGTGTGTGGATGGGTGGGAAATAGTTTGAGGCTTTGGCTTGTAATGATGCTATTGTAGAGGCACACGGAGCATTGAATACTGTGGCTGTGTCGTTGATGAAGATTGCAAATGACATTCGATTGCTTGGATCTGGACCGCGTTGTGGACTGGGCGAGCTTTCTTTGCCCGAGAATGAGCCTGGATCTTCTATTATGCCTGGTAAGGTGAACCCAACACAATGTGAGGCCATGACTATGGTGTGCTGTCAAGTAATGGGTAACAATACGACTATTTCTATTGCTGGATCAAATGGACACTTTGAGGTATAATTTTTTTTTGTAAATAATAATAATAATAATAATAATAATAATTACTTATTTTTTATTTTATTTTATTTTTGGTTGGATAGTTGAATGTATTTAAGCCTGTGATGATCAAGAATCTGTTGCAGTCGATTCGGTTGTTAAGTGATGCGTCCAGATCATTCACCAATAACTGTGTGGTGGGAATTGTGGCCAACAGACAAAAGATCAAGGCTATCATGAACGAGAGTCTGATGCTTGTGACTGCACTCAACCCTCACATTGGCTATGACAAGGCTGCCCAGTGTGCCAAGAAGGCGCACAAGGAAGGAACGACTCTTTTGGAGGCAGCACTGTCGCTTAATGTCTTGACAAAAGAGCAATTTGAGGCATGGGTTAAGCCTGAAGAGATGCTGGCACCTCGTTAATACATATTATATACTTACACATATATTTCTGTAAATAAATATAAATCTATACAAATATATATATATATAAGAGGAATTGATTGATTGGGTGATTTTGTTTTTTGGGGGGAAGAAAGACCAAATGGAAAGTCTATTATCAATTAGTGATTACAAAATGTATGTATATATATATATATATGTGTGTGTGTGTGTGTGTGTGTGGGAGTATGCAAGATAATTAGATAGATAACTAGATATTTAGATGTATAGAAAGTGTATGTAAGAGTATGTATGACAGTGTGTACGTGTGTACGTGTGTATTTGTGTATTTGTGTATTTGTGTACTTTCTTGTGCGTGTGTATGTGAACTTTAAGAAAGCTACACACAGCGACTGGAAATGGTATAATTCTGGGGTTTCTTCAAGGTATTTTCATGTGAGAAATGGTCCAAAAAAAAACTTTATTATTATTATTATTATCATTATTTTGTTTTTGAATGATTCTTCTTCTGCTTCAAGTCTGCTGGTTTCTTTGATAGACCACTTGATCTTTTTATATTTGTAATGATTTTCTAGGTTTCCTCCCCCAACCAAACTAAATCGAATTAGAGCCGAGAGCCGAATTTTATCTTACAAGAAACATTGGCCACAAAATATTCTTTTCTTTTTTAAACACACACACACACACATATATATATATATGTAGTAGATATTTAAACTTGATATATAGAATAGAATATGATTATAATTATAAGATTCAAGTGTTGAATGGGGAGAATTCACAAGTGTAGAGAAAAAGGTGTTATTTAAGATAAAAGAATAGAACGAAAGGAAAGTAAGCCAAGTTTGTCTCTGGTCTGTAATGAAAAGGAGATAGGCAACCAGCCCAGCAACCAGCCCAGCAACTAGCATAGCAACCAGTCATAAAGAGAGAAAGAAAGAGAGAGAGAGAGAAAAAAAAAGGGGAGGGGGTTAAGAAAAGAGGAGATTTGTGGCGATCAAAGCATCGTCCGACGCTCCACACAAACTTTTTTCTCATATTCTGTTCTCCGATACAACCAAAAAAAAAAAAAAAAAACTTGACTCCACTTTGTTTCTCTCTGTCTAGCTGTCTAGCTGTCTGTTTTTATTTATTTATTTATTTTAATTTATATTAATATAATATATTTTTACAATAGAATTGAATTGAATTGAATTGAATTGAATTGAATAGAATTAAGAGTAGTAGTAGTAAGAGTGATGATCACTTTACAATCAAAGAATAAAATAGAATATTTATCATCTTGGTAGCTTTGTAAAGAATCAATTAAAATTTAATTTTATTAATTAGTTTAATATTCTGTCTATATATGTACATGTCATTAATAACAAGTTTTTCGTTCGTTTTTTCTTATTTTATTTTTTTAATAATCATCAATGATATTTGAAATTGAAACAAGCTGAATAACAATAAGAATAGAAATTAGAATTAACAATCGTGTTATGTAATGGAAAATCTAATTCACACATTTATATGTATATTTTATAATAAAAAAAAACAATCAGCACCATGGCAATCCCATTAATGAATTTCCTATAAAGAAAATTAAAAGGAAATGGGTGGGGTTCCAATGTCACGTCACAGATGGGGTTTTTCCCTTTTTGCCCGACGGTCTCCCAAAAATAATAATAATAAAAATAATAATAATAATAGTAATATAAAGAGTGAGTGAAAAAGAGAGAGAGAGAGAGAAATAATGAGTGAGCTATAGAGAGTGAGTGAGAAGTTTATAGTGAGTGAGAAAAAAAAAGAAGGAAAAAAAAAACAAGTTCAGCTTTGTCCCCGCAAGATCCCAAACTAAGAAATAAAATAAAATAGAAATAGAATATATAGATAGATAGATATATAGATAGATATATATTTTATATTTTATATTTGTATTATTTCATTTTATTTCATTTTATTTTATTTTATTTTATTTATTTTTCTCTTTCACAACTACAACACTAAATAACCAAACCAAAGATATAAATATATTATATATAAATAAATAAATAAATATATATATATATATATATATTTTTATTTGATAATGGTAGTGGTGTACATCCTGTACTTGGTGTACTTTGCAATCGCAATCACTCTAGCACTCTCCATCCTACTATACGTCTACCAATGCGACCTCTTATATGCTGCAGGATTCCCGACAGGTTCGCGATCAGTTGTAAGCAAACCCAATAACCAACAGACAAACACTTCATTTCAATAATAATATTATTATTTACCCCAAACAAAAATCATAATAATAATAATAATAATATATATATATATTTTCTTTTCTTTAGGTAGCTAAACCCTCTCAATATGGATTACCAGATAAAGAAGAAATCCTGGTGACTAAAGACGGCGTCAAGCTCAGGAGTTATGTGCTGATCCAAAGAGGAGACGATGTGGCTATACAGTCACCAACACTTCTTTGTTTTCATGTAAGACATACATACAACACATACCTTGAAACTAAATAATATTTTCATTTAATCTGATAGGCACACACTGGTAATATGGTATGAACAAATATATATATATATATATGCAATAATAATACTAATAACTTCCTTTTTTTTCTATTTCTCTATAAATCTATATACTTATAGGGCCATAGACTCCCTATTGCTCAAGTATTTTTCAAGAAACTTGGTTACAATGTCGTTATGCTGTCTTACAGAGGGTAACATAACATATTATATATATATATATTAAAAAAAAGGTGTGGTTTGTGACTTTGGTGCCTGACTGTTTCTTTACTTTTTGTCTACTAGATATGGATTAAGTGAAGGAAACCCCAATGAGAAAGGATTACAAATCGATGCACAAGTAAGTATCTATTATTATTATTATAACAACAATTGGTTATTTTAATATAAGAAATATTTATTTATTTACTTATTTATTACAGACTGTTCTTGACTATGTTCTCCGTCATCCTATCCTCCGACACACAAAACTGGTAGCTTATGGACAATCGCTGGGCGGTGCTGTTGCTATTAATCTAGTATCAAAGAATGAAGAAAAGTTCCAGGCATTGATGATTGAAAATACCTTTTTAAGTGTCGTAAGTTTTTTTATATTTATTTTTTAAAGTATATATATATATATCTTGCAATGGTTGATTGGATCTGAATATTTACTGTTAATTGCTATTTCCCAAATAAAATATATTTATATATTTACATACAAAAGCCTCTCTTGATCCCTCACATATTCCCTGCATTGAGACATCTCGTTTATCTGTGCCATCAAACATGGAGATCATATAAATCAATTCGCTACATTCGACACATTCCAATCCTATTCTTATCCAGCCTCAAAGACGAAATAGTTCCTCCCCAACATATGGCTAAACTGTACAAAATATCCCAGACAGGTGGAATCAAGGTCTGGCGTGATTTTGAAAACGGAACTCACAACGATACATGCATGCAGGTAAATAAATAAACACAACTATATATATATTTGATAATTGGATAGGTGGACTAACAAATCCTTATTATTTTTATTATTTAAAACAAAACAATAGACTGGCTACTTTGAATCAATTGCAGAATTCATTCGTGACAATGTGTGGGATTACAGCGATTAAATCAAAGATAAAGAAATGATATACGAACAAGACAAAGCTCAATTTACCACCACCACCACCACCACCACCAACAACAACAACAACAGCAACAGTCGCTTTTCTTCTTCTTCTTCTTACACACGCACTCCAGGAACGCATCTTACACTCACACACAAATTATATATATATATATATATATATATTACACAACTCAACACAACAACATAACAACACAACACAATACAATCAAAGAATCAAAATCAAAATCAAAATCAAAATCAAAATCAAAATCAAAATCAAAAACACAAAAACAAACACAAACACAAACACAAACAAAAAACTATCCCCAAAATTCAGCATAACGAACGACTGGTCTCTTTGTCTCTTATCTTCATCTATCTTCACACGAGCCTCTTACTTTTTCTCAATTTTTTTTCCAGTTCTCTAAAAAAAAACAAATTTACAACCCCTTAACTTCACAACTTTCACAACTCTCGCAACTTTTACAACTTTTACAACTTTCACAAAAAAAAAACAGCAAAAAAGCAACAATGACCGATACAATCCAACCAAATTCACGACACCACACACACACACACACACGCAATTTCTCTCTGGTTTTATTTTTTTTTCTTTAGAAAAATATTCTTCATATTTATCATTCATACCTGAATCTCACCCCTTCGTTTTTTTTTATTATTCTTTTACCTTTCTAGCAACACACACACATATATATACATATATATTTACTTACTTACTTACTTACTTATACATACACACATACACACAATAGTTACTACTACACACATGTTTTTGCGTGAGTTATGCATGTCTTTTTTGTATTTTCGTATGTATTGTTTTGTGTCGTATGTGCGTACGAACGTGCGTTGTGACTGTGTGTATTCAAGTGTGGGAGATTTATATATATATATATATATGTTTCTTTATTTTCTAGTTAGTCATTACATTACACACACACAGACACACAGACAGACACATATTTATATACATTTACTCATATACACACACATATATATACAATATAATATAATAATAATAATATAATATTTGAAAAAAAAAAGGAAAAAGAACATGCTTTTCTATCCAACTACATACATACATATGTATATCTGATTAATTTACCTATCTGTCCGTTCATCTACCTACCTACCTATCTAAGCTTGTGCTTTAGAACCTACCCCACTCATTCTTAATTTATTCTTATTTGAGAACATTACCAAAAATTCGTTATTTTTATTATTATTGAAAAAGAGAAAGAGAGAGAAAATGACAGCAAAAGGCAAAACGATAGAAACATTATTAACATTATATAATTCTTTTTTTCTTTATTTATTTCACTTTTAATTCTTGCTGTTAATGGCTGTAAACTGTCAGTGTCAAAAGTTACTGTCACCACTATTACTACTGCTATTATCATTATCATCATAATTATTATAGTTATCTTGTCTCGCTTTCAACCTTGCCCTGCCTTGCCTTTTTTAATTTATATATTTATATAATAGAAACTCATCCCAATTTTTTTTTTTTGCATGTGCCTGAACCAATATATACATATATATAAAAACACAGGAAGCACAAGAAGCACAACCGGAGATCAAAAAAATCTAAAAAACGACAAAAAAAACCTCCTTTTTCCCTCTTCTCTCACCACCACCACTACTACTGCTACTACTAGTATTAGTATAAGTATTAGTGCAAGTAGCTGCAAAATTTACTTCTTTATAGCTTTTATTGGCCTTTTTTCTTCTTCGTTAGTGTCATTCCACAGATTGTTTTTATCATCGCGATACTACATGATTATAATAATTACAGAATTAATAATATCGTATATATATATATATTTATTTATTCATTCATGCAGAGAGCCGTTTCAACTCCCGCAAAATATGTCTATAAAATATAAAAGTATAATAATAATAATAATATTATTATTTTATTCTCTTTTCCCCTTTATCCTTTTATATATATATATCAAATGGATTCCGAAGCAAATCAAATAACAGCATCCAATCAAGTCAGTCACAAAATTATATATCCTTACCAAGCAGTACTTGTTCTTCTTAAGAGAGATAAAAAAAAATAGAAAAGACAGGCCATTTACTTATGAGTCAGACTTTGGCAAAAATCTACAAAATAAACGCGTTTTGAAAGGTACGTTAGAGAGAAATTAATGGATTACGCGGCATCTATATACCTATAACAAAATTAGTATTATTTATATATTTGCTCTTTAATTTTTAACATGACATACTCATCACAAATCTTCTAGTGCAAAACTCAAACAGCAAGAAGAAACCCAAAAAGATACGGAAGGAGAGACATATAAAAGTCTCTGAGGTCCCGCCTATGCTTGGCCTTTCTAGATCTACTGTAGATAACATAAAGGACAGTTTCAGGGACAATGAAGGGGTCGTGGTCAAGCAAAGAGGTGACAGAAAGAAGGAATGTACAAAGATCACAGAAGAACATTCAGAATATCTCATTGAGATCCTTGACGAAGATTACACATTGACTCTTGAGATGACGAGAGAAAAGCTTTACGAACGCTTCGACGATTTACAGGAAAAAGACATAGCGTTCAGCGGACTATACCGTCATATAATGAACAATATTGGGGTTCACATTGAAGCGAACCAAGGCTGTGGAGGAGAGGAGAAACGACCCGGATGTTATCGAAGCAAGGAGAAGATTTGTGGAGTCTCTTCCGGGACTTGGGGTTGCATATGTAGCCAACTGCATCTTTATTGACGAAGCTGGATTTAATGCCAATCTCATTCGCCAACAAGGGTGGTCGAAGAAGGGGAAGAACGCCATTGTACGTACTAAGACCAAGAGGGCACTTAACATCAGCATATTGGCAGCAATATCAAACAATGGTGTCGAGAGCATGTCAGCCAAGCTTGTTCCAAAAGGCACCAACGCTGAACTTTTCATCGAGTTTTTAAAGCCACTCATAAAAACACTAGACGATACCAATGCTGTTCCCCAGTGGTTCATCCTGGACAATGCCCCCATCCACAGATCCCATTTGGTCAGGGACTTTATGGCAACAACACGACACCATATCAAGTTCTTGCCACCTTACTCGCCATTTTTAAATCCAGTAGAAGAGAGCTTCTCGAAACTAAAGGGTTTGGCCAAGAGAAAGCCAGGGTTAGATACTGATGACTTTCTGGCATACTTGTCAGAATGTAGTACACAAATAACAAGGGAAAACTGCCAAGGCTGAGTCCAACACAGCATTAGTTTTTTTTAATAATTGCCAATCTTGTAGATAAATTTATTCTAATAAAGACCCACATACACATATATAAATTTGTACATCTTTACTGTTACGTTTGATAGAGAGAGGGGAAGAGGGGTTTACGAAATATTATCCTTAATATTTATTTATTTATTTCTTGTGATGACGTATACATTATTATTATTATTATTATTATTGCTATAATTTTGGCTTTCAACACACATAAAAAATAATTAAAGAAGTAAAGACAAGGAGTAATGAGTGCTCTATTCAACACTCACTTGCATGTATATATTAGATATTGTATTGCATTGTATTTTATTTTATTTATATACATCTGTACTACAGTTACACTGTCTTTTATTTCAAGGCCCTGATTTTCCCTGACTTACTCTCATTTTTATTTATTTTTATTTATATTTTTTCTTATCTTTTCTTTTCCCTCTTCTTCTTGTTCTCTCTCTCTCTCTCTATTCACATTGATTAATGTCTTCTGCTTATGGGAAAATCCCAAAGCCCTCTTCGGCTGTCAACATTGACTCTATCTTACCTATCAAAAAGACCCTTCGTGACAATACTGTAGCCACCCTACAGCGTATAGACTCTAGCAATATTCCCTTGGTCCAATATCTTCATGAATTATTTAATGGCGAGATTGAATCCGGGTAAAGAATAAGAGTAATATAATATAATATAATATAATATAATATGAGCTATATAAGTATAAAGTATAAAAAGATGGTAATTGTTGACAGCAACTTATATATATATATATATTTGAGTGATTAATTTGGATCAATTTGGATTTATAGATCAACATATCCTCAAGAAGAAACCTTGTCGTTTACTCAATTTAAAGACTATTTCTTATCGTGAGTTTTGCTAGTATTTGAAAATGAAATAAAAATACAGTAAAAATACAATTGCCTATAGTTAGACTTATAGCCAGATTATTATATTATATTATATTATATTATATTATATTATATTATATAATATGTGTAAAAGTATTCAGCTATTTAATATATAAACATTAGATACGATGCCTTTGTTCTTACAAAAGAATTAATCGAAAATGACAAGGTCTACAATTACGCAGATCAAGTAATTGGAATGTACTATGTCAAACCAAATTATCCTGGCCGTGCATCTCATGTAAGCTATGATGATAATTATTACTACTACTTATAAAAAAAACCCAGCTGTCATGGTGATTAGTGGTAACTATGAAATAAAGTGAGATAGAAGTGAGATGATGAAGGCGGTGGAAGGCGGGGGTTAAGGTAGGCAAATGAATTGACCCCAAATAATAACGTCTTTTTATAAAAAATAAAAATAAAAATAAAAATTGGGGAAATAACTTTACCCTATATATATCCTCCAACTAAACCCGCTCCATCAACACTTACCAAAACTTGTATAATATGTGTATGGATTCCAACACACAATAATTGATAATAATATTAATCTTTGTTTTTTTTTTTTAACAAAAATATCTATCTTATACATGTTCTTATAGATATGTAACGGTGGATTCTTTACTTCTCCTATTCACCGAGGCCTTGGAGCTGGCGTGGCTTTGGGAGAGACTTACTTGATCATTGCCCCAGCCCTTGGTTACAAAGCGTCCATGTTCAACCTCGTTTTTGTCAACAATGAGGCTTCAATTCGTATCTGGCGCCGACTCGGGTTCCAAGAAGTTGGAAGAGTACCCAAGGCTGCAAGGTAATTATTATTACTATATGAGCAATAATATAGCTATCTAGATAAAGAGATAGAGATAAGGATAAGGATAGATGTTGGATCTGTGAGTAAGGGATATAGATATATTGCATAATTAATTGTCACACGAATATATACTAATAATATCAATACACATATTTAACGGGTTTTTTTTATTGTATTGTGTGATTTAAACTTTATAGACTCAACAATTGCCCTGGAGAATTGGTAGATGCACTGATGTTCTACTATGACTTTACAGCGGAGAAAAAGAGCAGCAAGTAGACTACATGTCAAAAATGACAGTATTGTTAACTATATATGTATCAATAAAACCAAATAATAGTAGTAATAATAACAGTATATAAAGGTGTCGTTAATCTGTTTCTGAGGATCAAATTAGCTATCAAATGAAATGAAACGGATGATAGCAGTAAAATGATTAGAATATTACCAAAACAAACATAGTACACAATAGTCAGAACTAAGGACCTTGTTACTTGGGTAGATGCACTAGTTATTTTAAGGCTATACCAATACTTCTTTCTTTTTGTTAAAAAAAAAGAAGTATTGATCTGATCTTATTTGACGCAACTTTGATTTTAATCTTATCTACGTTTTATTGTGTCAAATTTTATAACAAATCAATACAGATAAAGATAATAAGATTGATATATATATATATTGATAACGGTAAAATTCTATTGCACTTAATCTAGTATAGTGTATTTTTTAATAGAGTGGATAGAGCTCTTCAAAACAGCTTTTACAAAAGCGCGTTGATCTGTCAGGAGTAACAAGAGAAACACTAGATAGACATCCTGAACAGAAGATTCCTATTAAAGTATAAAAGAAGAATAAGAAGAGGTGAGCATTATATATATATATATATATTTGGTGGTTGACTTTACCTCCACATGTTCGACAATGATTCTTTCGTTCTATTTTTTATATATAAAGATCAAAAGATTTAGAAACAATATAATAATAGCTGATAATTGTTATATATATATATATATATATTTCTTACCAAGAACCGAGAATGTTTTTGTACAGAACATACACTCTCTGCATCGATCTTCTTTTACATAATGTACTGTATCTGTAGTGTCCGGAAGAACATAAGAATATACCTGCCCAAGTGTATTTCCAGAAAGTAATGTTCTCTTTGGGCTGACAAAGCATAAGTATTAGTGTCTTTCTTCTTATTCTTAATTTCTGCGTTTCATTTTGAATTTTGAATTTTCATCATGAAAAATAAAAATAAAATATATAATTTTACCCAGTAAACTTCAATAGAACAATATCTGATACATCTGGAATTTCGTGAGTTCGATTCATTTGTTGTATTTGGCGTACAAGCGTCAAGTTCCATCGATGTCGGCCTGTTTTTGGATCCAAAGAAACTTCCTTGATCCAAAACTAGGAAAGCGAAAACGGGGTTACATATCTGTCTATAACTCACATACAAAGGCAATTGCTGATATCCCTGGACTTACCTTTATAATACCCTTTTTGTGACCAGTGATGATTTGTTCTTTACCCGACCATTCTTTAGGACGCTCCTATATACAAGCAAAAGTATATAAGTATTTGATGAAATCATATATACTCAAAATAATAATAATAATTCTTTACCTCATAAAACACACAGGACAAAATAGGCTCCGAACTTGAGCCCGTAGATTTTGAGAGCAAAAGTTCTCCATTTATAGTCCACACGCGAATAACGTGTCCTGAACAGGTTATTATATCACCCTATACACAGTAGACATATACAAATATTTTCAGTTTTAGTTTCTTTTTTAGAAAATCAATTATAAAATAAAGCCAGTACACAAAGAAAGTATTTAGTACTTACAGTAGAATCATTAATACACACGAGTTGAACACCGTTCTCATGGCCCATAAGAGATCGCACATATTTCATACGATTCAAGTCCCAAACAATAGCACTCTTGTCCTGAAAATAAAATAAGTAAGCACAAAAAATAGATGGTTTTGTATAAGCCTCATTCTATAATATATATATATATATATATATATTTTAAAAAAAAGATGCTTACCTCTGATCCACTGACTAGAATGCTATTTGATCTGGAGGCAGTTAATGCTGTTACTGAAGAAGTGTGTCCTCTCAAACACTCCAATGGAATAAAATCGGTGCCTTTGTCTGCCTTTACTTTCCACATACAGACCATCTATTCAAAATAAATAACATAAAAAGACAGCGACTTGGTCAATATGCTTCTCTCTCTCTCCCCTACTTTACTTCATTTTTTTTTTAAAAAAAAGAAATGACTTACACTATCAGTTCCTCCAGTAACAAGAGTGCGTGAATCAGGGAAGCATGCTGTACTGATATAACCAACATGGAGTTTCTCAAAAACATTCAAGAGCTTATAAAATCATATATAGGAAGATAAATAAATAAATAAATAATTATCATAGATATAGACATTTAACTTACTTTTCCAGATTCACTTGAGAATAGACGAAGACTAAAGTCCGTAAATCCCCATTCAATGTAACGTTGGCCATCGGATGGTATAAATAATTGTTGGTTGGAAGATACACCTAAACGATCATTGTAAAGACCTGCATCACCAACCTGGTGCTTGATGTCTTTATCATATAATATCAAACAAAAACAAAAACTATTAATACTACAGAACAAAGTTTATATATATATATATATATTTATATGTAGACAAACCTTTAACAGGTCTAATAGACTGAACAAGTTTATCAGTGTGGTCTTGGAAAGGATAGAATCCAAGCGTAGCCACATCGGTTGAACTAAGCATTCTGGTCGGGTGAGGTTTCTTGAACAGCTGCCGAGGTGTCTGGCCAAAGTTATTAATGATACCAATTGTAGCTGTCTTTTCTACAACATCCGTAATCTTGTCGAGATCTTTTTGTTTTTTTTTGTATATACATACAGATATACATATTATTAATAACCCAAAAGGAAAATTGTTGATTTTTTTTAGTAGAATTGTTTACCAACAGCTCCTTCATAAGAAACATGGTGAAAGACATTGAGTGCATCAATTGCGGCCTGTCCTTGCTGCTTAAATCCAAAGATCAAGTCAATCCAATGGTGTAGATTTGCACTAACGTAATCGCTTTCAAGGGCCTGACAAAAAACAAAAGGGATAAGAATGATATACATACATATATATCTGGTGTGTTAAATTTTACTAACCTCTCTGTGTCGCATAATAAAAACCTTTGGATCTCCATGTGCCCAAGGTGGAAGAACAACAGAGTCAATTGCTTCTCCAGTTCCCTGCTTTACACCTGTATATAAATGTGGATGTATGTGCGTTTAGTATTTAAATATCTCACATTATGACCGTAACTAGAATTAGTAATCTTACCAAAGTTGAATTTGTTCACATTTTCCAAAAACTCGGGAAGATAAAAGAATTCTGGAATCAGCTCTCTCACATCTCCCATATTCTTTTCAGAGGCTGATTCCCAAGCCTTTCCAATAGAATCAAACAATCTATCTGCGTGATCAAAAGTACCGCCCTACAGTATACAGTATATAATAATAATATCAGTTATTTTTTTATTTTTTTTTTACTCTTCTCTTCTCTTTGGATCGGCATACCTGTAGTTTCAAATAATGCTGTGTAAAAGGTTCTAATCTGATCAAGAAAGAACACACAATCATAGCCGAAGAGTAATGAGTTCCATAGTGAAAAGCAGGTGCAGGGTCATTTGTTTCACCCCATTGACGATAACGATCAGCAAATTCCACTAGCAGAAAAAAATACATAAAGAAAAAGCATAATTGTTAGTTTGTATGGTTATTTTGCGGTGTATAAATTATGCATGCTGATTTCTTTCTTAATACTAAGAATAATAATAATAAAAGCTGGTTCAGATGTTTTCTGTCAACTCACATCTTCTTTCGGATGTTTGGGCACCCATTGGCTTGCTTAAGTCTCTAAATGTGTCAGGATTCTCGAGATTCAACTAAGATGATATTAACAACAAGTAAATTGAATTATTAGCATATTTAAAAGTATATTATGGGAGATTAGTTTGGTATACGAGTAATACACCAAAAATACATTTTTAGACATTACATCTTCACTCGTATAATCTGCCAGAATCCATGGAAACACAGGATATTGGGTCAGGTCTATAATGTAAAGTTAGAAAAAAATATTATACTATTATAGAATTTACCGTTGTAAGAGCGGCCGGCAACCGTATTGAGATACATCAGGTATTGGAAGTTGGTAATATCTCGTCGCTCCCACCGCTGAGTCAGTTCACTGAGAATTGATGTACCAAAGAGATTGGAAAGTTTAAAGGCCCCACTCAAGGTATTGGTCAAGTATTCCTTTTCGCCAGCACCAATAATAGATTCGGTCGAGTCTTCGTAAAGAGTGACACGGCTTGCAAGTTTTGTATAGAGCTCATCACGTTCTTTTAGAGATACTGTCAAAAGGGCATTCTGACCATCGGCAAAAAACAACTCGAGAGCAACATCTCTATTTAATGTAATTATAAATAAAAGATATATATATATATATAAACAGACAAATTTATCCATTCATTCAATAAATAAGGAAATTAATAAGCACGTTTGGGTTAGTAATAATAATAATAATAATAATAATATTTTGGCTCACAAACCTGAACAAGAAGCGTCTCTTGTAAATTTCCTTCAAATCAGTATTTGCCCTTTTTTTTTTTGAAATAAATAAATAAAAATAAATGAATTAACAAAGAAGTTGTGTATATGTGAGAATAAATAAGCTAATAAGAATTTTGAATTTGGATTTTTTTTTTACCATTTACGACAGTTGTGCATATCTCCATCTAAGCTGACCGTTGGTTCTGTTTCCATGCCAGCAGCCTGGGCTACAAGGATAAGATACTCATCACGTTCTTTGCGTGGTACTTTCCAAATCTCGACAACTTCACCATCAGCTCGCTGGAAGAAATTATCAATCAAATAGATGTTATTTTTGCACAGAAGCAAAAGTCCCTCTACAAAAGAAATTCCAAAACAAAACAAAAAGTGTTGTAGATTAAGTGAGTAAATAGGTAGACAAATGTATACTTTACCTCGGGCATCAAGTCCTGAAATCTGACTAATGTTATAAACATCAATCACCATATCATTTTGATCCAAAAGACGAATGACCTTGCGGTTCTTGTCTTCTTCATACGAAAGTTCGTCTTCATCTTCTTCTTCACTTTGCTTTGTATCTTCCTCATCTAGAATTTTTTATCAATGTTGATAAAGAGCAAGAATATCATTATTAGTATTAGTAAGAACTTACTAGAAGTACGGTAATCATCTCCAGCTATATCGTCATTGATATTTGACTTTATAGAGACCGGGCTATTGCTCAATTGCTCATCGACAACCTTTTCCACATTTTTATCCACACCTACATAAATGTATGTCAGTAACTACTGATTTCTAGTATAGAGTATAGAAGAAAAAAGATGAATACAAGTCTTGTAAAAATAAATTACCTTGAAGCCCAGTAGGATTCATTTCTGACCCAATAGACGCCTGTAGATATATAGATATGTTAATAAAAGCTATTTAGTTTCTTTCTTCCTTTCATCAAATAAAATAGCTATTGGAACTGGTGTACATACCCCTTGGGTCTCTGAAGAAGACGCATTTGTTTGTTTGGGAAGGTAAGGAAGAGAAGCAATGGTCTCGATTCTTTGGATCTTCTTTCTCATTCTGTGCCGGCACTCGGTATAATCCAGACGCCATTTTGCACTCTCTGAGTCTTTCTTGGTACCCCATATAGCTCGGTCCCTGGTAAGATCAGCAGAGATGCGAACCCACTCACTACTTATCAAATTTTCATGTCCATCGTTGTCTTGAAGTGCTTTTGTAAACCTTCCTACTTCCACCTCCTAAAAACAAACATGTAAGTATATATATATCACTCCTATTTCTTTTCTTTTTTACCTGAATACTCTTGGACCAAGCCTTTGTCTTTGCAAGGTAATCTTGTAAAACTTCATCCTGATACATTTGTCGCTTTTGAAGTTTCTTGAGCTTGTTGATTCTTTTAATCTGACTATTCTTCATAGTCTCTCGACTGTATTTGTTTTCTTGAGTGATCACATTCTCCCAAGTCTTGTAGATATGCTCTTTAAACAGCAGGTTCAAATCCAACTTGCGCGAGTCAATCCAAACAAAGAAAGAATCGGTGTCCTAGTAAAGTTTTGAAGAAAAAATAATAATATATAGATATATAAAAGGTTATTAATAATGGGTTCCTTGATTTCAATTTCTTTTTTGTATTTTAGTACCATTTCCAACATGTGTCTGAATCCATCAATAAGTTCGTCATTTTCTATAGAGAATAATTTTATTAGCATATATTTGGCCTGGGTATTATTTTGTAAAGTTTACGTATGCGGAAGTTTTCATTTTATTTCCATCTTAAAGGAACTAGCATATAGTTTACTAACCAATTCCTCTGACCCGAACTTTGAAAATACTGGCAATTGCATCATATTTTTGCAAGATCAAGAGTTTCCAAAACTTTTTTTTTGTTATAAAGAAACAAAAGCAAATTAGCAAAGAAGTAAAAAGAAAAGAAATATGAAAATAATAAAAGCCAACCGAGGCAGCTTAAATTGTTCATTTTTCTTTCATTATTAATGTCACTTACATTGGCAGCATCTGCTCTAACATTATCATCATGCATCATCAAGAATTGATACAAATGGTAGCAGAGACATCGAAGGAATTCCATATCTGTGTTTTTTGGACTTAAGATAATCTTTTGGTGATGGATACAATAGCCCAGGAAAGCCGAGATTTGCTCAGAATCTATGACACCCTGCTCCAGCTCGGATATCTTTAGCAATATCATACGATTGAACGCACGATAAAGCATGGTTATGGTATTTTCCGAAGGTCCGTATCGACTAGACGTATTGTTCGTATTCAAGGACTCAAGAACAGAAGCCAAAAGATCGTAGGTTTGCTCGGCGCCATTCATAAAACGACCTTTTTTATTTTTATTTTAAATATATAAATACATATATACATATAACCAATTAATTATACATGTACACACACAAACACACACCCATATGTACATAATAGTCCCTATCGTCCTCCTCTTTTATTTTATTTTGAAAAACAATAATTTGAATATTACCTTGAAGTACAGCGTCAGATGCAATTTGACAAAATCTAGCCACATTTGTTAGGACCCGATTATCTTCCAAGAGTTCAGATTCTAATTGAAGTGAGCTCTTTAGACTTTGAGAGATGTGTGTCATAAGATAACTCTCAAATGTTGTCTACAAAAAAAAACAGCAACAGAAGAAGAAAAGTACAAGGACAGATATTAAACGACATATACAGGGTTGAAGACGTATTATATTTCCTAAACATTTACCTGGTTCTCAGTTGTACTAGGTGGGAAAGACTAAAGAAAGAAAAAAATATATAACAGTCAGCGACTGTGGGATGAAACAATTCTTTGCAACCACATCATATTGGATCAAATCAAATAACCAAATTACCGTAATAACCAAATTAAGTCCAGTCAGGTTTTTATCCAAAGGATCTGTAATTGAATCCACACTAATGTTTACAATAAACTCCAAAAGAGCTTCTAGAGTAGTGTCTCTCAAAGGATTTACAGGTGGGTTAGGCGTAGATATCTCTGAGCTCATGGAAGCCGATCTGAATCTTGTGAGCATCGAGGCAGTCCGCTTGTTAACATGAGGAGAGGTTTTGGTGACTAGCTGAGATGAACCTCCGCGCTTCAAGATACTTGGGGAATCGCTAACGTCAACAAGAATAGAATCCTTGGATATCGGACTAGAGGGAGATGACTCGGGTAAAATATCGGTGTCCAATATCAAGGAATTGCTGTCCTTCATAGCCAGTTCTTCCTCAGGCTTCAGTGACTCAGTATTGCAGACAGCATTGAACATGATTTCTACCATGTCATCAATAACATCAGTGTGGCGACAAGCATGTTTGAAATCTGGACGTGTGGAGTACATCTCATTGAACAAACGAATAAATTGCTCTTGAACGTGTGCAGCAGCTACAACATCTTTGCCTACAGAAAATGAAAATGAAAATGAAAACTTAAAATTTGCTTCACTCGTATCGATATAATAAAAGCCGAAATTCATATGTATATATTACTTACTCATCTGTCCGTAGGCCGCACTTACACCAACACTGCCACTTCTCATTCGAGATTTGTACATTGCCGCAGGAAGTGAGCTACCAGCTTTATCCTGATATCTCGTCATGGCTCGTGCGCCCTGTTTCCATAGAGCAATAATGACCAGTAGAACATCTGGTATAGATATCTTTGGCTGTGATGATTTGATTCCGAGTTTTAGGCGGTTAATATCAAACAAAGGATTGATAGGGAACTCCATCACATCAGCCCCAAGCATAATAATGACCAGCGTTTCTTGTAATTGAGCCAAATTCCAGTAGCGAGGAAGTAGTTTGCTCATAACTAAGAACCCTTCGGATGCACCTCGGAACTTGGCAACATAGATACCTCCCTGTGAGACCAAGAGGCGTGCCAAAATGCGTGCCGCAAGCACAATTGTGTACGCATTGATGTTAGGTGCAAAGAAAAGCAAGGGCCATTTGTTTGTAATTGTCGAGGCAAATTTGTGTACGATATCGTTATCCTCGCCGTCGCACAAGATATAATGAAGCATTTCCAAGACTATGTTTCGCATCTGGACCACCTTTGCAGCTTGAGTAGGATCCTTGGATTCATGAGAACTCGACCTTTCATCAGAGCTTTCGCCGCCTGTCTCGCTGTATAATGAAGCAGAGCTATTTGTTCTCACAATAAGAGGCTTCTGGACAGTTTCTTGCTCTTCTTTAGAAACTAATACGTGGTTAATAGTTATACAGCACAGCAAAATAAAGTACAGGAGAATATAACGCTATTAGTAGTCTGTTTGGTAACATAGTCAAGCGTCGTGAATTTACCTTTTGAAACCGTGGATGCCAAAAAGGTTGCCACGGCTCTAATATTTTCTGTATTCCAGCTACTGAGCATAACAGCCTTTAGAGCCTCGACAACATAAGGAATCAGCTCTTTGGCATAGATGTTCATCCTAAAGGATAGTAACATCTTCTTTACAAGATCTATGTAGATACTTTTTTTTTAGAGAACATAGCCATAATAATTATAATATTTCATAAATATCTTAATATTAATATTGATGACTTACGAACTTTCTGAAGACGCTTCAGGTTAAACTGACGCCTCTTGCTGCTGTACAAGAATAAAATAAATTGGGCAAGATGCGCTCTCTGTACATCCAAGTGCGTTTTCTTCCAGATCTCAAAATTCAGGATAACATAGCGATATGCAAATGGATTGTTGATAACAGATTCCCTACAAAAATTCTGTAGATAAGTCTCAAGGTATAATCAATTCATACCTATATATAACATAAAGTAGATTAAATTAAATTAAAAGAAAAGAAAAGAAGAACATACTCTGGACTAGTACTGTTCTTTCCAACAAACACAAGAAGTAATTCAAGAAGCTCTGGTGAAATCAAATCTCGCTTTTGTTTTAACAAATAAGCAAATATTTCATAGCCACGAGATCGCTCCATATCCTCTGAATTTCTCCATGAGTACCGAATCATTTCAAAAAGAATAGACGTTGTCTTGCAAAGAGTTGCAGAAGTCTATTTATAAAATGAATACATATTTACTGTTGTGATTCCTTGTCCAATTTCTTTTTCTATAAAATTATATATATATATATAAACTTACCTCTGACCGCTCAATAAGTTTTAAAGCCACTGCACAGCCGCCAATTTTCCAAATTGCTTCATCTAAACCAAAAGGATATGCCAACACAGGATGTCCGTCAAGATGTCCCATCTTTTGGTGAAGGAAGATAGCATCCTCAAGTTTTGGAAACGCCGCATTAAGAACCATGCTTTGATACTCAGGATCAGAAGTAATTAATTTCTTAGTGGCTTCGCTTAGACCAGTCGATATCAGCCCTGTACGAGTTCCTTCTGATATAGCATTACAAGAGAAAAAGGCAAACAAGATTTTGCTCTCAGCCAAGGGTGAGCTTATAGATCCACGCATAACGCTGACTAGCGAGTTATGAGTCATCTCTCGACGACTAAATGTTTTTGAGATGTTTCTTAGGTTCAAGAATAATGCAGTCGAAGCCTCGTAAGTCTGGAATTGGCGAAGACCATCCTGGAAAAGCGACCTGTACTGTGCACCGAGATGGAAATAAAGGCTCAGGACATCCGCTTCTAGTGTCTCCTGAATAAGATAGCACGGTCCTAGATCCCACACAAGACGCGATCTGCTTTTTGAAGGAGCCAGTTCACGAGGCGTACCTAACACTCCGCGCACTATACTACTTCCCGATGGATATGCCAAATATTGGCAGCGTGTTTGTTCAACCAGAACACCATTCACATACAGGGTAATCGTACTGAAACTGGGGCCTAACCGAGACCGGCTGTGAACAAATGAGACATGGTAGCAGAATCCAGGCTGGAAATCAAAAGAATCGAATATAGCCTCTTGTTTGTTATTGGCCATCACTCGAAGTTTGTGTGTTTTTGGATCGAGAAAGATCTTGAATACTAGCTTCTTATCATCCCATACGGTAAAAAGTATCAGCTCGGCCGTATCATCAAATTGCTCGACGTGAACCCATGCCATCCAGGTGTAACCTGAGGAATTGGGTGGAAAATTTTGCAGGTTTGGGATCTCTAGGGATGCATATCCATACGTGTTCATATCGAATTGAATAAAGTTGGGCCAGCGACTACTAGTAACGCCTTGGATGATGAGCTCCATTAAGCCAGCAATAGAAGGATCCTCAAGGTTTGCGAGATGTGTGTCTGATCCAAAACCTTGGAATATATAACGGAGTTCTTCATCGCTGACACCCATAATCATCAGCTTCTTGACAATCTGGGTAAGTAGACTCTTTTCAAACGGAGCCAAGTTTGTATCATTCTCATCTTGACGAGGAAATATAAGTTGAAGGGCAGTGAGTAAAAGACCACATTTGTTGAGCTTGACTTGGTTACGCCGGCTACTTTTTGATAATGTGAGGAGAGCAACATAGACGGCAGTAGACAGCTCTTGGTCGTACGAAATCTTTTTTTGAAGGTGAAGCATGCTAGGCGTTATGTGGGGATTAACAACAGACACCGAAAGATCATTCAAGGTTTCTTCTACTTTCTGGTACACCCTAGTAGTTACTATCTGACTGGCTCTACCACTTGACTTTGGCGGGACGAATAAATCTAGTACGCGTTTGTCCTGTACTGCAAAAGCCATAATCATTCCAAGTATACGATGGGGTATTCCTTCAGGATCGAGTGCGCCTGTCATAATCAATGCATTCTCAAGTGCTCCATATCCAACATCGTTTGCAAAATATGCTTTGTTGACTTCATGATTTCGCATAGATTCTACCAGTACAACAAATACTTTTTGAATAACAAGGATAATGTTTTCCAAAACACCGTCCTCCTTCCCATCAGCCGAAAATGCCACTGGATTAGAAAAGGCCCCCTCAAGAGAAACAATCATCGACACAAGGCTCACGTAGCCTCCAACTTTACGGAAAATATCGCGTGTTGATGGATGGGTTATAAATATTCGTTGAATAGTCTTTAGGACCTCAAGGCGAAACTCCAGATCATTTCGCGGGATAGCTTGGATAGCTTCCATCATTCTGCTAAACGTATGGCCAACCTCGATGCTTGAGACAAATTCAGATGTAGGAGAATCAGGACTTCCATCCTCTGAAATAGTGTCTGTCTTGCCAGTGTTATGGCTTGAAAGACATTCGAATAATCGCAATGCACACGTTCTTGTCTTTGGATAATTGAGAAGATCAAACAGGTTTCCACGGTAACTATCATTTATAAAATAGGATTTAGCGTTCTATTTCTTCTTCTTTTTTAAATGTCAACTTTCGAAATTAAGTCACAGAATAATTGATAATTACTTACGTTTTTCTAAAGATAGAGACATTATTTGAATCTTTGGTCATTTCAACGAGACATTCGGTAATAGTATCAAAGTTTTCTACAACTTGCTCAACAAATGGATCTAATTGAGTCTCTTTCTCTTTATGAGAGCTACTTTCATTGAGTTTTTCGGTGACATCAGAAAGCATAAGGCTCATGACATTAATCAGACCAGCTTCTCGGATTACTGTAAGGAACTTTGGAGATTTACGAAGGAGCATTGTGAGGTGTTTACAAATCAAACTGATTATCTTGCCAGAAGAACCAGCTGAATATATAGATATAAAGATAGAGACAGATTTTAATTAAAAGGGTCCATCCTGTCATACTTGATTTATCTTTTAAAAAGAAGCCCTTACTTTGCAAATGTAATGATAGTACGGCCAATTCTTTTAGAGGGACGAAATTGAGATCGCACATAACGTATGAAATAAGATCCATAATCCCTTTCTAAAATGTTTTTAATATATAAAAGTCAGTGAGATTTCTTAGTGTATATATATATACTTTACTTGAGTATTCTCGTCATAGTTCTCCATCGTCTCAATTAAGAGCGGAAGAGTGTTAAGGCGCTCAATGATAAAGTAATTGATCGGATGTGCTTGAATAATTGATCGCATTTCTTCGAAAAGCACATCTCTTAATTCCACAGGAACTGGATTTGTCTGTCTTGATTTTATAGGTGCTCTACTTGGTGCACTTGGATAAATAAAAGCTGATAATAAAGATTGGAAAGCTGGTGCATTCCGAATGATTTGATCTACATATATATATATATATACATATATTCATACGATTAGACAAATAGGCATTTACAGATGCTCAGAATAAAATTTAAAAACTTTTAAATGCATATATATATATAATATACTATACCTTTTGTGATGTCAAACTCTGGAAGGACAAAGTCTAATAAAGTAAACTTAATATAATTGCTTTTTTCTTCTTTAATCTAAATTCATTTGTGTACCTGAGTGCTGATATGGAAGCCCATCTGGGGCAGTGGGTATTCTGTCACACCTTCCAATATATACAAATTTGACCAATATCTCAGACAACTTGATCTATTACGAGGCCAATGCGTAAGAATTTGACTAGATTTCATATCAATCGGCTTTACCTTTAAGTCTAGAACCGGCCGAAACGGCCCTGACACAAGTACGGCAGCTAATGTATCGTATATATCTAGTTGTTCAAGCTCATTATAAAAATCAAGGAAATCAACCTCAATAGACATCTATATATTTGTGTGGAATTAGTATATATATATATATACATATATGTATATTAATAAAATACTAAATTAATGAGCAACTCTTTTTTGATAATACCAAAAAAAAATATGACTATTTGAAGAAAGATCTATTTACCTTGAGCTGAAGGTATATAAGTTCGGCACTAATAAGGATCTCATAATATTCTATCATGCCAAGGCGACTCTTGTCAATATTTTCTCTCCAGAGTTGGGTTGGCATAGTAATCCACCGCTTTAGATACAGGTATTGTGCAGCATCCCAATTCATGTGTGCGCATCTGAGAATTTCCAAAGCCCTAAATATACAGAGTGAGATATCTGCCTTTATCTCGAACAAAGAATATATTCTACAATTCACAAGTCGTACTTATGCTTCCACACCATATATCCTGGCTCTTGTGTTTCTCCATCATTTGGAGAAGCTATCCATTCTGCTGGTTTAGCCAATATTAGTCGCAAAAGTAAGAAAAACGTGTCTTCAACAATCAAACGAGTTAAAACAGACGGATTTTTGACACATTGCTTCAATGTATCAACAACAACGTTCCCTGCGTCTTCCAAGGTCACCATACTATCACTAACTCCTTGTTTTGTCTCTGTATCATAGTAGCTACGAGGCAGGTCGATAAAAGATCTGAATAATTTGATAACCACAGATGGGACACGTTGCTGGAGCATTACTGTAACCAGAACGTTCTACAAAAAAAGGGTTTTTTTTTAAATAAACAATTTGTCCGCAAATCTCCAAGCCTCGTCTGTGGCACTTACAGGACCAAATGTAGAAATATTGATAGCTTTCAGAACATAATATAGGTGTAGCTTTGATCGAAGATTATCCATAAGTACTAGTAAATGAAAAGCAGATAGGGTCAGGCCAAGGGGTATTATTACATATCTTCACCAAAGGTTTGTATCGTTACCTTTACTGGACTCTGTCTTGTTCGTTGTGTCGGGCACACTCCGAATGCCGCTGACGAGATGTCTGGCGAGTACAACAATGAATGTTCTGATATCATAAAAAGTCTCAAAAACATGGGGTCCAGGATCTGCATCGTAGAATGCACAATAGGCGGGTAAAACTTGGCTAAGAAATATATCGGAGCGTTCCTACAAGATATGACAGGCAGGAATGCAAATATCAGTATATTGTATAGCTGCAATCCTTAAAGAAGAAAAGACATTACACTCTCAGTCATCAACAAATCTTGGGACTGATTGAACAGATCGCGTAGATTTGCCTGCTTTTGTGCTCGCCTGAATGGTAAGTGCGTAATCAAGGAGGAAAATATAATATACGCGCAAACTCACTGGTGGAGCTCTTCGGGAGACATGGCAGGATGGTCATCGCTGCAAGGATTCTTGTTTACGGTGTTGATTCGGTCTACCCAGGATCTCCACATTACTGAAAATCGGGTGATAAGGATAAAAGTAAAAATGAAATCTATACAAAAAAAAATAACCAACCAGACAAGAAAGTAAAAAGAGAAAAATTGAGAGGAAGGGGGTGGGGGAAGGAAGTCGAGTAATTTGCATGGCCGTGACACAGCCGGTTGATCGATAGGTGTTTATGGTATGTTTTATTGCATAAAATAAATGCTCATTTGGCATACAAAAACACGCACACACTCACCCATTTACACTTGTACGCACACACACATATATATACACACATGCTCATTTACGCATTCACACCTTTAGTTTAGTACATGAATTGAAAAGGCGGCATTTTTGTTCATAAAGTGAATAGTTCTGTTTTCTACATTAAAAGTAGCATGGAATAGATAAAAGAAATCTGTTCCGAGTACTAATTCCACTTGGCCGCCATAGATCATCGGCATAACTTGGATGAGCATTTCGGAGCGAAGTTTGTGATCTTCAGGGTGGACAACAGGAAACTTGACTGCTCCAATACTTTCTTCAATCTGACCAAACTCTGTCCTAATATCAAATCCTAATGAACGATCTAGTTCCAGACCGAGTCGTTCCTGGAGTGCAATTGACATCGCAGAGCCTTCCCATCGTTTTCGTGCCAACATGCCCTTGAATTTCTTGCGATTCAACTCGAATTCCAAGAATCCAAGATTAACATGACGGTGTGCAGCAGGAATATAGTAGCACAAGCTATAAGGGTTGTATTGTGCCCGATAAAAATCAGAGTTGTATTCAACTTGATTCTCTAATGCCCGTTTGATTGCAGCTTTCGATACTGAGGTTGAAGTTGTTGCCGCTGTTGCAACTGTAGCTTCTGAAGCTGCAGCTGGCTTCTTCCTTTTCTTCTTTTTCTTTTCCACTTGTACAGGTTTAACTTCCGGATGAGGATCAGCCTCTGGGTCTGGTTTACATTCTGCTTTAACCTCTGCTTTAACCTCTGCTTTAACCTCTGCTTTAACTTCTGGTTTAACTTCTGGTTTAACTTCTGGTTTAACATCTTGCTTAACACCTGGTTTAATTTTTGACTCTTCTGCTGGTAAGCTGACTTTCTCTGCAATAGATGGCTCCAGCTCCTTTGGTTGTGGATTGAGGATACTTTCTAAAAGTTTCATGGTCATCTTCCCTTTGTTTTTTCGCAGAGGCTCGCCATGATTTGATGACGTTGATGTAGTGTGCTTTCTGCTAGGGTGATCTCCAGGGATAAAATATCCAGATTGGATCAAGTCTTTCGCCTCTCTTTTTTGAAACATATCTAGCCTATCTGTCCTCTCAACGCCAAGCATTGCTGATACTTTTATTGCGTGATGCCGTGCTGCTTTGGCTGCTTCTGTCCATGAGTTGAAGAGATACTCCATTGGCTCCACAAGGCGTTTCCAGCGGGGATGAAGATTCATTACAAACAGGACCACAAGCTCAAGCTCAAGAGGTTTCCACTCAAGTTTCTGTATCTTCGTGTTGAATTCGATAATGTACTCATCCAAGCTCTTTATCAGTTCGCTTTGTTCTGCTGCAAGTTGTGCTCGTAATGGCGTATTTGATCGCAGCCAAGTCGAAGGAGGTGTATTTTCTTTACTATTAATACCGCTTGTTCCTGTGCTATTGCTAGCCGACTGTGCTTTCTGTCCGCTCGATCCATTCGCTTGTTTTGATTTAGGTTTCGCAATGCTATGCTTTTTCCCCATGATGAGACGTACTGCATGGTCAATATCGGTCCTTCAAATAGACACCTTGGAGGCAAGTGACGGCTCTTTTAAGAAAAACTACTTGATCACTATTTGAACAAACAATATCATGCTTTTGTCTCTTTTAATTGATTAAAAAATAAAAGAACAAACCCACGTACAAGTAATATAAATTTTACAATGCTCCCGCCTATGAATATATACCCTCATTTTTTGCTTTGATTTTTTATTAAACAAGACCTGTTAATGAATGTAGTCGTTGTCAAAAACGGAGAACAAAGTTATCCCAATTGCATGTCCGCTACCGAGTTGGTGTTCTTCTATATCTCTCCCTTTCATTTTTTTATCTTCTTTTTCTTTTAGTAATTAGCTTTCTGTGACCATGTCCAACGAAAATCTTCAGTTGGAAGAAACTCATTTCGACGTTATCGTCTTAGGCACAGGTCTAGTAGAGTCTATAACAGCTGGGTAAAATAAACTTAAAATACGCAATACTATCTCGGAACTTGCTGGATAACAAAGCACTGAGTAGTTCACTTGCTCGCGCAGGCCAAAAAGTCCTCCATCTCGACAGCAATCCTTTTTATGGAAGCAATTGGAGTGTTTTTGGATTTAGAGAACTTTTAGAATGGAGTGAATCCGCCCAGAATAGTAATGAAGACCCAAATATTCCATCCCATACAAAATCTCCTGGTAAATCACCCATTTAAACTGAAAGTCTCTTGAATGACCTTTGACATTGGATTATGAATGTAGTTGATGCAGAGACGTTTACTATTGAATACGAGAAATCGTGTCGAGAAAACTTTAAAAATGTCGAGTTTTGCTTATATGGATCACGAGATACTGAATCCCCAGTTCTGTTCGACCAACAATCTAATACCACACAAGAATTATTGACTGTCGCCATCGAAACACAGCTCGAGGACATATTAAAAAAAGCTATAGCAAAAGATAGAGATATAGTTAAGAGCTTTATTAAAAAAGAGGCAATAGAACTGGCTGGTGAAAAGCACCCTGTTGATCTGTCACAAAGTATTGCCAAGCTGCATGTTCTTTATAGTGCATTGAGTGTCTCAAGATCATACAACCTGGATATGGCGCCCAAGCTGCTATCATGTCAGGGCGAGCTTATTGAGACCTTGATTCATAGCGGTGTTGGCCGTTATTTAGAATTTAAGAGTGTGGATGATATTTTTGTGTTTGACGATAAGACTAAAGGACTGGAAAAGGTACATAAAAAACCTAAACGTAATTTATATGGTTGCTAAATATGCATATATATATATATATTACTGTTGTGTATCGATGGTTAGGTTCCAAGCTCCAAAGAAGACGTGTTTACGAACAAGGCTATCAGCTTGATTGACAAGCGAAAATTAATGAAATTCTTAATGTATGCTGTCCATTATGAGGATGACGAGACACTCCTTCAAGGTATGTGGGAGATTTTAGCTTTACAAATAATAATGATCCAATTTTCTAGAGTCAAAGGAAATTCCATATGTCCAGTTTTTAGAAAAGAACTTTAAAATTACTGGAAAGCTCCAAACAGCTATCATTTATGCTATTGCCCTTTCCGATATTAACAGTAGGTTAAGCACTATATGAACTGTTTTTTCTCTACTAATGAGATTATATATATATCTATCTATAAAGCTTTGGCAAAGGATGGTCTTGATCGCACAAAGTCATTTATGACATCTATCGGACGCTTTGGAAGAGGTGGATACTTATGTCCTTTGTATGGAGGAGGAAGTGAAATTGCTCAAGCATTCTGCCGGTAAAAACTATTAAGAAATTCTTCGACGCCTTTTGTATATCATTTCACATATAATCTAACATATATATATTAGTGTATGTGCTGTATATGGTGGTATATATATACTTAATCATCCGGTCGAAAAATTCTGTACCGAAAAGGGCACGGGTGAATGCATAGGTGTAGTAACTGTGGATGGACAAACATTCCACTCCAAAACTATGATAGCTGGTGTGGATTACCTTTCACCTAGATGGCTTCCTCCAGCCTCTTCATTAGAGTAAGTATTGACCTGAAAATATTACACCTTTTTGGATATTATTTTAACATCTTGTTTTGGCACAGAACTTGGGTAGCTAGAGCTATTCTGGTAACAGAATCACCTTTGAATATTAAATCTACCGAAGAAACCAATGCCGGTCTTGGATATAGTTTATTCCCAACCAACAGTGAAGCTGGAAACACATATGCACCTATATTTATGCTTCATCAAAACCAAGAAACAATGACTTGTCCCAATAACCAATGTAAGTGAATTTAAGCACAACGATATATATCACTTTTTATAATTATTAACAACATTTTCCTTTAGATGTCACATATCTGTGGACTAATTGTGGGAAACAACACACAAGCAATAATTCATTACAGAAAGCAATTAGTATACTATTGGAAAGATCATCTGAATCAGGTATAAATATATATATATATATATTAAAAAAAAAGCTTTATATTTTGCATGTGTGTTAACGTCATTCTTGCTATCTGGACTCTCAGAGGAAATATCTTTTGTCAAGCCTCTCTTTGCCGTATATTATCATCAGCGTGTGCGTAGTATACATACTGAAGGTTGGAACTTACCTACAAATGTGATTGGTTGTAGCACACCAAATGGCTCCCTTGATTTTGAAGATGCTGCTACAGAAGCTCATGCCATCTTCCGTCGCTGTACTCCAGAAGGGACGGAGTTCTTACCCCCAAATGAACAGGATGTTGAAACTGAAGACTAATCTTAATGCTTTTATCTTCATTATCTACAAAAAAAAAGCCTTTACTGAAAATCTGAAATATTTACCAGAGACTGGGCGACAATATATCGGTTTATCTATTTATTTATTTTTGTCTTGCTTTTAATCAAGTAGATCATACACTAGTTACATTTTTTTTAAAAAAAAGTATATGATATATATAAATATAAACTATTATGACATGTTCCGCCTTGTATGTCTAATTAGTTTTGAAATAGTATACTAATCCTCTATTTGTTTACATGTTTATTGAGCGACCTTAAACAACTAACTATAAAGGGTAGTTTTGAAAAGTTTTTGTTGAAAATGCTTTTATGAAATAGTTCCGTTTATTTTAATTTATTTTGTGGTACTAGTTAATAAGGAAGAACATATACAACATTTGGAAGGCAGCAATCATAAGTAAGAACCACATACGTCTCTTACGCTGAGGGTTCAAAGTAGAGGGACCTGCTGCAGAATCAGGCAAAATTACATAGCGCATTGACCGAAGCTAGATATGAATATAATAGTATTGATTAAAACCTTTATGCAACTTCACTAGTTCATCCTTTACATTGCTTTTTGCTTATTTTACTTACCAAGAAAAATCCAATACTAAAGCCTGTGTAGAGAAATACGACCCAGGATACCCAACCCTTTGCGCCCAAAAGATCCACCACATCCACAACAATAATACACACATATTTATATCCATAATACGCAATTAAATCGAGAAGAGAGGCTTCAAATGGTATGCTCAAGAAATAACAGCCCAAGCGTGTGAATACAAGTTCTGTAAAAGCGACAGCTGTAGCAGTCGACGCTGCGACATAGAGTTTCTCGGGATGGAATCTAAAAGTAGTAAAATCCTCGTCAACATCCCGTCATTTGTTTAAATTTCCCATTTACTTACGATCCCTGCCGTCCGGCAGCAAGACCACACAGAAGAATATAGGTCACCAATGCCATCACTAGAGTCTATGTGAATAATCTTGCCATATTTATGTAGAGAATGTCATAAAGCTAATTTCTATACCTGGAATATAAAGATCTGGGGAGTTGATATCCTCTCTAGGTGGTCTAAAGCCATCCATCTGCCCCGTTTCTGTTCGTCTTATTGATCTGCTCCATGGCTAAATATAAGTAAGATATAAGTCCCGAGTTTTCTATCATGCTTTTCCAATCTTACCGAATGTCTCCAAGGGAATAAGAGAAGCTTTAACTTTGTAATTACATACATGTTGTTCACATTAAAGTAGTGTCTCAATGCAGGCATGTTAACCCATTGGTTGAACTAGATTGTAAGGATGAGTATATATGTTTTTTCTTTCTAAAAGGATCTTGATGACCTACATTTCTTTCCATGTAGGCTGTACCCTGAGCAACAGCATTACCAGCAAACTGCATTCCCATCTGAGCAGCAGGATCATTGAACCCAAACTGTGAATATAAGTTTCCTTGAGGTTGATTTGGAGCATAAGCATTTGGAACGTATCCTTGTTGTGTATTTTGGGCATACTGGTATTGTTGTTGCTGTTGTTGTTGTTGTTGTTGTTGAGGATGATACTGCTGCTGCTGCTGCTGCTGTTGTTGTTGTTGTGGCAAACCTGGTGAGAGAGATGGCTGATGAACAGTTCTATTGAAGTTTGGGATAGGATGTTGAGGTACTGGATGTTGTAATGGAGGAGGGGAACGTCCATTTAAAGGAGGTGTCCCATATGAAGCATCTCCTTCGTAGTAATTGTAATTTTGATTGCCATTTGATGGATACATTGTATTCAGTCTAAAAGAGAGGAAAAAGAAACCAACTTTGAACGCGACGTGTCGCAAACTCGAAGGTTAACCTGCTACCTCTTCTGATTGGCTGATCCCACCGGTTTGCTGACGTGCCTGTCTACAAACATCGCCCCGACCCATCATTAAAATGAATTCTTGGCTGGGTAGATATAGGCACCTGACCTAGTACAGAGTGTAATTATATTATCTATTGAAACATTCATTTTATTCTGCTTTAATATAGTAAGGTTTGACTATGAAAGAGAGTAACAATACAAAAATGATGGGTGGCCTTTGCGAGGTTTCGTGATCCGAGACAATGCAACAAACACTTTACCGTTGAGCGATTCCTTATGTAAAATCAATAGGAATAATAATATTTTTTGGCAGTAAAGATGTTCTACTGTATCACGAGCACATTTGATCCCATTTACGTTTTTCAATTCAATTCATCCTCACAAAAGAGTAAACTGGTGATGCATTTCTTATTGTTAATCAATTTCCTTTTTTGGATTAAAATATCACATTTCCATTTTCATTTCTACTTTGAGCATCTTCAAGGTTAGGAGTAAAGTCTATAATTTGAATAGAGATATGAAAATGAAAGGGATAAAAAGAATATTTAGATTTTATATAGTGCTTCTTATTAACTAAAGAAAGTACAAGAGTAAATAGTTTTTCAGAATGTAGATACGTAGGAGCTGTAGTTTACTTTCAAGGCCATCTAGGGTGATTGAATTTACATGAACGCCTTTTTTGGAAGTAAAGGTACAAGAAGCCAGGCTGCTTGATAGCATACAAATATGCAAGCAGAAAATTCTGATTCATCAGATGATCAGCTACCATTGCTGCCTAATGTACCAGAGCTTGATGTTCATATTCTCGATGAGGTTAATTTAGTTAATTTCACATGTTAATCTCAAATAAAATCTGACATGTTTCTTCAAAAATAATAATTCCAATAATACAATAGCCATCTAATGAATCACCATCAGTTTTGTCGAACGATCCAGCCACGCGTCTGAGAGATCTTGTTCGCTTTTACATGAACCAGCTTACACTACTATTTTATCCTTTACTGGTTACATTTGGGTTGATTTGCTGGTTAGAGACAACCCTGAATATGGATCCCTTACAAGAAAGGTACACAAAAAATATATATTATGTAAGAGCGAGCATATTGACTATTCAACTTGCTTGTTTTAGCGGGGAATCTAATACAGATGAAGATATATCAATGGGAGACATTATGGAACAACTAGGCAGCAGTATTATTTATGCTCTGTCTATGGTACTTGGAATTGCTATGATTACAATGATGTTTGTCCTCTGTTTCAAATATAGATTTTACAAGGTATTTCTTTTTTTAAAAAAAAAGAAAAGAGATGGTTTATATAATTTACTCAATTAAAAATCTTGAAAAGGTGATGTTTCTCTGGCTAGGGTTTTCTGTACTCTCAATCCTAGGCGTTACTGTATCTACAATATGGATGTAAGTACTATGGATAATTAAAGCTACTAAATATTTATGCTAAAGAACACATACGTACGGTTTAGTGAATTGATGGAGATTTTCAATCTACCCATTGACTGGATAACATTTGTGGCCTGCATGTGGAATTTCTCAGTAGTGGGAATTATCGCTATTTTCTGGAGTGACGGTCCATTATGGCTACAGCAAGCTTATCTGATATTTATCAGCACTGCAACGGTAGGTAATCAAGAGGAAAAATATAGAGGAATAATGAGCTTATTTTTTTGTTCTGATATTAAACAGGCTATAAGCTTGTTACGACTTCCACCATGGACAGTCTGGACAGTCTTGGTAGCTATTGCAGTCTATGGTAGAAATTATACAATGAGTTATCTATTTATTATATATTGACTCAATTCTATAGATGTATTTGCTGTGCTTTGCCCAGGTGGACCCCTTAAGCTTTTGTTGGATATTGCTGAAGAACGAGATGAAGACGTTCCTGCCTTAATATACACTGCTGGAATGGCTAGTCTAGAAAATACAAGCGAAACTATTGGGATTTATCACACGGAGGAAACTCCCTGTGCCTCCTCTTCGAAAAAACCGTGGACATTGTTTAACAAGAAAAAGAGTGGTTATGAAAGGATTATAGGAGAAGAAGGCGATGTTGAAAATAGTATAAACACAAACTCTGTAAACACGCACATTATACATAATTCTTCAGATGGTCCATTTATTCAAGAAGGCAGGGAGAGTGAATCGGAAGGTATGCTAGAAGCTATTTCTTATATAAAAGAAAAGAAAAAATAAAACAAACTTACGTTATAAAAACCTTAGTTCTTCAAGAAGAAGATTGGAATTCTGTTAAACTAGGGCTTGGAGACTTTATCTTTTATGGAGTGCTTATTGGTATGTTCTTAATTTTATATCTGTATAAAAACCATTTTATATCTTATCTCCAAACTTATATAGGGAGAGCAGCCGCTACAGATGCAATCACAGTATGCTCATGTATAATATCTATATTTACGGTAACCGCGCATAAGGCTACTATTATATATGTAACTAATTATTTTTCACATTATATTTACAGGGACTATCATTGACAATCTTGATACTAACTGTAAAACAGCAACCATTGCCTGCACTACCAATATCTATTCTTTTTGGAAGTTTGACGTATGCCATTGGGAGCTATATAACTACCAATATGGTAATACATTCTCTAGTAGACGGTGTAATCATTATATAAACTCTTTTGTAACTATCGAAAGCAATATAAGTCTTATATCTGTTATTATTGAGTGTAGAAGAAATATGCATAGGTGTATCAAACTAAATTTTTGGATTGGAATTCTCAAAATATATATATATATATCGCAGCTTTTTATATATATTTTTATTTCTCCGTTATATAGTTAGTTTTCTCTTAGTTATTTAAAGTACCTACAAGTATTTACATGGATTCTTTTTCAAAATAGCACGATTTCTTGAATAGAGATAATTTATAAGTTAACTATCTCTGTAGAAAAAAAAACGAAGGATATTCCCTATTTTCTTTTATTTTCCTCTCTGTTTCCCATGAATAATTATGTATTTTTAATGTACAGCATATTATGATATCGGTCGATTTCATACGCTCGGGAAATGACCTTTGTGTTCCTAGTCATCTTTTGAAAACTTCAGCAAGTGCATAAGACAAACATATCGCTACTCTGAAACATCGGATTTAATATCCTATGGTCTTCTAAGATAATTTAATTATAAATTATTGTAAATGTACTAATCTAAATTGCTTGAAAAATATGCTTTTTGTTGTTGTTCGTGTATCGTTTGCGGAATATAAGTATTGCTTATGCCTTGGGTTGCTATACACCCTTCACTGATCGCGGCATAGTAGTACGATTCCTGGTAGGCCTAGCTGTTTTATTCGATTCGGAAGTACTCTGAGCCCAAGAAAGGATGTTCCAGATGGTCGTTATGTGAAACGAAGTCTGACAAGCTCCAGAATAATAACAATAAAATTAGAAACTTGTTAGACGCCCATTTCTAAACAACGGACAGTTGGAAAAATTATTTAGGAAAAGTACTAATTTCAAGCCAGGATATCTTTGCAAATATCCAGCCAAAAAAAAGCTACTTAAATCATCCAGTCCTAGCAATATCTAGTAGCAATTTACTTAAAAAGTCATCCACATTATGTATTCTAAAGCTTCATATTTTCTTTTCCGGGATCAATTACAAATTTATGACAATACATAGAAAGATTTTAAATTATCTTAGTAAAGCATATCATATTAACTCAATTCAATTTTGGTTGATTTGTGGTATACTTGCTGTCTATAATGATACACTCGTATTACTATCAACGCCGAAACCTTTATAAGGGCATACGATTTACTACAAACTATGTACTTCTATTTACGACACTAGGAAAAATAGGGCGGTAAATCGAAAATTTAGCTTAACTTTCGACCTAGAATAGTAAATCAACTGGTAGAATGGAAGTTGAGGCATGAAAAGGGGAATATAGTATATGGCTAGAAATACACCCTAGAACCACCTTTAAATCTCAAAAAAAAGGAAGTTTCCAAAGATTTTCTTATTAAAGTTGGTTTTTATTTGATTTTTATAACAGTGTATTAGGACCTCAGTAAAGCTAAAAAATATATAATATAATATAAACCAACTGGCTCACCTAAAACAAAAGGATAAACTGAAAAGAATTTCAAACTTTGGTAAGATATATAAAAGAAAGATATTTTAGTACTTTGAACGGTTTAATCTATAGATGCTCACGGACTGAATTCCTGAAGGACAGTATGTCCTCCTATCACTTTTTTGGCATTCACTCCGTTAGCACTTTATATAATCCCAATCCCAAAAAAATGTCACAAGCTGCAACTTTTATTGAATTAACGAACAAGGATCTGTAAAATTCGATATTTTGGTATATCAGTACTAATAATCCAAGCGTTATTACTGAACTGGTAGCTAAACAAGTAAATCATTATATTAAGGCTGTTATTTTGGTAAAGAATAATGTAAAAGAGCAACACACTTAATTCATTTTGTTGGAGATCCACCATATAATTTGTACACTATAATATATGGATACAACCTCAACTTCAACTTATGTTTTGGAATAGAATCAGTTTAAATTTTACAACATACACATGAGGGTCTTTTTATTATATTTGCGCGGACACAAACTTCTGGGATATAATAAAAAAAATGTGATAAATAGACTGTATTTTGGGGATTATTTTGGTGACTTTTTGAAGTTTTAAAAAGAAATACAAGGAAAACAGATAAATAATTATAATGGCAAGAAATAACTTTTATGCGAAATGTCAATGGGAAAAATAATATATGATTATGTCCTTTTGACGTTTAATTTACTGTTTTTTGTCTTTGTTAGCATAGATCATAGTGGTGAAAGGTCTAAGACAGTTTTTAAAAGATAAGTTAGTAAATCAATATTATAAATATTAAGTATTAATTATTAGACCTACCCTTCAAACTCAAGAGCAACAAGGTAAACAACATAGACCAAAAGAGTCAAAATGATACCGGCAGGGCTGGCATGCCTATCAAAATACAAAATCACATAAGTGTCACATTATTACGCTTTAAAAATAGGTTTATATCATACCATAATGCGGTGGCCAAGAAGTTAAGAGTAGAGCCGACATACATAGGGTTCTCACAGACATTGAATGGGAATCCAGTGACACGCTCGCTCATAAGAATACCAAAGTAATCACCTATTTGTCGTACATGTAAGTAAATATGTCCTGAGTTAATGACCCACTTTCCTTCTTTTTTTTCTATTCCCTCAAATACATATATTCACCCAACCAATTACTTACCGAGATAGGTTCCAGTAACACCGAGAGCCCACATAGAAGTAACGACAAGGATACTACCGACTGTGAAAAATACAACAGCAAATCCCTGAGCCAAAGTGGTCTCGAGAATAGGGTGAGTGGGCTGGCTTGCGAGAGCTGTGTTATAACTATATATGCACAAATATTTACAGCAAAGTGGTATTTTTGTTAGGCTTAATTTTTGGACTATGATTTCTGTAGCAAATGAAACCTACACATAATCTCGGATGATACCGAGCGAAAAGATAGTTACTGCGAGTGCGTAACAGCCATAATAAGGGTTCCCTCCAGCAAGCTTTGTCAATACGCGTTTGTGATATTCTAAAGACAATCAATGGATATAAAAACATACGTTTATTACTTTAAAAACGCGCATAAACATTTTCTTGGGGTAATTCTTACCTGCTCTGGCGACAGTATTCCAGAAAATTGGGTTAAAGAAGATGGTTGCAATCGAAAGATAAAGACTGGGCTGGGTGAGATCAATGAGTTTATCCATAGTAAAAAAAAATGTATATGAGAGAAAGAGATAAATGTAATAAGATCAAGCCCAAAAATGCTCTTCACCCCAAGAAAGATGTTTTGCGGCGTCTGAAACCCGAATCTAGACATGTGATTGTTGAACATGCTTAAATATTCATTAATTTTGAAACCTTAACATTTCCAGTGAAACAAATTTATCTATAGATAAATCATATTGTATTGTAGTGTGTCTGTTATAATTCGATAATAGATTGGCTATTATAACGATAGAGACAGTTCTTTACAGGAATTGAAGGTGCTCGTACAAAATTTAATTAAGAACGTGTACTACAAAGCATCTTTATCCAGACAGGTTTACTATGCTGGTCGGACTAGAGTTTAATAGCCATCGAGCCACCCCACTCACACTTCCCCCATTTTTGCATTGGAATAAAATTGGCGGGCTCTTTGATATAATTGAATTGTTACTCATCCAAATGGTAATTTAAGCTATAATCGTGATGCAATACGCTCCGTTTGGATTTGATCATTCGATGCTATAAACATGGCTGGAAACTTCAATGAGGTAAAAGAATGGATATGGGAATGGAAATAAAGCAAAATATGGAAATAAAGCAAAGTAAAGTAAAATAATTAAAGCATATAAGCAGATCAATGTCAGGATACAAATATCCTTTCTACAAAATAAGATTTCGGGTCGGAGAAACCCATAAAGAATCACATATTCTTGTCATCCTCCATCATAATTGAGTAGATAGCACTAGCTACCCCACTGTCTAGTCCAAGTTCACTGAGTAGGCTATCCGTCGATTTAGCATTGATCGTCCCACCTCTTTTGGATATTGAGGGAGTGAGTGTCATGGATGACCCAATACTACCCGGGATTGATGAAGGTGTAGGTGTAGATATAGAAGACGACATGACAGGAACAACCATCTCATAGCCCACTCGTCCAGTAGTGATGGCTGTTTTTGGGTTATCACCCGTACGCTTCTCATTGGATTTCCAGCCATAGTTTGCATACGAGCCTTGTTGTGGATTCAATGAGCTCCCAAGCCGCTCATTATGTTCTTTTGATGCGGTAGTCGCGTCATCAAGAGGATGTGTATTTTCTCGCAAATAAGGTGTCTGGGCTGGTTTTGGGGCCGGCCTTGGTGAGACAAACGAGCTCGCTATGTGATGGGGTTGTCGTGAAGGATAAGAGCTACTGAGATTTTCTGATTTGTTATTGTTGGCATTATTGGTCATCTCTGCCGTAGGAAAAAATACTTTGTTGTCCTTTACATGCTTTAATACAAATACTGGATTTTGTTTGGCTTCTTTGAACTTTTGTGATATTCTGAGTGGCCTTTCATCATAGCCAAGAGCACGTTCTGTATATAGTCTTAGTTATCTTGATTTCAAAATAAGACCCTGTCGTATATACCTTGAAGGTTATCATGAGGCCCATATTGAATCCATAATGCGTATTGTTGCCAATCGTCAGCTACATTATACTTTTTAAGAGCAGAGGTGATGACTTTTGAACATGGATCATCAAGAAGTAATCGCACATTTTTCGAGGATTCCATTTCGACTTTTGAGCTATTATTGGATATCTTTTCACCATAGACTTTGATTGCTCCTCCATCATTAATGGTGACACTTGGAGTAAGTTTAGCCTGCATTTAAAGGTAAGAAATTTGGCTTTTCTTTAGAATTAGTATCATTTACATCGTCTGTGGCCTTTGTGCCATCGGAGCAATAGGGGGTTGTTTGGAAATAGTCTCCCGAATGTACTTGATAATGGGACGTTGGTGGAGTAAGCATATGTAATGGCTTTGGCTGTGAGCTATTGGCGGCTGTAAGACTACTAGAGCTATTATTTGTACCCGTATTGTTGGAGCTACTAATCAAATAGGCATGTCCCTTTTGGACTGGTGGAGTTGAAGGTGATTTCTCAGCTTCATACATCGACCCGGCCTTTGGGTGAAATGAGTTTAGTAGCACATTCAGTCACAGATTAAAACTTACCTTCTTCTCCTTTCCCATTCTCAACACGTGCGTCATATCGTCCTTAAGTCGATACATATCACTATTCAGCCTATAGAGATCCTCTGCTAGTCGCTTGATATGGGCATCTGAGCACCGAGAAATTATTAAAGATATAAGCCTACATATTCTTTTTTCTTCTTCTTATTTTAAGCAGCTTGCCTGACCTCTCTCTTGAAAAGCAGCCTCTATCTTACGATAATCGGCCAATCCATTTTGTCCAAGCCAATCCTTTAAATAAAAAGTGAACATATATGTGCAATTATATGAATACATATTCGGTCGATATTATTTCTGCTTTTTTTTTGAAGAAAAAAATGGGTCTTACGTTTTCGTACAAGACACCTAAAATTCCAATGTTAGCATCTATTTTTTTTGATGTGCATAGAAATGACTTACTTGGTGGAACATAATCCCATTCATTTACTGGTATGCGGTAATGCGACTTGAGATGGTAAATGTTTTTAAGCATATCAATGCGCTGTCCCAGTGAATGTACAGAGAGATCCTTGAGAGATTCGTGGTCGAGATTGACTAGTACATCGCCCGTAATTCCTTGCTCTGGTTGTTTTAATTCGATATTAGACACCTTGCTCTTCCATCGTCGTTGTAGGTCTCACCTCTGAAGCTCTTCTCATAAACGGAGTACCCAATTGAGGCCATCCATTTGTTAACTTTTATTTCATCCCAGAGTAGCACATTCTCCATACTTGCTACTACTCGTCTACAAGAATGAGCTTGAGCGTCAAGGGAAGTGTCTGTCTGACCGAACAGAGTTTGAAACGCAGATACGTAGTGACTGTCCACATCGAGCCGATTCACCAGAACATCTTTAGGGTGCTTCTCTAGGCTATCTCCTGGAATACAAACTGAACGTGAAGTAAGATATAACGGCCACTTTGCCATATCGAGCCATTTTCCTTGTGCTGGCTTTTTCATTGCTTTATGTCTAGTTTTGATAATGTTAGTTGCACCAAAAGAAGTACCTTACAGTAACCTCAATAAGAGAACAGATCGTCATTGTGTATTGAGACCGCTCAGGTTTAGCTAGAATTGATAGGGTTATTTCACTATGGACATCAGTTGTACTAAGGAGACTAATGACATGGGTGATTTAGTACCGAGTATATGCTCTGCACGAGACAGACGTAACAGATATATATATACCGTCAAAAGGGGTACGTCTATATTAGAATATAGACAGCTATCTCTTTCTCTTTCTCTTATTCTATACACAATAATTAAAATGTCTTACAAACTTTATGCAGACGAAGAATATTCCGATACGCGCTCAGTGCTTGCTTATCTTACAGATCCAAAACTTGCTCACTGGAGCAAGTCTATCATAGACAATATCGACTGGTTTTGCATAAAACCCAACACTTTCATGTGTCAGTTTAATCCGGATCGTGATAACTGCCAAAGGTAATTTTCCGCTATACTTCTATAGATACACACTAGTCTATATACTCATGTCAAATAGCTTCCTTACAGAGCATGGAGGTCATGTTGGGTCATTAATGGATATTTGCAGTTCTATAGCGGTTACTACAGCAACTGGTAAGTCTGATTTGATCAATACTTTACACTTTAGTATTAACAGACTAGCCCTAGATGGACGAGCGTGGGATAGACATGGCATGACGACACATTTGTCAACTCAGTTCTACAAGCCTTTGGTGATTAACACACCCGTAGTAATGACTTCCAAGATCATCACAATTAGCGAAACTTCTGCAATAGTAGAAACTCGCATTTATAATTTAGATGATCCCGATTCACAGTATGCATTCGGGATTCACAAACATGTATACATTAGAAACCCCAAATTGTAAATTATTCTCAGTGTTAAGTTTTGTATATGATCAAAACAAGAGGCCTGAAAACTCTAAAAAGGCAAATAATAAATAGCTGCCCGTTTTTATTAATTGTAAGCCAACAAATGAGATAGGTCAATGGGAATGGCTATTTACAAATGGTTAATAACTTGAATGCTTGATAAGTTTGCACTTACAGCAGCCTGTCTCTGCGCCTGTGGGATAACGCCGAAGTTTCTTCTCAAAAGCTGGTGGTGGTGGCAATTCCCTTTGTGAATGGAAAGTCCATCGACCCGCTTCGGTCAATGGGGGCTCTGGGATCTCTATATCCAAGCTGTGAAAGCTTGACTGGACAGGAATAGTCGACATGCGTACATGGGGCGAGTTCATGGAATGGGACATTGATGGTGAAGATGGGGCTCCATTTCGTACTGGAGGTGGTGGTGCAGGTATTGTGCGTCTCGATTGGTCTGCTGAGGAGGAAGGACGTGGTGGTGGGGGTGGTGCACGGCCACGGTTTGTAGAGTGTGGGGAGTCCATTGTTAAAGCAGAAGAAAAAATTAGCTTTGTTGGACAAAATGCACAATTAGATTTAAGGCTGCGCCAAATTATACTACAAACTGGAAATGAATAGCAAGTGTAGATTGCAAACTTGATAGTTATTCATCGTGACAGGAGTACTCTTTAGGGTTTTTGAATAACTACACATATACAAATTTAGCTCCTTTCCTTTTACTAAAATAATACTTTAATGAAACTTTAATTTTTATTAGTGAATGAGCAATACTATAACTAGAGTTCAATTGTGCTTATTTGAATAAATAAACATTGTACTTGGTGAGAGAGAAAAAAAGTTAATATTAAAGTATAAGGTACATTATAGTCCTGCAGTATAATAGGTGTACTATATATATATACTTTATTTTACTATATTAACTTATCTGATTTTTTCTTGACTTTTTGGCATCTCAAATATATACTGAATCAATGGATCTTCGTTTGTTTCAATTGTATAATGGTGCTCAGCAAAACTTCCTGACTATTTTATCATCAACATGGTAAGTCTCTAAAATGTGCCCTGTAGGCTATATTCGACTTTTTATCAATAATAGACTTTTTGATGAGCATTTGATAAATATTTTTGTGTATATGATACCAAAGTCTTATTTTTGACTGATTAGGGGTTTTCCCGCCTTTTACAATAAGTGCACCAATTATGAACAGAACTGACCAATGGAACTGGTGTACTCAGGGTATCATTTTTTAAGGTCTCTGTCAAGAGACTTATTTATGCCTCCACAAGACCAATTTCGGATAACCCTTCTAATGAGATTCTGGCCAGAAACCAAATAGCAATGGTTGTATACAAAAAATAAGACAGAGGATATCATCAATTAAATCAAGAGATCTCAAAGTCGTAGACAGATCCATTTGGGAGTTAAAGTTTCTTTTTAAATGTAACAAAATGGAATACTTATACTTTATTTGCTATGTGTGCTGTTATAAATCTTTTCTAGTTCGAAGCTCACAATGACCCAGCAAATAAAATAATATATTTTTAAGAACTGAAAAGAGCTTTTAGGTTATGAGAAAGCTTATTATCAATAGTGTTCTTCATAATGCATAATTTACCTCCACTTCAGAGAAAACAAACTTACCCTTGACAGCTGTACATACCAATTCAAATATTGAGATAGACTAGCACAGCCTTAACAAAGAAGCGTAAAGAACGTTTACCAATTCTTGATGATACATACACCATATTGAGATAGTTATGGGATGGCTTAGAGTTGTGAGAGAGAAGGGGGAGTTGATACACTAAAAGCACCAATTAAAAGCCTTAGAATTTCTGGCTATATACAATTGTTGAAAAGAAGGCCTCTTCCACTCTTAACTACATATATGAAAGATATGACAGGGAGTTTATTTCTCAAAAATAAAACACCCCTTGTCATAAGGAAAAGACTAGTTGATGGTTGGGAGAAAATCAATAGCATGACAATAACAGTACGGCTATCAAATACTGTATTCTAGATTTTAGTCCTATTGAAAATATTTGAGCTTATATGTGTTGCATGGCAAGTGCAAAAGTACCAGGTTCAATAGCTCTTAAGGAGTTGGGCATAGCCATTCCTGAAGAATAAAAAAATGCGCTTTGAAGTGTTTTAGGCCCATTTTATGTCAATGTCAGATCCTATAGCTTATATAAAGAGACCACGTGGTGATGTTTCCAAATATTAAGATTTTAATTAATATTAATTCGTTTGATTTTTAGAGGCTATAGATTACTATCTCAGTGCTTTCAAAGGTGTTTTCTTTTCTTGAAGTAAAATTAGACAAATAATGAAGAAAATGTTAAAAATGATATTGATTTACTTGGTAGACAAATCCTCCCATGAGATTTCAGAAGATACTCTAGAAACTAACACCTATTTGTCTCACCTTCTCTTCTCTTCCCCAACAAAATAATAATAATCCAAAAGCGTTTCAATCTTAAGTAAAAACCGTAATGACAGGTCTTACTGAAACTCCATCTATACCAATTGACATAATTCTCTTGTACACATATGTCTTTCTATGTAGCCTAATAAAAAAAGAATCTTTTAGACTATATAAATGTGTGAAAATAAATAAATTAGGCTTATGCGTAATTAGATATGTGCCTATTATCCTTTTCACCAATATTAATTCCCTGTTAATCGTTTGTCTTTGCCCTGGTCAAGTAAGACCAGGTGTGTGACTCTGATCCTGCACAAATCATTTAGCGGAGTCGTATTTCCTTCAAATTTTTTCTTATAAAGTTACCTGAATAGGGACTACCTGCCAAACCTCAAAGGTTGTCACCATTACTTGATTAACATCATGGACTTTGCATCTGCGCCCCTTCAGGCACTGCTTATGCACAATGCTAGTTCAGATCAGCTTGCCATCTTCCTTAATCAGCTCGATTGCCAGTACCGTGAAACTGCTGATGAAAAAGACCGCTTCGGGACATTACAGATCCTCTTACCAACCCTCAAAGCTCATCTCACCCGTCTCCACAACCGTGAAAAGGAAGAGGAATGCTTGGATACTATTGTCAGCCCTTTAATGCTCTCGAGCTTCTCTCAGGATGCTGTTGTATCGACTGAAAGTGTACATTTACTCAGCAATGCTGTGGCGCATTTTATGGCCCGGTCTTTGCTTGAGTTGGGAGAAGAATCTAAAGAGGTATCCGATACCGAAGAAGACGAAGACTATAAGGATTCAAAACCCGAGGAAACATTTCAGGACGATACAACCGTCCACGGGAACACAAGCCGTCTCTTTGGACAATCTTCTCTTTTGATCTTACTCGGTCAATTGTTGCTAGCAATTGAAAACGAACCTGATTTTGTCGATCTTCAGCCTTTAAAGTTTATCAACAAATGTGTCCAAGAAAATGCATTACATAATACATCTGATCCATTCACAACAAAGACCAATTCTGAGTGGGATGATTTGAACACATATGTCCACTCTCACCAAAGAAAAATTGACTCTCGAGTTCGTTCATCCTCCCTTCACGACGAAGAAGACGACGAAGAGAGTACCGTTAGTGTTACTACACTTAATACAGTTTCAAGCGATAAAACTGGCCCAGGATCTCTTGACCTGGAATGTTGTTTGGATGTAATTGGGCGTTTTGTTAGAAATCTCTATGAGAGTGATGATCTTCCTTTGCAAGACGCTAAACCAGAAGCGAGGATAACACTTTACCGCTGGATGGATTTAATTATGGCAATTGCAGTTGCTATGTTACCCTGCACTGATCCTGCTGTTCGATTAAAACTTACCAATGAACTTGTACCGAACCTGCTTCGTTGGCAATACTATGATATGAGTGCTCATGTGAATGAACAGGCCTTTCTAGAAAAGAGAAAGTACTGGTGTGAGGTAAATAGAATCTAGGCTTGGGCACATAATTTATATGTACTCACACACTTACTTGGTGTCCACATAATTCGTACAATATTTTTCTTTCTTTTGAACAGCTGCTTTGGAAGCGAACACTAGAAATATATGGTCTACCAGCGACCAATCTTTTGAGAGCGGAGAGCTATGGTCTTATTTCCAAATTTTTCGACTTTTACTTTGGATTGGATCATCAGTCAAATATTCCAGATGTATACTATGTCCACCTGGACTTGCGCTTCAACGAACAATTTTTTAAGATTCTTCAGGTAATATAAGGCTTATAACATCAGAGAAAAGAGTTCCTAATCCTATGAAAACAATTGCTACCTTTATAGAGTGGCCTTCGAAGTAACGACTCAACCGCACGCAAATATGCCTCATATATCTTGAAGAGAATAATTGACTTTACTTCAAAGCACTCCAAAACTCTGAGTAATTCGCCAAACCAGCCATGGACAAAGTATTTCCAATGGTCAACAGAAAAGGCAGACACTTACTCCGAGCTATGGGATGACTGGTTCCTTCTGTATGATATTATGCATGAATCAGTTACCCATCTCGTTGATCCCGTTCTTCCTCGTTTCGAGATGCTCCTAAATGATACCGATTCTAGCCTCGATGCTACTTGGTGGATTCTTCTGCTTTATCGTGGTTTCCAAAACGAGACTTTGTCTGTAAAAAAGAATATCCTTGAATATATCTTCAAGTTGCAGAACCCCAAGTCACTAAATATGCTGGGCGTGCAACATGATTTCATCTTTGGTGCGCTTTTGAAGACTGTGGATGTTTCTTCACTATATGGTGTACCTACTCAAGGTGCACTTGTTAGTCCTTTTGGAGAGTCATTCCGTACTTTTTTGGTTAACCTCATTCGTTCATTTGAAAACGAAGACGACAAGGTAATATTACAGCGGTAATACTGGAAAATATGCTAATAATCAGTTTTATTTATTTAGATCAAATTCTTGCGCCAATTGATTCATCATGTAGCGCATGTCAGTGGCAGTCATATTCTTATTCTGTATATTATTGAAGCACTTACTGAGATCGATCCTGTATACTCTTGGGGGTCTGAAGAACTTAAAGCTTTGCGTTATTTGGTCGATAGACATAGAAACTTCCAGTATGTACAGACATTGATTAGGAATTTTATTTTGCATTCGATTAACCACTTGTTTTTATATACACAAAAAAACAGGATCGTAAAGACAAAACTCTATTTACGCAAACTATGCATCAATATCCTGGCCAAGATATCCGATCCTAATGTGCTCACATTCTCGGATGTTGCAAAGTAAGTTTGATGCTGCTGGATGTGAAAGAAAGCTTACCCAGTGATTTGTTTCTACCTTAGGACTGTGTCTTCACTTATTACCGATATCCCTATTGATCCAAAGTCTGTTGAATACATTACTATATATAAATGGTTAGGAAAACACAACTCTAATAATAAGGTAATATAGCTTCTTGCAGGAGAAGGCAACGTTAATTGAAATATATATACTGACAAAAATATTTATTTTAGAGTGTTATGGATAATCTTAAAGAACGCACCGATGCTTACGTTAGAGATCCAATGTCTGAAGGTACTATGCTCATACTAACTTAATTTAATGTGTAATTTTTACTAACCTTTCTACACCAGAAATTCCTGTGACAGTATTGCGCACACAGACTAATGTATTAGCAAGGATGTCAATCTTTGTTGCAACTGACAATGACGGAAACTTTAAACCAGAGAATGTTACACAGCTACTGGAGTCATTGACTGATAAGCTAACTGGACCCCCAAGGTGAGATATACAATCGAAGTAATAATGATTTGTAGCTAATATGTTTAATTAACAGTTCTATTTCCGCCTTCAACCGTCATCTTGTATTATTGGACGCGGTTTGGGATATGTTTGATGTGTGCTTTGGTGGTGTTAAAGGTAAGTTAAAAAGAGATCATTTGCAATGAATTATCCGTCAAGTATCTTATTTCTTTTATAATATACTTTTTAGATCTTCTGACTTTATTGAAGTTATCTGAAGGCCAGAAGAAGTTTATCTTGAAGAGAATGGACGAACAATACTTGAATACAGAAAAGGAGAACGTTATTGGTAATAAAAATGGTCAAATGAAAAGGGAAGTTTCCATTAAACTCGCGTATACTTTATATAGATGATGGCCTTATAGACCTGTTTTTATCTGTAACACAGCATTTGCTTGAAAGCTCTGTTGAATTCAGTCTGGAGACACGGACTCAGCTGGTTAAGGATTACCACACTCGTTGTGTTGCCCTTATGCGTATACGTAGTACATGTAAGTAACAACATATGTTTCTGTTAATATAATCTATAGTTATTGATGTTGAGTTGTTGGTTCTCTAGTCGCTACTTCTAACAAGGAAATGTCAAAGGCCAACTACATGAAACTCCTTCGAGTTATCTATAGCGTTGCTGCAACACATTCCTTATTTATTCTTCCTTGTGACCCTTCCTTGACGCAATTGGTGTGTCAGATGCAGATAAAAAAGACACCCGATGCTCCTCGTACCAGGTATAATTAAGTGTGCTTAATTGAACTGCGAATTATTATACAAAATTATTTAACTTGGCCTACTGTATTTTATTATTTCTTAGAACATGGGGGGATGTTACGGCAACATTTATCCGTTACAAATGGGAAACCATTGAAGCAATTGTCAATTACGCCACCGAGGTAAAAATAAGGCTTTAAAAAGATAGGGCTTTAAAAAAAGGAACTACTGGATGTTTAATAATTTTATATTATAACAGGCAGTTAAAACAAAGGCACCTATTTCTGAGAGTCTGTTCGATGCATCCGATTTATATGAGCAAGCAGTGGAACAATTGGAAAGTGCCAACGAGCTTTGCGCTGAGTCGATTTTAAATGCTTTGAAGCCTTTAGTTGCTTTTCCCTGGGATAAGAGCGTTGAAATGGTTTGTAGACTGTTTTCAGACTTTTTTAAGCTGACAAGTTATCTAATATTTCGTTATTATTTTTAGCTTGATCTCTTTGTTGACTATGCCTCTGAAGTATTGAAAGAAAATATTACCCAATCAAAGACTTTCCCACCAATGATGCGTGCTATGATCTCAGCAATATTCCAACCAGAAATATTGTCTCGTCCAGAGTTAAATGAAGATGGCGGACCAGTGAAAAGGGTAAACAAACACTGAATTACATGCTTGGGGTGTGTATATCTAAAGTTTTAAAAATTACGATAATATAATAGGCTCTCCACACAATCATTGAAGTTGGCGATATCAAACTTTACTTTGTTACTCAGTGCGCCGAATTGTTGTACAGCTACTGGTCTACATACACAGATGCAGCCAACCAATCCATGATCCAATATGCCCCCGAGCTGGTGAGACTTCTATTATTTGGCCCTATGAGAGATAGAGAGGACCAGAAGATCGATGCTACCATTGCTGTAAAACTTGAAGGACCCGTTGCAGCCAAGGAAGCTGAAGGGTATGTCTTGAAAACTATTTTGACAAAACCTAGACTTATTCTCATACTTTTTTTGGTGGGGATAAATGAAGAACTGTTGAACTTGTTTTTAGCCAGAATGATTACATGGTCCGAGTAATGATGAATGACTTGTTGCTGCGACTAGACCCAAAAAGCAAGCAACATATTGAGCTTGCCAACAAGATTATGGATTGTTTATTGCAACTTACTTCAGAAGAGAATCTCTTTGCTTTCATGTACACTTCCACTATTGAGCACCGTACCAAGGTAAGAATAATACTGTTACAAACTGTTATAAAAACTTGGCTCTAAAATCTTCGGTGCGTTTACCTATATCAATTTTAGATTAGAGCAATGTGCTCAGTCATGTTATTGCTTGACTTTGTACAAGAAGACAAGATTGATCAATACCTCGAAAAGATTTTCTTCTTGATGAAGAAAGAGACCGTTACTTCCGTTCGCTGCTACATGGAGGTAAAGAACTTGATCCCGAACCTTTCAATATCTTGGCTTACTAAGAAAAAACCTTATACATATTAGTGGGCTATGACTCGATTACTTCATAAGTTCCCAACTCGCCTAGAAATGCTTTACACAAAGCTCTCAAACCCCCACACAAAACCTCATAATATTATCTCTATTTTAACTGTAACTTTTACTCTTGGGGAGAGCTTACCGGATAAGTATGCAAAGAGTTATTTCGAAAAGGTTAGTTGAGTAAAAAAAAACAATTTGTTTTCCTGGCTACTTAAAATATATACATATATAGATTTTCCGAGGTTTGGTTCCTTGGTTGGTTACTAGTCATTTTACCATTCGTTTATATGCTTATTGTGCATGGTCTCGTAACTGGTTGAGCTGCAAGGAAAGGTATATTTTCTATATAGTTTATTTTGCGTCGACTAACTGTTGTTTTAGAAAACTGAACAAGGACATTGAAGAGAATGATTACCTGAATTCATTGAACACTTTTTTGACCCAATACTCTGATTGCGTCAAGTTCTATGACAAAATCAAAAGCCAATTCTACCTTACAGAGTTTGATCCTATCAAAGACTTCAATATTGAGTTTATTTTCCGACAGTTGATGACAATATTTGACGTTATCGATAACGAGAAGATTGGCTCGGTTCGTATAGTTTCTTTTATTTGGCTGGGCATTATTTATATGACCTAATACTTTTTTTTTGGTACTATAGAGATCTTTTACAAAGGTCAATCCTAAACCAGTAGAGCGTTGTCCGTTCACCAACCCTGAGAGAGTATTTGCATATACCTCGGCAGACCCTGCTGAAATGATTGGAGCTGACGAGCAGAGCATTTCTGAATCTACCAGTACGGATGAGATCTCCTATCAGAAGAAGATTATGCCTTGGGAAATGATGCTCGAGACAGATGCAGACTTGACAAAAACATTGGTCCAGAAAAAGGTATTAATCACAATACTACTGTATATACGTATATATTAAATGTCATATTTGGATAATATTACTTACTTGTATTCTTATGTATACTCTTTTTTTTTTAAAAAAAAAAAAAGCGACGACGCAATGATCTTATTGTGGTAGCAAGTCTTGTGGATAGAATGCCCAACCTTGCAGGTAAATGTCTGATAATACAAAAAGATTTTTTTTAGATATTTATATGTATATATATATTAGGATTGTGTCGAACTTGTGAAATTTTTAATGCTTCTCAGCTTGCTGTTTACAGTTTAAAGGTAATAAGTAATATTTTTTTTGCAAAATAGTATACTTAAAAAATTTGGGAATTTACATAGATCAAAGAAGATCCTATATTTACTGGTATCAGTGTGGCTTCAGAGGTAAATATTTGACTTGGCTATTTAGTTGAGTTTTTCTTTAAATGTTACTCTCTCTTTTTTCTTAATATAGAAATGGATGCCCATGATTGAAGTCCCTGAAGATGATGTTGCCAGCTTCTTAAAGTCTAAGAAAGAAGAGGGATATGTATTGTGCGGTCTCGAGCAGACAACTACAAGCGCTACTTTAGGTGAATTTGAATTCCCAGAGAAATGTGTTCTCCTTCTTGGCAAGGAAAGACAAGGTGTACCAGCCAACCTTTTGCAGATGCTTGATCAGACTATTGAGATTCCTCAGTACGGAATCACCCGTTCCCTTAATGTTCACGTTAGTGGAGCAATCTGTATCTATGAATACACCAAACAAATGCAGTGGAGACAACAGGCACCGGCAGCTGTGCTACCAGGATCGCCTTAATATTCAGATTATTTATTAATAATCTACTTTACAGAATTGATATTTCACCCAATTATTTCTAATAACTCTTCTTAATTTCAAATCATTACAATATACGTGACTTTACACCTATTAGCCTTGTAGTACTATTCTTCAAAAATCTGAATAATGTTTATAATTTATAAAAGTATTTAGTATCTTTAAGCAAAACAAAAACGGGGGGTGATGAAGATTAATACGAATTTTAAAATTTGTAATACTTGTCTAAATATCACGGGTAAAAATGTCCAGATGTGGAGGGGAATTTATATAAAGGTTACTATACAGTTTTAAACTTAGGCTACATAGTCTGGAGTAGCTGGCCATGTTGGAGCCAATTCTACCTCCTAATAAAAGGATGAAGCTCGATCTCTTCAATATCATTCATTCGCTAATTGTTTTCACCTTTAATCATTTATGACTACTATTGGTATCCAGAGTTTTTACTAAGAAAAAGGTTGGGAATGTCTTTTATGTTCTGCACCACCAGCCCCAAATATCTTATTGCAAGCACTCGTTCCCTTTAAAAATAATATTGACACTTTCAATTATCGATAAAATCTCATTTCAATAAAACAACCTGGAATTCAAACTTCCGTCACCTTATCTTATTGGAATGAGATCCAAATAATATATACGTATATTCTGCTTCTTATTTATTGCTTAATATAGTTTTGGGATATACTTGGGCTTATTTCCTAATAGTTACTGGATCCCCTGTTGTGCCTACTTGTACAAAAAAGAAAGATTTTTTTCTTGTGTCCTTGAACATAAAGTGCACAGACCACTTTAGAGTAATCTCTAAGTCGGCGTTATAGAAACTTGTACTCCACTTTAAGAGTTTTTTCTACACCGATCAAAACTAAACCTTTCGTTACTCTTTTTACTTCTTTGCTTCTTTGTTTTAATTTACTTCACTTTGCAATATTTGTTTGATTAAATTTATAAACTTCTACGACTGCCATAGAGCAGTTACACAGCCCTACTAAGAAAGAGTATACAGCTGTGTCACTGCTCTGACGTGGGAGGCAAAAAACACCCCTGGCAAAAAAAAGCGCAGTCCCAAACTTTAGTCGCAGACTGCGGGTATATCAAAATAAAGCCCATTCAACCGACACGGTTTTCTTCTCTTTAGCTTTTTTTATACTCTGGAGACGGGTACCCCCTGATTGCCTGTAGTTGAGTTTGACGCGCTACCTGTGGGTGATTGGGAGACATTCTTTTTCCATTCTGTGCAGGAAAAAGCGGAAGTGCGTCGTCTCTAGCTTCTTAGTTAATTCTTAAAGGCGCAGATCAACATTGTTCTGAATTGTGAATTTAATTGTATAATTTCTGAAACAATGGCGACGAGCAATGTTTAAAAAAAGCTGCCGCCGAGTTAGCATCATGAAAGTTTATTGAGTGGAGGACGGGGAGGAAGTGGAGTTTACTGCCGACTCTTCATGAAATCCTTGTTCGAAGCTCTCTGGAACTGACGGTGTTGCTTGGTAGTCGAACACGCTGGACCCTGCTACTTTGTGGTAGGTTTCTCTGGTACGTTCGCAGACCCTTCTCAGTGATGAGATAGGGTAGTTGGGATGAACCCGGTTGTTGTCTTACGCCACGGATTAACACCATTCCCACACCTCCTTCGCTACCAAGTCAGGTTTACGTCCTGAGGGAGATTGAGCCGCGTAATGCGGGGACAAAGAACTTGGTGTCATGCTTTTTATTTTTTTACTCATGTAAAAAAAACATTAAGTGAAATCATATAAAATAAAATAGCTTCTTTATGTATATCTTTAATAAATAAATAAAATCTTCTTTAACTATTATCGTCTTTAAAAAAAAACACGCGTTTAGACTTTTTTTTTTTTACTTAATTGAAGAGGTTAATGTTGTAATTAGGAAGTCTCATTAATAAGAAAAATTAATCTAGTTCAATAAATCTGAAAAGAAATAAAGAGAAATATAATATAAGATGATAAAAATATTTATGTTCTTATTGTTGTGTTGATTACCACGTTTAACTGTACATGCTGTCTTCATCTATAAAATCGAAGGAAAACTCATAATAATTTTTGAGAATGCCGATGCTACGAATCGTATATTACTGATTATGGCTAATTCAAATGGAAATTGTAAAAATGTATGTAAATCAGAGGAAGAAAAGGAGAAAAAAGAGAAAAGAAAAGAAAAAAGAAGAGAAAAAAGAAGAGAAAAAAGAAGAGATAAATAAATACGTGTTTGAGAGAGAGAGGTAAAAAAGGTGCGGTGAATCGAATACACAAGTAATGTCTATATTGTATTTACACAGACTGTACACAGAAAGTTCAATATGAATGTATTTATGAAACAATAACCATTATCTAAAAACCTTTTTTTTTATATATTGCAGTCTTTAAAAATAAGCTGACAGACATAGGATATGTTGAATAAGCAAGACATGAATATCATAAAAGACACGTAATAATGAATTTCATGAAAGGAAGTGAGTTTTAGATGCATTCATACTGATTATTACCACCGATTCATTTATATGGTTTATTTGTAATAAGAATATCTCCACTGATATCACTGAATTGAGTACTGAGTGTATTCTCCTAAAGCTTTATATGTATACGTATTTTGATTCATAAACGTAAAATGTAAAACATTGCATTGTAGAAATCTATAGCTAAACAGCTTTACTTCGTTTCGTATAGTACTTCTCTCCACTACTTATTTTAAGATTTTTCTCAGTGCTCTGGATTGAGGCCATTTAAGGCTGACCTCTTAGTTATATTCCATTTCCATTTATTCTTGACAACGAAAAGTATTGAATAGACAATTTACAAATTAATCATAATAAATGTAGCTGCCGTGCATAGAATAATACTTTCAAAATACATGTCTAAACGATGAAACCACAATCAGAATACATTGAGCAATCCAACGGAAAAAAAATTAAATGATAAAAGGTATTTATTGTTTGGAATATACAGCATCTCTTTACTATATATTAATAAAGGATGATTAATTATTAAAGATGTAAGATATATAATACATGGGATCAAGTAATCCTATTGGATGAAATAAAAATCGCAATGCTCTAAATTTAAGCATATACGTCTACACCAGCCCAATTGACTGTTGCAAGTGGGCATTGATCAACTGATGAAGAGTTGTTTCCCCACCATTGAGGGAATTTGATATCAGAGTATTGGAAAGCAAAGAAGATGACAATCGCACAAATTGCAACACCAGAATCAAGTGCAGCAGAAAGAACGTAGTTATACTTCTTCCACCACGCAGACCACCGACGCTTAATAAAGAAATTAAAAACGAAGCCAATAGTAGCCCAGGTCGGTGTTACAGCGGTAGGAGCAGGAGGGAAAGGTGTGGGACCGAGCATAAAAACAGGGATACTGACATGGCGAACCCATGAATCAGGATATCTGCGGGTCAGGAACCAAAATGGAATAGGTAGGAGAAACCCACCGAGCAAGAAGTAAGGCAAAGGATTATAGAGTGTTCCAGATTCAAAGAATTTGTTCGGGCCAATCAGACCCCAGATTACAGAAGATGCTCCAAAAAGACCAGCATTAGGACATGTCCAAGGATATCCAGCATTCGTACAGATATCAGGAATTGTATCCATCAGATAGTTCATAGTACTCAATGAGACAAAAGAAGCAATAATAGTTCCAACAATCTGGAAGGTAAAGAGTTCACGAGGAGGAATTTTCATGTAATGACTATATATTAAAGATTAGTAAATACTTTGCATTCTAAATGATAAACTAAGCACAAGAAAACCCTTACCCTAGTTTAAGATCCTGAGAGAATAAAAGAGCTTGACGAACAGTAATATAGCCATAGGTCTTAAACATCATGTTTCCAATTGGGTGTCCAGGACGAATTACACCAAATACCCATTCAGTGATCATGGAAATGGTAGGAGACTGAGAAGTAATGGCAGTGACGATACCAATTGGAATTAGCCAAACAAAAGCCAAAACAACGGCAATGATCAGAGCCCACCAGGGCATATCGGATGGCCAGACAGTTATGGTAGCAAAGCTGACACCAAGAGAGATCACGAACAAGAGAGCATACCACCAGTCAGGAACCTCTTTGTAGCGATCCATAAGGCGGGCGTGGATATCATCGGAATCTTGACGAGCACTCTTAAAGCGCTCCCAGACATCTTTTCCGTTATACAGGATAGTGTGGGATATAATTGCACCCAATGCTGCCAGACCTTGGCCGTAGCAAATAGCAAAAAATCCAGTGATTCTGATGGGCGAATACTCAGCATAGGCAGTTTCGTTGAGGTATTGCTCGGGTGTGAGGACACGAGCTCGGTCAAATACCTCGCCGTAAATGTCGTATTGGCGGGTGTTATAAAAGGGAAACTTCTTGCTCTCGAATGAATCGGTGTAGTAGACTATGGGAACGAGGAACCAGATGAAAAAGATGAACCCTGCTAGCATGTTGGCTTGGACAACCCAAGGAATAGCAAGAGGACTTGGGTACCAAGCTGCCAATGTACTCCAGTCTAGGGTAAAACTGCCGATACCAAGGCCATTAAGACCGCTGCCAATCTGGGACACAAGAATGGAATCTTTTTTTATCCAGCTGACAAATTTTAATATATATATATTAGATTTCTGATAGTTCTTTTCTGTATATGAAATCAATTTCGGCGAGTTCTTACCAAATCCAAGAGATACTTGTGAGGACAGGTATAATATAACCAGGGAAGAAATACCACGCAAAAGATGCGATGAATGCAATCACAAAGAACTTGTTACGAGACAAACTCAGTCCTGGAGTTACAGCCTCAGCATCAGCCACTTCCCTGGGAACCTTTTTGTGAAGCGTGTGAAATAAAGTAGCATTGACAAGATTGATTGGCCTACAATTATTTTTGTAATTAAAAAAAAGTTTTATATTTTGGAGATCGAAAAGCTTACCAAACCATCGAGGCAGGTCGTACAAGGAAACGCCGCAAAACACCAGCAAACCCAAAGCCAAGAATACTAGTGGTGAGAACAAGTAAGATTCCTCCGCCATATCCCCAAGACTGGTTGTAATAAAGCTTCTGGACAACGATGATATCAATTGCATCGAAAGAAGTTGCAGCAGCATTAGCCATAGCTGTAATAAGTACATGTTCCTTGACACTAAATGGGCCAGGGTTCAAAGAAAATTGGAATCGACCAGAGCCAAATGTGCGTGTAGGTAAGATTTTTTCGAATAAGCGGCCCGCAGGAAAGGCCAGTAGCTGGACAACAATTACTTTGATTGTCAGTGGATTTGCACGGAACCAGAAAAACTATTAAAAAAATTGTAAGTTGATCTGATTTATTTTCCTCTAATAAACAATACAAAAAAAACATAACCTAATCTGAATTTTTCTAGTATATGAGACGTACCTGATTTGTGAATGAAATCGCAGCTGAAAAACAAACTCCCCAAAACCATGCTCTAAAAGTGCCTGTAGGGAGCGATGTATCGTCTGTAGGTGGGACACTTGCACGGACTTCTTCTATGGGCGAATCTTCATATTCTGGTTCGCTAATCGCAATGTCTTTTTTAATTGAAGCGTTTGAAGAAATGTCGCTTTCTTGGAAAGTGGGAGACCGCTTCTTCTCCACAGACATCAGGACAATTAGAAGCTGTAAAGCTAAGTAGCTAGATCAAGAAATTGATATGAAATAAAGTACCCTGAAAACCATTGCCTATTTAAATATAAAATTATTTAAGCGACCCTTTCGCTAATCCAAAAAAAAAGAAGAAACTTTTTGAGCTTTGGGTTTCAAACAGATGAGTTTGTAGAATATTATTTACCCAATAGAATCTGTGTCTGGTGAAGGGATGTCGAGCACGCCATTCCTTATAAATCATACAAGGGTTTTTTCTACGAAAAAAAAAGAGAGAGTTTGTTAAGTTGAACTACTTTCAATTCTTTCATTTTGTTATCAAGAAAAAGTTGCTTAATTTAGACTTCGGATGATTTATAACCTCCTGTAGGAATATCATCTGTCTCAGATCTCGTACACGATTTCAAGGTAATAAATTATCTGGTTTACTCGTTGGCTTAACAACACAAAATCCGTATTTTCGGTTAAGCTTCCGTAGATTTGTAACTAGGGAACTGTTTTCTGTTTTATTTTTATGATTTACTTTTTAAGATATTTTATTGGGTATAACCTCAATCACGTCATTTCCATTGGCTGCCAATGGCTCTGTCTTTATAATAATAAATCCACCATTTATTTGTAACTTGGTATGCAGGATGAGGGAACTTTTCAGTAAGAGTCGTATGTCTGAAGGGATGATGCCATCTTGCAATAACAAGACAACATTATGATTTATATTACACGAAAAATACTGTATATAACTAGACTATTTTACTTATATATGTATATAGTAGTTAAGATGGCCAAAGGCGTCAACCTGTATAATCTGACGTGCTTATATTAAAGTCTACCGCTTTAGTTTTCAAAGATCTAATAAATGTCAACAAGTGAATTTAATAAATATAAATTGTATTTATTTATTTATTTAGCTATTTATTTGTTTGCTGGTATTGTGAAAAGAGGGATGGCAGAACTTTTAATAGTAAAAAAAGTATATGAGATTGGATACAATGAATAATAATCAAAGATAAAGAAGTAAAATAGAAAGAGGCAATGTGTTGACAACAATGGTTATAAAGCAAAACAAAACGAAAAGCAAAAAAAAAAGCAAAAAGCAAAAGAAAAGAAAAGAAGTGAATGATTATTCTTTCAGAGAAAAAAGAAGATACCCTCAAAGCTGATTATTATTATTATTTTAATCTTCGAGTTGTTCGTTATCGTTAACTTCTGGTCCTAAACCGTGTATCTTACGCCAGCGTAGGAAGTCATCATAAGTTTTAACCCTACCACCGCTCATACGTACGGTTTGTTTGAAGACTTTAAGCGAAGTCTGGAATCGACGTTTGTGATTCGAAAACCAGTAAGTGATATTACGTGGTTTGAGGCCTGTTTGTTCTTGAACCTGTCGCCGCTGGTCCTTTGTTAATTTTTCGCGCTTGCTGTAAATACTAAAGAAGACCGACTTGAGATAATGAGTAGTAGTAACATCATAAGAAGTGGCTGTTCGGCGTGTGGTCGAAAGACATTTTTCGGCATTATTAATTTTAGAAATTCTCGCTTTCTTGGATGCTATTCCACCTGAAGGGGGCACGGGAAAATGTGCCGAAGAGGAAGAAGATGAGGAAGAGTTGGAAATGTCTTGAATAGATATAGACTTTTCATTCATTTTGTTACAGATTGAACGCTTTTTCATAGACATCTCTCGGTCTGTATCGTCATCAATATAGTCAGGATCGTCGACATCATCACTACCGTCATCATAGTCACTTTCTTTGCCATCGTCTTCATGGATATCATCGTTTTCATCTAAGTCTTGGTCGCCTTCAGATATGGCTGCAGTTTCTCCCTCTTGATGACACCAAATGTTGCCAGGGGTTGTAGGACAGGACCAGAATGCTGAAGCTTCACTTGGATAAACTGAAGGAGTCTGGGGAAGTGACCAGATCCCAGATGGTTGAATATAGGTCTTCATTGGGGCAACAGTAGCTTCAGAAGAAAGAGGGGTATTTTGTAAATGAGGGTGTGAATGAGGTCCTTGTTTGGGAGCAGAAGAAGAGTCTTCCGAACAAGTTGTCTCAGGAGATTCAACAAAAGGGCTTTCGTTGACATTGTACTGGTAATTTAAGGGTGAATGAGAATCCATCAGAGCCTGTATTGTGCCCATTGAATTAAAAGTGACATCCGACAATTGGTTAGTAGACGTTGTCTGACAGGTCTCTGGCCAGTAAATATTGTTGGAACAAATCTGAGGCTGAAAGAGACCTGGCGAGAAAAAAACGATATTGTCGGTCATGGGCGGAGCACTGGTGCTCTTGACTTGAGCATTGGCCATCACTATAGTTTGCTGCAATGGAATCTGGGAAGATCCCGAGACACAAGGTACCACCGGACCTTGGTTGCAACTCAAGAGACCTGGTCCGAGCTGAGACAAGTTTTGTTGAGTTGTTGGATCTGTTGCTAAGTGGGACTGAGTATTAAGCTGTTTATTTGAAAGTGCATTGAGAGAATTTGACTCAATAACAATACGTTCATTTTCGACACTCTGGAGTAGTTGATGCATAGCTTCGATACGTTCCTTGATGCTGAAAAAGGCCAAAAGCATGTGGTGCCCTTGAGATTCTGCTAGATTCTGATTAGCCTTGGTGGTGATGGGCGGGATAAATGTGGATCTTGGGATCTTGCTGAGGTGAACAACCACTAGCTCCAACCACCTAATGACAATTGGGCGATATTTTGCTTCTTTGGCAAGTACAGTCTGGTATTGGAAGTCCAGCCAGAGACGAGCAAAGGTAGGAAAATAAGGATGGAAGAGAAAGTCGTAAAGATCAGGAAAGTGCTCGAGTATTTGAGCAAGTGGGACAGCTGCGCGGGTACACGAGTTATCCTGTTCCCCCCCGTTGATTAGACTTGTGGAGGCCAAGGTTTCGGCATGGAAATTAAGCAGGTCGGGTTCTTCTTTTACATTTGGCCACGAGAGAACAGGCGGTCCATGAGACTCAATTGCAAATGAACCTGAACAAGCCATCGTATGATTCAGATATGCTTCGATCTGAGCGTTCTCAAAAGCAGTGGACTGCATGGTATATGACCTAAAAGTAAGAAAGTAAAAGAGAGAGACCAAAGAGAATAGATTCAGAAGCAAGTCAAATGTTTTAAATAATGTACAATGTATAACATATTTTAAACGGTGGAGGGTCATCGAAGACTATGTACTCCGTCGCTATAGGTTCATATTGCCTTTGTAACACTATTTATGCAAAGCTTCCTTTGAGGCAAGTTCCAGATTTCTAGTCTTTATTAAGTGTATCGGAAGGAAGAGATAATAGAATATAGAAATCTATATAAAAACAAGAAGTTTACCTGTTCATTGAGATAAAGCAATATCTATAGTATTATATATATATATATGTTTGTGTATGTATGTGCGTATCTATATTCTGCTAGTAGTTAAATCCTAAATACCTTGGTATTCCTTGACAACGATTAAAGAAGCATATATGACTACTCTATATATACAATTATTTAGATGTGTTTTATCAAACACTATATTGAGCGAACAAAAGGAACCTTGTTAAGAAACCCCCATTATTATCTACAAAGAACGCCATGAATATGAAAGAACAGACGATTCTATAGCGATAAAGTTGTGGACAACCTGTATTTTTGTTCATGTTATCTAATCTGAGCGTCGTATTCTAAAACTTAGTGATTTATGGATTGGAGAACAAAGAAAACCAATCTACATTTAACAAGCCTGAGTGTCTTCAAGCAAACATGAGTGTGTTTGTCTCTCTATTTTATTATTATTTTAAAAACATATGTATATAACAATAAAGAGATTCTTTTGGTAAGTTTAGAGAAAATTGGTAGCTTTCTCTTTCTTTCTAATAGTTCATTTGGTTGATTTAGGCCATCACATTATCTGTAGAGCGTACGGGTGTAAAGGTAGTGGACCGAAGACGCGATGAAATGTGTTGAAATGGATTAGGCCATCTGCCAGTGATTTTTTTTTGGCGTCTTGTCCAATAAACAAGAACAGCACACACAAAGCCACCTATTACCACATAGTTGGCTATATTGTTGGGCTCAACTGTCTCATCATCTAATGTTTGTTCGGGTGGTTCAGTCGCGCCTTTTTTTGAGCTTTGTTCTGCTTCGGCTGCCAGGCGATCCATGATACCAGTATTTGGAGGAGATTTATAAATAGGGGATCTGTGAGGAGAATTTGGAAGTGCCAAGGCATCAATCGTCTTTTGAGCGTCGATAGAGGTTGAAGGGGCAAATGATCCTGCTAATAGTATGCTGTTTGCAATCATATGATGGGCGCCTATAAAAATTGATGGAAATATCACATGTATGTTAGTTATATACCTTGATTTCGTATGGCAGAAAGTAGTGTTCTACCTCCTGTCAAGTGTGTCCTATCCCACCACACATATTTGTCCACATCTCGCCCGTCACAGCGTTCCCGACACTGACCCAGATAAGCGGAAGAAGCGTCTTTGAAACCAAAGTCTGTAGGATTGGCCATTAAGTCAGATAAGAGTGAATGGACGTCAATAAGATCCAGAGCAAGTGCATGGTGATACTTGTTCATCTTGGTGACTTCCTTGGCCAACAATCGATTAAACTCTTTTGCCGCCTCACCACGCGACGCTGCAAGGGACGAATCCTTATAGAATGGCATATGCTCCATAGGAAGAACATTAAATACCAAGAAGCGATTGGCACCATACATTTTACGAATATTGCGCTATATATTTCCATAGTGATAATAACTTTTTTAAATAAGCTTTCTTATAATACGCATTCCCTTTCCTTTTTATCTTTTTGGGTCTTATATACACAAACAAACAAATAAATTAAATAAATTAAATAAATAAATAAAGAAATAAAATACTTGCCACTTGTTGCCCAATACACTCTACTACTGGCTTGAGATCTGGGATACTTGTACTATTTACTGTTGATTCGAAGATTAGATTTGAATCTAAACAAATAAAACCCCTTACCTCTTTGCAAGAATGACTTGTGAATGTCACTTGCACCCACCAAGATTGCATATACCGTTTCTGCTGGATCATGATTCAATGACTGATGATAATACATCTCCACTTGATCCTTTATACTCGGGGAATCGTCATAACGCATGACGCTTGAAAATCTAGCTCTGTCACATGTAGCCCCAGTATAAGCAAAACTATGAAGAGTTGCATTCCAGCCGACTGCAAGATCCTCACTCCACACAGGTCCATTGGTCCATCTTTGGAAATTGCCAACATCTGTTATATAACACAGAAGATAATAATCAAAAGGCAAGAAAAATAAAAAAAAATGACAAGGTGTCTCGGTAATATATATATGTATTACTCAAGAATTCTGTCTAATAAAAACAAGTATCTAAAAAAAAATAACAAAAACCAAAAAAAAAATCGAATATGATTACCAGCATTGGAATCACCAAAGACCACAAGGTTTTTTACAGTGTCTGCAGCAAGAACGAGTGGAAGTTGCAAGAGTGCAACAACAGATAAAAATCGCATCTCAAGTCAAGAGGCAAAAAGGAAGGAAAATTAACAAAAGAAAGGAGGGAACTACAGTAAGTGCTGAAATGAAATGAAAAATTCGATAGCTCCAAATGAGAAATAGAAAAAAGAGAAATATAGTCTAGTGGGGCTTTCAGCTATTGTTGTTGTTGTTGTTTTGAACTCGTATATATCTGTAATTATATAAAGAAGTATATTTGGAGCAAGTCTCATTACTGCCATTTGATTTCTTGTGTTCTACTAAAGGCTTAGTGCTTCAAGTGGAGTAAGCCTCAAGAAACGTTCTCCGATTGCTCAGGAATAGAATAAGCTGTGCACAAATCCAGTCATTCTACTTACCATTTCTTGTGAGACCTTTGAATATTTGTTTGTTAAAGCCATCATTTTTTTTATGTTAACATTTCTTCCACTCTCTTTTCTTGCTTCTTTTCTTCTGACGATTCTTGTCTCACAGTCACTATTCATGGAAATTCTTTTCATTAATATAATGGCTTGCACTACCCTTCTATTCTTCCAACATGTTTTCGATCGACCTTTCCACGATCTAAATAAACTCAGGTCTCCCGGGTCTACAGATTCCAGGGCCATGGTGTAGATCTTTTTTCTTTCTTTAAAAGCTAAAACAATAAAACAAATTCGGTTTGTTAGTCCCTCCTGTTCAATAGGCACAATTACTGTTGTTCTCTGATACAAAGGCCCCTTCATATATACAAAAACTGTTTTAAAAATCATTATCACGGTTAATTATGAAATTTAGAATCTAAAAGAGTGCAATATTACCTATTAGCCGTTTTGTGTGTAAATTGAGATAAAGCAGCTGTCTAAGACGGTGATCTTTTTTCTTTTCTTTTTTACTGCGTGTGCTGATGTGCTACCAGATACAGACAAAGGAAAATCAAAACGCCTATATATGTGCCTAGCTGTATTTAATTGGCTAATTTGAATCACCTTCTTCACAGCCTACCTTCCATTGCCTTTTTACTTGAGCTGGTGTCAATATATAGATCTGCGTTCCAAATCAAAAATGGCAAGGATTGACACCTTTTTGGTCTTGGAGCTGCTTCCAAAGGACTTGCAGAATATCAGGATTGTTCAGCATTTTCTCTTTTCGCTTGGAAGCAATGTTAATGATGCCGATTTGCCGCTCAGACGAATCTCAAGCTTCTTTGGCATCTGTTCCCGAAATTATTATCAAGGTAAGCTGGCGAACCAAAGGCTCTATCATAGATTTATTTATTTATTTATTTAAAATCATCTTGACTCTATAGTTTCAAAATATCTTACTTTCCCCCCTTTCCTTTACTTTTTTTTCTAGCCCAATGCCTTCGTCTTTGGCTTCTCAACCTTTGGAAACAAAGACAAATTCAAATATCCCTGTAGACTTACCTTTTACTACAGAATCTGTACACGAGGATCTATTTCCTTCCGATCAAAGTAATTCTTCTGGTCTACCCAACCAAGACTCGATTTATGTGGACAAAAGCCAGGATTTATTGAAAGAAGCGACATGGCAAACAAAACTTCTTATTCTTGTTTGCATGCTCTCTTTACCAGGTAGACAAATATCTAAATATTTAAATAATTAAATAATTAAATAATTTTATTTTATTTTATTTTATTAATTGATCTAAAGTCGGCTGCCATTACCTTGAAGCTACCATGGGTACCCTCAAGACAACATTAAAAAATGTAAGCATGTTCGCCAACGTTTGCTTTCTATCCCCTATTTTCCTTTTTCCTTTTATCCTATTTATCTGCAATAAATATGCCAAAAACAAAACCGCTGAAATTTTCATATTCCGTACAAGAAACAATACATACAACCATAAAATTCTTACAAAATTTTAACACATCCATGTAGTCTATGCATATCAACAATACCCAATTCAGTATCCTACTATCATCTGTCTCACTAGTTAATACAATTCTCCCCTTACTGGCCGGTACATTTGTGGATGATTTGTCTAGTGTAGGCTCAATTCGTGGCTCTACTCTAGTAAGCACAGTGATTTTCTCTGGAAGTCTTATGGTGTCCCTAGCCGCTGAACGCAACAGCTATCCAGTCATGATAACTGGCCAGATAATATACGGACTTGGAGGAGGCATGATTGTAACCATGCAAGAAGCAATCTTGTCTCGCTGGTTCCGAGACAGACAACTAGCTATTGTGATCGGCATCTTATTGTCCTTTGCTAGACTTACGAAATGGGCAGCCAAGATGGTCTGCTATCCGATTGTAAACTCAACTCAATCACACGCCTGGCCTATCCATGTGGCAACTATTCTCTGTGGCGTCGGCATAGTTATGAACTTTCTCTATTGGGCTGTTATGTACCGCCATGGATGCTCCACTGTGTACGGAAAAGAAATCTCACAACCGATAACTGGTTACCAGAGTCAGTTTGCCGCATCCCAATCCCCCAATAATGGTCGTTCATCTTTCAGATGGTCTTCAAGGATGTTTTTGCTACTTCCAAGTACTTTCTGGATGGTTCCATGGGTCCAGTTGGTCATGTCAAGTGTCTTGAGTAGCTTTGATGATGTTGCAACGTAAGTCAAAACCAAGAAGTGAAAAAAAAAACACAAAGATGAGACCTGAATTTAATTGAATGCCTGACATTGTTCTATTAGGGAATTTATCCAGTTTAGATACAATACAACAAGCGTGATGGCTGGGGTAATATAGATTTTAAAACAATAGCAAGAGTGCTTCTTTTGACTAAAAATTCGGTTGTTGTTATTTAGTACCAAAGTAGTCTTACCCAGGTAATGCCAATTGTGGTGGCACCAATCATGGGTATAATTGTACACCGCTATGGCAAGCGTCTGACAAGTCGTAAGTTTCGAAAAAAAGATGCGTTTTTATGTTGTTTTTGCGCTAATGGTATTTTTTTAAAAATATATATATATGTAGTATTTTTTGCTACACTTATATTGATTTTATCAATGGTATTGTTGGCTTATACCTGGGTAACACCTGCGGTAGGAATGATTTTGTTTTCATTGGCACTTGCTCTTGGCCCGGTATCGGTCTTGAGTTCAACATCACTCTTGCTACCTCATGAGTTGGCTGGGACAGGCATGGGGCTACACAAATGTGCAAACAATATCGGATCAACCATTGTGTCTGTGTTGATAGGATATGTCCAGGACCTGACCTTCCATGATGGCGACCCTCACGATGACCAACAGGATTTGGAATCAGAGTATGACGGTGTCATGATATTCTTCCTCATAATGGGTTGTTTTTCGACTCTTATAGCGATTTTGTTTTGGGTAATGGACAGTCGACTTCTCTCTGGCTGGCTCCAGGCAGACATCAAGGAACGAGAGCGCCGAATTGAACAGGTCAAACTTGAGCAGACAGAATCAAAATATGAGAACAAGAATTTGTTTGATACAAAATCGCTCCAGAAGATCGGAAGTCAGATGAGGACAAAACCTACTTACGTATACGTGTCATTTTATGGATTCTGGCTGGTTGTTTCTTGGGTCATCTTTTTTGCATTTGCTCTAATGCCTGTCTACCAAAAATACAACATTTAACTTTTTGTATATAATCTAATCATATCATATCATATCATATCATATCATATCATATCATATCATATCGTACCCTAACCTAACATATCATATAACACAACATAACATAACACAACATAACATAACATAACATAACATAAAGCATAATAAGCCAATTAAAATTACACACAGAATGAGAAGTCTAAACAAAATCTCGGGTTGTACACCATACTTGTACCGATGTTTCCATGACGACATTCAGAGTTGCAAACAATCTAAATTTGGAAGGATTAACGAGAAAGGAGGTCTTTAATGTAATGTGACAGGGGAAAAATTGGGTCCTATTGGCTGGCTAAAGATTTATAAGTATTTAATGTCAGTGGTCCGACAACATTTTCTCTTGTTCTTCTCACCTACTAATTTCTCATGTCTTCTCCTTTGCCTGTAAATGCAAAGAAGCAACCAGGAGCCGAAGGTAGCTCAGCCTACGACGACTACCTATCTAGCTCCTTTGATCGTGTATCTTCCACAGCTCGCCTCGGCACATCTCCTATCCATCCTAGCATTATCTATAGCACATCTCCCTCCAAAAGCATTGGAGGTCTCTCAAACCGTACCTATGGCAGTATGGTCAATCTGAATGCTGATCTAGATCGCGTTCCAACTAATCATTCTGGTCTATTCCGTCCGACCCAGTATGGAGACAACCTTGGTGTTGACCTTCCAGAGGACCAAGTTGCCAGGGCTGTCAGACGTCACCTTATCGACACATCTCCTGCCTCTTCCCTGTACGGATCATCTCCTCGCCAGAGTATTGCCGGCAGCATCAAGCAAGCTGCGGCAGACGATGGTTCCGACGACAACCAGTCTGGATACTCTAATCCTCCGATCACCAGTGTCCACCAATTGCCAGGCGGTTCCATTACCCATGATATTTACAAATGGTCAGAGGCCCAGGAAAATGAACAGGCTAGTCGTAACAAACGCTCAAAGTCCTTATCCTTTGATCGTCCACCCGCAGATCCTGGTTTTGCCAACCTCAAAGATCCCGGAGGATTCCGTCGCCATTTCATTTCTAAAAAAGCCGCACAACAAGGCAAACGCCCCCCTCATTGGATGACAAACACATTTGTTGATTTCTTGGCTTTGTACGGTCATTTCGGTGGTGAGGATCTTAGTGATGATGAAGATGAAGAAGAGGATATGGCTGCAGAACGCCGCCGCCGCCGCCGAGATTCTAGACGCCATACACTAACAGGAGATGACGAGCTTTCGCCGTTGATCCGTCAAGCTCAGGAGAATGCCCCCGAAGGTACAGCCACACCATCCAAGGCTGTATTCTTGCTTTTAAAATCATTCATTGGCACTGGTAAGTAATCAAAATGAATGTGTTATGGGTGCACCTTTTCTTTTTCTAAAAATTGTTTATTTGTTTGTTTAGGTGTCATGTTTTTGCCCAAAGCGTATGTAATTTAAGCCGATAAATCGGCCACAACTAAATAAAAAAATAAAAAAAAATACCGCATTTCACTGACCATCTTAATAACTTCAAAATCTAGGTTCTCCAATGGCGGTCTATTTTTTTCCACGGTGGTACTGAGTGTGATTGCTATTGTGTCTCTTTACAGTTTCCTCTTGCTGGTCGAGACACGTAACAAAGTGCCGGTTTCTTTTGGTGATATTGGTGGCCTTTTATTCGGTCCTGGAATGCGTATGGCCGTTTTGATGGCTATTACTGTGTCTCAAGTAAGTATGGGTGAAAATAATAATAATATGCGTGGGGATTTATGATGAAGGCGTATTTATTATTGTTATTATTTCAGATTGGGTTTGTCTGTGCTTATATGGTCTTTGTTGCACAAAGTCTTCAGGCATTAGTAGAGTCCGTCTCCAATTGCAAGACAGACATCCCGCTGGCCTACCTGATTCTGGGTCAGATTGCCGTCTTTGTCCCACTTGCAATGATCCGGAAGATCCAGAAACTTTCGGTGTTTGCTCTCGTTGCAGATGTGTTTATCCTTCTTGGTTTGGTCTATCTGTATTATTATGACTTCTTGACTCTTGCTCTTCATGGAGTTGGAAACATTGAATGGATGGTCAACACCAGCTCATTTCCTCTCTTCATCGGTACTGCCGTATTCACCTTTGAAGGTGTCGGTCTGGGTAAATATGATTTGTGAAAAAAATCTTTTGACATTTGTGGCTAATTGTTTATTAGTTATTCCAATCACTGAGTCAATGAAGGAACCCAATAGATTTCCTAAGGTCCTCTCATACACTATGATCTTCATTACCCTTTTGTTTCTCTCCGTCGGTTTCATTTCTTACCTTGCATTTGGTGAAGAAGTCCAGACCGTCATCTTGCTTAATTTACCCCCAGGGCCTGCAGTAAACACCATCCAGGCCCTTTATGCAGTCGCCATCTGTCTGTCAATTCCCTTACAGCTCTTCCCCGCCATCCGTATTGTCGAGACCGGCCTTTTTACCCGATCAGGAAAACACGACCAGATTGTTAAATGGCAAAAGAATGGATTCCGATTTTTGACGGTTCTGGTGTGCGCTGTGGTGGCCATTGCTGGTTCGGCTGATTTGGATAAGTTTGTGTCTTTGGTCGGCTCTGTATGTTGTGTCCCACTCTGTTTCTTCTTCCCTCCATTGTTCCATCTCAAAGGAGTGGCTCGTTCATGGACCCAAAAGACCATTGATATTACTATTATCGTCTTCGGCTTGATTGCAATGGTATATACCACTTTTATTACCGTCTCTCTCTGGTCCGCAGAAGGTGAAGGTGCTGCGCCAATTTCAAGATGCACACCCCCTGGTCATTAGAGGGCATGTTCTTTTAACCTATTTACATTACAACATTCCCCCTTTATTATTACCCCCAAATCCTTTCCATTCTTGTTTTTTTTTTCTCTTTCATCATTAAATAATTATCTCACAATACATACAAGGGATTCAAATGTTTATTATTCTTATTCTTATTATCTGTTACTATTACTATTATTTTTATAATTATTTTTATTCTATAAAAGAGAAAGAGAAAGAGAAAGAGAAAGAGAAAGAGAGAAATGAAGAAATGAAAGAAACATATATAGAACATATTAAACATATCCCAAGCTCTAAATGTGTATACAATGATGATTGAAATGTCAAATGCAAGAAGTAATTTGTTTCTTTTGAAAGATTATATAGTAGCGGTAGTAGGTGGCAACTCTCTTCCTGCCTTTGCCCACTCTTCGAGAACTTGACCTGGTTCTCCAAGAACTTCAAAGGCACGAATACGGCGGTTGTACTTATGTTCACACATCACACCACTCTTACCCACCACAACACGTTCTATATCTGATCGCATGTTCTTCTCGCCCTCTTTTACATATGCACGAACACCATCAATCATAATAGGTCCGTCGGGTTTAAAGTGTTCGTGAGTCTGGGTTCTGTATCTGTGGACGGTATCATAGCATTTTAGACGACCACAGGTATTCAGGAACTGAGTCGAGCAGGAAGAACAACAGAGCATCAACAGGTTACATGAGGCATGAGTACAGTTTTGATACTGACTACTGGGCTGGCCACACAGGTGACACTTTCCAAACACCTCATCTGTAATAGTTTCACCCAAACGAGCATCAAATGTAAAGTTCTTTCCTTTGAACAACGACTTTTCTTCTTGGCCCTGAATCCAGCGTCCATATGCTGTCACACCGCCCTCAACCAAGTGAACTGTTTCAAACCCAGAAGCCGATTGAAGAATTGCACCTGCCTTGGAGCATCGAATGCCACCTGTGCAGTACATAAACACCTCTTGGTTACGAGGAACGTCCTTGACGATTTCATTCATGGCCTTGATACTGCCTCTAAAGGTATCCACATCTGGACGAGTGGCTCCTTCAAAATAACCAATATGACTATTGAAAAGATTGTATATATAAATTAAAATCTAATGAGCCAGTTTAGTATATTAATATTCCGGTTTTTACCTTTCATATTGGTTTCTCATATCAATTAACACAGGATCCTTGCCGTGCTTTGCTTTATATTCAGCCAATTTCTTGTGCCATTCAGCAGGAGAGAGATGCGATGGTTGGTTAGACAGATTGTAGCTTGTTGGATCCAGTCCATCAGCCACAAGCTAAAGCGAGCAAAAAGAAAATAAGTAACAAAATCTTTGAGTACCATAGGCTCTAATTGGCCAAGTACTTGCCTGTTTTCTAATTCGAACATGGAGAGCTCTAAATGCTCTCTGGCCATGTTCAGTACCCAGGTTAAGGTCCATCAATGTATCACCAAGTCTAGGCTTAATTACTGTGCTGCAATAGGTACGCAGAGCATCAACATATTTTTCTGGGCAAGATAACTGGGCATTGATTCCTTCAGTAGACAAATAAATTCGGCCAACGATATGCCATTGTTTAAGATCATCCAGAAGCTGTTCCCTCCATGGACCCAATTCTTCTTTAGCGAGCGTGTGAAAGCGATAGAAGGACAGGGTTTTGAATGTGGATGGATCCAGGGAAGGTGAGTTTCTAAGAGTCGTAGCAGTGGATACGGAACTCGAGGCTACGGTAGAGGATAGGCGGGTGCCATGGCACACGAGGAATTCTGCTATCCGAGGTGATCTGTGTGTCATTACTAGTAAAGGTGGGCGTACTGATAGTGTTGTCTGACTACTTTTGAGTGTTTGGTTGTTGGAATGAGCACATGTGGAGTGATTGCGTCGTTTCGACAAGGAATTGAATCGTAGAGTAAGTCGTCGCAACATTCTTGGCCAAGTCTACACACACAAGCGAATTAAGAGAAATATAAGTAAAAGAGTAGTGCCTGTCATGGCAGGCTAGTTTTTTAAAAATAATAATAATAATAATAATGTAAATCAGGCCATTGTGCTCAGGGCCCGTAGTCACAACGACAAAGCTGGGCTGAAAATATCAGTTTTCCTACCAGTTTCATTTATGGTCCGTTAAAGTTTTCCTTGAGCACAGGTTTGCTTCCGTTGCCAAGATCCGGGATCTCTGTGTATAGTCACACAAATCAAGAATATTGCTCTATTATATGAATGGCTGAAGTACTAGTTAGATGAAGAAACTAATCTATGGTAGATACCTCTTTAGATTATACAAACTATTTCATAATCGTACTTTTATTAGACAAGACGTCAACGGAGCGGAGTAAGCTTGACGGAAGTATAACTTGCTGCCGAGAAGAAAAAATACAGGGAATAAAACAGAACATATGAAGCAACTGTGATGGTAATTTTATAATATTACCTAAAATTGGTCTGGAATAAAGTAGATTGTCAATAAGCAATATATTTATGATTAATTTAAGATAAGTGGATACCAAACGATAACCATGACAGCATAGTCTACCTTTCTTTTTTCTTTATTTAATTAAGACATGAATGTATTATTCACTATTCACTTTACAACAAACTCACTCACATAAAATGACAAACTTATGGACAGTTAACCAGGATAATTTGAAGTTTTCACAGGACTTGTTTACGTCATGTTTATTACATTATTAACTTTAAATTGGCAGATACTTGAGCGATATATTTACCACAAAGATAGTCTCTTTCAAGACGATTGATAAGTCTACTTAATAGGACCTTCAAAAAGAAGGAAGGAAAGAAATGAAAAATGTAGTAATTAATTAAGGTTATATGCTTTGTTCCTATAGCAAATTAATCGTACGATAATATTTTTACAGCTAAATCTTGAAAGAACTATCTGACTAGTGTGGCTTAATAAACAGTTTGAAAACGGGGAGCAATTATATTACTTTTATTGCTGATAGGAATTTGAAGCCACTAAATATTCCTATGGGAGTCAACAAAGTGATCGACCTTTCGATACAAATACTTTTAACTTTTAAATATACACGGACTCAACTCTTCTCAATCTCTTAAATTCAATTAGCAAACTTAATTTGAGCTAGAATATAAAACGATTACCCATACTGTTTAGCAAAATGTGCTAGATCTAAGAAAATACGTTATCCCTGACCAAAGTCAAACGGAATTACTGTCACCGATATTACAGCAAGAGATATAAGAAATGCATTCTACCATATGCTTAAAGTATATAATATATAACCTATTTTACTAATGATCAAATTTTGAGACGAATGAAGGTATTAATCACAATAGTTTTTTTTCAATTATCGATAAATATTACACACAAATTGAATGATCTTACATATACAGTGAATACAGAAATACGAAATATCTTCGTGAAGGAAACGTAAACAGAAAATATCACATAATGGATATGCTATATCCATGGTCAAATCAAAGCTTATTCTCTCTATTGAGAAAGTTTTCAAGGATTGTATTTTAAGTAAGCACACAAAACATTTAGAGAAATGGTAAAAAGTTGTTATCGGGATTGTTGAATTGAGGTTCATAGTTGTCAAAAAAAACAGATCAAATAATGCTTAGTACCAACAATTAAAATTATTACTCCCAATAAATCTTGAAAAATATTTCTTTAACTTCACAAGGAGTTTATTAAGGTTGGCAAGAATATATATTTACATTAAAAAGTAATATTTCATAAAATTATATCGCATATATACATCTTTTTACCATCTATCTAAAGTCTCGGTATTTGTAGATTTGGTGTTGATTAATAAAATGCGCAATAATCTGGGTCGGTCTTTTTGTACAATAGGGGACATCAATTGTCAATATTCGTCGTTATTTGAGAAAACAGTTTGAAAAGTTCCTCTAGCCAATAAGACTCGTTTAGTATGGATTCCCTAATAATTGCAAAGAATACTTGTAAATTGAAAGTACCTTTTATTTTTTCTTATTTTTTTTTAATTTTCATAATACAAAAAAAAATTAAGTAGGAGCTATTTAATAAGTCAGTTATTTGTATTCCATACTGAAAGTGCAAAATGTTAAATAGTTTAATAAATAGATAAATATTTTGTTTTTAATATATCTCTAATAAGGAGTTATATCTTAAGTAGATATTAGTTCTTAAATATGGACTACATAGTAGCTCTCACTCATAAATAAATATATCCTTTGGGAGGCTTATATATTTCATATGTTGATAAAAGAATATGGGCGCATTTTTTGTTCAGAACCCGATGTTTATTTTATGCGCCGTGACTTTTACTTTTACGCCCAGATGGCTTTGACGAAAAAAAAAATTCTTTTAAAACGGGGGAGTGAATAGATTTTTTAATTTTCTTCTTTACTCGCGGTTTGTATCTTCTCCATTTTAATTGATACAGTAAAATCAGATATTATCATTCTATCTTGTACAAAGATGCAAGTCAATACTAAGCTGTGGTCCCGGTAATTATGCTTAATTATCGATGCGGTATAGAGCTTGTCAGTCTATGCCTCGCGTATTTCGTAGGGATCTGAGGGTTTCCTGCTATGCGTGTTCGATGTTAGATTGTAGTCATCTCAAGTCTTCTGCGCATGACGTGGCATTTGTAAGCGGCCTTAATTTCTCAACCTCGGTTGGGGAGAAGATCCTGTTGCATAATCTGATTGTAATGTCGATGGCGGATGCTGCTTTTTTTCTCTTATACAAAACGTGGGAAACTCTGAGGGTTTTCTGACTTAAACGCTTGGTGGGACGTAGTGGCGAACACACCTTACACTTTTGTGTGCTAGCCAGTGGCTCTATCTGCCTAGTGGCTTATTAAGGTGATAATAATCTCCAACCGAGTCTCTCTCGTTTTTGCGAGAGAATCTTGAGCCGACCATACCTCAAGATAAGCAATATTTTTATTTATAGCAGGTATGTAATAAATAAATAAAAACATTCATTGACAATATACTAATCTTAACTTTTTTGAATATTTAGATAAAGTAAAGCCAAGGTAACCACCTTGAACCAGCTCAGCAAAGTTCTTAGACTTGAGCGTTCACCTACTTTAATTGTCTTTTTTTTGTTTTTTTTAATCAATATATAAAAGACCTTAATAAAGTCAAAGTTACATATACTTTATTTAAACAAATGAAGTGAAATAGTATATAATATTATACGCGTTTTTTAAATCTATCTATTAAAGTCAACTCTAGTTTTGAATTACTCTGTCAAAAGATTAAAGACTCGCAATCTAATGCGTTTTGACACCCACAAAAAATAAAAGCAAGAGCATTGCTTTCTTCCTCATTTTAATAATCTAATCCAACATGCAAGTCACATCATTAGAAAACGTTCGCAGCTCATATTAAAGGTGTGATTCCTATAAACACGAATGCATTATGTACATCCATTTAACAGGTTTCGGTGCAACCCAGATTTCATCGGTGGTTACCATGAGTCTGACCAATGTCAAATGCACCACTAAAAGAGTTATTAAACATAATCTCGAAATCATAGAAAAGGGGTTTGAAGGGACTCATTTACCTCATATTCTAGGCTGTTAGCTTTTTTAAAGATGAAAATACTCGTCTGTAGAAAGACGATAATCAATTGTCTCAAGAGGTTGGGCTTCGGATCATATATCATAGCTCATAAGCCAATCTTGACAGATGACCAACGAAGGAGTATATTTTGGTTAATTAATTATAATTTACAGTCAAATGTGATGATAGAGAAGCCAAAGTTATCAGAGAAGTTGGCGAAAGGTTCAAGAAAGAAAATATAATCGAGGAAACCTAGTGAGGAAGGCGGAAGGGTAGTGTGATGATTTGGAGCTGTTTTTGAGCCGACAGTGATTAGAGTTTTTGGTATTCCTAGATGGTAATATACACCAAAATCAATAAGTGAAAACTTTGGCTTACAGCTTTCCTTCCTTCGTTCAAAAATTATTTGTGGGGACAGAGCAGGTACCTCGTATTTCAAGAAGAAAAAGCTAGCTGCCACACCAGCTCTTATTCAAGGTGGTGGAAAGGCAACCATGATGAGATTTGGATTTTAGCTACTGAACAGCCCAAAACCTGAATCTCAACATAATTGAGCGCCTCTGGTGAGCTATCAAGATATATACGAGTAATTAGATAGCCAAAATTATTTATTTAGATAATTTGAAAGTTGTCATGCAACAAGAGTGGCAAAGAATAGACGAACTTTTATCAACTCTGACAGGCAGTATGTAATATTAATACCAAGGAAGGTCATAACAAATATTAATATTTTATTTATTTTTATATTTCAATAACAAGCATGTGTATCATATTGCATTGTGTTTGAAGCTCGAAGGCTTTGGTGATGGACAATTGCATGTTGAAGATAGGCCATAATTTCTCGTGCGTTTTTTTAGGCTCAAAGGTCGAAATGTTTTTGACGGACTGTACATAATTGCAGGAAATAACAGGAATTGAAATTTAACTTTGCATATATGACAAAGTTATGAACCTTAAAACATTTCCTAAGAACTTTATATATTCCCAGTAATATCATATCTTTTAGAAAACATGATATTTAGAGCCCTAAACTTATATATTCTCTTTAATACTTTAATGACTTTTACGGGTACTGCCAGCAGCTTTTGCATTGCCCTAAAACTGCATACTTGAAAGAAAGCCATTTTTCTTAATCTTCTAATATTTTTTTTAAAAAAGGATTAAATCCATCAAATAATCGTGTATTTGGCTGATAAGATTAGGCTTGAATGAGATTGTAGAGTATTAAATAAAATTTATAAATTAGTTAATAATCTATACATCCTTGGTATCGCATAAGAAAGAAGTGTAAATAATAAAATTAGGAGACAGAAAATCAATATACACTAAATATTATTACTAAAAGTCATCATTGCGTTTTGTAACAAAGGCTAATAGAAGTCTAGATTGAATATTCGTAGATTTAATTGGGCATATAGACTTTTATTTGATTTTGTAACCACTCGAATAATTTTATCAAATTTCCACTTACAACTATCAGAATAAACAACAGTTTTCATTTCGATATTAGACTTAAGGCTTCAAAATAAACTTGGGGCGTTCTAAGCAAGTAATAGTAAGTTTATTTGACATTAAATTGATTCTAAAGTTATTGATACTCTTTGCAATCTTTTCTCTATAATGCGTATTTTCTTGTCTGTTCAAGGTTGACCACTCCCATGGTAAGCAGGTTCGATGCCTTATTAAGAAATTTTTGTAGGGTTTAAACAAGACTCCGCATTGGCCGCGTCAGCAACCGTCATAATTTAGATACCGCAAATGTAACGTCAACATATAAGATACAAGCATGGGCAAGGGCAAGAGGAATTAATTGATTAAGTTTCTTCCTTTCTTCAAACAATTTCTCAATAACCATAATGTGCTACCGTACTCCTTGTTCTAAATGCGGAAAGACTACCTGGGCCGGTAATGTCCCTTAATTACCAATCCGAATCATTACTAAATACATTTTTTTATATCTTAAGGTTGTGGCAAGCATATCGATCAAGCTCTCGCTGGTTTGAGCCCCGAAGAGATTTGCCAGTGCAAGGAACCTCAGCCTGAGAAGAAGTAAATCTCGCTCCACAAAAGCTTTTTACCTTTCCCATTCGATCGAGAAAACATCATGAAATCTAAATATATATATGTAACAAGGTGTTCAATCCAATAAACAGCCCATCTGTTTGGTTCCTATATTTTCCCAAATTCCATACAATAAACAAATCTTTTTTTGTTTTTCATTTCTTTTTTTTTTGGTTCCATGTCTTTTTCATTTTTATTTTTGATTTGCACCGTTTGGTCATTGTCTAAGTATTTAAGCGTTGAGGTTGTAAAGCATGTTGTTGCCACCCTCTCTGTTGCTGGGCAAGTATGTGACGTTACGGGAGTTGGCCAAGGTCTGTGCAATCTCCTTTGAGGCCTCAATACGTCTGAAAGCAATGATACTGTGGAGCCCAAAAACAAATAATACAATTAGTCATAATTTCCCAATGTACAAGATATATTATATATATATATATATTTAAATTTACCCAGCACCAGCCTTCTCCAAAGAGTCAGAAATCAATTCAGCAGCCTGAGCATCACCCTCAGCACGGATAATGGCAGCCTGTCTCTCCTGCTCGGCACGCTCGACAATGAACTTTGCACGCTCAGCCTCCTGCTGGGCAATCTGCTTCTGCTCAACAGCGTTGGTGAACTCCTTACCAAAGGTCATATGGGTCTACAAAAAAATCATGTTAGACAAAATCACAGGATGTATTATAGCTCAAATTACGTACAATAGAGACATCATCCAAAGCAATGTTGAACTCTCTGGCACGCTTGTAGAGCTCCTCGCGGATTCTGGCAGAGACGACCTCACGCTGGGTGATCAACTCACTAGCGTCGAACTGGGCAACAACAGCCTTCAAGACTTCGTTACCAATGGAGGGAAGAACTCTCTCATCGTAGTCTTGACCGAGGTTCTGGTAGATAGCAGGCAACTGCTTAAGCTCAGGGCGGTGGAGAACACGGAGAGTGAGTGAAATCATCTGCATATCCTTGGAACCAGTGGTGGTAGAGATGTTGCGAGGCTTGGTACGAGTATCGAACTGAATAGCGCGCTGGAGCCAAGGTACAAGGAAGTGAGTTCCCTCACCAACCGACAAGGGCTTGACACCCTGAATACGGTCAAAAATAACAGCACGGTGGCCACCCTGGACTATAAGTCAATGTGTCAGAAGTGCAAACTCTTTCTCCTTATTTTTTTTTTTAAATTTGAAATGAAGATTTTTGACCACAAAAATAAACTTACCATCGTACATGGCAGACTGAATGCCACCGATGGCAACGCTGACGGGAATGGCGTACTTGGCAATGGTCTGGAGCACGGCGGCCATGGTTGATTATGTGAGAAGAGGTGTGTGCGTTTCTGCGACGTCAACTAAAAAAATAATAACAACTACCCTAAAATTGCGTGACTGTTCTCTCCTGAGCAACAACCCCAGTCAGCAATTCTAGGCACACTACTTGAAGATCAAAGACATTTTTTTATCTTGATACATCTCTTCAATTGTGATATCTAATAGAAATGTATTTTATAAAAGAATACGTACAGAGTATAGCTTAAATTAATTAAAAGCGGGAAAACATAAGAAAAAGTACTGTAAATCGTTAATTTTGAATAAAAAACTTGGATTATTACAAGAGAATCTCTAAATTATTACCAAATACATCTCTTAAGTACTGTGTGCGCCAAACACAGTTTTTAATAATATATAGCGTTCATTCAAGTCCTCGTATTTCTCCGTAGTGCTAAAAGTCTTTGGATAAAATGTTTTTCTATTTTAACAATAAAAAAAAGATATCCCGAATTTCCATCATAACATCAACCATATACTTCTTCAATATAATCAACGCGTGCTGATGTGATTCCTTTAAGAATGCGCACAATAGCTTAGAACAGAGTTATTTTTCACCGTTTGAGAGTGGGATGTAAAGAAGTAAAAAGAGTAAAAGATATTCAGTTTTGGAAAAGAAAACCCTATCTCTGGGATTATCGCTTTTAAAGAATCCTTTGACAGGTCGGTGATTCATTTTCATTTTACTCTCACAGCCTGTCCCACCGCATCCTCAGTGGTTGGGTACACACACGCAAAAGTGCAAAAATACAATAAACATATATATACACCTGTGTGCATGTGTGTACATGCACGCGTGTATTCTTATTAGTGCACTGTGGTTTAGTGATAGAGAGCAAGAAGAGGCTTAGAGTACTATTTAATCTCCGTCAACCAAGGAAAGAGAAGCCAGAAGAGAATGAGACAAGACACCACCGCCAGCCATGAAGTACTCGGTTGAATCTACGCCGACGGCAGCCAGCAGTCTCCATCCTCATCTACACACTTCATTAACTATCGAACAACCTCAGACAAACTGTTACTTCGACCTTCTCTACGAATTGCCACCAAGTGTATTTGTGGATCCTAACCAACTTACTAGCCTTTATCGTCAAGTTGCGGTGTACGGCGAGACTGATTTGGAAGCACCACTGGAACATGTTCAAGAAAAACGGGGTAGTGTAGTCCATCTACGCTTCTCTTCATTACCTTCTGAAGTAGATCTTCCACTTCATCTACGCTACCAAAGTCCTTCAATTTACAGCAGCTATCGTCCTATTACCATTCCTCGCCCTCTCGCAGGCTGGACCTGCACCAATTCACCAGGATTTCCTCCATTGTTGACGAATACACTGACCCTCCTTCCGCACAATACGTCATATGCTACATTTGACCCTATTCCTCAAGAAAATTCTAAATTAACGCTTCAAGTACCCGTAGGTCGTGTAGGGGATATGAGTATTGTTGAAATAGGCACACTTGGATGTGTAACCTTGGGTACTTTGTGGATTATGGTTGCATTGTGGGCATCAATCATCAAAAGACGCCGATACGAAGCCAAAGGCAAGAGAAGAAAGTCAGAATAAGAATTGGAAAAAAAGATGTTTATTTGAAATACAAAACAATGCAAATAATATAATCACAGATCGATCAAAGGAGCCTCTTCAACATATTGTCTGTGGGCCTGTTGAGATATAATATGGAAAGCTTGAGGCTGAGGCTGGTTGTCGTGTGTAGTAGGTGGTGTGTACCCTGGGTTTACTGCAGGTGTAATCTCATGCGCTGCTGCCTGTTGAAGATATTGTTGAGAATATTGCTGTTGCTGTTGTTGCTGCTGCTGTTGTTGCTGTTGTTGCTGCTGTTGCTGTTGTTGCTGCTGTTGCTGTTGTTGCTGTTGTTGCTGCTGTTGCTGTTGTTGCTGTTGTTGAATATATTGACGTTGCTGCTGTTGATATTGCTGCTCTGCTAAAAAGCTTTCAGCTGCATGTTGTGAAGTTCGACGTTGCTGAGCCATCGTTTGTGCTGCCCTTTGTTGGTCACCAATATTTTGTTGTTCTTGTAATAGTCTCTGCTCATCAGTATACTGAGTTGGAACAACTTGTTCTGGTTGCTGCTTTACTATAAGGCGCGCATGTTGATGAGCTGCTAGTTGGGCTTGCTGCTGAGGGGTTAGTACTACTGGGCTGGTGCTATGTGGATAATGTCTTGGAAGCGGATACTGAGCTGATGTAGCGTCAGATGTAATTGGTGGGGTTTGTGGGGCTTGTGGAAATTGTGGTATGTTCGCAAAAGATTGGTTTTGTGGAAATTGTGGTGGTTGTGGAAAGGGAATTTGCTGTGAAGTCCCGTAGGGTTCATAGGGCTGGTGAGTACCTCCATTATAACCTGTGTAGGTAGCTAAAGATGGATGTGCTATTTTCTTCTGAGAGTTTGCAAGGCGCTCTTCCAATAATCTGTCGTATGAGCTGATGGCTGCATTTAATTTTTCATGAAACTCAATAAACATCCCTGAAAAAAAAAGCTAAATTTAGTCTTTCATTGTCCAAATTATATCAAATTCATGGTTCTTACTGTGTTTACGGCTAACTTCATCCAGATTTCTGACAAGTTTAGGCTGGAGAGTACCGATTTGTGTATACAAGTTGTTGACCTGTGTATCTTTAGATACATCTTCACCAGATGCATATATTCGCTCCATAAGAGTAGAGAACAATTGTATGTTTTCCATCTCTACAGTAACCATATCTGAATTTTTCTTTACGCTGCTCATCGACCCTCTTCCTCCTGAATTTTCTAAATCTTTTAAAGACGCAGCAACAGCAGCTTCAAAATCAATTTCTTCTTGTTCTTTTATCTGCTCAGTTGTCTCTGGCTCCTTAGTAAGTTTGGTTTTTACGTAGCCGCTTCCATGTCCTTGCATATTTTCAGCTTCCTGGAGTGAGAGTTCAATAGCCTTTTTTATATCGTCTTCAAAAGGATCAGAATCTACAGCAGCAGAGTCTGCAGTGGTAACGGTGGTAGTGGTAGTAGTAGTAGTAGTGGCTGCTAGCCCAGTAGTACTATTATTGTTGTTTGGACGTTTCTGTGGTTGTACAGAAGCGTGTTTTGAGGACGCATCCTTTTTTGTGATTTTGGCTAACTTGAGCTTGATATAACACCCATCGCATACTCTGACTTCCTCTGGAATAGCAAGATGTGGCAAAGGCATATTTTTTGATGAACACTGCTGGCAAAAAGTATCTCCGCATTGTCTGCAATGATGCTATAATAGTAGTATAAGCAAGTGCTGCTTATATTTAATCTATCTTACCTTTCTATTGGTCATTGTAAATGCAACTCTGCATCGCTCGCATACTTCAGAATCCGTCCATTCTGGTGGCTATTGTTGACAGTATATCAGTGAATTATATTATTTACACACTGCATAAATGTATATTTCTATAAGTGTATATACCGCAGATGTCTCCAGCATAATAGAATCAATGGGCTCAGTAACAGGTGGAAAAACGTAACCTTCTGCTCTTAATAGACTATATGTGTCTGTCATGTACGATAAGCTTGGTTTGGCCTTTGCTGCCAAACCCCATGTTTGTATGGCAGTCAAGATCCTTTTCTTGACGTCCAAATTACAGATAGCCTACAAGATTGATTGATGAGATTTTTTTTTATGATTTGTGAAGATAATATTGGTGTAAGCAGTGCTTACTGGAGATCTAAGAAGACGAGTAATTTCATCCATGTATTCTCTGCTTGCAATTTCACGCACAAATGGATCACCCCCGTTTTTGACACAGGTGTCTGTAAGCTATATTTATATTAGTTTGGTGAGTTTGTCTATTACACACCAAAAAAAAACTTACATTAATTGTCATCAAGACGACATTAGGATTCTTGTGGTTCAATCTACGCTTTAATGTTCGCATTGCATCTCTAGCATTCACACGTTTGCTTCGTATCTGGTCGCTGATATCAAGATAGAGAACAAGATTATCTTGACCGGTTGGAAGCAGCTCAGAGGTTGCATTCTCTGCTCAATTCAAATCAGCAATTGCTAATAGTAATAAATAGTAATCTTACCAACAAGGTCATCAAAAGCATTAGAACCCCACCAGGATGACATTGAAAAGAAAGATGATGTCTATTTAGAATCCCGACACCCCTTCTTTTTTATGCTCTTTTTTTATTTTTTATTTTATTTCGACCAAAAGAATTACACTCGTGACTTTGGAACACTTATAACTTCCAAGAAGGCAGGAAAGTAACGATTGAATTATAGAAATCCACGCGAGGATAATTTGCTACTTATTAATTCGTAGAAGACAAATTTAATTGTTTGTCCTGCCTAATTACATTTGACCATGTTAATTAGAATTGCTATTGCTATTGCTCTCTGTGCGCCATAATTGGCGTATGTATAAATTGCATTTACTTTTATCCAAGGAGCAAAATAGACATATTACTATACGAAAAAGGTTTTCAAAAAGATTGTTCAAATGAAATATCCTTATTTTTTTATGTAATCTCTAGTAAGGTTGCATAAACACTGTCATTAAGTCAACAAAGATTTCTATTTGAATACAAATTAATTAAGCGTGATAGTCTACTATTGATAGTGCAATTATATAAAAGCTACATATTTTACTGATCTTCAATATTATATGACAACTTATTGGGAGCCATACAGTCAATATCTTTTACAGAAAGGCATTTCATTTCAATATTCTCCATATTTTTAAATCAATTATAGATAAAATAAAATAAACCCCGCTAAGATAATGTCCGTGTTGCGCGCGTCGCGCCTATTATAGGTTAATTCATAGAAAAGAAGCGCGAGACTGACAAGTCGCCATACCAAACAGCCAAAGCGGGGAGGCAAGAAAGACTGACCGTCAAATTATTTTTTACAATCTTGAACAAACACAACAATGCACCGGGAATCCAGCCCTTCCTCATCAAAACCAGGGCGCTCCTCTTCTTCCTCTCAATCACCACTACCATTTAGACTTTCTCTCTCTAAAAAACCAAAAAAACTTGGTTCCGAATCCACAGCAATTAGCACTAGTGTAAGTTGATTTCCAGAACAAATTTAATGATTTTTACAATGATCATTTTCCTAAAGATCTTGGTTCTAATTCAATCTTTACTTTATGTTCTCGAAATAATTTTAATTTTAAAATATTTCTTTCTTTATGGATTTGCATTTATTACAGTCTAAACAAAATTCGCCTGATGTGTCTGAAAGCTCTTTAAATAGTACGATCAAAGCCAAGGATGAGGATGACGAAGACGATATCCAATTTGATTCAATTACGCCTCGCATAAATACCTTAGACACAGACGGGGAATCTATGGATACTTCAGAAAACAGTTCAGAGGATGAATACATTGAAGATTCTGCAAAAAAAAACATTTCAAATAGAATCAAACCAGATATTTCATCCGCAAAACCTCGTCCAACAGTTAGAGATACAAATTCTGAAAGCAAATCGGCACAATCGACGGATTTACAACCACTGTTTCTAGGTGAAGACACATTTTCAGAAGCATCTGTTAAAGAATGGCAGACTCCACGTATAAAAGCTTGGGAATCCCGCAGATCGGTAATTTGGCTTGATATGGATTTATTTGATCTTTCATTCTTTTTTTTGGGAATTGCTAATTTGGTTCTATGATTATAAAGACTCCAGAAACATTTTATTTCAGATTTGTCGGTAAGGTTAATTGGAGAATGTATATGTGTATGTGTATTCTATCTTTATTAACATAATTGCATGAAATTTAGCTCCTGGAGAGGGACAAAGTAACGGAAAATGGTCAAAAGAAGAACACAAATGTTTTATGGACCGATATGAAGAGTGGATTGCTAGTGGGCGGAAAATGGGTCATTCTTGGGGATTATTTAGTATAAAAATTCCTCACAGAGTAAGATCTTTCGAGACCGAGTGTATATACTACGTACTGTGATGTATTGACATAATGGATAGGTGGGCTATCAATGCATGAACTATTACCGAAGACTAGTAAGGAGAGGAGAGATCAAGGATAATGCATATGACACTACAAATGGTGTATTGAAGCACGTTGGCAGAGAGCGAGCCAGTGTTACGATAAGCAGCACGGAACTGGGACCTGAATGGGAAACAGAACATGTCAAAAATATAGAAAAGAATGTCAACAACTGGATAAAAGAGTTTCATAATAGTACTGGAAGGTAATATGAGATCCAATATTAAAAAAATAGGTATTGAGCTTTGAACCATTAATTGTTTTGTCTGTATTTTTTTTGCTTCTGCTTTTATAAAATGCAGAAAACCATCAGGCAAATCGAAAACCGAAAAACTCGTAGTAAGGCGTAGTGTACCAATTGGCGACCTTATTAAAGCGCAACCAGCACGAAAGAGAAAGCGAGTTTCGGAAATAAATCCAGACGAAGAAGATTTTATGGAAATGCAGGAGGATGAACCTGAGAGAATGAATGTCTCAACACACCCAATCGATTGGGAAGAAGGGTGGAAAGAACGTCTGGAGAACTACAAGGATTTTATGAAGTAAGCCTTGATACAGCAAAAACAGCAAAAACTAAAAAAAAAGCCTATACATATATTTCTATTAGACCCTTTCTCGATACAGAAACCAGAGAAAATTATTGGCATGCAAAACAACGGTGGCGTCAAGGGCTCGTTACAACAGAAATGTATGTGTGATAATTAATATGAGTAAGCAACATGACGTTGTGATTAAACAATATTCTGATAGGTTATTAGCGAAGAAACCAATCCAAAGACTAGTGCCTCAAGAAACTACTGAACCAATTATCAAACCTCTCGCCAATCGAATGCAAGCATCTCTTTCTCGTTTCTTTGCTGGTGTCAAAAAACTAAAGGTGGATACACCCGAAGAATTGATTTCGAATGTCAGAATTCCCAACGATCTATTCAGTGGTGTAAGACACATACTACCTTTGAAAATGGCAATAGAGAAGAAAACAGGAAGAACCAAAACAATATATTATGAAGTTGATGATATCATGGACTCAATCAAAACTATTGATGAAGTGTTGGAAAATGTACCAGAACACTTGTCTCATCAGTCTCCGTTAGAAGGTGTTCTTGTAGACCCACCGTGGGAATTTTATGTAAACGATGGGCGTAATGATGGGCGCTGTACGTGGAATCTGAAAAATATGGTAAGCTCCTACATATAAAGTATTGATAATTGTACTAAAATGCGAATGATAATAATATATGTATATTTGGTGTTTCAGGCCATGTTAATGGACAAGATTCTGGATAAAATGACAGCAGGGCTCATATTTATATGGACACACAAGTTAATCCAGGCGGATGTTGTCAAGCTAATGTCTACTTTAGGTACATACTATGGTTAATGCTTACAACGGTATGCTTATTATTCTTGTCTATAGGCTGTAAATACGTTGAGAATCTTGTGTGGTTCAAAAAGTCAGTTAACAATGTTCAGTTGGATCAACCTAGCCCTTATATCAGTTCAGCCAAAGAAATTCTGCTAATGTTTAAAAAGGTGTGTGAAACAGCACAAATGTATAATAAAAGGAGCATACAAAGCTTATAAGACGATTATATTTCTAGGGAGAAGGTTTTGAATTGAGGCATCAACGTTCAGCAGATGTTATTATTGAATTTGAATCACCAAGGGAAGAATGGATTCATGATGGTAAAAAGCGAACTAAATATATATATAAGAAATAAGGATATTCGCTAATGTTATGATATTTCGTTTTATAGAATATACTGAGCCAAAACCTAATGCTGTATACGAAATGATCGAAACATTATTACCAAAGGCTGCTTATGATGAAACGCTGGGACGTGGCCGATTCTTAGAGCTGTAAGTGAAATCCCTATTATGATATATTTAAAGAAAACTGTGTGAAAAGTACTGAAAATGATGTTGTAGATGGTCTAAACGAGTTTCTCCAAAGAGAGAAGGGTGGATCTCATTTCATCAGAAAAAGTATCCTTTGGTAATGACAGCCGATCCTCAAATACAAGACACTGAAATGTGTATAAAAGATGAATTCAGCAACATGTCAATAAAGGAATATATCAAGAACGAAGATCGAATAATGGATGAGGATATGTTAGAAGGATAAAATAAATACAAGAGATAAATAAAAATAATAAAAATAATATCACAATCAAAAGAGTATCTGTCTCCATCAAATGAAAGTTCATTACTTATCATTTTGTGTGTGCTTTGGATGTCGTCCATTTGTTTTTATTGCTAATGAGAAATGAATATCTGTGTCTTGAATAAATCATTCAAATAATATTTCAGTGTGCTTTTCGTATAGTGGATGATATAGAAGAAATGACCCAGCCTAATCTACTCAAGATGCATGGCATCCACAAGGGAAGTAGTCATTCTGTTAAGTGTTTCTAAAAGCATGTCAACGATTTGAGAAAACCAAAATTGTCTTTTTTTTAAAAACATGTACGACTTACCTTCTACATCCGCCAATGAAGTATCCTTTTTGGCAGCCACCAAATATATCTCCGTGTAATCTTCAATACTCTTTGTGCGTACACTATCTATTGACGAGCGGCTAAAATGCTCTTCAAATGAGCATCCCTTGTCTTCTCCACGATTGTCTCCATTCTTCTTGTCGTTGCTATTTTCTTGGTCTGATGCTTCTGATGTTGAAGTTGTTTCCGATGCTTTTGGCACATTATCCGTCTCTTCTGTTGAAGTTTCTGTATCATTTGCTGGCTTGTCTTTTGTGTCTTTTATGTCCTCGTTTTTTCGATCTCTTGTTAGTACTGTGTTGTAAAGCCTGTGTCCCGCAATCCAATAGTTGGCTATTGAACGTGTGTATATTTCGGTAGTGCGAGGTAGTCTAGATCATACTCATAAGCACACCATAATATATAAAAGAAAAGTTAAGGAATTTCACAGCAATGTTACCTTTCAAAATCTTCTTTGAGGTCCAGTAACTGGAGAAGCATATCGTTGGTCATTGGAATACCCCCTACAAACTTTCCATCGTTCTGATACTTTGAGATAATCCGACCTTGTTGATTAACCATTGTAGATTTCATGTTGAGGGTAGCATTGTCATAATAAAAACATTTATAATGTTTTCCCAAGGAATTACTATAGTATCCATAGTATTATTATTTTAGATACAGAAAAAAGTACTATTTATACAATAAGTGTTTACCTCTTTTCTTGAGCACTTCTGACATTGGAAACAATGGCTTCAGTAATCCCATTCAGGTTCTGCTCTTCTACCATGTATTTTTCTAACATGCTGTAGAATTTTTGATCTGCTAATAAATCCTCGGCTTCTTGTGAAAATGAAGGAAGCAAGAAAGACCATACAATATTGGCTTTGTGCTGTTATAAAAAAAGGTGTAAGTAATCTCTTTCTTTTTATAAAAATTATTAAAGAATAATAATTGTAGATATATTGGGCTAACCTTGTAGATGACTAAGTAATATTCTGTCAAGATTTCATCTTCATCATCTTTGGAATGTCCATAAGTGCTGTTGTGTGGTTTGTCAGGGGAGGTATCAAGAGCAGACCTGCTGCTAAGATATACTTGTGCCATTTCTATACGAGTGACTGTCCTCTCATCTCCATTCATGTCGACTGAAGTTGACTGAACAAGACCTGTTAGATATTTACCATTTTTTGGGTTGATATCCATTGTGTCAGGGTTAGCATCGGCTTCTATTTCTGGCGCAGCCTCTGCTGTGTCCAAAAGATCGGGAAGGGAGGTCTGAGACCCTACAGCTGAAACAGGTGCAGAAGTAACGGGAGCCGTTGTTTTAGTAGACAACGAAGAAGTAAAGAATCCCAGGAAATGTGATTGTGAAATTGACTTTGTAAAGAACTTAAGGCCCGAGATCTATCGGATTATATGACACTTTAGACTCAAGAATTAAGCGTGGAGTTTGATTATTCCAAGACATGCCTTATCTTTCTTGGCATCTGTCAATTCTCGGTCTGCTTGTCTCTGTTTGACTTCTTTCTCTCGGGCTATGCTCTTCTCGATACGTTTAAAGACATATTTTCTTAGTGCGCAGACATCTCTTATGTTCAGGGATGGGGACCTGTAAAGTAACCCCCCTTCATCTGAATCAAATACAAGCACATGATCTATGGACTGGTTGAATCTCTCGTGAAGGGCACGATCCAACTCATGTACTTTGAGATAGTTTGTTCTTAATATAGGTTGCACAGGAACACCGTTGAATACAGCCGAGAATACCATAGTATCTAGTCGGTCAAAATCCCATTTCCATATCCACTCAGAGAAGAACTCTTCGATGCAGTGCATGAGAGATCGAGTTCGCTGTCGGCTAGGAAGACCGCTTATATCTTCGTCGTCTTGATAGAGAATATACGAGAATGTACCATGAAGGAGCTAGAACCCAAGGATATTTATGCCTATAAGTATTCCCTTTCTAGATCTATTATCAACCATTACTTTGAACTGCTCATAACCAATCTTCAGTACAGACTCAAGCGCACGGTCACTCAGTTGGGTATCTAGATATTCAGTGACAAGCTTTTCTTTTCCTTTTGCGTCTCTAATCTGTCTTCGAAGGATACCGAGCTCTACGCACATATACATCCAAAAACCAGGTTCTGGTTGAAGAAATATCATGCGGTTCTTCTGTGTGTGGACATTCTGCGTGGGCTTGGAAGGTGAAAAAGCGCTGGTTTTGAACAAGGACAGTGGAGTGTCAAGTGCCTTTATGATTTCCGTATTCCTTCTTATCAACTTACGAAGTAAATTTGACCAAGGCCTGAGCTAGGCCAACTTGTTTCATCTTAACATCAGCTGGGACGACTCGCTTGGCTGTATAATATAGGATCTGGTCTTTTGTGTTTTCTTCAGTGGGTCCGAGCGATGGATTGTAGACACAAAAGTAAGAAAGCATAGGAGACGTCTTGCCTAGCATGGGAGCATGAAGACCGTCATCCTTGTTAGCTGATTGGCTTTCTTCATGTAGTGATTGCGTAGTCATAGTAGAGCTGAAAAGTGATTATGTTTTTTCTCTTTGTACTTGTCTAAAAGGGTAATTTTTCTATCTGTCGCTTACCACAGACGCGGTCAATGCAGTGACATCATTGGACGGCAACTGTCCAATCAACCAGTGGTTCTTTGTTCCCCAATTACTACCAATTATTAGTATTATTGGCTATTTTGATGGCTGAATGGATTAACCAAATTAAATACTTTTATATATATATATTAAAGAGGTATATTGAATCGTGTATTTTGATGGTAATGATTCTTTCGTTTATTGCTACCAAAGAAAATGTCTGTGCTTGTATCCCAAGTATGAGACCCCGACATACAATGGACAGATAGTTTGGATCTGCAAAACCCCTTGGTTATATCTTTTCTACATCTTGTTTAACTATACAAATTAAGATATACTATGCGATTTGCTACAATAAGAGTTAGCCATTGATTCTAATTTTGGGCGTCTCCTATTTTTATTCTTCAAAGATCTATAGCTTTTGAAATATAATGCAAGTTACAAGAATATCAATATACAGTCTGGTAGGTTGTAGGATAGCACATATAAGAATCCCGGTAAAGAGTAAATATACGTATGATCGCTACCTTTATGTTACTATATTCTCTCTGCTTAAAATACAGCATCAAGATGGCTTATAGGAGAAGTTATATACTACTATTTTATAAAGACATATCTTTCTACTATATATTTCTTTTAATAATTTCTTTTAATACACTGTCTGATATTTCAGTGGGACTTTTTCCTGCTTAACCAATTACGTCAAAATCTTCCATCTTGAGACTTTTTTTTTAATTATTCATAACGATATTGACGATTGTTTATATTTAGTGCTAAAGAGGCTTATATACTATGTCAGTACACAGCTTCATCCAGCCAATAGATTATACTACCTCTTTCATTGGGCTTCATCACATAAAGAATCATTCATAACATTCGTCCGTATATGCTTCTCCTTCTTGAGATGTTCTCCTTCAAATATCGTTCTTTGATTTTTTACAGGACTTGTAAAAGTTCTAACATTTTTAGTTTTGTATAGCGGCATACTGAGAGGTTATCTAGAAAACTTGTCCCAAAGATACCTCACTACGTTTGTAAGATATTTCATTACCAGGGTCAACAGATAGGAAGATCTTGTTAACATTTTCCTTTATCTGAGATTGACAATCTAAAAGACATTACATTGTTAATGAAAATAACAGCAAGCAAATAAAAATTATATATGTCTCATATTAACGTATGACTTGATTGTTGACTTCTATTATATCTTTCTCATTAATAAAAATGGAGGTGCAGGAAATTTTTGTCGAACGACGGTATTTGTTATAATGAAATTGCAAGTATTTTATTCGCCCAGCTGCTACTGGGAGTTGTTTAGAAGAAATATTGCTTATATAACATCGTTCACGTTTATGGATTGAATCAATTTTGGCTTCATTTAATAATTCATTTTCTGGGGTACTAATTTCTTGTCCATAGAAGACACACACCACTTGAGAATGAGTAAGCACAACTTATGAACTTGACAACATTCTTGTAATGGATGTGGTAGATGTGGTAGACGCAATAGAAGGAGTAAAAAAAAAGAGATGAATAGACGGATACAATGTACAATGATGAAAATTGTTATTTTTGGATTATGTTCCTAATAATTACACCTGTCCTATAAATATTTCGCTGATGGTCTAGCGATTATACTCGTTTCTGAAACTTTTGTATTGAGGTGGCCTACGAAATGGACTTAGTTCCATCAAACATTATATTTTTAAACACGAAATACTGTATTTTCACTGATAATTCGCCAACTCTAAATAGATTATTCACACATTGATAAGTAGCTTATATTCCCACAAAATTATAAGGATAATCTCATTGAAAGTATAAAAAAAAATTCTGAAAAAGGTCAAGAGGTCCAATTGTCAAGATTGGATCCTTCATTCTATAGCTTTCTTTCCTTGCTGTAGGGATAGAAAACTACTTCTTTAAGTATTCTAATAATAATATTGTATGAAAATGCATTTATCAATGTGTGAACAATATATTTAGAGTTGGCGAATTATCAGTGAAATTACAGCATTAAGGAGTAACTGAGTAATCGTTATTTTCAAAAGTCCTCTATAAACCGTTCCCGTGCTTTCCACAGAACTGACGATAATTCAGCCAATCAAAACTATAAACACGTTATAAAAGCTGGAACATTACAAAGAAAATATCTCTTTTTTGTTGCTTTACCATAGTCCAATGTCTATCGAACCTGAAGTCCCCTACGATACCAGTCTACCCGATGAAGATCCGGGGACCTGGAGGGATCCTGTTATTCTTCCTGATCTCAATGCCATGCGCATTTCAGGTTATAATGATGGAATTTCAAAATCTGGATTTCGCGAATCTTCCCAACCTGATCGAATCCCTGATGACTATTGGATCCTACCACCCAATGTAACTGTAGCTGACATACTTGGCCATCAAAGATCAAGAGTCGATGCTATTCGTGCTAGGACAAACACGTACATTAGTTTTAATGACGAAAAGCACCAAATGGACATTTGGGGCGAGCCTTCTGAAATTATCAAGACCAAGGAATTTTTCAACGAACTTATCCAGACACTGCCTAGACACGAAGATAAAAAGAAACAGCCTTCATGGGGAAAGGCCGAAAAGGAATTGACTGGCAAAGCTAAACTAAAGAAAGAAAGACGCGAAGCAAAGAAAGCCCTGGAAAAGAGTTTCCAAGGGCTACCGATAGTCCCCCAACCATACATAAGCTCATTTGCTATCCCAGATTTTTCACTTCCAATTCCAAAATTAGTTGGTGAAAAGGAATCGTTTCTTAATACCATTAGAGCAGAATGCAAATGTTATATGTGGTATGAAGAACGGTTGAATATAATTCGTATTTCTGGCCAAAATGAAGAGGCTGTTAAAAAGGCATCAGCGCGAATCCGAAATTGGTACTTAAAGTGTTCAAGAAGACCCAGACCCTGTTCTCTCAGGCTAGTCAGTCAACCATCCAAAAATCTTATGGTCAGCTTCAGGGCACTTCCTCAAGGTTTTATGACATATTGCTACGCTGATCCAGATACGGAAAAGACGATGCTGGAAAAACAGAGACTTGTAGAGCCAATACAGACGGGGCACCTGAGAATGTTAGAAAACCTAATTGAACTTGATGATCATCAGCCTAAAACGAAACCTGAAAATACTCTTTCCGAAAGTGTCGCAACACTTGATAAACACAACAGAGAAGCGATCCAAAGAGCATTAGACGAAGGATTAGAGAGCCTGAGGCTGTTTGACTGGGAGATACGACTGAAAGTTCGGTTTGGACAGATCTGCTTAGTTGATTACCCTAGCAAGAAGAGACTTTTTTCGATTGAAGAACTCTCGGGAAAAATCTTCCCAGACCCCAAGTTCTATTCTGTACTTGCTCCTTGCATTGGAAAGACACGCGAAAATATGGATAGACTCTTTGAGTACCTTTCAACCAATTGTGAAGAATATTCGGATTCTCCTCGAACATCATTTGCTATCGAAGCGCTTCAGTACCCTACATGTGCTTCTCCACCAACCAGTCGACGTACAGACGGTCCCCCTAAGGCACGCGGTGATCCATGGAGAACAACCGTTACTGCAAGCTTTACTAGTGATGGACGTGTAGGTCTGTGGAACTGTCTGGCGGAGTGTGAAGATCTTGTTACTATTAGCTGTGTGAACCTTGAGAGCGAATATTCCTGGGAGACCAAATTAGAATACGCGAGAAGACTGCCTACCGAAGTTAATACCCCTCACAGTATGTTTGTCAGCAAACTTCGCTTAAGTGCTCAAAACCGCCTGGTTCTGGTGAGCGTTCCAGAATATGCCCCCAAAATTGTAACCCAAAAGACAAAATGGGTTTATGGGTGGGGTAAATACGTTGTTGAAGTTGGAAGAGACGAAATATGGGATATCTCCCGGGTAAACCGCAGTGATCTTGCACTACCATTAGATCTTGGAATGACAGAGCCGCATCGTGTCTTCTATAAAGTATCACTTTATAAGGAAGAATGGCGCAACAGGTTCTCAGAGAACCTTAACCTGAAGATTGGAGAGGCACCCAGATGGACAACTAGTGACTTCCTTGCCAGTGAGACGGAGGATGCACATTTGCTAATGGAGATCGCCAAACAGTTCGCAAACATTCTTACAAAAGAAGTTCCTGTTTATTGGGCTGGTAACAACAATCAAGCATCTCTTTTCTAGAATAATATATATATATATATAATGATAAGGTTGTTTGCTACATGTAAATAAAATATGAATACACAAATGCTTGTATGAAATTGAAGCGTGTACCCTTGACTTGATTAAAATGATCAATAACACAAAGATGATCTTGTCAAATATACCCAAAAAAAAAGTCAGAATTGCTCCAACAATGAAATTATGCAACGTAAACAAAAAAAAATTCTATTGGATAAAATCGATGTGCTAATGGCTTACCCCTCGTTCAGTAGAATGGGACTCTCAAACTTCATTAACGCGTGTCCCAATGTAATAAATTAGCATCCGAATAGTTTATGTAAAACAATGTACATAATACCAAATACAATTTTTGTACTGTTCAGTTCATCTCTTTTTTTTGTTTTGTTTCAAAATATACATATGTCTTGGTATATGTTTTCGAGATATTATTATATGAAAGTATCATCATAATTATATAAATATGTCTTACTAACGAAGTCTAAATATTCAACTCAATACAGAAGTGGACAATTGACAATAATATCTCCCAATTTCAAGTATTTATGCATTTATATACTGATGTTTGTTTATTCAGGTTTCAAATAAAGAAAAGGGCTAAATGAAAATTGAAAGAAAGGTGTTTCCTTTCATTTGGTATTATACATTGCGGACGTACATTTGAAACTCGTATTGGTACTCTTTGTATGTTTGAACCCCTTTTGGTACCTCCTGTTCTACGTATGCTTCTAGCTCTTCATGGTTTGCTAGACGATATTGATCTGGGTCAATCTCTGGGAAGAAGACATCACAGTCCACTTTGTTGAGTACGCGTGTCAATAGGATATGAGTGCACTCAGGTTTTTTAATACCCATAGAATACATCTGAGCACCTCCAATTATAAACACCCGAGAGGGATTCTTTGCTTCAACCACCTTGAACGCTTCTTCCATTGATCCGGCCAAGACTGCGGCCTCAGTATGACTTTATGTGTGTCAGCTTTACATAATACATACACCCACATATATATATATATATCTATGTATATTCTAAAGAGAGATTCTTACAGATCATAGTTGAGATTTCGAGACACAACCATGTTGAAACGGTCTGGAAGTGGGCGAAACTTTTGGGGGATGGATTCCCAGGTAACTCGACCCATAATTACGGCATTATTTGACATGCCTTTAGATTCGCGTGGAATAAGTGTAGTAGCATGTTTAAAAAAGGCCATATCTTTAGGGATTCTCCAAGGAAGACCGCCATGCACACCAATGCCGAGTTCATTAGTAGCTGCTACAATAAGGGCAAATCCAGTCATTAGGGGAAACAAAAGGAAACAACTAAAGAAATCGAAAATGGCGACCCTGTCATATTTAACTGTCACGTTGAAGTGAAACTTCGACTTTGAGTATGAATGATGTCAAAGCAAGATTAACACTTGAGAAATTATGTTAATTATTGGACATCGCTTTAATGATGTAAGAATATCTTAGAATAGGCGCATTTGTTTTGATTGCTGACAAGCATGTTCATATATAGAAAGGAAAATTTGTCTTTATTGTGTCCGAATCAGGATATGATCCAAAGGAGATCACGGCGGAAGAGATGTTAAGTCTCGATCCCGAATTAATTGAAATCTATCAGATTTTTGGGATGAATAAAAGGGAAAATCTCATTACCTGTGAACCCCTTCAACCAAAGCTTACTTCGATGATCTTCGACTATCTTGACGTAGGGCATGGTAAAGGAGAGGGGAATCAAGACGTAAAAAGACGACTGCCAAACTGATACGTTCACAACTAGATATAGCTGCTATGGAAATCATGGAGGCAGCAATTAAAGCGAAAAGAGAACTTCCGATGTAAGAAAGGCTGAAAAGATTATTTGGGTGGATGATTAAGCTAATTATCTTATGTACGTATTATGGCCTATAATTTTCCTTTTCATTTCTAGCCAATTCTTGTTCGCTCTTATCAATAGGATACTTACGCCGCCTATCAATGGAACATATCGATCTAAGAGCTCCCAGTATATTTTTGATGGTTGCGAAATGGCACAAAGAATCTTGAAAAGTGCATTAGAAGTATTTGGACCGCTTGCGTTTCGTGGTCTCTGGTCAACCTTTGAAATACAGAGCAAAAGATACAATTATAATAAGCGGAATAGCGAAGAAGAAGCTGAGCTGGTTGAAATTAAATGTGTTCTAGATGAATATTTTGATTTGTGGGATTTTGTTAAAAAGAGCTTCACAATAGATCCCAGCGAGAATGAAATGAAAAGAAAGGTAAATATATAAGTGTGGGCTATAGCAATCCCAGAGTAAATTGATTGATTTTCGATCGGTGGGATAGTGTCGTAATATGGTACTCGAGATTTTGATATGTATCATGGAGAAAGATGTACAGATGCGCATAGGTATGTATAAACATTTCGATAGATCATCAAATGCTATTTTCTACCGAGACTTACTGGATTTCTAAAGAAAACTATGAGGAACTTGGAGAATGTATATTTCTATCAACTATCCCAAAAGATGATTTTGGAAACCGAACCCGCTTAGGCCCTTACCTGGATATTCTTTTTGATGTTTTTCAAGAAACAAAAGACTATGAGATTAATCAGGTCTTTTACATGGAGTCAATAGATATGGCAGGCCGACTTTTGAATATTGTAAGACCGGGAGTTAATCATATGATTCTCACTAAATTATCAGTGCGGTATTGCTTACATTGTTGCAAAGCTCATTATTCTTTCCTATTGCGACCAACTTGTTGACACTTCATCCATGATTCAACAATCTTACCAAAGGATCAACCGACTTGATAACGATGCTTTTAGCAATATTTTGCAGGTAACCACATGTTTTCGTGCATGTACAAACTTTCTCTAAATAACTTGTAATAGGTTATTTCATGTACAACGTTCTTATCCGAGATTTGTGACAGGATCTTGATTGACTCGGATTTTTCGCTTGCTGACGAAGAGTACAAGTATTTACGAAGAATACCTGGATTCAGACTGGACAAGATGTTTCATCTTTTTATGAAATCTCGACCTTTAAACATGGAGTACATGTCAGACATTTATCGACATGTCTTGGTAATTATTTGGCGTTATAGGTGTTATCTTGGTGAATCGACGATGCGGTACAGTTCTTTGTCGGATGATACTATATCCAAAGTAATTTCAGGTATTTCAAAACGGCATTGCCGAGAAGCCGCAATACGCGGCCCTCCCTTTGTTCGTAAATGGGGTGTTCACGTAAAAGGAATGATGGACGAAGTGTGTGGGTTAAGACCTTTGACACCAAAGGAAAAAGAGACTAAGCAGAAAATTGAATGGGCAATTGAGTTGGCCATGCTAAATCTGATGAGCGACAATACGCAATATGGTCTTCTATAAAAGACTTTCACATATATATACATATATACATATATACATATATACAACCAATTTTATTGAACTATAATTTTTTTTCACTCGTTCTTTGTCTGTTTATTATCATTATCATTGTTATTTATCTACATTTATTCACTTCTCATTCCCTTTATGAATACGTCTTATCATACACCATGCCAAAGAAAAGACAATTTTAGTAGAAGATTTTTGCAAGAAATATCACACTTTTACCTTACCTTGTTTTTGCAACCAATACAAAGCACATTTTCTCTCCACTCTCAAAGCAGTACAAAATACATTTCTATACACACTTCCGGCCACCAATTTTTCCCGTGGTGATAGTCGTTAACACAATACATAAAATCTTCTTATATCTATACCTTTAAAAAGTTGGAATATAAGCAAGTGACTTAAACTCTGCCTTTAAATTCTCTGTAAATATTCTAACCGCTTTACAACCACGTCACTTAAAGTCTACTATCTATTCAATAAACTGCTCAATTTATTTTTACACATTAATGGTAATATATAGTAGCTAAGATTTTCATAGTAAAGATGTACATAAAATTTGAGGGGAACAGGGGAGCTCTACTTCCAAAAAGTATGCTAATTATTTATTAATTTATTCTATATAGGTCTATGAATTCATCACAAAAAATATGTGTGTGTCCGAATGCATTTATGTGTGTATGGATGAATTTATGTGTGTGTGTAGGTAGATTTATGTGTGTCTGGGTGGATTTTGAGTACCAGACATGGCACAGCGGAGGTACAAATATTAAGAAAGGCAAATTGAATAGGAAGAAAGAGTCTTTGTCGATTGATATATTTAAGCATATTATTCTATCTCTTTAACAAACAACACTCTCACAATATCTACTTTTTATAATCTTAATATACTAACCCAAAATCAGTTCCGACCACCTCGTATATTTTTTAATTGTTTTTTTTAAATAAATAACACTCTCACAGTATCTATTCTTTCTAATATTGAAATACTTATCCAAAATCAATCACAAATACTTTAATTACAATACAGTATAATATTTAAATAAAATTATAACTTGGAATAAGAGGATCAATTACTTGCTGTCAAATAATAATAAAAAATGAAAGACTATTTGAAAACTTGTAAAAAAGCAAAAAAAAGTAAAGTAACATAATTTAAATTTCAAATGCCCAATCTTTTTGGTAGATTTCAGAGCATTTTTGGAACTCAAACGATCTAAGCTGTTTTTAGTAATTTAAAAACACCTGGGAGCGTGGCATTTTTGTGAGGCTAGCAATTCTCGTACACAAAAAAAATGCGGTGGTGTTTTAATGTTTTATTTCTCCTAATGTCGTATAATCAAAAAAGCAAAATTTTATGACTTCGGGATTAAAATCTTACTTTAGAAAAAATCTTACTAAACTGTCTACTTTTCTATGTGCTACAAATAAAGTAGCAAAAGACGTCGGCAAGTGAAAATTAAATAATTGGATTTCACATAGTGTTGCCCTTTGGTGTGTGTGTGTTATGCTTTTTTTTTAGAAAAAAAAATAACTAAATCATTTTAACTCTGCTTTGTACTATCTATGATGTAGTAAATATAAATTAGTGTTGCCAAAAGCTTTATTTAAATGTATAACTTGTTAGTGCGAAGAAAAAATGCCAGCCAGTACAACATATTACAATTAAAATACTCTAGTGAGTACAATATTGGCTTGATAGAGCTAATCTTCATTTCAGTTAACATCACCTCACATTTGCTTTCACTGTTTGCCAGAATTCTTTGGATTAGTAAACAAGTCGTTCTTCATTTATGCATTTTATTTTTATTATTTATTATTCTTGAAACCCACATTCAACGCATAAAGAAAGGATATGTTTTCTAAGTTTTTCTGTCTCCTCGGATGGTTTAATAAGATAAGACCTCTCCGCGTACCCCAATGCTACTTCATATTTTCCCAGATCAACGTTCAGCTAAAATTATCATCATTTTGGTTACTCAAACTCACATTAATATGCCTTATAAATAGAGAGAGAGAAAAGAGTACCTCTGCCATGGTATTTAATACAATAGGATGATGTGGATTGAGTCTGATCGCTTCGGCTAACATTGGAAGTGCTTCATTAAATTCACCCATGGCTTTATGAGCCGTCGCCATACCATACCTATTGTTGTTGTTGTTATTATTATTATTTTACTTGCCAGTATTAGCTTCTATATGTGTGTCCATATGTATTTGAGCTCTTACCAGCCGACAAAAGAGCGCTTATTAGCGAGAATACATTTCATAAATTGCGCTTTAGCATTCAACCATTTTTTGCTATCAGCTTCTTCACAGCCCAATAAATTGTATCCATAAGATCTCCTGGGGTCAGCTTCAACTGCCTTTCTGTACATTTTAAAGGCTTCCTCGGTTCCTCGAGCACATTTGGCCCAATTTCCAGCAACAATGTACCCTTCATACTTGTGCGAGCTATTATGTTTGACATCATAAGCCAGCAAGTTTAATTCCACTTCATTGTCAAGATAAAGCAAGCATGTTGAGTAGACTGGTAAACTTTCGCAAAACCAGGGTGCAATAGCAAAGGCATGTCTAAAGAATATTCTGGCCTGTGTAAAGATCATAGATCAGAGAAAGAGAGAAAAGAACCTTGTTTGAACCAATGCACTTTTTTAAAGAGAGATAATAATATCCCCCTACACAAGATCAGTCGATTTACTCACATTTTCATAATCTGCAAAGTTGTAAAATGAGTTTCCTAAGAGGCACAAAACTCTGGGTGACTCATACTGTTGATCATCAAGACTTTGAACTGCAAGGGCTAATTCTCGACATCGATATGAAGCTTGATGAGCGTGAGCTTCAGCCAAGATCCTTATCACACCCAGTATGCGGTTCATAGCTTTAACGATATCGCTTTTTACATCGTATGATGTATCGCCTGGAGATGTAGAAGTGATATAAAAGTATTTGTAAAGTGCCTGGGTCTTATAACATTTTTTTTGTTTAAAAAAAAGCAAGTGTATGTGTATCTATTCAGCTTTACGTGTATTCATGTCTGTTTTTCCTTTTATTTATTTTTCTTGACCCAAAATTTACCTTTGCGTCTTTTCTTGAAACATCATTATATTCTACTTCAGTAAATATATTATCAATGTCTTCTCTCGCTCCAATACTTCCTGGTGAAAACGACTTGTGGGATGTTTTTTGCTAATATCAATCTTTAATAAACCTGAACAACTTTAGCTAATCTAATTTTCTACACTTACTCTCTTTTCAGGATGAGCATTACTTTCAGAATCTTGCTCTTCTCTGCAAAATGTAAAGTAAAAATAAATAAATGAAAGCAATCATTCAATCATAGACTTGCTTAAAAGCCAGATCCTAGTACTCACGTCAAAATATCAAGTGCAGATTCCAACTCCAATCGGGGAGCTTTTCCAATATCAAAATTAAAGGAATGATCCAGAGAGAAGCTTTCTTCAAATGGAATTCTGGTACTTGTGTTTGATAAATTATCATCGAGCTTTTTTTGGTATAATCCATTCTTTGTTCTAATTGCTTCCTCCACCTTCATTTGTTCAATATCTTCTCCAAGTTTCTTAATGAATTTATCTTTTTCAACCTCACGCTCTCCTCTAAAAGCAATACATGAATATGTTCAGCAATTATTATTATTATTATTATTATTTTGCTTTATTTTATTTTTTTTATGTTTTAGAAAAAAAAAGACAACTTGAGCTACAAAATAGTAATACCTCTTTCAAAGGTTAAAATACAATTAGACAAACTTACTTTTGTGGTTGAATGGAATCAAATTCATCGTCTGTGATTTCTGGAGCCTCATGAACAATTCCTCTCAACTGGTCAAGACTCACATCATAATAGCTTCCGCGCATTGCAGGAATTTCCCAACGTGGGTTCCTGTCTGGAATTCTTTTTGTGAAACGAATATCGATCGAAGAGGATACGGGCGGTTTAGGAACTTTTTTGAGATTCATGGTATCAATAATTGTTGTAGACTCTTTAAAATCCTTAAACTCGTTTTTGAGGAGACTGTGCACATCAATTGAATCTGTGTCTGGGCCAAGCTCGCACAGATCCATAAATGATGCCAGGTTGAATGGATTAGTGAGGATAGCCTGGTGAAATGAATAGGCAGCACCGTGTATGTTTTGCAATTTTTTGTACAGTTCTCCAAGAAGACTGTTTAGTGCTGATCTAGTTGGAATATATGCGCGCAGGGTTGTACAAACAAGTTCTACATTTCATACAAGACATTTTCACAATTGTGTGGAATAAGTGAAGCAGATTAGAGAGAATAAAAAGAATATTATAGTTTACCATCACCCCATGAGTGGGATTCTCTTGTTTCTTCTTCCATCGAGTTTATAATGCTTTTTAAGCTTTGGACCCCTTGCCTCCATAATTGAGTCTTGTTTTTGTCTGTTTTCTCCCTATCACCAAGAATCAAGCAGCATCTCGAGAATAGATTTACACATGGAATTGATGAAGATTTCAATAGGATCCGATATGCTGCATTGAGATCATCATTTAAGAATAGTGATTTGGCATAAATGAATTTGTAATCTTCATTTGTTCTGTCAATCGAATAAAGTCGTTCTGCCAAAAGAATGGCATTTTTGTAATAGAATTGATCAATGTCTTTGTTGATTAGTGATAAAAGGCACCATGCTTCTGTGGAGGTTGTACAATTCATCATTGAATTTAAGAGCGTAAAGAGATCGTTGTTAATACATTTTTTTATTATATTAGACCACGCGTTATCTAATGGAAAAATCATGACTACTAAAAAAAAAGATTGATCAAACCCAGTAAAAAAATAAAACACTTTAGACAAGCAGTTGTGAAAACTTATCAGTTGATGAGAACATCATACTGTGTCAAATATAAGAAACATAAATCTTCATAAATTATAATATTTTTCTTTAAAAAAAAAGATAAACTTGTCCTTTAAAGATCAAATTAATCAATTAAATGTACAGTAGACATTCCTGGCTACCCTATCCCTTGTTTTGAGAGAGAGAGAGCGCATAAGCTTGATTTTGAGGAAATGTTTAATGGACAAATGACATGGAAACTTAAGAGTTATCTAATTTTTTTACTTCATTTGTCCATTAAATCCCCGTTTACAATAAAAATGGATAAAAGATTCATTTTTCCACTAGATAATCAATTGTCTAATAGAATAAGACTATCAAAAACTGTGGACTATATGATACTTGGTGAGTTCAGCCAGGACATTATATTATTTATGGGCCACCAAATGTCTAAAAGTTATTTTAATAGCCACTGCTGATACACCGGGAATATCGCTATACTCCCATACGAGATTTCTATATATATATCTGCGTGTGTGCCTAGAGATTTCGACAAAAATCAGGCATGAAAACCATATACAAAGATGTATTGGATTCAAATGACAAACAAAAATGCAACTCTGGCCTTTATTTTTGTTTTGCTTTTTAGATATTTATGTATAATATATACAAGAATCGATTGTACCGTATGCAAAAAAAAATGATAAAGGTAAAATATTAAGAATGTACTGCAGAATAGAATAATCCTCCTTCTTATTCTAATTCTTCTTTTGGTTTCTTGTTGGTTATAAGATCTTTCTTTTTAACTTAGAATGGGGAGAAACTAATTGAAGATCAAAAAAAAAGTATATAATTTTTAGATTAATGTTAAAATAATAATGTTATTGACAAATCTTGAAAATCCAATGACTTACATTTCCAATAATCACACTCGGTAAATCAAAAATGTCACGTTTTATTGTGAAGCAAAAGGTACATGGTATAGCTCTTTTTGTTGGCCCAAGTAGAATACATGAGCTATATACAGCTGAGTCGGTATTGTCAAATGCATGAAGTGCGTATTTTTCCCAATACTCGACTGCAGAAGGATTACTCATTAACTGTTTTTATTTTTAAAGATACCAATAACAATATTGGCATTGATATTAGTAACTTTACATATAGATAATATAGATATTCAGTAGAATTTACCTCGTAAATAAATGTCTTTTTGCTTAATAAAGCATCTCGAGACCATTGAGTCAGTAGGGAAAATTCCTTTCCTACCAGAGTGATTTCACCCGTGCGTCTCCACACTACAGTTGGAGTACCTGAATAACTGATGAGTTTCTCATACTCCTATTAAGAAATGGATGAGAATCCACATCACAAGAAATATATATATATATATTGTAAATTGGAATTTGGGATTTGGAATTGACGTTGAGATGTTCCATAAACAACAACAACAGCAAAAAAAAAGGTGTTTTATTTGTATAATTTAATTTAATAAACAAAATATAATACATAATATGGTATTATATGATATGATACAAAAAAAACACAGTACAACATAATAGAATACAATACAATACAATATGCTACACTAAAATATACTAACAGTACAGTGCAATACAGTATGATCTTCAAGCTCCAATCTCCAAAGCTTTAAACCTCAAACTTCAATTCTAAACAACAGTAAAAATAAAAATAAAAAAAAGAACTTACCAATAATGTTCTTTGTAAACATCTCTCTGTAAAAATCAAATCATGTTCTGTCAAATTCATCATTGATGCCAATACAGATGGTCTAAACAGTGCCAAGGCTCTACTGATCCTCATCAAATCTTCACGACTCATTCTACAAAAAAAATTAACCGAGAAAATTAACACACGCGAATATAATTATCTCTTGATTTCACTGTTAATTCCCTTTTTTTAGGACTTACCTTTGCCGAACATAACTAATCAAGTAATGATATCCATCCGCATAACTAAACGGCTTTTGTATATTAGTGTAAATCATCTCTGGTGTCACATTCGTAGTCCGTTTCTTTCCGTGCCCAAAATATCCTGTTGTATCCAAAGATTGTTGATTAACAAGATGTTTCTGAAACTGGGCGGTGTCTGATGGTGTAGGTGGAATCTGGAAGGGCATGCTTTGCTGAATGTTGTTTGGTGTTGCAACAGTATTTGCTGTACTTGAAATGTCAGACTGAGCATCTAATCCTGCATTGTTACTAGTAGGGACAGTTTTTATATCGGACTCATCACTTATAGTTGAGCCTTGTTGAGGCCACGCAGTAAATTGTGGTTGTGATTGTGGTCGTGGTTGTTGTTGGGGCTGCATCTGTACCTGCGGATGTGGATGCGGTACCTGCTGTAACTGTGGTAGCTGTTGTAGCGGTGGTACAGGTTGTTGCGGTGGTGGTGGTAAATGTGGAGTTGGTTCTACTAGCCCGTGAAGAGGTGATCCTAACATGGATGAAAGAATAGAATATTCAAGATTTGCAGCTGTTGATCCAAATCCATAATTGTATTCGTCCATTCCAATCAGTCGGCTAGAGTCAATAGAAATCAAACCATCTGTGAATGCAATTACAGTAGTAAAGACAGTGGTAATAATAATAATAATAATAAGAACATAGTATGAATTAGACATGGATTGTACTCAAAAAGGCAATTAAATCTGCAATATGCATATAAAACCTATCTATAAAAAAAAGAAGCACAGGGCCAACCATTGCTCACACAGGATTGCTGATCGACAGGCGTGCTGATGTTGGACAAGATTGACGGAATTGCTGAAGACGGAAAAATATTATTTTGTTGCTGCTGTTGACGTTGTTGTTGTTGTTGCTGTTGCTGTTGCTGTTGTTGTGCTTCAAGCTGTATCTCTACCATGATATAAGTTTCTCTCTTATATATGTGTGCATTTTGTTGCTATATATCATTTCTTCTTTTCTTTTTATTCTTTCTTTTGTAAATACTTTAAATTATATTACAGTTCAAAGTATAGTGATAAAGCAAAACCTAAGAAAGATAGAATCCTAATTTTTTCTCTTTTTAGATTTACCTTGTGCATCCTGAAGATACTTGGCTTTCTTACGAGCACCATCTGTACATGTAGATGCGAGATCTCGTTTAATACAACGTTGGCATGGACGAGCTACAATGGTAAAGTTTATTTAATTTAATTGTATGATTGTGTACGTATATGTGTGTAGATAGTATATATATGTATATATATATGTGTGTATATATACTATTGTATTTTGTTGAATTATTATAAAAACCCTTACAGTCATTGCAAGTTAAATGGGCCTACAAGATAAATTGATATGAGTCATTCGTTTTAAGCAATATGTATATATATATCTTTGTACACAATGATTCTATTACTCTTTTTCTAATCACCTTTTGGCAGTGAATGCAGGCACGAGTAGCTTTCTTTTTACGTTGGATTGGTTTCGGTGATTGAGCAGTATTTGAGGATTGATTGGATGCAAAACCTGATGATGCTGACATTACAAGAAAACTTTGTACAGTGTTAAGATAAAATATACTATCTCTCAATATATATATATGTATCTATGTGTGTGTATAGATATATATAGATATAGATATATATGTATATATAAGAAATTCAAGAAGAACAAAATAAGCTCTGCTATAATCTTTGCGTATAAAGATTAACCACAGCTGGTTGAGATTTGCATGGCATTGAATACCAAAAAAAATATATATTCAAAGTCACTTATCTTGTGCGTTTAGGCCAATCAATACCGTTTAAACATAACCCAAGCAAATGAACCCAACTCTTGAGATCTTTTATTAACTGGAAAATACTTTATCCCACCAAATAATAGATACCAATACACACAATTCACTTTCTTCTTCTTTGTATATTGTTAATGATGTTTTTATTATTAAAGGGAACATGCCTTCTTCTCTTATATTACTTCAAAATTGAACCTTGGTAATATTGATTTTTTTAAAGAATATAAAGCCGTTAGAATATATAGATATATACATTGCAAGATATTTAAAGAAGAAGAAATAAAGGATTCTTTATCTTGTGCGTACAAGAAAAGAAAAATCGAAAAAGATAAAATTTTACTGATCGCTGACAAACTTGCATGTGTTTGAATTTATTTGTGCTCTTATATCTGTATCCCTGTAGAACGTACACAGCAAAATATACCGTCATTAAAACTGTTAGCTTACCTTTTTTAGAAGAAAATATTCGGGCTCTAGTTGAAGTGTATAGAAAGTGAATGGCAGAAACTCCACTTGAAAGAGAGAAGAGGAAGAAGATGGGGAAAGAACGTGATTCTTTACTACCTACGTCACAGCCAGTCTTATAAACCATTGAAATGGTCAGTGGGTTGAACACATATTGAGTTTGGTTTCTGACTTGGACACTTGAGCAAAAATAAATAGACTTGTATGAATATATAAATAAAATATATTTTGGAACATGTACAGTGTCGGATAATAATAAATATATCCACTATGTATGTATTAGGAGAGAGAGAAAATAGGAAAATACAAGGCAATCCTGTGATACTTTTGGCAATTGTATACAAGATCATTTCATTCCATAGAATATTTATCTATTTACCTTGAATTGGTATCAAGATTGAGAAGGAACAATTATTTTGTGTTTGAGAGAAAAAAAGGAAAGAAAATAATATGCATATATTTTGTCAATAAACCTTTAAGGTTTCACACCTAAAACATAGTATCACACACCACAGATCAAACGTGTAAAACTCAAAACCTTTATAGACATGTCTCACTTAATGCACTTTGAATATTTCTTTGTTTAAAGTCTACCCATGCAAATGACCATCTATGCACGCACACGCATATACACTTTATATAAATATCTCACATGGACGAATAAATCAAGCTTCTCTAACTGTACCTGTGTATAGGTTATTTTTTTTGCTAGATTAAATCTTGTTTTGGTTTGGCTTTGGTTTATTGTGACCAGAAAATAAATAACCATGGCAACAATAGTAATAGTACATTATAGTGCGATATAATAGAATATAAAGATTAAGCTTGAAGCTGGAAAGAGTAATTCAAAAATATTTCTATTGGTGGCAATTAATTTCAAATATATATCCATATATGCTTGTGTGTGTGTGTATATATACACACACAAACAATAAGGAGGAGAGAAAGAAAGAAAAAGGTGGGGAATGTGGTACAGAGGCGGATAACCAATTCTATAAAGTTTAAATGAAATGATACATAGAATTTACAGTTGGTTGCCATGGGAATCAAATGTCACATTTTATTCTGGAATATATTGTATTTTAGATAAAGAAGTAATTGCGTCACATTTAATACCAATAAAAAGAAAAAGGAAACAAGATCTGTGTGTGTGTGCGTATGTGCTCGTTTATTTATCTATTTATTGTTATGCTCCTAGCCAATCACGCTATTATATCAAGGCACGCAGTTGGTATCTATGGTACCGCCATCTGTCATAATTTGATCTCGTTACTATGTTTTCTTTTTCTTTTTTGCTTTTTTAAGAAATAAAAGAAAACTTTGTTTTTCTTAGATTAGAGTCTCACTACTAATGAAACGTTCTCTCCATTTAATAGTCTTATGGGTCAAAATTTGGTTTTATTATTATGTGGGTTTGTTTTATTTTTATTTAATACAACGATATTAAGGAGATGAAGGAGTCTACACAGAAGATTTAAAAGACAAGGGATATATAATGTAAAATAATGTAAAGTAAAGTAAAGTAATATAATATAATATAGTATGTGGGTCGGTTGGTTGGTCGATGGGTGGGTGGGTGTTATATATGTGTGGACGTATGTATATAGGTGTGAAAGATCTTATGCATTACTTTCTTGCATTGGGTTATTTTCAATAAACTCTAGGGCTGCACGTGTGGCATCTTGAAGGGAAAAGAAAAAGTATGGGTAGCGATCAAGGACGTGAGCTACTGCTGAGTCAAGAGCAGTAACGGTAGTAGTAGTATCGCCGTTTTGATCACAATAACAATATTCGGAACCTCCGTCTGAGGATAGACTCGCGTCACTTTTAATCACAGGTTGGTTTGTAGGAGATCCTTGCTCGGCACGGTCAATTGCGTGGTAATTGATGTCTTCAATTATCTGGACCTGCTGTTCAGCAGAGTCTTCTTTGTCTACTTTTTGTAGGCTATTGACACAACCCTCGGTTCCAAACGCATGTCCATGAGATTTCTTTGATGAGAAAGAAGGGCAAAGATCGGGTACGAATGGGCGGTGAGAAGGCGAAGTAAGCTGACGTCCAAAACCGGCTAGTAACAAAGTCTTGCGAACACTTGGGTTCTGAACAACGACAAACCAGCGAACGGTGTGACCTGCATAGCGTTGGGCCATCAGGGCAGAATGAACCAATTGTTCGAGTCCGGTAGCATCCATTTGATGAACCCCTGACAGGTCGAGGATGATTGCTTGAAGTGATTGTTGATGCTCTAGAGTGTCATCATTGCTTTTTTTCATAATCATATTCCAGGGTTGATCACCATTTCTTTTTGGGATTGGTTGGCCACATTTGGTACTTGTTTTGATTTCATCTGCTAGTTTATCAAACACGTAGGCCGAATTTTGGAATACCAGGTTCTCTTGAGGCTGGAAACAAATGATTCCCTTACCAATGGGACGCACCAGAGAACCGAGGACAGGGTGGTCAAACGCGTGGAATTGGATATGTTCGGGATGCTTTTCAGAAATAGGCAGGTCTAAGATTCCGAGCACGGCGTACTTTGGGCGGGCGACACGGTAGAGTTGGACGACGAGTGAGATTCCGACCGGTACATAGACACTGATGTCGATTCGGGTGCAGAGAGCGATTATATATGATGAGGCGAATATCAAGAGCTCAGAAGGGTGAATGTTCCACAATTTGATCCAGCCTCTGGGACCAGTCAACAAATCAGGAATGGCGCTCATGATGACAGCGGCAAGGGCAGCACTGGAAATAAACTGGAAGGCGGGAGTAAAGACGTAGATTGCCAGTACAACGATTATACCGACAAAGATGTTTGTGAGTGGAGTACGAGAACCTGACTTTGACATGACTGCAGTTCGAGAAAATGCACCTGTTGCTGGGTATGCAGAAAAGAATGATCCAAACACGTTTGTTAGACCAATAGCGATGATTTCCTGGTTAACATTGACTAAAAGCGAAGTTAGTAAATAAATATATTTATATACATATGGGTGGATGATTAAGTGTTTTTTAGTTATTTTTTAAACATCTTTAGAAGAAGAAAAAGGAAACTCACTTGTGTAATCAGAGGATTTCCCGAGACTGGTTGCAATTGCACAGTGTTCCATGATCAATAGGACGACTACACCTGGCATGTAGGAGATCAGAGAAGAGACTAATGAGGGGTCAAGGGATGGTACGCCCATATTTTGGAATCCAGAGGGAACGGTTCCGAGAATACTGAATGGGCTGGTTTGGTAGTTTCCAAAGTGGTTGATAAGATAGGAAATCAGAGTTGAGAACACGATGACTACAATGTTACGACTGGTGTTTAAAAAGAATATTTTTGAGGTGTGTTGGGGGTATTTTTTGGTTAGCCAAGCGGAGAGATACTTGATGCCATAGAGCCAAGCCAAGGAAATAAGCCCAAAAGCAGCATCGACTTTGGCTCTTGGAAGAGCCTGCAGGGTTTTGCCAAACACAAGATAGGGTACTTCTGTGGTATTGATTCCGGGGATTCCGAGGAGTTTGTTGAGTTGGTTGATAAGGATTGTTATTCCTGAGCCAGACATGAATCCTGCGATTGCAGGTTGGCAGATGAAGTGGAACAGGATTCCGAGGCGTAGAAGGCCTAAGCCAAGGGTGATGATTCCGGAAAAGAAGGCCAGAGTGACGGCTATGGAAGACAAGGTCCAGATGCCTTGGATGTATTCTGGAGTTTGCATTATGTCAGCAACGATCTGGCCGACCATTAGAGACATGATCGCAGTGGTGCCTAATAGATTTCAATAAATTAATAATTTAATATATATATATATATATATATGTGTGTGTGTGTGTGTGTGTAATTTTATAACTATAATTATGATTGTAATTGGAATTGTAAATGTAAATGTAATTAATTTACCAATACTGATATCTTTACTGGTTCCCAGGAATGGATATATCATGACACCCACAAAGCTAGAGTATAGACCAAATTGTGGAGGTAAATTTGCGATTTTTGCTATATATTTTTTTAATTAGTTAGTAATAGATTTTGATATTAATTAAATATCGATATATATAGGGTTTATCTGTTTGTATAAGATTTACCATATGCCATTGATTGAGGAACTACAATTGCTCCTACTGTAATCGCACACACCAGGTCTCCAGACAGCCAAATCCAATTGTATCTTGGCAACCAGTGCGCGATAGGAAATAGTTGGGTAATGTAAGATTTGCAATGATCAGGTAGATTACTAATGGCTGCTGTGCATTGATCTCTAAATGACCTTGGCTGTTGATCAATGTGAATAGTAGACATTATGTCTTTTAGTGTGTATGTATATATATATATAAGTGTAAGTATTCAAGTAAGTTAAGTATGTAATAAAAGGGAATATATATATAAAAGATAGAAATTAATTCAATTGAAGTGAATTGAATTATATATGTAAAATATATGTAATTTATTATAATAGAGAGAGAAAAGAAAGAATTTTATAGATTAATGAATTAATAAAAAAAAATGGTGTGTGCGTAGTTTGTATAAAATTCATACTTGTTCTAAAAATCCAGTTGATCTAACTGAAAGGTGCTACTCTTCATTATCGTATACATATATATATATATTTAGACTTGTATATTTATATATGTGTCTATGTCTGTGTTGTATGTGTATTTTTGAAACAATGACAAGTATTCGTGTCACCCATCAGATTAGAATGTATGTATAAAATAAATGTCGTTGTTTCAAAATCCCTTGTCACAGGTTCCAAAGATAGGAATCATTTATTTTGTTGAGAAGAAGAAAAGAAAATCTGTCACAAGAGCATTTGCTATAACTCCTTAATACCACTATTAAGTACTATTGCTACTGCTACTGCTATTGCTATTAAATAAGATAATATATATATATATATATATTTCCGTCATCACTTGTTTCTTCCAAACTTTATTTTACATTGATTTACAAACGCAAACACTAGCACGCAATTCCTGTGTAAATATTGACAGGCAATTATTGACAATGAGAGCCGCGGACCTGGATCAATCTATATGTTCAGGAACAAGCTTTTTTTTTGGAAACAATCAACTGGAACACTTTATTTCATTACTTAGATATAGATCCTATTACGTGAAACAAAACAAAGAAGATGAAGAAAGATTTTTTTTAAAAAAAAATAGCATGCGAGTTCATGTAATGCGAAAAGAGCAATTAGGAATCCACATTTGGAAATCTATTTTTTTTTTCTGGTGCATTGTTCGTTTCTTAATGAGTTTGTATTTCATAAAAAAAAATAAAGACCATACAAGAGGATTTATCCAAGCTAGATTACTCCTTTTGTTTCTGTTATTATAGTGTCGACAACAAGAGCCAAGATATGTTTAGACAATAATGACTGTTCAGAGAGAGAAGGGAGAGGAATCTAAATGGCATGTACTCATAATGGCAATGTAACTGCTTACAGAGACAATTAAATTAGCTTTCTGAAAGCTATTCTTGAACACCAAATAAGCAAAAGAAAATAAAAGAATAAAGATGCCCCATATGAAAAGAGCTACAATTTCCATTGTGTGAATAATAACCTCCTATTCCAAATTCTAAAAGCCTCAAAATAAGAATAAGATTATATTATGTCTCGAGAATATCGATCTGCCTTGTCTTTTTTTTTGTACTATTCTGAACTCAATCCCAATTGAGCATTTTTTGTTGCTGTCTGTAGTTAATACCAAGGTTTAACAATTATTGGTTTCTTAAGGGGCTGTGTATGGAAGGAAAAGAGAGAAACTTTATCGACTAGAGAGTGATTGTTTTTTTTATTAGATCTTTAATGATTTAATTTCTCACTTGACTATCTTTCTATCATTGCGTTTAATACAAGGCACTTTATATTCTGATAATATCAATTCTTTCAGTTGACTAAAAAAGATATACACTTATAGGCTATAAAATAGGTTCAACTTATTCATACAATAGATAGGTAAGTAAAGAACACATTATAATGGTTCTGTTTTGTTAATAAAAGTATAAGCATTTGCTAGTAATGTCCAAATAATCTCATTTATTTCAATATTCGTGAATTGTTGTTACAAGTATTTGGAATTTGAATTATTACTCCATATCCATACATACATATATACACAATCGCTGATAAACAAAATTCACATTCTTGAATAATCAAATCAAATCAAAGACGTTACTGATCAAGATAATAGATCCTTATACTACTACTATTGTTATTGTTTGAAGATAACCAACATTCTTATTCACAGACTAATATCTCTTCAGCTTAAAGTAAATATATAAAAGAAAATATAGGAAAAGAGAATCGGTAAGAGTTAAAGCAGAAACGTCAACATGGAACTGTAATATGTCTATAAAACAAGGTCATTATTTTCACGAGCATTCGATAATGGTCAACTTATCTCTTTTAGTCTGTTTGTAATGAACTTCATAAACTTAAAATAAGGTAATATAAAAACCATAAAATGCACTATGTATCCTATAATTATTATTTGTTTTTTGAAAGAAAAAGTATAAATTCTAAAAACAATATATATATATATATGTATGTATCATAATCATCATCATATTTAGCATAACAGTAATCTTCTTTCATTGTAAAGCCATTTACATCTAAACCCCTTTCCTCCTTTCTTCCCCTCAAAAAAAATTTTTAAAGAAAAAGCTTTGTTCATTCATATTTTAACTTTTTTTTTTTTTTAATTAAAAAAAAAAATTAAAGAAAGGGGGATTTCAATTGAAATACTACTAAAAATAAAAATAAAAAGAAAATCCCATTGACTGGAAATACAGATCCAGAATTCGGCGATAATATCGATGTTTTCAATTACATACTCCGCATACATGATTTTAAAATGGCGCATTTTGGCATTTACGACCGTTCTATAAGTAAGTTTGGTTTTTAGTCTTTTTTTTTTTTAATATTTTGAATACACAAAAAAAATTCTTTTTATATAATTATATTTATATTTGTATTTTTATATAATAAAAAATAAAAATAATAATTACAATATAAATATAAATATAAAAAAAAAAATTTGTTGTTGTTGTTGTGTGTGTGGGATAGATAAAGAGAGAGAAAAAAAAAAGGGTTTGTGTGTCTGTGTCTGAGTTTGGTGTTTGAAAGACAAAGGGAGAGTTTGTGTGTGTGTGTGTGTGTGCGCACTTGGTGGGGTGGGTTACTTGATATTGTTGTGTTTGAGAGTTTTTTGTAAGAAACTTTGGGGGAGAAGAAGAAGAGTGGGCAAGGGGGGGTGGGGGTAAGGGAAATGGGGGAATCCAAAAATAAGAAGAAGAAGAAAAAGAAAAAGGTAAAAAAATAATAATAGATTATATATATTTAATCGCGCGAGTCCTCTTCTCTTCTTTCGGCTCTGTCATTTTCTACAAGGCATACACAAATAAGCACACACGCACGTATATATATTTATATTTATATTTATATATATATATATAGACACTTCTCTTTATAATCTCTATTGAATAAAGAAACAAAGAAAAAAATTAACTTACCCTCTTGGAGATCAGAGGTCCACAGGGTGAGGTTGTCTCTCAAGAGCTGCATGATGAGAGTAGAGTCCTTGTAGGATTCCTCGGAAAGAGTGTCAAGCTCGGCAATGGCATCATCAAATGCCTGCTTGGCAAGGTGGCAAGCACGGTCGGGGGAGTTGAGGATCTCGTAGTAGAAGACAGAGAAGTTGAGGGCGAGACCGAGACGGATAGGGTGGGTGGTGGCCAACTCGACCTGGGCAACATCGGTGGCAGCCTTGTATGCCTCATGGGCAGCAGTGGCAGCCTCCTTACGCTCGTCACCGGTGGCGTACTCGGCAACATAGCGGTGGTAGTCACCCTTCATCTTGTAGTAGAAGACCTTGGCCTCACCCTCGGTAGCAGAGGGAATAAGGTGGTCCTTGAGAAGAGCAAGGATGTCGTTGCAGACATCGTAGAGCTCGTTCTCGATCTTGTTGCGGTATTCCTTGATCTTGGCGACCTGGGCGTTGTGACCCTTTGATTCCTCCTTTTGCTCGATGGAGGACACGATTCTCCATGAAGCACGACGGGCACCAATCACATTCTTGTAAGCAACCGACAACAGGTTGCGTTCCTCAACAGTCAGATCAACACCCAACTTTGTTTTTTTTTTGTTTTTGGTTTATATATTAAACAAATAGTATTATTGTTATATAGGTTAATATATTTATTAATTAAATTAAATTTAATGTAATGTAATTTAGTTATTTTTACCTTTGCAACGTCCTTCATATATGAAACCATCTCTATATATTGAATAAAAGAAGTAAGAAACATACATACTCTTCTACACACTTTACACATTTATGTTTGTAACATTTATATTATTACCGTCGTAACGTTCAGCTTGTTCGGCAATCTTGGCCATGTAAACCTAGATAATAGAACTATTTAATACAATCCAGATATCATTCAATATAAGTCCAGGAATCATACTCTGTCATCGCGTTCCTAGATAGAGAGAAAACAAAGCAAGGTTAGGTACGTTTATTGTTGTAAAATTAAATATAATATAACATAACATAACATAACATAATTTAATATAAATAAATAATATATTATATTACATTATATTGAAGGGGGTAAGCAAATAACATTTAAAAGAAACTTTGGGCGTTTGTCCAAGATGATGCTTACGTTGGTCATTGTACTGTAAGATGTTAAAGGGTATTGGTTGGTTTAGGAGAAGTGATGAGCAAGAGAGAAAGAAAGAGAGAGAGAGAAAGAGAAAGAGCGAAAAAAAAAAGAAAGGGCAAGGGAGAGAGAAAGAGAGAGAGAGTGTGTGTGCGTGTGTGAGGGAGGGGGGTGTGTGGTGGGGGAGTGGAATAGGGGATTTTTTTGTGCTTTTTGGATGGGGGGAGTAGGATACGATTTTTATTTTTATTTTAGATAGATAGATAAAAATGGAAAGTAAAATAAAAAAAAAGGGGGGGGAGGGTGGAGAGTAAAATAGAGTAAAATAGAGTAAAAAAATATTGGTATTGGGTTTTCCTACCCATCAAATCCATCGATCCGTTCACTCACTTGCTCACTCACTCATTCATTTTTTGTATTTATTTATTTATTTACTTCTTTTAGGTATAGAGTTCCTTTGATTGGATAGACTTTTATGTTTTCTAAACACCGCAACCAAAAAAAAACCAGAAAAAAAAATAAAGAAAGTTGTGTGCCGGGTGTCCAAAATTGCACGTGTAAATGAACGTTTTATATTTTGATGTCGTCACTGTAATGCATTATTTGACTTTTTGGCACATTAAAAAAAAAGAATATTTAATATTTTGTTCGATTAATAATGAAATCATGAATGTACAAGTATGAGGATTGTAAATATCGATGTGTATCAGTAATTATTTTGTTTTATTTATTTTTGGGTACTTGATTGTTCTGTTCATGCGCCCAGGCTCGGTTGACACGAGGTAGGACCAGGCGTGTTGGTGTGACATCAAGGAGGAAGGAATCAAGGAAGCAAGGAAGAAGAAGAGGGGCGGGATAGAGGGAGAAAGAGAGAAATAAAGATAAAGATTAAGAGAAAGAAAGAGAGAGAGAGAAAATATAATATAATATACAGAAAAAGAGGAGGGGATAAGAAGGTTTTACTCTTCAACGAGCATTAAACTTAATACATACACTACACACAAAATGGAAGAAAAGGTACATAGGCATCTACACATACAAAATGTATTGTGTGTGTATAATCAAGTAAAAATATATTATTTGTATCGTACTACTCTTTGAAATTTTCCCCGCCTCGGGAGGCAACCGAGACATGACAATAATGGAATATTTTATATATTGTATATAAATACAACTATACGTTGGTAGACAGGCAGGCAGACAGGCAGACAGATAGGTATACATACAAGTTATAAATGTATATATGTATATATATATATATATTCTTTCCTCTCTTTTATATATAAAATATATACAATATCTCTTTGTGTGAATGTGAATCTGTGGGTGTGTTTTATATATATGAATATATATATGTATAAAAATGTAAATATCTGAATATTCAACAAAAAAATAAAGAAAAAAAATCAACAGCAGCAACAAGAAAAGAAAAAAGTAAAATAGAAATAAAATAGAAATAATAATAATAATAATAATAATAATAATAATAATAATAAGAAGAAGAAGAAGAAAGAAATAAAAAAAAAAGCGAATACAAAACGATAAAGAAGTAGAAGAAGAAGTAGTAGAAGAAGAAGTAGAAGAAAAAGGGGATGAAAACACACTAGAAGCACATAAACACTTGTAGAAATATTGTACGTATTTCTTATGCTACCATCACTATTAATATTACTACTAGCGCCGTCGTTGATGGTCTTGGTCCATGAGTCTTGGTCGTGATAATTGTGTTTGCTGTTACTATTACTCCTACCAATTCTTGACATCTTCTTCTTCTTGACTTTTTTTTTTGGAGGGAAAAGGGATAGGACGGTGGAAAAAATCGAGATATTTTGTGAATTTAAAGAGAGGTTGAAGGGTATGGTGAGAGAAAGAAGTAAAGAGGTATTTTTTTTTCTTTCATAAATATACACATGAAAGTTTCTTAAAGATGTCTTTTCTCTTCTTTATCTCTCTCTCTTAGTTTTTTGCTTTGTTTTTTTTTGGGGGGTGGATGATGTGTAGTGCGTGTATGTGTGTATGAGTGTTTTGGTAAGATGTGTGAAATGTACGTGTGTAAATGCTGTTTTACATGGAGTGGGATGTGGGCAAAACTCCATTCTGGAAGAGAGGTACACCACTATTCATAAGTTGATTACCGAGTGGCTCTCGATGATCATAGTAATAATTGGAGTTGCCGTAATTTCCTTCTTCGCGTGAACTTCCGCCGCCACCTCCACCTCCACCACTGCCACTGCCACCTCCACCGCCACCGCTGCCGCTGCCGCTGCCACCTCCACCACTGCCACTTCCACCGCTAACACTTCCACCGCTGCCATTTCTCTGCTGTTGGTTATCTGTCATGACTACATTAGGAGGAATAGGTGTAATGTAATCATTGTACGATGTAGGTTGATGCTGCTGCTGTTGATTCTGTTGGTGTTGGTGTTGGTTAGAAAGTGCCATGGAATGCATCATGGCCTGTGGGTGAGTTGCTGTTTCTTGCATTGGTGATGTACGGTGCAGAGGATGAACTGGATTCAATAATTGTCCAATATTGGGATTTGTAGCAAAACGCTGTTGCTGCTGCTGTTGCTGTGTCTGTGCTTGTGCTTGTGCTTGAGCCTGGGCTTGAGCCTGGGCCTGGGCCTGGGCCTGGGCTTGTGCTTGAGCCTGTGCTTGGGCTTGGGCTTGTGCCTGTGCCTGTGCCTGTGCCTGTGCTTGTGCTTGTGCCTGTGCCTGTGCCTGTGCTTGAGCCTGTGCTTGTGCTTGTGCTTGTGCCTGTACTTGTGCTTGCGCTTGTGCCTGTGCCTGTGCCTGTGCCTGTGCCTGTGCCTGTGCCTGTGCCTGTGCCTGAGCCTGTACTTGTTGGGCCTGTTGGGCTTGTCTTTCCTGCTCTTGGCCATTCACACCCAAAGTGTGTTGGGCATCTGACATACGGTGATCCGAATAGTCTGGATTGATCATATGGGGATGGACTTGTGCAAATGAGGAGGAGGAGGAGGAAGGGGGGTAGTGTTGGGGCTGTTGACGGATGTGACGTTCCTGATGATGCATAGGCACATCATAGCTGTTGTTGCGGTCAAGACGGGACAGAGGCGAAGGCAGTGAGTTTGACGAGATTGACGAGGTGGAGTAATGGCGTTGGTGTTGATAGGACGGACGAGCGGGTGACAGCATGGGAGTACCAGGAGAGGATGACATGCCGGTTGGGGATGGGATACCGGTAGGATATCCTCCGGTGTACATGATTGACATTGGCTGATTTCCGTAAGGCATTGTTGGCGAATGCTTTTGTGGTCCATCTATATCCATACGCTGCTGCTGTTGGCTTTGGGTTTGTTGCTGTGTATAAGGCGAGCTGTACATCATATCTGATCGGGGCATGACCGTGTTTTGGAAATGCTCAGACGTGCGCACAGATCCAACGGACATGCTCCGCAGCGGGTTGGGATTCACACGACGATCTAAAAGAGATAGAAAAGAAAGCAAGAATGATAACGATAACGATAATGAAGATGGTGAAGATGACGATGACGATGAAGTGAGTGGGTCAGTAAAAATATGCCAGTAAATCAGTCATTTTTATATGTATTTTATGTATTTTATATATTTGGTTTGTTGGTGAGTCATTTTTTTTTTTGGTTTTGTTTTTGAAAAATATTTATATTTGTATTTATTAACTTACCCCCATAATCGTGTGGGTAATGGCTGGCTTGCATTGGGTCGCCTTCGTCGAATGCAGGTTCAACCACAGGTGGGATGCGAAAGTTGTGCTTGACGAGCAGGTCGGGTGAGATCTCAAGGCCAGCCAATTCTGCGACCGAAGATGGTGTACGCAATTTGCTCTGAAGAATATCTTCGGGGTTGTAGTAGGATATCAAATGTTGGGATACTCCGTTCACTACGATTGCCATCGTCTTCTTCACCAGTCCATCTTTGCGGAATTTGTAGGAATCTGACAAACTACCGACAAGCCGGCGTTCTCGGTTACGGTCTGCTGTCATGTCCGCTGCTGCTGCTGCTGCTGCTGCGGCCGAGGATGAGTTGGTTTGATCTGCACTGTAGCTCCGTTGTCGTGCATCAGCGCCTGATATACTCGACAAGGATAGTTTTTTGTCTGTAGACCGTTTGTCCAGCTCACGATAAATCAAAAAGTTTCCCAGGATCCTAGAAGGACTCCATATAAAGCCGTCTGTCCACCGTTTGATACCTTATGACAGAAATAAGACGGTTTACAGATTTAGTTGAATGTGCAAGCAACCAAGTCAACCAAGAAAATAAATAAATAAATAAATTGAACAATGCTTTGTTTTTATAAGGTTTAGTTTTACCTGACTCTCTTTCGTCAAACACAAATACAGAACCTGACTGAATTGTCTTGCGTTCCTTTTCTTGAAGTCGTCTTCTCACTCTTGGCAATAAGCCACGTCTGCAACCTTCGAAAACCAACAATACGTCTTGCGTTGTTTCAATGTAGCCATGGAATGTCTCAGTCATCCTAATGATGTTGACAGAAGAGAAGGAGAAGGGGGGGGTGGGGGAGGGAGAGGGGGGTGGAGGAGGATAAAAATTGTATTATATATTTATAAAAATATATATATTATATATAAATATGAAAAAAAGACAGAAAATTGTATATAAATAATATATATATTATATATGTGTGTATGTGTATGTTTGTATGTATGTATCTATATTATACTATATATATATAATGTGTGTATATATATATATATATGTGTATGCTTATATTTTATAATGTATATTCAAATAAATAAATATATCTATATCTATAGATATTTGTATATCTATCTATATATATATATTATCTTTCCAATAAATAAATAAATAAAATATATACTTATATATACTTTTTATAAAAAAATGTTTAAAGAAAAAGACGAAGAAGAAGAAGAGGAATAGGAATAAAGGGCTACACGTGTCAAGTGTTGGTCTAAGCGAAAGAGAAGGTAAAAAAAAGGTTTCTTGAACCAACAAAAAATAATAAATAAAATAAATAAATAACAATAATTTTATTTATATAAATAAAATAAATATATATATAGAGTATATAGCTTTCTACTGCTTGGTTGCTTTGGTTACTAGGTTGCTAGGTTACTTTTTTCTCTTTTTTTTTATTATTATTATTTTGGTTGCAAAATAAATAAAGACTGTTTTATGCGTTTTATATACAATATACAACAACAATATGTATCCAATTAATTAACTGACTACTTAATTAGCTATCAAGTCTTGTCATTTTGAATCAAATGTGTTTTGTATTTTAGCCTAATAAGTTCTCATTATTATTATTATTGTTATTCAAAAGATATTTGTATGTATATATGTGCCTCTCTCTCTCTCTGTGTGTGTGTGTGTTCTTGTGTGATTGTGCTTGTATATATATATGTATATAATACAGGTTATTTAAAGAACATTTGTACATCTAAATATATCTATGTATGTGTTATATACTTGAGTGCCTATATATACATAGATACATAGATACATAGATACATAGATACAAAAGTTGAAAAAAGGGGGGTCAAGGGGAAGCAAGTAAGAAAAAAGAAGAAAAAAAGAAGGGGAGATGTTGCACCTTGGATTTCGTTTAAATTATTTACCGAAACTGATTCTGCCATTATTATTGACAGGAAATGGTTATTCAAATCAATTCAATAACTCTGTTATATATATAATATAATATAATGTAATAAAATATTTTATATAGATATATAAATATTATTTTCTTTTAAAAATATAGATCTGTGTGTCTATGTGTTTGTGTGTAAAGAAGTTGCTTTTACTGGGTTTGTAATATCCATCTTTTGCGGGTTTGTGTAACCACATTATCCTATCAGATTTAGAGATGCGATTGTATAAATAAATCTACTGTAGAAAATGAGTATTGATGAGCCACCTATGTGTGTAGTGGTTGGTTGGGGTAACTAAAGATGTGTTACCACCCATCACAGATGGGCGTTGGAGCCTCAACATTTGTGATACGACAACACACACACACACACACACACACTATACGCACACACACACAACCAGAAAATCCGAATCGCATGGAAACCGGATCTGTAGCCCATCAAAAAAATAAATAACAACAACAACAACAAAAAAGAAGAGAAAAAAGAAAGAAACAAATATAAAAAAACAGTATATTCGGTTTTCTTTTTTTTGATAATTGACGGTTGTTTACTAATGAAACAGTCGCCATTGGATACCATGCTAAGTAATTGAATAAGTATATGTGTATAAAGTTAGTGAGCGAGTAAGCGAGTGAGTGAGCAAGTGAGTAGGGGAGGGAGGAGTAAAAAATATATATATAGAAAGAAAGACATACACACAATGTATGTATATATATATATATATATATATAATGGTGTAGAAAGGTTATTGATCGATTTTCACAAGATTTTCATTTCATTACATTCACTATTTGGTTTTGCTTTATTATAATGTACTATACTATAGCACACTTTACTCTATTTTACTCTACTTTTACTTTTACTTAATAGTACTGATACTAAAAAAAAGAAAGAAATATTTAAGCATAAAGAATATATACGTATAATACAGTAATAGACTCAAATGTGTACACAATTAGTAAGACAAAGAACTGGGATTTAAAGCATTATTTTTATATATATATACATATATCATAGAGTCTACCCGAGACAAATAAAATAGGTAGACCTGTTTGTATTGAAAGAAAGAAAAAAAAATTATTGTGCAAGGTAAAACAGAAACAAGGAGTCAGTCATGCTTACCTTTCTCTCTCTTTCTCCCCCTCCTTCCCTCCCCCCATTTCCCCATGTGTCATATAAATTACTATAATTATTATAATTATAATTAGCGTTATTAGTTGTTGCTGCTTAGACAAGTCAAGACAAAACAAAGACAAAGGCAAAGACAAGAGGTTCTCTTACTCTCACCTTTTATTTATTTATTTATTTATTGGTTTCAGCCATTTAAACCAATACAAAGATTACCTTGTGCAGTGCAGTACAGTGCAGTTACATTAGCCAGAAGAAAAAAACAAGCATATTAGTTCGATTTGTTGCCTAGGTAACTAATCCGAGACCATTATTGTTATTTTACTAATATGTTGCTAAGCAACGGTTGCTAGGCCGATCATTTGAATCGGGCCGTTGGTTATTATTCGATCCATCGAATGGGTTACAAGTACAAAAAAAAGAGAAAGGAAAAAAAATATTATAATATAACATATAGTACACACACACACATATATATATATATATATAAGTAAAAGGGGATTTGATTAATTATTATGATCTTCTTGTCTTGTGCATATGTAGTATCATGTCATATATACGCCAGTTTTATATCACAGGCCAAAGAAGCCAGTATGTATATTGCTAACTACCCACTTTGAATCAGACTTGAAATGATATTTATTACATTGACATGGCTTGAATTGTATTGCATTGTCCAATCAATAATCTGTAATACTCTTCGGATACTATCCGAAAACACACTCACACACGCACACATAGAAAGAGAGAGAGAGGGAGAGAGAGATACAACGGCTGAGCGACGATGGTTACATTGCACAACCATAAAGAATTACACCAATCTACAAATGTTTTTTCTTTCTTTCTTTCTTTTTTATTTTATTTTATTTGTGTATTGGCTAATTATATCTGTAAACTGTTAATAGCTTTTCTTCTCTACATATTTGTAAATACATTTCTATCTATACAATCCAATCATATCACATCACGTCCACACAAAGCACTTATATCTCATTGCATAATCAGCAAGTAAAACAAAACAAAACAAACACCAACAAAAGAGTAATGATCTATCATCTATTGCCATTTCTATCTTCTCTTAGAAAGTGATTATACTATTGAATACTAAACAAGATTTACTTTCTTTAATTTATCTTATTTTTTTATGGTTATCGTGCTCCATAAACTTTGGAGCTGAAAAAGCAAAAAAAAAAAGTCAAAATATATAAAGAGATAGAGAGAGAGAGAGAGATCGGCACACTGTCTAACTTTTTTTTTCTTCAGTAAATAACTATGGGAAAATCATAATAATAATCATAACCATAACCATAATATATACATGAGATATGTAGGTAGATAAAGAATTTCTTTGTACAATCAAACCCATTTGCACCTTCCTTTTATTATTTATACATATAATTTGCACGCTTTTTTTTGGCGTTGCTGTAAATAGCCAATATCCAAAAAAAATACTTGTTTTTTGTACAATCTGGAACCTTTTGCTTTATTTCTATTCTTTCATATATATATATATATATTAATAGATGGAAATAAAAGGTACAGAGTGTTGGAAAATATAAAGTTACTGCTACTATATCTATCTAAAGTTTAGGAATGATTATTCATTCAGCTTAGAGTCTGTGCACTATTTAACCTCATATAGAAACAAAGAAAGAGGCAAGCAAGTATAAAGTCAATACTTTTACAAAAAAAAAGTAACTTTATCCAAATGCTTGATTTTGTTATCATTATCATTATCATTATTATTATTATAGTTCTATCTCAGTATTTGTGCTATAAAAAAATTCGATGAACAAGTAAATTAGTACTATCCTTAATACACAATTATGGATATATATATATATATATATTTACATAACTTTTAGCAAGCAATCAATTGATTTAGTTTTTATTGGATTACTTATTTTACTTGTCTACTTGAGCTATTTAATGATTCCGTTGTTATAATGTGTACCTGTTCCGTCTGTTTGTTTGTTTTTTTTTCCTAGCTTTATAATCTAAAGCCAATATTTAGTATGAATTGCATACAATGGTTAGGCTTTTATTCATTTGTTTGTTTGTATAAAGCTGCTGATAGACTCGGATTTATTTATTTTTCAAAAAAAAGTCTTTAAATGAGTAGGACAAAAGAGAAAAATTATATTGTTTGTTTTAAGGGTTATGTAAGTTTTATGATGTTTTTTTTTTTTTTTTGGCTTTTGGCTTTTGATTTAATATTCTCAAGATATTAACTGTTAATAAAGCTTGAAAACACACATTACAAATAAATAAATAAATAAATAAATAAATAAATAAATAAATAAATAATCATAAGAAATATACCAACAACATTTGTCTTGCTTTTTGTTTCTTGATTTCTACATTCAGTAATTTTTAAATATCTTCTTCCTACCCACTCACCGCAGTATCCGGGACGCTTCTTAGACTTTTAGAGATACTATTGGGTCTCTTTCTATATTTCTATCTTTCTTTTGATTATAGCTATTGCTATTAATGAGAATAAAAAGAAAAACAAGATTCTCGGTTGAGCTTGAGGTCTCTGGAAACTTCAAGGTTTTTCAAGCGATGGGAATGCAATATTTCTCTTGTAATTTTTTTTTAATTGTTTATGAAAAGTCTAGTTTTATTAGTAAATAAATATATATCTTACAAAGAAGAAGAAGAAGAAAAAAGTGTTAAAGAAAAGTGTTACCATATAAATATTTTATATTTTATTTGGTTTTATAGTTTAGATTTGTATTATTATTATTATTGTTGTTATAATTTTTTTGGGGGGGAAATGAATTTTATAAAGAACACGATGGCTACAAAATATGGTGGGGGTCACAAAAGTTGTAATAAATTCTAACAATAATTTTATACAAGAACACAACACAACACACACACACACACGAAGGGGGTTTCATTTCATTTCATTTTCTTTTTTACAGTTTATCTATAAACGTTGTTTTGGATCATTGTTTGTCATTTTTATCTGGTAATCAATATCTTTACCAAAGTCCCACTTTAATTCTTGTTGTATCGATTCCTTTACAAATAAACCTTCAAATACTTCTTTGGATAAAAAAAAGATAACCATATTTTTGCGCACTTGAGATGTATAGCAGCATAAGTACCAATTCAACTCTGATACAAGTACAAATATTTATATGTAAAAAAAAAAGAAGAGTTTATTATAATAGCTTAATACCAGAAGGATATTTAATCTTATTGTCTTTAAACTCTAATAGTCAATGTTTCTTTTTAAGTATTACTAAAGTGCCATGTCAGATCTTTGACCTTATTTTCTTCTTTGTCTTATTTTAAAATATCGTTTCTGTATTGTTCTTCATTTCAACCTATTTAGGAAAATATGTAGAGTCTCTTATATATATATATATAATTGGCTGAAAAGCTAACCAACTGTGCTAACATAACATTCACGATACCTGCACTCTGGTGCCTTTCTGCATTGTGAACTCATATCTTTGGTACAACCCAATGCACAGTTATGTATATATATTAATAGTATCTCAAGTACACCAAGGTAGCATGTAACATACAATACCAAGCTACAAATACGTAAATAAGAGTATCAGATGTATTTTGAGTAGTCTCTTCTTCCCTTCTTTCTTTTTCTCTCTCTTTCGTTCTGCTGGTCTGCTTGTCTGTCAGCTTACCTTTCTCTATTTCTCAAAATCTAAATTCTTATAATAATTCATCAAAATGAATGCGCAGTGAAGAAGTCATGTAGCCAATTTTGCAGCTAATTTGGCGAACATGACTTAATATCCATGGTGATAATAATGCATATAAATATAATAAGATAACTGCAGTAATCTAATATATTCATTTACCTCTTGATTAATGTACACATATTTCGGCATAATTTTTTTTCTTATTTCTTTAGGATAGCAACTAATCTTCATCACCAGACAGTAAAACCTTGAGCTGCTATACTATTTTGTTCTGAGCAGCAATAATGCTGGCCATAAAGTCTAAACATTAAACCTGTAATTCTTATATCGTTTTTATTATTCTTTTATGTCTTTTTTTTTTTAGACAATTCATATATCTCCTTGTTATTACCATTGATTTTTATATTGGTACTCTTTTGATACTTAGTATTTTGATTTATTTTCTACCAATTTTTAATAAGAAAAGATTTTCCTTTAAAAAAAGCGTAATAAAGCTAGCCATTAATATTAAAGTACCTTGCTTTGGGAGCCAATAACTGCATCACAAGAAACAGAAGAAGCAGTCTAAATGTGATAGCTAATAAAGTGTTGGAATTCACCTAATTCAAAAATAAAATAAAGTAAAGTAAAGTAAAAAGGGAGGGAACTGGGGGTGGAAAGGAGATGGTTGACTTGAAAAGCAGTAAAGAAAAACGCACGTAATGGCGAATCATAAAAAAAAAGAATTTCATAAAAGACCAAAAGAAATTAAATGAAATTAATTTCGTTTTTTGCCGTTATTACTGCAAATGTTGTTACTGCAAATGATGTTTATCGCACAAGAACAAGTTTTGGTAGGATGTGTACGACCAAATAATGATGGTGCAAAAAAAAAGTGAAGAGAAGGAGAGGAGGTGAACATTCTTTTCTCTCCCTCTCTTTATTTTAAGCAGTAACTCAAATGCCTTTGAATTTCTTGGTAGGGACCAGACGTACACACACACACATATACATATATATATATATATATATATATATAGATATGTTTTTAAGTTGGAGGATATTTGTACAATTTGCTTAAAGAGATTAAGATTTTAACACAATAACGTAATATTCATCTAATGTACTCTCTGCACGACTCAAAAGAAAGTTCTACTATCACTACTATTAAGAATAATAAAAGAACGACAGAGTCTCAAAGTTTGCTATTTGAATCTAATTGATTATTCGGGTATGTATTTGGGTTTCGGTTTTGGTTTGTGTTTAGTGACAGGATCAAATACGAGCATGTATATATAAATGTATATAAATATTTATGTATGGATCTATGTGTGTTGATTTGCAAAATAACCATGGAAAATGTATATTCCCCCCATAAATAAATAAAAAGTTTAAAATAAACCAATAAAAATAATCTCCCTTAATGTACGATTAAAAAGAACCAACAGTGTCTATGTATATAAATATAGAGGTACGATTTCATTCAACAACATGTGTATCAATGTCTGGCTCAAAGTATTAGGCCTTGTCAGTTCAATCGATAATTTAAAAACCTTGTATTGAATTGGATAAATGGTCTTTTTTATAATTATTCCGTTTATACTTAACCAGACACACACATGCATACGTATATATAACAGCGAAGAATATATTCAAAAAAGGTTATGAGTGAGTCCAAAAGGTGGTAAAAACCAGATCTAGACTTCACAACTAATTATGTCTTTCTTGATAAAAGCAGCTTTTCGCATTAATTCGAAACGAGGTGTTTCTTGGTCAAAGAACGGAACTTTCGCAATAGTTACAATGCTTACAATCAAAGCAAATGCAACATATGCAACCGGTTAAAATAATGTATATTCGCGAGTTCAGAAACGTAACAAAAAGAGAAAGCATAGACGTGAGACTGATATTTATACCCCAAAAACAGATACAGGACATTATTCGAACTTTTTTTTTTGTTTTTAAAAAAAAAGGTTGTTCTTGTTGAAATGAACAAGTAACCAGAAATGAAGTGACATTATCTTGTGATATATAATGCTCCTATCCATAGCTCAACTGATATAAGAAAATATACATCTTCCTCCATATTCCCCTAAATTGAATTCAATCGAGCAGTTCTGGTCAGCTATTAAAAGCAAAAGTTAAACGGCACAAGTTTTTTTTTTTTGGAAATGCCTTAACAAAAGTCGAAACAGCTACAAAAATACTTTGGTTATCATCAACAGCGTATGAATACTTTTGAACTTGACAAAGAAAACCAATTCTTCTAATGAGCAGGAAAATTTGAATTGACCAATCTCTTACATGAGATAAATTTCCTTGTACCGTAAGCGTGACAATGAAAAAGGAAATTTTATTGAACCCATGTATTTTGAAGGTCAAAACAGCTTGCAGTTTGTTCCTATCAATTGTATTTTTTTTTCTGGTGAGCCTTACCAAGTTTAGAAGACTTTATAGTGAATACTTATCGTTAGTGAGAGGTGATATCTTTAACTTTGAAAAATTGCTAGGCTTGGGCGAAAATCATTTTGATATATTTTAGAGATAGTTGCATTAGGACGCATGTCTCCATTTTCATTGGTTGTCATATTCGACCATCACAATATAATCTTTCTGTCCGGATAGGACAGCAAAAAGGAAAAGATAAAATAAAAATAGATTGTGAAAATTTCATATTAACCAAGAGATCAATTTAAACATAATCCTTCGAGTGAAGCCTTGAATACATACTGTTCATAGATTGAGTCAGTTTCATACACACATCATCACACATATGTTGTTTGAAGCCCATGCATTCAACCTACATCTCCTTATTGAGCTCGGTACGAATCTTCTCAGACAATATGTCCACGTATAGTGGATTGTATTGGCTGGTACATAAAAGAAGGATACAGGCTCGTGTACAGAAAACTCGACAAAGAGTATACTGATTGGTAGTCATTCCAGTAACGGCGTGTTAATGCTTTGTGAATATCTCGGTTACGTTTGTGTCCTGGAAAATCTATGGCTCCGAATGGATAGTATTTTTTTTCCACACGAGCTGCCAGATTCCTTGACGATATGCATAATCTTCAAACGGCTTTTAGCTTTTGTAAACACCGAGATTTTTTTTTTTTTTTTGGTTTCCCAAGTTTTGGTATTTTTGGCTTCGCGGTACCAATTTCTTCCCAACATTTGGTGGTGGTGTTGATTATCGTCCAAGAAATGCCCACATGGGTTGTGATATCAATTGTGGGGTTATTATTGGTTTTATAGAGCCCAATAATACCACCACGCTCAGACTTCTATTAGTTCTTGTCTAGGAGACATACTTTAGGCTGTTTTTATTTTATTATTTCTTAATTGTATTAGTAGTCTAGTTGTAAGAAAAGGGTATATAAAAAAGAAAGCAAATAAAGTGTGGTCGAAATAAGGGTGTATATCTGGGGAAGTGTCGAAGCTTAATCGTGGAGTGAAAATGGCTATTACAATTTGTTTTATCTTGAAAAACATGATCATAATCATTTAACGCTATTTAGCATAAATCTATACATATTTTCTGTTATAAAACCCAAATAGTATCTAATAGTTTATGAGACAAATGTCCGTGACTGCTAGAGTCTGGTATACTTTTAACGCTACCTACTTGTTTTGAAATGATCGTATGTGTGCATGTAGATAAATAAATAATTAAATTAAATTAATATAAATTAATATAAAATAAAAATATTAATTTATATATATATATATGTGTGTATGTGTATGCGTATTTTTTTTATTAACATATTTTGTATATAAAAAAGGGAAAAAGCAAGATTACCTGAATGACCAAAATGGTACTTGATAAACATCGCGGCACGTTCTTGCGCGTGTACACGGAAGCAGATATCAAATGTCAAGACACGAGTGACACCGATCCTTTTCCTGCCTATCTCGAGGGAATCGACACAACCCTCGCGCCATTCTGCCCCACTTCGGCTAATCGTGTCCTGCAAGCCCTCGAGATGGCAAATGTGAGCCGAGATGACCGTTTATTGGATCTAGGTTCAGGCGATGGCAGGTTCTGTACAGCAGCAGTAGCTGTTTATGGAGCAGCACACGCAATGGGGATAGAGTCAGATCCGAGTCTGATCGAAGTATCCAAATCACTCTGTCAGCAGGTTGCTACTGCTAATGCTGCCACTGCTACTGCTGCTGGTGATGGTGGTTTTGTTGGCAAGGAAACACAAGAGGAGGAAAATGCTTGTTCAAAAGTAGAATTTGTTGAGGGCGATCTGCTGGCCCTACCAGTGTTAGTGAGGGATCCTAGGTGGACTGTCATAGTGTTGTTTCTCTTGCCAGACCACACAGACAAATTTGCAGATCTACTACGCTATCATTATGATCGTGGGGCTCGTATCGTCAGCTTGGTATTTAATCTCAATGAAATCCAAGGCCTCTCCCTCAAGGTGTCCGACGAACCCCAAGGAATTTATGTCTATGAGAAACCATAGATTAATTAACCTTACTAGACAATATAATAGATAAAACGATAGACAAGTATATTTATATATGCCATTTACACCTCTTTACACACCTTTAAATCTTTCACAAATCTATATACAACTTATATAAACCTTGTACAAACACAAGCAAATATGTCTTTTCTTTTTAAGAAAAAAAAAATACATATAAAAGCATTTTCAAACCACAGTAGTGTTATTATTCATATTGTATTGTATTGTATTGTATTGTATAGTGCAGTGCAGTGCAGTGCAGTGCAGTGCAGTACAGTACAGTGGAGTATAGTAGTTTAGCTTTGTATTTTATGTATTTATATTTTTATTACTTTATTTGAAAAAGTCTCTTTAACCCTTTTACCACTGTTGGCTCGTGCTGTTGACCCTGTTGTGGAAATACCAACCTTTTCTTTTCTTTTTTACTTTAATATCGCTTGTGACAGAGCCCTTTAACCAAACCCTCCAAAATAACAATAATAATCCTTTATTCTTTTAATTTTTATTTATTTATTTATTTATTTATTTATTACTATTACTTTTAACCGCGGCTTGGTTCAATCTTGAACAGATCATTAATTATTATCATTATTATATAAATTCAATTTCTCTCACTCTCACTTTCACTTTTTTTCCTTTTTCCTTTTTCCTCTTCTTCTTTTTGCTTTTTGCTTTCTTGCTTTCTTGCTTTTTTGCTGGCTATATTTTACTTTGTTAATAATAATACCTAGCACAATTGTTTAAATGACACGAAGAAAATCCGTTCAAGAACTCGTCAGACCTCTTCGAAAACTCACCTTGCTCACCGGCCATTCTTCAAAAAGGTACAGAAGAAAACCATTACTTACAGCCAGATGATATTGTGTATCTCATTATACAAATAGTCTTTCTCTAGTACCTGAACAGACTATACAGTGCCATGAACAGCCTACTTTCTTGAGCCGCCTACCTCATGAAATTGCTCTCACTATCCTTCGTTTCTTACCATTCGAAGATCTCGTGCGAGTTCAACTGGTAAGAAACAGAAATAAACAGCCTCTCTTTTGTTTCCTATACATCTTCTTACATCAATTCACCCCAAACGGGAAACTATCCCATGTGGTACACAATGCAATCATAAAAAAAAAATACTTGCAAATGCTATTGTTTTGTTTTGTTTTGTATTCTATTTTATTGCTTCATTTATTATTTTGGGGTCAATTAATTTTATTTTATTTTGTTTTATGTTACAAATCACAAATAACAATAAGCTTGCAAATGCTAACCACAAAAAGTAACCTTCATTTTTGTTGTTGCGGGTAGACTTGCCGACGGTGGCGAACAATTGCTCAAGATATTTCAATCTGGCGAACTCGATACCAATCCCTCTGCAAGAAATACCCGGATATCCACCTTCACCTCCAGACCACAAAGATCAATGACCTAACTAACCTGTCTTGGCAGACCCGCTATTGTCAGGCAATTTCGTCTACCAATTGGCGTATGGGGTCTGTACAACGATTGTGTAAAATCAGCTGTGAAGGTGGAAGAATACTATCCATTAAACTGAGAGCAAATATCTTGGTGACCTTGAACGAGGTAACAACAATACCAGAAATAACACATATAGATCTATATACATGCATATATGTATGTATGTATGTATGTATGTATGTATGTGTGTGTGTATGCATGCATATGTGTATGTATTTATGTAAATGATATTAAAATCAAAAGTAAAATGACTATTAGGATAATTGCGTTCGATTATACGAATATTCTACTTCAAATGGCTTCCAGTTGCAGATCAAATGGACTTTTGGTGATGTGTCTCAACCAGCAAATGTAGTTGAATGCATAGACATCCTGCCTGAAATCAACATCTTGGTAGTCGCACTCCGAGGATCGTAAGTCATATAATTTTATATAGATAGAAGGGGTAATGTGCACATACATGTATAACTTCTTATTTATTTATATTTTACTGATCAACCCTTGAATTATAATAGAAAGTGCATATTTTATGATATCAACAAAAAGAACCCGCGTGAACCTATCCAGGTTCTCAAGGGTGGCAGCCACCCATCCTTTGTCCCTGATTCAATTGCCCTCAATCAGGATTACTTTGCCGTTCTGGGAAGAAAGCCGTCTGCTCTCTTTGTCTGGCACTGGCGTAAAGGAGTCCGGTTAGCTAACAAGGTATGTATCGATCAACAAACTAATAGATCGATCAAATTACGCCAGATAGTACAATTATACACAATTATGTATTTGCTGCTGTAAATTATTAGTGTTAAAGACAAAGCTTATAATGTTGTATGCGCATATTCATTGTTGTCTTTTTGGTAGGCATTTGATAATCAGCCTCACAGCGTGTACTTGTCCGACCATCATGTTGTGACTATTAGTGTGGACGGAATAGCCCATGCATTCGACATCCTTGACCAGACCAAATCTGCCGTGCCCCACACCCTTCCACCCTGCAGCATGCCATCTGTGGAATATGATGGGTCCCTCAGCATGGTATTGGCACCTTTTCAGAGCAGACGTATCCACCACTTCCAATGGACTCCCTTACCATCAAAAGATATTTCCGGTGACAACCTCCTCTCCCTCCTACCTACCCAATCTATATCCACTCCACACTCCTCACCCCCTCAAATGTCCTCTCCCTCTTCAACCCAAGCCCCAGCTCCCTCTATTCCGACTCCTAGTCCTAGTCCTACTCCACCTTCTCCTCGCCGTAATCTCCTGCCGTCATTACTCTCACGCCACAAGAAAAAAGAAAAGGAGCCCCGGGATCCTCTCTTGATGCGTCTCCGACGACACTCTTCTTACAACGACTATGGATATGCCTGCCAGATGCGGACTGCCCACTACATCAAACAGCAGCAACACCCCCACTCTCATTTCTACTCGCCGACCACATCGATCCGTACTCCCGATTTCTCACACAAGCCGGCCTTGATCCACTCAATCCGCACCAGCCCACTTGGCCGAACCGCTCTAGAGATCATCAATGTCGCTACACACAACGGCAGGGTTGCAACTCTCAATCGCCACGGAGACATTGCTCTCTACGCCCTCAACGGGACTACTGCAGCCCGAGTGAGTCTTCCGACCGGAGAATGTGAATGGATAGAACCAGCTGCAGATCACAGTCGACAAGACGATCGATTGTCAGATGGCTACGATTTTGTGCGTTCCCGATTGGCCATGGGCCCGATGGGGATTGTGTATGGTGGTCGAGAAGGAGATGTTTGGTGGATGGATTTTGGATGTCGACCAAACTTCTTTTAATACCACTTCTTCTTCTTCTTCTTTTTTTGTTTAAAAAAAAAACAACTGTTCTTTCCATTCCTTGTTACTGCTGTTCTTCTTCTTTAATACTAATAATACTACTAATTTAAACAATCATAATACTAATCATAATAAGAATCATAATAATAGTCATCATAATAAAAAACCACCACCATCTTCATCATTATCATCATAATATTTGGGCTTTCTTTGTTTTTTTTCTCTCTTAATAATATACAATTTGTGCGTCATTAGGCATCCTAATCCTAATCCTAATCTTAATCTTAATTCATTTCTATCAATGTCCTAACCAAAAAGGGGGGACAAAAGAAAGAAGAGAAAGGAAGAGAAAGGAAGGTGTATATTGCGTGCGTGTTTGTGTACGTGTTAGCCCTTGCACTTGGCGTCGTGTGCTTCACAGAGTATATATCTCTATCTATATGTATCTTGTAAGATGCAAGGGCACAAGTGTGGCGCCAATGAAAGATATTAATGCATGTATCTATATATCTATAAAGATGTGAAGGGGGTCTGTTTCTTGTTTCCTGTTTCTTGTTTTCTTTGATCCTTCTGACATTGTTAAAGAAAGAAAGAAAGCAGGCAAGCAACCAACCAACCAAGAAAGAAAGAAGCAAGGAGTGTATATAAAACAAAAGGGAGAAGAAGATCGGATTATTGAATATTGAGTACATACACACACACATATATAGGTGTATATGTCTATATATAATTGGCGTATATTTGCTTGTTTGTTGTTCATTACCCTGCAATTTAGTTATTGATAGGTTTTTCTCTTGCTGATCAATTGGTTATCTAGTTCCTGATATTGTTGAAAGCATTCTATTTTAATAATCAGAAACCGTCCAAGTACACATACACCTACATATATACATATATAGATATATAGATATATAGATAAGATTAAGAAGAAGTATGAATAGGCATTTGGTTATGTTCTTAGTAATTGATATTTATTGTCTATTGCTCGGTTTTGGACTTTTTTGATAATCCAGTAGTAGTGGCGTCTGCTTCTTCTGATGGGCGCTTGGCAATCACACTGTCCTGTGCAGCCTTACGCCTTTCCCGCTGTTTACCGGTAACCTTTTTGTGATATTCCTCTAGCCCAAAGATTTCGCTGTACCAAACAAGAAAGTAATACAGAAAGATCAGTACATTTGATACAATAATGTTGCTTCAATTCAATTATATATTTGTAATTACCAGAGTGCAAGAGTAGATTTTGACTGCTGAATTCTTCGGTATCTCTCTGACCTTGTGTGTTGTGGATCAGTGTTCATGGACAACAAGACATATTTTGTGTTTTGAAACATATTATCCACATCAACACACTTTATTTTTTGAAAACAAAATTTCAATAAAGTTAGTATTATTATTAGTTTAATAAAGTTCAATTTTACTTTCAAATTTTTGTGTGGTTCAACTTGCCTTTTTCAGGTAAGCCTCGACTGCTTCTTCATATGATACCAAACCCTCTTTTCTAAAGGCAGACGGGTTGTATTGGGCACCTCTTGCAATCATAAAAGAACTGACATCTTTATAAGTAAATTCGATTAGTTAACAATATTAATACATTTATTTAACATTATTCCAAGTACAGATGGACTGGTTTTATCAAGAGATATATCCTATCTTACTTGTCAACTCTCTGGCTCTAGGAATATCCTCTTGTGTGAGAATATCACCGTTCAGGATCACAGGAATGCTCTTTACAGTATTCACTACATCCTTTATTGCTTCCCAATTGGCTTTTTCTGTAGATCGCTGATCTCTTGTTCTAATATAAAAAAAAACCAAAGCTCATTAGTTTGATGATTATTAACTTTTACCTTCCTTTTTTTTTAAAAGATACTAATAACTTGCCTGCAGTGAACGGTGAGTGCCTTTACACCAGTAGATTCGATCATCTTGACTAAGTCAATAGTATCCTGTCTGTTTTCCAGAATTCTGGATATACATATGTGAGAGTTTATATAAAAGAATGAAAATTCAAGTCAGTATTTGTTAGAGAATCATAAATACCCAATACTCAGTAGTATTGTTTTTTTTTCTCTTTACCTGATTTTGCATGTTACTGGTATGTCCAGATTGTTGACCAAATTGACCAAGATCTTTTTTAACTTTTCAGGATTTGTGAGCAAGGCAGCTCCCATACCGCCTTGAATCGAGAATTTCTTTGGGCAACCGCAGTTTACATCAATACCAACCACATCCTGTTTGCTATTAATTTTATACATTTAAATAAAATATCAATTATTGCAATCAATTGATTAGTATTGGTATTGGATTTTTCTTGTTCTTCAAACTTACACTGTCAGAGCAGCTTCCAAGGCCAGATCAGGATCTGCTGTACCCAATTGAAGGATAATTTTTCCAGCTTCATCTGCGTGGGTACTAAATGTCAAAGAAGTTCCTTTGTAATAGTCGATTGTGTTTGTTGCAGCTGTAATGTTTTTTTTTAAAGAAATAATAATAATTAAATTAATCAATTAATCAATTAATTAATCAATTAGTATTATAATTATATATGATTCTTGAAATATCCCTTACGTACGATTCACTCTGCGAACAGATCCAATTACTCGTTTATCCACTAATTCTTCAGACCAAACAAGGTCTTTTTTTTTTAACATTGTTAATATTATCAATATTTATTTAATAAAAAAAAGGAATCAAATCAATTGTTCTTGTTTTGTATCATTTTTTATATATTTATTCTTACCTGCGCCATAAGCTAATGTAGTTAACCGGAATGGCAAAGTTCCAACTCTGACCTGCATTTCAATAAATTATTATGTTCATAATACAAGAGAGATAAAGGTTGATATTTTTGTCTCTTCATTTACCATTGGTGCCAAGATCACTTTATTTGAATAGTCGATTGATGTGCCTGACATGATCAATACGAGTCAATTCAATTCAACAACCCAAAAAAAAGTACAAAATGGGAAATTGATTTTTGTCTCTCTCTCTCTCTCTCTCTCTCTCTCTCTCTCTCTCTCTCTCTCTCTCTCTCTCTCTTCTCTTTCTCTCTGAGCACCAATATCCACTCTGTATCAAAATAAAATTAAAATTTGAATATATACAGTACAATAAAAAAAAAGACTTAAATAAAGTGACTGTCACTCATCTGGTATAGTGGAGAAGCAGAAAATACAATATAAAATTACAAAGACTACTTCTTTAACTCTCTTTATTGTTATATATATATATATGGGTAGATAATTATACTTTTTGTCCTATGTGTATTTCTACCTGATCAATTGCAGTCGTATAAATATATGTACAAGATAGATATTAACCAAATATTATTTATCAATTATTCAACCTGCCGTCATTTTATATTAGATCAAACCTTTTTTTTTTTTTTTGGTTTTTACTTGCTAAAAGATTGACGACGAGACTTTTATCTTTAAAAATATTCTTTAAAGCCAAAAGAGGATAAAAGTATTCTAAACTTGGTAAGTGCTCCATGCTGTTAAAAAACCTGTTATTTTTTCCCAAAATAGGCAAATTGTTTCAAATAGTCGTAGATTTTTTTTTCTATAGTGCAATCTACCTGGGATAATTTGGCCCGTATGCTGTAGAACAGTTATTTTTGGTTGAAGGACATTGAATTTTTTTTTTCAAAGTGACAAGATTTACCGCTTTCACTGTAGCATTCTTATTATGTATGTTTGTGTGTGTGTGTGTGTGTATATGTATATGTATATGTATATAAGGAATATTGTATGTATACTATATTCTATTAGGATCGTATTATATTACTATTATTATTAAGGGCTGTATCATTTAACCGGCTCGTACAATCTACGCATTAACAATTGCTTGGAACTTCTCTACTCCTTTAAGGAGAAAAAAGAAGACAAGATATCTAGACTTGTCGATAATTGCTTTCTCTGCCCTTAGGCGGAGGCTGGTACTGATGACTTGGCTCTGGGATCGATGTGTTGTTATATCCAGTATTGTAGGATGGTGCATGTTGCTGGCTCATCGAATACTCTTCATCATGGCGTCCATCGGGCTGCAGAAGATTGGCACCGGGATCTCCGGCAACAAGCTTTTCGCGCTGTTTCCGAGACCGGAGTTCGACCCGCTTTCTGACCAACTGGTAAGAGTCCTTTCCACAGCCAAACACATTGTACAAGAACTCGGGTATGTATCCAAGATAGGCATCTACAATCGCCACCCAGACACCCAGTGGCCTTACGTCTTTTTCGAGCTGGTTGGTGAGGTTGTCACGGGGTCCGAAATACTTGACCATCATAAAGGTTACTGCACACATCACCACGCACACGATGATGACATAGATGCCGTTCTTGACAGCAGCAGCAGGCCACGCAATTCCGTCACTTGAGGTCTCGCCCGTAGTACCGTGGATAACACCGGCTGTGGTCAGACCAGTCAGCAGGATATCACCGCCATAGAAGATGATCATGATCGGTGCCTTTACGCACCAGAACATGCCGTGTGCGCTGATCTGCCCCTTTTTCCACTCAGCCTCAAATACGGCCAGGTAGGTGAACAGGGCACTGAGGATGATCGAAAGAGAGGTGAAGTTGATGATGACAAGGTAGACGTGTGCGCCATGGAAGTTGTAGCTGCTGCCACAATAAAATCCCTTTATGGAAGTGAAAATGGACACGAAAGCATCAATAATGGCCCTATTTAGTTGTTTTAATGTACAAACATGGAAATATTAATATCATTTAATCATTTGGTGCAGCATTTTAAATAATCACTATACTTTTTTGTTTTGTTTAAAGGATAAAGAGAAGGGGAGGAATATAAAGGAGATATAGGCAGCCAGCCAGCCAGCCAGGTAGGTAGGTAGGTAGGTAGGTAGATTTGGGTTTATGTACTTTACCACAACGGATACTGGAATACAAGAATATCTGTAATAACACGGTAATGAAGACCAAACTTGGATTTTCTATAATAAACAAAAATGTATAGATACAAAGATTAGCTGTTATATATCTATATTCTAATTGCCATATGATATTATTCATTATGTAAAGAAGAGAAAAGAAGGTAAACTGCTTACAGATTCACTGTGAATAATGAAAATACTTTGGTGGTCAGCGGTATTTTTGCACCGCCTGCTTCATCTCTAAATGGCTTAAGATAGGCCTGGAGACATGCATAGAGATTAAAGACGGCAAATGACTCGAAAAGGGTTGCAAAAAAGGTAATCGTGGTAGCGTAGTCGTATCTAAGGTAGGATAGCCAGGCTAGGGTAGCATAGAAAGGAGGGTAAAGCAAAACCCGAAGTTTGTGTCTTTGGATATTTGGATCACTGTTTTATATAAGAAACAAACAAAAATTATTTGTAAATATAATTATATTATATTATAATATTAATATTATTATTAGTAGTAGTAGTAGTAGTAGTAGTAGTACGCTTTGCCAAGACAATCCTAATCCTATTTTATTTATAATATAGTAGCTTCTTACTAATAGTTTTTCAAATGCCTTGAGATGACTACAAACGCAGTAGTCCAGGTAATCAACAGCAAAAGGGCACACACAACCCAGCCTATGACGTGCCAATTTTGCCTATAAAAGAAAAGAAGAAAGCATAGCATTTAATAAAGATATATAGAGAAGGTTGAATACATTTGATATTTACTGTGGGTGGTTCCAAGCGTCAACGAAATGAAATCCTGGAGTGTCTCTACATAATACACATAAATGTCAATAAATATACAAGTATATCTAATAAATTAAGGATAAATCATTATCACAAAGAGGTACTTACAAACCACCATCAATACGAAGACCTCCAGTATTAGGACAGGATTCTTCAGCAGTGCTATTAGCCTCCATAAATAATTATACAAAGAATACAAGCGAACAAGCGAACAAGCGAACAAGCGAACAAGCGAACAAGCAAAAAAAAAAACAAATAAAAAAAGGTACAAAAGAAGAAATAAATCTTTAGCCACAGTTTGTATTCTTGTATTCTTAAACAAAAAAAAATTAAAAAAAAAAAACTATAATTATAATTATTATAATAATTTAAAGTACCACTCAGTGTAACACACGGTTCAAGATATGGGCTGTTTTTGACTGAGTTTTGTGTTTGCCGTCAATTTAGGGGGATCTTACGGACAGCATGGTAGGGCAGCCTGGAGAGTATGAAAGTATGCAACGTCACTAATAATTAGTGTTTTATGGTTATAGTTTTTTTTTGTTGAGGCACGACGTTTCTATCTAACCAGACTAATTCATTATGGCTACATGTCCAGGACCAAGCGTCCTTCTCTAATCCTTCAGGGCAAAATGGTGTGTCCCAAACAATAATATATTCATTGTATGCATTAGATTTACTACCTTGTCCACACACGTTGTGTTCATTAATCTCTCCCCAGGCACCTAGCTCCCATTATTTTAAGAGCCAAAATCTGTATTTGGGCAACTTGATAATAAAATACTGTATATTCGATTAGTAGCCCTGAATCTGGACTTGCGAATAATAAAAATAATAATAATAATCAATCACAAATATACTATATCAGTAGCCAGTTAATGCAGAATATTATAAGAAGTTTTCATCAAACTGTGAAGCAATCTTGTTGAATATTTCACTATTTATTGGCCTTACGCATATCGTGTTTTTGTCTCTCTTTCACCTAATGTTCCCAGAGTCTGACAGTACCAAGTGGTAAGTAATCTCAATCTACTCTTTTTCGCAAAGTGCAAAAGAAAATCTTTATGAATATTTTGTATTCTGGCTGGTATTAACTATTATAATGTGATGGATTTTTAGGGACCAGATAAAGTTATCCCATGCCGGCAAAAAGATAACGATTTGTGGTCCGGTAGAATCAAAAAGTCGCCCCCCTAAAATTAGCATCCAGACTGTCCAGACTGTCCGTAAGGTCCCACTTTATTTTTGGATCAATCAACATCATTGTTGAACGCACAATTTTTTGCACGACATTAAACTCAAAACCAGCGACTTTACTTTCTGAAGTGACTGTATATATATTTATATATATATTTGTTCTTCTTCCATGTAACTTATTTTCATCTATTCGTCCTTTCAATAAGCCCCATTAGCCAATCAATTGATCACTAATAGAATCTATATATATATATATACACATTGACATTCGTAAAACCAATAAAAAAAGATATTTATTAGAGCTGAGTAAGGATGACATAAAGAATTAAAAGTTTATATATAACACAAATATATGCTTGGCAATATTAATACATACTTATATATATATTGCCAAGTAAAACTAAAGAAAATAATAATCATACAGATATTAAAAAAAATTAACCATGGTTACCGTTAAATATAGTGCATTTGAAACAGCTATTTTCCTTGTGTAATACCGAAATAAATAAATATTTATGTAGGATATACAACCATGTGTATTTATATGCTTGTAAGTGTGCATATGTATTGCATATATAAATATCTATACTCATAGAGAGAAAGGTCAAGAAAGACCGTTTGCTAAGCAAGAAGATCGATTGTAATCAACAAGACCGCAACAATGACAATGCTTAATTTTTGATATACGAGTATATTCTCCCATACATAGAGAAAGGAGTGATTCAAGTAAAGTAAAGTAAGAAAAATTGAAATTATAAATAAATCTCCCCCAACCCCCTTTGAAATCACCTCATACTTCTTTTCACAGGCACAAACTTGCCTACCGCTATTACTATTGTTAACAGTATTAGATATAAAAGAAGTGGAAGAAGAAACAGCATAATCCAAGCTAAACAATATATATAGCTCGGTATTATATGAATGCACAGACCATTCTATTTTTACCATTTTGTTTCGGTACACTTCTCTTGCCTTAAATGCAAGATGACCTATTTGTTCACAAAGATACACAATAATCAATACTCTTACAGTAAGTTCTCCTTGTTTTAAACACAACCCCCTTTACTCAAAATATCTATATTTTGGTAAATCAAAACTATTGATCTAATTCTTTGTATAGTTCTGTTTATAAAGAAAAATAGTTATTGGGAAAATTGTAGCTTGAAGCTGTTAATATATTTAAATATATTCTAAAGTGAAAATGATCAAGATTTATGGCAAATCAGGCTAATTGAAATCAAACTAGCAAAATCATTGGTGTGGTGTCATATAGATACGTACAAAGTAAAGAGCATACATCTTATTTATAGACAATAGGCCGTGTCTCTGGCCTTTCTTTTGTACTTGATACTTAACCCACCTTTTTTTTTCCTATATACAAAATAAAGATAAAAGATGGTTAGAAATAAAAAACGAAAACAAGTGTTCGAGTTTGTTAGTTTTGTATATGACTTTCAAAAACGTAGTCTCTAAGACTACAAAATACACTCAAATACATTTATGGCAAATTTGTAACCAAATTAATGCTGACATGTGTAAATGTGGAAGTTAAAAAAATAAAAACAAATACAAAGAACTACATATACATACAAAAAGAAACGTCCCTCTCTTTCATTTCATTTTATTAGTGCGCAAGTCTTTTATATAAACAATATATATCTCAAAATTTTGTTTCGAAATTTAACGCTGTGGAAGCTTTATACAACTTTATTAAGGAAATAACATAAAATAATGTAAAATAAGATTTTTACAAGCCACCAGAATTTGGATACTCAGGAACAGTTTCAAATCGGGAATTGATAATGCACAGATATGGCTTATTTAATCCAGAGTTTGTCTTTCTTCTTGTTCTTCTTGCTCTTCTACTACTACTACCACTGCTACTACCAGCATGCTGTCATATTTGCAAAGATCTACAACCGTAAAATTCTCTCATAATTCAGACCCTGTAAAGATTCCCTTGAACACGTCCGAAAAGACATCCTTGCCACTCGACGAGTTTATTGCCCAAACATGTCCTTCGTTGATTGGACCGCAGGCCACCTACACACCCACACCATATCTCTTCAATGGTCACCTTCAAACTGGATATTCTGCCAACTACAACAAGCTGGATCCTCATACCCTGTTTTATGAAAGGTAAGCAAGTCTTCACACACACACGCATATATAAATGCATAAATGCATAATTGTATTTGTACATGTGTCTATACAGGTATCTATTCATTCTAAATATATATATATATGCTATTTGTAGAGAGTTATTAAAGATGCCAGACGGTGGTCAAGTATCGCTTGATTGGACTCTTCCGTTGGATAAACGGCCTCTGGGAGACACTCCGACTCTTGTGTGCCTTCATGGTTTAACTGGAGGAAGTCATGAATCTTACATTCGTGGAGTTTTGGAATTAGTAAGGAGATAAACAAATTTACACACACACATACATACATATCTATACATATATAGATGTGTATAGATACACAAGCAGATAGACAGACAAACAGACAAACCCTATCTACAGTTATACACATTAATCAACCTTATTTTAATTTGTTTATTTTTGATATCCTGATAATAATTTTCACATATTAAATATTCTTTTATTAGATTACTAGCCCACCATTCAATTACCGAGGTGTCGTACTAAATGCCCGTGGATGTGGAAACACAGAAATCACCACACCTCGACTATTTAATGCTGCTTACACAGATGACATCCGAGAAGTCGTCAAGCACATCCAGTCAAAGCTAGCTCCAGGAACGCCCTTGATTGCCATTGGGTTCTCGCTTGGCGCTAACATTCTAGTAAAGGTAGAAAATGATAGTGGAATATTTACATTGCCATTACACTCTAATTGAATTGAATTGAATTGAATTGAGTGAAACTAATATACGCTTTGTATTTATATAATTTTTAGTACCTCGGTGAAGAAGGTGAAAAGGCCCCTTTCAAGGCAGCCCTTTCAATTGGAAATCCATTTGACTTGTTAAAGTATGTGTAACTTAACTTTTCTTTTTATCTTTATCTAGTATAATGTATCTATATAGTTTTTATAAAGAAAGTTCTTCTTTAAAGGTCTATATAAAAAATAAGAAAATAAATCTTAATATTCTTTTTTTTTAGCGCAAATATGGCAATGATACGAGGTCCGTTTACTAGTCGCGTGTACGATCCTCATATGGCTGCCAATTTGAGAGGAATTTTTGCAAAGTAAGTAAATGGAGTAAGATATATTTCTGGCGAGAAGAATGGCCTGTTTCTGCCAAATATTACTCTTACTAACAACCAGTCAACCAATTGATTTATTTTGGCAGGCATATAGAAATCATGTCACAGAACAAGGACATTGATCCTGAAAAGGTTATCAATTCTGTAACCATCCGAGAGTTTGATGAAACTTGTACGCGTCGAGTAGCTGGATACTCTACCGTCCTCAACTATTACCGCGACGGAAGCTCGTGCCGCTTTGTAGAGCACGTCCGAATTCCACTCTTGTGTATAAACGCAATGGACGATCCTGTGGCTGTATCAGAGTGCATTCCGTACGATGAAATTACAATCAATCCTTACGTTGTGTTGGCTACAACAGACTACGGTGGTCATCTAGGCTGGTTTGAATACTCTTGGAAGCCAACTCGCTGGATCAATAAGCCTATCGCCGAGTTTATTGTAGCAATGTTCCAAGTAAGTTTACCCTACCATATATATATATATATATAAAAGATACCAAGAAAAAAAAATACTTGCTTGCTTATATTTGTTTTTGTTTAATTAGGTCCATGATATCCGTACGCCCGAATTTAAAAAGACGCTTGATCCTAAGGCTGTTGATGCTGCTGTTGATAATTTCAATTCATAATACATAGTAGATATTTCAACCAAAAGTGAAATTCTACAAACACATACACACATATATATACATATTCAGATATTAAAATATATAAGCATATAAGCATATATCTATTGACTTCATTCCATAAATGTATTTTTGTTTTATTTTATCTTGTTTTTATCTACAGAAGAACAAAAATACGTCAAGGAATAAGAATAAATGCAATGAGAATATAAAGTAAAGAGAAGTAAAGAAAGAAAGGAGAAAAAAATAAGATTAAGAGGCAATAGATTCTTTTGTTTTGCTTTTTTAATGGACCAAAGAAAGGTAGGTACGGGCAGCATTAACGTGCCAGACATTGAGGTCCATATAAGTCTTGATGGTTTCCTCGAGCTGTCCCTCAGTGTATCCCTTGTTGGTAACATGTTCTCTAATTTCAGACAAGCTAAGGACATCGCCTTGCTGATCGCGCAATTCACGGATGATCTTGAGAATGCTGCTGGCAGGAGTACGGTCCTGGCGCTGGCCGTGCCCATTGCCCTGAGCCTCGGCAAGTGACGACTTGCTGACATCGAGTAGACGCAGAGCTTCGTCGACATCTGGAGTCTCGACCAATGATGAACAACGGATACGGGCAATAGCCTGGGCCATACGGATGATACCCAAGAGAGTACGTGCAGAGGCATATGTGAACTGCTGCTGGCGGGCCTCATCAAGCTTGTATTGGTTACGGAGGTTGACATACGCATTAGTCACATACACCGACACTTCCTGGGTGAGGACAGGAGTGAGACGACGGACTGATGCAACGTAGTGGCGAATGATGTTAGGTTCAAGCACATCAAAGTCAAGTGAAGGATGCTTGTTGTGTGTGTGGACGTAGGTCACATGCTCGGCCAACATGCGATCCATTTCATCAGAGGGCTTGTCAAGCATCAGATAGAGAATATCGAAACGAGACAAAAGGGCAGCAGGCAAGTTAATGTTCTGTGTGGGCGAGATGCGAGTGTTATAGCGTCCGTACAGAGGGTTTGCAGCAGCAAGAATTGATGCACGTGCATTAAGAGTGGTGTTGATACCAGCCTTGGAAATAGAGATCGTCTGCTGTTCCATGACTTCGTGGATAGCTGTACGATCCGATTCGTCCATCTTGTCAAACTCATCAATACAGCAGATACCATTATCAGCCAAGACCAGTGCACCACCTTCAAGAACCATTTCATCTGTGACAGGATCACGCATAACTGCGGCTGTCAAACCTACACCTGAAGAACCACGACCGGTGGTGTACACACCACGCGGTGCGACCTTGCTGATAAACTTCAGCAGCTGAGATTTGGCCACACCAGGATCACCCATCAAGCACACATTGATATCACCACGGATCTTCATACCATCACCAATAACCTTTGTCACACCACCAACCAACAACAAAAGCAAAGTCTTCTTGACATCTTCGTGACCGTAGATTTCGGGTGCAATACTACGGGCCAGATGGCTGTAAATGTTGGGGTTGCGCTGCAGACTTTCGACCTTTGCCGCTTCTGCTGGAGTCAATTCGATCTGGTCGTACTGCTTCTTCAGTTTGTGGACATATTGTGTTTCCAGATAAGTATCTGTCATCAAGCCGGCTCTGATGGCTTTGAATCCAGTGTAAGGTAAGGGCAAGAAGATACCCGAAACACTGCACACATCACCGGGTGTCAGCATACGACAACGCGAACCATAAAGGTTTACAGTCATGCTTCTAGGGATGTGACCGACAGGAACTTGGTCTGTCTTTTTATTTTTTTAGTTTCATATCCATACATACAATACAACAACAAGAAAACCGAAAGAAACGTTAAGTACAGACAATTGGGCGAATAAACACAAATAAATACAACACCACATACCAATTCTTGCAACTTGACTTCCTGGAAAGCAAGGAACTTAGAAGCTCTAGTTTGCATGTAAAGCTTTCCCTTTAAGTTGTTGCTCTTGCACTCTTCAGAAGGACATTCGGTGAGAGGAGTGAATTGGCGCTGGGTGATTTCCTGGAAGATTTCGTGACCGCAGGAATCACAGCTGTAGGTGTTGACTTGCAAGAATGGTTTTACGTCCGACACACGTGTGATGATACCGCGCACTGTGACCAAATGACCCAAAGCCATACCCTTGACTTGACGTACAGCCAATGCGGGATCTGAAGCCAAGGGCTTGATATAAACTTCGTAGCGACGAGTCAAGGCAGGAGGGAACTGAGTAGTGGTATCATTAAGGCTGTGTCCGTCACGATTGCGTCGCTGGTTGATGATGACGTCCAGGACAGAGTCCTTGTAGGACATTTCGACTGCGTTTGGTGTCAAGGTTGTGAGAATAGTATCGATAACAGTGCTGAGAATATCAATATAATGTCTGGTGTTACGGATGATATTAGCTACGGTGCGCGTCTTGGAATCTTCAAACTTGATTAATTATTGATTTTTTTGTAAAAATAAATTAGAAAAATTGGTTAGGAATATAATCATATTGTCGTTGATAAGTCGTAGACCACAAAAGAGGTGTAATTAATGTAAAAAAAAAAAGAGAAAATAAATTATAATCACAATGTCTTGAATTACTTACGACAGCAAGGTCATCTAGTTCAATGGTAACGACAGTTTCTTTGCGATCGGCGACGGCTTGCTGTGATAATATTATTGGACCAGTTTAGTTTTCTTCTTATTCTTCTTCAGTTTTATTTTTTTTATTTTATGCTTTGAAATGTTAGAATAATAAAATCAGGGGTCTTATATTACCAAAATGCCCATGTATTTGGGACGTTGTTCATCCATCTCCATCGCGTGTCCAGCTTGGGTAGACTTGCCTTGGAAGTTCTCAAGGAAGTTCTGAAGGCTTACTATGGTAATTTTGTTTGGGTTTAGTTTAGCGCCAAAGAAGTATTTAATAAATAGCCAAAAAAAATAAAGCTTGTTACCTTTCTCTTCGTCATAATTGACGCCAGTGTTGACAGGCAAAAGGGCAGCCATTACAAGAAAAGTAAAATTTTCGATAAAGAGAGGGAGAAATTCCCAAAAAAATAATTCAAAGGGCAAGGTTTATTGGCGGGGATTAAAGTCGATGAGAAAGATGTCACGCCTCTCAGGTTTTTTTTTCTTCTTCTTCTACTTTCCTACCGTACAGACTTCAGGTGTATTTGACTTACACACCTTGTTTCTTGTGTTTCAACAATATAACCTTTTTGATCCAATTAATCTTCCATATAGTTCTTTAGTATGTATTTATATATACATAGCAAGTCTTTTGATAATAAGAATATTACACACACAATACAAAGTAATACCAAAAAAAGGTTCTGCCAAGATATCTACTGTGTGTCCTGTTTGTTTGAACCTGTCACTAGTTTATACACATATGGGCCTTTAAAAAATAAATACACCACTTGAACAGGGCGATTTTCAAGCTTGCAAATACTAGATGAACCAGTCTTTTCTTTGGTATTCTTTGATCTAGTAAATCAAATCCTGTATAATTAATAAGCCGGTGTGAAAACCTAGAAGGAATTGTTAAAAAAAATTGTGCACACAGGACAATTTCCTATTTATAAATATTACGGATGCTGAACATGTAGAGTAAAAAAAATATATAGATCTTTATCATGACGACTAGTAAGCTTAATATTTTGAGAGTAGAGCAGGTTTTAACTATATTTTGGGCTACATATGTAGAATATGCAGGCTAATGATAATAGCAACATACTATACATTTTGAGTTTTGAGCTGTGTGTGTGTGTGTGTGTACTTCTTTGATCAAAGTAGTACTTTGTTATCCTACATTTCATTCTAGTTATTTTACTCTTTATAGTATTTATTTTCTCACTTAAATAACAATATAAAAAAAAATTTAAGGTAAAACTAATTAATACAATGATTGGCTCAAAATTAAGCTTGAAAATTTGGTTCATTATTACAAGTGAAAAAATAAAGAAAAAGAATTAACAAAATCTATTCAGTATTCTGCTTCCATTCTTTCTTTATTTTCTTTTTGGTTTCCTGAAATAAACTCATGTAGAGGAGTTTGGGATGGTCAGAATTATTTCCTAAAATGGGCAATACCGACTACGTCTACACACACTTCCTTTAAAACACATTTGATATTGTATTATAATCTATTATTGAGAACAGTAATGAATTGATTTTTAACTCATACAAAAAAGATAAACAAAAGAAGATAAATATGTCTATATAGTTTCTCCAGCCTTAGAACCTGTTAATTTGACATCTGACATAGATTTGAATACAGACATATACTCATTTATCCGAAAAAGGATAGTTACATCTATAATTTTCAAAAATAAAATAAAAAAATAGTCTTTTGTGTCAGCCACGCTTGGAGGCTTAAAGCCATAGCGTTAAACAATTGCAATTGAGTTTTGATTCGACTCGCAATTTGACGTATGGGAGGCTTTGCCAAGTCTGTAAGAGAAAAGGTATCTCTCTTTATAAGTTGTCGGAGCGATGTTTATTTTGGGATAGGTGGCTTTGATGGCACACTGACTTGGCAAAAACCAGCAGTCTTTCCCCTTTTTTGGTCACACATAAGAATAAAGAATTTAAAAGGTCGCCGTACCTCAGCCATTTCCCACCTTTCTTGTCTCTTTCTCTCTTGTTCTCTTTCCCATCCTCGCCTTTGCTTTCTTGAGATTGAACTTGAACAACCATGAATCCGGGACAGAAGCAGGAGCATGACCAATACCCTCTTCATGACACACAGTTTGTCCCTCAGCAAATGGACAGAAACTCGCCCTTTGCCGACCCTTACCCCGAAGATCAACCTCCTCCGTCTGGCTATGACCACCAGCCTCTGCTTCGTGATAATGCCCCATCTTATCCCCCGGATCCATTTGGTCAACCCGGAGGCTACCCTCCACAATCGACCATGTATCCACCACAGCCAATGGGTCCACCCTCGCCAAACATGCGATACGGAGAGGCTCCCCGTCGTCAGCCCCGTCGTTACAAGACAAGTAAGTTTCAGATATCATCTGTCAATAAACAATATGTGTGTATTAACAAATAATTTTCTTCTCAAGCCCGTCGTGTCAAACTTACTCATGGTAACCTGATTCTCGACTGTCCCGTCCCTACTCCTTACCTTCAGGCCGTTCCCATCAAAGATACCAAAGAATTCACCCATATGCGATACACTGCCGCTACTTGTGATCCTGCAGACTTTGCAAGCCAAGGATATACGCTCCGACAGCCAATTTTGCAGCGTAACACTGAACTCTTTATCGTACTGACAATGTACAACGTAAGATTTCAAGTTTTATCATTTTTGGGTTGAAGCAATTGTATTAGATCAGACTCATTGGACAGCGGGGAACTTTTATTTTTTTCTTTTTCCTAACAGATCGATTTTAATTCGCTTTTTATGATACTAACTAAAACCCAATTTATATTTATATTATTATTTTTAGGAAGATGAGATTTTATTTGCGCGTACAATGCATGGTGTCATGAAGAACATTGCTCATCTATGCTCCCGTGTCCGCTCAAATGTCTGGGAAGGTCCCAAGGCATGGGAAAAGGTTGTGGTCTGTATTGTGTCTGATGGTCGTAAGAAGATCCACCCTCGTACCCTGTCTCTCTTGGCTACCCTTGGTGTCTATCAAGATGGTGTGGCCAAGAACGTAGTCGGTGACAAGCCAGTTACGGCCCATATTTACGAATACACTACCCAGCTCTCGGTTGACCCAGAAATGAAATTCAAGGGTGCTGACAAGGGCATGCCTCCGTGCCAGATCTTGTTCTGTTTGAAGGAAAACAACCAAAAGAAAATCAATTCTCATCGTTGGTTCTTCCAAGCATTTGGTCCCGTCATCAACCCTAACGTCTGTGTCTTGATCGATGTTGGAACTCGCCCAGGAAAGACTTCTATCTATCACCTCTGGAAGGCATTTGATATCAGTTCAAACATTGCTGGTGCTTGTGGTGAGATTCGCGCCATGTCTGGTACCGCTGGTGTTGCTCTCCTCAACCCTCTCGTGGCAGCCCAGAACTTTGAATATAAGATGTCCAACATTCTCGATAAACCACTCGAGAGCGTGTTTGGTTACATTTCTGTACTTCCGGGTGCCTTCTCAGCCTATCGTTTTACTGCTCTCCAAAACGACGAAAATGGTCATGGTCCTCTCGAAAAGTACTTTTTGGGTGAAAGTCAACACGGTGCCGATGCTGATATCTTTACTGCAAACATGTATCTTGCTGAAGATCGTATCTTGTGTTATGAGCTTGTCGCGAAGAAAAAGGCAAATTGGGTGTTGCACTATGTCTCAAGCTCATACGGTGAGACAGATGTACCCGATTCGGTAAGTACAATAAAAAAATATTTAAATAAAGATAAAGAACATCCACTCACCTTTGATTTGTTTTAAAACATATATTAGGTCCCCGAATTCATCTCTCAGCGCAGAAGATGGTTGAACGGTAAGCAGCATACACATACAAAGCATGTTGATGAATAGATTACTGATAACATATAAATATATAATGTATGTTTAATTAGGTTCATTCTTTGCTGGATGTTACGCTCTGTTCCATTGGCGCAAGGTCTGGGCTTCAGATCATTCATTTGTTCGCAAGCTCATGTTCATGTTCGAAGATCTCTACAATACCTACAATTTGATTTTCTCTTGGTTTGCCTTGGGTAATTTCTACCTTACCTTTTATATTCTCACAAGCGCACTGGGAGCAGAGAGCTTGGACCCAAAACCCTTTTCCGCAAACGTAGCATCTATCCTTCACACTATCCTCAACTACATCTACATTCTCTTGATCATCGTTCAATTTATTCTTGCCCTCGGTAACCGACCTCAGGGATCCAAATGGGCTTACTTTGGAAGTATGACTTTCTTTGCTATACTGATGGTTTATATGATGTTTGCTACCATCTGGATTACTGTTGTCGGTGTACAAGACGCAGTTGCAAATGCAGACGGTTCATTTACGGCAATGTTGGGTGAATCGACATTCAGAAACATCATCATCTCCATCGTCTCGACCTACGCCATGTACTTTATTGCCAGTTTCCTCTTCTTTGACCCATGGCACATGTTCACCAGTTTCATCCAGTACATCTTCCTCTCGCCTAGTTATACCAACATTCTCAACATTTACGCTTTCTGCAATACCCACGATGTGTCCTGGGGTACAAAGGGTGACAACACCGTATCTACCGATCTCGGTGTGGTCAAGTCGAAGAAAGACGGATCTGGTGATACTACTGTCGAAGTTGAAGTGCCCACAGAACAAAAGGATATTAACGAAGCTTACGAAGAGGCCTGTGTCGAACTCACTCGACAGGTTGAGCCTGAAGTTTCCCATCGTGATGCAAAGACCAAACAAGAAGATTACTACCGTTCATTCCGTACTCGTCTGGTCATTTCCTGGATTATCTCTAACCTCATTCTTGTTGTCCTCATCACAAACGAAAACATCCTCGCAAGCTTTGGTACATTTGAGGTCAGAAGTACATCTTACCTTGGTTTCGTGCTCTGGAGTGTAGCCGGTCTGTCCGCAATCCGTTTCTGTGGAAGTTGTCTTTACCTCATCTTCCGGATATTCATGGGATAAAAGAAAGGCGAAGATTGAAAAGGACAAGAAAAAAAATTATCTATCTATCCATCTATCCATCTATCTATATATTGATCGATCAAGATACTCATTACCACCAACTTTTTTTTTAAATTTTATTTCTTAATTTTCTTTATCATTATTCTATTTTTTTTTACCTATATTTTTAAAGAGAAGCAAAACTTCTTCTTTTGTTTACTTTTGTACAGTAGTAGCAGCCATAATGCTCGTCTTATATCAATACTATCAACCCATCCATTTTCCCTATTTCCTTTAGACCGTTCCAGTTTCAAGTTGTGTTGGTGCTGCTTATTTTTATTATTATTTGGTTATTTTGGATGAAATATTCAAGGCTATATATTTAAATATATAACATATATGTATGTATGTATATGTATGCGTGTATATGTGCATGTATGAATGTGCATGAATGTGTATGAATGTATGAATTGTGTGTGAATTTAGTAAGATTCAATAAACACAGTCAACAAAATAATTGATCCAAAAGAAAAAGAATCTATTGTTTGGATTTGGCTTCACCAAGAAAATCATTATCGGTAATGTAACGGAAACATTGCAAGATAATATTTCTTTCTTGCCGAATATCCTTGTCCAATAACTTGAACATATCAATAAGAAATCAGTAATGGATCATAAATAACCGATATATTGTTTCTGTTCTTTACAAAAAAAAAAGGCTTACCATTCGAAGAAGATTGGGTCTCTTGTTTACTGGTTCTACTTTGGCAGGTTGGCGATGCTCTGACCGTTTTACCTTCTAAACAAGGGGTATGAGTAAACCGAATAAAAGAATATCAAATTCCCGCCAAGATAATGAAACACTTACAGGCTTAATTTCGTGTGAGAAATGGCAAGCGTCTCCTCGTCTGCATTGTCCACGAGCAAAATACTTGCACACTCTTTTGGGACGTTGTGGCGTTTCTACTGTAGCAATCTTTCCGGAACTGGTGGGATCCTTGGAGGATATGGCGTCCTTTTCGGGATCCATAACGCTATCATCATCGCTATCATCACTATCATCACTGTCATTGTGACCTTGAGCTTGAGCTTGATCTTGCACTGTATTTTGTGGCTCTTTTCTGGTGTTATCTAGGGAGCCCATTTGTATAATCTCCTCTATTGTCTGTACCGCATCAAACATTTCTTCTTCAGAATCTGATCCATAGCCAGAAATAAGCCCAAGAGATGTTGTAGAGATTGGCTTTGCCACAATTTCAGGTTCGCTCTTCATAACCCGCTCTTTTTTAACATGGGGCTTATTGAGCTCTTTTCCTTTGCGTTTTGTAGTTGTCTTTGGAAGCTCTCCTTTTGCAGCTCTTTCTTCCGCCTCACGTGCCTAATATAACATGATACAATATAAATAAAAATAAATAAGGATATTGTAATGTAAAGTCTATTAAATGTGTTCTTTTCCCCCACTTCCTATTATCCATTTAAATCCCACTCATCCGTACCTTTCTTTCTACATTTTCTGCACTAGGCCAGTTCTTTTTACGAGCGGCAATCCATGCTGCCAAGGCCTCGGGTGTATCAAGTTTGGGCGCATTTGGTGGAACAACGCCATCAGCTCTACGTATCGAATCATACATGCATGCATGGATACATACCCACAGTTTTTTCATTAGTTTATCCTTCCCATTCCTTTCCTTTCCTTTGGTTTTGAGTAATGTTGGCTTAGGTCTTTACCTATCAGCTTTCTTTTTTGGTTTTCCGTGAAAAGTCTCTTGGTGATCGTCCAAAACAACTTTTACTCCCACAAAATCACAATCAGAATTAGGACATTTTATATGCTGTTTTCGGTGTTGATCTAATGCAATTGCTGATTTATAGATACGGGTACAACAAGATACTCTATTACACCGATAAAAAAAAACATAATTAATTAAATAGTCCTAACACTTTTCCTCTTACTTTTCTTCTTCTTTCGAATTTTGTTTCTATTTTCATTCACTCACCCAAAAGGTTGAGGAGGGACTACAGGTTGAGGAGGGGTTACAGGTTGAGGAAGATCATCATAGGCAACCAAATTGCGTTGATGATTTGGTTGAGGATTATAGTTTATATGTTCTTGCTGAGGGAGATTCCGTGTTTGTACTCCTCCGAGTGAAGACGTAAGGGATGCAGCTGCCAATGCACCTAATGCTTGTCTATTTTGTGTCTGTTGTTGAAGATGTTGCAAGACGGACGAGAATCCAGGTTGACCCTGAGGTATTTGAGGTGTTTGTTGAAAATTTTGGGTTTGCTGATTCGGGTAAATGTATTGACTTGCTTGGCCATGCATGTACCATGCTGGTGTGTTGCCGTGATTCTGTGCCATTTATGAATTTACTTGCTTTGAAAGAAAAAAAAATGTCTTGATGCGTAAAAGCGAAGACAGAAATCATGCTGGTTTTCAGCCACCGAAAAAGGCAGTCCTGCTATTGGCTTTTCACTCTTATTCGTGAGATCAAATGTCTTAATAAACTTTGTTTGTGAATGTAGATTTGATGATACTTAAATAATGATTTTGAGTTTGTTGATATAAGCATATAAAAAAGTAATTTTTTCTTAGGTTGATACTCTACTGTAACAATTAGTTATAATTGTAGTCTATTGAACTGAACAAAGAAGAAAACTATATTATTATTAACGTATGAATGGTTTTTTGCTGTAGTAACCATTATCAATAATAATAATACAATTGAAACAGCTTCAAATGCACCCACACACACCTTGCATAAGTATAAGATAATTTCCAAATTAAAGAAAAGTTAATTCAAAGGATTAGATGGCTTTGAATAAGCCTTTGGTTCGCACGAGCAAACTAATATGTATATATATGAAGTATCCTACCTGCAATGATTTGATTTTAGCTATCTACCGCAAAAATAATCAAGGGTAGTGTATGTAGTTAACATGGTTAAAAGTCTATGTTTGAATATAGCCACAAAGGAATGTATAATTGTAATGTACTTGTCTGCTATATGTATATATCTAGACAGAAAGCAGCATTCCTCACTTGCGAAAGACTTTGATTATAGAAATTTTTTGCTGTGTCGTATTCTTACATAAGAAAGAAAAAGGCAAAGAGAATTACTTAAGGATAATAAACGTCTCTAAACCATAGCAGTAGAAATAAGTTAAATGTAATTATTGGTGTCGAGTAGTTATTACACTTCAAGTAGATCAGGACAATCTTTAGCACTTTGAGAAAACACTTGGATGTTTAAGGCCAGATATATTAAAAATTAAGTGAATAACTGTACTCGAATTATATGTCTTCATACGGAAAAATGTTTTATTTTCAGAGGCACAATTTACAGATATTTTAGTGAGAAGAAAATAAATAAAAATAAATTGTAATATGTCTTACTGAGTCTGACTCTGAGTCTGATTATGTACAAATCTGTATTGCCTGAGTCCCAGAGCAAGTTCAATCAATCAATGGTCAAGTCACTTTTTTTTTGTTTTAAAAAAAAATTGCAACAGAGGTGAAGTAAGAAATTTGAGGTGAACTTGGTCAATTTTAAAGATACATATATATATATACCCCCAAGACTTTCAATATGTGATGATGTAAAAATTTTATGTAATATAGCCCAATTTTTCCTCTCCCATCTGCCAAATATCAAATACTTCCAAGACCTCTTGTGCGAGTCCATTGATACTTCCATCAGTAAAGACATACATAAATACACATGACTATGTTCTTGTAATCTTCCCAATTTTCTACACATTGAGCCCACACCAGAATAATAAATATAAAAAACCAAAAATAAAACCAAATAAAATAAAACCAAAAAAAAAAAACATCAACATCAACATCAACATCAACATCAACCAGTACCAATCCTGTCTACCCAAATCTTCATCGATTGTTGAATCTCTTTCTTTACGGAGCAAATTTCGTGTTATTATTATATTTTTTTTTTCATTGAGGAAAAAAGAAATGTAATTGATTGATGGTGGTGGTAAAATATGTGATGAGCGAGTTATTTCCTCCTTTAGTACTGTGGTATGTATAAAAAGAAGGAAAATAAAAAAAAACTACTCCTTTAAAAAAAAGCTAGTTAGCGTATTTAAGAGCGTTCACCGCGGAGACGACGAGCCAACTGGATATCCTTGGGCTGGATAGTGACACGCTTGGCGTGGATAGCAGCCAAGTTGGTATCCTCAAAGAGAGAGACCAAGTAAGCCTCGGAAGCCTCCTGGAGGGCACCAATGGCGGAAGACTGGAAACGCAAGTCAGTCTTGAAGTCCTGAGCAATCTCGCGGACAAGACGCTGGAAAGGCAACTTGCGGATCAGGAGCTCAGTGGACTTCTGGTAACGACGGATTTCACGGAGAGCGACAGTACCGGGTCTGTAACGATGGGGCTTCTTGACACCACCGGTGGAGGGGGCAGACTTGCGGGCAGCCTTGGTGGCCAACTGCTTACGGGGGGCCTTGCCACCGGTAGACTTGCGAGCGGTTTGCTTGGTACGGGCCATGATGTGTAATGTGAAGAAAGAGTTTTAGTGTTCTTGCCCAAATGAAAAAAAAAATGGCTCAAATGGAAAAAAAAAGACCCCCCTCCGTCCTTTGGACGTCATCAAACTTTACGCGACACCAAAAAAAAAGAAAAAAAAAACTCTTGTAGCCCAATGAGGAGTCTGGTTTTCTAGATGATTGCCTTTATCCACCTTAAAATATGGAAGGTGGCTTGCTGAAAATGCAATTTCGTGCTCATAAAACGCGGTGCCCTGACGCGTCTTGTAAAAAAAAGAAAAATATACGCGTCTCAAGTCTTTTTTTTTTGCCCAAGCAACAAAGAGTTTGAAAATTGGCAGCGTCATCAGCGGATAATTATCTTGTTTTTAAAGGTTTTCTCACTGTGAAAATCTCCTTCTCTTTTTTATATATTTCTTTATACCTAAAAAAGTAAGTTTTCGTTTGTACACAGCAAGAAGTCAATGTATAGTACAAAGGTTTTCTTATACATTGTTTATCAGTGACTGGTCGCGGAAAAGGTGGAAAAGGTCTCGGAAAGGGAGGAGCCAAGCGTCATCGCAAGATTCTTCGTGATAACATCCGTAAGTCATTCCCATCGCATTGCCTACATAACAACTTTCTAATAAACAAACACCTATTCTATAGAGGGTATCACTAAGCCCGCAATCCGTCGTCTCGCACGTCGTGGTGGTGTGAAGCGTATCTCCGGTCTCATCTACGAGGAGACCCGTGGTGTCCTCAAGGTCTTCCTCGAGAATGTCATTCGTGATGCCGTCACCTACACTGAGCATGCCAAGAGAAAGACTGTCACCTCTCTCGATGTTGTCTATGCTTTGAAGAGACAGGGCCGTACCCTTTACGGTTTCGGTGGATAAATTATTTCTTTCGTTAAGAAAGAAAAAATACTCAATAAATAAGCGACAAGCCTTGATATCAAAAAAACCAAACAAAAAAAACTCGTCCAACTACTCTCCCCACCAACCCCCTCTTTTTCTTTTTTCTTCTTCTATGTTTGTTTGTTTGTTTATTTGCTTAATTGACCCTGGATTGGAATTATTTTTTATTTATATCGTTCAATAACGACGATTCCCACCTGTGAACGATTGATAACGTGAATAGTCTGGGAGTTCATTTGAGGCTGGTCCAACTGGAATGTTGTGATCAGAATAGGGTTTGGCACTGAAAAAAAAAGTCGTGAGTAGACTAATCATATACAACATGGGGCCTAAAATAAATCAAGTCTCACCCAGACGTGTATCCAGATCGGGTGGGTGTGATCACAGAACGAGTATTATTCTGATTAGGAATTGGGGGTGGCATAAGGGGGGCTGTAGGTGTCATCCTATTCCTTAGCATTACACGTAGAACCCGACCTATCAGTAAAAGGAGGTTTTCAACTCTTTTTAGCCCTGATCGCCTGTCATCCATCTGTAGATTATGTAAAACAATCTTACCATCCGCAATCCCATTATCCATCTTTGCCACACAGTCTAGTGCTGAAGATTTATGTGCAAATTCAATCTCTGCCTCACCATAAGAACGACCAGAACGGTCCAAGAGTATCTTACACTGCAAAATATGTCCAAAATATGCACATACAGTCTAGTCCCCCACAAACCAGAAATAAAATAAAAAAAAAGAAGATATTTTGGATCCAAATGTTTAGTACAATCTACATTGTCTATACCAATTTTCCGCCATATCACCCACTTACTTACCTTTACATCCTCGGCGTTTGCACCCGGGTCGAGGTTACTGATTAATACCACTGCTGGTCCAGACTCTCCTCGGATAGACAAGCCTCTAACAGGAGACTGCTGTGATAGGCCACGAATGGCATAATTGGTGGGTTGGTGCTGGTATAATGGCTGCTGAGGTGCTCCGAGTCGGATTTCATGAGATAAGGGAGGTTGTTTTCTTATTCGCCCCATCTCACTTCCATCATCAAGCTTTGCATCTTGATTTATCATTAGATCCATTGGCAGGCGGCGTGTTACAGATTTTGTAATTACAATCCTAGATGGATCCGGTTTGGATGTATTATGACTGCTACTGTTATGACTATTGCTGCTGCTGCTGCTAGATGACTGGAGAGGGCTAGCCTTTGCCGGTCGTGCAGAGTACGTCGGGCGACGATTATCCGAGGACTGTAACAGTAGGATGATTAAATCTAGGAGTCATTTCGATCCAACAAAGTACCTCTGAGGTGTTGTAACGTGATGGTTTACTGTAGGGATGTTGGGACTTGCGGTAGGTTTCATGTTTTTCAACCCGTCTATTATCTGAGCCCGCTGGCTTGTAAGATGATTTCGAATAAAAATTATTATCCCGTGAATGCCTATTTTTTCTCGTTTTGATGATTTCGTCTAATGACGTGTCAAGGTCTACAGCAATTGTCTTCATTTCTAAGGGCAATATTCTTTTCAAACCATTCAGCTCAATTCGTTGAATGTGCTTTCCTAGTCACGTGATTTGTACCTGACTACACAAACGAATTTATTAGGAGTGTGAGAGAATCTGCTTATTTGGATCAGTGAGACTAGTCATATCAGATGAGATATTTTTATTACTAAATGTGTTGAAAGCAATGTATATTGCAGCTCTTTAAGAATTCAAAGGGTATAAAAAAGCAATCAAATATTATGTTTTTGATATACTTGATATACAAAGCAAAATCGCTTGATAAATAAACGCTTTTTTTGCTTTATTTTTATTTTTATTCCGGACGATCGCTCCTAACTTTACTGTTTACTGTCGTGACAGTCTAACATGCTTTATATATATATATATGTCACTATCCCCACCTACTTTATCACATTCCCATATATATATATATACTTAACTGTTACACCCAATTTACTATATCTTACCCAATAGCAACATTACAATAAAGACAGACGTTTTATCCATAAATCGAATTACCACAACTGTGTATCACCTAGTATTATAATAAATTTTATACAGGTGTATTAATATTTATTCTACGAAGAGGTGTAAAGCGATAAAGGTATAATTGGACGGTGGAATGCTAAAAAAAACCACAATCAAAGAAACTTTAGAGTAAAAATTCGAGGGTTTCCATATTTTTTTTGTACTTGTGTTGCATTTCTTCTTTTCTGATCTACCCAGTACTAAACTATAGTGTGTTTTAATAAGAGCTTGGGTCGAGAACATAGTATATTTCATTATGATACACATTCAAAATTATTAGAATAATAATAATACATACACATATACAAAAGAGAGAAACAAATGTTAAATACAAAGTCGATTACTTTTGACAATAATACGTTTCTAACAAGACTAAAATCCGCCACAAAGGAGAAACTTCTTAAGCCAATAGTATAGAGTAAAGATAGTAAAATGAACTTTCCACTATCAATAGTGTGTATTACCACGTCTTCTTTGTATCATAGTTCCAGCTCTAGTCACAGAGGATTATAGTATTGAAAGCTAAAATTGAATATATTATATTACAACATCTACAATAGGCCTCCTAACTAGAGAAATATACCTCTTTAGGGACTCGATCACATTCTCTATTGAAAACTTAAAAGCTTAGTTAAAATTACTTGATCCAATTAGAGTTTAAAGTGTTTCCAAAAAGAAATGTTGTATTTTACAAAAAGAAAGAAGAAGCCGCTCTTTTAAAAACCAAACACTGTCCCACCTTCAAAAAAAAATGTGTTCCTTGAAATCAAGTAGGAGCTCAAGATAAAACCCCATGTATACACATATTTTACGAATGCGTAAAACATAAGTGAAATATGTAACGGGTTTTTTATTAAACCAGAATTTCATTCCAGATATTTGTACCTTATCTTGGATATACTTTGTCTAATAATATTAGAATAAAATTGTATGACTATATTGATGTATTTAATATTCCCAATGGTGCTTTACACAGTGACACTGATGAATACTTTGTCTTTTGTTCCACTCATTCAGAGACTTTTAATAGCAGTCAAACTCCCCACCCAAAAACAATGTTGATATGGATCCCCTTGAAGGAACGGAACTGTAACCAACTTGAATTGATCCCATATTGGCATTTTCCTCTCGAACCCTCAACAGAATATTTTATTGCGCTGGAAAAACAAGAATGAGGAATTATCTGGTATATGTACTGATGTTATAATCGCTACTATCATCCAATCAAATTATGACCGCCATTTTGGGCTTCTGGTGAGGTAATACTGGTCAACTCTTCAACAAACAAGTACTTATTCTTCATGTACAAGCTTCGTCTAGCAAAAGTATCCAAAGATATCATTAATGGTTCCAGCCAGAATATCTAATCTGCCCTCCAAGTCAACGTTATATCCCAACAACAACAACAAAAAGGTATCATAAATGAAATTACGTTCAAGATAATGAACAAATCTCTAGAATAAAAATTTTGGCTGGATATTTTATTTTGCATTTTGCTAGATATTCTATGCCTATTTTACGTATATCCAAAATATTTGTAAATATCTGATTTAACTTGAACATTATGACTTAACACAATGACAGTATTTAGCGATGATATATATAATGCATTGTATTTAAGACAATATATGTAGGCTTTTATCATTATATCATATATGTTATTTGCTTGATTAAAAACTTTACCATTATAGCACATATTGAAAATGTAAAGACGTGTCAAAATCAGGTTTAATGTGGAACTAGAATTTTGCAAAGTGTATCGGGTTTAATTGCCAAAGAAGGCTTCCATTATCCAAGCCGAGAGTCTTTTTTTAAATACTATACTTTATTACAAAAAACATATACTGTGGTACATATTTGCTTTTAGAATCTTCTTAGCCTCTTTTAGTATCAATATTTTGCTGGTATCGATGGGCTAGGTTCACGCAAGCTTAATTGTAGTTATTATATTATCGCCTCGTTATTGATATCTGCCGATTCATTTTCTCTTGAATTTTTAAAGAGAAAAATATATTGTACTCCCTTAGTTACTACTATTACTATTACTATTTTTATTATGATTATTATCTTTGAAGCTTTATAGGATGTCAGCAGTTTATGCTGGTACGCCGAATGTTTCTCAAAGGTACTTTATTATCTCAGTCTTATTTTGTTTTATGTGTAATTCTTCTACCATAAATACAAAATCTAAGGTTTCCCAGCCTTGTGTAAAATATAGCCTATTCAACTTTTATCTATAATTATTCCAGCCATTATTAGCCACGAGTGGATTTTGAAATGTCTGGTATATAAAATCAAAAACAAGGTAGCAATAGATCAAGAACAGGAAACCAAAATATCCTTCGAATATCGCTGTTTGACGAGGTTTTTTGCGTGAGATAGACTTTTTTTTGTAAGAGAAAAACTAAAGATAGTTTGTGTGCGTGTGTATACGTGTGTTTAATTGTAAATATCCGAGAACTCATCCTTAGGATAGTTTTACAGAACTAGGAAGTTGGTCGCCACATTAGATTTATGCAGATATGTACTTAAAAGTGATTATATTTGAAACAGAAAGTGACTTAATCCAAAAAAGCCTAATACAAAAGAAGAATAGTACCTTCGTGTTAAATCCCCAACCTTGGTTGAGTGAGGAGTGGAGAAAATTGAGCGTGATGCCAAGAGGTTGGATGGTGGGTGATACAAAGTTTACAGCATGGTTACTACAAATTTGAGTTTTTTTTGTATTTCAGGGTCTGAAAAATTCAAAGGTTACAATGAGTTGTACAAATCCGGAAAGATCGAAAATTTTGAGTATAAGAAATATATGTCTATATCAATACATAAAAGTCTTTTGACTAAAGAAAATTGACTTTTTCTCAACAAAGTAACCGTAGACTAAGGTACATATTCTACTTGATGTCAAGGAATACTCTCAAACTAGCGTGTGTATTTATATTCCAAAAATCAAACTAGCGGGTGCTAGGGAGATCAAGATATCAAGCACTTATCTCAGCTTCTTATTTTTCTTTATTTTGTTTTTCTGAATTTATTTAGGCAGTTTAAATATTGTCTTGTGTACATATTTTTTTTGTTTGATTTTTCTGTTAAACAACTGTAACCTTTAAGAGTACTAAATTCCTTAGGCATGTCTTTAATTTTCCAAATTTGGATTATTTTTTGCATATCGATTACACAGTCTATACTATATACTAACACATAGAACGTTGTAGCAAAGAAACATACGCTATTTTCCAGAAATAGTTATTATCAAAATATGCTACATATATTCCATGTATATCTCCTTATTTAGAGTATTTATCAGATTTGCTGTTTACAAGTACATTGGAGCATATACTAAATGTACCTAAACGATTTGTACTTCATATTATCATTTATTCTTAGTAATAAAATTAAGTTATAATAAATCCATAAATGTAAGAAAGAAAAAGAAGTATTACGGAGTTAGAATGAGTAAAGAGACGGGGAATCAGTGATGGACCGAAATACAGAGGTAACAATTGAAAGACATCCGCGATTGGTAAAGTGGGGTCACCGAAGATCTGATAGCTTAAAAGCAGTATTTCCCCATCCTTTTTGGTTTCGGCTTTATCTCTGCTACAATGGTACATCTCGGCCTTCAATATCCACACCCCTTCATTTCTACTATCATCATACTTTACCTTTACGCTATAACACTAGCATCAAGTGCATATACTGGACCTTCAAATGATTGGAAAAAAATCGAACCTCGCTATGCCGCAGCTACTTTTGTGCATGGAAATGCGCTGTATGCTTACGGAGGAGCGACCAGTCAAAAAAATACATCGGATTTGTTCACTTCTATGTTTCTATCAAAGAAAGATGGTCTAGAAGGGCAGAGAGAATATGAATCATTTTTTGAAAGGAATGGTCCGCTATCCAGCTATTCCCAGACAGTAGTTTTGCCAGACAACCACACAGTATTGCTTTTTACAGGATACGAAGAAAACAGGCCTGATAATGATAGCACAATGCACGCTTATACCTATGATCTCAATGACAATAACTCTACTTGGAAGCAAGTTATCCCAAGGACCAATACATTTGTACCATTGTATCGTACTGGGTTTACTGCCACACTAGCACCAAATGGACAAGTCTATATTTTTGGTGGAGAGGAGCTCGGGAAGTCAGTTGTCAATCAGCTATGGTCTTTTGATCCAGTCAATCTTGAATATAAGGATCTCACTCAGACAAATCTTAACTATCGGAGTGGACACACAGCTACATCGCTTCCGTAAGTCCTCTGAAAAAGTTACATGTATAAGAGCGTGAGAGTAGGATATAAAGTAACAATTAGTATTCTTTATATAGAAATGGCCAGATTGTATTTATTTCAGGATTACATGTGAATGCATTTATGAATGATTCAGCACAGCTGATAAGATCCAATGAAGTTGATATATACGACACGGATCTAAATACATGGACAAGCTTAAATACCACTGGAGAAATACTTAGAAAACGAATAGGCACAAGCTCAGCCCTAGGTTTGTACCGATATATTTCATTTAGTATATTATCTTTTGTAGATATAAAAATTAACATTAAGCTATAATAGGTCCAGACAATAAGACAATATTTCTATTCGGTGGTAAGGAAACATATAAAGTATTAATTCCGAATAAATAATATAATAACACATTGATTTACTATAGGAGACAATGGTCTTACCGCTTTAAACCGAATAGAATGCAACGAGGTCCTCTTATTGGATACAACTACATGGGTCTGGAAAAAACCAAATATAACTGGTGTTTATCCGACCGCTCGTTCAAGAGCATCCATCGGGTTTATTGATAAGAACTTACTAGCAATTGCCTATGGTAACTGGATACATTAAGGTATACAAGTACAAGTACAAACGTCTAATATTTTTCTTTACAGGTCAAACCTCGTTTCTTTCTTACAAAGATTTGAGCATACTTCGTATTGATGATCAAGAAACCTCTAAATATTCCTGGTTAAGTGGCCCAAATGACTTACTTAACGTGGACCATACATACCCAAACCTTTCCCGACACATGGACGGAGGAATAATTGCTGGAATTGTTATTGGCTCTATTCTACTTGCGATTATATTGGCATATTGTATATGGAAATCATATAGAGACTTATATTTCTTACCTAATCTAGTGTGGGACTTTCTTTGGGACCCAAGGTAATATACATATATATTAACTTTAAAAAGCTTAGTATTAACGTAATTGAGTTTTTAGGAACGGGGAGCCACTGTGGACTGAAATATGCCGCCTAATAATTCAATGTATTCTTGCATTTCAATTCCTGGCATATTTGGGTTTTTCTATTCAGCAAGCCATTGAAAGCCCAATAACAAGCATCACAATCCGTACAAAAGTATCATCTGTTCAAGTACCAGGTACTTAATTATATACGTTTTAATAATGATTAATTGACTAACCTAAATCGAACTAGACCTTCGATTTTGTTTTGACGGATGGGGAGTTTCTGAATTTTCAAACCGAGAATACCATAAAGGAGATCTTGGTGTCAGAATATCCTGTAAAACTGACACGGGGTATGCGTGCTCAAACTTTATTACACGACTCGATAGAACAGTACATCTTCCTGCGTTTGAGTACACGCTTGAAAGCCCTGATTGTTACCTATTTTCCCCGCCAAGTTGGTTCCGCTTAGAAGACACCATAGACGGAGATAATAGTGGAACCAAAGTTCGTTTCATGTTTAACGGAGATCAATCTATTGCTGGTACTGTGCGTATAGCACAATATCCACCTGGGGTGAATCCTAACGTTAAAGTATACAATATAACTACAACCGACGTTCCGCTGATTATGTCAGACCAAGCTGTCGATGAATGGGCAATGCGGGACATGCAAGGAGAAACTGATACAAATACCTTCACAATCTATACAAACGAGACACTATCTATGGAATATCAAGTCAAAGACCATCAGTACCTTGATGACAATAGCTGGAACCAAATAGGCTTCTTACCTTGCTACAACCACACTCCAGAAATTAGCACGTCAGCACTCGCAAGCGACTTTCTTATGGCGTACAATGGATTCAGCTCTAATTACATGGGACTTTTTGGGTCTGTGACTTTATACCCAACCGATTACACTACGGTTATAGAGCAAGAACAAAAAATCCATACGATTATCAATTCGCTTGGTTCTGTCGGTGGTATTCTCAGTCTCATTATCAGTGTACAAGTATGGCTATTTGGCTTTCGTCCTAAATCTCCTTGGGGTATTGTTCAACGTTGGTCCAATGGGCCTATGAGGCGGTCTCTTGACAGAAACCTGACAAAGAATTTCGAGACCTTATATACAGCAGTTCCGTTCGTTAGTAATGTTGATAATAACATCTTGACCAGAAGCAATAGCTACGACGACGAAACAATCAAAGAAAAAGATAGAATCCTGCCACTACTCGATCAAAAGGAACGAGTGCTCGTACTGGAAAAACGCTTTCAATTAATGGAGCGTTTACTTGAAGCTTACTACGTCGATATTGAGATATTTAAGGAGTTAGATTCAGCAATTTCACGATTAGAACCACCTTTATCACCCAATTTATCAGACGAGGATTTGAGTGTCACTGTCACTAGCATGCAAAGTCGAACATTTAGTGAATACAGCCTTTGAATAAATGTATAAAAAAATGTATAGAAAGAGAAAGCTTATAATTAAACATACCTGTATTATATCATATTTAAATAAAATAAAGAAACCATAATATTAAATACAAATATTTATTTTATTTAAGCCCTGTATTCCTTGATCGGTTCCAGCTGGAGGACTGTATTTACTTCATGTAATGACTAAACAATATATTATCAGATTAATATATGCACTTCCCCTCGTTTTCTCTGCCCAAAATTTCCTTCAAGTTTTTATACTTTGACTGGGAGAACATACTCCTATAATTTATTTCTTATCTTTCCTATACATCAAAAAATACTTTGCCTTTACTTTCCTCATATTCTTCCCTTTTCTTTGCTTATGGTATACTACTTTAAGTAAGCAAATCTCCTTCACTTTCTTTTGGTGTATATAGTTATATTTCTCTTCGTCTAAACATTTCCTGATTTGTCTCAATCTCAAGTAAAATCATTGTATTATTTCTTTATTTATAAAAAACTATCGGAATAGATTGCTGGTAGGTGTATACTGTATCCATTATTATTATTAAGCAAATAGTATTAAGTTATATAAAGTAAGATGGAAGGGAAAGAAGAGGAGACTACAGTCTTTGTTTCTTCCAACAATAACATGTATTCGGCATACGACCTCAGCCAAAAGACGTGAATATATCAATATTTATTAAAAGATAAATTTTATAAAGATAAAATATAGTCAATATAAGAAGTGCTTATTTACTGAAAATGTGACAAGTTATTTTATTACTAGCATATCTCTTCATTCTTTTGCAACTTTATAAGCATATATGCATTTTGTAAATATATAAGCACAAGGACAATACATGTTTAGAGATAATGTTTATATATTTGTTCATTTATTTATTTATTGAAGGTCAATATTAAGTATCTATATAATTCCAGTCGGTAAATCCTAAATGCCTATCCAGGGAAAGTCCATCGGTGCTCTACATCTTGTTCTTGTGCTTTAAAATCTGCTGTAATAAAAAAAGAAAGAAAGAAAGAAATATAAAAGTACGTACCTGCAAAAACAAACACGCAAAAAAAAACGGACCCAACGAGAAAAAAAAAACTAACTAAAAACACAGTACGAAGTTGGGGACATCTCACTTATACGACATCCGGTGGATCAGCACAACACCGAGATGAAGGACGACTAAGCGTCAAAAAAAGAAGTTGGCGCAATGCCTTGAAACCCTCGGCCTCGTACTCAGAATCCTGGAAACCACCAGAGCTCAGTCAGGGTCCCGAAGGTTAACCTGTTGGCTTGAACCTCGTTATATACAAAATAAGAACAAGATAAAATGCTGAGATGTTTTGCTTTAGCTCATGTTTTGGAACGATTACTCACCGATTAAGGAGTTCACCAAAGTACTCGCGTACTCTAATGAACTCGCCCGCTGGACCGCTATTTTATTTTTGAAAAAAAAAATATGCAGATAAAACACGTTAGTATCTTTTCATGTCAAGTTGGTAAGTAATAAGCATGGAGATTAGCAGCAGATTTTTGCACACAAGAACAAGAGCAGGAGTGTTTTTTAGGCTTCTAAATATTTCTTGCTGTCATTCTATTGCAAATAACAAATAAAAAGTTAGATCTTGCCCAACATTAAGTGCATGAGGTTGGTAGCATTAGCCATTCTCTCGTTTTCTTGAATCCGTCAAAGTTGAGAATATGGAGCGCCTCTTTAAAAAAGAAAAAGGCGAAAATATGTTCAGGTTAACTTATGACACCGAAAGAGACACATTTGAGCTGGCTTTAACATGCTGGTGGTCTTTACATTCACTACTTACCTGGCGTAAACGTAGACAGACCTAAAAGAAGGGAAATACAAATAAACAGACGCGTATGCCCTTGAAATAATTTTTTCCTACGCCAATATAGATGACATTATCATCTATTAGTGATGCAAGCATTCTCACCCACTGTGAGAGAATTTATTAGAGCAAAATAACCACTGCAGTAAAAAAAAGACGTGATTCAGAGGGCGATTCTGTAGAATGCATGTGATTTTTTTTATAATCACCCCCTGAAGCGCAATTTTTTTCTCATAGTGGCTAAGAATGCTTGCATCACAGATAGGTGATGATGTCATCTATATTGGCGTAGGAAAAAATTATTTCAAGGGCATACGCGTCTGTTTATTTGTATTTCCCTTCTTTTAGGTCTGTCTACGTTTACGCCAGGTAAGTAGTGAATGTAAAGACCACCAGCATGTTAAAGCCAGCTCAAATGTGTCTCTTTCGGTGTCATAAGTTAACCTGAACATATTTTCGCCTTTTTCTTTTTTAAAGAGGCGCTCCATATTCTCAACTTTGACGGATTCAAGAAAACGAGAGAATGGCTAATGCTACCAACCTCATGCACTTAATGTTGGGCAAGATCTAACTTTTTATTTGTTATTTGCAATAGAATGACAGCAAGAAATATTTAGAAGCCTAAAAAACACTCCTGCTCTTGTTCTTGTGTGCAAAAATCTGCTGCTAATCTCCATGCTTATTACTTACCAACTTGACATGAAAAGATACTAACGTGTTTTATCTGCATATTTTTTTTTTCAAAAATAAAATAGCGGTCCAGCGGGCGAGTTCATTAGAGTACGCGAGTACTTTGGTGAACTCCTTAATCGGTGAGTAATCGTTCCAAAACATGAGCTAAAGCAAAACATCTCAGCATTTTATCTTGTTCTTATTTTGTATATAACGAGGTTCAAGCCAACAGGTTAACCTTCGGGACCCTGACTGAGCTCTGGTGGTTTCCAGGATTCTGAGTACGAGGCCGAGGGTTTCAAGGCATTGCGCCAACTTCTTTTTTTGACGCTTAGTCGTCCTTCATCTCGGTGTTGTGCTGATCCACCGGATGTCGTATAAGTGAGATGTCCCCAACTTCGTACTGTGTTTTTAGTTAGTTTTTTTTTTCTCGTTGGGTCCGTTTTTTTTTGCGTGTTTGTTTTTGCAGGTACGTACTTTTATATTTCTTTCTTTCTTTCTTTTTTTATTACAGCAGATTTTAAAGCACAAGAACAAGATGTAGAGCACCGATGGACTTTCCCTGGATAGGCATTTAGGATTTACCGACTGGAATTATATAGATACTTAATATTGACCTTCAATAAATAAATAAATGAACAAATATATAAACATTATCTCTAAACATGTATTGTCCTTGTGCTTATATATTTACAAAATGCATATATGCTTATAAAGTTGCAAAAGAATGAAGAGATATGCTAGTAATAAAATAACTTGTCACATTTTCAGTAAATAAGCACTTCTTATATTGACTATATTTTATCTTTATAAAATTTATCTTTTAATAAATATTGATATATTCACGTCTTTTGGCTGAGGTCGTATGCCGAATACATGTTATTGTTGGAAGAAACAAAGACTGTAGTCTCCTCTTCTTTCCCTTCCATCTTACTTTATATAACTTAATACTATTTGCTTAATAATAATAATGGATACAGTATACACCTACCAGCAATCTATTCCGATAGTTTTTTATAAATAAAGAAATAATACAATGATTTTACTTGAGATTGAGACAAATCAGGAAATGTTTAGACGAAGAGAAATTAGTTTTCGGACAAAGTATATAATTATTCAAAAATATTACCTGTAATGGTCTAAATGTCTCAAAGAGACAAGCTGTTTACGCTACAATGACGGGATTTATTTTTTATTATTATTGCTGTGGTTATTGAGACTTGTTTGCTCGCTTCTATCAGATCTTTGGAAAGCGGTTAGACTTTTTAATTTTGTATTTTTATTTCTGCACAAGTACTCAGATTCATTAAGAGTATATGCGTCGGTTACATTCTATAAAACATTATATATAGTGTATATTAGTCATACCGAGGATTGAATACCGGTCAAAAAGAGATGCTCAAGTTGTACTTATTTTATAAAAGAACATTTGAAATTTTTGACGGTATAAAGTTGTCCTTTCTTTAATGGTCTGTAAAACTTGTAATAATTTGTGGCGGCGAGATATTAAGTCTGCAAAAAATATGACGACAATTGCTTTGTCAACTTGGAAGAAAACCCATTGACCAACAGCTTTCCAAAGATCTGATAGAGGCAAGCAAGCAAGAATCACCACATCAATAGCCATGGAAAAAAACAGCAGCAACAGAAATTCCGCCAGTGTATCGAAAATAGTCTATATCTTTGAGGAATCTAGATAATTACAGGTAAATATCTAAACGTCAACGTCTGTTTGTCTGAAAACTAATTTGTCTTTGTTTAAATTTCATTCTTGTTCTGTCCACAAAAGGCAAGAATATTGTCTATAATTACATTTTGATTCGTCTAAAACATTTCTTAATTTGTCACAATTTCAAGCAGGAACACCGTATCAATTGATGCCCAACCAGAATCAAAAGCCATCAAACTTGCAGATCAGGCATGAAAGAACCACTTTTATACGTGACCGTCTTTGGGTTGACTTGCTAAAATTAAGTCTTCATGAATCACACAAAGTTGCCTGACATTACGTTAGATTCCATGTTGTTGTGTTTATAATTAGGGTTTCTTTTACTGAATTTACTCTAGTATATAAACATATTTGAATAAATAACTAGCATATATAAAAAGTGTCGAGTAAAGAGCTTTAATATAATATGAATAAAAAAGCCCTCAAAGCACATTTGGGCGCTATTGCCACAAAGGCAGAACGTGCAAAATGGCCACCGAGCCTAAGGTAAATAGAAATCGAGAGGAATGAAAAGAGAAAACTCTGATATGAGCGTGTTAGTGATGGACGAGATTAGAAAGTATGTAGCATCTGCATTTGAGCAATGTTTGCCTCGGAAAGAGAATGAATTAGTAGAAGATCTTAAGCTCACAATCGCTGCAGCTAAAGAGCAAGACATGCTTTCTATGGACTGGAGTGACTTTATATTACCCACGTAAGCAAACCAAAACATACCTGGAACGAACTACAACGGCGATATACCAACGGGATCTAAATTATGACGATAATATAGTATGTGCAGTAAAGGAGCAAAGTCTTCAGACGAACCAAAGGTTAAAAAACTGTAGGTGGGATACTAATCGAGAAAAATAAAATAACGATGATTTTAATCACAAAATAATGCATCAAGGTCTACGAAGAGAGATTTGAATATGGCTGATATTGAGGATACTCCAGAGGAAAAACGACGCCGTGAATTAAGAGCAAAACGTTTTGAAGACGACCACCCTGTTGAACATATTCAACCAACTAGCTTGGAGCTGAAAGTTGATGGGGTACGATATTCAAAGTCATTTGAAAAGCTAAAATGTAACATCTGAATTGCGCCCCTCTTCTGTTTCCTTAGAATGGCGAAGAGTACTGGCATGGAAAGCCAGTGGTTGGAACATGTACTAGCCTCGAAAAGCAATATTTACGGATTACATCGGTAAGTACTTTCTCTCTCTCTTTAGATGGGATATTTGTTCAATCCTAATAATCATTTATTTTAGGCAGTTAATCCAAGTACTGTAAGGCCTCTCCCGATTCTAAAACAGGCATTCAGATATGTGACAACTTACTGGAACACCTACAAAGACTATACATATACTTGTGATCAAATGAAGTCTATACGACAGGACTTAACAGTAAGTAAAGTCTCTTGCCCAATATGCACGTATCTAATCTCAATGTTATATTCTGTATAGGTTCAATGTATCCGAAACAAGTTTACTGTCAAAGTGTATGAAGTTCATGCTCGTATTGCTCTTGAAAAGGTAGCCAAAGAAAGTTTGTTGTATATTCATGTCTATAATGGATTTTTAATCAATCGGATTTCGATTGTAGCAAAAATTCAGGTCCTCACCTTTGTAACCCCCAACTTTTCTGTATAGGGTGACATGGGTGAATATAATCAATGCCAAGCACAACTCAAACAACTTTATACATCGGACATACGAGGGAATCGCGATGAGTTTATTGCTTACAGGATTCTTTATTTTCTGTTCTTACAAAATATGTGTGGTAAGATTCGCTGTATTGTGAGCATTAATTTTCTTTGATAACAATTTTTTCTAACGCTTGATGTAGACCTTAACGATCTTATGAAAGAACTTGTTGGAAAACCAGAACGTGAGAGCCCATATGTACAGCATGCGCTAGATGTTAGCAGAGCGCTGTCGATGTGCAATTATCATGCGTTTTTTAAACTGTATCAAAGTGCCCCAAATATGGGAGGACATCTTATGGATAAATTTGTAACTCGAGAGCGAGTTAAGGCTCTTATTATGATTTGTAAAGCGTAAGTGTATTCAAACTAACCAATAATTATATATACTAATCATACTGTTTTATTTTATTTGTTAGGTATAAGATGGGTATTTCTGTAGATTTTGTTGCACAAGAGCTTGCCTTTCCATCTTCTGAATCATTCATTAAGTTCTTGAAAGGAATGTCTATCAATCTAAATCGAACGCCTGAAGGTTATATGATAGACACAAAGACCTCTTTACCTACACTGATGGAGCAATTGAAACTATCTTGATGGTTTTATTGTTATTGAAAAGCGATATTTTTGTCCTTAGAGCATCTGTGGCTGTTATTTTAAAACTTATTTTATATATAAAGTAAAATTTCGATATTGGTGATTAAATAAAAAAAACTAAAAACGTCTAAAGCCGTTACTTTAAAAGTAAAAACTGCAAAATTATATCACTTATTATTACCCATTGTTAAAAGTTGGTTTTATGTCGAGTACACCTTTTTATAGAGTGTGCCTTTTTTATTATTATAATAGAAAGTTTTTGAAGACATTTTCTGGATTTTAAATCTCCAGTTCCATAGAAAGTAATTTAAAGTAGCGTGTAACATTAAGTACAGTATATTCCGGTTCCTTGTTTAATAGATGGTCCAGCCAGTTTACATCGTCTAAAGTGAATGTTTTTAAAAAATATGCGACTTTTTGGTATATAACTCTAACTAATTACTTTAGGTGATATACTTGGACGAAGATTGGAAGAACCTTCTGTCCGAAACTTTCAATATTAATTGATATTTTAATTGGGGGTTTTTTTTCATAGATTATAGTAGTGTAGCTTCTTGGCCTCTTGGCTGAAATAACTTGCATATGTAAGCCTTTCATTAACAAACATAAGACATATACATGTTAATTATAAGCAATATATAGAGTAATTTCCTATCATATCATATATTACCTGAATGAATAATTCCAAACGTATAATATTGCAGACATTTCCTTTGTTTTCTTTGATAAGCATATCCAGCATGTATTTTAAGGCTTTTGGTAGTTTATAACTTTTTTTTGTGCTTTATTTGTTTCATTCAAACCGTAAACTTCTGCGACCTCTGCTGCACCATACTCTAAGCTAATCGTGGGTTTTTGATTGTCTTCTTTTATTATGTATTTGAATCTTCGACCCATACTTGTCTTGTTCAAGTTATATATGTCTTATAAAGTTATTGTTATTTTCTCTAGCAGAAGAGGCAACTGATTTCCCCTTAGCTCTAAGAACATTTGGTAATTAAAATAAAAGTTTAAATAGGAATGTATAAAAATATTATTACCTTATCATTTCAATCCTTTTGAGATTCCCAAAGCATCTGTCTATGATGCCCCACACGTGCATTTTGTACCAGCTCTCGAGGTGATCTTTTGCCAAGATATCTTATTCGTATTCTTACATAAGCATGTACATGGGTGAATTAATACAATTCAAACCAAAGTAAGTACTTTGGTTGTAATTTTCTTTTCAATTTTCTCTTTTATACAATGCATTTCTGATGTCTGCTGTTCACCTATAGTTACATTTGTTCAAATAGTGCCTTGAATCGTCAGGTAGTTGTAATGACATATTGCTATTACTAGTAATTATCTTATCAATATCCTCACTAATGAATGTTCGATGTATTGTTCAAAATCATTGATATCAAAGATGAATGACTGAGAAGGATTGCCTTCAATTTGAAGCTCGCCAAATTCGTACAAGCAATCTTCCACTACAGTACTCGTTGAGAGGGTTTATTTTTTTCTCTCGTTTTCGAAACTTTCAAATCCTACGTATAATTCTTTGTTTTATTTGGGTGCTAATAAAAAGCAGATGATTATATATAAATTCAAGAAGACTTGTTCCAATACTCACTATCTTTTTTCATCCAAATGAGCTCCAAGCTCGTAAAAGGCCCCAAAATGATCTGAGCAACTAGGACAGTCATAGTTTTTAACTACTTCTTGCCTAGTGTATTAAGACTGTTATAGTGGAGTTGTATTTTGATTATGAACTTCTTATACACTTTAGATAGCGTTGTAATGATCTCTCAAGTTCCGACAGTTAGAAAACCTTAAACTTTCACAAGTATGCCAAATACAAGCAATTTTATTTTCACATAAAATTATAACCACCTAATTTACAGTTAGGAAAAGTGCGAAAGGTGAACAATTATGTACCAAAATACTGAGAGGGTGGTTAAATTCATATAGTAAAAAGGTAAAAGATTGGAAGAAAGGGAAAGAAAATAAGATATGAGATCACTTAGAATATAGATAATTTGGTAAGAATATAAAAGGGTGTTTCACGTAACAGAGTACAGAGTACAGAGTATTAGAATATGAATAATTTATAAAATTTGGAACAATTTACCATTACGCTCAATATTCCTTAACCTCAATTGAGTCATTTTGATATACAGTAATATCAAAGCTCCCAGCAAATACTATACTTGTCATAAAGCTATCTTAATTGGAACTAATGAGTAATTAATCTTCTCAATATAGTGTATTTATAAGATTATTTTTAACGCCTTCGTTTTTTTCTTACCTTTACGTGGAGTGCATTCATTCGACTTTGATTTTACAAGCTCCGCGTCCATGACAGGATCTGTCTTGATATTCATGCTAAAAGTCAAAGACAAATACAGAGAAATACGGATCACAGATTTTTAAATTTTAATCTTATTCAAAGTCTTCATTTTACGCGTCTTTTATTCTTAGCTTTCTTCTATCCTTTCTTTAAACAATATATTGTGCCATGAAAGGGACAGCAAGAAGTGTCCTGGGACTTGCGGTCATCAGCACGTACTGTCTGGCTACACTCGCAGAGTCACCCCCTGTGGAATTAACCTTGGTAGCTCCATGGAGTGCACCTCATCTATCCATTGAAATAGCGTATGATTATTTCTGTGTATTACTTAATAAATATTATGCTTAAAAAACCAAAACATCCAATTAGTGAAACTGTGGGAATGGAGAATGAGACAACGTACTTCTCATTCATCAGCGATCTTTTACATCACTCCAATTCCGACTCTCACACACCTCAAAAACTCTATCAAAATTGTATCAAAACGGTCCAAGATTATGGCCACGCCTCCTATCCTGAAGGAGTCGAAAGTATCAAGCTTTCACTTTCTCTTCATCTTGCATCGCCTCGTGTCGAAGCTCATCACCAAGTCTACACCAACAGTATTCTTCCTCATTTGCCCGCTTATGATGAGACATGTACAGTATGGGCCCAGGCAGGAGACACTCAGGTGTGCGATGTAGAGAAACTTGAGGAGGTTATCAAGGCTATGAACAAAGTGGATACAAAATCAATTGTGTTTCCATTTGATCATATTCTTCATCCTTCTCAGTATACTACAGACAAAGATATACCTGTGATATTTGTGTATACATCAGAATTATCTCCTACCTTTAGAAAATTCCACACTTTTATGACCAATGCCGTGGAGAAGTATGGCGTATCCTATGTGGTTCGATATAAGCCTTCTTCTTCTCCCGATACACCCTTGTATTTAACAGGTTACGGTGTTGAATTGGCACTCAAAAACACAGATTATTTGGTCATTGATGATAAGGCAGTTCAAGGTAACATATATATGCCTTTAGTAGTTTCCTTTTCTTCTTACAGTCAAGAAATATCATAGAGATAGATAGATAGAGATAGGCAATTTATATGGAAAATAATCCTTCTTAAATGTATAATGACATTCTTTTTTTTCATTACAGAAAATAAGCAAAAGACATTTATCAGCAAAGTATCCAGCTTTGGTAGAAAGGTCGGGCATAATCTGTTTGAGACGTCCAAGACGACAATTGCACCACTTACACCTGAAGAAATTGAGAAACTTGGTCTCAAAGCTGCGCAGTTTATTATTACAGCAGAAAATCCCTTTGAAGCTTTGATTCACCTATCCCAAGACTTTCCAAAGTATGCCAAGAGCATTAGTCAGATAGAGATGGATGATGAACGTGTTCATGAATTCAAAGAAAATCAGGCTTCAATGATTCGTGGGGGTACCAATGCAATCTGGTTCAATGGACAGAGTGTAGAGGTAGAGCAGGTAGATCCTTTCTAGTAAGTCTTAAATCTACTTTTTTTGAATATATATAGTAACGATAGTAACGATGAGCATAAGCTTAATAAAAGACGGTAACTAATTTTACTTTATTCAAGTCTTGTTCGTGTCCTGAAGCGTGAGCGCGCGTTGATCGATTCGTTGAAACATATTGGGTTTACATCAAGACAATCCATTGATCTAGTCTCTTCTCATGCTCTTTCTCACGAAGATGTTCACGACACAAGTTCTCCAAAAGATGTTTATGATGTGCGTGAACAAGGCTTGGCCATTTGGTGGAATGATATTGAGAAGGAAGAGCGCTATGAAGGATGGAGTGATAACATGCTTGATGTAAGTCAGTAAAATTTTATGAGAGGAAGCTGTATATATAGATGTCTTTTATGTTAATTACCATAACAATAACAACAAAAATAAAAATAAACATTCTTATTAATGTTCAACAAATTAGCTTTTGAAACCTACGTATCCTGGACAACTGAGAACTATCCGTAGAAACATTTATAACTTGTTGATGGTTGAAAATTTGAGCTCTCACGCCGCTCTCACCCGTTTGAAGAACGAAGTTCTAGAGATGGTAAAGAGAGGCACTCCTATCAGATTTGGTCTACTCCCAGTGATTGGGGATGAGACATCTCCTGGTAAGAAATGATACAGCTTAGAAACACCAATTAAACAGATTACTTTACATATTAATATTTAAAACCTATATAGCTACTGTGGCCGCAAAGGCAGTTAATTATATTGTCAGAGAATATGGTACAAACAAAGCAATGGATTTCGCGTCAAAGGTTAGATATTGAAACGATGTTAAATTTTACATACTCATGAACCAGACTATTTTTGCTTGGATTATTTATTTAGCTAGCAGACTTAGTCGAAGCAGACCAGAAACTCGAAGCTTCTTTAGCTACAATTGAGTCTGCTTTTACTCAAACTCTTGCCACAGAAGGAAAACCGAAATCAAAGGAAATAAAATTCTTTGCGCAGATCTTAAACGATGAACAAGATTATATCAAAGAAGTCGGTGTTTTCTTGAGGAAAATGGGCATAGCTAAAGATAGTGAGGGTGCCATGTTCCTCAACGGAAAATTCTTGGAGTTCAGCGATGACACCGTAAGCTTTCCAAAATCTCACAAGTTTATATTCTAAAAACCCAAACTAAATGATGGTTTCCGAGTATAGCCCTGGACACGAACTCTGATGCAAGGATTGCAGGAGCAAACTCAATTGATTGCCAATGCTGTAAGATTTTTTTTTAAAAAAAAAGGAAAATACTAAGTAACTATTTACCTAAATATTAAATTTATATATTGATTAGATATACTATGGATCGATGCAGCCAAAAGAAAACATATACAACTTCCTTCTTACTCAGTTTTACGTAACTGGATCTCGTAACCCTTATATTGCACCATCTGAAAGCCATCCTCTAAAAGTACTTCCTGTACACAAGGAGTTTGATGCTTTTAAGAGCTTACACTACCTCCAAAACAGTAAGTACATAGAAAGTATATAAGACGGTGGATATACTGGGAAACCTAAACCAAATTTTGCTTTGTAGCTGACCAGCCTGGAATAAACACTAATTTATGGATTGTGGCAAATTTGGATACAATTCAAGGCCTCAAACTTTCTTTGGAAGCTTTGAGCTTTGTGGTATGTTTATTATGTCTAATCAATAAGCTCATCAATCTTATATAAACTCGGGTTAATTTTTTTTTGTAGGAAACAAACAACCAAACCCGTGTTTCCTTGATACACAATCCCGAGGCTTGTGGACATAGTTCCGCAATATTAGGAAATCAAAAGTCAGAAAAGGCACTGTTTTCAGATGTCTGGTATAGTCAGATCTATGGAAAGATTACAGAAATTCCCAAGGTCAAAGAACTTCTTTCTGCTGCAATCCAGAGTATGGAGGAAGAAAAGGGCGCAAAATTGATCAACCAGGTCAAGTCATTCTCTCCTGGCGCCTCAATTGTCCGTATGTTCTCTAGAGAAAAGGCTAAGGATGTCAAGTATATCTGTGACGTTTTGAAGCATTTGGGCATGCAAGATGATTTTACTGGTGCTATTATTAATGGAAGAGTAAGACCACTCCGAATAGTGCTTTTAAGTGTGTGGGGATATTAACTGTCCAGATGTCTAACTTTTTTCTTTAAAAAAAATGGCTTGTAGGCAATTGGTTCATTCCCCATTGATGTTGACTTCACCGCAGAAGATTTTTCTTCTCTTTACAGCTTTGAATTCACCAATCGAGCAGAGCCAATTCAAAATGCATTTGAAAGCGTCGAAAAAAATGTCGAGAGCGATATGCTTGCTGACACAATCACCCTCGTCAACTCTATTCTAGAAACCGACAAAGCCAGCATGACAACAGACGTATTTGACCAAGGACAGACTAGTAACCGTCAGCGTCCTTACGAGTACCTTAGTGGAGAGAAGACCAGTATCTCCATCGGTGATCCCTCTACTGCCTTTATTGAGATTGGTGCTACCTTAGATCCTTTAAGCGAGGCTGCTCAAAGATTGTCTCATTTGCTTGAAACTCTTTCTGGATTGAGTGGTGTCTACATCAAGATCTATATGAACCCTGAATTAGAAGTCAAGGAATTGCCTCTAAAACAATTCTACCGCCAAGTATTTGACCGAGAACCCCACTTTGACAAAGTTGGAGAGATTGAGGTACCAATGGCATACTTCACTGGCTTGCCTACAGACGCATTGTACACCTTGCGTGTAGACACTATCAAGGCATGGCATGTAACCGTCAAGGAGGCCAATATGGACCTTGATAACATACAGCTGACCTCATTGGGTGCTCACCAATCTTCAGTGTCTGCTGTCTACGAACTCGAACACATTCTATTGGAAGGACATTGCATGGATTCCTCTACACATGGACCTCCTCGTGGTCTTCAGTTTGTTCTCGGTACCCCATCTAACCCAGTTACGACAGACACTATAGTTATGGCCAATCTAGGCTATTTCCAGTTAAAGGCATTGCCTGGTGTCTGGAGACTTGGGTTAAGAGAGGGACCTTCGAATGATATGTACCACATTGAAAGCGTCGGAACTCACGGAAAATGGGAAAAGGCTACCCCTTCAAGCCATAGAAATAGTTCGGATTACACGCTCTTGCCATTGACATCTTTTGAAGGACTCACTGTATTCCCTCAAGTGAAGCACAATGAAGGTGTTGACCCCAGCCAGGTTCTGGATCACGACACTTCGTCCCGATATTCTACTAAAAAGAAAGACGAGGGTATTTGGTCTTCTATTACAAAAAAGTAAGTTATTTTATATTCGTAAATGGTATGTTTATTTACTATTTATTATTTTATTAGAATATTTGGCGACAAGACCGAAACAAAAGAATCTGATCAGCTCTCAAGCCAGCCAAAACAAGCAGACATTAACATCTTTTCTGTTGCATCTGGACAGCTTTACGAGCGGTTCTTATCTATTATGATTATATCTGTTATGGAACACACTAAGAGCACAGTCAAGTTTTGGTTTATTGAAGATTTTTTATCTCCATCTTTCAAGGTACGATTGGACAATAGAATAATTGATATTCATTCTATAACCTGTCTCTAAATTTATACCTTTTTTTTTGTCTTGTATTATCACTTAGGATTTCTTACCCGAGATGGCAAAAGAATACAAGTTTGATTATGAGATGGTAACCTACAAATGGCCATCTTGGCTCAGATCACAAAAAGAGAAGCAGAGAACTATCTGGGGGTAAATATATATATATATATATATATATATACAAAGTCATAAAAAGATTATTTATTGATTCTTTTCGGTCTTCTTTTAGTTACAAGATCTTGTTTTTGGATGTCCTTTTTCCTCTTAGTCTTGACAAAGTTATCTTTGTCGATGCAGACCAGGTAAATTTGATCTATCTATTTCTATATATATATATATACATACGTGTTTAACAATTTGAAAAACAAAGATTGTTCGTGCGGATATGAAAGAGTTGGTTGACATGGATCTTCATGGAGCTCCATATGGCTACACTCCATTCTGCAGTGATCGCACAGAAATGGATGGATTCAGATTCTGGACCCAAGGGTACTGGAAGGAGCACCTGAAAGAACGGCCTTATCATATCAGGTAAAAGAAAGAGCGTGAAAGAAGAAGGAGGGGAGGCAGGAATATATCAAAGGAATTGTTATAGGCAAAGAAACAACACTAAATTGAGTATTGGAATTTATGAAACAAAAAATGTACTGTCATTTGTAGTGCTCTTTATGTGGTTGATCTTGTTCAGTTCAGACGGATGGCAGCTGGTGATCGTCTCCGTGCCCAGTACCAACAGCTCAGTGCTGATCCTCATTCTCTTGCTAACCTTGATCAAGATTTACCCAACAACATGCAGCATATTGTACCAATCCACTCCCTTCCCCAAGAATGGCTGTGGTGTGAGACATGGTGTAGCGATGAAAGTTTGAAATCTGCAAAGACCATTGATCTGGTAAATTACAAGAGTTTAATTTTATTCTTTTATTCTTCTTTATTTAAAATAATAATAATAACAATAATAACAATTACACACAAACACACTCATATAATGATCTTGTTTTTTTTTTAAAAAAAAGTGCAACAATCCACTTACAAAAGAGCCAAAACTTGACCGCGCTCGGAGACAGCTTCCTGAATGGGAGGTTTATGATAACCAAGTATCTCAGCTTAATAAAAAGGTTGCTTCTCGCTTAGCATCAGAATCTTCGTCTCTTTCCCGCACGCCAGTTGTAACAACCACAACAACAAGCTCTAGCGCAACCGCAAAGCATTCTTCGCATGGTATTATTCACCAAGTATTTGATGGAGTTATTGGTGGAGAATTTGAAGATGTGATTGACGTACTGGAAGATAACCAGCGTGCCAAGACAGACAAGCATGATGAGCTGTAAACAACATTAAAATAAAAGCCATAGTTTGCTCACATTACAGGAAAATATTTATATAAAAAATCATCAAAATATACACATGTATGAATAAGAAAAAAAATCTGTAAATTATACTTCATCTAAGCTCTTTATTTTTTTTCTTGCTCTACATATCACAAAAAGTCATATTACTCCTTCAATAGAATAAGTAACATATATATTTAATGTGTGTGAATGTATATGTGCTGGCGAGCCTATGTTAGAGAAGTATTTTGACCATATTTGTTCCTATATATATAAAATAATCTTTCTTTGATACTCTTAAGCTTTTGCTATATTGATTTCTTTGGGTAAGTTAAGTTCACTGAAATGAATTGGCTCATCTTAATATCATTGCTCGAAATTAAAGGAAAATCATTTTACTATTGTCATTGTTATTCCGTTGGTAATAAAGATATAGAAACCCATGGCCATAAACTACCATGTGTTGTATAGTGAATTGCTGTCAGAAACATTGTAATTAAAGGGGTGGCGCTGCTATCTATATGTATATATTTTTAGAAATAAAAGGAGAGTTGTATATAGAGTTCAAGAAGATGGTCTTTAGTTTTTATGATTCTGTTAAAAAATCACAGAAATACAAATACAGATATATATCTTTATCAGAAAAGAAAATCAAGTTAATAGATCTGTCCCGCAACAACAAAATAAAAAGAATATCTGGTACTAGTAATACTCGATCTCTCACATAATTTTCAATAAAAATACGGTCATTTCTGCTCTAAAGAAACTGGGTCGCTAATAATAAAAAATAAAGTAAGCTAAGGTAAAGTAAGGTTTTGTTCTGTTCTGTTCTGTTCCTAGATGTGTAAAAAGAAAAAGGCGATGACTCTCATTGTTACTTTACGCCAGCTCTTATTATATACATTGATCAGCCCTCCTCTTTATGTATTACCCTTTTGTATCCCTATTGTACACATACATATCTATATATAAACACACGCTTTCTTACCTGAATTCAAGCATACATTCGCAATGACTTATAATATGCAGGATCTTTGTTAGCTGAATTCAGAGACTAGGTGGCTTCTGATAATTTTAAGGATAAAGGCTTCAAGACAAACGAATCGATAATATGTACTTGGAAGTATCTATATTATAACATTGAAGGGATAGGAGAATAACAGGAAGAACAGGAAGAACAAGAAGAAAAATAAAACAAAAAAAGGCCTCCCCTTACATCATAGCAGCAATATATACAATGATATACTAGACACGCTGATAGTTTATAGCTATCTCTCGAAAATCGTCTAATGAATTACTACTACTACTACTACTACTACTACTACTACTACTACTACTGATAGTATATGTGAATAAAACCCATAATATGACACGTTATTGTAATATTTACCAGAAGAAATAATGCGTTGTTTAATGTCTAGATCAGTATAGACCATCTTAAGTTATCTCTAAAAATAAGAACAAGAAATACACCTGAATCTATTATTATAAGCAGAAAGAGGGATCAAAGTCTCAGTATCTGGTTCGTGTCATGGCGCTAATTACCAAACAAACTACAAAGCTCTAAAAATCGACCAAAATCACATACATATATATATACACGAAAACTTTGATTCCTAATGGCACAAAATCAATTATGCAATCTGCTATTTAAGGTATTTTCCACCAAACTTCTGCAGTATCTAGATTGTGCCCAGGGCTTTTTCTTTTCCCTAACTTGTCAATACTAAGTTATCATAAAATATATGCAGCGTATATAATTATAATTATGATTATAAAATAAAATAAGAATAAAAATAAACAACTCTCAAATATTATAATTAATTAATTACATATATATATATATCTCCATTTTCGGACAATAGACTATAGAAGATATATCTATTGTTCTTTCTTTGTCTCTTCTTGAGTAATTGGAGTGTCCGAAGTAGGTTCGACGCCCAATGCCTTGAGACGTTCGGTGAGACTGGGGTGGGAATGGTTCCAAGCAGAATACCAGGGATCAATGTTGAAACCACCGAGATTCTTGATACTTAACTTGATCAATGCACTGCGAAGAGTAGCAGCATAGCCCAACTTGAGAGCATAGGCATCTATGTGAAGAAAAAGAAGATTGTGTCAGACCTTATCGTCATTTTTTTTAAAAAAAGAAAGATATATATATTATAAATCAAACTTTACCTGCTTCAAATTCATTCTTGCGCTGATAAACATGCATTAAAAAGTTGATGACACTATCCAAGGGAGAGAATGCAAACTGGAAAAGCAAAAAGCCAATAAGAGTAGGCATGGTGCTGAATCCAAAGTCATGGTAAAGATGCTCGCTGTGGATCGCAAACGAAAAGAGCCAGAAGACAAGGAACAAATACATCTGGCTCGAAGCAAGAATACGAAGAGTGTGGCTCATAGCCCAGTGACCCAATTCATGAGCTACATAGCAAGCATTCATTCAGTATATCAATAAATCAATCAATTAACTGATCGATCAATCAATAGAAAAGGGAATTTAACAGGTTCTGTAAATATTTACCAAGAACAGCACAGATCTCTTCTTCGCTAGAGTGATCAATCAGAGTATCAAACAAAACAATGTGCTTGTTCTTGCCAAAACCATAGAAATAGGCGTTCGAGTGGCTGGAACGCTTGCTACCATCAATAACATAGAGCTTCTTGAGGGGGAAGTTGATGCGGGCAGCCAAGGCTTCAATCTTGGACTTAAGATCACCATCCTCAAGAGGAGTCAATTTATTAAACAGAGGCTGGATCAAGGTAGGATAAAGATTGATCATGACAAACTGGAAAAGTAGCCTTTACGGTCACACACACACATTAATTAATATGCGCATAAAAAATCATTGCTACTTTATACATCCCCACCAAAAGTCCCTCCATACTAGTTGCTGTTATAAATATGCTTCAATTGAACTTACATGGCCACCCAAATGTACAGATAAAAGTTGTCACCGGTAGAACGGATGATACGCAAAAATCCACCCAAGAAAGGAACCATAATGACAACCATGATAATGTGGGACTTGATAGCATCCATAAAGAACAAACCCAGGGTCTGCTTGTTGAATCCGTGGCGCTGTTCGATCACAAATGTAGAGTAAAGCGAGAAGGGCATAGATGAAAGGGTAGAGATGGTCGAGAAAAGGATGGTAAAGACAATTGACTGCACAATCTCATACTCTGGGCCATAGGCAGCAACAGACAGCATCAATCGACCAGAAAAATCCCAAATGAATGGTAAAAAGTCCAACGAAAGCATGGCAACAGTTTCAATCTGTTTGTACGCGTTTTCAATAAACCCAAATTGGGATTTCTCGAGATTGTAGCTCTGAGCTTTTGCAAAGTCTTCCTGGCTCACAATGTCGGCAAGGTCGCTAGGGCGTTCTGTCAAGAGATAACGGCGGTACTGACGCAAGCTATTCAAATAATGAAATAAAGAAAGAGAGGAAAATAAAAAATAAAGAAGAAGAAGAGTATTTTAGTAATTTGATGTAATGTAATATAAACGAGTTACTAAAAAGAAAAGAAGAAGGATAAAGACAACAAAAAGCTTCTTACTTGAGATACTGCTCAAAGAAGTACACTGCAATGGAGAACCCAACTACATATGCCTTGTAGTTGATTCCATCCAATAATGGTTGGATTATCGAGAAATCCATCCTAGAAACTAATTAATGACTGGAATGAATGTAGGATGGTAAAACAAAACACGAGTTTCGTGTAGCTTTATCCTTTGGGATGGCGCAAACGTCTTTTAATATCTGTGACTGGGGATGTGGTGGGTCTCCCTCCTCCAGCAAAGGAATGCTTGAAATGAGCGGGGGGAAATAGATGATAGTATTTTTAACGGACAATAGGAATTCATAAAAATAAAATAAAGGGCAACAGTAATGGCCGAGAGTTCATGTGTCCACGGTCTTCGACATCAGGTAATACACATAAATACACACACAAGTATATATACATACACATGTAAAAATAAAATAAATAAAAAACAGGAATCGCAAAAAGTTATTGAAAATTATGCCTTACCTTGCCTTTTTCTTATTATTATTTCTTCTATTACTGTTGAAACCATATATATATATATTACTACAATAATAAAATAAATTAATAATAATACCAAAATAATAATGATAACGATAATAATAATAATACCATAAAGGCACGGTGCCTTACTTCGGTTAAAGCCAGTACAGAAGAAAGTCAATTCCTGGTTGGAACAGTAGGAACAAAAGACAATGGCGTGTGTCTATTGAAGTACGATGACGAACAAGCAGAAGTTAAATCTATAATGTATGCTCATGCCGATGAGGTATGGGACATTGCATCCTGTCCGGCCGATGAAAATTTGTTCTTCACTGTTCACAGTCGAGGTAATAAGACCTATTTAGCCTATAGCCTAGAGGAATATTATTATGACATTGGATTATTAAATTATTAATGCAAAAAGGCTTTTTATTTATATTTTTATTTTGTAAATAGTATCTGAAAATCCAAGGCAGAAAAAGGTGACCTTGTGGAGAAAGCCGGTATGGTCGCAGGAAAATGACACGAGTCTTGTCAAAGTTACTAGACTTGAACAGGAGGGAATTAAAAGGTAAATGTATATATGGTTTGTTAAGGCAGGGTATCAAGACTTATGTCTATTGTTAAAGAGTATTATGGGATCCTGTAAAGGAGAACCAGCGAGTGGTCTCGTTTGATCCAACTCATATCCGTCTTCATGATCTTGATCCTGTTTCTGTAAGATTTGTCATTTATATTTAATTAAATTCCACTGACCTTGTTTCATTATTTATACTATATTATACTATATTATATTACTTTATCTGATCTTATTTTATTTTATTTATTTATTTATTTTTTACAATTGCAATAGACAACTGTATCTTTAGATGTTAGTCAGACGTTTGCATCAGATCCCAATTCACCAAGTCTCCGAGAAATACAAAATGCTGTGTGGAGCCCTCATGAGGCTGCCGTGGTTGCAGTAGGAGATCAATGCTTGGCTGGGTGGGATCTTCGTTCAGGCGAGTCTCAGTTTGTTCGCCAAAAGGCCCACAAGAGTACTATTCGAACTGTGGATTACAATGCAAATAAACCACACCATGTGGCGACAGGTGGAGATGATGCTGAGGTGCGTATTTGGGACATTCGCCACCTAGGTGAGCCTATCATGACTGTCTCTGGACACACACATTGGTAAATATATACACGAGGAAGAGTGAAGAAGGGAGAGAGGTACTGATTTGATTTGATTTGATTTGATTTGATTTGGTTTGGTTTGATCATTATACTTTAAATAGGGTCTGGTCCGTGGCATTCAACACATTCCATGATCAACTCTTATTGACCTCGAGTTCTGATACCCTCGTAAATCTACACAATGTAGTGTCAGTATCATCGGCTTCCTATCTGCGTAATGAACAAGTCAGTGATTCAACTGATGCGGATGCGGATGCTTACTGGAACAGGTATACACAAACTACATGTCCATATATATTTTTTAAGCTTGAACAAGCCCTTTACCCCCTCTCTTAACCCCCCCTTCCCCATCTCTCTTTCTTTTTTTTCTGTATAATTATAATGCCATATTTATTTATCTATTTTTATTGATTTATATGATACTTTCAATAGTTATACACCTACAGATGGCTTGATATGTACTTATGATCAACATGAAGACAGCGTTTATTCGGCTGTTTGGAGTCCGGCAGATACCTGGACGTTTGCTTCTCTATCTTATGCTGGCCGCATTGTTATAAGCCAGGTCCCACCCGATGAACGATTCAAGATTATGGGTGTCTAAACGACTTTATATATCTATCTATATATTTTATCTTTCTCTCCTTTTTTTTTCTTCTTCTTCTTACTATACTTCAAGGTGTCAAGTTACTTAGCTTAGGATCAAAATAATAATAATAATAATAATAATAATAATAATAATAATAAAAAGCATTATTTATTTCTAATGATATGGATGAAACATGTGTTGTGAGAATGTTAAATTATTGAGGAAAAAGGGGGGTAGAGAGGGGTGAGATGATAGAGAAAGGGATAGGTACACTTTCAAGAAAGACACAGAATATACATGGGTGATAACAAAGAACTGGGTGAAAGAATAAGTAAATAAATAGATAAATAGATAGATAAATAAATAAGTAAAATAAATCTATAGATCTATAGAGCTATAGATTTATAGGTAGATAAATAGATAAAGAAGTTGAAATTAAGACAATCGCCGTGTGTGTGCCCTTTCAAGAGGTGTGACATCAAGTTCAACATGCGGTGGTGCTGCTTCCATTTTATCATTCATGATCCTATTGTTATCTTCTTTAGTGATGTCTGCCGCAAGAGTGGTTCCGACACCGGCGCGGGTTCCCCATCCGACTTCATGAAGGGTAAAAAGAGCATAGACTTTCATGACAGCAAAATAATAATTGAAAAGTAACCATGCCGGCAAATGAATGACGTCCCTTGGTCGCTGGATAAGATGCGGCAGGAGTTTGAGCCCGCGGGTCAGGAGCAGCCAGGTAATGTAGGAGAGGAGGACGTTCCAGATAGGAAGAGGTGCATTTGTGTGCCCTACCTGAGTGTTTTGCTTAATCGCAAAGATCAGAACTAGTACAGGGCCAGAGAGAAGGGTTAGGGGATTGAATATCTTGTCGACCATCGTAAATGCGACATACGGATGTCTGTGCCAGATCACTCGCTCCGTGAAAAGAGATCTAAAATCAGAGCGCCAGGTATTTCGAGTCCATCGCAAGACTTGCTTGATGAACCGCCAGTTGTTCTTGAAGGTCGAATAGAGTTCTGCCTCTGGACACACTTGGACAAACGTATTCCAGCCGTGGGTTACCATCCAGCGCGTCAAAAACTTATCGTCGCCTGAATTGAGAGGGTATTTTCCGAGCCAGAGATCGTTCTGAAAGCCATACTGGAAGGCAGGATCCTTGAGAATCAAGGTACGGTAGGCAGCCGTGCGTCCTGACAAACAACACACGCCACCGTCAAGATGGGTGGAAGCAGCAACTTCGATGTTGCGAATACTTAGACGGAACCCAGCCAGTACCTCCCACACGGTCTGGTACCCACTTGGGTCAACAGCATGTACGGTCTGGCATGTGCCCACGCCTCCCATCTTTAGATCTTCGAAGCAGGCTAGGATGTAGTCTAACATTGTTGGTTTCCAGATCGCATCGTCGTCTGCAAACACCAGTAATTCGGTTGTGGTGGCATTGACACCTGCTACCATCTGGAGCCGCTTGTTAGCCTTTGATACTGTCAAGACTCGGATCCGAATGGGGTCGACTTCATTGGCTAGCTCTTGCAGTGGACCAAGCATCTTGGTCTCAGTAATGATGATGATTTCTTTAGGTCCGCATGCCAGCCAGCTCTTGGCAGCAATCTTAAATTCTTCTCCGGCATCAATTGTGGGCACGATAATTGTTACGTCTTGTTCTGGTCTGTAGGTTGGGTTGAGTTTTGGTCTGACTGGTTTGTAAATCGCCCAAGCCATGAGTTTAATAAAGTACCAAAGATAGCGGTAGAACCCGACTATACCCAGTGGAAGAAAGAATGGGAGTAGACCGAGATCATTTGTAAGGTAAAGCATTATCAGAAGCTAAAGAAAGGAAGAAAGGAAGAGACACAGAAAAAAGAAAAAAAGAAGCAAATAAATAAAGAAGGAAGCAAGTAAGTAAGGACAGATGAACTCGAAGTTTTTGAATTATCTTTTTTTATTATTATTTTAGGATTTTCAACAAAAAATATATATTAAATGTACAATAAATAACTGACAAGAACAAAGAGTAAGAATTAAAGTGAAAGGAGTGAAAGGAGAGATGGAGGGGCTATATAATAGAGTAAGGCAGGTGGCATACTACCAAGATATTGTACCAAAGAATAATAGGTAACTATATACATTTTATATACAAGGATATAGAAAATGATTCTCAAGCAAGCAAGCAAACAAGCAAACAAGCAGATAATTAAGCAGGAAAAAAATGTACATACGTACATAAATATACATGTATGCCTACACACTTGCATAAATACAACCACACCTACCTACCTACTTACCTGTCTGTCTGTCTTTCTTTCTTTCTTTCTTTCTTTCTTTCTTTCTTTCTTTCTGTCTATCTACCTGCCTGTCTGCCTGTCTGTCTGTCTGTCTGTCTGCCTGTCTGCCTGTCTGCCTGTCTGTCTGTCTGCCTGTCTGTCTGCCTGTCTGTCTGTCTGCCTGTCTGCCTGTCTGCCTGCCTGCCTGTCTGTCTGTCTGTCTGTCTGTCTGCCTACACACGCACACGCATAGAGAGATGATGGGATAAGGAGGTGAGGAGAAAAGGGAGTATATGTTTCTATTTAGTTGTAGTAGATTGGTCAAGCTTGGTTTTATTATACATCAAGATAAATAAATAAATAAATAAATAAAAATATACATTTTTACTTTCAATTCAATCCTGGTCCTGAATTAACACTATTTTCTTTTATTAATTCATAAAAACAAATTATAATTTACATCGAAATATTTTGTTTCAATTATCGCAATACCTATTATACCTAACCTCTAACCTCTAACCTCTAGCCTCTAGCCTCTAATCTATACCTTGACCTATACCTTAACCTAGATCTATATCTATATCTATCATTCTCCCTTACGCACACTTACTTACTCACTCACTCACACATATACACATACAAAAAAAACATATAATATTGATAGTCTCCCTCAATTCCCCTTGCATTGGCAAACAGCTCCTTTCTTTTCTGTGTAGGGCACAAAGAGACCATCCGACGAGAGATTGATACCAGCTAGACTTTAATTCATTTTTAGCTTGCTTTCTTTCGACCCTTTTTTTTGGCGATCACAATATATTCTAATTTTTAAGAATTTTTGGTTTTTGGAATATTGACTTGAAAATCGCAAATTACTATGTACTTTTTTTTTTGCTTTTACTTTCACTCTCAATTTTTTTGTATATATAATGTATAGTATGATATATGGATGTGTGAATTGGGAAGTAGTGTTTTTTTTTGTATCTAATGTGGGTTGCATGTGCATACGCATTCTTCTTTTTAATATATGTTAATAATCTGTTCTTGGTTATGTTACAAGAACAGTAGACAAGAAAGATATAAAAGAAATATAACATAGATAGAGAATTTGAAATTGTGTGGTAGACAGATTATCCCAGAATATATATATGTATGTATATAAATGTATATAAAACTTGAAAAGGTGAACAAGACAATCCTTATTTTGTTGGTTCTGCTGTTGCTGTTGCTGTTGCTGTTGCTGTTGCTGTTGCTGTCGTTGTTCGTTTTTCTTCTTCTTTAATTAAAGAGGTATTTTCTATATCAAGAGCATATCCCATTTTAGTTTTTCGATAAAAGAATTGAAAGAAGAAGAAAAACTATTCTTATTGTTATTGTTATTGCTATTATTTTAACCTACGTTTTGTTCACAGTGCAACTTGACTTGTTCAAAAACCTTCAACATCTTGCGTCTGGCACCCAGTGCTGACACTCCCTTTTCAGACAAAGCCTCATCATTGAGTTTGACCATTTCCTGCCATTTCCAAGTCTCAAAAATAGGATTGTACTTGTGCAATCGAAGGCTTCTAAGCCATGCTGGTATATCTTGGAGCAGTTGAAGATCCACCGTGTCAACATGCTGTTTTTTATCTTTCGAAAGACGTTGTCCGAGACTAAAGGCCTTCTTTTTATATTTTGAACTAAGAGTAGATGCGTCACTGTGATCACTAGTATAATCTGGTTCGGCATCTCGGTGGGAGTCTTTTGGATTAAGGAACTGGCCATAGAATCCCGAGGATATGGGTGCTGCTCCTGCTGCTGCTGCTGCTACTGCTGCGGTCTGCTGTTGATGTTGATGTTGATGTTGCTGCTGCTGCTGCTGCTGCTGTTTCTGTAGCTGTAACTGCTGCTGCTGTTGTTGTTGTTGTTGCTGCTGCTGCTGCAACTGTAACTGTAACTGTTGCTGTTGTTGATTAGGCTGTTTGGTAGGGCTCCAGTTGTAAGGTTGATTAGAGGAAGTAGATGCAGAGGGAATCGGTGAGCTGGCGCGTGAGTTTGTGGCTGTCACTGTAGTGTTGTTGGTGTAAGGGATGTGTTGTGCAAAGACAGGGACAGGCTCCTTGCCATCGTACATCGACAAGACTATGTTGGCCTGTTGTTCATCAGTCTCAAGCACAGCGGGGATAGAGGGCTGCATGGTGCGGCGCCGGAAGGTCTTGTCGTCGGGGGTTGTGCGGGAGGAGGTGAGGGGCCAATCGCTGGAGTCAATGTCAAACGACCAGTTGGTGATATCGGCTGATTTGGGACGGGAGGTGCGTCCTGGAACGAGCCCTGCGCCATTGAATCCCCAGTCGTTATTGAATAATGACATGTCACCCTCAATCACCGAACGCGGTCTACCCCCTCCAAGTGTACGCTGCTGCTGTTGCTGTTGGCCATTCACACTTGACGACGAAGATCCAACTGGTCTAAGTCGGCTAGGGTCGTCTAGGCGTGGGAAGCTAGGGGTGCGTGGCGAAAGGAAGTCTGGGCCAGCCAACCCGCCCAGCAGTCGGTTATATTCCTCTGTGTCCCCAAGTGCAAATGAATGCCGGTCTAATGCACGACGATTTGCACCCGGTGGGCGACTCACTACATTACCAGTCTGGTATGGCAACACAGACAATAGTTTCTGGCTAGCCTCATACTCTGCCTTTGCCATTGCGCTTGTCATTTGAGTTTGCATATCCGCTATACAATAAAATAGAATATATATATAAATAAATAAATAAATAAATAAAAAGGTACAACGCAACGCAACGCAATGCAACACAGTATAAAACTTACATTTTTCTGGATGAGCAGGGGACAACAGGGCATCAACTGGATCCTTGTTATTCATTTGCTGCAGTACGGTAATAAAGAATCTAATTTGTACTTGGCTCGAGTGTTGCAATAATGAATAAATAGCAGCCGTACGCTCGGCTTCGTTGAGATAACAGAACCACTGGTCTACATGCTGAATCTCTTCCTTGTACTTTGGATCGACACTTGCTGATGCCATTGCTTCCAGGTTACGTTCATATTCGAGAAGGTCTTCAAACCAGCGGTCTAGTGCCTCAGCTATTTTATTTTATTTTATTTTATTTATAATAATAATAAAAGATTACAATAGCGTTATTATCTTTTTTTTCTTCTTCTCCTTCTTCTATTACTATTTAATTCTCTGACTGACATGCCGCTAAGTGTTTCTAAAAGAAATTAATTGATTATTTGATACTTACTCTCAGGAGACGCATAGTTTCCTGGTCGGAGGATCTCGGAAACAGGCCGAGCATTGCGTTGATGAGGACGATGAAGAGGTGATGATGGAATTGATGTGCTTGAAAAGTCATTTGAAAGTGGACGGAGAGATGACTTGGCATAATTCAAACCTAGAGAAGGTGGCGTCACTGCGGATGGCATAAGAGATGGATTTGCACCGCTGAGCAGTGAAAAGGTGTCTGGCAATGTCGACCGAGGGAAGGCCTGGGCAGACATGGGGGAATAGAAGATATAGAGATAAAGGTAAAGGTAAAGAGAGGGGAGGGTGTAAGGACAAGAGTGAAACGAGAAGGGAAGAAAAGAAGAGAGAGAAGAAAGGAAGGAATAAGAGGAGGGCATTTGATTCTTTCTTTGATTCTTTTTTTGGGGATTTTTTTTTAGCAAGCGTATAAATAGAGGGGAACCAAATATATATATAATGTACACACAATTGTGCCCAGTATTGTAATCACATTGTATTTTACTGGCAGAGTAGATATTGACTCACAATTTCCAATTATTTATTGAGTTACATATATTTTTTGGTGAATTTTTAAGAAAGATCTGTCAGATCCAAGTCAATTTTTTTTTGAATCTGATTATTTTTAAAAAAAGATTAAATAGAAAATAAAAATATTGGTTGAATATCAGGTTCAGAACTAGCTTATTATCTTGTTGAATAAAGCAATAGATTGCAATATATATATATATATATGTTTTATTTCGGGTTTGTAATCATACCAAGTAGATTAATAGGGAGTAAAAGTTAATATCTCACCACGGTCGTCAGTTTACATATTAAGCTTGTCAGCCATCGATTCACTACTGTTGAAAGATCATATTCTGGCTCGTGTTGTGCTGGACAAATAATTCAAAGAAAAAGGCAAAAAATAAAAATAACAAAAAATAGCAGCCAGATTTACTAATTAACCATAATATTATCCACCTTGTCTAGATATCAAGAAAACCATGAAATATTGAACCAGATAGTGTACTATGAACTTTAGTATTGAATCTTTTAGTTTCTTTGTTGTTGTTTATTTTGTTTTGATTTTTTTTTCTTTGTATTTTATTGTACACCATGAATATTTTGGGTGTAAACCAGACGCCAAATATTGATCCATGACCTCTCTATTTTGATTAGGACCAGAGATTATATAATTAGATATATCTAGTTCTTTATTTTTCACTTTCTGGATCCAATCATAATACCAAATATATGTAAAAAAATTCATATCTAAAGTAGTATATGTGGGATAAATGCGCAGTATTCTCGAAAAAAAAACCCTCTATGTAAAAAAAAATTGTCATGTCGCACCCAGAATTTCCAATGACATTTATGATCCACTCGCATAATTTTATTTTTTATTTTTTTATTTTATAGATTTCTTTATGCAAATATAAACTCACATCCCTTGGACTGTCTATTACATAAAGGTATATATAGAAAATCAATTGCAGCCCATAAACATATACATGTGTGTATGTATTAAATAAATGGCTCTTTACGAAGATTTGCATTGATACTTTCTAGTAATTGATCTGCATGTGTAGGTTACATAAAAGAAGGGGTTAGTAAGAAAAAAAAGAACCAGATATTTCATTCTGTACATGTTACAAATACATTCAAACCAGTATCACCCAACCATACTCTCTGAAGACATCTATATGCATATACATATACCCAGAGTTATAGTAATGTGGCTGTGGGTGAATGGCTTGTATTTAGAGCTACATCACTACTCAAGAGAAAAAAGAAGAAGGCTAATAAAGAACAAGTATTAAGCTAATATCTAGTACTATTATCTCTTTTTGTTCTGTATGTATGTGTGTGTGTGTGGACCTATGATTCTATTTATGTCAGTCTCCTTGGTTACATCTTTCAGTTAGCATGAATTCTATTATTGCTATCACTTTTAGTCTGTTTTATTTTATTTTATTTTATAGTTGAAGGATTAATGTGACTTGAAACTCTAGCTTTTGTTTCAGGACTTTGTGTTTTGGATACCTCGTGCTTATATTTTAGTCAGTTAAAAAGGCTACATGTAAGCGAGATATCAATGATAATGATAATAATGATGACGATGATGAGCAAAGATATCTTGTACCTTGTAAATTAATATTTGAATCAAGCAAGCGTAAATAGCTTTTTTCTTTTCTTTTCTTGTAAGGTGTTTGGGAGTAAATTATACACCAGTTCTTGCCCTACATAAAGCATACTCACACAAATGCATACAAACACATATACATATATATATATATATGTGTGTGTGTGTGTGTGCGCTTTGATACATATCCAAGAAGTATTTTTAATTTATAAAAAAAAGTATTTAGTAAATAAAACAGTTTTTTTCTCTCTTTTTTCAACTCTTTTTATAGACCAGAATCCTTGATGAAGAATTTACCTGGATCCAAGTGCAATATTCTCAGTGTTGTGACAAACTCAATTTTTTAGGCGTATATCTTGGTTTTTGCGAGATTTTTTTCTGGAAAAAAAAAGAAAAAAAAACACATATAAATCAATTTAGAGATTTTTTTCCATTATTTGCGCCCAAGCTTATTTGCCAATCAAATATAATTGCGGGGCAGGCCGACCGAGTTGAGAGAGAGAAATAAGAATCCTAGTTATGTAAAATAACGTATCTATTTTATTTTTTTACCCAACTAGGATAAACAACCAACAAACTCTATAAAAAGTAAACAGTCTAATATCAACCATAAATTATATACAACTTGTACATCTGACTGCATGATATACTTTTCTATCTTTCTTTAGTTTTGGTGTTTTAACCTCAAGAGTTTCAATTACTGCCACACATTATATCAAATCTTTATATCTATTGAAACAACATAGTATAAAGACCTTTAAATTCACGAATCAGATAAACAGATTTAAGAACAAGTCTACCGTCGAAAGTCTAGATAGAAATATAAATATAAATCTAGTTATTAAATTATATCTTTGTTATCCTTGCCTAAACGTATAAGCATGCTCTCACAGCCTTTTATTACGCCCGTTTTATCAACAAGTAATTTTTAATTTATATGTATATATATAAAGTTGCCGGGTTGACACAATGGGAATCACAGCAACAGGCGGCGTTGGAGGATACTGTAGAAATGCAAGCTATTGAAGGTCCATCTACATTATATATATATACTTAATGACACCCTATAACCCGATATAAAAACAAAGTAATTAACTACATATACATCTGTTAATAGCCCAATATATATATATATATATATATATTGATTGGCTTTAATAAGAAAGAAAAAAAGGGCCTTAATTTTTTAGTATTGTACTTTATAAACTAAAATTACTGCCTAATTTTGTATACAAGGTGTATCATAAAGTACATAAAGTAGCAATTCGTGAGTTCAGATAGTGTATTTTAAAACAAAACCCAAAAAAAATCAAAAGCTTCTAAATAGTAAAACTGGTACAAAGTTGAAGAAAGTTGAGCTTTATACATCAACGTCAAATGAAGAAGCTTAAAAGCAATACTTTATTTTAATTTTAATTTTAATTATAATTACTATTACTATTACTATTACTATTACTATTACTATTACTATTACCATTATTATTAAAACTCACAAAACTACTTTATTGTTTTGGTTATTTATATTCTCTTTAAAAGTCTACTGCTAACTTGATAGAATACTGTATACATTAAAGCTCCAGATACTTTGAGATCATATCGTCCATTGGAGCTTGAGCCGAAGAAACCAAAAGGATGGTTTACCAACCACCTTTCTTCTTCTTCTTGTTTTTCTTCTTCTTGTCACGACCCCCCGAAGTCTTACAAGCAGTGACTGGAACGATGTCTTTGTTAGCTGTCATCTCGTTACTATCTTCTGGTTCCAAAGGCTCGGTTGAAAGCTCAGCCGATAAGACACACTCAACCTCAGCAGTCTGGGATTCAGAAAAATGTCTAGAGCTGGTGTTTGTTTGGAGGGTGTTCAATACAGGCTCTGTAATTAGACCTTCGGTAGACTTCGAAAGTGATTCAGTATCGGTCTGAAGGATAAGCGACAATGTCTCGAGTTCATTTGAACAATCGACCGATTTCTTGGGAATTGTGCTGGTACAACATTCAATGGATTCGGAAGGAGTCTGAGGATCGGTTTTGGCAAAGTTAGAAGACAATAATGCTGATTCTGGTTCATTATCTGGAAGCTTAGCGGCTTCTGAAGACTCTTTAGATGCTTGAGTAAACTTGGCAGATAGTGAGTCAAGTTCATTAAGAATATCAATCAAGCTTTCGGACACAGTATTTGAAGGTTCGGTAAGGTCAGCAGGTGTTTCTGTGACTTGATTAGATAAACAAGCTACATTGGCTGAAGGAACATATAGCTCTTTTGGGTTGGTTCCTGAACTCTGTCTAATTTCTAAAGCACTTTTTGGTTCTAGTTCTGGTGTAGATGGTGTGACAAGAGGGTCTGAATATACGACAGAAACGGTAGTAGGCAAGGAGTAATACATTTGTTTCTTGATCCAAAAGATACAAGAAAAGATATTTCTGCCTAGCGTGATGAAAAGGAGCAAGAATATGGTGCAATAAATAAAGGACATTATAGCGAGCACCAGAGAAGATTCATGAGAGATTGGGTCATTAGATGGATCAAAGTGCAATGCGGTAGGTGAGTTGTTGTGCCCGACAAGATGAACGAACCAGTAGGTTAGACTGGATAGAATATATTGGGGATTGACCGTCAATGATTCAGGAAGACCTTCTTTGATAAATAGAAAACTAGGCCGTGTAGTCCATGGTACAGCATAGTGTACAGTAGATAACAAACACATGTGAAATGTATGTGTGTGTAATGGTGTTACTATTGGTAGCTTTTATACTGTTGAGAAACTTTTATGAATGAGCTATTCGGGTAGTCATTATTATTCAAGTTTACTATGTGCGTATTTATTCTATTTTGACTTCAATACCAAAGTAGGTATATGTTTACAGTCCATCTATGTATTATATTAGTAGACAGACAATGAGAGGGGTGGGAGTAAGAGTAGTAATGATAATGGATGTTCTTTTATGAGAAGGAGGGGGAGGTAGGGTGGGTGGGTGGGTGAAGTAATAGACCTTAAATTGCTACAATGGATATATTTATTATAAGCATTATTTATGGTAAATTAAGGAGACAATGGTATTCAAGACGTTAATTATTAAACTTTCATTTAGTTATTTAGGGTAAGTCTTTGGGAAAAAAATTGGGGTCAAAGTTTCCTAAATTGATTTCATTTAAAAATAATACTAGTAATGAGACCACAAGATCAATATCCAAACTTCTGGTCAAATTTAACAATAAATTACATTAACATTCTTATTAAATAATTTTAGTCCAGGGCAACTGTGCGAGCAAAGTGTGCGAATTCTTTCCCAATATCAAATGTTCTCTCTCTTTCTCTCTCTCTCTGTTTTTTTTTAACCAAATATATATATATATGGATTTGGATTTCTGTAGGTAACCCAGAAAATGGGGTTAAAATATGAATATTTTGCTTATATAATCGTCTCAAATAATTGCTAATTGAAGCAAAACACAGATCGAAAGATATGTGTTGTAGCAAACGGTACAAAGTGTCCTGAGTACAGCTACTTTTATTTGTATAAAAAATAAGCATATTTTCTTAATTACTGATCCGATATTCAATAACCAACTTTAATTTATAATGTACTTGCAAGTGATTTGAATTAAAAGCAACTTCTTTACTTAAAAAATTATACGCCTTTTTTCTTTATGGCAATTTGAATAAATTATAGGATACCTATACAATTATTAATATGCAACTAAAAAAAATGTATTAACTGTTAGAAACTGACAAGTCTTTAAATCAAATACTCTAGTGGGGTAATTGAGGGGTGTGATCATCTCCCTCATTCACCACATATGATTAAGTCCCACAGAAAAGAAAAATCAGAAGTTATTCTTGTATGTATAAGAGCAAGAAGAAGAAGAAAAAAGAACTCGTTTAAGCATGTTATACAATTTGATTTACTGCTGACCAGTTAATATACATGTATATATATATATATATATATATATTGATCAAGAGTTTTTATATCAAAAAAGAAAAAAGACCAAATATAAACGAACCACGTTCATTTATTATTGATCCCCTAACAGTACAGAACAATATTTGTGTGGGTTGACTACAAAAATGCACCATTCTAACTATAATTTCTCTCAATTCACTGCTACCGTAATATAATAAAGAAAGAAAAAAATATACCTCTTCCGTTCATTCGATTGGTTTTTTCTATTCATTCATTTATGAAAACGTTTTTTGGTGTTAGTTACAAGGTTGATTAAAACATACTTATAAAAATAAAGTGTATAATGAATCAAATTTTAAAGATCAAAAAAAAAAGATCAAAAAAAGTAAAAAAGATCTGTCAAGATATATTATTGGGTGCGCTAAATGAAAAACAATGGAGTGTTGAAAAAATATATATGTATAAAAAAAAATTAAAAAAAAAAACGTGATGTGTAAAATCCATAGTGAAAACCAATAAACATAAGTCATTTCCTCTTTTCTCTCTCTCTCTCTCTCTCTCTTTCTCTCTCTTTATTTATTTATTAATTTGTTTGTATTCCTTCCATCACTTCATTTTACTGGTGTTCATTACGCAATCGCATTGTTAGCTCAACAGCTTGAAGAAAGTGTATTTGTCAACTACTCATTCTGTTTTGGATTTGTAAATGACCGGCATAACTGAAAAGTCGGTTGGGCCTGTTCACCACGAACAGGTTGAAAGAAAGAGATCAAAAGATGAGACCCTGTGTGAGTATTATAGATCAATAGAGGTATTTATTGGTCTACTATAGATACATAGATACATAGATACATAGATTTATCTGTCTATCTGTCTATCTATATAACTTCAAAGTGATAAAGGAAGAAGAAAGAGAAACAGGTGTTAGAGAGAGGGAGAGAGAGGGAGGAAGGGAGGGAGGGGTAGTATGAAGGAAGAGATGTGTGTTCAAATCAGGGATGGCGGAGTTTAATACTTGTCAACTGAACCCTTGTCTTTTTTGTTTCTAGTCCATCCACATACCTTGACTGCTCTGTGTATTTTATTAGCCTGGTTATTCTATGCTGCGGTACGGACCAATCACGAGAATACTGAGATGAGTATCAGGCTCGGCTTGTCCGCAGCAATCTGTTGCTTTGTGTTTATTGGTATGCTGCAATTCCGTGATGGGCCGTTTTTGCGTCCAAGCGTACCATTCTGGAGAGGTGTCCTGAGTCTGAGTGTGCTGTACCAACTATTCTTGGTCTTTTTGTTGTTCTTGGTAAGTTTTTGGCTTAATAGAACACACAAACATAGACAAACATTTGATCAGGCCAACTAAAACAATGTACATCTTGCTATTAGAACAAGGATGATGCACGCCAATTCTTGACTTATTATGATTCTAGTCTGGGAAAACAATTGCCAGAGCGTTCCTATGCTGATGCCTGTGATTTGAACTGGGAGACCATAAAGGTAAAAAAAAATTAAAATAAAGAAAGAAAGAGAAAGGAAGAGAATTTAGTATTGGTAATTGAGAAAGGTTTATATATATATATTTATTTATATATTATAGAGTCAAATGGATATCTTTGTAATTGCACATGCTTTAGGATGGTTTGGCAAAGCACTCATCCTTCGTGACGTATGGTGCTGCTGGATACTATCTGTGACTTTTGAATTATTGGAGTATTCACTTGAACATCAATTGAATAACTTTGCAGAGTGCTGGTGGGACCATGTAAGCTTTATATTTTTGTTTGTGGTTTGGGATCTTGATTTGTTATGATGGTGGTCGACTGACATTTCTTTTTTGGAAAGTGGATCTTGGACGTCCTTTTGTGTAACTGGGCAGGCATTTACCTTGGTATGAAGACATGTCAATACTTTGAAATGAAGGTAAATCAAGAAAAAAACAGAGCATTGTTAAGTATCATTAGAAATACTAATTTATTTATTTAAAAAACAAAGCAATACTCTTGGGCTGGTTTCCGCCAAATCAAGACGTTCCGTGGCAAGGCCAAGAGAGCTGTGCAGCAATTCACGCCTCATGATTGGACTCGTTTCGAATGGAATGCGACAAGTAGTCCAAAAAACTACTTTTGTATTGTTGGTTTGATCATTGTGGTAAGTGAATATTATGGTCTGTATGTTTGTCCGTCGGTCTAACAACAATATAAATAGTTCCTCCAATGCGAGTTGAATTGCTTCTATCTCAAGTATCTCTTGTGGGTCCCACCAGAGCATCCCCTCAACACCTACAGACTAATCTTGCTTTTCTTCTTTGCTCTTCCTGCTGCCAGAGAACTTTACCAATACATTTCGGATAGGTAAGATATATAAAAAAAGAAAATTACTGCTTAAAGATCGATGTACTGTATAACTAAAGCTCTGTTGTCCAACAGTAACACAAACCGGGTGGGGGCCCATGCATGGCTCATCATCTTCAACATCATGACAGAAACACTGATCTGTCTCAAGTTTTCTGAGAACGAGTTTGTAACTCCAGCACCGATGTTTGTCAAGGTTGCCTGGTCAATTGTATTTGCCGTCATCCTTGTCATCTTCCCTCTCTGGAAATTCGTGATTTCTCCTAGAAAAACCTTGAAGGCCGATTAGAATAACGAGTGTATTTTGTAATATAGATTTTGTTTCAATTATTGTAGTATTACCAACAATACTTTATTTTATTATTTTATTTTATTTTTATCATTTCTTTTACTCACTATCACTCATTCACTTACTCATTCATCAATTCTATTCACGCTACTCACTCTATCGCCACTACTATTACTACTAATACTACTTTTACTACTACTACTTTCACGCTCATTCACATACACAGTATATATATATACATTTCTGGTACTATTATCACTATTATCATTATCATTTGTTATCATTATTGCTATTGTACCTTTGTATGAGTGTATAAAATATTATATAGATTATCTTTGTATTAGACCCAACACAAAAAAAAGAAGTAAAACATAAATTACAGAAAACCCAAAAATAAAATAAATAATAAAAAATAAAAGCAAGATGTCCGACTCAACGGACCAAGCTGTTTAAAGAAAATTATGGTTTATAAAACGAATTTTTTGCCTTTCTTAGTATTTTTATATTGTAGGGTTCGGTGCTTAGAAAAAAAATATCTTGAAAAAGATTACCCCCCCCCCTCTGTCTCCCCTTTTTTTTTATATAATATATAATATATAAAATAAATTGCTATATATATATATATATATATATCTGTATACATCTTTCGATTCTACTCTTACTTCTTCCTCTTCTTCCTCTTTAGATCTTCTTTTTTTTTCATAGCCAATATACATACATACCTACATTTATATACTTATCCATCTACATACTAATATTGGTGGTATCATTGAATTAATACCGTTATTCTACAGCAATAAATGGCATTAGATTGCATATCCGTAAGTTATCCTTTATTGACTCTTCTTGCAATTAATACATAATACATCTATGCATCTATATCTTTAAATATACACACTTTATACAATCTTATTGATTCTGTATTTCAATGTACTCATATCAATATTGTTTTACATGTCATTCAGACCCCTTGGGAAGGGTTGGATTTTGTACCTTGTTTCCGTGAGACGTAAGAACTGCCATGTCAACACTAGGCTCCAGCTCATTCAAATCTCTTGTTCTATTATGATTGCTAAATAATTTCTTGTAGAGTAATAAATGGTGCCCTTCCAGTCATTGCTCTCATTTATGTCACTGTGACAATCGTCATTACAATCACACAATACCAACGTACCAGCCGGTATTCGCCTCTCAACACCAAGACCAATGCTCTTCCATTCTATGGTGCCACAAACCCAACCCCCGCCCTGACCAACAACAGTGGCTCAATCAGCGTAAAGACCGCGTGTTCGACTCTGAATACTGGATCATTACGTTGGTCAGTCTATGACCTATCCCGCTGCGGAGTCTCACTCTTTCAATTGGTTTCATTCGTCTATCTACTCAATCAATCGTTTCAGGGCCACTATGAAACCGACAAAAAGGTCGAAGGCCAAGAACCAGATGTGATCATGACATATGGTATTCATGCCATTTATTATGTAAGTATTCGTCTTTACAATCCAAAACAATAATAACAATAGATAATTGTTGATTTACTCATCCAAACATACGTACATACATGCATACATGCATACATGCATACATGCCTACATGCCTACATGCATGCATGCATAATATATAAATAAATCTAAATATATATATATATATATAGGGAATCCTATTCAGCATCTCTTTGGCTGTATTGGTATTGTCTGGATCATCAAAGTCGTTAGCAGACTCTCTCTGTAACCAGGCTCATAATTTATTCGGATTTGACACTTTGGTGGGTCTGATCAACTTAAGATCCTATTACTTGGTTCATGACGTAGAGTTGGAAAGCACTGGATATACGTTTGCCCTTATTTCCTTCTCTTTAAATCTCGGCCTATTCTGTCTCTTAATCCATGAAGAACGACAGGCACCCGACGAAATAGTATATGCTGATAATGTAAGTCATTTTGGTTTCTTGTCCAACCTTTTCTTTATTTGTTTTTTCATTATATATAATTTATTTATTTATTTAATCTGTGTGTAAAATATTATATATACATATATAATAATCAACTACATCTCAGATCACTTTATATATTACACCGATTATATAAGAAACAGTCTAAGCTCATAATTCTTGTGTAAATTATCTAGGGGCGTGTATTGTCCGGTGAAGAGTGGGCATCAACTTACTCAAAATACATGTTCTCATGGGTAAACACTATGATGAAACAAGGCTATCAAGCCACTCTGAACGAACAAGACCTGATGGAAATGGTCGACGATAACCGGGCCAAGAACATCCTGCGACAGTTCAGACAACACCACAGACTTTCAATGGCATGGGCGCTCCTCAAAACTTTCAAAGCTCCCCTTGCTCATCAATGGGTTTTCTGCATGGTCTGGTCGATCATGATGTTCGGCCCACCCTATTTTCTCAATAAGATCATCCGGTACATCGAACACACCGGCGATGGTTCTTCTGATCAGTCGGTTACTAGCGCATTTCTGTCAGTCTTTGGCTTATTCCTGTCTTCGGTTGTCATGTCATTAGCCTACCAAAGAGCACTCTATATCGGAAGATGTCTTGGAACTCGCATCCAGTCTATCGTCATTGGCGAAGTTTATGAAAAGACTCTGAGACGGCGTGACGAGACCGGAAAATCATCCGAAGATGGACCAAAAAAGATCCAGGGAAATGTTGATAATCTCTTGTCGGTCGATTCCAGAAAAATGGGAGAACTTACAGCCTATGTATTTTACATCTACTGCTTCCCGCTCCAGATCTCGGTCTGCATCTGGAGTCTCTATCGTCTGTTGGGCACAGCATCGCTCTACGGCATGCTGGTCATGTTGATCTTGCAGCCAGTCACCTATATCCTCAGCAGCAGATTCCAGAGCCTTCACCATGTCGTAATGGCCTGTACCGACAAACGCATCAAGCTCACAAAGGAGCTCCTGTCGGCTATCCGCATCGTCAAGTTCTTTGCCTGGGAAGACCAGTTTAGAAATCGTATCTCGGAAGCTCGTCTGGTCGAGCTCAAGGCCATCCGATCTCGGTTGTACATGTACATGTGGATGGGTAATGCCTGGTTTATGATTCCTATCCTGATCATGGTCACTGTGTTTTACATCTACACCAAGACCTTTGTCCTCACTGCATCGACTGCCTTTACTGCCCTGGCCCTGTTCAACACCTTCAAGACCACCCTTGACGAATTGCCCGTGATCACATCCTTCATCCTGCAAGCCAATGTGTCTCTGACGCGTATCGAAGACTACCTAAAGGAAGAAGAAGTCGTCTTGCCCGCCAATGGTATTGCTACGGACAGAATCGGATTCATCAACAAGGCATCCTTTAGCTGGGACAAGTCGACCGTCGCCGAAAACTCCATACCGACCTTGCGTAACCTCGATCTGTGTTTTCCCTCTCAGAAACTCTCGCTCGTTTGTGGCCCAACTGGATCTGGAAAGACTACCTTATTGGCAAGTCTTCTTGGCGAAACCTACTGCCACCAGGGCGCGGCTGTTTTACCCCGCTTGCGAGCATCAGCGTCAAACACACTCGGTGGCGCGGTGTCTGGCATTGCATACGTTGCCCAGACTGCCTGGCTCCAGAACTGCAGCATCAAAAACAACATCCTGTTTGGACTTCCGTACGATGAGCAGCGCTACCAAGATGTTCTGTACATGACAGCCCTGACCCGTGATCTCGAGATCCTGGAGTGCGGTGATTCAACCGAAGTTGGTGAAAAGGGAATCACACTCAGCGGTGGCCAAAAGCAACGGGTGGCCATTGCTCGTGCGGTGTATTCTCAGGCAAGCACTGTGCTTCTGGACGATTGTTTAAGCGCCGTTGATGCCCACACCGCCAAACATCTTTATGAGTATTGCTTGAACGGCCCGTTGATGAAGAGCAGAACCGTTATTTTGGTTACGCATCATGTCAGTCTGTGTATCAAGGCTGCGGCCTACGTTGTCGCTCTCCTTGATGGTGAGGTTGCAGCCCAGGGTGATCCAGCAACTGTAATCCAGAGTGGGGCCTTGGGAGATGAATTGGTCCACACAGATAGCGATGACGACAGTGAAGAAGATGAGCAGACATCTCTGCCGCTGGTTCCCAGAGTAGCAGCGACTGCTCAATTGGATGGAGCTGGCCGATTGACTCTAGAAGAAAAGAAGGCCGAGGGTGGTGTGGACAAACAGGTCTACGTGACCTACTTTTTTGCTTCGGGTGGAATCGTGTTCTGGCTGTCGGTATTGGTCCTCTTCTGTTGCGCTCAAGCCACTGTGGTTGGCCAGGACTACTGGATCAAGATCTGGTCAGCGGCCTACAGCACAAGAAAGGATATTCTGTCTACATTTTCATTGTTCTCGCTCGCCCAGCTAGACTCATTGCACTTTATGAACTCTTCTGGTATTAGTAACGATGAGCCCCTTGATCAGCCTGTAGATGTGACATACTACCTCGGTATCTACTTTGCCATTGGTATTCTTGCTTTGATTGTCACTACATTGCGACAGGTGCTTTTGTTTGAAGGCTCGCTCACGGCGTCAAAGCGGATCCACGCTCAGCTTCTTGAGAGCATTCTTCGTGCCAAGGTTCGCTTCTTTGACACTACGCCTTTGGGCCGGATTGTCAACAGATTTTCATCCGACCTCGAGACAATTGACCAGTCGGTGGCTCCGTCGCTTTCTTTGTTACTCTACTCAATCATCGCGACGATCTATGTGGTATTCCTTGTGTCGATCATTACGCCTTCCTTTTTGATTCCCGCCATCTTTATCGGATTGCTGTATTGGGCGATTGGTGTCTATTACCTCAACACTTCAAGAGATCTCAAGCGCCTCAACTCTGTGTCTCGCAGTCCTATATATGTCCAGCTCAACGAGACTGTGAATGGAGTGGCTACGATCCGTGCGTTTGGTGCCCAGGAGAGATTTGTGATTGACAATCTCGAGAAGATCGATGCTAACAACCGCCCTTTTCTGTGGATGTGGGCCACCAACCGCTGGCTCCATTGTCGAGTTGATTTCTTGGGTGCTGTGGTTTCGTTCTGTGCCGGTGCGGTGCTGATTATGGCCCGGTCGTGGGTTGACCCTGGTCTGGCCGGACTCTCATTGAGTTATGCGCTTACATTCAACCACCATGTTTTGTGGGTGGTGCGCATGTACGCGATCAACGAAATGAACATGAACGCAATTGAACGTGCGCACGAGTATCTCGAACTTGAGCCAGAATCAGCCAACACTATTGTTACTGTTTCGCCTCCCCACAGTTGGCCAGAGGCAGGTAAAATTGAGGTCAAAGACCTTGTGATCCAGTATGGACCTGACACGCCTGCTGTTCTCCGTGGTGTGTCCTTCAAGACCCGGCCTCGGGAGAAGATTGGAATTGTGGGTCGAACTGGATCCGGAAAGTCAACCCTGGCGTTGTCATTGTTCAGATTTATGGAACCGACCGAAGGACAGATCGTGATTGACGGCGTGGATATCCATTCAATTGCACTCAAGGACCTCCGTTCGCGCCTCACGATCATCCCCCAGGACCCTGTTTTGTTTTCCGGGACTCTCAGAAGCAATCTGGATCCATTTGGCGAGCATGATGATGCCGACCTGTGGGCGTCTCTAAAGCGGGCCCACTTGATTGGCAAGGAACGAGAGACCGATACGCCGGTCACACTTGATGCACCGGTAACTGAGAACGGCAGCAACTGGTCTCAAGGCCAACGACAACTGATTGCCCTTGCGCGTGCCTTGGTCAAGCGTTCGAGCTTGATTATTCTTGATGAAGCAACCTCGTCTGTCGACTTTGATACGGACCATAAGATCCAAGAGACCATTAGAACCGAGTTTGTGAATGCGTCTTTGCTGTGCATTGCGCATCGTATCCGGACCGTAGCTGATTATGACCGTATCCTTGTATTGGACCAAGGCAAGGTTGTCGAGTACGACACTCCTTATGCATTGATGACCAAGCCCGATGGTGTGTTCCATCAGATGTGTGAGCGCAGTGGGGAATATACCGAGTTACTGGCCATTGCTCAACAAAAGCATATCTCTATTACCACAACTACTAATACTCCTTAACCACTTTAACTCACTCACTCACATATACACATAGACAAAAAAAAAGACTCTTTATTGTTTTAATTACATTACATTACATTTTTATTATAGTATATTATATTGTATTTCATATATACTTGTTTATATATTTACAGTTTAGTTATCACAATGGTATAGGCTGACTATTGTAAAAAAAAAATCTTTTTGTTCTTTCTTTTTATACTACTTCCAAGTAAGTTTTCTTCAAATACAAGCAGATGAAGATGTATCAGCATTTACAGCGTATTATTCTTTTTCTTCTTCTTATTTTTTGCTATCATTCTAAAGCTTTATATATCACAAAAAGAAGAACATCCACACATAACACTCGGCACAACATAGCACATTTTTTATGCTGTATTATTATTATTTTTTATTTTACTTTTAATTTTAATTTTAATCCATCTCCTTTTGATCTCCTTTTTTGGTCGCTTTAGATTTCTTACATTAAACTTCCATCTTCAATATCAAGACAAAAGAAACATGTTTGTACCTACGATCAAATACAAAAGAGTCTCTGAACAAACCAAAGAGAAAGAGAATAAAGAAGTTGAAATAAAAAGAGTCGAGTTGGAAGTTCCAAAGGCTGTTGGTTCAACAACTGTCCCCAGTGTTTTCAATCCACCCCAAAAGCCGGTGGTTGTCCCTAGACCCACTACTGTTACTGCTACACCTCCAGTAGGCAGCTTTGTTGTTTCTATACCTGCAATACCAAAGTCTGTTATTAGTGCCATTACCACAGAACCTATCAAGGATCCCGAGCCAGAAAATGTGCTAGATAGCGAAAATAAAGAAAGTCTGGATGAAGTGCTGGTAGTTGTGGAGCCAAGTATTGAAGTGGACCCGATTGACAAGGAGCGGATTGTGATTACATTATCGACTGGTAAACAATACAAGGCCGATCGCTACTGTCCTCATGCGGGTGCAGATCTAAGTTTTCATGGCATAATTGGTGAAGACGATTATCCTCCCGAAATTGGACCCATCCTGACATGCGGAATCCACTACTGGGAATTTGTTCTCGACAGACAAGGTGTCGGGCACAACGGAATGGTATCGATTGAAGCTTGTCCAGTCACGTGCAAAAGCGGATCAAGTAAATTAGAGTGGTGAAAGAAAGAAAAAGTCAAATTGAGTGTGCCAGTTGAAATCAAATAAAGAAGTAACATATATATATATACTAAAAAAAAGGCACAAACTGTTATTAATAAGAAGGATATAAAAGTTAAGAAAAGAAATGACAGCAGCTTTTCTTTTTTTTATATGGATAATTAACTAATTATACATCTACAATATTATACACAATAATGGATGGTGTATGATAAACACTAGTGATACTGGTAATAATAACGAGTAAAATGAAAGCAAATGATTCACTGGGCAATCTTAACTAGCGAATGGTTCAATATTGAAACAATATTACCTTTCTCTTTTTTTCTTTTCTTTTTTTTTCGTGTTCTGTTTTTTACCAGTCACAAGTTGAGCTCGTTATAAAACGGCTTGTTGGTTGTACACTCATTTTCTTTTTTATTTTATTTTTTATACACAAATTCGGGTGATTGATCGGAAACACAAAAAAAAAATAAGAGAGAGAGAAAGGGAGAAAAAAGCTAGTCCACTGTAATTAATGCTGACTGTAAGCATCGTCTTGACTCTTAACAAAAATAAATTATATTGTTATTTTTATTAACCCAACTCCACCTAATTCAACCCAATTCATTCTTCCCACGTTCTCGTCATCAAAATATTTCAAAATTGTGAAGTGCACTATGTACTTTTTTTTTGTTTCTTTTTCTATCAAAATTTGAGTTTTGAAACATTGAAACAAAAAATGAGAATATTATATAGAGATTTTCACATTAATAAGAACAATATTATATATATATATATAAATGTATAAATAAATAAATAAATTTAATTTGTTTTGAACCTTTTAGTGAATTCGCTTTACTAAAATAAAAATAAAAAAAAACCCTCTCTTTTTCCGTAGTTACCCGTACTTATTAGAGGTGTGAAAGCTAAACAATAAACACCGCTCGGAAAAAGCGAAAAAAAAACCGGGTTACGTAAAGCGTATAGATTATTCGATATATAATTTAGGTCTCAATAATCCACCTCCTTCTTGTCTCTTTATTACCTCCTTATTCTCTTACAGTAAGATCCATAGTCTATTCATTTTACTTTTCAGAATATATCTCTTGCGAATATCAATAACAATTATTGATAATCATTATAACCATAATCATAATCATAGTCATGTTCCGTTCTCTTCGTTCTGTCTCGGCCTTGGCCACTCGTTCTTCCATGGTAATTACACCAAACACACACATACATACATAGAATCAAACACAAAGACAAAGACACGAAATATGGGACGTTACTCTAAACAAGCAACCGTCTTTTCTTTTATTTATTTAAATCAGGCTGTTCGTCAGACCCAGCAGCAGAAGCGTTTCCTTAACATCCACGAGTACCTCAGTGTCGATGTCTTGAGAAAGTACGGCATCAACGCCCCTCGCGGTCAGGTCGCAAAGTCTCCCCAGGAAGCCTTTGAGATTGCCAAGAGATTAGGTAAAATAATAATAATAATTATATAACAATAACGATAACGATAGAAACTACCCCCTTTCTTTTATTTCTTTAATTTTAAGTACATATATATATATAATATAAAAGTATAAAATATCACATTCGTACAAGTGTTTTGTGTATTTTGTGTATTTTGTGGGGTGGCGTATGGGCGCACGATAATGTATGACTGACACGTTCTCCCACTATTAGGCTCAGATGATCTTGTTATCAAGGCCCAGGTCTTGGCTGGTGGCCGTGGTAAGGGTACCTTTGACAATGGCTACAAGGGCGGTGTCAAGACCTTTTCTTCGTAAGTATATCTATAATTCATCAATTCAAACAAACTGTGTTTTATAATTACATTAAATTGTATTAAAAATTAAACTTTCTTTTTTTTTGTAACAGCCCTGATGAAGGTAAGGAGTTGGCCTCCAAGATGCTCGGACATCATCTCGTTACCAAGCAGACTGGTGCTGGTGGAAAGATCTGCAATGCCGTCTACATCTGCGAGCGCAAGTATGCCCGTCGCGAATACTACTTTGCCATCCTCATGGACCGCAAGACCGCCGGTCCCGTAGTTGTCTGCTCTTCCGAGGGCGGTGTAGACATCGAGACTGTCGCTGCCACCAACCCCGAGGCTATCATCACCCTGCCCGTCGACATCAACGTTGGTCTCACCACCGAGCAGGCTACCGAGCTCGCCAAGAAGGTTGGCTTCACCCCCGCTGGTGTTGATGCCGCTGCCGATACCTTTGTCAAGCTCTACAATCTCTTTATCGATACCGATGCTACCCAGGTTGAGATCAACCCTCTTTCCGAGGCCAATGATCACCAAGGTAATTAATAAAGAGACGATGGGTGTTGTCTTTTGTTATAAGTATTATATTGTGTGTGCAAAAATGTGTTATGATTTACTAACCCAACCATACAATAATTCCCTTTTATATGTATAAATCGATAGTTCTCTGCATGGATGCCAAGGTAAGAAAACCCATCCATACTAAAGCTTATAGGCTCAAAAGGATTAGGGAAAGAGTGAAAGTGAAAATATATAGCATATCTACAGAGAACAAGTTTATTAAATAAAATGCTGTCTTTTTTTTTAAAAAAAAAAATAGTTGAACTTTGATGACAATGCCGAGTTCAGACAAAAGGAGATCTTTGACAAGCGTGATTTCTCTCAGGAGGATCCCCGTGAGATTGAGGCTGCCAAGTACAACCTCAACTACATTGGTTTGGACGGAAGCATTGGCTGTCTCGGTAAGATTTTGATTACATATCCATATCCATACCCATCAAACTAGATAGATAAAAGATAAAAAAGAGGGATTTTTCGATATATATATATCTGGTGTATATTGTGTGATAGAACAGAAAGCTTCAAGAAAATTATAAATATATGATATTGATTTTAATTTTTGTGTGTGTATTTCTATTAGTAAACGGTGCTGGACTTGCCATGGCCACTATGGATATTATTCAGTTGCACGGTGGTAAGCCCGCCAACTTCTTGGATGTCGGTGGCAGTGCTACCCCTGAGGCTGTCAAGGCTGCTTTCGAGATCATTACCTCTGACCCTCACGTCACATCTGCCTTTGTCAACATCTTTGGTGGTATCATGCGTTGCGACATCATTGCCGAGGGTATTATTGCCGCTGCCAAGGATTTGGATCTTAAGATCCCCCTTATTGTCAGACTCCAGGGCACCAAGGTCAACGAAGCCAAGAAGCTTGTAAGTATAACGGTTTTAGTGATAATAGGTGTTTCGTTTTTCTTTGTTTCATTGGCTTTATTAATTGATGAATTTATTATTAACCGTTTTATTTTGTTAAAAAAATATTGATTTATCTGTCCATATAGATCGCTGAGTCCAAGCTCCGTATCTTTGCTGTCGATGAGCTCGATGCTGCTGCTAAGAAGGCCGTCGGTCTTTCCAACATTGTTTCTTTGGCCAGAGAAGCCAAGGTTGATGTCTCCTTCAACTAAGACCCAAACAAAAAATTGAAAGAAAGGAATATATATATACGATCGTTGAAAGAATGAAAAAGAAGAAGAGAAACACGCATACAAAACAGATTTCACCCACACTTACTCACATTCACACAAATCTACCTCCCAACTCGTCCTTGTCCTTTATCATCCTCCTTCATCCTACTTACTCCCTGATGCTTATAAATAATTGTTATCCTTATGAGCCATTAATTTACTACAAAGAAGCATATTTTTTTTCTATCTCTCTCCCTCTTTCTTTCTTTCTTTGCCTTACTTATCTATCTTTCTATCTTTCTTTATCTCTCTAGATTCTCTGTAGATACATTATAGTATATTTATGAATGAATGAAAACAATTTCCATTTTATTACTATTACCATATTACTTTCTGTTTTTGATTTGGTTGGGACATTACTACAATACGCACAAACTGTAGAGAGTGGAAGAGATTGTGAAGAAAATGGCTATTCATCTTATTGCTTAAAATGAATTTTTTTTTTGTATGGTGAAGTTTTGGCATAAAAAGCTTAACTTGACAGACGATTTTAAGAAATTACTGTCATTATATTCTTGTGTAATTTTGCGTACAAGAGATAACAAAGAAATAATAGGGAGAAAACAAGTAAATGCATACTAATACTAAGACATGCATGGAGCAGGCAAGGTGTGTGTGGGTGAGGACTATCCTAATCAATTGTTGAAATCAATGTGGATTTTCCAAGTCAACTGTTTTGGGATACTTGCTGACATGAAAGTAATACGCTTAATTTCCCAACCCAATTATATAATATAATATATACGGCCATTCGTAAATTCATACACAAAATACAGAACAACATACAAAACTTGATGGGTAAATTAGATTAACACTCGCGGTCTTTGCTCAAAACTATTTCAGCGTATGTGATTTGATTATATTAACTGGATCAAATATAACAACAGATCATAATATTCTTTGGCTTGCGATTCAGTGATGTACATACATACATACATACATACATACGAGCATTTGGGTTTAATTTTCACTGAATAGGATTTTATTTTGTAGACTATAATATAGATATATTCCTTTGCTCTAGCTTAGTTAAACTTAACTTGGCTTGGCTTGGCTTGGCTTGGTTTAGCTTATCAGATGGGTTAACGATAATGATAGAATCTACAGTCAACTCAATCACTCTTTTATAATTTATCTGATCTGATGCCTTTACTGTCACCGTTGAATTGATACTGGTAATAACGACACTTTCTATCTTATTTACACACACACTGTACATATATATCAAAGTCAATGCACCAATACAGAGAAAAAGAAGAAGAAAAAGCGATATTCATTCAGTCATCCCAAAACCCATTTCCACGTGTAAAATGTGTAACAATTCAACCAGTGTTCTTTACGCTGAACTGTACTCTATTCTTATTTGCCTACACCAAAATTAAATAAATAATGATAACTGTGGCCTCAAAGCTCAAAAAATGAGCCACCCAATTTTTTTTATTTATTTTTTTGACTCGTATTTTCTCCACAAATAACCACATAGTAATCTATTCTTCTGCTTCTTGTTCTTTACTATCAATTAATTAATTAATTAATTAATTACTTGATTATTTGACTAAAATATCATGTATATCATATGTATATAAACTAGTAATATTTCTTTATTTTTATTTTTTATTTTTTATTTTTTATTTTTTATTTTTTCTTCTTCCAAGCCGGGTAATTCCGGAACTGATCTTGTTTGATTCTTACATACAATTTTTATTTTTATTTTTAAAAATGAAAAATGAAAAATTTTAAACAAAAAAAAAGGGCTGCAATACATTCCAGTTTCCCGTCGTCCCGATATGATCTACAGCCTTTGTAGTTTTATATATTTATATACTGTATTCTGTATTCTGTGTTTTTATATATGTAAAATTGCAAGGGAAAAAATATCCAAAAAAAGAAAGTAAAAGAAGTGTTGTATGTAAATTATATAGAAATGTGTGTGGAGTAAAGTGGCCTTTAATTTTAATTTAATAGGAAAATAAAGTAAAAAGATAGATATATGATTTTTAATAATATTATTATTATTTCTTATTATTACTATTATGAAGCATTAGTAAAAAAAGCTCTTCTCTTTCTCGCTTGGGACTTTTTTGGAGAAGCTATACTATGGGGTAGTATTGGTGATACTAATGGCGATTTTTATGGGATTTTAGAAACCAAGATTAGTTGTCTTTTGCAATGGTAGGGATCACTGTCTTATTTCAGCTGCATCCATATCAAGTTTAAGTTGCAGCAAGTCGTCTATTATTAAAAGACGTATAATAAATAAAAATGAAATAAAGTCATACTGTGTTGACGACTTTGCTTAGTTGTAGAGAATGTTTTTTTTTGGTCGACACGGTCTATAGAGAAAATGTCAGAATATTTTTATGGGATAATGGCATGAAGTATATTTGTGACCCTTGGCTAACCCGGGTGGACATTGTGAAGACGAGGCATTGAAATATGACAAAACAAGAGTGTTTATAGTAACCGAATATAGTAATTACTTTTAGCTTTAAGAAAACTATTTTAAAGAAGCTGATCTTAGCAGAAAAATTACGGATATAAAAGTGGAAGAGAGACGAAACAAGTGGGTGTTTGTGTCATGGCAACAAAATAAATTAACTTTTTTTTGCTGTCTGTAAAGAAGTACTTTTTTTAAAAAAAAAATGGCGTGTCCTGATAGAAAAACGCGTGAATATAATGAAAATTTCGAAAGAGAGAGAGAAAAAAGAGGGACAAGATAAAAAAATTGAATTGGGTCCAAAAAGCTAATATGATAAAGGGTTGACATCCCAACGTTGCAAGATGTTATTGTGGATATACTTACAGCTCCATTTAATATACTTGTATAAAGAAGCTGTTTACAATATCATAATACGTCTTGCTTACACACTCTCTATCTCTTTTTTACCTATTCACTTACTCAAGTACATACTTGCTTGTAAGTAAGAAATAAACTATTGATTTGAAACCAAACGTTAAATAATTGAGAAATATGCTTTATTTAATATTATAGATCATAACTGGAATACACGCAATTTTCCCTCGTCCCTCTGAAGGACACAAAGATCTTTTGTTTAAGATGACCAATATGGAGGAATACATGGCCAATTTACCTGGTTAACTCACCATAATGCATACAGCCATTCGTGTTGGCTTTGGACAATGTAGCGACGGAAAATCCCAGACATCTGCCTATGTTTCTCTTGGTCGCGCTCTTATTGCTGCTGGTCCCCAATTATAGAACCCCTGCTGTCATCATCCTTGAAGTCAGGCGCAACAATACAGACAAGGCCTTTGTAAGTATCAATATATACGATATTTCAACTATTAAACATTTTTGTCAATTAGAAATTGATTCGGTGGTACATGTGGAATGACAACCTCAATTCGAGTGATCCTATCCTTGTCCGTGCAAACGAGGCGAGGTTGAAGTGTACGACCGATGTCCACTTTAACAAAAGTCCCGAAAAAGAGACCGTTGCCAATCTCCTTGGTTACCTAGTCCCAAAGTTTCTTTGGGAGGGAATAAGAAAAAGCGAGCTCCAAAAAATGCTTCACACAAACTTCCATAGCAGAGTTTTCAAGGTGAAAGAAGATGCTATGGTGAGAGCTGTTACCAATATTTGAGGAATACGGGCTGTCAGAGACGCCGAATTCATCCATAGAATTAATATCAATATAAAAACAAAAGTAAAAATTATTGTTTATTTCGTCTTATTTATTCTCACCTTCACAAACTCCATACTGATGATTTATATAGAGGTAGTAATTATTCTTTCTGTTCTTTTTTGCTAGTCATTTGCTTTCCTTTCTTTTTTAAAAAAAATATATGTATTATTATTGTTTTTTAAGTAGAAAGCTTTTTTGGTAAAGCAACTACCGATTTTTTTTTTTGGACAAGTCCTGTTGTCTGATTAGCAATTGATACTTCTAAGGAGATTCTATGTTCAGGCAAAATTGAATGATAGTTTGATGGTGAAAGTGCTGATCCACAAATTTCAGCTCCATCTTTCTCTCGTAACCTATCTGCAAGCAAAGGAAACCAGTTGACGAATGCAAATACATGTTGGTCGTGATGGGTGAGGTGAGTTTGGAAATAAGGAGAGGTCGGAGGAGGAATGAAGGAATAAATAAAGCTATACTGGATTTGACAAGTGAATACAGTTTTTCTAATGCCCTCACTACCAAGAAACAAAGATCATACGTATGATTCCCGACCAGTGGTGCCGTTGATTCCATAGGATACTTGGCCAAGGATGCTGATTGATTTCGACTTTATGAATTGATCATCGACAAAGAATGGAGAAGCTGCAGAATTGTGATAATGGATGAGGTTTGATTGAGATATACAAACGTGTAGTATGCCAACAAATGTTGATAATCAATATCACGTATTGAAGAAGGTATATTAATTAAAAGTTGGAAACATGTAGGTGGGAGAGGTTCATTGCCTATAATGGGAACTTTGATAGTTTCGAAAGAATCCACAAATGCTTACAAGATGAATGGTGGCTGAACAATCGTGGAGGAGGTGGGTTGCGAAGTAATTACAGGTGTGGATAAAGAGGCAAGTTTGGAAAGGTCATGAAGGAAGACATCTTTAATGGGGAATGTGTGAAGAGCCTCAGTAAGGTCATCCTTGTAAATATCTTCGAGGAAGCAGCTTATGAATGTGGTCTCAAAGCCGTCTTTGCCATCTGTACTGATATTTTTTAATAGGCCGTTGTACCTCTCGAACCCAAAGAGCTAATAACCATACACTGATCCAATATCGAGAATAGTTCCACAGAGATGGAGGTGTAGGTGTATGCTACAGGTAAAAATTGTGACAATATATAGAGTGTTGCATTCTTCACAGGATTGTTCAAGGTGTCTATGTGGTATTAATACCATTGAATTAAATACTGGGTTTTGCGAGGTAATGGCAGGCATAAACAAAATTAACCTAACTATTGAAATACACTAACACCGACGACATCCACTCATCTGATTTCATAAATGCAAACTTCTTACTCGTTTTACTTCTCAATAAAGTATACCGTCTTGATATAATCATATTATCAGGTAACTCTTGTATGGGCATTAAATCTCTATCTCCGAAAATACCACGTTCGATCCACTAATCCATAATTCTTTTTACTATCCCCAAGAGCAGGTTGTGTATTGGATCAATGATCGCTCACGTACCGGATCAAATTATGCAAGGTGGTGCAACTGTGACAATCGAACACCATTTTCGATCTACAGATGCTTCCTTTCCGAGAGGGTAACTGTGTTATTCAACTCCTCGCCATGCAGCCTATTCTTCCCACAGCTACGGTGAACCCACTCAGACTTTTTGAACCCATGGAAATCAATCTTGTTCGTGCTGTCAAGGGGAGTGAAATGACGGTTGCATTTAAAGCATACACATGTGCTATTGTGTGCGGTAAATCCACTAGACTTTCTTGAAGCTGGATTGTCGCAAGAGACCATTATCAATTCAGCACAAAATACCTCTGCAGCAGGAAACTCGAACGTTGGAATCCTTACTCCATGATAGGGCTGTATCAATTCATCTACTATTGGCTCAAGGCAGTTATTAATTCGTTGGTTTTGGGCTCTTTGGGGATCAGGGATAAGTCCCACAAGAACAATTTTTTCGACTTTAAGCTACTTACTACAAGGAAAGTTGCTGATGACCACGCATATTGTACTGTAGGAGTATGACACTTTGTCAAACAACTGGAACCAGTCAATATTGAGAACCAATGTCATCGAACAAGGTTACTCAACAAACGGAACACCATCACTATCCCTGAGCTCTTTTCATACTGCACCATCGTACACATCGCGCATTGTATCTGTTACCTTAAGCTATGCATTCCATCGGCTTATCTTTTCTCCAAAGTCAGGACGACTGAAGAGGATGTTGAGAACATTATTGATTAGGGAGTTTCACCAGCTTTGGATGCTTGACTGTTGGATATAGCGATAGTTTAATTTGAAAAATGATTGGCTGTGACGAATCTTCGAAAAATGAAAAACGAGTATCCAAGCATCTAAAAAAATAGTTTGATACTTTAGGTGTCATTACTTGGCCAAAATGTTGTAAATTTTGTACTTTATGTACAATTGATGGCGAAGTTCATATAAAAACAGAGTCAAAAATAAAACATAAACAATCTATATAAAAGTAGTTAACTTGATACAAAATTATAGAAGTCTAACTTACTTGTGGGGAGTTTGGGCATAGGTACTATATTTATGGGTACTCTAATCAAGCGTATTGTACATATGAGAGAAGACATATCAACCGAGGGTCATTAGGGGGTTTCGCCAGTTTTTTTTCGATACTTATTATTATTGGCTGGTGCTTAAGCTACTGTTATATTCAACATTCAAGCAGCGAAAGCTGGTGAAACGTACCTACTTATTTCCTTGCGCGCCGAGTTTAAATTACTTGGGGGGTCTACTTTTTTATGTTGCAAGGGGCTTTAAATTATAAGGATGTGTAGAAGCAGTGACAGCTTTTACTTTTGTTGTTTCTTTTGGAATCTTAATGTTTTTTTTTTACATTTTTTTTCTCTTTATCAAAACATATTATTATAGAACATAATTGTAATTTTTTATTATCTTTGTGTATTAAGATTTCTAAAGCAGGAAGAGTTTGCATTTCTAAGAGTGTCTATACGATTCATTGCTTCCCCAAGTAAACCACTAATCACTTGTAATTCGGCTTCATCAATTCCTGGAACATCCATCAACTGCTCTAAGTCTTCTCTTTGATGATGAAGTGTTGTATTCTGGGCCATGATTCTTTGCAACCAAACAGAATTGTTTCTACCACCCACAACAACTGTGTTTGTTTCATTTTCAACTTCCTCATTAACAACTGCCACTTCATGCTCAGATGCAAGCGATCTTTGCAGTTGGAGGTGGTTGTTTTCCCTTTGAACTGTATACGCAAAGTCTAGACCAATAAATCTCTTTAGGAGATGTGTGTGTTTACAGGGAATTTGACGTGAAGCAAAATTGGGACAAGTGCAATTTTGTATCAAATTGTTTGATACATTAACCTGATACCATTGTGCTTCACCTGTAAATGACTTTACTGTCCACTTGCCGTTAGAGTCCTCCATGCTATTGCCAATCTCATTAAGAGGATTAATGATCATGAAAGAGAGCATGTCATCTTGTATGGTATTGGTAGAAAAAGAGTGTCGAGCAAGTTCATTTTCAATCGGACCCATTCGTCCATTTTATATGTGGATTCGTTCCACTTTTTCGTTGTAAAAGAACTCCACATCGTTTGTCAAAATAAAGACAAGACGGTCCAATTGTCTTATGCGAGTATGGCCAAAGTATATTGTTTTCAATTGGTTGTGCCACGATTCGATATAATTGTTTGTCAAATATCTTTTGTGGTCATTTGCAACATATGGCCTTCCCCATCTTCTCAACAATTCTTCTGTTCCAATTCATTTACGTTTGAAATAAGCCAGGAATTGTTGCTGACTTTGTACACGAAGCCTAAACTCCTGGATTTTTCTCAAAAATTCATTCTCATCTGATTCAATAAGTATATTTTTGAGATCGGCCTTGAGCTCATACTTGTATTTGTCAAGTTGTTCTGATGTGTATGAAGCATCAAGCTTTACTTTGCTGTCTAAATTATGCTGCCAGGCACGCAAAACATGAAACTTGCAGAAATGGATGATGGTCTGTGGCAATGCTGCTGTAATTGCATTAACTTCAGCAATACTACAATCGATGGTAATATATAAGGGAGTGAAACAGCTTTTCTCGTAAAGATGTACAAGCCATTGATTAATGGGGCCAACACTATGATCGTTTGTAATCATGTATGCAACAGGAGACCCTTTTTCAGTATCAGGATGATGAGTAACAAGCGAGTATAATATTTCAATGTTGCGTGCAGAGATGTTATGTGTTGTATCAAGACAAAACGACTGAGAAATTCTCATAAGCATCATTTGAGATGGTGATTGAAATCCAAATGCAAAATGCTGTGCATTGTTGCTGTATGCAGAAAGATTGCCAGTAAAGATACAGTAGTTCTGTGATGGTAACTTCTCATGCATCAAAATATCCAGAGACTTATTTTTATCAGGGTGAAACTTATACAGTAAATTCTTTATCTATATTTTTTATTTAACACTTTTTAAATAACTTCTCTCTTATACAGTGGTCCCTCAATAATTTCAAGGCCTAGGGAAGGCCAGGTGTTATATTTTTAGAAAAGAAAGAAAAACAAAGTGCAGACGAGAAGTACGGTGAGACTTTGTTTATTGATGAAAAGAAAGATGATCTTCTATTGCTATTTGCTATGTGAGTTTATATAGACATTGCGTGTGTATTTAGGATAATGATATGAGTATATCATGTGATGTCTGTTTTCTTATATCATAGATAATATATTGTTAAGTTATTACCCATGCTCTTGTTTGAGTGATTAGTGATGTTGACTAAGGTGTGTGACCTTGTTATCAGTATATTCTTTATTTAATGATAGTGTGAGAAATAATGTATAATTGATACTGGTCGCTTATTCAATATGTCTTTGTCTTATTGTCTGTGCGCTCTATTTGAATCTACGATTATGTTGGATACAACACTAGGTGCCTTGAAATTATTGAAGAGTGAAATTAATGAGTTCGGAGTATATATTTTCCGCCAACTATGGGCGGAGTTTACATTATTCTTTAATAGAAAAAAATATATCAAGTAATGATTATATACACCACAGCAGATTTTTTTGTGTAATCTTGTTCCTTAAAAGGATTCTTGTATACGGGGCGAATTTTGCCCATAACAGGAAATTCATTTTTTTGGGGGACTGAAAAGTGGGGGGATAGGGGGACTACTCTCGGCCAATAGATTTCGATTAAAAAATGTACTGCACAATTTCAAAAATGGTTCAAATTTTTAATTTGTTTCAAATAATTTTGGGTTGTAAAAAATTTATTTTTTATTTTCGAAAAAAATTAGGCTAAAAAAAGCTAGACTGGACCATAAAATCCACAGGCAGTAGCACACCAGTATATACATACCACTAGAAACACTAGTAGTATAACTGTTTGTACTTATGCCTGTAAATTACGCGATCGGTTTGCTGCAAACTACTATGTCTAGCTAATCCAAGAGACCCGGTGCCAGAAATTCCAATAAACCCAAAGAGCATAAAGATTTGAATTTCGAGAAAAGCTAAAGCAGAAGAACTAATAATTAGTAATTAAACTTAGTTATATATATTTAACAGAATTTTACCTTTGACTCTATTAAGGCATTTGCAATAAAAGGCAGCTAAATCTCTGCAAGTGAGGAGTAAATAGTTAGTCTTCTGTTGCTTTGTAAGAGGAACATGTAGTTATTACCTCTTTATTGATTTACCGAGATGATGAAAAACTAATTTATAAACTAGAATTGTATGATTAATAAACACAATGACATAAAAAACTTTGATAGCATAAATACCTTTGAGCTTACAGTCTTTAAGCAAAATTCTGCTTCTATAAATATTATAAGCATACTGGAATATCTTACAAATGGAAGCTCATGCAAATAATAAATATTTTGTGGAAAAGTAAAATGAAAAAGAAGACAAAAACACGTGATATTTTCTTAAAAGAAAAGAAGTAAAAAAAATTCTAATTGGTCCACTGACATTAAATATCGATCTTTCCACATTTTATAAATTCAATTATTTTTGCAAAGTCATTTTCCCCCCTTTGTTTTTACAATCAATTTACTATTATGCAAAAGAATATAAGACAAGAAACATATAAAATTGTTAAGACTCGCCCCCCTAAAAGGCAAGGCGAACTTAACTTTAGCATCAATTCAGGTGTTTTTACCTGCTCTGAATGCGAAAAAGAGTTCGAAAAGCCTTGGTTATTGAAAAGGCATTCGAAGGTTCACCATATAAGTAATCAAATGGCAACCAATACTGTACTCGACGAACCCGAGCAGGCCGAATTGATAGTCGAGAACACTATTCCGGATGCTAATGCATTTGATTACTTGAGTGACAAAGATGACTCCTCCAGTATCGGGGATGAAGAAGACAACATTGTAGACGAGGAAAACGATATTGTCGATAATTTCTTTGATATTGAAATGAACAGTAATCCAGTTTTCAATGTGTTCTCTGACATGTTTTCTTCTGCTGCTGCTTCTGATGAGGTATCAATGACCGATGATGACTCTGAGATCCCGGAAGAAGTCTTTGAGACAATTGGTGCTGTAAATGACCCTACAAGCTGTTATCCTTTTCGCGATCTTCAAACCATGATCCTTTTCGCTTTTATTGATGGGGATAATGATATGATCTCCCAGCGAATGTTGAAGAAGATACTGCTTGCGATGAACTTGATCATTAAGATCCAGCAAGAAACTCCCATAGAAAGAACATTTAAGTTACCTCATTTGGATGCTCTTTTAAATTATCAGGCAAGAAAGAAGTCCAAGATGCCTGTCTTTCCTTCACAAAGAATATCAGTACCTGGATCAAATGGGGACGCATTCGCCCACATTAATCTTCTGTCTGATCACTTGAGATTTCTTATGGCAAACCCAAAGAAATCCAAGTTGATCTCGTCCATGCCCGATCATACCCCAAACCAATCGATCTGTTTGGAACAAGGTGAAAAGTGGAGAACCCACCATCTCTTTCAGCAGCCTATGCACACTGTAAATGGTATAGATGTCTGGTTTGGAAACATCGTTTACTTGAAAACAAACGATTGCAGCATCTGCTTTTTGGTTGAATCATTCCACACGGCAAATAAAAACATTTTTGCAAGAGGGTATCTGGTCAGAGCGATTTCGATTGTATGCTATGGCGTTGAGGTTGCTGTTACCAATCTTAGAGTAGAGCAGATCTCTCACGTTGACACCACTCCTGTTGAAAGAGATCACTACTACAGTATCTCAAGTAGCCTTACCAGATTGAGTTCTGCTCATGACTTTCTTCTTTTTGGAGTTCATCCAATGAAGAAGCCTATGCCTCTTTCTGTTTTGCCCGGTAATGTAGATCGCGATGCAGTGTTTTACAAAGTTAGGATTGTTTCAATCATCCTTTTTACAGATGACACTTCCAGCAATCGTTCAAAGCAGTACAATCCGTTTGAAAGCTGGTTAATGAAATGCGCTGCCTTGCCTTTTAAGAATCGAAATTCGATAGCAAACATCCAGTTTCTTTCTACAATCCCTAAGAAAGATGGTGCAAATGGTATGTCTCTTCTGCCAGCAATCGTTGATGACTTTAAGAAACTCGAGAAAGGTGTAAAAATGTTCTCCGCTGAAGACAATGAGTATGTTCTGGTTGTTGCTCCCGTCCTTTGGATTGAGGCTGACACGCCATGTCATTTGGAACTTTGCGGATTGCTTGGGCCGGCCACCACATTTCCTTGCAGAAGATGCTACATCGAACTTAGACATGCAAAAGACTTTGTGAAGGACTTGTCCTACTTCTGTGAGTGCCATGAGAGACGAACTCAAGAGCACTATGTTCTTGCAAACTCGTCACCTGGCAGAGACACTGAGATCCCAAATGCTCCGAAAATTGGAATGAACACGCCTGCAAACGAGATAAGCTTTAGAGATCGTTTGACTGGCCGCTTATTAGAATTGCAGTCGTTTGATCCAGAAAAGGATACACCAGTGGAAATTCTCCACACGATACTTCTTGGTGTTGCAAAGTATATGGTAATTGACTTGGTTAAGGTCGTGCTTAAGAATGACACAGCCACAATAGCAAGACTTTCAGAATTCTTGACAGATTACACGCGATCAACTGGTCTATCAAGAAAGTTCACCCAAAACTTGAGACATAGTGGTTCATTCCTCGGTAGAGATTTCAAGGTTCTGCTTCAAATACTTCCTGTAATTCTGATTACAGAATTCTCTGGAAATCATGAGCTAGACCTTGTAATACCATGCTTTGTTGAACTTGGCCGATTGTGTTCTCTGGTATTTGTTCGTCAGGTGATATCAGACTTTGATAACTATATTATCAGAGTAGATAATGCAGTGAAGCGCTTGATCAGAGCATTATTTGACTACGATAAAGGAACCAAGAACAAGCTCCACAAGGCATATTGCACCAAGCTGAAAGTTCATTACTTGACACATCTCAAGGAAGATATAATTCGTTTTGGCCCAGCCCTCAATTATGAAACAGAAAAGGGCGAACAGTTCAATAAGCACATTTGCAAACATCTGTTTCATATGAATCGCCAAAACACTTCCAGGGATGTTTGCCTAAAGTTTGCAAAGCAGGTAGCATTGCAACATGTAATTGACGGCGGGTCATGGATTAATAGCTCTGGCAACCAAGAGAAGTCTGGAACTGGAATAGAGAGGTTCATTAAGGACAACAATGAATCTTTGTTCTATTACACCTTCTTTGGCGGCTCGAGAGAGCTAAAGGACAACAACGACACTGAAGATATTGAAGATGACGCCATCCAAAACAACAGTTTTGGCGCGTTTGTTTTTAAAGATGATCCAATCTCTCGCCCTCATATAGGACTTGTCTCAGGCTCTGTTGTTAAGTTTCTTAGCATTGTTCCTCGTACGGATAATGACAGAAACAATAACTATGCCAAGGCTGTAATGACAGGTGAGCATTCTGATGTTGCTAACATGAATCTCGTTTGTAAGTTAGATTTGCACATTTTCCGCAACCCATTTTACATTGTAAATTTGAGCAAGTTCGGTTCCTACTAGTTCATTTTCAATAATATTCTTTTTGATGAATAAAATGATGCTACTTCTTTATTATTATTATAATTATTATTTGAACCTTCTGTTTTCTTCTTCTCAACATCAATTTTTTTGCGTAATTTCTGTGAAGTCATTTTTTGGTTACTCAAACCAACCCCCAACTTTCCTTAATAAATCCTTTGTCTCACTTGAACACTTTCTGACTTCCCTAACAGTTTTTTTTCTTACTTTAAAAGCCCACAAGTAGTACTGAACTTAATTTTATCCTTTATTCGGATGAAAAAAATTGAGTACGAAAACAAATTACAATATTTTGGCCTCTAAGCCAATCATATTGCTTAGGTGCCAATTTTCACCCAAAATGATAACAAAAATCTCTGGTGGTGTATGCTTCAATCCTCTGTTTAAATTCATTCTAGTTAAATATAACTACTGGCTGCATTACTGTTTTCCACCCTCCCCTGTCTCGTAACCAATTATTGTTTCAAATTCTTATTCAATCAAATAATAACAGCTTTTTGGTATGCTTTTAGCTTATTATATAATGCTTATCTAATATTATTTTCAATTTTTTTTGATACTTTAATGAAATCTATCAAATCCAGAACTAAACAATAAAAATGAGCAAAAAAAACGTTTCACTTAATATTGCAAATCACCTTGAGATTTGTGATATTAAAAAGAAAAAGCCATTTATGAGTAACCCCCAATTGGCTGAATGGGCAAAGGAAACCTTTGGCCTTCAAAAAGCTCCTGGTGCTTCTACAATCTCAAAGATTTTGAAGAGAGGAGACCAGGGATTGATAATGCAAGCCAACGTAAAGAACAGAAAGCGTGTTAGAAAGGGAAAATAGTCTGTATGTAATATATCTCAACATTATGCATTTTTGCTCTATATAAAAAATAAAATTAACCTTATTATATTGTTACATAACTATAGCAAATCGAAGAAGCAGTGATCCTTTAGATCAACATTGCTGAAAATAATCAGATTCCCATCACTTGGGAATTGATTAAGACTAAAGCTACTATTTTTGCTGAAAGAATAGGCGTTAAAGATTTTAATGCTTCTCAAGGCTGGATAGAGAAGTTTGGAAAGTATCATTATATCAAGATGAATTGAATTTATGGTGAGACTGGTTCAACAGACATAGAGTCACTTCAGATTGACAAGGCTGCTATCAAAGAGAAGATAAAGGCTTATAGTACTTGTGACATCTATAACTTTGATGAAACAGCACTTTTCTATGCTGCCCCATCAAGAACAACAATTTCCCGCCAGAAATTTTCTGGTTGGAAGGAAAATAAGAAGCGACTTACAGTAGGCCTTTTGTGCAATGCCAATGGAACAGACAAGTGGTCTGACATATTGATGATTGGTCATGCAAGAAGACCAAACTGTTTTAACAAAAACAACAAAAAACAAGAGGCAGTAGATCATGGATTTTCTATGTATTATTACAACAGTAATGTCTGGATGACACAATCAATCTTCCATGTTTTTCTCTGTCACTATGATCATTCAATGAAAGCACAAAACCGCAAAGTGCTTTTGATCCTCGATAATTTCTCTGGCCATATAGTAGATTATGCGCCTACAAATGTTGAGCTTCTTTTTCTGCCTCCAAATACTACGTCCCACCTTCAGCCATTGGATGGTGGTATCATTCAGGCTTTTAAGACTTATTTCAAGTGTAAACAGTATGGCAAGGCATATTAATACATTGGCATGATTTAAAATGGCAATCAAGATAAAATCGGGCCAATTGATAAAATCTTTGAAATTGATCAATTGTGGGCCATGAAATGGATAAGAGAGGCTTGGGAATCTGTCTCGGCAAAGATTATTGAGAACTGCTGGAATGCAACAATCTTTTGCTTTATTGAAGACGAAGATAGTGAAGATAGTAGTAAAACAATTTATTGGTCATAATAGTAGTATAATCTTTCAATTCCACTTTCTTAATATTCTAAATATAATTTATAGATGTAAACCAGGCTATGATTCAGCAAAGTCTGGCTGAAAAGGTTCTCTTTGAGGGTTTACAAGAAACCCTGGACAAGATTACTGGATCAGGTCTTCTGTCTCTGGAAGATTGCCCAACAAATGAGTCTGATCCACTCTATGAGAGACAATGCACTCATAGAGTGGTCAATGAAAATGAGATCACAGATATTGTGATGGAAGAATATAATGTCAACGAAAATGCAGCCAACAACAGCAATGAAGAAACTGCTGAAGTGGAATTAGCAGTTTCTTTTAAGAGAACTTATTCTGCTTTGGAAAAGTTTGAGTGTGTTTGCACACTTTTGGATATCTTGGAAGACGAAGATATTGACAGAGACTTGGTCAGTAAGGTTGAAGGCCTTTGAAACAAGTTCCAGAAAACCGCGAACTCAAACTAAACTAAAGTCACCAGCTTCTTCAAGTCTTTTTAAAATTTATTCTTTTTCAAATAAAATAAAAACAATTTTCTATAAAAAATATATTTTTCTTCATTTAAAAATAGAAAAAAAAGTTAGCAGCCAAGTACAGTCAAAGCTTGATTTTGTAATATGTTTGTAAATAGTAACAATTGCAAATAACAATAAATAGTAATGACAGATAGAAATAATAAAATCTATAATAAAAACTTTTATAATAAAACAAATTAGAATTATATTTATATTTTTCAAGTAAACAATTTTTACTAAACAATTAATAAATGAAACTTAATCAAAATATAGCACATATAGTTTTATTTTATTTCTGAAAAAAAAAATGAAAAAAATTTTTATAAAAAAAGTAAGCTAAATGATAACTTGATAACCCAGTGTTTGGCATGAAAACTTAATGCACTTGACATTGATGTCAATTACAAAATCGTGACAAGCTAGAATTAAAAAAATTTAAAACAAGCTGTAACTATATTGCTCTCATCTGATTGGCTAATTTTTTTTCTTTAAGGATTCAAGGCCAAAAAATTTCGTAAAAGTGAAATTAACGAGAATTATGAAAGTTAAGCTCTATTTTTCGAGTTGGGTCTTCAGAGCCTTGAAATTATTGAAGCGTGAAATTAAAGGGGCGTGAAATTATCAAGGGACCACTGTAGCTATGATAATATGTCTTAGATGGTGATTATCCAGTAATATCTTTACAAGTATATTCCTCATCTCCAACACTAAAACATAGACAAAAGACCAATTGGCAAAGTTAAGATCTTTTATCCTAAAAAGTCAATCATTACTGGTTGCTTGCAACTTCCAATTTTGGTCACCAATGTCAACTCTAACAATACTGACATGCTGACACAAATCTTATTGTTCCTAATCTGAGTTAGTCTTCCTTTTACTATAACAAAGTCAAAATGTCAAACCCACTGGGAATCAAGAAGTATACGTAAAATCAAAGAGAGGATAAAAGATACTTTTTATTGATAGGAATTGAATTGTCTTATATAGTTTTTTAAACTAATACTATACATTATCCGCAGTAGCTATTATATTATATTTAAATAGAAGAAGAGTCGTTATACTGCAGTTAATGCTCAGGAAGATGTTACTGCGCATAAAGAGGTACTGCAGTTAACCATCTTCAGATTTTACGGATTCATCAAAATAATGTCCGACATAGTAAAAGGAAGACCAACCCAGATCGGGAACGACAAAAATAATGTTTGACAAACATAACAGAAATGTATTAAAATAAGTGCCCGATGGCTGGATTGAACAACCGACCTCTTGTTTACAAGACAAGCGCTACTACCACTGAGCTAAACGGGCTACACGTGTGATATAGCGCGTAATGTATTATTTAATGTAAAGAAATACAACATTTAACATTTTCTGGTGAAAGGCACTGGATGGTGGGTCTCTTTGGTGATTTGGTCATGGCAGTTAGCCATGATAGGTAGTACCAGACGGGCAATGATATGAACATGCAAGAAAAATTAGGGTTGGACATGCAAAAAAGACCAAAAGGGAGAATTAAATATGACGTAACTTATAATTGGTCTTTAGGAGTGTTACTAACAAATTGAGCACTGATAAGACATGCAAAAGCAACCAAATTGAAGAATTAAACGTGACTTCATCTATAATTGACTTTTGGGAGTATTACCAACAAATTAAACACTGATAAGATATGCAAAAGCAAGCAAATTGAAGAACTAGACATCACATCACATATAATTAGTTTTGCATATTACAAGCATTTTTTTAGGGGTTAGCCTTGATATTTATTAAATGTTTCAAAATTAATGTTGATTGTAAAAATATAAAAAATGATAATGAAATAAATATAAAAATAAAAATGGAAGATTGTAAAGAAGATAAGTATAGAAATATAGATAAATAGAAAGAAAATAATAAATTGAATAGAAATAGAAGAGAATATTGATAATAGAGGTAAGTATAGAATCTAAAAAGTAAAAAAAAATGTAAAAAAGATATATACAAAAAGTTAGTATAATTCAAGATAATTCTAGTTTAAAAGCCATACCTTGATTGTTAGTACATCAAAGAATAATCTTCAAGGCTATGTTTTTAAATTATTTTTTTATGAAAGGAGTTGATTTTTGGCCAGCAGAAATTTCAAGTGTTTTTGCACTTGACAAGAAGAAAGTGGTTTACATCTAAGATAATAATTATCGGTTCCACTTTTTCTGGCAAGGTAGCAAATAGAAAAAAAAAGACAGTCGCCTGTTTTAATTGGAGTATTCCAATATACAGTCACTGCTCTGCTAAATGTATTGGCTACAAGTTGAGGATGGTCAATTGTACCAAACCAATGTTGCTGGGGGAAAGGTGAGTATTTGTCTTGGAGACTGCGAATTAGTGGGTTATTGGATGCAGACATATTGCCATGCTCCATTCTTCCGTGATAGTAGTTGTTTTGGTGCTTTAAAAATGTTTCTAGCATTTTGTCTTTTACTTTTGACCACTCTTCCAGATCCTGGTATACTTCTATTGCTATCGCCCTGTACCCACAATTTCTGTCTGCTTCAGGAGAAAAGATTGTTGATATATGTTTTGGTGCGATTATGAGATTTGTTAGTAATGTGAGATTGCATGGTGACCCAAAGTTGATAATATTTTTTATGGCTTTTTGCTCTTTAGCTGAGAATATTTTTTGTCTAGAAAACAAAGCAAAGATTTAGTAAATTAAATCTAAACAATATTAAAATCTTATTTTTTTGTTCTTTTTCTGTTTTAATTTTTTTTATAATTTTTTCTTTTTCGGTATTAATGCAATGCTCTAATGCAATCATCTTGCACTTGGTATTTTTTAGTCGGCCTTTAATGGCTTCAACTACTGTTAGGCCCTTAAGGTTTTTGAGTTTCTGTGTGTCAATTTGTTTCAAAGTTTTTTCTATCAATTAGTATATATTGAGTTGTTCTTATTTGCTCTGAGCATTGGCAAAATATTTGCAAATAAGCTCAAGAGCATAGTTGAATTCTGGGGTTATTAGTTTGATATTGTTGATGTTTGAGGGTACTGGGGTTGCATTTTGGATAGTTAAATGATCTACATAATAAAATGTTATATGAGAAAATCGTCACGTAATTATTGCTACTATTATATATATTACTTTCTCCTTCTAGATAGTTTTTTCTCTAGCGTCTTGGGATGCAGGAGATTGGGATGATATCGAATTTGGCAAGTGTGTGGTAACAAGGAAGCAGGTAGTTATATTGTATAAGGCATTTGCACGCTTTGACTAGTTTTTTGGGTATAATGGATTTGGATAATTCTAATTTGATTTGATCCATTGCAAATCTACAGACTTTAAGACGGATGTCATTTAGTCTGGCAGCATTGACTTTATCAAACACAATTTTTGTTCCTTCTCCAAGGCTTTTCACCATTAGCCAATGCTTGCGATCTGCAACCTGTACAATTTATAAATATATTATAACCAATAAATGCATAAAATAATATAAAATAAACTTACCAACTTGTCATACCACTTTTTTACTTTAAGGGTAACTGTCTTCAGTTTACCCAAGGAAGTACCAAGAGAATGCTTGAGAGAAGCATGGGCACTTTCTGCATGGTTCGACGTGCAATTGCCAAAATGGGCATGTTTGTAAACATACATGTTCACCCAGTTTTCCTTGTCTTTCATTTTTCTGATAAAGTATATTAAAAAAACACAATTTTTTATAGTTAAATACACTGTTTACATCAAATTTAAAAAATTTATATGTACTTCTCAAAAAAAGCACCAGCAGCTTTTCCCTGGTCTTTGCAATTTTTCTTTGCAAATTCAAGATATCTATTTGTTTTCTTTTTTACTTCTTGATGTGTAATGCATTTTAAAGCAATTCGGTCAAGGAATTCTGACAGCTTATCCAACAGGTCTCTCTTTTTGCTACTCTCATCTCCCTTCATCATCAGAAGCAATTGCTTTTTAAAGCTGTCTTTGATATGCTTATAGCACAACAACTGCTTTGACTCAGAAAAGACTTGAGTAATAGCTTTTCTCAATGCTTTTTCATTGTCCGTGATGAAAACATCTGGGAGAAGTATTGTTTTTGTGTTGTTGCTGCTGTTGCTGTTGTTGTTGTTGTTGTCATCGGGCCAGACTGCATCGCGGAGACAGCTAAGCACCCAGAGATAATTTTATTCTGTCTCATGCTCTACCCAAGCACCGGCAATTGGATACGTCTTTAAAGTGGTACGAGGGTTTCCACTCACATTGCTAGTACCAACAATGTTGACATAAGTCATTTGATGACTATTTGTCTTATATGTGGCATCAATAATGACAGTCTCAGACATTCTTCATGCCTCATTGATCACATCCTGATACACAAAGAAGACCATATTCACTTGATTGTCTTTTGTATTACCAACAGAATACCTGACATGGAAGTCAAGATCTTGCAGAGTGGTGATAAAGTCAAACATCTCCTTTCCTTTTTCCAATTTTCCGAAATGTTGCTTTATATTAGCAATGTCATGGCGAACAATGTTTGTATATCCATTAATCTTTAAACTGTTGAAAATGGTGAATACATCATCATTGTTCTCCAGATGCTTAACCACAAGCGCCATTGCCTCAGGCGAGAGCTTGTGGTGCATAGCATATGCTCTGTGGTCTTCTTTGATAGGGTGGTTATGCTCTGCCTCATGGGAGCATGCAGTGAGCTTTCTGCCCTTCTTGCTGTTGGCACACATGAAGCAAGGGAAGTCATGCTTCTATGTGTTTTTTTTGCACTTTCTCTCCTATTCAGGAAGAGTTTCACCCATAACTGATGTTTCAGAAGCAACCTTCTTGGCTTTTCTGGTATCTCTATATTTGCCAGAGTGCTTGCAAATCAATTTGATGCGAGAGCTTGATGCATATTCAGTAGTGAGAGCAATGTTATGCTTGATACCATATGCCTTGGCAGCTTCTCAAACAGCTACGACTGAAGAGAATTCTCTTCTAACAAGAAAAATTGAGTTGAACTCAGTCAAGGCAACATCGTACTTCTTCCACATCTTGCTAATAATGACAAAGTCGTTGGTGTTGTTGATGTTGTTAATGTTGCTCATGTTAAATGACAAAAAAATTACGAGCTGATATTATAGTAAAAAAGGGCAGTGATTTAATTGGCAATCTGAAGGGTAATTTATCTGATCCCCTCAAAAAAAATGCGTGTAACATGCAAAACTAATTATATGTGGCATCATGTTTAATTCTCCCTTTTGGTCTTTTTTTGCATGTCCAACCCTAATTTTTCTGAACGTCTATATTTTCTGGTAGATGGTAAAGTATTAGCCAAAATTGAGGCTTATCTACTAGAAAATAAGACAAAAAATACAACTATCAGAAAATAAAAAATGCAATAATTTACTAAGTCGTTTTGAAAGTTGTTTCAATTTACAAAACATTTCTTTGAGAAAAAAGCTAGATAGTTATACTTTTATTCTTGTGTATGAGATCTGCAAAGATGAACTTTATATTTGTTTTTTATAGACTGAAAGACTTGTAGAGAGCGTTGATATGCATCAAACAAAGTCTGACCATCATCTTCAGTCATATACTGTTGCATAGTCAGTAGATCTTGATTTGCATACCAAAGTGTTTGATTGATGTCAATACATTGCTGTATAAAAGCAGATGTATGACTGATAGTTGGTGTGATTGTGGCTGTTTCAGAGGTAGAGAGAAGTAGAGAGATCAGTTTGTATGCATTTTAAGCAAATACATATACTTACAAGATTTATATCTTTGCTGATAATCAAAGCAAGTGCACAAAATAATCAAGTTTGGCTCTGCAATCTGAACGACATATGCTCTATTCTCATTTACAAATGACCAAACTTGCAAATTTACATCTTCTGCAGTACCAGGAGCAACAATCATCATTTTCCTGTCATCATCATCAACTTCTTCAGCTTCCATCTCACGTATTCTTTGTTGTCTAGTAAAAGAACTCATTGGACTATTGTTTGACATGACATGTTCATATTCTTGGGTGAGAAAATACTCAACATCATGTACTAAAACAATAACAAGCTTATTAAGTCTCTTGTTTCTAGATCTTTTCATGAAAACTGTTTTTAATTGATTGTGTCAGGATTTGATATAGTTATTTGTGAGCATATGGGAGAATTGTCATTCATGGTATGCTCTACTCCAGATCTTAAACTTTGCTTCTGTGCACCAGTTTCTCTCAAAGTAATCCAAGAAGCTTTCTTGGTCGTCAAAGTCTTCTTTAAACTGTACAATTTTATGACGAAACTTGTCTATGTCTTCTTCATAAATGATCTCTTGCAGAGACTTCATCATCACACCGCGTAAAATTCGTGCCTCTGATGGTAAGGATCTGGGAATCTTCACACTGTCAGATAACTTTTGGTTCCATGCTTGGGTTACATGGAAGATGCAAAATTGAATGGATGTTGCAGGGAAAGTTGTCTGAATGGCGTGAACTTCTGCTGCACAACAATCAATAGTAAATTGCTTTGAGTCAACAAGCAAAGAAGATCTCTTCAAGAACTACAGCCACTGCACAATGGGGCTTACACCTTGATCATTGGTTACCATAAAGGCAACAGGCCATCCTCTACCAATATCTTCATCACGCACCAAAAGGGTATAAAGAATCTCATTCACGTTGCTAGAGATTACATGAGTAGTATCCAAACAGAAAGAAGTTGCGGTTTTCATTTTTTCTTGCTGAACGGGTGACATAAAACCATATGCAAAGGCCGATGGATCTGGAGAATAGGAAGTGTTTGCCTTAAAGATGTTGAAGTTTAAGGCAGGAAGTTTGTTGTTCATCCAGATTAAGAAAGAAGTCATTTGGTCTTTGTCAAAATGATACAGCTTTTTATTGATCTATTACAGAAATATATTAAAGTAAATGCTATAAGATATATTATTTTTAAAGCTTACTTTGTTCATCAAATTCCAGATATCATAATAGTTAACTTTTCTTTCAGACTTTCTACCATATTGATCTACAGCTCTCAACATATCAATTCTAATTTGACTAGTAGATTTTGACGACTGTTCTAATTGCTGAGCCAACTCATGAAGATATTTCTTTGCAAGAGGAAGGGTGCAAATATCACTACGCATATCACCAGGAGTATACTCTGCATGATCTTTTGTAACAACAAATTCATAAAACTCAGGTGTCTTAAAGAATCCTTTCACATGAAGAAGAGCAGAACACTTGTTTTTCTTTGTTTGCTTTTGAACCACACGCAAAGCTGCCTTAGATTCATAGGTTCCCCAACGATGACAGGAATACTTCTGAGAAAAACACAACTTAATACCAGTTGCTTTGGCTTCTTCAGCAGTAATGTTGGTGGGTTGCTTATTGGTGTTGCGAATGACTCACTTGACTGCACAAGCTTCCCCAATCTCTGTTAAACATTCTTTCCACTCAGATGTTTTTACTCTAATAATATTTTCTAATCTAAGTGTCATCACTCCTGGAACAGAAGAGCATTCCAAGGCTTGGGAGATTGTTGCCAAAGTGTAAATGGTTTCGTTAGATTGAGTGTTGTTGATTGACATATTTAGTGAGACTGTGTATTTTAATAAAACATATAATTTAATGGATATAGAATATCTGTTTCAAATAAACAATTCAAAAACAAAGAAAAGGATTGGCAGTCACCATTTTGGTTAATATTTTATCATCTACCAGAAAATATAGACTTTCATTTTTCTTACATGTCTATATAGATCCCCTACTAGACTTGTGGGTGTTAAAGTCAACAGTGAGTCAATCAAGTGATGTGTCTTGAGGGACAGGAGTGGTCCCCCCAGGTTTCTTGGGAAATCTTGTTTCTGATACCTCTTATACTCAAACCCCCAATTTTATTCTATTCCTTAAATAATTAGAATACCTATCTACATCATCACCTCAGAAACACCTGTTACCTACTAAAAATTATACTTCTTTCCTCTAATTTTATACACTTTTTTCATTCTTAATATTTATTTACAATACTTTTATTATATTTTTATTATATTTTATTATTATTATATTATTATATTTTTTACTTTACTTTACTACATCATTATTATATTTTTTACTTTACTTCTATTCTATTTCACTATATTTTTACTTTATTTTTATTCAATTATTATATTTTTACTATACTTTTATTTATCCTCTTTATATTTTTATTATATTTATTTATTCCACTTCTATTATCAACACCAGTTACATGTAGTAAAAATTTATCACTTAACTCTTTTCTTTCTTTCAAAAAATTATTTTAACCAAATATTTCTGTTTATAAAAGGAACAATCTTTTCAATTAATAAAATCATTATTTTATTCTTGATCTTATTTTATTTTGCCCATGATTAATATTTTTTTCATACACAGTGCCCTTATTCTTTAGAGTATTGTCTGTTGATCTTGATATATTTCGTTTCTCTGTTTTATCTTTTCTGTCTTTCTTAAATTTTGTTATTGTCACAATTTTAATTTTTATTTTCTTCCTATTTTTCTACCTGTCTGTCACCAATTCTTTGCTGTCAAATTACTCATTCTTTCCAATCATTTTTATATTCTTCTTCTTATATTTTGTAATTTATATTAAATTTATTTGCCAAGTGATGCTGTTACAATTCACAACAAACAAACATATCACGCATCATATGTTTGACATATGTGGTGATTATATCTGTGATAAACATTGACAGATGATATGTTATCACTGTTCTTAAGGCTTGTATGAGTTTGTAAATGTGAAATAACCTTTCTTTTTCATAAGAGAGAAAAAGAAAAACTCAAAAGAGAATATAGAATTAAAGATAATAAAATCAATAATAAAAAATAAAAGAAAAACAGTACTATTGATTAATCTCAATAGACTTGACTCAATATACTTGGATAATTAAATAAGCAAAATATCAACAACATTAAATATTAAGAGAACTTGTTATCAGAAAATAAGACCAAGAAAAATCAATTTTTATTAAATGCAAGTATTGCAATATTTATAGTTTTGCAATTGACTTGTTGAATAATTAAATAAATAAAATTATTGAAAATATAATAAAAAGTTGTATAATTGATAATCTATTAAATGTGATTTGTTTACTATCATTAAGTACAAATAAAATAAAATAATTATTAAGTTAAAATCATAAAAATAATTATGCTTGTAAAGAAAATATAATAAAAATAATATTAACTTCAAGTTGATTCATTAAGTTAAATATAGTAAGAGAATAAGATAAGATGTGTGGTTGTGTGAAATTATTTTTGACAGAATGATGCCTTTCTATTGTACTTATTGATGTTTTGCTTTACAAATAAAAAAATTGCTTTCTATTCAGTCTTGGCTACCACCAGAAAATAAAAAAATAGAATATAATTTTTCTAGAATTACAAAGAATTCTGCATTGTCAACACACTGGCAGACAACTAAAATTTTGTGAAATGCTGATCATTTTTACAACACCCTATATCAAAATTGATGCTTGTTGAGTTATAATTTGTTATGCAACTGGTCAGAAATATAATATATATTATATGTATAGTTATATTCTTGAGATTTTAGTCAGGACAATCCAACAAGAAGGAATTTAAATAATGAACGGGACTTGAAAAAGATAGAAACAGATATATAGATAACAGACAGATAGACAAACAGACAAATAGATAAACATACAAGCAGACAAATGGTGAGACAGTACTTGTAAACTCTAATAGTGTAGAACTTAGTATTTCTTGCAGAACAATAGTTTAAGCTGAGTAACAATATTCAAAAGGAATATAGATGAAAACTAAATGAATTTTATTGTGATAAAAACGTCTCTCTTATATACTAATTGACAACTGTATATAAGATGACAATCTAGATACATTTTATGCTAAATGATGATTATTTAGAAGAGTGTACAGATCTTCAGACATAATTACAAAAGGAAATAATCAAAAATAATCAAAAATAAAAATAATCAAACTACTAAAAAATATGAACTCTTGGGAAGCATACTAAAAAAGTAATATCAAGAAGTATAAAGGAACAAGTGCAATGCAAAGGGAAGCAAGCTAAAAAAAATAAAAATCAAAAACAAAAATAGAAAAAAGGGAAAAGCATTTAAAGTCCAGCAGGAATTTAAATGTCAATAGCAAAAAAAAAGGAAAAAGAGGGAGAGAGAAAATAAATCCAAGAAATTGGATTTTGTCATGTCTAGAGATGGAGTCACAACTTTGCACTGTCCATAACTTAATAGTTTGTGCATAAGTTGACATCACATAAACAAATATACATTTTTGGTCAATGCTGAAAAATTTACAACACTTATATCAAAAGTGATGCATGATGTGTTTGTTTGTTGTGAATTGTAACAGTATCACTTAGTAAATAAATGTAATGTGAATTACAAAATACAAGAAGAAGAATACAATAAAAATAGAAAAAAATAGGTAATTTGACAGGTAAGAATTGGTGACAGACAGGTAGAAAAATAGGGAGAAGATAAAAATGAAATCGTTGATAACAACAAAGTTTGAGAAAGACAGAAAAGAAAAAACAAAGAAATGAAATATATCAAGATCAACAGACAACACTCTAAAGAATAAGAACACTGTGTATAAATGAAAAATAATGATAATAATGGACAAAAATAAATAAGATCAAGGATAGAATGATGATCCTATTGATTGAAAAGGTTATTTCTTTTATAAATAAAAATGTTTAATTAAAATAATTTTTTGAGGGAAAGAAAAGAAAGTCAAGTGAAAATTTTACTACATGTAACTGGTGTTGATAGTAGAAGTGGAATAGAAAAATATAGAGAAGGTAAAATTAAAGTATAGTAAAAACATAATAATAGAATAAAGATAAAGTAAAAATATAGTGAGGTAGAATAGAAGTAAAGTAATAATATAATAATAATATAGTAAAGTAAAGTAAAAAATATAATAATAGTATAATAATAGAATCTAATAAAATGTAATAAAAAATAGTGTAAAATAAATGTTGGCGATAAAGAAGTGTATAAAACTAGGGGAAAGATGTATAATGTTTTTAGTGGGTGACAGGTGTTTCTGAGGTGATGATGTAGATGAGTATTTTAATTTTAAGGAACGGGATTATATTGGGGAGTTTGGGTATAGGGGTATCAGAAACAAGATTTCCCAAGAAACCTGGGGGGACCACTCTTGTCCCTCGAGACACGTCACTCGGTCGACTCACCATTGACGTCAACTCCCACGAGTCCGGTACCACCCATCATGGCTCATCGCCAAACCAAACCACCAAAGAAATCCACCATCTGATATCCCTCACCAGAAATTGACCAAAGCCTGAGGTGCCTACAACACATGTGATAAAGTCAAAAACGGACTTATAGCTCAGCGGTAGAGCGTGGGATTGCAGATCCTAAGGTCCCGTGTTCAAATCACGGTGGGTCCTTTTTTATCGTTTTCGACCTAGGTTGTTCTGTCATGTGTCGTTCCCAATCTGGGTTGGTTTTCCTTTTACTATAACAAAGTCAAAAGGTCAAACCCACTGGGGATCAAGGAGTATACGTAAAATCAAAGAGAAGATAAAAGATACTTTTTATTGATATGAATTTGAATTGTCTTATATAGTTTTCTAAACTAATACTGCACATTATTCGCAGTAGTTATTATTTATATTTAATTAAAGAAATAGTCATTATACTGCAGTTAATGCTCAGAAAGATATTACTGCGCATAAAGAAGTACTGCGGTTAACTATCTTCAGGTTTTATGGATTCATCAAAATAATGTCCGACACGTGCCCAAATTCTTGTCAACCAATCAGAATGATGATTGTTGTGCTTAATTTTTGTGATACAAGTTCTAGTGACTTGTTATTAGAGAGGGTGACTATTTGTTCATTTTTGAATAAGTTTATGAAAATCATCAAAATGGGGTTTTAATTTTTAATATTCTGCATATCCTATTTTGGATTGCTTCAAATTTACTCAATTCTTATTCATGAATGAGATTAATTTTGAAGGAAAAGATGTAATTTTTCAACACTATTTTGAATAGGCTAAAAATAGTAATACATATTTTAATACTTCTTTATCATATAAACAAATAGAGTTGAATATGCAAATGTGTTAGCATTTTTAATAAGTAAACAATATACTTATTTATCCTACAAGCAAATAGAGGTGTATATTCAAGTGTACAAGCATTTTTGATAAGTAAACAAGACATTTCTTTATCACACAAATACATAGAGATGTATATTTAAATATACAATCATTTTGGATAAATCAACAATAGAATCGAAATTTTTATTTAGTATATAATATATTATTGCTTATATGTAATTTAAGTTCAATATCCACATTTTTCATTTTTTTTCTTATACACATGAAGTGCAACATATCCTCTGAACGCAAGCCTACCAAGTCAAAGAAGCTGTCAACTTCTTCTGGTTCAAGCAAAGATCGTACGGAGTTCATTGTATATGACCCAACCATCCAGAAGTTTGAATAAAGTACCAGCATGGACTCAGCACCGATCATGAAAAGAAAACAAGAGATATGGGACCAGGAAAGAGAGCTGATATTAATGGAGACCTACAACCATTATCGCCCATTTGCAGCCTCTCATGGACAAGTAGGAGAAGCGTGGGAATAAGTAACTGCTGCAGTCAATTATGTTCACCTTAACTACAAACAAGCACTTACCAGCAGAAGTGTGCAGAATAAAAAAGATGCACTCTTTAGCAAGTTCTGGCCCCTTTTTGACCAGCATTCAAATGAGAAGTTTTCTGGGGTTAATATAGATATTCCAACTCGTCTTGGGAAAGCAATTTATTCCGCAATGAAGGCAGTATGTTTTTTTTAAATAATAATAATAAAACATATAATTATTCAATCGATTTAACAGTTTTCTTTTAATATTCAGGAAGAAGATGCGAAGAGTATCAAAGAGCTCAAAAATCTTGTGAAGGCCAGAAAGGCAAAAGACATGAGATCACTTAATGATAAGCTTATGTCTTTTGTCAAGTATGGCCGGAAAATACCCCCAAAGGACGAGAAAAAAAACAATGAAATATATAAAGTTCCCAAGGTAAAGCCAATGCCAGCCAAGGGGCAGCAGCAATTGGTTGAGCTGTTGGAGAAACAGATAGAGATCTTGAAAAGACAAGCAGAGACAAATGAGAGGGTTCTTCTGGTACTGGAAAGCTTGGAGAAGCATATTGGAGAGAGTAGCAAGTCTTAGGCCATCATTGCTGACTCTCTCTCTCTCATTGCCAAAAATCATAAAAAATAAAAGTTCAATTTATACCTCTTTAATTTTATATTTAGTTTTGAATTGTTGATACCTTTTTTTATTATACAGGTAGAGAAGTAATACATACATAATTTTAAGAGCTAAATTAATTAATTATGCTATTGTGAAGTAGAAGCCTTTTAAGATAGTATAGTGTTGTACTTGAATAGATAAGATAAATGAGATGACATTTAATTAATTAAACATACCAAGTTAAAAACTAATGAAAATGCAATAATTACATATGTTGTGAATGAGTATTGATTACTGCTGAATCTGAGAGTAAGACTGAAGGATAAAATAATATCCTCAGCTATTCCAGTCAAATGGATCTCCCTTTATGATATTATCTAATACACAGATCATCATACACATAATTGATTATTTATTATTATCACCATGACATGGGATATACAAATACATATACATTATATATATGGCATCATTATATTTCATCTACATATTTCTTTTATTATACAAATACTTAATTGAGAGACTACAACTACAACTATTTAATATTATGAAACATTACCCGAGTATCTGGGTCAGAATATTAAAATATTACCAATAGCATAAATGCTCTTCTTTACTAAAACTCTTGGACTGATCTGACTGGAGAAGTATCATATCAATTGGTCTTTCTGGATCTTTCCAGAAGAATAATACTCCTGGAAGATGACTCATTGTGATAAAGATTACTTAAGCACACACTGAATTACAAATTAGAAAAACATATAAATATCAGTAGATAGTTCCGTGTAGAAAGAGAATCAAATTTTATCATTCTTTACTTTTCTTTTGAAATAAACAACCTACACAAGTTCTCACAAATTCTTTCATCTATATTATATTTTGCTTTATTTTCTCCCCACAACAACATAGAATTCTAATGGTATAAGAACATCACTTTATTATTATTACTAAACTTATTTGCTTTATAGTCATTAACAACAAGTAATATACTCTATGTATCAAGTGGAATAGACTCTACCAATCTGGGAGCATTGTATAGAATAGTGTCTACAGTATCAACTGTGTCTTCTAATATGGGATCACATACAAGACCCCTGATATAATCTTGTATGTTTGGTGGTTGAATATCAAACATTGCTGACGTTGCGGACCCATTGATACAAGTATGAAAGTTTTTGAACAAAGTAGATAATATGTATATTGTTGCAGATAATGCTTTCAACTTTATCTTCATCTCTGAGCTGAATTTACAGTATTTGAAATACTGCCCTACCTTACCAAACTCCATCTCTACTTGCACTTGTGCTATAGACATAGCATAGTTAATTCTGGCTTTTTGATCTAAAGATATATACATAATAAAGTTTTGTTACAGTTATTAAAAGTCTACGTATGTAACAAATAAGTACAATTGTGAATATCTTACTATCCTTCAGTGTTTCATCTAGTGGAAACGGCTTAAAAACCTTGTATGATTACAGGTAGACTTGGTCTCCATAAATAACATATACAAATGGTGGATACTTATCCCTAGACACGGCTGTAAAATACAGAATCAAATGGTCCAAAGTCTTAGTTTCATCAAAAAAATTTGCATTGTGAGTAGATCCAACAAAAGGTCCAATTAAACTACTGGTAATGTGATCAGGTGTAGCAATGTCCTGGTACTTTATACAATGAATATGCTATTAAATAGACAAATATATTAGTGAGTAATTTAAAATCATTTGACATTATATATTTTTTTTGAATGTTTTCACCAATCAATATCTTACTTTCCATCTATTGTATAGAGTTTTTTGCTCTTCTTCTGATTTTGGACAATATAATTTCTGCATGGTACCATCAATGAAACCAATTACACTGAGATATGTTTTTGCTATAATATATTTAGTTATTAATAAAAAACAGATATATCTATAAATGTAACAAGAACAATATTATTAAATAATGATATTACTTCTTTCATAGATTGCCTTTGCAAAATGCTCACAATTTTCTGCTGAAAACTGACGTGTATCAAACTCCAATCTGTTTTTGAATTTCTTCATCAACAAGACAGACATTTTTTTACAATGAACCCTAAATCCTTTGCATTCATTCCCCATTCTCTTTTCATTGAACAGTATTTCCAAGAGAAAGCAAATTGGTATAATATTATGGCAAATGCAAACTCTCTGCTCACATGAACCACATGTCTTTTTGAACAGCATAGGTGCAATATTATAGGTAGTTCCATTGCTTCACACATTATCTTAATTCAATTTATATTCAAATGTTATTATTTAATAGTCATATCTCTATTAATAGGTAGATATCTTTGTGTAGCTTACTTCAGAAAGAGAGAATTTAAATTCCTCTTTGCATTGGGTATCACTCAAAGTCTCCAAATCAAAAAGCTTCAACTTCTTTCTTTGTTTGTCAGTCTCTACAGATACTCTTTCTTGTTCCAAAAGAGAAGAGATCTCAGCAATAAATCCAATGCTTATCTTTAAGACTGTATGATACAAAATGTATGTATAAAAAAATAAATAAATGAGAGTTGTTGTAAATGAGTATTGACTACTGCTGTAATGGAGAATAAGTCTGAAGGAAATAATATAAGGTCTCAGCTATTCCAGTCAAAGGTGTCTACTGATTACTTTATTATTTAATACACAGGTTTAGCATGCATAATAGTGATTATATTTCATATGATGATATCACCATAATATAGGATACATTAGTGGATTATTATAAGCATAATTATAACTCATAAACACATTTACTTTCGATGTTAATACTTCATTGAGACTACACACATTTATATAATTAATCATACATTAATTATCCCAAGATTATGTTGCTCTGATTAAGGTTCAGATAGGATCGATTACCTGACCCCAGTCATATAATTTTCCCAATCCAAAACAATATAAATAGCAGTAGTAGTTCAGTGTAGGAACCTCGTCAAACTTGATACAAAATCTTTCTCAATAAACAAAACCTACACAAGTTCTCACGAATCTTTGTTCCTAATTTCAAATCTTGAATTCTTCCTCTTAAAAACTTCTTCAACTTCAACCACCACAACACCAGTAATCATTTAACATAGCTGAAAGTCACATAATTGATAGCTGAGTCAAATTTAATTAAATATTTTTTCTTTCTTTTTCTATCTCGTATTATTTACACAGAAAAAAAGGTTTGTTTTGATTACAATAACATTTACTCATTACTATTTTCTCTCTCTTTATATAGAAAGATTGTTTACTCTTTCACAATTGACTGCATCAGATTGCTCATAGAAATGACTTAAGGTATTATTATTTTTCAAAAAAAAAGACTACTCATTACAACTTTGTCTTAATGATTTATGTTTGTTGCAGGTAACAACACTCGTATACATCTGATAATAAGAATTATCTGATTTGTATGTATATATCACCAAGCTTATATGCTATTAATACATATTATTTACTTATATTTCTATTCTATTTTCTCTGATTTTTCATGTGCTTTTACTGATAATAAAAGGTATTTATTCTATTTTCAAAACTACGTATACAAAAAACATAGCCAACTAACTCATTTAATTGTAGTAGATAGCTTATCTACATGTCTCCATCATAATCATTATTACTATTACAAGGCATTATGTAATATACTGTATAGTATAGTAGCTTACATCATTAGTAGTAATAATATAAACCAATAAAAATCAATAAAAACCATTTTTTTGCAACCAATCGTATAATCGTATTTTTGAGGAATGTTTTTTCCACACAGTCTCCTCCCCTCCCCCTCCCCTCCCCCAAAATATTAAATCACAGACACTTTCGTGTAATATTTATTCCCAAAGAGGCATGTGTTTTGCTTCAACCTTAATGGCATTGGAAATGAAAAAAAAATTGGTGATGTGTTACACACCCACTGAAGTTTTTTTAATCTCAACAATGAAAAAGAAAAAAAAGTGTCAATAAGGGTTTCTTTTTTAGGAAACTCAGACAAGTTTCGAGGGTGGTCTTCCTCAAATAGTAGAATTGGAGTGGGGGGGGGGGTGAAAACATTGGAAATTATTTTTTGGGCTTAAAAAAGATATATTTTATTTTGTTTCAAAAAAAGAAGTAATTCTACTAAGTATTTTATAAGCTACAAGCTGTTTCTTAATGAAAGCAGCTTTTACAGGTATGAGAAAGCTAATAAATAAGAAAGCATATTAATATAACAATTTACAAAATGTTTATTTAAGCAGAAAATATCTTTTTATACCGCGTGTATATCTACTAGCTATCATTAAAAACTTATCTAAGAGAAGTAAAGAAACAATTAGAATATGGAGCATAGATGGTGTACTGTTTTAATATATATATTTAGTCTATACCTAATGTTTCTATGGCAAAAAAGCTGATTATGTATCTGGATAAATATCATTGCTCTGCTGATAAGATTTGGTTCCATAATCTCATCTTTGTATTGCCTTTGAAGCCTAGCAAGATTATGATTTAGTAAGAATTCAAAGAGATGCATAATAGAAATAGTACTTACTTTAATAAACTTCCACGATGTAGTATTCTCTGGCTGGATTACACTTGCGGTTTACCTTTAAATAATGACATGAAAATAATGAAAAAAAGAGACAAGTAAACAATTGGAAAATTAGCCTAAAGTCTATTATGTCCCTTTGTTTTTTAACGGTCTCAGGATCTTATGAGTGGTGGCACTATGTCAAGAATCAGTGTATATAAATACTTTTTTGTTATATTCTTAGCAGTATTACTATCAAAGAAAGTCTAAATGATTATAGAAGAATATAATAATATTAATGGTGCATCAAAAATAATATAATAGCAACAAAATTAATGTAAACTTTTGTTATTATTGCTGACAATTACTGTGACATTGCAAACTTATATAATATAGTTCTCATTAATATCTACTATAGTAATGTTGGCATTAGCTAGACCATTGTTATTTACTTCTATTACTCAAAAAATAATTGAAAAATATTTCTTAATGCTGTATATTATGGCATGCAGTTGAGGATGTTTAATGACATGGTAAAAAAACACAAATGATGAAAATGACTTAGAGAAAAATTATGTTTTCCAATAAATTTTATCCAATTAAATCTTCTGTTTTCCAACTCTCTGTCGTTCTTTTCCCATTTCATACATTGGGGGTACTCAGCCAGGTTAATCGCTCAAATTCTTGTGTGAATCTTAGCCAATGATATCAATTTGTAGTTGAGGACACCAAAAGGCAAAAGATCAAATTTTGATCAAATTTTGATCAAATTTTGACTAAAATTTTAATGACATTCATATACCAAGATTATACATCATTTAATAAAAGATTATGCAAAAAAATTGCTATATAATCTAGGAAACATACAATTGACATCTTTCTTCACACCTTCACCTTTATTTTGCTTCGCATCTTATTATGAAAAAAAAACATGTCTAACTCTAACAGCAAAATATCTTTATCCACTGAAGATAATCACGCTATCAAGAACGAATATAAGACATGGTACAAACATGATGGTAGTAAATATGGTCTGACTTCTATGGAGAGACTTCAGCAATTCATGTTGATGAACGGCAGAGAAAACCTCAATATGTATCTTGGTGGTGACAAGGAAGGACGAACATTCAAGTCGTCAAAGGTTACAATACTAAATAAATGCAACCAGTATTTTCAGGAGCAAGGAGTTTATCAAACTACAATCCAAATAAAGTCGAGGCTTAACAATCTTTTGACAAAACAATATAGAGAAGCCTATCGTGTTTGGAAGAATAGTATTAAAAATAATTCTAATGACGAAGGCTCTATCAGTGAAAAAGAAGGCTTAAAGTGTAAGTTGATACTATCTATATAATACCTATTCTAGATCTCTTTGTTTTAATGTAATTTGTATAACAATAGCTGAATTGAATCAAATCTACCCTGCTTTCTTTCAGATGGAAAAGGTTATGGGCAATAGAAAGACTGATTCTTCAGCAGTTTGTGATATCACAAAGCCAATAGAATGAATACATGACAAGGACAGTGAGCAAAGCAATGGCGATGATGACAACACGGATGAAGAATCAGCTGAAAACAGTCATAGCAGCAACAATGCAGAATATGACAGCCAAAATGATAACATGTCTGTACTCTGCTCCTCTCCTCCTAAGTCAAGCTCTTCTAGAAAACACAGAAGAGTAGATGTCAAATATAAAGAGTTAGCAAAAGAGATAACAAGACAACTTAATGAGTCTTCTGTGTCCCTAGAGGCAAAAATAAAACGGCTTTATAGAGAAAAGCTAGAAGTTCTTAAGGGCGATCTTCACACTAAGTGAGAACGTGAATTTATACACAGAAAATTCAAAAACATGATGAAAGCAGTTGCAGAATTGACCAAAGTGCAAAACTGGTCAGATGAAAAAGTGCAAGAGCAAACTGACGACATTTACAATAAAACATATGGTAGCCAAAGACTATCAATTTAATAATGATAGCAACTATCATAGAATACCTGTTATACATCATTTCTACTTTTGAGATAATTTATTTTTTTATTTTTTACTTTTTTTTTAAGAATGTTCCCATCTCCGTTTTTTATGAGTATCTCTTCTTTGATACGGATACGTTTGAGCTTAGCATTCTCATCTGACAATGACATTTCTGGATAGTCATCTACAGTGCTAGTCACACCTTCTCTGCTGATCCTTTCGATCTCCTTTTTCTCTTTTCTCCTATGAAATCTTCATTGTCATTGTCATCATGTCATCTGTCTGGTCAATCAAAAAGTTATGGAGAATAACACAAACTCTGATCCAAGAATTGACCATGTCCATGTCTTTTCGACTTCTTATCTTAATTGGGAGTCGCTTGAAAGAGAAGAATCTTTCTTTGAGGATCCCAAATGCATGCTCAATTTTTATCTTCGTCATTGCTATATATGAATTGAACGCTTTGTCCGCATCACACAATTCCTTGTTTTTTGGCTTCTTTATGACATGGACAACGTACATCTTGGGAATGTAACTAGCATTGACTAAAACATACTGGTCACCAGAGAAGAAGTTATTGGGATCGCTACCCATGATCGATTCTTCAAACACCCTGGCATTGTTCATGCTTCCAAAGTATCTACAAGAGAGATACCAAATCTTCTTTTGATGGTCGCATACCCCAAGAGTGTTTACACAGTATGTGTGCTTACGACCAAAGAATTCTGGCTTTTTCTATGACGGTGTATGCTGCAAGTTAAACAGACACCCATCCAAAAACCCAACAAGATCAGGAAATCCAAATGGTTTCTCATTGCTTGGGATTATTGTTGCTGTCTTCTCGAGTTCTGATGGCCAAAAAACGTACATGTTTTCCATTGATAGCATTATCTTGAAGAAAAAAACTGTGAAGTTTAAGACACTGCCCTCTAATAAGTTTAAAATAATTAGTTCAATGGATTAATTATATGTTTATATAGATTAACGGAAGTCAGTTTACTAAAAGATGCTTACCTCCAATACCAGATCTTCATGCAAGCCTGCTATAGGATACAGCATTTCTGTCTGAGCCTAGTCTCTTCAAGACCAAAGCTAATTAAAGCTTTACATCAGTCTGCTTATGTCCTTTCGGTGACTTATATAAAGAATGGTCTTTGATTATCTCGTACAGCTTATTAAACATGCTTTTAAACATTCTGATTTCTTCTTTGAACCCATCTGCATCTAGGTCTTCGAGGAAAGCAAGTTTTTCTTCCTTTGATTTAAGCTTTGGCAATGTATTGCCACCCTTGTGTAAGTATCTGTTGGCTTGAAGATTCTGCTCAAGATCCTTCACAACAGCTATCTTCTCCAACTCTGCATCAACTTCCTCTTCAAGGACTTCTGAAATATTTTTCAACAGCTTATCTGCGCTTGTTGATAAAGATTGTACCAGACTTTTTTTTTTCCTTCGCTACAAATTTTCTGATTTTACGCGATTTCTTTAAGGCAGCAACTGTTTGTTGCTTTGCACTGTATTTTGGCATGTTATATGGAGTGAAAGAAGTGTTACATGACTTTGTTGACAGTAAACTCTATGATTTATTAAGGAGAAAGATAAAAACAGTATTGTATTGCATATAAAAAGTAAGGATTCAGCCAATCAGAGAGCTGTACATTTTGCGATCTTCAAAAAGATGATCAAATTTTGATTGTCACTATTACAATTTTAGTCCAAAAATATTGTGTTCTGAATTTAAAATTTGAGCAATCAATCTGGCTGAGTACCCCCATTTAAATCATCTGAATTTTATTTATAGTACACGAAAATATTATTTCATCCTTTTCTGGCATATGTCTCATCATTTTTCTCCTCTCTCAAATCTGAAGCTTTTCATGTGTAATCTCAATTCATACTCTAAGCCAATAGAAAATTTGGTTTCAATAAGAAATTTCTATATTTAGAAAAAACCTCAGTGAGTGTGTAGTTAAAATGAATGTTCTACAATTTTATGTAACAAAAATAAGCTAAATACGGCAATACAAGTTGAAAATTTGAGTTTCAAAAAAAATCTTTTTTTAGCTAATATTCTGTGCAACTCTACAAATCTGAGTCCACAAACGTCTCTAATTACCACGGATGAAATTTGATATCAAATTAGGAAATTGAAAATGCATCTGTTCTTATTGGCTTACTAAATATATTGCTCGTGTAATTTCCTTTTATACTTATAAATCAAAACTTGTGTTCTTTATAAGGGAATACTTGCAGTACAGACATCTACAAATGTATTTCTAGTGTAACAGAAGAGAACTAAAAAATGACTTAAAGAAATTGGAATGTTTTATTGAGATAAAAAAAAGATATAAAAAATTAATAAAAGGAATAAAGGAAGGACCAGTATGAACCAAATTTGTTGAGATTAACAACATATTTACAGCCAACTTTCAGATGCATGTCTAATAGACAAACAATCTTCAATTCATCTAGTGGCATGTATATATCATCAGCATATTTGAGTGTTAGACAATAATTGTTGTTAACAGCATGTGCGGATGAATGTTCGATATACAAATGGTATACTTTAGAAAAAAGCACCATTCCAATGATGATTTGTCCATTGCTTTGTCTAAATAGAGCAAATGTATTATCTTTTAATATCCTTCTAGGGGTCAAACCTGTACCATTCTTGTCTGTAAATTCTCTGGACCTACTGAGCAAAGTTTCATAAAATTTCCCATCAGAGTTTTGTTGCATGTATTCTGCAATAGCTTTTTAACAGGTTTCCCTTAAACCATTCTTGCCTATCCATGAACCACCATCAATAATATGTCTTGTCATATATTGTTTACCAAATTTGAGACATATATCTTTCGATGTGTTCATATGGTTTGTATGAAACAAGTGTTCACAAATGTACTTGTTGAACTACTCTCTCTTTTTGGTCTCGTAGTTAAGAGCAGACCCGAATCTTTGTAAATCTTCAGGTAGATGGGTCAACAGATGGACTTTTGGCTTGGACGTATAGAATGCATGTTTTTTATGTTTACAGTTAGTGTCGTATTTGTGTAGGGCTTCAATTAGACTTCTAACGGCAGAGTCTACTTCACTGATATATGTCTCGTATTGACTGTCAATAGATTGAACAAATACTAGAGAGCATAGACGGCCAAGACGAACAAAGAGGGGAGTGATTTCCTGTAATACTTCTGTATCTGCAAACTTTATGGCCAGAATTACCAGAAGTATTTGGATTAGTACCTTGAAGTCTCTACCAAGAAACGAACCGGCATGAGTGAGAGTCCTTGTAAACACTCTTGATATGCCTCTGGAATTTTTGTAGTCTTTAACATAATCAAACAGTTCTTCTAGTTCTTTTTTGTTTTTGTTTAGGACAACTTTAACCAGATCAGTGATAAGATACTTTGCAATACCAAGGAGAATATAATGCAATATTTCAGCAGAAGTGTCTTTTGACTGGTCATATACTTTAAGTTCTAGCAGTTTGTCTGTTGAGTTGTTTTTAAAAGTTAACTCTTCTGCTGTGTTTTTGTCATCAAAGTAAGAAATATCAAGGATCACTGTATCTCTGTCTGGTGTAGAAGCAGCCTGGATATAATGATCCTTGGTTCTTGTTGGATGCCTGTTAGTATAGTATTCAACTTTGTTCAACTCGGGGATTTGACTTTGCAATTTAATGTAGCACTTTCTACAAGGGTAAGTTGAGTTGGGTGCACCTAAACCACAAAGCTCTGAGTGACAAGATATATCTGCCTCAATCCAAAGTAAAGGAGGTACCACAAGAACATATGCATTATCTTCTGCAGAGAACATTACCACGCTGTTTTCTAGCTTCTTCAAATCATCAACAATTTCAGGTAACAACGAGGCAGCATTTGCACTTTTCTTCTTTGGAATTGCTGATATAAATAAGATATTCTCTATGGAGCACCTTTCCTCAAAAGAGAGGGCCACACATTTCATCAACCAGCTCTTATATGGATTAAATTGCTTAGAGATGTTTCCAGAAGTATCATCTGAGAAAAGAATTACAGGTGCAATCTTTACCTTGTAATATTTTCTTTGGTTGTTTTCTTGGTCAGTTCCGTTGCATATAAGCCTCTTCAGAAAATGTTCTTCTTCAAGTAATTTATGATGAGTTGGAATGAGCAAGATAATTGTGTCAGGAGAGATGCTGCAACATAAGGAGGTGTTTAATGGGGTTGTGTTGACAGAGAGAAATGATTCAATATTTATGTCGGTATGATTGATTTCGATGTCAATGCTACAACCACCTTTTGGAGTTCAAACAATATATCTACAAGAGAAAACATTAGATGTATCCATTGTATGAAAAGATTCCACCAGAAAGCGAATGTTAGGTGAGCAATCTTTTAACAGAACAATGTCACCAGACCAGAAATCAACGTTGTTGTGGGTAAACATGGGCTGTCGGAAGTATGTATTTATTCTCCATTTTTCTCCTTGTTGAAGACAGACAGATTGGTTTGGCGTGCGATCAGATAAAGAAAAGATTGATTTTGACTTTATAGGATCGGCAGCAAGGAGTTTGATATGCTCAGAAGGCAAGTTAAGGAATGTGGTGACTTTTGTGCTGTCAGAGAGAGTAACATCTAAACTTTTCGATTTGAAAATTGGGATGTTCAATTCTTTTCGTGTCTGGTAATTCCAGAGTGCATCTAACCGGGGCAACTTGAAAGAAATATCTTTTCTAATAGCTTCTTTGTAGATCTTTAGAAGAAGATTGATGGTAAATAATATCTTCTTTAACATTCTATGAGAAATCATGTTGTTATCACCATCGACAAGTGCGAGCAAAATCATCGTCTGGATATCTTTAAATGGATGAATATTTGGTGTAAATCTGTTCCAGGCAGTAGAGTTAAACATTTTACTCTGGAATTCATCCTCTTCATCGATTGAAGATTCGTTGTTATTGGCGAAAGCAGACATGTTGTTCAAGATGTGATTAAACAGAGAAATGCCTGCATTTAGCTCTGTGTTTTTCTCAACATCAAAATCACTATTGTCAACTCTACTTCCATCATCACTTTCTTCACACTCGTCATAATTTAAGATACTGTTGTAGTATTCATTATCAACGTCTGATTCCTCTTCCACACTTTCACTTGGTGTAAGCATATTTTTTGGGCTGTTGCTCGTCTGTATATCTTGATATTTGGTCTCCTGGACTATGCTCATATCATCTGCAACCGTTTCTGTTATGTCATGACATCTTTGCAAATGTCTTTTAAGATTCCAGTGATCTTTAAAGGTCTTCTCACAAAGTGAGCAAGACTTGCCAATGTCAACAAGACTGAAGTTGAGTAGGCCCGGAATTCTCGGAGTAGGTACTGATACTCTTCCTGGGGCAAGTTTTTTTGGTACTCTGTTCATTATTGTTTGTAATGTAAAGAAAGTAAAGACAAAAAGATAGATATAATTAACGTGTACCCCTTAATTTTGTTCAAGTTACAACGTGTCAATTTTGTGAAAAAACCAATTAAATTGCATTATTTTGCTGAGATTTTAAAAAACCAAGAAAAAATAAAAAAAAATCAAAACATTCTTTACTCTGTATTTGTTTAACACGATCAAGTTACTAATCAAACTTTTAATGCTAGTATACAATAACATGTTCTTCTAGCAAAAATCTATGGTATGATATATATGACGGCTTCTAAAAAACAATATAAAAGATCATTTATTTTAATTGGCATTTACTAATCACATTTAATCTTGAAATAGTATAAGATCCAACAATTTTTTAAGCTTATAAAGGTACATGTGTTGACATTAAGAGTAGTCTATACAATATGAATATTAACAAAAAAAATTTATGTCTTACTCTAGGTTTATTCATTATCATCATTATCAAAGGTAAGTTATTAGAAACAACTCTTAAAGATCGCAGCCACTAATTATTCTTGTCATCTATATAGGTTTGAAACACTTCAAGCTCAATGAAATGGAAAGGTCCTATCCATAGCTTTTTTATTTTGTAAATTGTATTGAAGTAGCTAGCTAGCTTTTTATTTATAATAATAGCTACCAGTACCAGCAGCTCCTGTCTACCCTGCAATAGCAGCCAGTACTAGGCTGGTACTGGTAGCCTAGTATTTTATGACCCCCATATTTTCAACCCACAAAATAAAAATAAAAATATTTTTTTCAAACCGAAGATTTTTTTTGTCAGCATTCTATTTTTCAAATTTGGTCTATTTTTAAAATCGTGAAGCTTCAAAAATAGTAAATCCAAAAAAGGAAATCGAGCCACCGTCGTACAAAACAGTCATTTGTAACACTAGAAAAATCTCCCGTGGTGATATATTTGATTTAAATCTTAAAAAACAAAAAAGAGCTCAAAGTGTGCTATATTTGATATGGTGGTAGAAGTTTAAACAAGGTTGTCATTTTTTGGAATTTACAGCAACTTTTTTCTACAGTGATTACTTGTTAAGTGACCAATGATTCAAAATATAATCTTAAGCAAAAGTCCATAGGTGAAAATATTTTATTGTGGGTTTTTCTAGGCCTTGCGCATTTTAGCATATTGGCTACCCGATGAGAGCTGAAGAATAAATGAAAATAATAAAAGTAACCCCCTAAATATAGGGGGGAATAAAAAGATATGTAAAAAATGAAGAATAAATAAAGAAAAAGTATGGAACACGCATGACAGAGACAAAGATGAATAGTCAGCAAAACAGTAAGAGAGCATGTAAAAAATCCCCTGTGGGGGAAAACGGCTTTTAGAAAGACTAAGACTAAAATAGATAATACAGCTGGTAAGAATACAGGTGAAATAAATATATAAGAAAAATAAATGACATGAAAGAATCGAGAATAAGTAGCTAGATACTGACAGCACCAGAATTGAGAACGGATTTCAGCAGGAATAGGAGCTCCAAAGAGGGATTCTTTTTAGAAACTCAGACGATATATTTATGGATCCAGAATACACAACCATACCAGACCAAGTCAGTCCTCCTAGGCATAATTTCGGGCGGGCACAAATGGAGGTGGTTGACGAGGAATGGTGGAAATTTCGGATCGCAAATAAGGAAACGGATCACCAGGGACAGGTTCTTGGGTGGGCGGCGGGATGCGGTGGGGATGGGTTGGTTTTGTGGCACGGAATTTTGCTGCAAGGTCGATAAGGATTTGATCATGAGCTTTTTCTTCTGGCAGTTTATAGGATGAGGTGGTTTGATCAACACCACGTAGCAAGGCAAGCAAGCACGGCCACAAATCGCACCACGTACCAGGCGATTTGAAAGATCTGGGGAGACAGTTGAGAACATAGTCGATGGGATGAACCTCTGGAGGAGGAGCAGGATCCAGCAAAGCCCAGAGTTTTTGAACAAGAGCGATTATGGCAGAGCATATGAGCATATGATTTCGGTTATCCTTGATAGCACCACATTGGCACTCAACTGATGATGTAGATGGTAGCCAAGCAATTCGTCATTTGATCAGACGGCGCCGTTCTGAACGAGTGCAGGGCAGTAGTAAGACCAGATCCCAGACAGGTTTGCATAAGCCTCTAGCAATGGTTACCGGATGGTTAACGCTCGCAAGTTGCATGTCGATTTCTTTTTGGCACAGTAGAACATAAGCTTCTTTTAATGGGTCCTTCAACCGAGGTTGATGTTCTTTCAGCAATTGGGCCTTTTCCAGAGTACACTACGACGAAGCTCACCCCATGTAATTTTTTCTTTGGAAAGGTCCAGCTGCGTGGTAAGAGTTTTTATCACGGAGTCTGAGGGTAGTGTTTCAGCACGACGAAGAAATTTGGCTTGAAGAGCACGGGAACAGGTGAATAGGTTGGGTAGAGCAGCTAATGCAGCGATATGAACAGCTCCCATCATTGCATTGGGCCGTCGAATACATGTCCGGAGACACATATTCTGAGCCTTCTTCAAGATACGAATGTCACTCCGGCTAGTGGGAACAATGGGTAAGCCGTACTCGAGAATGGGGCGGATAAAAATGAGATAAGCTCTGAGAGCCGCAGGGAGACCAAACCCATTCATGTGTACACCCGAGCTACTAAGTTTACGCATTGCTGCACAAGCTAGCAAAAGTCTATAATACCAAGAAAAGTAAATCTTAAAATACAGCTCTCATATATAAGTGCCAATAAGAAAACACATATAAGCTACAAAAAGGTTTATTGGTAAATGAATAAAATCTCACATCTGTTAGATAGCAGAGTTATGTAATAATTCATAACAGGCAGGAAGTGGGAAAGGAGGCGAATGAAAAGCTTCTCCTGGGCGGCTTCCTGGGCAGCCCCCCAGGGAACCCCCAGGGGCACCTCTTTTTTTCCCATAGTGTGAAGAAAAACACTTATAAGTCATTTTTTGTTTTTCCAATACGTACATCGCTCATTACTGCCTACATTACCGTCCATACATTGATAATGAACTATCCTATACTTGGCTTCAAGTCATTCAAAGAAGAAAAATCGGCTATTTGGGATAAAATTCTGAATATAAAATACAGGACACTCAAGAAACAAAAAGTTGACAAAGCTTTATGTTTTCAAGGGATGATGCTGACCGATGGTGTTGGTGTTACTATTTTGAAGCAAAATTTTGAATCTGAACGCTGTCAAAAAACGGGTGCTGCTGTTACATCTGGAGAATCCAACACCAATACAGGTCGGAAAATTAAAAGAACAAAAACAATTAATGAAGGCAGCTTTACGTACGTTGAAGACCTGATAACAGAACAGCTTAAAAAACCAAAAGACAGATGTGTGCTCGTAGATTCAAGACGTTAGGATATTTTATATTGTATGAAAGAAACAAGTACGATAAACAATTCTCAATCATTTCGATTTACAAAAAATCAAAGAAACAAGAAATCATGACGGCTAAGGCTTATAAGAAACAATTTGAAGCCAGCGTCTATCAAGTTAGCAGAACGTCAATTGTCTGAACTCTCTTGCAAAACACTTGATTATAAATAGTTTGTCTGACATCTAGAAGCAAGACGACAAGTTGAAACAAAATTGAAAGGGTACTATTAGAATGAAACTTTGGAAGAAACATTTGTGTATTACCCTGATCCTTTGGATTTCGTTGCTGAAAAAACGGGGGATATTTATTACAGAAAACATTTACTGTTTATTAAGCGTCTTCATGATTCCTATCCTGGAATTGCTAAGCTTGATATTTATATCTACTATCTCACTTTCCTTCTATCAACTAAGCATCTTGCCCGAAGGCTAAAAAATTAAGACATTGGTAACTTGAGCAAGATTATTGAAGGTACAACTACCTGGTTAAAGAAAGAGCAACTATCAGAAGAAGGAGTCAATGCCAAACAAGTTCAAATTAAGCAGTAAGTGCACATTATAATATCAAAGCTCCTCATTTTACCGTTTCGTCGAATGAAATTTATATCAAAAATAAACTATGACAAGTGCGATTTGAGGTTGGCAAAGGATCCGAGGAGAAAATTTAGAAAGGATCCAGTTTTCGTCTTTGGGGATTAATCAGCCCCAAATGTGAAGTTCCAAGAGCCAACAAGGAATAAAGGCCTATTGAAATATCTGGAGAAAAGCCGTTTCTCTATTTATATGCTTAATTAATATAAGACGTCGAGTTGCTGTTCCATTTGCCCAACAGGTGAAATGGAGAACTTTAAAAAAAATGCCAATCGTCGACCATTTCAAAGAGAAAAATTTCCCAATGTACTATGCCATGGTCTATTAAAGTAATAATGGAAATCAGATAAGGATACAGCATACATAATTGATTACTTCTCTTAGATGTAAAAATGAAGCCTGTTTAGTCAACGGGAAAAGAAGGCTTTTTAACAGAGATACAGTGACAGCTTTAAATTTTCGTTTAATATTAAATTCTTTGAGGGAAGAAGATCGAAGACCGCCAAGATTTATTAGAACAGCAAAGCGGCAAAACACAGAAGAGGGCTCAAGCAAAAAAAAAGTCAAGAAAAATACAATAATTTTCCGCTATAATTTTCGTTATAGGCGTACCTTGGAGGTAGCACTTCTTTTCGAAAACTTATAATCACTCTTTTACCAACTTATTTTTATCCAAATAGGTAAGGACTTTCTCAAGAACCCGCCAAGATTTAGGACCTTGGTGATGGTTTCTTTTTTCGGATTAACGAGAGTTTCCCAAATTAGAAACCTTTGCCAACAAATTTGGCTACATTAGGAAACATTCACTAATCTTTATTTGGATTTCAATGCCAACTTTTAGGACCTTGGCGAGTGCTTGAGAAGGCCCTAGCAAAAGTTACGAGTCGGAATTATAAATGCTGTCATTTCCTATAGCGCTAGTTTTTTTTATTTTTAGAATAGATATTTATTTATATAGTCTTTCATTGTCTTTGTACTTTAATTTACTGTATTGTCTTTTTTGGGTATTATAATGACATTATGTTCGATTGATTTATTTTTGGACTTTGAGCAAAATCAGGAATAAAAATTCGGTAGTTGTAAAAAGTAAGTCTTTATTGTACACCCACACCCACACCCACACCCACACACACACACATATATATATATATGTTTATATAATTATTTATATATCTTTACATATATACTTACTTGCTTACATTTATATACTTACACATTTATATCTACTATATTAAATTACATTGCATTACGTTATACTATATTTGACACTCATATTAATATTCATAATTCATAATTAAAGAAAACTATTAAGAAACCAAAGAACCAAAGTAGGAAAAATACAGAAAATGAATTTGAATGGAATGGAATGGAATGGGATGGGATGGGATGGGATAGGATTGGATGCAAAAGAGAAAAAGAAAGAAGCTTTACTTCATCCAACAATCTAATTATTAATGCCAATAATCATAATAATATTACTGTTGTCTATTTTATTTGTAGTTTGACAAATGGGACAGACTCTTTCAGAACCAGTTATCACAAAACACACAACCAAAGAAAGTAGTGACAAGCTATTCTATGGAGCATCTGCCATGCAAGGATGGAGATTGAGTATCCTTTTTATATATCCTAGTTATGCGTACAATACAGTTTACTTGGCGCGTCAGTTAGATTTGCTTGACACCTTTCTTAGAGAACTTGTTTTGAGTAAACTAATAGGTTTTCTCCTCAGAAACGAAACAGGTTCAAATTACCCTTGACTTTTATGCGTTCTTTTTTTTCTCTCTTTCTCATCTAGCCATGGAAGATGCGCATACTACTTTGTTGAAATTGGCAGACACTGATTCTAGTTTCTTTGGAGTCTACGATGGTCACGGTGGTGTGTAAATAGTAACCATATCAGTAGCAGTAATAGCAGCAGTAATAGTAATAGTAATGTACATATGCACCCACTCACGTACATACATGCATATATACATCCACACACACACACACATATATATATACATATATATTATGTATTATTGTGCTTAGGAATAATAGTAGTAACTGTTTTACAAATCCTGGCTGGATATATTCACAACATTCCTTTTGCATTGATTTACTCATGTTTTATTTTACGCTATTTCTTTGTCTATTTTTATTTTTCTTGCAGGAAGTAAGGTCGCTGAATACACAGGAAATCAGATGCACAACAAGGTTCGGAACAGTCCTTTCTTTGACAAAAAGGACTACAAAGAGGCCCTACGTGATGCATTCATGTCTTTGGACAAAGAAATTAACAATGGTAATGAACTAATTTATATCAAACACATTGTTATCATTATTGTTTGTTTCTAATCAAATCAAATTCTGTAGACAATGCATTTGCCTTTGATCCCTCTGGTTGTACTGCCGTAACTGCTCTAGTTACTCCTGACAAGCGAATTTTTGTGGTATAGTAGTAGTAGTAGCAGTAAGGAAAATAAGAGGACTAAGAAAAGGAAGGATCTGAGACAAATAATGGCTTTTCACATTATGATTATTTCTAATCTAATTATTATGATTTTCAAGGCAAATGCGGGAGATTCAAGATCTGTTATTAGCGTTGATGGTAAGAGCAAGCCATTGTCTTACGACCACAAGCCTACAAATCAATTGGAATCCCAGCGTATTATCAATGCAGGTGGATTTGTGGAGTATGGGCGCGTTAATGGTAAGTGTTGTTTGTCTCTATTTTATTATTGTTATTGTTATTATATGGCTGAAGAAATAATCGAATGGTGGTCGATTGATGTAATATTAATCTTAATGTATCGAAACTTGTAAAGGTAACCTGGCTTTGTCGCGAGCTATTGGAGACTTTGAATTCAAAAAGAACAACCAACTGCCTGCAGAAGAACAAGTTGTTACATGTAAGCATTAATATAAATAATAGTATTGGTATTAGTAGTATATCCATGTAATAACGCGTATAAATATTATGCATGATATTAAATATATAAAAAATTGTCATTGATTAACTAATAGGCAATCCTGATATTATTGAGCACCAAATGAGTGACGCGGATGAGTTTTTTGTTCTGGCTTGTGATGGTAAATATATAGATATATAATAGTATACTGCGTTTATTACGAGTTTTATTTTGTGTAGTGTATATGTGTTGGATATGCCGATTGCTAGTCTGTGTACCTATTTACATACCTACATATTTATATTCAAACACTGATACTGATACAATAAATAATAATAATAATAATATAGGTATTTGGGACTGTATGAGCAATCAGCAGGTAGTCGATTTTGTTCGATCCAAAATTGTCGAAGAAACGCCAATCGACAAGATCTGTGAATCGATGATGGACCATTGCCTTTCACCCAATAGTGAGATGACAAGTGTGGGATGTGACAACATGTCGGTTGTGATTGTTGGTATTCTGAATGGAAAGACAGAGAAAGAATGGTATGATTGGATTGCCTCCCGTGCAGGAGCAGAGGCCAGAAAGAATTTTCTCCAGAACGATCAAAAGAACGTGACAGAAAAGACAGAAAAGACGGAAAAGGCGGAAAAGACGGCGGAAAAGGCAGTCAAGGCAGATGAGAAAGATCCTGCACAAAGCAGCCAAGCTCCCTCTACTAAAAAGGCTACAGCCAGAGATATTGAATCAGACATTAAAGGGAATGATAAATAAGTATATATATATATATATATATATATATATGATCGAATTAATGAACGACTGAACGACTGAACGAATCAATGAATGAATGAATGAATATAAAAATAAATACACATATAATACATGATTATATTAAGTAGCATAATTTTACTATTACTATAAAAATAAATCAAGAAAGTATTCCTGGTTTTTCTTGTTAATGATGTACAACGAGGAACACTTACGGCTTTAATGCCTTCAATTAGTTTCCAACTCCTTGAATATATATATATACATGTGTGCAGGCGTGTCGACTTCTTTGACTTTCTATACTTTGTGTATTCCAAATCGAGTATTAATTCAATAATAGATAATACTCTTTATTTATTCTTCTAACAAATGAATGAATGAATGAATATGCTTAGTGTAAATTTATTAGTCATAATAATAACGATAAAGCTATTTGATTAAACATTCATGACAACCAACAACCATCCCCATAAAAAAAAAGAAGTATCCCTTGTTTCAAAAAGAAAAGATATAAAGAATAATTATTCGAGATGTGAAAAACCTCCTTTATTGAGAAATATATAAATATAAATCTGACAGTAAGAATAATAAGAGGCGAAGGGGCAAGGGGAGGAAGGTTTCTTTTTTCTTCTTCTTAAAAAGGAACCAATCAATGAATGAATTTTGCTTATATTTCTAAAGCCCACGAATCTATTGTGGTAGTAAAGAAGTATTAAAAATATAGGAGAAGAGTTGCGGTGCTTTACCTAAACATATATATATATATATAATACATTAGTTGGTTTGAAGCACAGGCCAATTTAATCGAATTTGTATAATATGAAATAAAATATATAATTCCAACAACTCGTCTACCTCCTTTATTTCATTCCCTCCTTTTTTTTGTACTTCTTTATTTTGGCGTGTGTTTATATATAACATTGTCGTCATCATAATAACAATAATAATGCAAATATCGTACGGTTTTGAATGTCTTTTCTGGTGTTCCAATATCCTTCACTAGTTCCCATATACATTTATTGCTTGTTTAGAAAGGAGTAATACAAGAATATTTATGTAAAATAAAATAAAAGACCCTAATATTTTCTGAAAGATCTTATAGATTCTCAAAGCTTATTAACAAAAAAAAATAAAGACCCCCCCCCCAAAAAAAAAAAAAAAAAGAAAATCATTTACCCGCCAATTCAATAAGATTGTTTTATATTATTTTCAACTTAAATACAATGCAATTAAGTTTGTTTTATTTATTCTTTTTTCTTCTTTTGGATAAATGATAAATTCAGATTCCGGGTAAATGTTTTATTACACAAAGATAACAACAGAGATTAGCAGTAATGAAAATGAAAATGAAAGTAAGAATAAGAATAAGAATAAGAATGATTAATAGCTGTATAGGCCAATTATACAATACAGCTTGTTGAGCAATAATTCTTTATTTGGGAACCAATCTACCCTTGAGGTTGTAAATGTAAAAATAAATAAACAGGGTCATTATGGAGTCATTGCTATTATCGTCATCGCCATCATAATCATCATCATCGTCATTATTACTATGTTCATACCCAATTTCTGAGAATAGGAAGGATAGTAAAAACAAAAAAAAAGGAAAGAAATAGAAGTACAAGAAGTATAAAAGTAAAAGTATTATACTAGGAATTTCAGTAGTAAGTTCTAGTAATGAAAATTATCATGTCAAATACAAGTCAAGTGAATTGAATTGAATTCAGTCTTAGCTATTTCCCTTTATATATATTTATTCTAACTATGACTTGTTTTGCGCGTCAGGACTAGCATTTAATCCAAAAATGATCGTTTTAACATCAAGAAATCTATAATAAAAATAAATTAAAATGCAACAAATGAAGATCAACCAAAAAGATCAGAACAAACCAATTTCGAATCAGTTCTTTCTTTCTATCTTCTTCTATCACATCTTCTTTATATTCTTTTACATGTATAATATTTAGAAAAGGGTTTCAATTCATTTCCTTTAATTTATCTATATATTTATTCATTTCAGTGTTTTTATTAAAGCAATTGAAATGCTGAATTATTATTAACTTTATTGTGCTTGGGTAATAATGACGTGAATTAAAAGAGACTATATGTTACAGAAACTCCTCATATACTTTATCCTCCTCCTCTTTATATCTTAATCTGTGTCACTTTTCCTGGAATGCTATAGTAAAAAATAAATAAAGTTAAAAGATCAAGATAAAAAAAATGGGGGGTTTGAATTATATTATTATGATTTTTTACAAAAAAAGAAAAATGGTCTTTTTATATATAGTACATTTAATACAAATATGAGATAGACAAGTGCCTGCACCTCTGTCACATTAAAATTGGAATGATACGGAGAAGATTAGCATAACCCCTGCACAAATGTGAGATATATGGTATTTCTTTTTGGGAGGGAAATGAAATGAAATATTATACATAGAACAAAAAAGAAGAATAATATATATATATATATATATAATTGTAGCATTTTTATTTATTTATTTTAATATAAGATCATTTGCTACAGAATAAAAGTATAAACTAGATTTGTAGATTTGTAGATATTTATATTGCGACAACAGAAATTATCAATAAATCACATTTTTTGTGGGGGTTTTTTTTTATTATTTCTTTTTGGTTTCCAAATGTCAATCATACCCCTCACAAAATGAGCACGTTTTTGTATATGTCAGAAGCCAATATTCAAAATAGACATGGATATATAAATCAATGACATCCTACATTTAAGAGCCTGAATTCTTCAACAATGGGAGTAGATTTGACTCAATAGACCCAAAGAGGTAGTTATAGCCTTTGTGGTGACTACACAGTATAATGAGCTTTTCTTTCTATTATAGCAGTACAGTTTTCTTCGTCTATTTTAGTACTATTCTTTGATTATTTTCCTGAGAATATATAGCATAATAAGGTTGGGTGTATATCATTTACTCGGAATTAGAAATCAAATATTCTATCAATGATTTCTGCTCTGAAAATGTGCAGTCTACAGCCCATTTATACAACAGGCATTTGAATAGTAAATCCCATTATTCATTTGCTGTCACTTTGCAAAAATGCAAGCCGTAATTAATCCCGTGTTCTTGATACCATTGTTGCCTTACTACCCCCACTTATATGATTATAACATGAAACCTCTCTTATAAACACGCTTTACAAGTAGTTACATTCCTTCCCTTTGTCCACGGCTTATTATCACACACACACACACACAAAACAAAATACCGGATGTTGTGTCACATGGTTTGAACATTCAGACCGACAAGAACAAAGATACGGACAAGCTACCTGACTACGAAATTTATATCTATGCATCCGGATATCAATATGCCTATACCAACGGATATTACACAAGTCAAAATAAGCAGCCCGACATCACCAACATTATGAGTAAGTGGTTCTTACCGTTTGGTGATCTTTGGCAAGAGTGCCCCGAAAATAAATTCAATGTGAGCCAAGGGTTGGCCTTCCAAGCAATTGGGAGTTATATATATCCCTTCCACAACTATACACACCTACAGAAGTTGGTCTGGTTTAGTATGCCCACGAGAAAGTCTGATCTTGTGAACTTGATTGGTTATTTAAGGTGCTCTTCACGACCCCAACCCTTACCCTTTTACGTCCATCAGACCCATTCCCAAAACGTACATAAGAGTTCTTGATATATATATAGTAATTATGTAACATAAAATTTCCAAAATGATAAAAAAATCTTGTACGTATCGAAGGTGAAAATACACCTTTGACAGGAAGTAAAATGGGAAATAATGTCCCATATACAGCATACTAAACAGTAATAGTTGCGCTGTTACTTTTCATGAGAATAATAGCTACGTTAATGTGTTATTTTATATCTTTACTTCTATTTCATTGCCTTTTAAATGAATCTGTTTGCTCTTCTGAGTTATTTGTCGATTAGAAAAATCTAAGGGCAAGCATTAAATGATGCTTGTAAAAATTCTTCGACTTCTCCTTCTCCAAGAACAAAGTCAATAAGGTAGTTGTAGTTCATTGTTGTTTTGTTTAAATAAAAATATTGCAAAATAAAGAACACAAGAAATAGTACAAAAAAATGCACACATTATGATGGCATTTTAGAGATCAAGTACTCCGAAAATATCTTGAGTAACATATAGCTCCAAAATTGTTTTGGGAATGGGTCTGATGGACGTAAAAGGGTAAGGGTTGGGGTCGTGAAGAGCACCTTTAAATCACTTGATCTTTGTATCATCAGCTTAGAGAAAGAAAAGAAAAAGACGACTGCCTACAATCTCAAAGAGATCGTTCGGCCAACGTTTGACTCACTCTGTCAAGTTGATGCCTTTATTACTCTCTCGTTCTCGGGAGACAGTTAAGATATTCTATATGAAAATAGCGTTGTTTCAAGACAAATCTAGTCCTAGTCAACATTATATTTCCTTATTCTAGGCATTTAGAGCATTCTTCAACAACAAAACTCTTTCTTTCTTTTGTTTCAATTTACATACAAGAATTAAATGTCTATATCCAAAATAATAATAATCGATTTTTGATCTGATTTGACCTTTGCTAAGAGGGAATCGGTAGTAAAATAAGGACAAGGGAGGCACAAATATAGAGAGAAATAAAGGCTGGATTTGTTAAATCCAGAAATATACTCGTTTATTTATTACTAATTCAAAACGAAAATTGACAGGTAAAAAGGTATTTCTATCTAACTTGATATTAATTATTATTATTTTAATGATGATAGCCATTATCATCTTGCTAGTATTATAGACGATAGATAAAATTGTCATCTTGTTTGTCGGTCATGTCTTCTTCGGTGTTTATGCATTCGGCAGGTGGCTCAGATAGGCGCCGCTTGTTGACCCTGGCCATTTGCCAGCGTGCGATGAGGAACAGAGTGATGGCCAGGACGTCTGCGCCAACGTAGCCCATCATGCCGCCAATGTAGTTAGGAGCCTGGCTGGAGACCATCATGTACGGGCCGGTGAAGTTTCCGGCGGTGTAGAAGATCATGATGAGTCCGTTGTAAAAGATCTTTTTGGTGAATCCGGACACGTTGGTTGTGGCGGCCGAGAGCAGCATCACATAGGCTGCGGCATAACCCCAGCAGATGTAGAACCCGACGAGTTTGTACTTGTCGATCGGGATAAACTCCAGCAGGAGGAGACCCAGGGCAGTGCAGGCCAGACAAAAGCAGCCGACATAGATTGCCTGGCCAGTGCGCTGGCTGACATAGGCTGCAAGTATAATGTAAGTCACGTCCACGATTCCGGTTGGGGTCTGGAGTAAGATTGCGTCAAGGTTTGTGTAGCCGAAGCCCTGGGTAATTGTGGTGCTGTAGCTTGTCAGGGCACCGTTCTGGATATTGATCAGAAAACTAATGAAACAGAAGCACCACAGCCGGGGTTCTAGCAAGGCTTCCTTGATCTGAGCAAAATTAACTTTGTTGGTCCGCACCACTGCATTGTCTCGAATGCGCTCCTCCACCAGGATCTGTTCTTCAGCATTGTGGCGCCATTTCAGAGAACGTGGGTCGTCGATCAAAAAGAAGAAGCAGATAAAGCCAACCAGAATTGTGACACCACCAAGGATGATCATGCACCTACCCAAATCCAACAAAAGAAGAAAAGGATATTTAGCTTTACATTTATTATTTAATTATTACTGTTTAATTATCATTTCTATTTCTATCTTTAATTAAAGCTACTCTGTACATCTACACACAATTCTTTTATATATATATATATATATATATTCAAAAACACTAAATCTAATTATCCTTTGACTTTATATACAAGAAAATTAATTGAAAGGTGAAATATAATCTATTTGGTTTTGTACAAGTACCATCGCCATGGGTGTAGACCGAGAATATATGGAATCTTGCCTATACCATAACTGATAAAACCGCCTGCACAAAGAGCGAGACCGTTACACAGCCAAAAGGCACCCAGTCTGGAGGTCTGTTCTGATCGACGGTAAAGAGTACTGACGAGCAGGATCAGACAGGGATATACACCACCCTCCGTGAATCCAAGCAAGAAGCGCAAGGCAGCCAGGTGAGAAAAGTTGTTTGCAGATGCTGTTGCAGCCAACACGGATCCCCAGGCAACCAACAGAACTCCGATGTACCGCCCAATCTTGACGTGCTGCAACAGATAATTATTTGGAAGCTAGACACATACACATTGATATAGGTATTGTCAGAGATAATTGAAAAATAGACAAAGATCAGAATGATATCAGTTTTATATACATGTATTTCTTGTGTGTATAGGCTTTATTTTTTTTTATTTTATTTTTTAAGATTTTACCTGGTAGGACAGATAACCCAGGTAGAATAATGAGACTATTGTGCTGTATTGGTCTCCAACTAAACCAGTATCAACTTGAAGGCCTAGAGCATTGGCGTAGTTGATTGCAGATTTGTCTAGAAACTAAGAAAGAATAAAAAAGGTAAGTGTCAATTGTGTTACTTGATTGATTGCAACGTTAAATTCTTTTTATTTATTTATTTATTTATATCTATCTATCTAAATCCATAAACACATGTATACACTCATTCACACACTCGTTTGGTCAAAACACACTCAGATTTATAGAAATTTTCACACACCTGAAGAAAATTGACTAGACAGATGAGAGGTAAGACACACCAATCTATCTTACGAACGAGAGCCTTTTCTTCTACTGATATCGGACGATCGTATTTAGTGTAGATTAGGCTGGTGTCTGATTCATTTAGGGAAGTAAAAGAGTCTCTTCGGTTTGTTGTGATTGTTTCGAGGGGATACTTTGATACTGACATTCTTATGATCCGTTTCTGGTTTGTTTTTAGGAAAAGATATATATATATATATAAATAAAAATAAAAATGATACTAACACTAACACTAATAATGATAAGTTAATGTATAAATAACTAAATAAATAAAGGTTAAATAATGATCCAATGAGTTTTTTTTTTTAAAAAAAAAAGTGCTGCTAATGCTCTAGTGATGGTAATAATGATAACGACTGAAGTTTTGGTGGCAATAGTAGTAGTAGTAGTAGTAGTAGTAGTAGTAGTAGTAGTAGTAGTAGTGGTGGTGGTGGTGGTGGTAGTAGTAGTAGTAGTAGTAGTAGTAGTGTTGGTACTAGTACTGGTACTGGTACTGGTACTGGTACTGGTGCTGGTGCTTTTTTGTCAAAAGAATAAAACAAAAAAGAAACAGACATTGAAATTGAATATTGAAATTGTGTGCACTTTGATAAATAAAACAAAAAAAAAATTATATATAATTTCTTATAGAGCAACAAAATGATACCACAGACCAAAAAAGAAAAGCTTATAAAGAGACAGACAGAGACAGTGAGAAAGAGAAAGAAGGTGAGAAGCGAAATAAAGACTGAGTCACAAAAAAAAACAAGCTTAATTTTTTTGATATTGTGCCCTTTTTACCTATACTTGTATGACATTTGTGTACACTATGTACACTATGTACATAAATAAGCTTATATTATATACAAAAATACAAAAGTACATATTGACATGCCTGTAGAAAAGCATATACAGATATTTGTCTATTAAAAATGTAGTACTGCAATGTATATATTTGAATGTCTAGTATCTTGGTGGTTCTGGTGATGTAAGTAAGTGTTAATTAGAAATGAAGAAATTAATAGAATCTCATTACTGCTTTCTATTATTGCACTTGCTACACACCACAATCAGGACTATAGAAAGAGATACAATCTATAAAAAAAAACAAATAAATAAATAAATAAATAAATAAATAAATAGAAAGTGCCCAAAGGCCTGATATTTTTATTTATTTGTAACAAAAGAAAGAAAGCTAAAATAATATTGGTTCAAACCCCCTTTTAATTTTTTTTATTACTTTAAAAATAAATACACAAGGGAATGTCAAGAAGATAAGAAAAAAAAAAGGCTTAAATGAATTTATATAGATTTATATAATAATTACAAATACACTTATATATCCGAGGTTGCCCAATAAACCAACGAATAGAAATATGATTTGGATTGGGATTGGGATTGTTAATGTTAGTGAATATGACTATTATTGTATCAGAGGAAACAAAAGAAAGAATGAAAAAAAAAAAGGTTAATTTTGAAATCAAATACATGACAGAGAAAGAGAAAAATGGGAATGAACATGTCACTTTCTTGTATTCACCTCTAAAATACAAAATAAAATAAGATAAAATATGCAATTAATGTGTATTAGATAGATATATACATTATCATTATTTATTTATTATTATTGTTTGATCTTAAACAATTGGTTTATAGGTTATTTTAATGATTAAGAATAAAAAGAAGCCCATTTTTTATTTATATATTTTAGGTTATATTTGTATTATAAAAGCATATATAGATAGTGAATACAAGCTTTATGTTGTCCTACGATGTACAAATTCTTGCGATCTTAAATATACTTTTTTTTTATTATATAGATATACGTTATGTGTATATATGTGTATATAAAAATAATAATAAGTAATTTGGGCGCCAAATTATCATTTATTTATTTTTGTATTTACGCCAAATAATCATAGTAACCATAGTAACCATAGTAACCATAGTAATCACAATAATCACAATTTGTATTTTGGCATAAACTACTTTTTTGTTTCTATTTTATATAAATATTTTACGTTAAAAAAAAAAAAAAAGGTTATAAAAATCACAAAAAAGAAAAAAATTAGAGAGATTCTGATTGATAAGAACATATATATTCCTTATCTACAAAGCCAAAAAAGAAAAAGGCTTATTTCTCTTTGTTTTATAATTAGATGAAAAAGAAAAAGAAAAAAGAAAAAAAAATATGTAAAATAAAATGGTTAAACAACAACAAATAACAACAACAACAACAACAACAATTGAAATTGAAATTGAAATTTATGAAACTCTCAGGAACACGGACTACAAAGATTATTAAGACAAACATATACAAAAAAAAAGGCGGAAAAAGAATTAAACCCATCGATTCAATTTGATTTGATTCGATTCAATTCATTAGATAGATAGATAGATAGATAGATAGATATATACTTTATTGATTTTCCCTCTTTGTACAAAGTAAAGTATATAAATATATATATACATTTCATAGTGTGTTGTAATATAATAAATAATAATAAAGAGAAAAAGACTTTCACATGAATAGGCCCAAGAAGATAATATAGTAAGAAAGCTTAAAACAGCCTCATAATATTCTTATATTATAATTTATTTCTATATATTTATACTATTGGATTATTGCCTATTTTAGGATCTAAAAAAAAAGAATCCAATTTACCTATTTACCTATTTACCTATTTACCTATTTATTGTGTCTGGGTTTTTATTTTATATTTATTTTTTAAGTGTTGGTAAAATGTTGTCTTTTTTCTTTATTTTTGTCTCTTTATAGCTTATAATGAGGGTTATGGCAATAAGACTAGGACAATCTGTTATAAGGAAACAGACAAAGCCTTGTGTATTGAATACCCCAAGGCTCTTTTTGTTTTGTTGAACAATTGATTATAAAGAAAAGAAAAGAATATCAAGAAAGTTTAAAATTCAAAGAACTTGAATATATCATTTTTATTTGAATACAAGTTACAGGTGTTCTTTCTTTGCTTGGAATGAAATCATTATGAGCGAATCTTATTCTGTTTTTTGATAATAAAAACGTTCATTTTGTGTACAGACAATTTTAAATAAATAAACAAATATATATCTAATTCTTTCTTGCATAAAGTTTATCTCTTTTTCTTTCTTTTTAACATCTTTGGTGCTCTTTTAAATACCTCTTTTCTTTTATATCTTATTTTGTGAGTTACAAATATGGTTTAATAATGTGGTTATTTAAGCATTTTTATTTATTTTTTTTGCGCATATTTTTTTTTTTTAAAATACCGATTTTTTTTAAATATATATATATATAATTTTTTTATTAAATAAGAATAAGAATAATAAATCATATTATAAAAGCGGACCATTTATCTATTATTTTAATTTTTTTTTTAATCAGTTTTGTAAAAAATAATAATAATAATAATAATAAGAGAGAGAGAATTTGAATTGAAAACATTCCAGCTGTGGGATTACTTTTCTTTTTCTTTTGCTTTTAAAAAAGAACGGAGAATGGTAGATGATTGAATGGAATGAAAACTTTATATCATGTATATTATGACTATTATTATTACTATTATTATATGTTAATCAACCAATATATGTATCAGTCTGTCATCAATACCAGTCTATCCTGATTGTAATTATGTACCTGTTGAAATCAAATCAAATCAAATCAATAGACTCACTAGGTCAATCACTTATATACCGGATAATGAACAAGAGACAATAACCAAAAGGACAACCTAGGTAAAAAAAATTTTTTTTTTAAAAAAAAGAAGCTATTTTATATCTGTATCCATGACTTTAAATGACAAAGAATATATATATATTTTGTATCCAAGGAAACATAGTAATAAAATAAAAAAATAAAAAATAAAAAAGTGATTTTACCTTTTTTGGATTTAAGCTAGTTTTTTCTTTTTTTTTAAAAAATAATAATTATAGAATCGGAGTGTATTGTATCTAACGTGGAGAATTCTGGATGTTGTATTTTCAGTACACCAAATAAAGTAATAGATTGCTTTTTATTCTAAACTAACCCAACCTAACCCAACCTAACCTAACTTTCTCTTAATGACCTCCTCTTAATCACTTCTTCTTCTTCTTCTTCCTTCCTTCCCCCCCCCCCTCCCCAAAGAAGAAAAAAGAAAACCTTTTTTTAATTTTTTTATATTGATCTCTTGAAAGAAAAAAAGAAAATTAAACTGTAAAATTTCCCTCTCTCTTTCTCTTTCAACCCCCCAACCTCCTTCCTTTAATATTTTATTTTTTCTTAAAAGAAATATTTAGGGTAAAAATAGCTGGATTTCTTTGTCAATCATCTTTTTTTTTTTTTGATAGTATTATTATTATTCGACTGGTAGATGAATTTACCATAAAAAGCTGTGTCTCGGAAGTTGATAGAAGTTTTTATATAAAATAAAATTAGGATAATCTATATATCTCTATATATAAAAAATATATATATAAGAATGAAATAAAGAAGAAAGAGAGAGAGAGAGAGAGTTCCAGACCACAGCCAAAATAAAATAAAATAAAATAGAATAAAATAAAAGCCAAAAAAAGAATTACAATTCATCATTATCAACAATCACCAACAAGCGGTAGAACTTTCTCATTTTTTTTAAATTATCTAATATATATATATATATATATATATATATATAAAATAGAGTAATGTAATGTAAAAAGAAAAAAATAAGCAGAGTACGAAATAGTTATTAATTTATAAAAAAAAAAATTACAATTACAGTTAACAATTATGGTTATAATTATAGTTATAGTTATAATAATAATAATAAAAATCATGACATCAAGATCATAATCGAGATAAATGCTTGATTTGGTTATTCAATCAATTATACATTTTTATCTACCCTCCCCCTCTCTCTTCTTTAACTTCTTTAACTTCCTTAACTTCTTTAATTTTTCTTCTTCTTCTTTAACTTTCTTCATTTGTATTTCTCCTCTCTTGATAAATTTCAGTCTATAGAAATATATGACTGCAAGTCTATATCACTCTTGATTTTCTATCTATCTTTCTATCTTTATTTTTACCTGTCCTCCCCCCTAAAATTTAAACAACCAACACCCCCCAAAGAATGTTTTCATCTCTCTATTTTCTTTATATCTTTCTTTATCTCTTTCTCCTCCCCCCTTTTTTTATTTTTATTTTGCTCTTTATGATTATGAAGATTATATATATATAAAGTGTGTGTGTGTGTGTGTGTGTATGTGTGCTTGTAGACGCATATATTTACGTTTTACGCTTTATGTTTTGTGATTTATGATTTATGATTTATGATTTATGATTATGAATATGTTTATATTTATAATACACAAAAACAAAGAAAGAAAAAGAAAAAAGTTATTTTGCATGAAACATATGCTATTTTCCCACTTTCTATGCTTATTTCCATTCTATGTACAAATAAGAATAAGGATAAGAATAAGAATAAGAATAATAAAAATAAAAATACAATATAATATAAAAAAAAATTATTTCTAAAATGACACAAGTTTGCTGATCGTGAAAAATATTAAAATGTATATATATATATATATGTATATATGTATTAATTATATAATATAGGATAATATTATATAAAAAAAAAGTTTAAAGGTAAATCTTTTTTATTCTTTTTTTTTTTTATTCTTTTTTTTTTGTTCACAAATATAAATAGTTGAGAGAAAAAAATTAAATCTTTAATTCACCCCATCTTTTTCATTTTTTCCTTCTTTTTTTTTATTTATATATATATAATTTTATTTATTTATTTATTTTTTTAATAGAAAAAAAAAAAAAGTAAATAAAACAAAGAGAGAGAAAAAAAAAAGAACAACATTCATTCACATAAAACGCACCTTTTTCTTCTTCTCTACTTACCTTTTCATTATTACGCTTTATCTTTTTCTTAAAAGCACAAATATCACCAGCATCGTCTCTAAAAAAAAAAGAAAAAGAAAAAAAGCACAAATATTTTTATTATCATCATTTATCTATCTATTCAATTGAATTGAATTGAATCTTCTTGTTAAAACAAACAAACAAACAAACAAACAAACAAGCAAGCAAACTAAAATGGAATCGTTTATTGGTTACATCAAATCTCCTCAGGATGCCCTCATCGTATTCGAAGCCTGTAGAAGAGGACAACTCAATAGGGTCCAACGTCGATTGTCATCCAAAGAACGAGTCCATATCTCATCTGGCTCAGTATTTGCCTGGGACGAACGGGAAGCTGGCATGCGACGCTGGACTGACGGCAGAACATGGTCACCAAGCCGTGTTCTGGGTAGCTTTCTGACCTATCGCGAACTAGACACCAAGCGCCGGCCTCGTCTGTCTTCATCATCATCAACCTCATCACTCCCTATTACCAGTAAAGCATCAGCAGCATGCTCATACAAGACCGACGGACTCATCAAACAGAGCTTCTCAATCTGCACAGCCACCAACCAAAAACTACATCTCATTTCGTACTACTCAAAGTCTGACATCATTGCCTCCCGTCTCAAGCGGCCCTCTGCCGACCCTCTCTTGAGCAAGATCGTTATTCCCAAGGGTCTCTATCCAGAACTCAACCCACTCGACACCAGCGGCGGCCACTCTGCCACAGTACACAACATGCGCCAGGACAGGATCTATGCATCACTCTCACCGTCCCTCACCCATCAATCCTCCGATACCGACCATTCATCAATCAGCTCGATCAGCAGTGGAGCTAGCACCAGTAGTGCCTGTCCAAACAACAACAACAATGGTAATATCATAATGATGGATACTGATGGTGAACGACGAGGAGGAAATGGCTGCTTGTCATCACCACCATCATTATCTTCATCACCATGTACCTCTGACGAAGATCTCTTGGCTGATCTACCTTCTCACTCTTCAATTTACACACCAACAACAAATCAATCATCAGAAACGAATCAATCAGAGAATCAATCATCAGAACCAACGACTAATAATATCACCAATAGTACTCCTTCATCAACCACCACCAACACCAACACCAACACAAACACAAACCAATCTACCTATCAAGAATATTCTATCCTACCAATCCAAGACATTGCCTGGGAAAGACTGCCATGTTCTGAAGACCGACGACAACTGAGTGCCCTACAGGGGCTCGTACGACTTTAAAATCCTCTCTCTTCTCTTATTATTATTATTATTATTATTATTATTATTATTATTATTATTATATACACCCACCAACCCACCCATACATACATACACACATACATACATACATACATACATACATACATACATACATATATATATATTCACACTCTCTTTTATTCTATTACTCATTATTACTACTTACTATATTACTATCATTCCTTTCCTATCATTTTTTTCTCTAAAAAAGAAAACAACAAGAACTATATATCTATCTATCTATCATTAATTATTATTATAACAATGATAATGGTAATAATTATTTAATTAATTAATAATGCTAATACTAATACTAATACTAATAATAATAATAGAAATACCAAAGATTTTTTTTATTTTTTATTATTTTCTCTCTTTTTAACGGTTATTTTACTTTTTGTACAAAATACATTCAATTCATTACATATTTACAATTACATTTAAGCAACTCACTCATATATATATATATATATATATATATAATTTACATTTTTTTTTTCTAATAAAATATAAAAATAAAAAAATTATATTCAATTGTGTCCATTTGTGTATATCAATATCAATATCAATATATATTTTTTATGAAGAGTAAAATAACCAAAAGGGTAGTCTCTTTAAAAAGTGGACGACAGGATCATCTCAACAATAAATAAATAAAGGAGTAAGAGAAAGAGACAAGAATGGGGGGGGGTGAGAAGGGCTTGGATAAAGATAGGTGGGATGAGTAAAAATTACAAGAATTTTATTATTATTATTACTATTTTAATTCCATTTAAAGAATAGAAAATTTTGTCATTATTATTAGTAATATTAACATTAAATGTTATTTTATTTAAGACACACGCACAAAGAGGGTACAAAAAATATAAATAAACGTACAAAAATAAACACAGATAGATAGTACAGTCAGACAGTGATTGATTGATTGATTGATTGATTGATAGATTGATAGATAGTCAGAAAAATAAAAAATAAAAAGATACGTCTTGAGAGCAAATTTTAATCAATTGAATAAATATCAATACACACATATAAATCATAATAAGTTTGTTGTAGTGCAACTAACCTACTTGCTTGCAGATAGTTCTTTATTATTGTGAAATGCAAGTCAATTCATAATTACAATATATTATTATTATTATAATTATAATTAAAAGGAATGCTGGCAGCCAAGTTAATATTCAAACCAACCAGCCAGCCAGCCAGCCAGCCAATTACTCAATTACTCAATTACTCATTTAATCAACCACCACAATCATTTGAACCACTCAATCAGCCAACGCATCCAAATCAAGTAAAAATAAATACCAATGGAGAATGTTTTTTTTTTTTTAAGCTTTTATATATTCTGTCGCCAAATTCTCTATATAGTATAGATACTATATACTAAATAGTAATTATTTATCTATCTATTGGTTATAATACTTGCAGGAATCCTTGTTTTATTTTATTTTATTTTATTTTAGATTATATAATACAGTATATATTTCTATAGTTAGCAGTAATTAAACTTTGCTGTCCTAACAACATTTTAAAACTAAATTAACTCGACTCTTATTCTTAATTTCATTCACTCACCAAAGGACAATAAACTACAGTCCTTATCAAAGTACCTTTACTATTATTTATAACTATTAAATATAAAGACAATCATAATAGCAATAATAGTAAAGTTTTGTCTTATTTTATTTGAAAACAATAAACACAAGAATGGTAATAAGATCGCCATCAAAATTTTAATTTTTTTTTACAGTTCAACCTTTAATAATATCTCTTTTTACTGTTCCCTTTTTTTTTATTTATTTTATTTTATTTTTTTTTAAAAAAAAAAAAATGTTAATTGAAATATATATGGGATGTGTGAATATTGAGTGAATTTGACATGACAAAAGGAGGTCTTTCTTCTTTTGTTACAACAAAATAAAATAAAATATATATAAAAAAAAGGTGAAAATAGAGATGATAAGGAAAATAAAATAAAATAAAATAATAATAGAAATTTGTACATTTTGTATAGGATGTACATTTAATGAAGGATAAAAAAAACACAAATCGGAAAACAAAACTAAAAAACTAAAAAAAAGAGAGAGGTATGGGTGCTATATTGTTTGTTTAGATCTTGGGGGCAGCAGCCAAGGTCTCGGGTGCAGCCTCGCTCTTGTAGGTCTCAAAGTTGGAGACAAACATCTGGGCAACACTCTTGAGCGAGCTGTCAAACTCAGCTGGGGTTCCCTGCCAGGCCTTGCGGGGGTGCAACAACTCAGAAGGAACGCCCGAAACAGCAGTAGGAATATCAAGACCAAAGACCTCGAACTTCTCAAAGTTGCCCTTTGCAAGCTCTCCGCTGTGAATAGAGTCCAGGATGGCACGGGTGTACTTGAGGGGGCAGCGCTTGGCAGTGGCGGCAGATCCACCGACCCAGCCGGTGTTGATCAACCAGGCATCGGCCTTGTGCTGAGACATCTTCTCGGCCAACATCGAGGCATAGCGCTGAGGGTGCAACACAAGGAAGGGTGCACCGAAGCAGGCAGAGAAGGTAGCCTGGGGCTCCAGAATACCGTCCTCAGTACCGGGAACCTTGGTGGTATAGCCAGAGATGAAGTGGTACATGGCCTGCTCGGCAGTCAATCTGGACACAGGAGGCAAGACACCAAACGCATCGCAGGTCAACAAGATGATGTTCTTGGGGTGGCTACCAACACAAGGGATCTTGGCATTAGGGATATGGTCTACAAAAAAGTTACGATTAGAAAACATTTTCTTTCTTTCTTTTATTGGACTCCAATAAAATAATACTTACAGATGGGGTAGGCACAACGGGTGTTCTCGGTCAAGAAATCATCAGAATAGTCAACTACACGAGACTCCTCATCAAGAACAACGTTCTCAAGAATGGCTCCGAAACGGATAGCGTTGAAAATATCGGGCTCCTTCTCGCCAGACAAGTCAATGCACTTGGCGTAACATCCTCCCTCGATGTTGAACACACCATCGTCACTCCAGCAGTGCTCATCATCACCAATCAACATACGCTTGGGATCAGCACTGAGGGTGGTCTTGCCAGTACCAGACAGACCAAAGAAGAGCGAGACATCGCCGTTGGGGCCCTCGTTGGCAGAAGAGTGGAGAGACAAAACACCGGCCTTGGGCATGAGGTAATGCATCACAGTAAAGATCTATAAAATATTTGTTTTAGAAGGAGACTCAAAATCGAATAACCCCACATTTACTCAATTTTTTTTTTTTTTTTACTTACACCCTTCTTCATTTCTCCTGCATATTCGGAACCAAGAATAACCATCTCTGAACGCTTAAAGTTGACCGAGACAGAGGTGGTCGAGGTCATGCCGGTGGTGTATCTGTTGGCAGGGAACTCACCAGCATTGAAGATGGTAAAGTCGGGAGTGCCAAAGTTCTCGAGCTCTTCCTCGGTCGGACGAATGAGCATGTTGCGCATAAACAGCAAGTGGTAGGCACGGGAAGCAACGACGCGGACCTTGATGCGGTACTTGGGATCCCAGCCAGCATAGCCATCAAACACATACAGACGGGGGCGGGTGTTGAGGTAGTCGATGGCACGCTCACGGTTGATCAGGAACACCTCCTCGCTCATCTTGGTGTTCACAGGTCCCCACCAGACATCCTTGGAAGAACTCTCTTCCTCAACAATACGCTTGTCCTTGGGCGAACGGCCGGTCTTCTTGCCAGAGTAGGCGCACAGAGCTCCGGCAGACGAGATCACGGTGCCTTGCTCGTAGGTCAGGGCCTCTTCGTAAAGGACAGCAACAGAAGGATTGCGCTTGATGGTCACCTTGTCGTAGTCAATACCAGCAGCCTCATAGAGCTCTTCCTCGACCTTGGTGTGGACAGAGTTGGAGCTACCGGGGCGGCCATAGGGAGAAGCGGGTCTGTTGAAAGGAGCCATTGTTAAAGAAGTAAAGAATTACAAGTAGTGATAGTAATAATAATTTAAAAAAGAAATGGAAATGAAAATGAAAAGCTGTATTTATATACTTGCAATCTTTTTTTTTTTTTTTTTTGAAAAAATAAAATAAAAATAAAAATAAAATAAAAAGTAGTCAAGGCGAGAAACGGGTAAGGGGGACTCTTAGGAACAAATGGGTTTTCTTTTGGTGTAGGCGCGTGCAAACAACATAGAAACCAATGGCTTACAAGACTCTTGTTCCTCGGGAGGGCGGGGTAACCCTATTATAAATTACTATGTTTTTTTGTATTATTTTTAAACCTCGGATCAACTACAATACAATAATATAATACAAAGAGCGTCTTTATAATTTTAATTCAACCAAGACTTATACACACGCACACACTCCATTATTATTGTTACTGGTGATGCTTAGCTGGGGTTTGCCCTGTTATTTTTCTTTATTTCCATGTGCGTTCCTTGCTCTTTGAATAGCCGCTGTCCTGTATTTGCCTTTGGATGGTCATTTCAGGAGCCCGCATCACGGGCCATCAACCTACTGGATCCATTTCAGTCGGGCCAAGTCGGGTAACCCCACTTCCGGCATTCTCCTTTGCTTCAATTCTCCACATTTTTTTTATTTTTTTTATTTTTTTTGTATCTACGCTTAATTTACATATTTTGGTCATCATGGTCAGCATGGTCTTGGCCCTTTTACCATACCTTTTAAACAAACCAAAATAAGACATAGAAAGTAAAATCATGTGAAAGCAAGTTCAATATGTTTTGATTTGATTTGATTTGATTTGATTTGATTTGATTTGATTCAAATTGGATCAAGGATAAAGACAAACATATCAACCAAACCAAGGGAACTGAATATATATATATATTCATTAAATGTGTAATAATTTATCCAGCACATTTATTACAACACCATCACCATAGTCACTCACTCTCTCATTGCTTGTTTTGCTATATATGCATAGTGAATTACATCTTATGTACATTTGATTCAATTGATTACCTGGTCAAATACAGATACAGATACAAAATGTATTGTTTGTGTATATATCTTATTTTAAAGTATATCACAAAAGCCAAAATAAGCCAAAAATGAATACGTTATATGATCATTGCCACACATAGCACCCTCTTTCTCTTTATTTTTCTTTCCCAGGGATCGACTGAATTAAGTTCAATTCCCGGCAAACCCTGTTAGAAATGAACTACTGTTACTGCCCACTTGCTTCCACTACTGCTATTTACCACTCTTACCACCATCATCATCTTAATTGTCTCTATACTACTTGGACATCAATTCTCTCTTGTTTTCATTTTCATTTTTATTTTTATTTTTATTTTTATTTTATTTTATTTAATAATATAATATAATATAATATAAAAAATTATTATTTAATTATTTATTTATTTATTTATTTATCGGGTTTATTCTTGTACGTCATTAGCGTCTCTTTGCCAGAGTCCGTAAGACTTGGTCGGTGTTGTTTGCCACAAGCGAATCGTTCCGTCCTCTACCGTCATTTTCATGAGTTGAATCTCTTCACGTGCACAAACACAGTCTACAAGGTCTAAAGGACCATCTCTTTCTCTCCCCCACATTCCCTCCTCCATTTATATACAGACAGACAGACATACAGACAGACATATTCTAGATTCTAGATTCTATATATATTTCTTTTTTTTTATATATTTTATATACTATATACTATTGTATTTCAACTCACCAGACCCGGTTGCATACATGTCTCCGTCAGGGCTGTAACTAACAGTGTGAATTGGACCATGGTGGCCCTTGTACACCTCTTTTTTTTTAAAAAAAAAAACACACACACACACATACAAGCAATTAAATTATACATATCAAATTTAGTTATAAACACTTAATTAATTGATTGATTTATATAAAACAAAAATAAAAATAAAAAGTCCTGCTTACCAAGTTCTTCTCCATTTTCAAACCCAAAGATGCGAACCCAGAGATCGGCATCACTACCGGCTACAAATTTTGTGTGGTCAGGGTGAAGAGAGACTGAAGACAGGTTCATTTCAGTCTTGTAGGTCTTTACATCTTCAGGGCGACTAAATAACATACGCAATGGTTTCAATTAAGAAAGATCCAACGTAGATTTTGTTTTGTATAATAAAGAATCAAACTTTTTTTTTTTTTTACCCATCGGTGTGCAGAAAATTTGCTGTCTTCCCGGCTGCCCACATCACATACTCTTCATCATTCGACATCGTCATGGTCGACACCGGAGCCTCACACTCAATCTTGGCCGTCTCACGCATGGTGCGCAGATCCCAGATTCGGATGGTGCTGTCTTCGCCTGCACTCATGACCGAGTGGGTTTTTTCATCCCAAACCACGGCCTTGATCAGACCAGTGTGTGCCTGGGCCTCGAGGGGTGGTGCTTCGGGGCGGTAGAGATCAAAGATACGCAGTCTCTGCTCCTTTCCACCCGTCACAATCTTGGTGCCGTCCTTACTAAAGTCGACTGCCCTGACAATATGCTCGTGGCTGAACGAGTGCAGGATCTCTCCACTAAATGTATCCCAGACCTTTGCGGTGAAATCTGCAGATCCGGTCACTGCCCGATGAGCTTCCTTTGTGAGCCGGGCACTCCAGACCGCACCCTTGTGGCCCACAAAGGTACCGATCCAATCGCCAGTCATTCCAGCCCGAAACATAGGATTACCATCTTTTTTATATAAAATTATTCGATAGACCATGAAAGAAATCCACCAAGCATAATAATAATAAGTTTTAGATTTACATTGAATCAAAAAAAAAATCAAATAATACTTATAACCACCACAACCCATAGATTATCATTCTCTTTTACCTTTGCAAGCGGAGATCAAGTAATATTGACCATCAGACGTTTTTGGAGAAAAGTGAATGTCGACAACTGGACGCGTGTGTCCAGAACAGGTCAAAGGAATGACACGGCTGCTTGAAGTGGTAGACAACATTATAGGTATATAAAAAGAACTATATTAAAAAAAATACAAGGTAAAAATAAAATAAACCGAATGATTAATAAAAGCCATGTACATTATGAATATGATTTACTTTTTTACTTTTTTGTTTTCTTTTGTTTTAAGAAAAAAATAAATAAATAAATAAATGTAGTATATAAGTTTTGTAATCAAGAACAAATGAAGATGATGTTGGGAATAGCAGTAACGTTAACGGTAGCAGTAATAAGAGTAACGAAGAAGTGTAATAATTCGAGTGGGAATAATAGTGCCAAGTTGCGCGTGTATGTAGGTGTGTATGTATATATATATATAAATTTCCTTTTTTTTTTCTTTTTGCTTTCTTTCGTAAAGTGACTATTTACAGATGAAGATCGTTAATGATAAATGAAAGAGTCGTAAAGTACAATGTACTGTTTAAATTCCCCCCTCCTTTTTTTTCTTTGTTAAAGAAAAAAAAAAGAATATGTATAGAAATAAAGAATAAGAGAAAGAAGAAGAGTCGTTTGTAGATTCGTTTTGTCTTGACACACACAGCACACGTCCGCAGTGCGTAAAAGAAGAAAGTGAGGTGTGAATATTATTATTTTGGGGCAAGTCAATAATATATATATATAAATAAATAAAATAAAATAAAAAAATGGGTATAGTAGGGCAAAAGTTTCTTTACACAACTCACAGGCAAACCTCACGTGATGTATACAATATATTGTGCACAGATTTGAATCATAGATTGGAATATGTTTGTATTCTATTGATGGCTTGGTTTCATTGTTATTCTAAGAAAAAGGTACATAAGGAGAAGAAGCCTTTTTATTTTTATTATTATTATTTTTAATAATATCACATCAGAATCAAAAGGTAACCTGGTTGATTGTAAGCTGCTTTGAGTCTTTGACCAACTGACCAACTGACTGATTGATTGATTGTGTCGCTAAAGTTTAAGAGCCAAAGGGTCCAAATGTGGTACGATTTTAGACTTTGATGAACCGCCTAATAAACACATACATACACGCATTTTATCTATTTCTTTATTTTAGTAGAATGATTCACTAGATGATTTACAATGTGGTTGTAGCCACTACTGCTTTGATTACCACAGGCTCTTGTCAATACTAGACACCACTGTCTTGCTGTCCTTTGACCACCTCCCAGAATCATCTCAATTGGACTTGGACTCTGGAAAGTATATATATATATATATATAAAGAAAAAAGGTAAATGCAATGTGATCCCTTGAAGGCAACTAACCGGCTTATATCCGCACTCTAATTAATCAATGCATTCTATATCATCAGACATGAAATGATAATTGAAATCTGTGACGTATAAAAGCTCGATATATTTATGGCTTTGAGAATAGACAAGTCGAAAAAAAAAAACATCGGAAAAGAAAGCAAGGAGAGATGTACATAAGATTATTAATATTGAAAAATAAAATGAAAGCTTCTTTCTTATTTCAAACAATAAAAATCATGGTGTCATATTGATGAATTTGTACTATTCTTTTGAAGGGGATAAAGGGGGAATGGTAAGACACTTTAGATATTTAACAAACATTTTACCTTTTCTCTTTTTATTTTGTTTTTTAATATCTGCACCTTGACAATCTATGTTAGGTTTACAAAAAGGAAAGGCTCAAGTTTAATTTCACACAATCTGGGTAGTGTTTATTTAACTGTAATTTATACTAAACATGTGCCTGTCTTCTTTCTCTCCTTGTATGATTGAATTACACCCAATAAATCACAGTATATAAATATATATATATATTCCAAGAAGTGTGGCTAGCGCACTGACACAACAGTTTATTAAAACATGGCTATAAAAGCATGTTATATATATATAAAGAAAGTATAAATCATAAAAAAAATCAAATGAGCCAAGTTTCAGATGAATGTTCAGATATTCAATTGTCTATCTAATCATCTAGATTACTCCCACTCCCCCCCACAAGAAAAAAAAATAGATAAATAATGATGATATTTGAAAACCCTGCAGTCTCATTCTGTAGGTTTCTTAACTGTACGACACTCACTACGTATCCATATCAAATAAAATAAAGACAGATATACAATGGGTTGAATTTCTTATTCATCAAATGTACATTCTGATAGTTCTAATTTGCCCAGACGGTGGAATTGACAATGTTGGTATTGTTGATCCACCTACTATAAGATCACAATATCTACCTTTTGCACTCTATTCAGCTATTGGAATAAATATATTGTATTTTCATCCAAAACAGCTGTTTGACTATAACTTTTTTTTTTTTTTGGTATTTAAATACAAAATCCAGGATTCGTACCAACAGCATATACTTTAGGTAATTAAACTACACACCCATATATACATATATGTACATGTACATGTACATGTTAGAATTCAAATTTCATATTAATTAAACTGAAAACAAGCCTTATACTTATTCTTATTCTTATCAGTATATATTCACTCTAGTTGTTCTCAGATGTAAATAAAATAACCAAGTAAATAAATAAAGACTTTTAAATCAATACATACATATAACACTATTAGGTTTTTTTTTGGGGGGGGAGGTCCTAAAGGTGATAATAATAATAATAATGCTTTCTAAGAATTAAAACGACTGATTTGATATTTGTGTACCTAGCTTGATCAATCACACATACATTTACTTTATATTCTCACTATTCTATACTCACTCTCTATAAGAACTGGTCAGAAAAAATGTAAAATATTCTAATTTATTATAAAATTGATGATCTTTGTAAAGTAACTAGCTTATAAAGAGAGAGAGAGGGGGTCGATAAAATAGTCAATCAAAAAAAACATCTTTCTTTATAATAATAATAATATTATTTGGGGGGATTTACATATCTATATATTGATTTAAAGATTATGTATAGTATTTTTATTTGTATATTTACATATATCACTATTAAAGATGGTTGTGTTTTACATCAAAGCCAAAGGCCATTCTAACCAGTTAATATTGGATATATCCTATTATTATTATTATTATTATTTTACAAGTAAAAATGAAGCAAAACGATTGCTATTTAGTTACAAAGTCTTTTTATATGAATCGATCTTTGTACTTGGCATTAACATAATAAGAATCATGATAAATTAGAGTATCTTCTTTTCTTCTTATTATTATTATTAGAAACATGTTCATTTTAAGTGATATTTACACTTTATCTGATATGTAAATGTGAGGCTATTGTTTTTATGCTTGATAAGAATAAAAATAAGAATAAGAATAAGAATAAAGATAAAGATAAAGATAAAAATTAAAGTAAAGCAAAGTAAAGTAAAGTAAAGATAAAAGTAAGAGTAATTATGCTATTAAAGAGGAATGGCTATCCAAAGAAAAAAAAAAGATATTGGAATGGTGTTTGCCAAGCCTATGATTAACCTGCTATATTGTCAATTGTGAGCAGATCAATTGCTCACTCAGTTTTTCATAATAGCATTTGTGTCTTGACCAAATACTTGGGATATGAAGACAATCAAGGTAAATAGTCAAGAAAGAAGTCCTTAAAGTAATTAAGAATTTCTTGAAACAAAAAAAATTAAAAAAAAAAAAGCTTGATTGAATTTTACAAGAATTACAAATCATAATAATAATAACAATAATAATTTTTCTTTTTTTTTTTTTGTAAATTTAAAATTAATTTTAAAATTTACTATAGTTATAACTTTCTGTAATTCTGTAACTCTGCTGTAATTCTGCTGTATTGCATATTTTCAAAACAAAAAAAAAATACTAAACCCAATTTCCTTTTATTGTTGCTGCTGTTTCTGTCAGTGGAATCAAATACAAATCAAAATAAATACACAATTGTGTGTACTTCTAATGAAATATGGACAATGAACTCATTCAAGGACTACAAGAGAGAATCAACATACTCTTGAAAGATCCATTACTCAATGACATTTCCGAAAAACAATCCCTTCAAGACATTGACACTTTGATTGCCATTGAACAAGGACATGCCTATAGAATTCAAGTAGATCGTAACCCACTTGATCCCGTGTGTGAGTTGTCTATAGAATACATCCCATAAGAATTTCCCAGTACATATTCTGATAAACTTTTCTTTTTGAAGATGTTGTGGTCAGACAAGCTTCTACAGTTCAACAACTCAAGAAACTTATTCGACTAGAGCTGGAACGCATGGAACCTCAAAACAAACACGTTAGCTGGTAAGTTCTTTATTAGATCAATCACTATAATAATCATAAATATAAGTATAAGTATAAGTATAGTAGTAGTAGTAGTAGTAGTAGTAGTAGTAGTAATGATTATATGACTTTATGCACACACACATCTATATGTATTGTAATAAAAAATAATAAAAATAAAAATAAAAAGGAAATATATTTGGCGTTCTTATTGCCTGATACTTCAAGGCCAACGTTTAATCGATGACAAGGCTGTTATGAGTCAACTTGGCATTCGACAGAACAGTGTCCTGAGGTTCTCTCGCCTTGGTCACCAAAAGGGTCAACATCGAAAGGCCTGGTATTGGTATCGATAGAATTTCTGCTATTATAGCATAGCATAGCATAGTATACTATATTATGCTGTATTATATTGTATTAAGCTGTATTGTATTTCCTTTTGGGTTTGTTTGAATAATGGCTTAATGAAAGAAGTATCTTTATAATGGTGAGGGTATCCATGGTCATATTATTTACAAAGTTATTTCCGAGACAATAAATAAATAAATAAACAATAAAAATACTAATGTGTGACTATGAGCATATATACACTTCTTAATCCACATTTTCTTCTTCTTCTTTTTCTTCTTTGTACATAAAATACCCATACATTTATACATATTGCTTCATTACCCTCATTCGAAATCAAAATCCCAATTTTATGTTTGGCCGGGAATTGGATTATCGGTGGCCATTTAGACGAGAATCTCTGCCATACGCTGTAGCCCATTTTCTTGGCTATCGTCGGCCCGGGTATAAAGAAAAGAAATTAAAGCTTTGGCGAAACTGCATCTGGTCCTTTTTGGGTGCATGGCTGAGCATCGGACTGCTGGAGATTATGTTTATGTATGCGCCTCTATTCCGTGCTCACAAAACACCATTTATTATCGGAAGTTATGTAAGTGTCAATAATGGCAGAAATGATATGTATATAAGACGCCTCATTAAGATTTATTGATTTCTGTTTTTATTTCCCAAAAAAAAAACAAAAGGGTGCAGCCACCACACTATTGTATGGCGCATACACTTCACCGACTGTTCAGCCTCCCAACGTCATATTCGGTCATCTTATCGGATCGTTTATTGGTGTTGCTACGAGTAAACTTTTTACCCAGACTGCAACTCATTGGTCATCTGCAGGTCAACAACAGGCGTTGGTGTGGGTTTCAGGAGCGTCTGCGATGGCTCTTTCACTTGTGGCGATGGAAGTCACTAATACGGTTCATCCACCGGCTGGAGCAGCAGCACTTATTGCCTGTGTTGACAAGAATGTGATAGCAATTGGATGGTATTATATTGGTGTCATTATGTTATCGTCTACCATTATTTTGGTTATCTCTTGCCTTATAAATAATATTGAGCGACGCTACCCAGTGTATTGGTGGAAACCCAAGACTACGGGCACTAGTACAAATAACAGTAACAGTAACAGTAACAACGGTAACATCGGTAACAATGGTAACTGCAACTGCAACGGAAACGGAAACGACAGCAACAACAGCAACGACAGTAATAACAGCAATAACGACAATGATATAAGTAGCACTACACCCGGGCAAGGTTCTGGCTTACACTCTCCCACAAACGGGAACCGGGTGGCACCAATAAAAGTTTTTAGTGCAAATCCTTATCCAGCACACGTCCAGTCCGCAGTTGACACTCTACTTGCATACGCCGAGAGTCTAGACGGTAAAGAAAAGGGGTTTTGCGTTAAAGTGCCTGAACAGAGAACATCAGGCTCTGTGATTTTATAGACCAGACACACATTAATATATCACTATATTTAAACAAGGTAAGCTTTTTCTTTTCGTCCTTTGCTTTTTGTTGTTGTTGTTGTTGCTGTTATAATAATAATAATAATAATCAATGCCAAGACCTCCCAAATTTGATCAAATAAATAAATATCCAAAAATAAACCCACAATATATATATATATATATATATATATACATATGCACATACACATACACAAAAGGAATCATTCGACAAGTATGAAGTTCCCGTAAAAAAAAAGATCAAGGCTTTCAAAACAATACACATGCAAGGCATACAGTACATATGTGTGTGTCTCTCTTTATCTGCCTTTCTTTCTTTTTCTTTATGTATATAGAGATATTATTATTTACAATTCGGTTTCTATAGTGAGGAAACATATTTCTATTATTTTTTTGCAAGTTATTTTTGTATTCTAATTTTGGAATAAACATCCTTTTTAGATTCCTTTTTACTTTCTTTTGCCTTCTTCCTCCTTTCTCTTACCTTCTTTTATTGTTATGTATATATATATATATATATATATATATAAGTAGGTGGCATTTTGTTAATCTCACCTTGTAAATATGAGCAAATAAATAAAACGATAAGCAGAAAAAGGAAAATTTTGGAGGTTTGTGCAAGTGTTTTGTCGGTGAGTTAAAAAGAAGAGAGAGAAAAAATATTGTAAACGCGTGAGGCATTTATTGGGAGAAATCGTTTTGAAGTGCCACCAAGACTAGTCTGTGTAGCGGTCCTCTGTCTCGGTTACCTCGTACTGGATGGGATACCTTTTGGACTTTTGGACATTTAACATTTGGACAGAATGTATGTGTGACGTCGTGTTTGTACTGGGGTTTCACAATCTTCAATCTACCCATTGGGTATTTATTTATTTATTTATTTTTGCTTTCTACTTTCTTCATACAATTACAGCTCATAATTTATATGTAAATATATTTATAATTATAATTTATGCTTACAGTTATATAATACAAAGAAATAATGTTCCAGGAAACAAACAAACATTGAGTATTTATGCTTCTCATAAACGTTTATAATTATAATTATAAATATATTTACATATATAGGCATATTATATCTCTTTTTCTTCATATTTATTTTTACTTTTTTTTTTTAATCTCACTACATTGCACTCCACTCCACTCCACTCATAAAGATATGCTTCTTTTATATCTCAAAAGAATTATACGTGTCTAGAGATATATTACATTCAAGAAGGATATAGTTTATATATATATAAAAGTGTCTCCTCACGGTGATAGGAATCTTTGTAAATGTCATGATTCGCAATTGTTTCACCAAAGCGCACGTTCCTCAATACTACTACTACTACTACTACTACTATTTATATTTATATTTATATTAATATTAATACTGTTATTATCAATGTTAATTTTTACTTGGTTGTCTAGACTACCAAGATGTATCGTTCTATATGTATATAAAAAAAAAATTAAAAGCCTATTTTTAGTCAAATTATCTTTACAGGTGTGTCAATGACGAGAATCCAGGACTTGTTTCTCTCTCTATAAATATATATATATACGTATAATGTATATGTATTGAATGGTTAATCATGACGCTAGAATCTTAAAATACGTATTCATGATACATGGTTATTGGCATAAAATATATAGATATATAGATATACACATATACACATATATTTACCAACTCATTCGATCCTTACTATAATGATTACTGCTTTTTAGTATTATCCTAATAATCAGTCGAGTTTTTGCACTAATCAATAAATAATTAAATACAATTTGGTTTAAAGCGGTTGCTTTTCCGCGGTTGAGAGAACGAGTTTATACCAGATCCAGGCAAGCTGCCTTGTTACTTTTCTTTTTCTTTTTAAACCATAACGATATTAAAATTCATTAGTTAAATATAATTGATTAAACCTTTATTGTTTACACTCTATAAATTTTTTTATATATATTTATTGGAATCTAATCCATATTTCATATTAAATACAAATTACACAGAGATAGACAGACAGAACATTGCGTATATGGTCATTAGCCTATATATATATATATTGGCTCGTTTTTAGTATAATAAAACATTAACTCAAGTCATCATTGTAGTACCTTAACACATAGTTACATGTGTATATATGTTTAAAGGCTAATAGTTTTATTTTATATTATTTTAGATTTAAATGTTCTTATTTGTTAAAAGGTTAAACAGTCCATTTTTGGTAATATTATATCCTGGTTGTAATAGATGACACGCGCAAACCTGAAAAAAAAAGAATCCCTTTAATTTTTGGAGGTACAAGAATAAAGGCTTCTATAATAATCATCCTAGTCTTTTTTTTTAGTGGCTGACCAGATCAAGCTCTAAAGTCTTGGCACTTCTAATTTCGGTGAATTTGCTCATATACAGACATTTATTTTTTCTCTCTTTCTCTCTCCTTCTTTGTGTGTGTGTGTGTATCTTGTTTTACTTTATTTTTTTATAAGTTCCTATTATAGAATAAAGCAGTCGCCACAGCCACGCGTCTTGATTGGCTTTTTTGTTTGGTTACCGGTCTCCAAAAATTAATAATTTCACTCGAAATAGGTTTGTCTGCAGACTAAAATAAACTTTAAATATATATAATGGCCTATATACGTATATATATATATATAAATCTACAACATATTAAAAAAAATTACAAGGAATATTTTTTATATACATATATACATATAAAAAGAAAAAAGAAAAAAAAAGCCCTAGTAACCGGGAAAGTTCTTTCCCGTCTCTTACTGTTCTTATTTTTTCTTTTTTCTTTTCTTTTTTCCCTTATTCCTTTTTGTGTATATTTATTTCCCCTTCTTTCTCTCATTCTCGGCTCGTCGTCTTTACCTCTTCTTCCGACCTTTCTTTGCAACATAACAACCTAGTAACCTAGCAATCGAACCGAACAACCGAACCAACCGAACCAACCGAACAGAAGAAGAACAAAAAAAAAGAGCAAGCCTCGAGCATTAAAGATATACCACCAGACACACATCTAGACACACATACTTTCTCTTTATATCTTAAAAAAAACCAACAACAACAATAATAATATCGCCATCAGATAATAATATATACAAGCACAAAAGAAAAGAAAAAAACAACAACTATGGCTATGCTGGAAAAACCAATATCAGAAATTGTTGATGGCCAGGCCATACAGTCAACTAGTTCCTGTACCTACAGGTTCATACCTAGCACCTGCAGTTATCTTGCCGAACAAAGGTACTATAGATTTCTATTTTATTTTATTTTTATGTGTGTTTATTTGTTTATATATATATATGTATCAAACCACACAAAGAATGCTTATGATGATGATTATTATTGTGACGATTTTTGATATTGGTTCTTTTTATTTTGTTTTGTTTATAAAAATAAATCAGAAACTACCAACTTATCATGAGACAAGAACCTCAAAGAGCAAAGATGAGCGTCATAAATGAAAGAGGTAAATAGACCATTTTGGTTTCCACTCTATTTTTACAAAACAACTAACTAAAGAAATTATAATCATAAAATTAAAAAAAATCAAATCGATAAAGACCGAAGACCAATTGAACCTCCACCAATTCTTCAGTTGAACTGGTTGAATTGCTCCACTGAAGAAACAAAGTAAGAGCCAAAAAAAAACCTAAGCAAGCTAAAGCAAACAAGGAAAATATGTATATATTTGTTTGCGCGTGTATCTAGAAATATATTCTGTACATAATTTATATTACTATACACTTTCGTTATTTTTTTTATTTTTATTTTTTTAAAAAAAAAAACAACAGCAGCCTCTCATTGGCTGTAAGAAATGTATAAATAATAATATATGCCTTATTGGGTATTTTACAAGATTATTTTATTGACCATTTCTGGAAATTATCTTCCGTCTATTTTATTCCAATCCAGAAAGTACCTTCAGAGTCCGTTTTATTTCATGGTGGCAAATCTGATGAAGGCCAATGACACCACAAAAGCACTCGATTCCCACGAATACCTGTCTGGTTCCACTGTATCTTCACTCTACAGACTAAGAGATGTTGACAATACTGGTAAGTTAAAAATAAAAAATAAAAAAGAAACATATCAGAAGAATAAAATACACAGACTGTCTCGATTGTGTCATATACTCTGGTTAATTGATTTTCTCTTAATAAAATTACATATATTAACGCTACTCATATCTGTAGACGGAGGCTTTTTTGTATTTGGTGACTTGGCTGTCAAGAAAGATGGTTATTACAGGTTACAATTCAACCTTTTTGAGATTATGGAGTAAGTCGTTTTTTTTTTACCTTTGTCTTGTCCTCTTTTTATTTTTCCTTTATATATATAAAAGAGGTGTATTTTACCCGGGATTTTCTTCATTTGTGCACAGAAGAGTTTGTTTGTACACACATTTCTACGTCCGCCATATTGTCTTGTCCCTGTCCCTGTTCTTGTTCTCGTTTTTTTTGAGTTTTTCTTTAATAATAGTTTAATTTTTTTTTAAAAAAAATTGTTCAATTAGTGGCACTGTCCAAAACCGCAAAACCATGCTCTCTGAAGTATTCGTGGTCCACTTACCAAAAAAGTTCCCTGGTGCAATAGAAGCCACTTTTTTGTCACGAACATTTTCTGACCAGGGAGTCAAGATGAGAATCCGCAAAGAACATCGTCTTCAAACGTATGTTGTTTCTTAATTTATTTAAATACATTATAAAAAAACAAATTAATTAATTACACACACACATATATATATATTAACAAAATTAACATTAACATTGACATTAATATGATTATTATTGTTATTAGTCGTAAGAGAAAGGCCGAAAGACAAATAGACTCTGATATGGCTGACGTCAAGAGAGTAGTCGTAACAGACCAAGAACCCATTTCAGGGCAACGAACCTCGTGCCAGAATGAAGTCCTGTTTGGTCGTTGGCAATCAAACGTTGGTGTGACTAGCCGATCGCTTGGCCAGACTGGACCTATAGAAACAATTCACCAAGCCAGCTCGATGTCTGCTGTAAATCCCTTCAACCCTGGAGGTGAAGGCAGACTTAGATACAAGGATCTCACGAGCAGGTTTCGTTACTATCCAAAACAACATGAAAATAAAGGCTTCTATGAACCAATGGACACCAGTAACAGCATTAGTACGAGCACTAGCACTAGCACAAACACTAGCATCAGCCTCAGCAACAGCCTTAGCAGCAGCACAATTGGTACTCCAAATAGCCCAAGTGGAGACATCGGCGGCAATACCAACGATGGAGAGCCTCTGGCACAAGACACATCAGAGTTCCCATCTCCAATTTCTCGGACACACTCAGTCACATCTGAAGCTCCAGAGCAATTGTCTTGGTCACCTGCCTCAAACGACATGATGAAGATCGAAAGGCTGGCGTCGCATGGATGCGGCTCCCCTTCCTCTGGAGGAGCATGGCACTTGACCAACAACAGTAGCAGCAACAGCAACAGCAACAGCGACAGCTACCAAGACACACCAGATCTCTTCCATAACTCAAGCAATTCCCCTCCTTCACCCACACCTACCGCCTACACTGTGCAATCCCCTCCTACCTTGATTCATCAAGCACCTTCGTCCGAGGCTCATCTAGCTAGCTACCACTTTACAGCAAGTGACCGACGCCCCACACAATCTTACGCATCAGAAGACACACATCCTTTGTCTCACATCCACTACGCAGCCACAAAGAATGAGCACTGGGGAGAGCGCTTACCTCCACTTAGAGCCATTATGGAAGACCAGCATACAGATCAACATAGTCTTCACACACATGTGGCTCCCCTTGAATTGCCTGCCATCATTACATCTGGGAACCCTCATCGCCTTGGTGCAGATTCTTCCTCCTCCTCCTTTTTACCAACTCTTTTTCCTTCTTATGTACCTCAATCAAACCAACAGCCAAAAAAACAGCATCAGCATCAGTATCAGCATAATCATACTCATAATCATAATCATCATAATCATCAATCGAGGCAAACTCCTCATTCCATGTCAGGACAAGATGTGGGAGGTATATTTGCTCAATGTTCAATCTAAAAAAAAACCTCCCTCTTCCTCATCCTTCTCTTCTTCTTCTTCTTATTTTCTCTTAAAATCCAAAACACAAAATCCGCAAAGAGACCTATAGCTATTCCTATTCCTAATCCTACCCCCCACCCCCTTCCTTTTTATTTCTACACTCTTACTCTTTCATTTACATTTTTTTGTTTTCGTTTGTTTTGCTTGTTTCCCCTCCCTCATTTATGCCACGCACAGCATTGTTTTATATCCCTCTTTATCTTCAATACTCCACATCCTTTATATCCATAAGCTTTCTTTGTCATTATTTTGTTTTATTCTTCTTTTCTCTTGATTACTCGTGTACACACCTTTGTTTCTCTTCTCTCTCTCTCTCTCTTTATATTATACACACACATATATATATTATTATCTTGTATGCACATGAAATAGATACTGTGTTTCTTTTTGTCAATGCAGAAACCCCCCCAAAATCCCAATAGAAAATCAAGTGTGATACATAGTAAGATTTATCCTAATGGAATTTTTAGAAGCGTGATGCTTGATCATTTTTATCTTTTACAAAAAAAAAGGAAGGCAAACAAGATATTTGAGTTTTAAGAACATCTGCAGCAATAGAATTTATGCTCAGTTTTTTCTAATTTAAATCCTTTTTGGGAAATGCTGTTCAAAAGAAAACCCCCTCTGCAACAGTAGCATTTCCGGCAGCATATATTTCCATGCTCCATGATTTTTATGACCTTAAGCATGGAAATAGATACTCCATTCGAAAAATTTCTGAGCGTTTAATCGTTTTTCTTTATTATTATTTACTTTAATGCCATTCACCAGCGTACGAGGGAATTGTCGAGGGAATTGCATCGAGGGAATTGAGCCACGTCATATACGATTCCAATTGTTATTCAGCATCTGTTTTTTAATTATTTATTAAAATACCCTGCCAATTTATATTTTTTTGTTAATGATTTGTTTCATTTTGGCTATATAGAATGAGCTTTTTAAAGTATGGTTGTTTAGTATATTCCTTTTTGTAATTAGAGTCCTTATTCTAGAAATTTTGCCAATTCCCTCGACAATTATATGGTCAAAAACACCATGTAATTGTCAAGGGAGTTGACAAATATATCCATTCGGAATCGAATAAATTACTATGAAAAGTAATTTTTCTTTCAATTCCCTCGTACGCTGGTGAATGGCATAAATCGAATAATAGAGAGCTGTTTAAAGTTGCCTTGTATCTACGCCCAAAAAAGGCACTTAAGTTGGAACATTTTTTTAAAATTTATTCTCCGATACACCATACGTGTACCATCATGTTGCGTCAACAATATAGCTTGTGAAAATATTATGCATGAGCTTCATTCTCTAACAACTTCTTTATACTCAAATTGATCATCTAAATTCAAAATAAAATGACCGATCGTTCCGAATATAACATTAACAATCACGCCCAAGTTCATCAACAAAGGCAACAAAGACAACAACGACAACAACGAAGACAACAACGACAACGACATTAAGAACAGCAACAGCAGCAAGAGCAACAGCAGAATGAAGAAGAACCCATACCTCAAGAGATTAGAAGAGCCAGGAGAACTAGATATAGCAAACTAAACCTAAATCTCTTGAGTGACGGTACTTGTATATATCTATTTCGTTTCACTTTGGGTGAAATTGAGAGAATAACAACAGCACTCGGATTGGATCATGTGTACCGTTTTTCAAGTATACAAGTCCGTAAGAACCTTGGCTTTGCAATGTTGCTCAATCGGTACAGCTTTTCAAGACGCTTAGGTGACATGTCTATACTTTTTGGAATGAGTGAAAGCAATGTATCTGTAGTTTGCCGAGGATTTGAGAGCATTGTTATGAACCAGATTAAATGGGGACTTCAATTCAATATTAAGCAATTTCGCCCGGAAAACTTGAAAAGGTTTGCAAGTGCAATCTACGATAAAGGCGCAGCACTGCCAAGCATTGTTGGTTTCATTGATGGTACTATGCAAGCAATATCAAGACCAAGCCAAGGTAATGAAGTTCAAAAAGCTTTTTACAATGGTTGGAAGCACATGCATGCTTTGAAGTACCAGTCTATTGTTACTCCTGATGGGATCACAAGCAGCTTGCTTGGACCATATGATGGCTCTAGACACGATCAGTACATATATACCATGTCCAAAACAGAAGCAAGAGTGGAAAAATACTTGGATATTGTACCAGATGTCGAATTGCCATTTGCCTTGTACGGCGATCCAGCTTACATGGTTTCCAAGTGCCTGTACTCACCATTTGAAGGCGTATATCTTAGTGGTATAGTAACCATACAAGATTGTCGACAAAGATTGTACAATATATTAATCATGTACAATAGATTTAGATAAAAAAAATTAACAAGAGTATGTCGAAAGTGCGAGTGGCAGTAGAGTGGGAATTTGGGGAAGTACAGAAGTACTTTAAGTATTCCAAGTATAAGTATGCCATGAAAACAGGGGAAACAAGTCCAGCAACTGTGTACATGCTATCCACAGTATTCAAAAATATGATCCACTGTACTGGTCGCAATAGATCGCCAACAAGTTCATATTTTGGTTTAGAGCCACCGACTCTTGAGGAGTATATCTCTGGATTAAGACGTGATAAAATAGACGGAGAAGATGAAGATGATATATTATTTTAAATAAATTAATACTTAAATTTTTATGCTTTTATCATTATTTTCTTGTTTTTTTTCAATTCCTCTTCGATATCGCACATCTTCTGAAGTATCTGCTTCAGCACCCCCATGACTTCAGCATGGCGGGCGGCCTGGGACTCTGGGACTTCATTTCCCACCTCCGGATGATCCTCATCCTCGACCTCATCCACGTCTTCATCCACGTCTTCATCCATGTTCTCATCCACATTCTCATCCTCCTCATCTGCGTTCTCATTCTCTTCGCCCTCCTCGCCCTCCTCATCCTCAATGCTAGCTGGGCTAGCTTGACTGCCAACTGGTCGGGCTGCAGCCATAGCAGAGCTCTCTGCTGAGAACTTTTCTTGCATTTCTGCGTTGGTCTTCTTGATAAAATCTCGGTATTTTTGCCTGAGATTTGTGATCTGGCCAGGAGCTCCCGACGCGATTGCCCGTATACGGCCTTCGAGGCCAAGCTTAAAGTCTTATCTAGTAATCTCCTTATTGCGACCAGAAACCTTGAACGCCTCGTGCTGCTCTTTCTACATTTAATTAAATGTATGTATGTAATTAGAAAACTGAAAGGAAACTAAATATAAATTTGACTGTACCTTGTCAAGGATCTTTCGGACAGCCTTCTCTACCTCTGGCCTGTTCCTATTTGCACCCGAGGAACCAGCAACAGTCCTCTCCTCAAAGGCATTCTTGTAGATGTCTACAAGTTTCAACATTTTGCGACGGCAAGTGTCGTAAGACAGCTCTGTCTCGCCAGGTGTCACGTCGTTGACACTTTTAACAATGTCCTGCCATGCCTTCTTGTGTGCACCTTTCTTCAAAGAAGGGGGGAAAGGGTGCGCGTATTCCTGTAAGAGCACCAACTCTTTGGTGTCGTTCCAGGAACCATGTGCCTTCTTCGGCTTCTTCTCTTCCTCAAATCCAGAAAGTTTATACTGCTTGATTCGCAGTTTCTTGTTGCTGTTCTCAGCGTTCTTAGAGGTTCTTTTTGGAGGCATTGTTGTATTGGAATATATATATGCAAGAAGAGTGAAAAAATATTAGAATTCTGAAAAAACTGGGCTTTATATAGCTTAATGATTATGCTTGCAAAATATCATCGATATTTCTTATTCAAACAAGAAAAATCAAGATATTCGACTTACTAAAAACAGATGTTTCAGATGGTTTTGCATAAATTAATTCAAAAAAGGAAAAAAAAGGGGGCTTGCATCAGATGAAAGGATACGCCTCAAATTTAAACAGTTCTCTAATCTTTCTATCTATCTAAAAGCATAAATAACAACAGTGATAGTCAGCTCAAAGGCTCCAAAAATTAATATAATTATAAAGCTTTGTTAAAGCAACCTTTTATCTATCTAAGGTGCCTAAAAAATAAGAGCAATATGCAGATGCTGTAAATAATTAAGTGCTCTAAGACTTAAGCAAAAAAAAGTAGACGGAGTCTCGTCAGCTTAAAAAGACGTCGTCGATTTAAATGTCTATAAAAGGAGCGATTTTTGGTGCATCTCCTGTCTTTTGCTGGGGATGCACTTAAATTTGTTGCCCATTTTTGGAATAAAAATTTTGCCTAAAATTGGGAAAAAAAACCGGTCGACCGACGAAAAAAATCGGTCAACCACAACTAGGTGAACGCCTACTGACTTTAAAGCGAAATAACCTTTTTTTGAATTTTGGAAATCACTATATAGTGTTTAGTGTCTATATCAATACGGAATTCTATATCAATAAAGCACTCCGAGAGCACCTCATATAAAATTTATTTAGACGGAGATTGTGTTATTAAAAAAGAATAACGTGTTTCAAAATCGCATTATTTTATATGATATAAAAACATGATATAAAATATTTTACATCGTATAAAAAAATGATATAAAATACGTTGACCAATCATCTTTTGGTATTATATTTTGTTAAACTAACGATGATATAAAACCTGAAATAAAGAACGAATTATGTTTTCAAGTAAGCATATAAAGAAGTCCATATAGCTCCAACGTTAGTTTTTTTCCCCTTTATCTGCACAAGCATTCTATGTATATAGATATTAATTGGCATCTATTAGTTTTAGTGTCTAAAAAGTTAAACAGCTATTACAATTTTAGGGAAAAAAGTAACAAACTTTGGCTCGCACTAATTACATGATTTTATGTTCGTGAGTTTAGTATATTAACATGGCCAATAAATGAAATATCACACATTTTCATTGTATATGGAAGCCTTGGACGTGAAACATGAGACCGTATAAAATTACATATATGGTTAAATGTTTCAAATTTTTTTTATATGATGTGTCCAAGGTCCTTATAAGCAATATTATTTTGTCTCTAATAAATAACACTCACAGTTTCTACTTTTTCCATATATTGAGATACTAACCCATAAACAATCCCGAATACCTCAATATATACTATAAATAGTATTTCTCTCAGAGTCTGGAACCTGTTCTCTCTCATCATAATCTTAAATTCAAACAATGTCATCAATCTCAAAAAGTAAGTGCAATTCGCGTCGAATATTGATGAGTGTACTAAATGTTGCATTATTATAGGCATTAAAGAATATTTAAAGAATTCCAATACTCGGCCATCTCTATCTAAGTTTGTCAACGACAATAAAGAAGCAACTAAAGCATATGTACAACAATTTGATACAGAATCCTAAGCGAAGAAGAACATGGAGAACAAGTTCATACTAGTGTACAAGAACATTTTCCCGAATAGAAAGCGTATTATAGGAAAATATGTGGATATTGGCGTGTTGTATTCAGAGGCACGATTAGAGAGAACTATCAAAATTGAAGGAAATCAAGCGCTAGAGGCCGGTGTTTCCGCAGCACGAATAATTGCATCAAACAACTTGGCAATTGCCAATCCCAACAATCAGAGGGCAACTTATGACAGTGATCAGGATTATGACAACGAGGAAGAGGATGTTAATGAGGATTCACATGCCAGCAATGGATACAATATGGCGCAAGGATTCAGAAAGTTTCAACGCGAATCACATCAAGTAGCTAAGTCACAAGGACTTTTCATCAACGGAAATCTTCAACAACTTCTGTAAATCTACATTTAATTAGAACCTAAGCCTTTATAGCTCACCAAATCGCAAACTTTAGTGCCCTGGATAATATATTGCTGCTTGTCAAAAACCAGCATAGTAAAGAAATATTGCTCACTATGGAGGATGTCAACCTCACATGTTACCACGAGGATATGAAACAGAACTTCTTGGATCTCAACTTGACAGTCGATGACGAGATATTGTTGAAGTTAATGAAAGCATTGACGGTAACTTATGATAGCACTTGTGACAAATGATGCATTCTAATAGATCACATAATTTCAGAAAGTGGATACGTGCACTAGAAAAGAAATCAAATGTTGTATTCACAAATTTTATGAATTTGCTGACGACTATGACACCAAGATTCTTAATATCTTCCTAAATTTGTAAATAAATTTTGATTCGGGTACACTTGAGATACATTCTGATACTTGTTATGATTCTGCTTAGCATTGATAAGCTCCCCGAGGAGCCTATCTTGAATCATCAAATCAAGGAAATCGAATTAGTGACCAGATTCCTGGACCCCATTATGAGCGCGGTGTTAGCCGATGTTGAGCAGAACCGCGTCTTCTCGTGGTAGATATTATTGTTGCATTACCTGTTTATAAATTTAAAAACTTAAATGTGTATTTCTCTACATAGGACAAACACTGCAAGTACTGGAACAGAGAACGAGCACCCTGACGGGGAAATGGCAACTATAAATCAGAGATCAATTGCATATCACCTTGGCTATTGCGAAGTAAAAGTTAGTGAAGGAGATAGCAGCTCAGTTTACCTTCATTATGATATGTTGAGATTGGCAAGATTTGGTAAAAAATTGTGTCACAATGAAGATCTTCGTGGCAGTCTGTTGGTGATGGCAGTTGGTAAGTTTTTACAAACAATACAAATTTGCTCTCTGTATACACACCACTTAATTTTCATTTTGCAACAAAGGGTTCCGGGTACGATTTTTTATACTCACAAGGAACAAACCATTCGATACTATGTTTGAAATTGCTAACATGGAATTGCCAAAGTCTTTGTCAACCTTGGCTAGTTTCACCTCCAATGTACACAAGATCAAACAAATACTTCAAGCATACTATACTCATTGCACCAAGGAACCAGAGATCTCACTAAAGAGAAAGAAAGAAAGCTCTATGACAAAGAATGATATTCAGCAAGTCATCAATACCAGCAAACCAAAAAAGATGAAAGCTTCTTTGAGTTTCAAATAAGCATTATATGTAATCCGCGCCTTCGTTTTAAAAACCATTTCAAGTAAAAGATTATAATAAAGCCACTAAGCAAAAAAAAAGAAAAATGAGATGGCTACCAAAAATAACAAAAACCGTTGCTTTTCATGTCGCTCAAAGGTAGAAAGAAAATAAATATGGTGGAATCAATTAGCTCATGTTTCTCTTGTTCAATATCTAAGATCCCTCGCTAAACGACTGGCCAACAATTGTCGTCATTTTTATTCACTTTCATTAACTAATTCATATACATTAAAAGCTTGTCTACGTTCTTTTACATGGGATGGCACTCTTCCAGTAAACTCTAAAGAAGATATTGTGATAAATTTCATTTGGCTTTGTGCATAATCTTGCTTGAGTACAGAAAGATATAACTTACTTCGCGAAGACGCAACCTCATTTCGAAGGGTCATCATGTGTACAAGGATACATTGGCTTTTCCGCTAATTTTTTAGCTGAAAATTTTAATTAATGTAAACTGCTTGAATATAAGCTTGTTTGTTTTATGGAACTGGGAAATTTGATGTAAACCTTGGAAACATATTAGCTAGTTTATTACAATGGGACTTGAAGAATACTGCAAGTGTATACAATATATATATATAAATATATTGTGAGGAAGAGAATTCATGTAGTGATCCTTACTGGAGCGAAAAAAGGTGCAGAGTCAAGGTGTGAAGCCTCGTTATTTAAGGTAAGAGCTTCGAATAAAGATTTTAGCTTCCCACCAAAACACTACTATAAACAATGGTAATTGAAAAGGACCACATACTAAGAATAATAAAGATAAATCTTTACTACTCTTTCGATATGTTTTCTCTTCTGCTTGCTGGTAATAGTAATATATTGCCCTATTAATTTTCTTCGAGTGATCAATCACAAGAGTAGTATGGCTTATTCATCCAAAGGAATGAAAGAGCACTAATCTTTCAATCGAGGATACCGTAAAAAAATAGCGGCAGCATAAGCCTTACTAGAGGATTATTTTTTCCTTTAATTTTAGATGCAGACAATAACAAATCTTTAGCCAGAGTATGAAGCGTTGAATGAACTAATAATCATCTTTGATAATTAATCTGCTTTTTGGAATACGTGCAGAAGATACAGGACGTCAGCGGATACAGCATTGCAGACATCGTCGATTCTACTACTCAAATTTTCCTCAGTCCTCAAAAGTTCGCTCTTCAACTTTCCTTTAGCAATATTCTAGAATTTCTCAGTAGGGTTCAGCTCAGGGGAGTAAGACAATAAATACATAACCCTGTATCCTCTGCTCTTAATTTTTCTGATCACTGGTTTTGTTTTAAGTATTGTACAATTGTCCATGTCTAGGTAATGGTTTTTAAAGTCCTCGTCATGATACGTAATATCAAGGACTTCATTCATCAATTTGATGAAATGGCCTGTAGTTGTACATTTATCTACTGGAGCAGCACTACCTTCAGCTGTAGCGTCCACAATGTCCATATACTCTACAGTTGGTTCTTTCATGATGAAATACTTTGCAGTTCCTTTCTTCCACTTGCTTACTTTTCTCTTCTTCTGCACAGCTGTCGGGCTACTCTTATTTTCCCATACATTTTTAGGTGGCAGCTTATTCAAAGCGACATTGATGACACTCGAGCAGGATATAGCACTAATGATTGTATGGGAAGACGACCTGGTTTTAGGTAACTTTACTCTTGCAGGTTCTCCAATCTTAGCTCGAGCCCAATTGCTTCTCAAGTTGATGTGGAAGCCTGACCCATAAATGAAGAAGTATTTTTTTTATAAAATCTAAATCTATATCCTTTTATTACATATACCAATCGCATCTCTCTTGGAGATTAATTTCAAAGTTTCTCGCTTCGGGTTCGAACGTAGGTTTTTTGACCGTGATGGGCATGCTATCCTTTAAATTGTGATTGAGTTGTGCCTTTGAGATACTGAAGCCCATAAATTGCTCGGCTAGTTTGTCGATTATGTCAGCGGTTTAAGGTTGAGGGTCTTGATCAAATAATATACAAACGTAATCCTGTTGTTCACTTTTAAATGAACATTCCATATCATTTGATTTCGACTTTTTTTTTTAGGAAAATCTCTGTGTTTTTGATATCTTTTCCAACATCTTTGAGTGGTTCGTTTGTTGATTCCAAGCCGTCTTGCAAAACGAATTACTATACCTCTTTCCTCAAGAATTTCAATTATTTGATCTATAATAATCTGTCTTGACTTGTCACTGCATTAATTATACACAGCTGTAGAGGCATATGTCTTTGGTTTGGGACAGTTTTAATTACATGCTTGAGGTTAGATAAATAGATGTTTCGATTTGTTACAGTTTCAAATGCAACGTTGGGATCCGTGATTTGGGTCAAGACATCTTCCATAGGATCAGACCTTTTTTCCTTGCTCATTCTAAACATTGTCTTGCCCATCCTCGAAATAAAAAGTGGTTGGCATTGCATAGTTGTAGGAAAGAAAAGGCGGATTGTTTGTTAAAAGCGGTATACGACATTTAGCTTCCAGTTTCCGCCAAATTTGTCGATAACAAGCGACAATCATTTTAAAAACGACAGTTGTGGCAAAATGAAAATGACAAAAAAAAACGTTTTATCTCCGACTATTTTTTTGAGCTAAGCGCCAATTAGTGTAGTTAAAACGTTAACTATGTTTCGCTGCCAGCCAAATATATTACGTAGACCGACATAATCAACCAGCCTCACTATATATGTTTCATTTCGTTCACGTTCCATATAAGGAATACAGAATCGTTCTAAACCTTAACCCACTCTTGGAACTGTATTTAAAAAGAAAAGAAAAAAACAAATTCAGTGGGTGTGTCAAACGCCACTTGAGAATAAGAAGCAATTCAATGATTGGCCAAAATCGTATTCCCTTGAATTCTTTTTTTTTACATCCCTACTTCTTGTAATTATTAAGCTCCGATAGGTTCTTTTATATATTTGCACACACAACCCACACACACTACCCACACAATATATTTAATTATTTCTGTCTCGACCTCAAGATGTCTCTTCCTCTTCCTCTTCCTATTTCTCTTCCTCTTCTTCTTCCTCTTCGTCCTCTTCGTCCTCTTCGTCCTCTTCGTCCTCTTCTTCCTCTTCCTCTTCCTCTTCCTCTTCACCCTTTGTAATTCTTTCCTTTCTTATATATATATATTTCCGCTCAATTCGATAAATTCTATCTATACATATATACATATATATATATATACACATACATACATACATACATAAATACACATATACTTTTTTTTCCGACCGAGCAGTAAATACATTCATTATGGTAGACATTATCGACAAAGTCAAAAGCCAATATGCAATCTGGAAGCTCGAAAAGTACACCAAAAGACGCTCATTTATGCCAGAATACGATCCCAAAGGTACAAACACCCACATCATTTTTGTTTTTTGTTTTTGTTTTTTTTCCTTAAAATAACACACACACATATATTTGTGCTTGTCTGTGGCCGTGTACCTATATTCATGTGTATACACACCAAAATCTATCCTTCTTCTTGTGTGGATTTGTAACAAATTGGTTCAATTAGATAAAGAGTACTATAATCAATATTACAAAGACGGCACTTATCATGACCCCGCAAACGCCCCTCCTTTGACCAAAGCACAGACAGCGGCTAAGCGTTCTTCATCTCTGCGAGCCATTCATCGTGCACCTTCCCTTTTGAGCCAAAGAGCAACAACCTTGTTCCGTAAAACATCTGCTGCAAGTACACCTCCTCGATGCTCAGAAAATTATAACCAGTCAGCACATCGGTAAAAATTAAGAAATAAAATGAAGATGAAAATAAAAATAAAAATAAAAATAAAAATGATATATACAAAAAGTGTTTATTTAATAAGAATAATTACATAAAAGAATATGTACATGTATATATATATATATAAATTGGGGATAAAAGGAAAGGGGGTATATAATAGGGTAGGAGATGTGAGAGTAGGAGCCAAGGAGATACAGATAAAGACAAGTAGAGGAAGGAGATTAATGAATGTCTTAACAAATAAATGAATGAGCAAATGAATATATAAAAATAATAATAATGAATTTCCCGCTTTTTCTTACTATTGTTGTTAGTGTGTTTTTGGCTGTTTAAATCTAAAATCTCTGGGAGAACTTGTACACACTCAGATTCAAACAACAAAAGGCTGCCTATAATAAATAGTTTAGTGTGTGCAGTGTGTGTAGCATATGTAGATGTAAGCGGTTTTGGCAGTGTGTGTGTGTGTGTGTGTGTGTGTGCGTAAGAGAATCATCAACCAACCAGCAAGATTTTTTGTATTATAAAAACTGTTTTATATACATACACAAAACTTTAGTGAGCAGAAAAAAATGTCTCCAAACTTTCCATTTCATTTCATTTGTTTTTTTTTATCCCGTTCTTTTCCCGCCCTTTCTCTCTTCTTTCTATTTCTTACCTTCTTCTTCTTCTTCTACTACACGCACATACATACATATTATGGCTGCCTCCGCTGCTTCCCAGTCTGCCCTCACTCGTTTCATCAACTCACCTGCCGGCCCAAAGACAATCCACTTTTGGGCTCCTGCCACAAAATGGGTATATGTTTCTCCTTCTTCTTTGTTGCGGCTGTAGACCTCTATCGACTTATATATTACTTATTTGGAATCCAGGCCCTAGTTATCGCTGGTGTAGGAGATCTCAACCGTCCTGCAGAGAAGCTTAGTTTGACCCAAAACTTGTGTAAGTAAACCAAGAAGAAAATATAGATATAGAAGCATATAATATACGTGTGCCTTTGTGGAGTGCATATATATATATATACATTTGGCTTGAGTTTATTCTTTACTTTTATTATGTATTAATTCTCAAACGAACATATAGCTCTCTTGGCTACCGGCCTTATCTGGACTCGTTATGCTACCGTCATTATCCCCAAGAACATGACCCTCTGTACAGTCAACATGTTTGTTGCTGCCACAGGATTCGTCCAGGTTGCACGTATCTTAAAGTAAGTTGATTATAGAGAACAGGAAAAGGAAGGGGGGAAAATAATAGAGCCATAGATGGTTAAAGGCATTTACATCTTTATCCTATCATATCGAATCGCATTATATTTATTTATAAACCCTGTAATTTTTAGGTATCGTCAATCTGATGAATACAAGGCAAAGGTGGCTGCTGGTTTGGCTTAAAAATGAGATATATGCGTATATAAAAAAACATATACACATTAATATACATATACATATTTATATACATACATAGAATCACACAGAAACTATTGGGATTCGTGTGTAGAAAATATCAAGCTTTGGAAATAAAACGCCAGAGTTGGGAGATAAGATAGAGATCTATTGACTATTTGATTGCTTGTACATTTGAAGCGTTCTAGATTTGTTGGGGGTAAATCCAGTCAGACTTACAAGAATCGACCCCGATATTATTAAATCATATATACACAACATATAGAGAGAGAGGTCGACAAGAAAAAAGAAAACTCAAAAAAAATATGAACATAGGCAGAGGTAATATAGGATTATATGGCTAGAGAAAACTGCTTACAGCTATTAAGAAAGTGCACAAAAAGTTGCAAATTAGTTCCCATGGATTTTTAGATGTTAATTGTACCTAAGAGTGAAATAGAGATGGGATATTTATTCGGGTAATCTATATATCTTTTTCAACAAGATCAATGTCGCTGAACCAAAAAAGATATATATATAAAATACCCATAAATATTAATAAGATAAAATAAAGCAAAACAAAGCACACTACCAGCAGAGAATCAAATAATAATAACACTAATGAAATGTTATATACACAAGTTTAGAAAGTCTAAAGTGGCACGTCACTGTATTAAGTGAATAGAACCAGTTGCTCTAATTGAAAAACAAAAAAAATACTTCTTTTTGAGCCATGTACACTTAGCAAATGTAATGAAGAAACAACCGGAGATCCTTTTGAAATCCTTTCTTTAAATTGAGCAAGTGTTCTTTAGATTCGAACATTAGAGACAATCGTTACATGTTTATTTATTTTTCAAAAAAAAAAGAATTGCAATTACAAAGCAAATCTGTACATTATAATCAATAGCATGGGAATGAAAATAGACATTTAGCCACCAAAGCTTGTGAAATAGTCAAATAAATACTTGGGGATCTTGTATTTTAAGCTTACTACTATCATAAGTCACAGCAAACAATAAATATATTATTAACATCATTCTTCAACAAATGCAAATGCACCGAATGTAACGAATCCAGCATTCCAATTTTTCATCAAGGGTTAGATATTCTTGCTGACATTCAAGGTGAAGGCAGCTGCTATAGTGTTAGACAATTGTCAAATCACAATTACAGCAAACACCCAGTAACCTATTGTAATCTTTGAGGAAGGCCGTGTATATGTCAAGTAGTTATATTTATCAGAGAGTAGAGGCCTCAAGCTGCCTATTCCAAATACGAAAGCTTTCTGTGCCATGACAGCAGATACAGACAAATAAACTGTATAATCACTCCCTTTGTAGGATTTTTCAAAGACTCATTTTGGGATATTTCAATTCATTCAATCTCCTTGTTACCTCATCAGTGGGTATTGATGATGATGATGATATATACATACATCAGTTGAAAGTTTTAAATTTCATGGGACAAGATATCCCTGTGAGTCACTCCAATAGTAAGGAGCTTTAGTACACACGCATATTTATTATTATTATTCTTTTCACAAATTAGAGTTGTTTTATTTCCACTAAAATATAAAGATTCATTTAGCACTACTAGTAGCACAATTATTAAGCACGCATCAACTGTTACACGCATTATAACTTTTGTTACATAAAACCTTGTAACCCTTGATTTTTGCAAATCTAATAAATACAGAAAACAAAACAGATGGCCACTAATATATAGGATTAAATAACTAGAGAAAATCACACAGAAATAGCTATTGAGTGCCTAAAATTCAATGATTCTTTTTAATACATAGATCTATGAAGCATAGACATGAACCAGAATGAGAGTTTTATTTACTTTTATATTTGCAAGATCCCAGATTTGGTAGATTCATTCACACGCACTAAAAGAATACAAACAAATTATTAAATATGTAACACACTCAACCAACAACAAACGTTCACAGAAAAATATTGGTAGGAAAGAGTTCATGAGCTTAGTTATACGCATTGACTTACAGTAAAAGTTTATACCAACCGCAACAATCATAGAAGTCGTGAGGATGGCTGGTCCGTATCTATCTGAGTAATCACCCGGGTCTTTTCGTCCCACACGACTAGCGCGGCTGTGAAAGCACAGGAGCGCGTAAACCATCGTACCGACCGATACAACCGTAAAAACTGCTGCAGACACACGCCCTACCCCATCAGAAAAGTTCAAAAGGCCCAGCGCTAATCCTCCCAGCAAAAGTGTAAACTGCAGCCAATGCAAAAATGTTCGCTCATTCGCCATCCACAACTTGACAGGCGGAGCTATCTCTGGCATCGCACGTACAGGTTGCCCACCTCCCAGAGCCAAGGTACTGTCAAAAGAAGCTGCTGGTTCAAGAGACTTGTTTGAGCTAAATATGGTCTTAGACTTATCCCAAACAGCACTCAGTCCATGAAAATTCGTGGTCTCTGTAGGTGAAGGGCCAATCGATGATGGGTCACCAAGATGAACCGCCACGGATAGATCGCTGTCAGAGTCTTTATCGACCGCCTTGGTTTTGGTTTTGGTTTTGGTTTTGGACCGGAGCAATTCAAATGCTTTGTTTTTTGGCTTGCGAATGTCTACTTCCATCTGTGGCAGCCAGAATGGCAATGCTCTAACCTTGCTTTCCAAGAGAGTCGCGCAGCCGTGAATAAATTTCGAAAACTTTGGAACGGATTCTACCAGATGTGAATTTACTAGTTCTGTCACCCACTCTGGAGGTTCCTGACCAAAATGGGTCTGTAGCTTAACTTCGAGTACGGCATAAGGGAATCTGCAGATGTCTTCTTCAGGGAGATTCTTAAATGGCCAATTGACTCCAATATCCATGCGCCTCCAATGATTTCCTGAGCGCACCCTACCTTCGTCGTCTTCTCGGATTAATGAGAGTTCTGTGTCGAGCGAGATCCGGACCCGTGCATCACCTGGCAGTTGGAAGGCAGTTCGATTGTAAAAGGTACGCATCACAGGAGAAAGACGTTTGGTAAGTACTGTGTACTGGACTTCGCGAGCTAATTGTTCCATTTCGTCGAGTTCGGCCTTGGATTTGCGGCCTTGTTCTCTCGGTTTGGCCATCAACTCATCCACTGTATATTCTCCGCGAAGATAGGCATCCAGGTGTTTCTCTTTGATCGGGAAACGCGCCTTGACACTCTTTTCACCCGTCCAGTCCTCACGGTGGGTCTTTCGCTCCACAAAGATGGTCGTGGTGTCCATCCCACCGTACCAACGCATTCGAATAGCCTCAGCACCTTCTGACTTTTCAAGCCGGCCCATATATAGGTCCATATCTTCATTATCAAAGTAGATGCTAGTGATGGCCGAATCTTCCTGACAGAATTCTTTGTTGGGATTAAATACAAGTACTGGCAAGTGCTGAAGTATAATCAACTTTAATTTCAAAATGTTGTCTGGATGAACCCTTTATACGCCAACACCAACAGCGACAGCGACATTAAACAGAGCACATGTATGTTTAATACCAATTAGTCGATTATTTTTTGAACCTATGCTTGATGCTTACCAGTATTTTGTAGTATTACGAATAAACGCAGACTGTTTCCCCCCTGCACCAGAGTCACCACCTCGCTGAATACCTTTTGTACGCACTCGATCGTACAAACACGACAGCCTGGCAATCAAAGCATCATAGTTTTCTTTGTAGAATGGCTTTGCATTTAGTCGAGCGCTAAATATTGGCCTTGTTATCCAGCCAGTTACTTTCTACAAATATATAATTTTACACACACACATAGGATAATTAATTAAAGTATAAACCACACGCATAAATACACACACACACACACACATATATATATATATATATGTGCGCGTGCGTGTGTCTATTCGTGATATAAACTTGCATCATGTTTCTTAACAATCTTCAAAAAGCCAGTGTAGTTAAGTCGAGTGAATTTCTCTAGATCATAAACGTCTGCAATGATTCGTTCCAGCTCAACCTGACAAAGCGAAAACTCCTCGTCTTTTGGGTTAGTTTTTTTGCAAACAGAATCGACTTGTATGGCTTCTTGTCTAATCCTAAATTGGATTTCGTCGAGTTTGGCTCGTTGGAAGCTGTAGACCTTGTCGAGTTCGCTTTCTAGACACTCGATGAATTCGGATTCGTTTTCTTCTAGCCACTGGTTGTTTATGCGCTTCTTCAACATGTTTTTCAGGCCATCGTAGTCTACACAAGAGTGAGTCGTGCTTCAGTTGGTTGAAAGGTCGTACCAAGGTAGGACGATGTCCATTCAGGGTAAAGCGAGGACTTGAGAGTTTGGCCGAATTTCATTATAGCTGACAGGTAGGTTAGGTTATAGCTTGGCCAGATCTTGAAGATTTATAGCTATAAATATGAATATGTTTTACTGATATTATCCTTATTTGATAAGTATAAAGAACAAGAGCAAGAACAAGAGCAATAACCAAGAGTAGAAATGAATTATAAATATAAATAAAAAATAAAAAATAAAAATCGTCATTCGTTATGCAGTGCTGGTGGTTTAAAGACCGATGTAATCTCTTTGGTGTATATAAATATTTGTACGTAAAATACAACAAAAAAACAGACATTTTCAAAACTTTGGCTTATTTTGTTCAATTAAACACTACCAGTATAGCAGGAATACCAGCCGTATACTTTGAAGAGAATAAATAATACAGAGCAAAATAAATAATAGACATAAAATTAATGCCTTATTCTCGTAATTATTTTGCTCTTTATGATCGTAGATTTTGATCTTGATATTGATTTTAGCACTCGCTTTATAATACAGAATGGCGAAGTAAAACATAAGGCACATTTAGAAAGTAGAGCTTTCGACCTTCTCGTTTTCTTTGGGCTTGTTTTTTTTATAGAAGTTTACGGAGTTAGGAAGCCCAAAGAAAAAGATAGAGATAAAGAGAGGTTGGGGGGTAGAAGGAAGGAGGATTGTTGAATAAGACGGTCACAAGGTGGCTGAATCCATTTGTCTTTCACAGCACCCCCCCTCCACTTCCATTTGCTTTGACAAGTCAACACCACCAATCCTCTGTCCTTGTTTTTAATTCTTTCTTTTCTTTAAAAAAAAAGTTAAATTCTATAAAATGCCTCGTTCAGCTTGGAAAGGTCCCTTCTTCACCTCATTCCCTGGTCTCAGACAGGCAATCCAGAATGGAACACCCATTGCCACTCAGGGTTAGTATCAATTTATATTTTAAGAAAATTACATTAATATTAAACACACAAATAAGAAGAAGAATAAAAAAATGCTTAATGTTCATGTCTCTTTATCTATATAAATATTTGTATATTTCACCAAAAATACATACACTCACACACACACACGTACATACACACATGTATACAATTGTCAACATTCTGAAACAAATTTACCACCAAATCTTCCACCTATTTCATCCTCATGAACGGTCTTATTGTTTCTTTCTTTCTAAACACAAATCAACCGACCGCTCGACAACATCAACAGCTCGTAGCTGCACCATCCTTCCATCGTTTGTCGGCTTGAAATTCCTCGTTCACAATGGAAAAGACTACCTTCCTGTTCATGTCACTGAGGAAATGATTGGTCACAAGCTTGGCGAGTTCTCGTTCACTCGCAAGCGTTTCTCTTATAGATTTACAAAGGCAAAGTAAAAAAAAAGCAAAAGAAAATGATAATCGACTGGATTGGAATGGAATGGAATGGACTGGAATTCATTCATTCATTTATTTTTTTTAATTGTGTGAGAGTGCGAGTGCGAATGAATGTTTGAGTAAGAGTAAATTTTATTAGTATGCTATATATGTATATATCATATATTCAATAGAGATAAAAATATACCTCTTATATGTCTATATATCTATCTATACATATACAAAAAATAATAAATACATAAATAATAATAATAATAATAATAATAATGGCACATCTAGTATATGTGGGGTAACAAAAGTGAACGAGATCGAGGGAAAGCATCATTATATCTTTTGCCAAACGTCTTTCGGTACCACTGGTCAGTCTCTCCAGCAGTAACACCAAGGTTGACAATTGTCCACACCAATCCAAATGTCAAAGTCCAATTACGTCCTTGATAGAGAATCCACAGCGAAACATACACGAGAATGTCAGCAAAATAGTGAGGGACAACCAGATTCTCAAACCAATCTCCACGAGGGATCACGTAAGCGTTTCTGGTCTTTGGAGTACGAAGAGAAGCAAGAATCTTGTGGCAAGTGTGTTGGTGATAGGACGCATAGATAAACAATCCAATTGAAGGAATGGTTGTCCAAGGAAGTGTAAAAGGTTCAACTACTTCATTATGTTCACGACCATGATAATCATTATGATTATCCACACCACAAGAGTGATGAATAAACTGAGATTGGTCATATAAAAATCCCTCTCTCTCTATTTTTTCTCTTTGTACCTTTTATTGGCTGCCAGATACCAAAATTAGCTGCTCCTTCTAGCCAGGCACCAATAACCATAGCTCCATAGAATCCCATCCCAGCCAAATAATGGCTAAAATGCATGCGTGCATTGGCAGATGGGCGTTCAATCATCATCGATTCATATAGGCGTCTGGCCAGATGAATTGTCATCAACCCTAGACCAACCAAACATTCTCCAAGGCCAAGATGTCGACTGCCCTGAGGTGTGTCCCACAAGCGCAAGACAGTCAGTACTGGGCCAAATACCTTCCATTGTAAAGCTAGGGTGATTTCGATGATGCATTCTATTGCGGCCATCAGTCCTACTGCATAAAAGTGACAAAACCATGTTTTTGGTACAGTTATATTCTTGATCCAGCGCGCCATCGCAGTCAATGGTTGATCGGCTGTGTAATCCAGCTTTCCATACGCCAATACAGATGAACGCAACAGTGCTATGTGCTTTGACACAAAACTTAGTATTGTAAGTATAGCAAGACAGCCACAAAGGACTATAATTAAGTACATTCTAGAGATCTATTTATTTATTTTCTTTCTTTCTTTCTCTTTATTCTAGATAGATTCCAAATTACTGCAAAGAGTAAATATGTGTTGTATGTGTGTGTGTAAACCAAGAAAGTAAAGATGTGATATATCAAAGCAAGTCACAATCACTAAAGTTTATATAAGTGTTGCTTAATTTCTGACTCGCTGCTAACAAGCATCACTAATCCAACTTTTGAAAAATATATAAATTAAAGCAAGATAAATGGAGAAAGGTTTTAAAAGTCTTTTATACAGGATATTGCTGCTTAACTTAATACCTTTGTCTATCAGTTAAATAAATAAATAATTAAATAATTAAGTTAAGAGTCTAGATAATGATATAATAGATAATTAAATCAATATATATATATATATATTTATCGCGCAATATATTACTCCAAAGGCAAAACCAAACAAGCAAACATAAAACATTATATTTGTTCTTAATTGGACACACAGTTGGTCAAGGCAGATAAAAAAAATGAGCTCAGCCAAAACAGATTGATTAATTTTTTGCCGTCTATCTTTACCGATTGTTCAAGGTACATTTTGCAACAGCTAAAGGACGCAATTAAAAAGTGTAATTTTTAGTTTGTATTTATTTATTCTTTTTTTTTTTTTTTTAAAAAAAAAGTAAACGAATTATTGACTATTGTAATAGGTATATTCTACTGTCTAATTGTCAATTGGGATAACCAATGCATAAAAATAGCCAATCGTCGTCGTCTGAACTTTTTCTAATGCTCGTCTTGCAAGATTAAATATTTTGATCTTTATTCTAAAACTCTAATCCCATTATATTGCTTAAGCTTTTTGATAGTTATTATTTGATCGGTTTGGTTTGTCTAGACCAACTAATTCTCTTTAACAGCGTGTATGTGTGTTTGGGTTTGAATGTACAATATGTATATGTATATGTATAATGTATAATGTATATATTTAATTTAATAGTATACATGGAGTACACCAAATGATATATTGATCATAATACCTGCCACAATACCTAATAACCAGATCCAGATGAGACTAACAAAAAAAAACTAAATAAGCAGAAATCTTGTGCTTACCCATTTGATGCCTTCGAGAAAAGACATTCTCACGGAACCAAAAGAGACAAATGACTCCCAGAAAGAAGCCTAGCATGAGTCCCCAGACCATCTCTTTGTATGTACCCTGAAGAGCTTGAATTTTGAATGTACGCATATAAGTTAATATAAATAACCAAAGACATCACACAAGCACGCACAAAAGAAGAAGAGAAAGAGAGTTCTTTTTAAAAAAAAATACTTACTTCCGTCTGGTAATGTGTCTGTAGTATTGTCCATCCATTGCTCTTCAAGATGTCGAGCCTCCTCATTATCTAATATTAAATATTAGTATATATATGTATATTATGAAATTATGAAAGACCTTGACTCACCTCCTTCAATAGGTGTACCGTGTAATCGATGGAACTGAGACCGTATGTTTTGAATATCATCTTCTGTGAATCCACTCTCTCGTAATCGATCAAAGCCAGTAACAGGTATATTAGGTGTAGGTTGCTGTAATTCATAATAATAATAATAATTAAAAACGCATTGAGTTGAATGTAATGTATATTTATGCATGTGTATTATATATATTTTACAGTTCTTACGTTTTTTGTACTTGTTTGCTCAGGAACATAGTCTGATAATGAGCAATGAATGTAGACAGGTAAAGGTGTCATCTTTGATTTCGATCCATCACTGGTCATCTTCCCGAGTCCATAGTCACTTGGAGTATTGTTGTCTTCAAGTATACGGCCACTGTGAATAAGACGAATGTATTTTCCTTTGGCATGTGGTGACATTTGACAAATCTATAAATGAAGACATTCTTAATGACAAGATTCAAGACAAACTGACGACATAAAAAAAAATGCAAGATAGACAGTGCATATATGTATGTAGTATTGTAATACAAGAGGAATCTCGAGACTTTTGTTATTTATCTAAAGAGCATTGCTTTCTACACACCCTCGCTCTCTCCCTCACACACACATATATATATATATTATATACTTTTTGTTTGACTGTGGAAATGGTATCGTGGGGGGAAACAGATAAGACGAGATCTTGTCGATCTGACCATCGAATGTGTAGGTCGATGGTGTCGTAATATTCGGTTGGTTCACTCATTATATTCCAAAAGAGATAGAAAAAGATGGGGTATTAAAGGAATATTAAAGAAGTATATTAGGTGAATACAAAGAAGAAGAAGAAAAAGAAGCAGAAGAAAAGTGTAGTAGAAAAGAAAGAAAATGTGTGTGTGTAAAACAGGGAGAATGAAAAAAAAGAAAGTGTTCTGACGTACAGGGAAAGTGACACAAACCACACTATAAATCTATATAACTTGTATCACAAATAACATTACATTTGTGTGTGTATTTGGGTGTGGGTGTCAAGTTTTTCTTTTTCTTTTTTTTTCTTTTTTGTTTTTCTTTCTTTTCTTTGTACATTTTGAAACAGAACATTTCACATGATGGCCAATCGCTTGGAAACACTAATTGGTAATATATATATATATATATATATATATATGTATATATGTATATGTATATGTATATGTATATATAAACAACCTCAATAAAAAGAAGAAGCCCTTTTCTTAATGTTGGATTCCAATCGATTCGTGCATTGAGTGTAGAAATTGCCTGCAATCCGAAACGTACCAAGGCAGACCAATCGACCAATATTGCAATCTGTCAACTTATCAATGAAAAGGAAGGAATCTAGTAAGTGTAGATTCATCCTGTCCTTTTCTCAAAATATTCAATAATAATGTCAACATACAAATATACATTTAGTCCACGTAAAGCTGCTATGCTACTGGCAGGTTTTGCAGCAAGCTCTCAGCCCAATAGAGCTTTGCTTGCTCTAGACGTATGTTGTTTTTACTTTTTAAATGCTCCATTTAGATTTAGATTATGATGGTGATTCTATATATTGTTTCTTAAAACAAAAGATTCCTTGATTTTAACCAACTCACAACCACAAAGTTACTGGATACTTGTGCAAAGCAATGTGGATACCCCTTTCACCTACAGATAGCCACCAAGGAATTTCTTAACAAAATCGTGTCCAAATTTCCAGAACGCCCACCTCCTGGCTACTCACCTTCTTCCCATCAGGAAAACAATCAATGGAACCACTTTGATAATTTTGTCCAGTCAGTCACATTTTCAGTTCCTATCATGGATCGTACGCTTTATTTGATTAAGGAGTGGAAGGTTGGATTGGCAGATATGTCTCGTTTCAAACAAGACTTTAGTATGATAAAGGAAATGTACCGGCTGTTGCGGTACAAAGGCTACAGATTCCCTGAGATCAGAGAAGAGTCAATTAGAGCACTTGTACCCCCAGAAGTAAGGAAAAAAATCTGGTGTACTTTATCAAAGTTTCTTAATCAAAACAAAACAAAAAAATAGGAATTACGAACAGCGGACGAACTTGAAGAAGAAGATAGACTAGCTCGATCAGCAGTAAGTATTACATACGATATTTTTTCTTATGAACAATCAAACAACATTATTGACATTCTTAATTAATATTGTTATCAGAAATTACAAGAGCTCATTCGACGAGGAACACCACAAGATCTTGTAGAAGCACACAATCTTATCCAAATCATGACAGGATATGCAAGTACAATTCTTAAAACACACAGATCCAGTGAATAATTAACACGTCAATATTTAGGACAAGCGGCATCAAACAGACTACAAGCAAAAATTTGCAGATGAGATCAATGCAATCCAGGAACAAGCCATGTCTTTGTTTGAGATCCTAAATGCAGTTCAACCAAACCAAGGATTTCAATTGAGTACACCTGCCAAAGTAATAATGATGAAAACAATAAAAATTAAAATTAAAACACACATTATATATATATATATATATATAAACAAGAGATATTAATCTAGTATCTATCAATTGATACAGAATCTTGTCCAAGCATGTACACTAGCTCAAGCTAGAGTAAGCAAGTTTATTCAAAATGGAGACAGAGAAGATTCCGGTGAGAGATTGTATAAATACTTCTTTTTTTTTTTTAAAAAAAAAAAAAGAAAATTAACAAAAACTTGTAGATGACCTATTGGCATTGAACGACTTGCTAAATAATGTATTGGCTAAATACACCGACCTCAAGCAAGGACTGTACAACACTCACTATGGTATCCATGGTCGAATTAAAGAGTCTGATATACCCACAGAACAACAACCACCTATCAGTCTTATTGATCTAGACGACGACGACGAATGCACTACAGAAGCACCACCCGAATATACTTTCTCACATGTGAATGATCTAGCAGATATCTTTGAAAAGACAAATATCGTTAGTCCGTCTTCCAACTCTCCCAAATCATTTGGATCGCCCGTTGTTTCCGACCTTACACAATCAACACCAGGCACAGAACCGAAACCTACTGGAACTTCTGGTGAACAGAGTAAATATATATATAAGAGAATATACTGAACAAATTAAACTAATATATTATAAATTTCTAGTTGTATTGGTGAACAAAAATGGACTTTGTATCGTATTAGAGATCACACAAGTAGGATCCTTGTTGTCTATCAACGCTCTCTACTCCAACCGATCAAACGCGCCAATGACCCGAATGACTCTCTCACTCGCGACTCCTAAAGTAAAATATGAAATTCGATTAGATTAATAGGATTCCTAGCTTCTTTCTATTATTATTCTGTGGACTAATTGTGATATATATATATATGAAAATGAAATAGTCTGTAGAATTGAACATGGGATTTCAATCATCTCAAACAGTTCCACCGAAATCAGAAAACCAAGTTTATCAGACAATCCAAGTCAAGAACACTACAAAGGTATTTACATAATAGTAATCATTAATTCATTCATTTTAGTGGTAGGGATAGTAGCTGTGACTGTAGCTATATCGACCTTGATAATATTGATAGCGATAATGACAGTAGTATTATCACTGTTGTTATCATTATCGTTATCATTATCACCTTTAAGATTTTTAATATTTAAAAATACAATCAAAGAAATATATTATCGTTAGCTTGCTAGTACTAGTATTCGATTCTTTATATTGATTTATTGATTTATTTTTTAAAAAAATAATGTATATAAATGTATGTGTTACTCTTGATGATTCCAGGATTCACTGAGATTACGATACAAGGCTACATATGAACAATCTGGTGTGGAGATGGAACTATCAGGAGAATACAGTGCTTACAATAAATAAAATAATAAATATGTTTTTCTTAAAAGAAAAAATAGATATAAAATAATAAAATTAATTAATTAATTAATAAAATAACCAAAAAAAAATTAAATTTTTGAACCTCTTTTCTCCTTCACACCACAAATGTACTTCTTTGTGTTCATCTTCTTCCTCTCCTTTTCTTTTTCTCTTTAATATATCTTTCTTTTGATAGAAAGCTACATCTACACCCATACACACACACACACACACACACACACACACACACACACACACACACAAACAGAATACGTGCTTAAGCATGTATTTGTGCGTGGCTGTGGTTGTGGCTGTGTACTTTTTTTCTTTTTTTTTGTGCCTCATGCATTGTCATAATTTTGTTTATAGAAGAAAAATAGGTGTATGGAAAGAAAGCAGACAAGACTTTTGTGAGAGCAAAAGAAAGAAAAGATATAGTAAAAAAAAAGGGGAAAGGGGGAGGGGGGGATAAAGAGAAAGAAAGAAGAAATAGAGATAAAGAGTAGAGGAAGAAGACGAGTGTAAATGGTGTACGAACAAGGATGTTTGTGCTTCCTTTGATTTCTTTTTTTTAAAAAAAAAATTATATATATATTCCACTATCAAATGGACATTATGGAGTTATGTTCATGGCTATTGAAAAATGAAAAATGAAAAATAATTAGTGAGCAAACCATGATACGAGTTCTTTTGATCTTTTAACATTTATATATATATATATTTAAAAGCAAGTTTATTTTACATTGGTAGGAGGTATGTTCCTCGAAGAAGAGGACTGCATTGCACTTGGTTTGTGGAGTCCACCAACCACAGGAGGCTGCTTTGCGCCAGAGGTCGAACGGCGGAAAGAAGAAATGTTGCTAGAATCAACAGCTGTATTTGTGGGAGCGTTGGCCATGCGTGATGAAGATTGAACGGTTGCAGCTGGCAGCCGTGTGGTAGGAGTCTTCATTGCTTCTGGAGATTCGATTGGTTGCTGCTGCTGCTGTTGTTGTTGTTGTTGTTGCTGCTGTTGTGTTTGTTGCTCTCCATTCTAATTTATTTTTGGTGCATATACATATAGTAGAGCATGTGTGATTAATACTAAGCCCATAATTACCCCCTTCCAGAAAAACACAATATACACATGCATACACAGATAATCCTTATCTATAAAGAAATGTTGCTTACAATCCTGACAACGGTCCAATCGAATACATAGTCGTAGAGGAACCCTTCTCGGACAAATAGATCCCGGAATAGTTTGCGCAGATAACTGTAGTCTGGCTTGTCATCAAATCTAAGAGAGCGTGTGTAGTTGAGGTAGATGGCAAATTCACTTGGGAATCCACGACAAAGCAGCTCGGTGGGTGTGGTCATCTTCTTTTCCATGATTCGATCGTACTTTTGCTTTTTGGTGGCTGCCTTTTGTCCCTGCCAGGGCAAAGAACCACGGCAGAAGTACATGAGCACATAGCCCAGGGATTCCAAATCGTCTCGTCTAGATTGTTCTAGTGTATTGTATTCGTTTTAATTTTAATTTCTGTTATTATTATTATTTTCGTCTTGCAACACATAGAACAAGATTTTCTCGATCGGTTGTACTTTATACATTGGTATCAAGATGCATTTCTTACCTACGCCCAAATGTGTGTTGATACTGGCATAACGAGCAGTACCAGTCAAGTTCTTGTTTTCTCTGTATGGAATATGGAGGTGTGTGCGTGGGTCACGGTACTTTTTGGCCAATCCAAAGTCGATAACGTTAACCTGGTTTCCACGTTTGCCAATACCCATGAGAAAATTGTCTGGCTTGATATCGCGATGGATAAAGTTCTTGGAGTGAATGTATTCGATACGCGAAAGCTGTACATAGTAAGATTATGATAATCAATTGGTTATTGATCAATTAGTTAGTGGCATAAAAGAAAAAGACTATTATATCTATATAAATATAAATATACACAATATTTATAAGGAGGACGGGGAGTTTGATAATAATTATTGTACAGCTATATATATAGTTGTGTGTGGTACACGAGCCAATGAATAACCATGAGTAACCAACGCCTGGTACCCCCCCCCCCCCCCCCTCCCCGTCTTGCTCATTGTTATTGATTTATTCCTCTCTTTTACATATATGCGTGTGTGTATATATAATATTAAAATAAGTGCACGTACCATCTGATCGGCTAACAGCAGCACAGTCTTTAGAGTGAACTTTCGGTTACAAAAGTTGAAAAGATCTTCCAGAGAAGCTATCAAAAACAAAACAAAAAACAATAACAGGATCCATATTATTAATACCAATGGGTTATTATAATATGTATGTATTGTGCATGTATTTTAATAATAAAAAGAAGTTGTTACATACGTCCCAAGAGATCCATGACCATAGCATTGTAATCGCATTCTGTACCATACCACCGAACAAATGGAATTCCAACACCACCTGATAGTGCTTTGTAAACTTTGGTTTCGTATTCAAGCTGTGGGTGTTTTGCCTTTACTGATTCCAGCTTGATGGCAACTTCCTCGCTTGTGATAATATTTGTGCCTAATGAGAATAACAATAATAACATAAGACCACCAAAATAAAGCAGCATCTACTTCTTTTTTATCCAATTCTTAACTCACCGAGATAAATGTCGCCAAAGGATCCAGACCCAATCTTGCGTCCAATGCGATACTTATTTCCAACTCTTAAATCCATAGACATGATGAGGAATGGGAGTTATAACTGCTTAATGGAAGTAAAGAAGAACACTAAGAATAAATAAAAAATAAAAAATAAAGAAGGTAAGAAGAAGAATAGATATATTGTGTGTTTATGTATTTTGATAAAGCAAGAGAGAGAGAGAGAGAGAGAAAAACAACAAAATATTACAATATGATTCGTGGGTTTGTTTTATATATATATATATAAAATTATTTGTGCGTGAGATCTCACAAGAGTTGGTTGCTCAAAAAAAAAAGAGAAATAGTAGAAGAAGAAGAGAGGGAGAAATAAGAAAACAAAAGAAAACGAAAGAAAAGAGAGCGAAGGAGGGAAAATCAAGTTTCCTATTTTTTTTTTTTCGTAATTTTCACCCCCAAAATAATAATAATTCACAAGTCCTTGTGAAAGTTTTTTTTTCTTTTCTTTTCTTTTCTTTTGAGAATTATTGAAACAGAAATATTACCAGCACTATTATAACAATACAGTAAAATAAAATAAGGTGGTAGTGAAAAATGAAAGGAAATCAGAAGCTTAGTGAAGCTCAGTAAGGTCCAATGAAATGAAGAGTAAGTAAAGCTGAATAGAGAATAGAAGAGAAGAAGCTTGGAATATTGTATTGTATTGTATTGTATTGTATTGTTTGGCCACGACACTTTGTAACATTCAAGCAAGAGTTTATTGTTGTAATATAATTATCAGTAAATACCAATAACTCTCAAATAATTACAACCATAAGATATTTTCTTTTTACATATTTGCATAAATATTCTCTTGTTTCAAAATATGTATATATTGAAATCATTAATCATAGTACGCGTTTTCTTTAAATAAATACATATATATAAAATTATTATGGGATTTTCATTGTTTCTATATTTATACATATTTTTTTTTCTCATGAGGAGTTTTAATATTTTATTTAATATTTTAATACTCACTTTCTCTCTCTCTCTCTTTTTTTTTTTTTTTACTTTTACTTTTATTTATTTATATATGTGTATATATTATTATTATTATTCTTAAAATTACCTTTTTTAGCTAACAAAACACATATACACAAAAGGCTTTGACTTTGACTTTGTACAAGGTCCTTTTCTTGCATATAGATATATAGATATAGATATATGATATCAAAGTATCAATATTTAATATGCTATACCCGCCTGTGTAGATTATTAATAGCAAATATCAGTCTACATATACCAATCACACTTTTGAATACACAAGGTTTCGATGAAGAGTCTCATGGCTAATAATACAGTCAACAATGGCCTGTAATTTCCATTACAAGTAGCAACAGCAAGAAGGATAAGAAGAAGAAGAAGAAGAAGAGTAAGACATGCTACGTAGGATATTCTTCTTTTTTATTCTTTTATTTTCTTTACATAATCTAAATACGAATTTCCAAAAATTGTGATTATTCATAAGTTCTAACTCCCAATTAAGAATCTATAATCCAAATTCCAAAGTTCATAGTTTACAAGTCGTAAATTGTAAATTGTAAATCGTAAATCGTAAATCGTAAATCGCTTTCTCTCTATCTCTCTCTTAATATGATTCTTGCTCTGCTTGTTTTCTGGTGATATTAAGGACAATTTACAATTGACACTTAATTTTCAAACAAAAAGGCTATAATGCACTGCTTCTTCAGGCATTGAAGCAAGAAAACTTCATTTTGGAGCTATAAAGGGAAAAAAAATCAATACGAAAAAGAGGTTATAATATAAAATGCAATAACTTGACTAAAGTAAACCCATTCGGAATTGGTGTGTGTATATACAGCAGCTCAATACGTGATATATTATATTCTACCTTATCTTTATTGTATCCAGTCAAATATTCTTAGCTTTTATCAACTGATTGGACAAGAAATACAAAAGTGATAGAGGCTGTTATTTATTTTACGTCATCGATATACTTTATATATAGGGACAGTCTTATATATATAAATATATATGGTGCGATCGGAGATAACTATCTAAGTTTTTGGGTATTTTTTAAAAGTTTATAACTTTTGCAAAACTTAAGTTAATATAATTCTGAACTCTTAATTCGATAGATATGATTATTATCTATAGAATTAAGAGTTTACAATTGCTCTAACTACTCTGAATAAAAAGTCTTAGACTTTCAAAGTTGGGATGTATTGGCCTATTTACAACGGAGTTTACCCGGTTTTTACGGTATTGAAACAAGTTAAATGGCTGTCACTGACGGACATTAAATATAATTTCTTAAAAAGGCAAATCACGTGCGTGTGACTTTGACTTTTATTGCGTACCTTTTATTATTTTGGTCTTCCTCAAGTGTTACTACTCAAGCTTAACACACTTATATTTAAAACACTCTAAAATGCCTCGTCCAAAAAAGAGATCAACAATGGCAAAGAAAATAAACAGATCGGCTAGTAGTGGAGCTTTTATTAAAAAAATACAATTGGCAAATGAAGATTATATGGACTTGGAGTTTGACCATGAAGACGATATTGTTTTGGACGACAGAGAGCTCCAGGGAATGTCAGAAGAAGTTACTTCAGCTGCATATACAAACCAGCTGCTGAAATGGCATGAAGGTGCTGATAAGTCGCTTCGTGGAACTTATCAGAAAAATTCGCGAACAACTGAATGGAGAAAAAGAAAAGCAGATAATGATGCTTCAAATACGCAAGGAAGCTACCGTCTTACAGATAAAGGCTTCTTTATTAAAGTTCAAAAAAGAGGCTCCAATTGAATTAAAAGAATCTATTGATAGTGAATTGGAGAACATACAGATTGACAAAATTGCTGTGCTTAAACTTGCACATGAAGATGTTAAGAAAGAGATTTTCCCTTATACTCGCGCAGGTCCTTCTTCTCGGTCAGTTGATGCTTTTGAACTCTGTAAGCTTAAATCAGTTGAATGCTACCTTCGATACAGAATATCAGGCGCCAAAACTATGGAAGCTTCAGAGAAAGCATCGATGGAAATATGGCTTCACAAAAACACTTATCGTCCAGCTGCTATAAGAAAGTATGCCAAAGAGTATGTTGATTTCCGTTCAATTGCCTTACACCAACAAGGAAAGCATTTGAGAAGACATTCTTTATTTTCGGATGAAGATATACAGTCTACTATCTGTAAATGGATTCAAAACCAGAGACCAGAAAGTCGAAGTCTTATCGAAGTGAAGAAGTACATTGATGGAGAGATTTTGCCAAGAAAGCTTGGTATACCTGGAAATACTTCCACAAGTACAATCTGGAAGTACCTTCATGAATGGGGTTATGTGTTTAGAAAGAACTCTAAAGACATTTATTACGACGGTCATGAAAGAGAGGATGTGATTGCATACCGTCAGAAATGGGCAAAAATAATGATGGTGTACAAGAAGAAAATGGCAACTTTTTCTGAAAATGAAGAAACTGTAGTTTTGCCAGTACTTAGATCCGATGAAATAGAGCATGTTCTTGTTACTCCCGATGAATCGACATTCTACGCAAACGATGGGAAAGATACCATGTGGCTAATGGAAGATGAAAATCCTATCCGTAAGAAAGGTCCAGGAATGTCTTTCATGATCAGTGAGTTCAAGTGCGTATGCCACGGAACAATGGCTAGAGGGGCATGGTCGTCACGAGAGGTATTCCGCCCTGGGGCCGACAGAGATGGGTACTGGACGAGTGCGGATATGTTGAAGCAATTGAAAAAAAATGTTATTCCTCTTTTTGAATTGATTCACCCAGGGTGCAAGGCCGTCTTTTCATTTGACCAAAGCACAAATCACAAAGCGTATGGGCAAAATGCTTTGATCTCAAGCAAAATGAATCTAAATGACAAAGAGATTGAAGACGACGATCCTTGTTCTTTGCGGGATACAGTATTTGTCCGGAATGGTGTAGAGGAAGTACAATCAATGTACTACGAGAAGGACGAATGGTTTGCAAAGAAAAGTGGACAATGGGTCCAAAATAAGGTTAAATATGTTAAAGGCGTCCGTCATATTCTGGAGGAGCGTGGTTTGTGGCTTGAGAAGGATCCGTATAATCCTATTAAGAAATGGCGACTAGACTGTAAGAGTAAAGACGCCTCTGAAGATAGCAAGTGCTGTGCACATCATTTTCTGGCTTCACAACCAGATTTTATGTCACAGAAAACTGCTCTTCATGAGACTGTCGAAGACTCTGGTCATATATTTGAACTTTACCCTAAGTTCCATTGCGAATGCAATTGGATTGAGAGGTATTGGGGTGCCGCAAAGCGTGAAGCTCGCCTCCAGTGTGACTATACGTATAAGTCCCTGGATAAGAATATCCATACTTTCCTGGATCACGCTGGTAAGCTTCCAAATATCCGCCGGTATTACAACCGCTCGTGGCGCTACATTGAGGCATACAGCCAAGAGATGAACGTGAAAGAAGCCAATGATGTTGTAAAAAAATTTACAAAAAAAAAATATACTTCTCATCGCCGTGATGAAGGAAGAGAATAGAATTTTTATCTGTACTTTCTTTATTTTTTATTATTTTTGCTTATAAATTATCTTTATCTCTAATTATTATTTTATTAAATATATCAATTCTACTTTTGTGCTTATTCTTTACGTTTTGAGTGCTAAATATCATTGAATTTTGATTTTTTTTAAAGGTTGTCGGACATTAAATCATAATTGGCTGGCGGAGTTTTCCAGGAGAAAATTGAAACAAATCCAAAAACATTGATACTTATCTCCGATTGCACCATATATAGTAAATATTATCTCCTGATAACGAGTTGATATACCAGCACCTTATATATTCTCTTACTACTAAGCAGACTAATAAAAACCAATAGAATAAAGAGTCTTGAGGTATCGGCAGATATGCAATTGTTTTTCTTTTCTTTTTGAAATACTGTCACTTAGTCTTGAATGTACATTTTCACAGGTGCTTATTCTGCACATTTATTCATTTCATCTGCTTAGAGTATTTTTTTATGGTAATAGTTAATTAATTAATTAGGTATACTGAAGAAAGTAGTCTAGATGTGATTAAACTAAAAATATATACATATACATATTTTAAAAGAAGATTAACATGAACATGATCAAATCTATCATTACCATTCTTTTTTTTTAAAAAAACAAGATGGTCAATTTTTACTGCGCAACAACTGGCCTGTATGTAGTTGAAACAATTACGGAAGCCATGGTAATTAAACTCGTGCCAAGTCAAATATCAAATTAGTAAAGGATCTCAGAACTTGTCAAGACCTGCATTCAAATGACGATTTTATTGAAATGAATTATGATTATACATATATTTATGAATGTATAAAACTATAACCATATTAAATATGTCAGTAGCTAATTACTACTATTATATATAAGATAGCTTATTAATATATAATTTCAAAAAGTAATAATACAATAATTCGTTTTGCTCTATTTGGTCGTACGATATGCACGCCTATAGTAGCACATTACACCATTAAACTGAAGCACCGAAACACTGATGACATTTAGAATATTTACGGGTCATACAAATTTAATGTAGAAATCATACGTTCTTGCTAATAAAGAAAAATAATAGTCCTGGCGATTGTTTGAAAAGAATATATTGATTGATTAACAGATTTTTGTACAAGAAGAAGTAAAAGTAAGAATATATGTAGTAGTAATAGTAGTGGTATAAGAGGAAGACGAAGAATAAAGGCTTCAATAAAGAAATTAACAAATTAACAAACAAATAAATAAATAATAGGCAAATAAATCATTCAATTCAGTTCAAGTTTCTGTTGCTTTTGTTTTCTATTGTTTTTTCTTTCTTGTTTTCTGTTTTTTTAATGTGTTTCAATTATTTGTTTTTTGTTTTTTGTTCCCTTGACCTAGAACTCGAGCTTGGCTTGCGAATCCAAGGGTGTTTCATTGCCTCTGTTGGAGATAACCGATGTACAGGATCCCATTGAAGACAACTGTCTATAAAGTCAACAAAATCCTCGTCTGTAGATTTCAAAGCTACTGCTAATTTCCTGGATCCTGGTTTGCGCTTGAGACCTTTGGAGTTTGGGAAGATACGAGGATTACCATAAGAATCTACAAAAAGAGAGAGAAAAAAAAATATTCAAGTTATTATTAAACATATGCTCTTCATTATCATTATGCACATAATAGCAGTAATTATTTCAAATAATCAATTTTTTTTACCGAACAAGGTTTTGCGGCGCGTGCTTGCTTCCACGAGACGTTTATCAGGTACTCCTTGAATTTCCATAATACAAGCCAGCTGGTCTTGCTCGTTCTCACCCGGAAAAAGTGGCTTTCCTGTAAATAACTCTGCTAGAATACATCCTATACTCCACATATCAATTGCACTACTGTAAGGTAGACCCAGCATTACTTCCGGTGAGCGATAAAACCGACTCTGGATATATGTAAACACTATACAACGAATAAAATAAATAAATAAATGAATAAATAGAGTATTATTGTTACTATTATAAATTACCTTTTTCACTCTCCAGACATGAACTACCAAAATCAATGACCTTTATAGTACTTTTTGTGGGGCACTTTAAGATAATATTCTTTATTGTTGTTGTAATGGTGGTTAAAATAGGAGCATTAGTTAGACTTTATTAAATAATCTATGGATTATAATAGCAATAGCAATAATGTTATAATTATTTCAACTATTCTTCTTCTTCTTCTTTTAATTTACCTCTGGCTTCAGATCACAATGTATAAGCTTGTGTTTTTTCAAAAGAGCTAGACAATTAAGGATCTGTATTCCAAACCTAATTGCAAGAGAAGGCTGTGTTAGTTTGTTTTATATTTGTTATTTTAGTATGAACTCTGAAGTAGCTTATGTGCTTCTGTTGGCTTGAGATATTTTACCTTCGAATCAACCCAATACTAAACCCTTGGAATTGACTACTCTTAAGAAAGTCGTAGAGATTAAAGCTTAAGCACTCAAAGGCAATACACAAATGATTTCGGAAATAAAAGTGATTCAACATTCGAACCATATTATGTTCATCTTCAGGGTCCTATCAACATCATGATGAGTTGATTACGCTTATGATTATTAAGATTAAAATTAAGATTATGATGATGATGATGATTATTATTATTATTGCTGCTGGTGCTGTTGGTAGTGGTGTTGTTTTTATTGATTTGTTTTTATTGATTTTTATGTGTAGAGATAGATAGATATATTATTTAATAGACTGATATACACAACAAAGAAACAAGAGAGACGAAAGAGAAAGACAGAATAAAAGAAAGAGGACTTACCCATCTGACTAGTTCTTCAAGCGTCTTGATCTCTACCAATGCTTGGGTGTGATATTGTGGCATATTGCGAATGATCTTGATAGCCACAGTTTGGCCGGTTTTGTGATCAAAGCATTTTACAACCTGTCCAAACGAACCTCGTCCCAGACCACCGATTGCTTCGTAACGATAGCCCAGATGGTCTTTTTCGACAATGTGGTATTCACCACGACCATCATCATAACCAAAATTGGAGTATGCTTGGCCAGGGGAGGCACGTCGTTTTTCAGCATGTGCACCAACAAAATACACCTGTGAGTATTCGAGGATCTCTTTGTGTTCAAAGGGTGACAAACTGTTTCGATAGAGTTTCAAAGCAGCTATATATAAATATAGACAAACAATAACAAAATGTTAATACATGTTTCAAAATTAATATAAATAAATAAATAAATACACAAATAAATACATAAATAAATAAAATAATATTATATCATAATCTACACTGTGTGGTTTTTATATACACACATCATGTACACTATGTAGACTATGCACATAATGTATATAATGTACATATAATTGTTTCTTGTTTGTTACCTTGAGGAGACATGGCAGGCCTTACCCCCTTTTCTTTCTCTTTCAACCGCGCCGACTGTTCATTAGATTTCTGTCGATCGTGATCTGATTCGTGCCGTTGGTAAAGTCGAGTGACTTCTTCGCGTGCACTCGCTGACGTGCTTGTACTGCTATTGTCCACATCCACTAGTACACCAACATTCACACCAGAATCTTCACTAGCACCGTTATCTCCGTCTTTCAATTTGTTTCCATGCAAGCTAGTATTAGTATTAGTAGTTCCCCAGCCGTCTCCATCAACCATCCCTTGAAGTCTGTCGTGCCATGATATGGTCTGGGACCCCTTGACTACCGTGTCCGGCTGATGGAGTGGTATTAGCACACCCTGGGCCACGACAGGGTTTATGCTTAGCTGACAAGACTTTTCGCGTTCTTTCCTAAATTGATCCTGAAGGAGATCATTGGCACTTGCACAAGACGGCTTACGCACAAGGTTTGTAGAATGCGCGGTGTAGTGCGCCGTAGAAGCAGTCGCAGAAGGAGTCGGCAGCATTCCTGAAACAATAGGAAACGTGTCCAAGGATCCCTTGGAACTCGTGTGTCGACTACGAGGAATATTGCTACGGGGTGTCTTTTGAGTAGACGAGCGAGTGGGAACTTGGGCAGGCGGTTCTTCGGCAGGTTTGGAAGCTCGTTTGGGCGGTTTGGCAAAGCGTTCATTGTTTTCGTCCCATTGGTTAGCCATTGACACATATTGCTCGCTTGGAACAGCTGCTGCCTTTGGTGTGTTTGGTTTAGAAGAGGACTTGCTTTTTGGAAGAGGAATGCGGGTGAGAGGAGTTGTTTTTGAGGGGTCCTTTTTTATGTCCATGTTTTGCTGTACTGGATTATTGCTAATGCTATTGCTATTGCTATGATTTATATTGATGCTGGTATTTGTATTCGTATTATTACGAGTAGAGACACACCATTCGGATTGACTTGCTCTTGATGGTGATAGTGAGCTAGTTGGTGACTTTTATTTTTATATTTGTTCGGTTGTTGTTGTTGTTATTTTTTTTTTGTAAAGTAAAGAAAGCGAATACCCACATTATTATTGTTGTTATTATTATTGTTATTTTTTATAAACGCACGCACGCACGCACATACAAGAACGCAAGCACGCTTATATATATATATATGCGTATGTATGTATTTAGTAGTGGCGTACAAATATACTTACTTTGTGAGATGGATTGATACATGCGTGAGTAGAAGGAATCGTTTTGAGAAGTGCATCGATCATGCTGTCACTCTGCTGGGTGTCAGTCTGCTTCTTACTGGCAGCTGGTCTGATCATCGAACTCAGTTTAATGTTCACCTGTGCAGGCATCTCCATGTCATCCTTGTCACATCTACAGCCATCTTCTTCGCACACAAGTAACGGATCGAATTCCACTAGGTCTTTATTGGCCTTTCCACTTGATACGGTAACTTTTATATTCGTATTCGTATTTATGCTCATATTCGTATTCGTATTCGTATTCGTATTCGTATTCGTATTCGTATTCGTATTCGTATTCGTATTCGTATTCGTATTCGTACTCGTACTCGTACTTGTATTTACATTTGTAGTCGTGGGTGTAGCAATGGCTGCTATGGGTGGCAGTACGGCTGTGTCTTCACCAAATGGTTTTTTCCAGCCAAATTTCCCCAATGATATACCACCACTACTATTACTACTGCCACCCACCGCCGGATTAGATTTCGTGTTCTTGGTTATCGATTTATTGGACCTTGATTTTACACACAACAATGCAGGCCTGTCGTCTGATTCGGTTTCTTCAGACTCTTCAGACTCGAAATCTTGGACCTGATTCATGGTCTTGTTACCATGTATGTGTGCTGGTACTGATACTGGTTCTGGTGCTGGGGATGTAGAAGACGAAGAAGAATTCGAGTGGATGGGAACACCAGAGGTGATGCTTGTACGACGAGATGATGAATACACTTTTGGAGTTGGTAGTTTTGTCTGTAGCTTAGAAAGTGGCTTCTTTGGGCGATTGATGATTGCTGGTTTGTGTGTGTCGATGGCGGAGATGGGAGGAAGACGTCCGGAATTGTTGAAATCCAGGTTTGGTTTTTGTGTGTGGGTTGATTCAACCACCTGACTGTCGAGAGATACACGTGCTGTAACTGAGTTGTGAGAGGTGTGTTTTGATGACTGGAAAAGATGTGGGCTGGTGACATCAGTGGCAGAAGTAATAAAAGAGGCAGAAGAGGCACCAATGGTACCAGTGGAGCTTGGATGAGATTTTGTCGATGATGTAGTAAGTGGATCAAATTGTTGAACGGTCGATTGAAGAGTATGTTTGTCTCCCTGAGACTTATTTGTTCCGGAAAACATCGATCGAGTTGACAAGGGTTCTAGGGCGTGTATGAGGTCCATCGTCTCTTTTTCGGCTAATGTTCTCACACCATAATCGGTCTGGTCCAGCGATGCCAATGCCTCTGATATACTGTCGGCTTCCAAGGACCGAGTGGTTGAAGCTGTCGGTCGTCCGTAATCTGCTGTGAGTAGTGTCTTTTCATGGTGATGAAGCACATTGTACAATGTGTCCGTTCCATCTAGCAAATGTGTCTCTCGCACGGCACTTTTAGGTTCATAGGTCGAGTCTGAGCTTTGTGAAGCATATGTAGTTCCAGAAGATCCACTGCTAAGCCTCAGACTATTGTTCTGCACCTCGACTTGATTAAGATCAACTGGTGTTTGTGATTGGGGTTGTATCTGTAGCTGCGGTTGTAGTGTTGTTATCTTTGTCTTTGTTGATGATATTGTACTGCCTTGCGCTACAGTAGATGGGATTGTATTATTATTTTGAGTTGGCCAAAAGGTTTCTCCGGATGGCCAGGCAGAGGTATAAAGGTCGTCGTTTTCATTAGCAGGTAAAAGTGACTCACAAGGTTCGTCTTGGTCTCGGTCTCGGTCTCGGTCCTGGTTTTGACCATTGTTTTGGTCTTGGTCTTGATCTTGACCTTGCCTATGACTTTGAATTTGACTTTGACTTTGACCTCGACCTCGACCTTGAACTTGGCCTTGACTTTGACCTTGATAGCGTAGTTGATTTGGTCGAGAGTTGGTTTCAAATACATCGTCAACTACAGAATCGATATCCCAGTCTACCACTGCTTGTGGACTTGTATATCTAGGGGTGTTTGTGTTTGATTCTACATCTACCAACACATGATTTTGTGGTTGCATCCAAGCAGGATGGCTTTCTCTGGGCCATTCTATAGAGTCAAGTGCCCATGGGCGATTGTTGATGTAATCTGTTGTTGATTCCATCCATTCGATGGTAGTGTCTGGACAAGAGTCGGAAAATGGAGATGGATTGGACATTTTTTCTATGAGATTAGATCAACAAAAACACCATTTTCTGTTTCTCCCTCTCTTTTATGTACGTTTGATTATACAGATATCTTAATCAAGCTCTCTCTCTCTCTCCCTCTTTCTTTATTTTTTTCTTTCTTTTATTTTTTCTTTTTGCATAGTTTATTATGCAACATACTTCCTTTGATTCTTAAGGTCTCTAATATAATTATTATTACTATTATTATTTAATGTATTGTTACCTTGAAAAATAAATATACTTTTATTTTATCTTTGTTCTTCTTTGGTTGTTGTAGGTTAGGTCTAATAATGGTCTATGTCTAAAAGAGGAAGAGAAGGAGGAAGAAGAAGATGTAACAAGCCTTTTGAGAATTTGGGGCTGTTTTTTTTTTATAAAAAAAAAGTATAAATAAATGTGTATGTAAAGGGTATAAAGAAGAGTGAGCTGAAAAAATCTATACAAAAGATGGCTGTGGAAATGGTTCACATAATACATATATATATATTTATATTAAATCATTGTATTTTATTTTTATTTTATTTCAAAAATTAAAAAATTAATATATATATATATATATATAATAAAAATGCTTCTTTTTTTTTTGGATATTGCAGAAATGCGTTGTTATGGGCAACCAAATTACCAATTTGATATATAACCACATACAAACAAATAACACTCTATCTTTTTGTATAAATATAGTAGTCAATTAGTTACCAGTAGCAACATATTAAATAATTAATTGCTTGAACGTTAATTGACAGCCCAGACATCTTGTCTACTGGGGGCTAATGGTTATATATATATGTGTTTGCGTATGTGTCTGTGTATGTGTATGTCAGTATAAAAGAGGATCGTCCAAGGAGAGATCATCTAATTTAATATCCGATCCATATTTTTTTGCGTCACTCTTTTAACATCCCTTTTCTTCATGTTATCTCAAAGGAGACAATGAAGAGGATAGAAAGATTTGATTGGGAGTGAATGCCTTGGCGTCACTCTTTGTATATACATATATATATTATATACTATATATAAAAGATCAAATGCCTTGTTCGTGACATTTTTCTTGAAAAGGATATTTTAGACAGTTTTCCTATTTTCTTTTCATCTCTTCTCTTCTCTTTTTCATTTTTTTGAAATCAGACCAAACCAAGCCAAAGAAAAAGAGAAAGAAGTATGGTGTCCTTGGCAACTAAATCCACTACATTTTCAATTAATCAAGTCTGGATTATTCTTGATTACCTCTGGCCAGTGTAAATTATATTATTTGTGCCAATGTACATGCTGATTTCATTTCCATTAAAAAATAAATAAATAACACCACGACCACTACCACTACTACCGCCACCGCCACCGCCATTATCACCATCACCATAACAACGACCAATCACCAATGGCAACGCCAACGGCAACAATGATAATAACCATGACAATAAACGCAACCATAACAACAACAAAGTCTGGAGGACCCTGTGTTTATTACAGTATTTAGTGTACTGTTTATCCTTCCGGCCACTTTGTTCGTACTTCATGTCCTGTTTGTTCTCTTTACAACAAGCTGGGCTGCAATTTTGATGTGGATTCTGACAGTATCGGTTTCCATCACAACGGGCCTTGCGGTTCTTGTACCCTTCTTTTTGTTTGCCGTGTTTACTGCTACTGTTCTGACTGGCCTTTGTACAATTCTGAAGCACTTTTCTTCAGCCGACTGTACCAGCCTAAAAGATAGACTATTGACTATGAGTAATAAACCATCTTAATAGTAATAATAGTAATAATAGTATATATGAATGTATGTATCATTTGTGATTGAATCAAACAAGCGATTTTGAAACAAGCAACAGAGTTTGTCATTCTTTATTAGAATAAACCTTTATATATATGTATATATAAAAATTTATATACTTTTGTTAAAAATAAATATGTGTTTGCATCACATTAAACACTCCGTATTTGGACTGGTGTGGAGAGATAAATGGGTTGCTAGGCCGGACCCCCCTTTTTTTTTTATAAACGCTGAGCCGAAAGGTGTACGAATTTTCTTGTAACGACTTGTTTTGGAATAAAAACAAATGTTGAGACTTGACAACACTTGAAAAAGTAAAGTAAAATAAAATAAAATAAAATCAACCGAGGCGTACCAAGAATCGGTGTACAAGAGCACACCAAAATATCGTTTTTTACATAAATGAGTGTGTACATGTGTGTTTGTGTATTGTGCGTGTGTAGTGTGTGTATATAGCGTGCGTAGTGTGCGTCTTGCGTGTGTGTACTAAACTGATAAAGAACTCTTTCTTTTTTTCTTTTTTGAAAATAATACAGCCAATTAGAAAGACTGGTCTTTTTCATTCATGCAATCTTGACTCTATACGCGTCCTGCAATAAGATTGAATATACAATAATCGAAGCTAATTATCAGCATTAGCGTTAGCATTAGCATAAGCATTATCTTTTAAAGCATTAAAATATAATATACATACAAATATATATATAAAATAAAGTTAAATAAGCTTGACGCCTGTTGTCCACTAATTGGAAAACACACTTCTTTAACTATAATTTTTTCTTTTTTTTCGTTTTTATATTTCTTTTGGAGTAAATATACAGGCACCGTTAAAGGAGCATAGCCGAATAGTAATACATACACAAACTATGTCCGTTTTGTGTTTTTGTTTTGTGTGTGTGTTTCTTTCTTTCTTTCTTTCTTTCTTGTGAACGGCAAGAATTCGGCCGTTTGCCAAATAAAGAATTAGCTATATACATCGTTGCTATAGGCCATCATCACTTTTTTTTAACCCCGTGGTTGTGGAATCCTTCACCCTTTATTTTTTTTATTTTATTTTTAAAAACAGAAAATAATAATAACAACAAGGCTTGATTTACTTAACCTAACTGCGGTGAATAAAGGTTACCAAGCTCTCTTTTATATATAAAGCCCAATCTTCAACCAAAATGCTCTTGATTTATTCCCCCACCAGAAAAATAGTAAATCAAATTCATTCCCTAAAGCACCTCACCTCACCTCACCTCACTTTACCACACTACAACACTTCATTTTACCTCACTTCACCGCCACTCCTCATATCATTTTAAACCTTCAGATCTCCAAACCTTCAAATCTTCATTTCATTAACCCCCTCCCTTTTACATTCACTTTTTTTTAAAGAAAAAAATAAGATTTTCTTTTATTTCTCAAAGATGTCAACCACAACTCATTTCCAGTGCGATATGACTTGCCAAACTCCAACATCATCTCGCTCACTGTCTCCTTCTTCGTTATCAAGTAATCGCCAACCCTCACCAAATAACTCTACAAACTCTAGAGACCTCTCACCAGGTACAAAGTCAGACAGACGACCAATCTACCGTTCCAAGAGCACCAGTACGCTCTTGGCAAGTACCTCTACGTCCTCACGGCGCTTGAGCTCTGGATCAGCCTGTGACACATGTCGAAAACGGAAGACAAGGTGCGATGGAAATCAACCATGTGCCTTTTGTGTCTGCAACGACAAGGCTTGTACACACACTCCCAATAGTAGACGCAAGAGAGCACCCTCGGTCACTGCTCCCGGCATTCTTTCCAATAGATTACCCACACGTCAAAGTCGGCCATCTTATCTTTGCCTGCCCTGGTTCCCCAAAACCGATGCCGATGACAAGCAATCTAATAATCAGGAGTATAGTTACAAGAAGAGGAGCGCTGGTAAGTTATTTTTATTTTTATTTTTACTTTTTATTATTATTATATATTATGCGTGTGAATAGTCTCATTTTGTTGTTGTTGTTGTTGTTATGGTTTTGTTGTTGTTGTTTTTTGTGTTTTATTTTACCTCATGCTAAACACACTTCTTTCTCCCTCTCTTTGCTTGAATTCTAAAAGAACAAAAGTTGCGATTGGTAACAAAAGCAGGCTACCCATTTATGACATCAAACCCCTGGCAATGTCAAGATAGTTTGGCACCTCTGTCAAAAGTCAAACCCAACCTATGCCTTGATCACCACTCCGGTCCAATAACTCAATCTTGGTCCCTGCCTACTTCATCAATAGACACCTATAGAGATCTACAGAACTGTCCTCCAACAAAAGAAGAGATTCCAAGCATCATCGGTAATAAATAAAATAAATAAATATATTATATTATAAAACCCTTTCCCCCTTCAAGAGTTTAAAATTGTATACCCATGATTTTGATTTGATTTTGATTTTGATTTTGATTTCTCTGACACTCCAATCTTTATTTATTTTTATTTTTACTTTAACAACAAAAAGATCAACTTTCATGCCTAACGTTTTCAGCTGCTACTTTGGCATCTGTGGATCGCAACACAAATTATCCAATCTACCCCCTCTCTTCACACGTCATAAACAAGATTCCCTCTCGCCATGTATCACCTTACATGTCTATCCATATATAAGCACCAACGCGTCACCAAGCACTCTTCTACATTCAAGTTATACTTCAACCGCACCCAAACCTTGCTTTTACTTTTTTTATGACGTACAAACATTACATGTGTATATAAACCAAAATCACACACAAAAATAGCACCCTCACTGTCACTCACTCGCCCAGTCACTCATTCATTCAGTCACTTACTCAGTCACTCAGGCACTCAGGCACTCAGGCACTCAGGCACTCAGTTACTTATTCACAAAACAAAACAAAAAATCACTACAGAAATCACACACAAACTTCTTCTTCTTCTTCTTCTTCTTCTTATAACTATATACACTTAGGCCCCTTTCTCTTTTGTTTTGGTTTTTATTTTATATTTTATTTTCTTCCTTTTTGTTCTTCTTCTTTCGTTTAGCTTCGTTTCGATTTGTTTCGATTCGTTTCGTTTATTTGATTTTTTTTCTTTTTTTTTCTCTGAACCTTCTTCCGCTCGTTATTACTTTTATGCTAAAAACAACAAATATTGTCTTTTGAGGAAATCTGATAATTGATTGTTGGACAGACCATTTTATTATTATAATTAATACTTTCTGCATTGACCAATTACTGTATTTTGAATAAAATAATAATAATATTAATATATATATATAAGAGTGTGTTTGTGTATTAAGTGTGTGTGTTTATTTCAAAAATAGAATTCAAGCTGGTCTGTCCATTCACAACAAACACGGTCCACCTATATTGTACTGAAATAGCCCTTTGGTATTCATCGGTGGTCTTTTGAGTGTGTTCCGAAACCTAACAGAACAAGGCGGGGCAATTTTATTAATTATGGAAATACCTATCCCCACCATACACAATACACAATACACAGTATATATATAAATATAAATAAAAATATGTATACATGCATACATTACATACTTACACTCATATTTACACACAGGGGTAGTGGTGAATATAGATAAAGTATAGATATAACTGTGAGTGTGGAGGAGATGGAATAAAATATGAAAGGGACTGCCTGTGACTGGACAAAATCAATAATCCATCAGGGCCAGAACAAAATTCCATCAACGCGTCTTTCTTATCCTTTTTCAGTCTCCTTTCTTCTCTATTTCACTATGGCTGCCAAGAACATCCCCAAGGTCTTTTTCGATATTGCCGTCAACGGTAAGCCCGCCGGTCGCATGACATTCAAGGTAAAAAAAAAGAGCAAAAGCAAGATAAAAAGGAAACTTAATAATTGACTTGGAAACACATATATTTATAAGCAATTTGATATATAACATTCTCTGTATACATATAGCTCTTTGCTGACACTGTCCCCAAGACTGCCGAGAACTTCCGTGCTCTCTGCACTGGTGAGAAGGGTATCGGAAAGTCTGGAAAGCCTCTTCACTTCAAGGGAAGCAGCTTGTAAGTTTTTCGGTCTCTTTTTCTTTTTTCGGTCTGTTTTGAGCTGTCAATGCGTTTCACACCAAACCAAACCATAATAATCATAATCATAATATATACAAAACACACAAATTCAATTGAGTTCAATTCTAATGATTTATTTATTTATTCCTTTATGTAATCAATATATATATAACATAAACACACAGCCACCGTATCATCCCCGGTTTCATGGCTCAGGGTGGTGGTAAGGATTTCAAGGAAATATATAAAAATAATTATAAACTAAACTTATATATCCATTCTTGAAGATTTCACTCTTGGTGATGGTCGTGGTGGCGAGTCCATCTATGGCAACAAGTTCGCCGACGAGAACTTCACCTTGAAGCACAACGCAAAGGGTCTCTTGTCCATGGCAAACGCTGGTCCCAACACCAACGGCTCCCAGTTCTTCATTACCTTTGACAAGACCCCTTGGTTGGATGGTGCTCACACCGTCTTTGGTCAGGTCACCGAAGGCACTGATCTCCTCGAGAAGCTCGAACAGTTGGGTTCCCAGAGCGGCAGACCTTTGGCCAAGGTTGACATCACAGAGTGTGGTGAGATCAAGGAGTAAAGAATAAAAATAAAAATCATTTAAACATATACACCCTTATAAAAAGAGTACAAAGAGTGAATATGTGATTTTGCGATGTAATAGATATAGTCGATAAAAAAAAAGCACATGTTTGTTATTATTTGCTTTCTTTGAAAGTCATTAATAAAAGATATATATATATATATATTATATACAACACATTATTGATGATTTGTATTATTAATAATAATAAATTACTAAAATATATAGTGAGTGAATGAATGAAAAGGAATTGTGTGCTTATACTGTAGATTGTTTTCTTTTGTGTTCTTGTTAAACAAAGTAGAATGGGGGTAGTATGTCTTGTATTAAAAGAAGAGTGAAAAAGAGAGAGAGAGAGAGAGAGAAATGCAAAGAGATAAAAAGGAACGAGATAGGGAAAAAAAAACAAACAAACAAAATAGTCTATGTAAAAAAATAACACAGAAAGTGTCTCTTTTTCTTTTCTTTTGGTAACATTGTACGAAAGAGCACAAAACAGACAATATGCATTCTGTTGTTTTTGCCAAATTACCACCGTTGTTGCTGCTGCTGGTAAAATTGCTGCTGTTGTTGTTGCTGCTGTTGTTGCTGTTGATGTTGCTGGGGTTGTCCAAACACAGATTGGTTACCAAAGGCTGTTTGTTGTTGGAGTCCAAACCCAGTAGCTTGCGGCTGTTGAAAACCCATGGAAGGAGAAGAACTAAAAACACTGGGAGTTGATTGATCAAGCGTCTTGAACACAGAGTATTTATCATTGGAGTCTAGATGCCAAAGAAAAAAAAAAGAGAGAGAAAATGGTTATGATGAGCACAAATTCGTTCTCATATGAAGAAACCCCCCTCCCCTCTTCCTACTCAACATATGTTACAGGTTACTCTTTATTATTTCAATACTTACAAAGTCCCTGACCATTAGTGTTAACCTGTCCAAAACCAGTCTGCTGAGCTGCAAGATATCCTGTCGGTTGACCAGACATGGATGCAAACACTTGTTGTGGCGAAGGTCCAACAGAAGAGCCAAATGTATGCATTCCAGTCATTTGAGGCTGCAAGCTCTGCTGTTGCTGGACAGGTGCACTACCAAATGGATTGTCAGGAGTAGCATTTGCCCAGCTTCGGGACGAAGCAGTGGTAGAAGAACCATAGCTAGACGATTGCTGAGGCTGGATATTGGTATGACTCATCATTGGAGAAGGACGAAGCGGTGGTGGGAGTACAGATGTAAGTGGTATACTAACAGAAGTAACCGGAGACATTCCAGTAAACTGAGTTGTTTGTTGTCCCATCATATGCTGCTGCTGCTGCTGCTGTTGTTGTTGTTGCTGGTTAAACCCAGTGGGCTGCAATTGTAACTGAGAGAATTGCAAACTTGGGCTTGAACCCATGTTATTAAAAACATGCTGATGCTGAGCCTGCTGCTGCTGCTGCTGCTGCTGTTGTTGTTGTTGATTAGCAAAGCCTGTCATCTGAGGTGGCTGGCTCATAAAAGGAGTGGTTTGTGATTGTTGTAAATTAAATTGGTTTACAGATGGAGCTTGTTGACCAGTAGGCTGGAAATTGATAGTAGGAGGAGGAGGAGGGGGGACAGATCTTTGTTGCTGTTGGGGAGAGCCGCTGGTCCATTGTGACAAAAGGTTCGAGTCTACCTTGTTCTGTTGTGACAGTTGGGGTGTAGGACGCTGACGCGGTGGAAGAGAGACAGGAGCTGGGGGCGGAGGTGCTTGCTGCATTTGTGGTGGTACCATGGGTGCTCCTCCGTACGTTTGGAAAGCAGAAGTATTTGTCATTGGCGTAGCAGCAGCGATTGGCGTATTTTGAGCAGCAGTCTGAGGAATTGGAGGTGGTGGAGGTGGCGGAGGGGTAGACGTATTGGTGTTAGTATTTACAGTGGGGTTCCAGACTGGCTTGATGGGATTGAGCGATGAGAAAGCAGGAGAGGCTGGAGCAGCTGATCTGGGTGCCCAAGCATCATCATCAAACCCATTACTCATTGAACGTGTCGTGCTGAATGTCGAAGGTTGTTGCTGTTGCTGTTGTTGTTGTGGCTGGATAGGTTGCTGAGCAGGAGGAGATATAGGAGCAGATACAGCAGCATGAACAGGAGTCGGTGATGGTGCTAGAGGAGTAGGTGAAGGTACCAAAATGTGTCCACTGAGCTGCGTTTTGATTTTTTCCAGGTAATCCATGTTAACATCCTTGGGTGCAGTCTTTGTAGGTGTAGGTCTACCAGTACCTTTTATAAACCAACATATTGCATTAGTATAAGTTAAACCCTATAATCTTTTTCTTTCTTGCTGAAACCGCTTTCAAGATGTCATTTTTAAGTTATTTATTTACCACGACGCTGAAGTCCCCCGCCATGGAACACAGGAGAACCATGATCACTCGATTCTTGCTCTTGTAACTGACGAGCCATTCTCTCATCCTCTTCAATCTGACGCTGGACATCATCAACACCCATAAAGTCATTCTCTTCAGGATCTTCGATAAAGCTCGTTCCTCCAAAGGTAACCGTTTTCTTGGTCTTTTTCATTATTGTTTTGCTGGATCCTTCATTGTCAGAAGGAGGCTCAGCAACCTCATTCTCGATGTAGCGTTGGAGTCTTTGGACATGGTTTTCAGCCATACCAAGTGACTTCATCTGCCGATGTGTCAATTTCTGAACATCTTCCTCTCCAAGGTTGTCGGCCTGGAAAGAGGCTGCATACCGCTTGCTGGATTCTGCAGGAATATTAGCATTCATAAAATATGTATACCAATCCCAGTGATGTTTGGATTGTGACTCGGGATTCTTGGATGCCAAATGAGCAAGTGGAATATTGTCGTTACGATCCTCAATTAGCTTCATACCCGTTTCGCTTTCGATAAAGTACAAGTCTTCGGCACACATCTTCTGAACAGGCACATCGATCTTTACACCGTTAATCTTGTGCAGTCTGATCTTTCCGGCGTGAATTGCAAGGTATTGAGCCTCGACCTTGAATGCACCAGTACGATCAGTCCAGGTGCGTACCTTGTTTGGATCAGGTTTGCTGGGGTCATTAGCCTGTTTGGGGCGATCGGGTAAAGAACGGTTACTGGGAACAGCAATAGATCTGACGGTGTGGTCTGATGGAAGTCCCTTGCTCGTCTGTGGTCTTGTGGGAGGAGGGGGTGCAGGAATCTGACTGCGTCTTGGGGAATTGCCCGAGGAAGAGGCTGTCAAGGTTGGTGCTGCACGTGCGGCTTGTTTCTTGGCATCTGCTTCTCTTTGTTTAGCCTCATCTTGCATTCGTCTACGTCTATCCGCTTCATCCTGGCGTCTTATTTCTCGCTCACGTTCTTCTTCTTCTTGTGCTCTCTTTCTTTCACGCTCTTCTTCCTCTCTACGGCGTTGTCGAGCCATTGCATCATCTTCCGAACGTCTACGAGTATCTTCTGCTTCCTCTTCTTCTTCTTGCCGGCGGATCTGAGCCTCAGCTGCTAAATCAGCGTCATAATCCTCCTGGAATTTGAGGTATGTCATTGGAACAATACCTGTCCTACCATCTTGATGTTCGATTGTCCACCAATCATCACTGCTCACATAGTCAGTAACCAACACTTGCTGGTCAGCCTGGGCTGAAATTTCATCATCTCCACCAGCCTCAAAATCATAGAGCACGACAGCCCACCGAGGTTTGCATGGAGGCGCAACGGGAGCTGGTGGCTCAACGGCGACAGGGGATATAGATCGAACGGATGCATGTGTAGGTGTTTGTACAGATGTGGGTATGGGTGCTGTAGGTGTTTTGTAGCTAAGAGCTTCTTCGGGGTCAATGAGGCTAGTCGGAGGCTGGGTTGGTGTTGCTTGTATTGGTGCTGGTGCTGAATGTTGTGGGCCTGAAGAGGAGTGAGCATTTGCTGCCTTAGATTCTTCTATTTTAGCCATGACTGCCTTTGCCTCTGATTTAGAAGATGCCTGAAAGTCGAATACAGTCCTTGTGTTGTCCGAGATTTCAATATGAATGTTCTTGCCATCCTGTGTATTGTGGATGACATTGGTAATGGAGAATTGACGGACTGGGGATGCTTTATCTGTTTCGCTTCCATAACAAAGCATACCGTTTCCAACTAATAAGCTACCCTTACTCTTCTTCTTCTTCTTCTTTTCAACATCGTATTCGTTCACAGACCAAGACATTGCTTCATCTTTTGGATTGATTGACAACGGTTTCTCGGTAGAATTCTAAAAAATAAAAAATAAATAACATGGTTAGAGTCTGTAATCAGTGTAATAGATATGTAGATAGGTGAACTGTGTCCATGAAGGGAGATTTATATATATTATGGCTTACTGAAATAGCCGAAAAGACTGACACAGATGGAGTTTGAGTAGATTGAGCAGGTGTAGTACGAGGAGATACGACAGTAACCTCGTGGTCAGATACCTTGCATGAAAAAGAAGCATTAGGCATCTTTAATTCATTTTTCGTCTCCGCCTATTTGTCTTTTACACGACTCTTTACCATTTCAATATAGTTGCTCGGTGCAAGGCCAATAGAACCTTTCTTGGATTTAACGAGGTACCAATCGGGATCATCAGTTTCATACAAAACTAATTTTTCGTCTTCCTCAAATGAGAGTTCCTCTTCCTGTTGTGCGGTATATGCATATATGGCCTTGACAGCGCCCATGGGTTCAGCCTACACAAACAATAGGGTCAGGTCAGGTCAGGTCAGATCTTGTTTTTTTTTTTTTTGGTTTTGGTCCTTTTAGTTTAGTCGGTATATAAGCACACATACACACCTCGCTAATATAATTGGCAGGAATGAGTCCAACAGGACCAACTTGTTCAATAGCTTCAGCCTTCAATTGTGCTTTCCACCAATCGGGATCATTGTTTTCTAGGATGTACAATATATCGTCTTCTTTGAAATCAAGTTCTTCATCGGTTTGAGCCTGGTAATCATAAAGAGCTTTGCAGATGGTAATGTATTTCATATTTGCTCAAATAAAATAATATGTATATAGATCTTTTAAAAAAAGGTTGTTTTTGTAAGAGAAATACGAGGAGGTAGAGGAATGAATAGGGATAAGGAAAGGGGTGGGCTAAATGAGTGTGCTTTATCTTTCTTATTTTTTGTTTGTTTGTCTCTGGTACGTTCTTTGTCTTTGTAGAACTGTTCCCGGAGAGATTGGGTTTTATAATGATTGGAGATGAGTTCTTTCTTTTTGTTTTTGTAGTAGTAGTAATAGTTGTTGTTGTTGTTGTTGTTGTTTCTTTTGGAGGAGGAGGAGGAGGAGTTGACGGACTGGCTGCAAGTGCAACTAGCCAGACCGGGAGGGAAGGATAGCAAAGTGGGAAAGAAAGGGAAAAAAGGGTTTGCTTAGTTGAACACGAGTAGAGCAATAGGATATTCGCTCAGGGTATTCTTTTCTACTTGAACGTGATTGTAAAAAAAAGGGTGCATTTCCTCATCTGGAAATGAATGTGATGTCACAATTATACTGTATTTTATAACGGTGTATCTTTTTTTTTCTTTTCTTTATTAGTTAGTTTCATAGTGATGCTTTTTTTTTGTAATGATATGTATGTATATACATATGTTAGCTATATTACATTGCGTGCTTCTATAAGATTCTCTGTTTTGTGCCGTATTGTGCCGTATTGCACTGTGCTGTAGTATAGTGTGTTGTGCTGTGTTATGCTGTGTTATGCTGTATTGTGCTGTGCTGTAGTATGCTGTAATGTGCTACACTGTAGTGTGCTGTAGTGTGTTATGCTATGCTATGCCAGATCATGCCCGTCGAAACAAGTCTGTGACTATGCTAGACTTTAAGCCCGGAATTATTATTATAATATATATATAAAGTATATCTGGTTATAATATATGATCATAGAAGAAAGAAAGAAAAAACAAGTGCTGGTTTTTCCACTTGCTCTTGTTCTTCTTGTTCTTGTTCTTATAGTTTATCAAGATTTCATGTATCACAGGTTATGGCTAGGTGAGACAAAGATAGAGTAAAGAAAGTGGAAATGTTGTTCAATGTCAATAAAGTCAAGCGCACCTCCTTCTCTTAAAAGTTCTATCCAAGCGCCTCCACTTGGGCGAACACAAATAAGCCTAAAATGGGCCTCAGCACGCTATTGTTGAATTTTTACCTGATAGTCAAATACCTTTTTATTATTTTATTGTATTGTATTCAGTAGCTTCTAATCTACAAGACATATTTACAAGCTAATTGTCATTTTCTTTAGATATATAATATAATAAAAGGTTTAAGCTTCCAGAATGCCAACCTAAAAAACAAAACCAAAAAAAAATGAGATAATATAAATACATATACATATATAAAGTAATCTATTCTACAAATCATCGCCGAGGATTCTTGAACAATTTTTTTCCCTTTTCTTTTTGGCTTGGTTCGACTGAAATATGGTGCACAGGAACGCGAACATTCAAGGCACCGGCACACCACTTTTAGGGTCCTGTACAACAACTGAACCTCTTCCCCCGTGAAATGAAGCGCCCCCTAATTTTTTTTTATTCACAACGTGTTTGTTGCTCTATTCTCTTTGTTTCGTGATCTTCTTCTTCCTCTTCTTTATCGTATCTTTTCTTCTTCTTTTCTTCACTTCTTCCCTTTGCTTAAAGCATAAGCAAAAAAAGAGAAAAGGTGAATAACTTAAAACTAATGACAATCATTTACTCATTTCTAATTGATCTCATCTTGCCTGTCTTTCTCCATTGAAAAGAAGCGTGCCCTTTACGTCTCAACAATCACTGAAAGCTAAAGTGCAACAAAAGGCAGAAAGAAAGAAAGAAAGAAAGAAATATTCAATTCAATCAATACCTTGATCAGTACGACATACGAAATAACAGCAAAATACAAACCGTACAATCTTTACCCCAGTCCCCTCATCACGCAGACACATAATAGCCCAACCGACCAATTCCCTAAACAAAAAAAAACCCAAAACAAAATCAAAATGAGAGAATACAAGCTAGTCGTTCTTGGATCTGGAGGTGTTGGAAAATCAGCCTTGGTATGTTTACTGAGACTTGTAAGGGAGAAAAATAGTCGAAAATTAGTTTGACCAAATTCGGCTCACTGAAGAAGAAGCTCGTTCATTTGAGGAAACTACTATGATAGCTATATAATGATATAATGATAAAAATAATGCTATGAGCTAGATGTATATTAAATATCTTTAGTTGGGAGTGTATAAGGAAAAGAAAGAGAGAGAGAGAAAAAAAGAAAATGGACTGTGAAGCTGACTTAAATAATTGCTATTCACTTCATCTATGCTGTACACACAATCAGACTGTTCAATTTGTCCAGTCCATTTTTGTCGAGAAATACGATCCAACTATTGAAGACTCTTATCGCAAGCAAGTAGAGGTGGATGGGCAGCAATGTATGCTCGAAATTCTTGATACAGCTGGTACGGAGCAGTTCACTGCCATGCGAGATTTGTACATGAAGAATGGCCAGGGATTTCTCTTGGTCTTTTCTATTGCAAGCATGATTACCCTGACAGAGCTGCAGGAGCTGAGGGTACAAATCCAACGAGTAAAGAATACAGACAATGTAAGTATATATATATATATAAAGGTTTATTACAAATGTATATGCGTGGATCTGTAGGCTGTTAGAAGAAATATTAATACATCATCATTTTTTGGTTTTTGTTTGGAATCTAGGTTCCAATGGTATTGGTTGGTAACAAGTGCGATCTTGAAGAAGACAGAATGGTCTCGAGAGAACAGGGCATGCGCCTGTCGCAGCAGTGGGGTGGAAAGCCGTTTTATGAAACATCAGCACGATACAAGATCAACGTCGATGAAGTATTTTACGACCTCGTCAGACAAATCAACAGACAAATGCCACCAAAAGACAAGAACAAGAAGAAACTCAAGTGTCTTGTTCTCTAATGATAATACCAGCCTATACATCCACATTCATTTACTATCCCTATCCGCCCCCCATTATTTCATAATTCGTCGTTTCCTCTATATCTCTTTATATTTCCTTTTTTTCTATAACTCTTTATATTTCTTTATTTCTTTATCTCCCTTTACCTCTACCTCTTTATCCTCTTCTTCTTCCTCCCTTTCTCTCTCTCTCTCTCTCTCTCTCTACTGCCGATTAATCATTCCAATTGAATTGCTGGTAACAAAATTGGATCCAACTCTTGTATGCAGTAACGATTAAAAAGAAGTCGTGTTACGCTTACCTGGATCTTTATTCCTCTACTTTTTTTTTGCCCATTTGTTGGATCTCTATTTTACTACTTCTTCGTACAAAAAGAAGTAAGAAATCTACCTCTTTTTGTTTCTTCTCTTTTTTTTATATTCCTATTCCTATTATCTATTAATATCTTTATACCTTGATTATCTAAAGTATGCTTTATACATCTAAAGACACACACACAAACACAGATATATATACATATGCATATATATAGTTGAAGTGACTTTTCAATACACCTAAAATCTTCAAATACTACTATTACTACTACTAATAATAATGAAAATGAAAATATTTAATAATTATATTGGGATTATATTATGCATTCCTTATTCATAAAGTAACATGTCCCTTTAGGAGAAATTTTGTTCAAGGTTTTAAATGAAGAAGGAAAATAAATAGCAGGGAGAACATGTAAGGATAGCTGGTGGTGGTATGTGGATTGTTTTATTGTATATAGATGCAGTACTTTACTTCAAGATACTAGACATTGATCTTCTCCGTATGTAATTCATATCTTGCGAATTTTCTTCAATATTTTCTAATTATTTAATCATAGAGCTAGCTTAGAGTTGCAATATAAGTGTTCCTTATAAAAAAATATTTCACACACAAAAAATCAACAAGCTTAGTAGAGGATCTAGTGCCTAAACCACTTTAGAGGAATAAAGACAGGTTTTGTTGTATAGTCAAATATATTAAGTTCATCATAAACTATTACACAATTAATTGGAAGTAACCTTTTGTCGTGGTTTCCATTTATGTATATACAGGTCTACTGTGAACCTTTATACATTACATACATTACATACTTGTATGTACGTAGGTGGATGTGATAAAATATTTAGCTTTATACAGTATTGAGCAATACTTGTATAAGACCAAGCAATATATCTGTATTTTTTTAAAATAAAAAGAAAGGCGAAATCTGTAAAAATCTTGAACAGCAGAAAAGTAATATGCTTGTGGAACGAACATATTTTGGTTCATTTCACATATAGTATCAAAGTGTATGCTTTGGGTGCCCTCGTTCTCGATTTTTTATTTAAAAAAGATATGAACATTCTGTACAATATTCCTTTATTTCCAAATGATACTTGTGGTCAGATTAAAAGGAAGCTATATCTAAAGGTGCTTAAATTATTTTGCATGATATATTAATATTACACCCTTTGGAACAATAAGCAGCTTGGATTATGTTTTTTTATTAATATTTTTATTTAGCTATTACATTTAATAGTCATCGTAAACGCGAATATCCCCTGCCAATACCTTGGCTAATCCTACAGTCAGCAATACACCTACCAGTATATAGACTACCCCGACAAACACAGGAGAAATTGACTGAGGAATAGCCAATGATCTGACAAGTCTAGACGTTGCCATGCCAGCCACGATACAGAAAATCAAACACGCATATTCTGCCACAGGAATAAATGTCATTTTGAAATACTTCTTGTCATTACGGAAAGCAAGGAAGCTAACAATGGCAAACACAGCATATGCAACTGCTAGTCGCTCGGGCGATTTTGCTAAAGGGGTCAAGTAGATCTGGTTTACCAGGAACATTACAACAAATCCAAAAGAAAATATTTGCCAGGAATTTCCCGGTTGGCACAACGCAGTAATCGTCCCATGAAAGAAAACCCATAGTTCAAGCATCATCACCCACGACTTGTCACGATGACTCTACAATGTTGTGTAAATACACAGATAGTTCCAGTTTGCATATTTTATTCTCTGGCATATTTACTTACAGAATGTAAAAATGTGGTAGATTGCCAGAGAAGCATGACTTGATATACAAAACCGAGATAGTGTCCCATGGTACCTTCCTATATCTCGCAAAATATCAGACTATTTTGTGCAAACATACAACGATATGAAATTACAGTCTAAGAGAAGCAATATCAGCATCTTACCGCGGGATGGTAATGAAAATTATACACAGTACCAAAGCTTACAAGGTAGCCATGGTATTTTTTGGTAAACCAGATTACATCTTTAATCAATTCAGACTTTGGTTTACGCCCCAGCCCAAATATGATACCACGTCTAGAAAACCGAGCAGCTTACGTTACTGACCTTATTTGAATGTTTGTGAGATATTTCTGACATAACTTACGCTGGTATAGCTAGGATAAGAGCAATAACCAGTATTGCTACTACAGAACCTTGCGCAGTACCTTCTGCCACGTCTGCCGCCAAACCATCGTAAAATACATGTGTGTGAACCAATTTAAATAGGAGCATAAAACCATTCAGGTACATCATACTCCAATTCCACCATCGATATGAATTACTCCATCCTTGTTGATCTTTCGATTTCTGAGCCTTTGCCAAGATCCACCATTGTCCAGCTTGGTGGATACAGTAAGCAGCCCACGCTACAACTCGTCCTGTTCGATTCGGCTCGATTAAGCGCCATGGGTAAGCAAATGGCGTGTGTTTTCCTACAGGAACAATAATACTCATCATATTAAAAAAACACGGACACATATATACAGAATTTTATCAACCAATTGGCAGCACCTGTCCAAGTCTATAGTACATTATTACCATTGATCATACGAGTTCCCCTAATAATAAATCGGCCTAGACCCATTTCTCCACGCTTAGGATGTGCATTAAAAAAATTGCCCCAGGTGGTAGGCAAAAGGGCAAAGAAGACAACAAGGGTAGCAAACGCAACAGATGTTGACACGTATATCCAACGCCATGTACTTGGCTTCCATCTACTGTGAGCAGGAAGTGTTTTTGAAGAAGCAGGATCCATACAACAATTAGGTGTAAAAAAAGGGAAAAATAAAATAAAAAAATTTAGGGAAACATCAGCTTCAATGATTAAGGGTCAGAAATATATAGAATTCCCACATTATTTTATTTTTTTGTTTCTTTTTTGTTCTAATCGAATCGAATCGAATCGATCGATTGTCATTGAAGTTATTGCTGCTGCTGATGAAAAACCAAAAAACACACACACACAAATTTGAGTTTAATTTCGGGGGGTTCTGTTTTTGTGGACACTACTGCTTTTTTTTCAGATAAGATTTAATTTTTATATTCAGGAACTCAAAGTAGGGGTATTCAACAGACTTTTAAGTTTTTATATTTGTATTTTTGAGTTTTAACTTTAAAAATGATTGGCTTAATTTAGTCTAAAAGCGTCAAAGTCTAAAAAAAGTCTAAGCGGCTCTTATTGGCCAATCTTCATCAATTGGTAATTGCGCCGAGAGTTGGATAAGCAATACATTATGCCATCCAATACTACTTTGAATATTATTAAAATGTAATAGAGTATAGCTATAGCCTTGAACAATCGGTAAGGACAAACGAAGATTAATTTTACTGTTTTGACCTGTTCACACCTGCTATTGACGGAGAACGTGAATATAGATATTTAGCAAGTTTGTTTAAATTTAAACACACACACACACAGGGCAAACTTTGTGAGGGCATGGAACTTAATTATAAATCATACCTGAGAACAGTGTCTAATATGTGTACATTTACAATTCTCACGTGGAATACCTAGCTGGGTGCACCTAGCCAGCCTCAGAGAAAGTAAAAATTCTCGAATCTCCAAGAATTGATTTTGTTGCTAGAGAATTAGAATCAATCGCTTTCAACATGATTGCTTCCGGATTATCCTTCGAGATCCTTTTTTCAGTAGCATCTCTACTCACAACTAAAGATAAATTGTGCTGTACTTTAGTTTGTAGCTCATGGAAAGCACCATTTCAAGATGCTCTGTGGAGCACAGTGGATATTAGCGGTTATGAAAAGCTAGATGCAATGTGTAATTTAATTCTCCAACCAAATGTCTATCTGCAAAATGGCCATCGAGTACGAAAATTGCTTTTTAACAAAGGAGTAGCAACAAGCGAATCCCAGCTACTGAAGATCCAGCAATATTTCTGCAACATTGAGTATCTAAAGATCCGCCTAGGAAACTTGACCCAATACAAAACAGCTGTCGTATCTGCCGATTGGAGTCTTTGGAGAACATTGACACATTTGGATATATATGTATCTGGCTTAAATTCTGAAAACGAACCTCGAGATGTATTACATATCGTCTCTTTCCTGCCTGCCCTTAGGCGATTCGATCTTACCGACAAATATTATACCCTAAGACTACCATATACTTTGCAAGATTTTGAAAATTTTCACGCGTATTTACCACGACTAGAATACCTAGCTATGGATTTTTTAACTAAAAAAATATCATTTGAAGAGGTTTTGCAGGCGAACATAATACCCACAACCGTCTTGACCACAGTAAATCTTTTTAATCGAAGAATGGATCATGGATGGCTCTATTATTGTGCACTTAAGTATCCGAATGTACACACCTTTGGATGGAGAGCGGACTGTAGACAAGACGCAACTGAACAAGAGCAAGAACAAGCCATGTCCATGATTTCATCTTTTACATCATTCTTCCCACACCTGCATACCTTATTTTTCAGAGAGCTCCTAACAATTGACTTGCGACACACAATACTCTGGAAGCTTCTGTGTCAAGCTGGTGTATATCCCAAGCATTTACATTATGATTTAGAGTGGATGGATAGTTCACCATATCAATCCAGAAGAACCTTGAGTAACGGAATGTATTCTTGCTCAGAACATCTCGAGACTCTCTCACTCACAAGCTTTAATCATAACTTTCTTCTTACTCACTCACTCTTAACGCTTGGCGAGTTTCCTCGACTTGTTGACTTGCGTATTATGCTGAATCGAGCAAGTATATTTTTCGATGTAATTCTTGATCAATGCATTTCTCTCAAATCACTCAAGTTGGATAATTGTCTTGTTATTTTCGACTCTGCCACGCCCGAAAACTCGGCAAAGCATGGGTTGCGCCAGATCGAGATTTGTCACTTAAAGGTCGGCCCGAAAATCTTCCACTATATTTCCGTTCGCTGTCAAGAGTTAGACCACCTCAGTTTGAATGAAATGCGGATAGTAGGATCAATGTCCAAAGATTCTGGCGCTTTGTACCTGAATATGCCCTACACTTGTCTCAAGCTACTAAAGCTTAATAATGTGTATTTCTATTCTTCTGACAACGAATATGACAAAGACCTTATCAAAATATTTTGTATCGAACAAAGCGATTCTTCTGTCACAAATGCACTTAAGAATATCAAGACCTTTGAGCGATACCCTATATGTGTTTTAGCAGGATTGTGGTTCTACTATTGTTTGAACCGATCTGAAGGAAACTTGGCTGCCAAAATACGAATACTGAATCCAGACGAGATCGATTTTGCGCAAAAATATTTCAAGTCTTTCCGAAACAAAATGATTGGATCTCCCATAAATCTTTTCGGGACATCGAGAGAATTCCATTCAATTGAGGAACGTACCTGGAAGGATGATCTTGTTAAAGGACATGTTCGATTTTTCTGTAAATATATGAGCGAACTTTCCATCGATAATGTGCCATTTTGCAAGAATACGACATAAACCAACCAACCAATGAATAAACAAACAAGGCATTATCGTATCTTTGTATATCTATATGATTATATCCTTGTCCCCTTTTTATTGTATCACATTGAATTTTATTACACGTTTGCTAAAAGAAAAAAAAATAAAGATACCTAGCTTTTTTATATATATTAAAAAAAAGCAGGAGAATAGAAGAGGTATTATTTACAAAAAAAAAGACTTATTATTTTGCATTGTTAATGCTGTTTAATTATCTTCAAGGTCAACCATTGAAGGAGAATCAAGTGAAGGAGGAACAAAAGCCGCTTGAGAAGATGAATCGACAGGTGTAGATAGCTGCTTTACTTTTTTTGCAATGGCCTATGGCATCTTAAAATAAGAAAGCCACCTCCTACCAGACTTATGCCTCCTGTCTCACCTTTTTCTCTTTAGCTTCCAGCTTAGCCTGTCGCTCTTGCTCTTTCATCTCGTCCCTAAGCTTACGCTTCTGTTCCTTTTCAGCCATCCTTTGAGCCCTCTCTTCTAATTTCTGGCGTTTCTTTTCTGCACGCTCAGCTTTCTCGGCTTTGATTTCTTCTAACGGTCGCTTCCTTTTTGATTTTTTACTGTCAGCCCCATTCCCGGAACCACCGCCGGAAGAGCTTCCGTCCTTGGCTGTCTTCTTCCTTCCGATACCGCTGTTCTTATTAATAGGTGGATATCGAGGTCTGTTTCGGTTTCTAGGCAAGTATTCATCCTCAACTAGTCCATGAGGAGTATCGGCTAGTTTCTTCCGGAAGATAGGCTGTAAAAGCCCAATTAATTCCTTTTCACTAGTAAGAGGTGTGAATGGAGGCGGAGGGGGATATTTCGGTAGCGGTTCTAGATAGAAAATGTCAATAAGAATATATATAAAAAATACATAATATGTATATGTGCACGATATTACCATTATTTGCACTGTATTTTTGTTTATTTGTTTCGCAATACACAAAAGAACCAGGATTTAGTTTATCATTTCTTATTGATATTCATAAACTTACATGCTTGTACTCTTTGCTTTTTCCTTATTCCCACCAAACCACAAGCGCGAGGGAATCTTGTAAAAAATAATAATACGACTTTAGTTTTTGGATTGTTCTTTAAAATAATAATAATAATGAGAATATATTCTCAGTACACTTACCGGGTAGGCGCCTAAGTTAAAATCTCTTTCTAGACCAAGCTCTTTGAATCCAAAATAGTCCTCACCAAGATCTTCGCCAAAAGAACCACTAATGTATGTGTAAATACTTTTTTTGTGAGCAGAATATTTGTGGTTTTATGACTGAGACATTTAACTTACGTTATGAATGTTTCTTCATCTTGTAAGAGTGCATCTGTATCTACACTACATTTATCTGTAGATCCCTAATAGAAATATAAATATACACACGCACATATGTATATACTTATATTAATAATCATTATATGTAAATAACTTTAAGAAATTACCGATAGTATATCTTGGTAGGAAGAATCAAGTTTTCTATGCAAATCTTCCAATCGAGTGCCAAACCGTTCAATATCATCATGTATGTATGATTCTAAAGCTCGAATGGAAGGGACTCCATTTTCGTATAAAGTATGCATAATAATTTCCTGAGCAATGTCAATACACCTTTATATGCTAATATAAAAACACGCTTACCTCGCCATTCATCTGACGACCATAGTCGTCCCAGTACGTCCGAAGTGTTTTTCCAACGTTAAGTAGATAATCTGACATCATGTCCGTAAGCACGTTCAACGCGCCGGTATGAGCTCCCTCAAAACCAGCATGAGCGAGCAATTTAGCAACGGTTCTTTGTGTAAGTTGTTGGCTGGAATCCTGGTTCATAATGAGAGGTGGTATCGCCTTATGTGAGGCAGGTTTAGGCGGCAGCGAAGATGAAGGCAAGTGCGGTTGTGTAGATGTAGAAGGATTAGAAGTATAGGCAGGCTTTACGGGCGCTGGTTTTGCAAAGACAAATTCAGAGGTTAAAACAGGATCGACCGCATCCAAAGGTATAGAAGCAAATGTCGATATCTTTATATATATATAAAAAAGCAAAAGAAAAAAGGAAAAACAGATACGTAGATAAATAAATATAAATTTTGTCAGTAAGATCCACAAATCCAGACAAATTAATATATCAATTCGTGTTAAAAACAAGTACTATTTTATTTTTAACGTCGTTTCTTACCGGTACATTGTTACGAACGGCATTACATTTGTTGTACACTGTACGTATGTGTTGCATCTCATGAAGATTTCGATCAATCAGCTTATTTAATCCATGTTTTGGGAAAGATGTACATGGATACACATCCAGGGAAACATCAGTATAACCCTTTGGTCGTGAAGACGTAGCCTCAAACCCTGTATCGTCAAATCGTGACATACGAGAAGATTGCTTCCCCCGTTTCGGTTCATCTTCAATAAACTCTTCAGGTACACCAGCAATTTCAGGGATTCCACTAGATATGATGTATTCAGGCAAAAATAAATCTGTACGAGTATCGTCGTCTTGTTCAGTTTTTGGCTTTGCTATTTTCCGTGAAAAAAAAGCATCAAGGTTTTCTTCGTCGCTAAGATTTATATCGAATTCATCGTAAAGACTCGCATTTCCTCCTCTTCTCTCTGTCCACTGTGAAAATGTATCCGCTGTACATCTAACTAATCTTTGGGTTACTTGTGGAGTAGAATGCACGTGTTCCAGCATGGCAAACCGCTCCATATCTAGAGGGGATCGTAAAATTGCCTCTCTGTCTCCAAATGAGAATTGGTATTGCTTCTCTATATCAGACTGCAAAACTAGTTAATTAAACCATTTGATACTTATTTACAACCAGCTACACTCACCGTCATTTTTGCTCTCGTCTTCTTAGTCATGTCTCGCCACACTTGGTCCTGTAGCTCTCCCACATCACCATCAATTTCTGCGCCCACATTCTTTTCTTCCTGTTCCAGGTCGATCTCCACCACAACTCCATTCTGATTTTTAAGTTGCTTCCCTCCATAGTTTTTATGCGACACGCCATTTTCTGACACGGAATGGCCTCTGTTGTTTTCATCCTTACCAGGACCCATATTCACTCCATCTCCTACTCCATGCGACGCTGAATTTGATCCGCATGTTAAAGATCTCTCTCGAGAACCACGTGCTGCCAAATTATCGTGATTTGCTGATGTAGAACCTCTTTGTTTCGATGCAGTAGGATGCTTCTGTGATCCAGGTGCCTAGATAGAAATGATAATAATAATAAAATCATTCCTATTAGGTTACAAGCATTAGTATATCACTGTTGACATACCTTTCTAAATGCACGATGAGATTCAGTATCTTCTTCTTCACTTGGCTCATCAATCTCATCATCAATTTCAGCCTCAGGCCTTTCCTTGATCGAGATATCTGGTACTCGAGACAATAGTTTGTCAGTCTTTCTTCGCATTGCTATGGCATGTTTACGATATTCGCTTGCCTAATAATTATATTTAGTCACTTATTTTTTCGTTAGGATTTACATACAGGATTTGTGTTGTATATCAAGCAGTTTTCATAAATCAGATGGAGATCTTCGGAAAACTCCTTTTTAGACTTATAATTCAAGGACTTTAACTTTTTGGTGATTGTTCCCAGATCCATGGGTCGTTTAATAACTAAAAGGTATAGAAATACAGATTATTAATATTGTTATTTATTATTTTATTTTATTTTATAATAGAATGTATACCTACCTTCGAAATAGTCTGGGGCCTCTCTTTTGCTGACTTTATTAAGAAAAGGAGTTGAATGTTCCTAAGGTTACTCCGGATCACGACCACTGCCCGTTAACAAATAATCCACAAATCTATGCCTATATATATTACTCACCGTATAATTCTTGAGATCATTCAATACTTTCTCACACGCCTCATACAGTTCCTCTTGACCCGGTCTTTCATCATTTGCCTACATTCCAAATAATGCACACATACACACATGCACGGCATTTACAAGCTGGTCAAAATACAATTGGGCTCTAGAAACGCAAAATTACCCATTTTGATCTGTGAGGTCTAAAGTCAGATAAGAGATTCTGAAGATCCCGGTCTGAAAGAGATGTCTGCTGTCTGTTGGCTGCTATTCCCTGCAGTAGATACTATAATGTGGAGTCGAGTCGCATCAGATTCTTTCCCCTTACTTCATGTGTCTTACAACAAAAGAGTCGATTTCTTCTTCTTTTACCTTGAGATTGAAGTTTCCATTTGCATTGAATATAGCAAGCTGCAATTACGTATATGTATACATACATACACATACATACATATATACATACATATGTTGTTTAACACCAATTGGTTCAGTGGGTTCTTTATGTCTGCTCATTCCCTACCGACTGATCTTCAGCATTATCTTTTTCTTCTTCCTCATTTAATTCCTCTTGTGCTTCGAATTCCTAACAAGTTAATTAGACCATCGCAAGTAGAGTAACTTTAGCTTAAACTGTATTTATAATAATAGTAATATAAAGTACCTGTAACTTCTTCTGTTCAATCATTGCTGCCTGGTCGTATTCAAGGGTTTGGTAGATCTCTCTAATTGGCACTTTTTCTACTTGCTCAATTGGAATTGTACCTAATGAAGAAGGTGGTTCTACTTTGATAGCTATTGTAGCATATACACGCGATCAACAACCATTTGATGTTTCAAGCTTTTTTATTCTTTCATTCTTCCTTTTTTTTTTTTAAGAAAAAAAAAGAGAAGGAAAGCAATGCATGCTTGACAATAGGCTACGCACCTGGCTCATTATCTGTTTCTTCGTCTGGATTTTGTGAAGAATTGGGCGTCTTTGCATGGTTTGTTTCTTTAAGATTAGTAAGGGCCTTTTTCCGCTGTATTGATGCTTCCGCAACTGCAGCAGGATCTGGAATTTGTAAGTGGCGCGCGGACTCGCATAATTGGGCGAGATCAAGGTGTAAATTGCGACAGCATGGGCGATTGGAGTGATAAAGATGAGGTATGAACTTTTCAAAGATCATAGAGCGTATGCGGAATGCAACAATTTCAGGTTCAGTTATGGTATCGTTGGCAACCGAGACTCCATAATCTCGGGCAGGTGACATGAAGGCTAGCCAAGTTGTGAATGTTTCTACAGCACTTTCGAAATAGAGCGTCTCAGGACCAGTAAGAAATTCTGAATGAAGATTGTTTTTGAAGATATCTTTTGCGAGAACATAAGATAGTTGATTCCATGGTGGTAGCCGCGATGGGGGCGTGTTGTTTCCTACTAAAGCCATCACTAATACTCCTCTGTCGTGCAATCGTTGAGGTGGAATAGGCTTATTGATAGAGACAAAAAGGTGTTCGACAGTGAAGACGACGTCGGTTGCTAGTGATGATCCGTTATGGCTCGGGATGTCTGCCTTTGCCACCTACTTTTTTGTTGGTTCTGCTTCTTCTCTCGATAACTCTTGCTCTTTTTCCTTTCTCGCGTTGTTTGAATGTTTGCTGGATGTGGCCCGTGACTTGCGGGTTTGCGTCGTGGCACGTGAGGGAGTGGTTATCAGCCATGGATCGATTTTCACTCTTTCTTTTCTACAATGTCGTTTATCTCTTCGCTAAACCTTTTGGGCGCAGAATCCCCAGCGCCTATCTCAGAGGACACTTTTACGGATGAATTGGCTTTGTGGGCCAATGCTCAGTTTACCTTTGATACTGCACCTGGTACAGCCCTACTAGACGACCTTCCTTCTAAACCAGAGAGTGTCCAATCTGAAGGCCAAACCGACTTTTTTCAGAATTTACACAATTTTGGAGAGATTGGTAACAATAATACACCTATGAAATACCCCAAATACAGATTGCTTATTGAAAGTCTTAGGCTCAGAAGGACACTCAGACCAAAATGTAATGGAACCTTACATGGCAAACACATATATCCTGCCTCAAATCCAACAATCTGACCATCACCGTCTACCAAGGCTAGCACCTGCTTCCGCCATCAAGGGGGGAGATCCCAAACATATCCTTCCTAGTATATCTACATACACCCCCTCTGCAGCAAAGAAGCGTCAGAATACTGAAGACGAGGCCAATGAGACCCTTAGTGTCGAGGACGACAAACGTCGACGCAATACAGCTGCCTCTGCCCGTTTCCGACAGAAGAAGAAAATGCGAGAACAGGCTCTCGAACTGACCGCCAAGGAAATGACAGCAAAGACGGAGAGACTGGAGAACCGAGTCAAAGAGCTTGAAATGGAGGCTAAATGGCTCCGTGCTCTTGTGGTAGAAAAAGACGTCAAGCTCCTATCCTCTAAGAAGACTTTGGAACAATCATCCTAGTCAGATAGTTATTATGCAATATGTTATATGACCCTTTTGTAAAGTTAATTACAAAGGAACTTGGGATGTATAAGGACAAATATACTCCCGGTATGGCGGATAAAATCCAGTATCAAATTAGATTTGTTATATATGACACACCACTCTCGTTGGTCCTCTTTCTCTCTATTTTCTCCTACTGGATTAGTAAAAGACATCTAGATTTCGTTATTCAAATACCATTTTGCGTGATCATCTCAGTTGGCTAGACTGCCCTTGATTGGCTCTGTCCTCTAAAATAAACTGTGTTACTCCAACTGATTGTCGTTTTTCACAGCATTAATAAAAGAATAAGACCTTTAAAGACACACTACTTCAGAGTATTTAACATGTAGTTATTTCCAGTATCTCTTGTAAGAGTAATATAGAACATTTATTAAGAGTGGAATTTAAAATACTTTTAAGAATTGTAGATATTTGAGTATTTACAAGTAAGTAAGGAAAGTAATACACATGTTAGCCCAATTAATTTAAAATTACTATGCATATCACACCTTGAAGCCATCCAATATCAATGGCATTTATATCTGAGGTACACACTCGGTTTATCTTTAATCATAGATAACCAATTTACTATTGCTAAGACAACCCTTTTTTCTTTTAATACAAATACAGATATCTACAAAGTTTTATATTAATATATATTCATCTTTAAATAATATGATAAATAGTAATTATTTAAATTATTGTCCTGTTTTTTAAGAGAGTTTACAAGGTGATAAATATGATTTGGAATTTTACTACTTGATAAAATGGTCAATATTAAATATAGTTTTGTAAATATCACGCTCTTCAGTTACAGACTCATGCATATTGCTGAAATGATTTTCAGAAATTCATATTTAAGTAGGAGACCTAAATGTTATAACTCCAAATACACACTGAATGCATTTGAGAATATCTGAGCTTACAACAAGCTCCATACACACAAGCCAAAACAGAAAACATTTGAGGACAGTAAAGACTCTAGTCATATTCTTATAAAAGATATACATATATAGATGTGGAGTAACATCTTTCTGTGACTGCTGTTGTTATTGCTGCTACTGCTGTTGAAATGACTGAGCCTATAGTATAACAGCTCAAATGTTTTGGTTTTGCCTATTAAACTTTAAGTAGCTCTATAAAAACCAAATGAAACATTTATCTTAAACAAAAAAAAAGGCTTTAGTCTGTGAAAACAAATGTCCTGGAGAAAAATGATAAATCTTTTGATTAGTGCAACTTGAAAAAAAGCCTGATGTGCATTTCAATTATGTATTTAGATTTCATATAGTTGTGAACCTTGGGAAGTGTTGACTTAAGAAGAGGGCCCCTGATATTATTATTATACCAGCCACTCGATCCGAGTTTTCTATTTTTTTGGTAGAAATTTTAACTTATTAAAAGTAATACCTTATTGTCTAGCTCCTATAGCCATGATAGCATTAGTATCTTTAAAACCTCAGATCATATTATACGTATATCTTACCTGTTTAGTGAAATTTTAGAAGGAAAATGTAGAAGACTGGATGGCAGCAATGGCCATTTGTTATTCATGGCTGAAGTCTACAAGAGCCTCGGATAAAATAATAAGCTAAATATAGAATATATATGTAACATACTTCAGTAAAATTTTGAGTGCCTTTGTTTTATGCATCTTCAGATCTCCTAATTTGTTTTTAAAAAAATGTGTCCTTAATGTTTTTAATAATAGACCTCTTGTATATTTATAGATAGGGCAATGATTGTCACTACCACATACAGTCCAACTTTGTGGCATACATACAAAAATAAAGTAAATTACAAACTCCACTATCCAGAGCAGATTATAAAATTGCTAATGAACCTGACAGGGTCCTATCCTAGGGACGTGACACACACCAGGGACTTGTACACTGCCTTACTTCAGAGCCAATCAACCATTAATCAACAAAGATATTAAGTTAAGGAAAAATATACATATATAAGTAGCCATTATGTTTCTTCTTTAAATAATCAGTACTTTTACAATATATATTGTTCTCTTTCATATTATTCGCTTATCTCAAGATCGTCAGTCCAAAACTCAAATGAAAGTGCACTTTTATTATAATATATGCATATCATTACTATATCAATGCAGAATTTTTATTAAGCTTCTTTAATTTGCTGCTTAAAGAAGAAGGATATTTTATAGCCCTCACTTTTACTAGTAGCCACAATATATATACTCTCACCGGAGAACTTGCCGTAAAATATCTTGATTTGTATTATTAAATAAACATCACGTCAGATTCTGTATACTATATCTTCCAAATCAAAATTCCGCTGAATAATAAATCTTCGTTCTCTCGTAGATAGCATTTGGTCTGGACAGACTAAAAATTTCAAATTTTCTTAACTTTGTTTTAACTCTAATTCAATAACACGGCTTAAATTTTTGCGCTTTGTTTCATGTTTGCTTAATCTTTTTGATCTGTCCATATCAACTGTCTCACACTCTAATTTTATTAAGCCTTTAAACCCTTTTTATAACTTCTATACCGGTCCTTGGCTCGCCAAATTTTTATTTTAAAACTCCAAGAAAAACGTCCTTACAGCTAAAGTACAAGTTTTGAGTCGGTTATAGTACTCAAAATCCTTGATCTGGTAAGTATTTTCCCACAATTTTGCGTAGGAGTCAGTATTATTTCTAACGTTGTTGCTTTATTATTATTAAAATATAAGTTTTTTGTACTCGTATTGGTTCACAGCATTTTGAACGAATATAAAGGTGTTCAAAAGCTACCTACTAAAAAGCAGCTCCAGACAATTTTACTTATCCTTTCCTAACTTTGGGTAATAAACTACATAGCATACTATATACAAACAGGTATATATGCCTCAAAATTAAAACCTGGTCTGGCAGCAATGGAGGAGGAAAATGGGTTGGTTTAATCTATGCCGACCAGAATTTATCAGGCAGCCATTTCCCTCAATTTTGAGGACAATATGTGGAAAGCAATTACCAATTATTCCAGTAGCGCTATAAAGTATACGGCTTCACAGCCAGCTTATGGTCTCTATGATATCCACATGGGGATCATCGCGTACATAAAGAGAAATTAAACAACCAACCTGAGCAAAAAGTAGTCAGTACTCATGCGGTCAGATTAATAAACACGATACGAGAGCATTTTTGAGTGATTAAGTGAATGAACGAGTGAGTGAGTGAGTGAGTGAGTGAGCGTGTTGTAAGTCTAAGATAAAAACAGGGTAATTTGAATCAGAATTTCTAGACAGACAATAAGAAGAATGGTAAATGTTTATGCTATATATATACTGACACATAGTTGGTTGGTTATGTGATGTAAACGTCCAACTCGGTGACAAGAAAATTAATACGACTAGAAGGGCAATTTTATTAAGGAACGAACGAAAAGAGCTATTTAACTACTTCAGACCATTTCTACAGCTACGTAACTACTTAGAAGTTCACTGCGTTGAGTGATACAAGAAACACTGTAGATAAAATCCACAGTGTCAATACCGTATATTTTTATTTGTATATTTGTTATTTAGAGGCGCTTACTTAGATTTCAACTATGATAGACTTGCAAGAAAGGTTAAAGATAGTCGACCATAAAAATATTATATAATAGAAGTTTATCTCTAAAACTTTAAAGGAAAGCAATCATCGCGAGAATTGTTTGTGGGTGCTTAATAACAAGGTCTTTATTTTCTAAATAAGATACAAGTTCAACCAAAACAGTGATCTTGCCGAAACTTGCTAGAGAATACTCTTAATATATATACACGTATATAAAGTGGTGAAAGGAAGGACACATATAATACTAAAGAATAAAGGTAGCCGTAAAGTATTTATTATATTATTCCCTCAACAGCTGCACTTCTCTACTTAGATGACTTTAAAGGTACTTTGTGAAGTGAAAGTAAACATACTATGGTTAGAAGGCTAAGAAGGCTTTCTTTATTTATCTGGTGGTTTTTTAAAATCATAATTCTCATCAGTAGTGTGAGTATAAAGATATAGAAATATGATTCCCCAAAGATAAAAAGGCCCTTTAAAGCAAACTAATACTCGTATATAAGCACTGTCTGTACTATTAAAAATATGTATAAGACAATACCAGGAGGTCTTTGATAGTAATAGGTGAGAAAAAACATAGAGCTTTTACTGAAAACATAAACCCTTTAATTTTCATACGAATTTGTTTTGATTTGCCCAAAATAGGCATTTTATGCCTTCCGTGCTGCGCAATCCCCATTTTTTTCATAAAAAAAATCGATACAATTCCCAATTTTCTGTTATCCCTCCTCTTCCTCCTGATTTCCTTTCGGTGGTCCTTGGTTTTTGACACAGTAAGAAAATTGTTTTTAAATGCCTATATCTTTCTATTTGTATAAGGCCCATACTGATATTTACCATGAAAACGCACCCCAGACGCGGTTTCTGGCTAAGTTCCAAAAACGATGTCCAGTCTAATAGCAGGTAAAATATTATACAGACACACACACACTTTGACACGGTCAGTATACTAACTACAGCACAGTGTTTTTCTGTGCGTGTTTTTTGTTTTGTTTTTTATGCCCAGCGTCCATTCCACTGTAGCCACGGAGAGGTCCTTCACGTCATGTTCATGTACCAGGTAAGTAAATACACAGACAGATACTTTGACACGATCAATACACTAACTATAATTTGGTGTTTTCTTTTCTTTTTATCACAGTTTCCAGTGTCCAGTCCCGTTTTGCTTTTGAGCACAAGTACTTTTTAAACCCTACGCAGCTATCTGTTAGGTAAGTAAATACAAACACGTTTTGACACGATCAATGCACTAATTATGATTCGATTTTTTCTTTTATTTTATCACAGTGTCCAGTGTCCCTTCCCGTCTTGCTTTTGAGCACAAGTACTTTTTAAGCCTTCCGTAGCTGTTTACTAGGTAAGTAAACGCGTACATACACAGACTTTGATCCGAGCAACACACTAACTATAACTCGATGTTTTCTTTTTCTTTTTCTATTGCAATGTCTAGTTTCGTTTAGCTGTTAACCACCATTCTTTTCATGGTGTCTTCAAACTCTGTATGGTCCACTGAGTGGTAAGTCAATATATAGATGCTTTGGCTCAATCAACATACTCACTTTATACTTTCACGTTACTTTATTATCTTGATAGTGTTCAAAGGTACATCTATGGAGAGGTGTCCCGAGAACCAGCTCAGTATTTTTACACCCTTCGCAGTTAATAGCTAGGTAAGTAAACGCGCACATGCGCACACACTTTGACACAATAAGTATATTAACCTTATACTCTATTTTTTATATCTCTACTCTTGGAGTGATCACTGAGTACCTCGTATTCTGTCGGTCATGATATATCAAAAGGAATATACATAAACATTTTCGTGCAAGATGTGTATATCATGGTCTTTAACAATGAGTCTCCGGGCTCATTTCCAACTCGCTCATTGTAGACGCCTTATTTATAGGGCTTGACTTAATATGAGATTCTGGTTTTTTATTGGAAGCATTGCGCTCTTTGGCTGGTATGGCTATTGAGTTCGCTCAATGTGCTATGGTCTGAAATCTGATCTGTGCCTTGCGCGTTTCTACCTGCATTTACTGCAGGGGAGAAGAAACCAAAAGGGATTCTGTCTTGGGCTTTATTGTTTGAGATGGAAAAGCTCCAATGTTTGAACCGGAGTAGTCTTTTGGGTGCTCTGGATTGTGAACTAGTGAACTGCTATTCCAGACATACCAACAAGTCAGTAGCCTTCACTCCCTGGAAAAGGTTATTGGAGGGTGCAATCCCCTCACCTTGCCTTGAGTTCTTGTCTTTGTGTTAAGTAGCTTCCGATGAGTCGGGTTGTTTTTACAAACTCCCTAATCCCGGTGAAAAGTTTCATCGAAGGCTAAACTTATTTATAAAAAACCAACTGATCACAAGTACCGTCAGGGAAAGTAGCTCTTAGTGTAGAGCATACTGGATGTTAAAGACCTTCCTGAGTCACTCATATGAAGGCGAAAGCCGGATGAAATCCACGTCAGTTTTTTCTGTGTTATGCGGCACATAATATGGAGGGGACTGAGGAACGCAGAGGTAGCTTTATGCTATTTTCTTAGGACGTTGGATATTGGCTCTCCAGATTTTGTCCTTCGGGGCAGGTCAAGATTGTCACAGAAAGGTGCAAGTATAAGGGTGTATCACCTGGATGCGTAGAGTTTTTTTAAATTCGTTGAGCACCTGGACGTGAAGTAATGCAGATGGATTAACCAGTACGATCTCCTGTATCTTACTGCTTCCTGTTGAAATGATCCCTGTGCTTTACAATTCCCTCTCTGCTTAGTCTTTGATACTTGTAACCCACACTCTGGTAAACAGAACTGGACATGAGGGACGAACCCAAAGCAAAGTTAAGGTGCCTAAGTAAATGCTATGCTGTTCCACTTGGGTGTCTCAGACACCTGTCCTGAGCAGTTTGGCATTAAAGCATTTCACCGATACTTTGCCGTCATGGTAAATTTGATGCCATGCCGAGTAGGCAGGAATGAGGGTTGTTGAGAAGCTTGGGTGTAAACTTGATTGGATCGGCCTTCAAGCGCAGGTCTTGACAAAAAAATCTTTATTTTTATACTTTTTGAGATAAATCGGATACACTTTAAAAACAGACGAACGAATATTTTAATACAATATTCAGTACTGAGATCTGTTAGATTTTTTTTTCTTAAAAGCAAGGTATGTCTATAAATATATATATATATATATATATAGACTCGTACCAACAATAATCATCATACTTATTAACTTCTGATAAATCAATAATACAACTTTAGCAATCTTGGTTTAGCCTATCTTCCTTTACTTGACAACTGATATCGGAAAACATATAAATACGAAGGTATAGTTTGTCTTAAAAAAATCAATAGTTTGATGACCTTTCATTAACCCTCTTCATCTCATGTATGTAATTAACCATTCACATGCAATTAAGCATTGTCACGCAATTAAGCATTTTCACGTAATTAGGCATTGACAGGCAATTAGGCATTGACATGCAATTAGTATTACATACTTTAACTTGAATATTGTTTTATTCTACATAAAAAGCAGTATTCAACTCCTAAGAGATTTTTTGGAGATTGAATTCTTTCCTTTACTATTAGGGTGTTTCAGCAGTTTTATGCCATTCACCAGCGTACGAGGGAATATTCCCTCGTACGCTGGTGAATGGCAATAGCAGCAAAAACTCAGAAAAGTGTAGAAAAAATTGCTGCTATATTTGGCGTGGAAATGAAATGTGTAATTACACTTTCCCCGAAGGTTGCTATTCATAGGCAAAAGTGGAGAATCTAAATTTGCATTCTATAAAGAACTAAGGGTAGTCCTTAGTTGCTTATAGATTGAAAATATCTCAAATTTAGATTAGTAAGAGCCAATCATTTAATAAATTAAACCACCACAAAAGTAAAATCTAAACATCTAAAACTGCTGAAACACCCTATTCTAATGAAATACCAACGTAAATTTTTTACGAGGCTGAGATCTGGACTGTTGGGAGGCCATATCAGCACTGCCAAGCTCTGGTGTTTCTTCCATTCTTCTACAAAATTAGATTTTTAACAGGGTACACTATATTTTTGGTAGATAGACTCGCTATCATTTCTTTCATTAAGAGCTCACATAGATCGAAGTACCTTCTTTTTGATGAAATCCATGTATTCGTACTAGTCAATTTTATTATTTATTTATGGTATTTAGTTTCCTGGCTCTTCCTGCCCACACAAAGCACCAAATCATCATGAAGCCTCTACCTCACTGTAACATGTCCTTAATACCGTCTTTTCTGTGTCATACTTTAGGATAATATTATACTCTAGTATTTCTACTTTTGCTGAAAGGTTTATATATTGGTTCACAATATCAGACTATGTGATCCCCATATATGATTAGTCTCTCAAGCTTTATTGAAAAATTGCAATTGCTTATTATTTTGTGCCATTGGTACCAGTGTATTGTGCTCAGTTTTACAAGAAATCTGAATTCATATAAGAATGGTAAACGGTTATTATTAGTTACAGAGTACATCCTTTAATATTCTGTACAGAAATAACTTGACAAGGATGTACAGACAATCTTTATATTACAGTTAATAACTATAAGCTGACAGACATGAAATATATTGAGTAGTAAGGCATGGATATTATAAAAAGAAAGAGGTTTAAGAAACAATTTACAATTAACCTATATTGATAGAAAAAAATCTTGCTCATATTATTATATATAAGTTATCGAATAAAAATGATTTCTGAAAGTCGATTCTGTTTAAAAATTGTCTCGTTTCGATAATACTGATTGAAAATTGAATTTTTATTTTAAAACTTTGAATAGTATTTATCTTTACCTTATTTTTTATATGTAAATCATTAGTGAGAATTGTGTACTGGGGTTTTAATGTATATATAAAAGGCTGTGATATATTGTGGCTCAGGTCTTACAAATGTACAAACATGGCATGATGAGTAGAATAAATGTAAAATCCTAAATAGCAAAAAATGCAAAGGAGTATATATGTATATATCAACTCATCTGTTTGTATAACATACCATTAATAAACAAGATATATAAAGATATAAAATAAAAAAGTATGCATCTACATCTACATGTATAAAGGCTTTTGACAGAGTTTTATACTTGTATATATTAATTATAGTATATATATTCAATCCAAAGCTCTATTGATATCACAACATCGATCTCTCATTTCATTATCTAATCTTTCTCTTTTTCTCTTGGATCTTTGATTCACATGAGCACCTCAAGCCCTTCCTTGGGTACAGAAGTATACTTCTTAGAATTCTATTTTTACATGGCTAGTGGTACGTTGCACTGTGATTGTCCTGTGTTAATACAACAAACTTAAATGTCTATTTTACAATGGGTTTTGGTCATGGAATGGAATAAGAGATACAAAGGTAAAAAAAAAAATGAGAAGAAAAGGAAGGTCATTTTTCTTTGGCCGTTGAGACCGCAGACTATTTAATCTTTCAAAAGTAACACACTTTTTCTGTTCGTTTGATCCCTTTTTACATATTAGCTATAATGATTCGATTTAGACATCAATATTCCTGCCAGTTTTCTATAGTTACCAGTCTATTTTATCTTTGTGCTATAAAGCTAGCATTTGGTTTCTACACTGGGCCTTCAAGAGGTTTAGAAGATATTCAATTTCGCTTTGATCCTGCCATCTTTTCATACAATGACAAGCTCTATGCATATGGAGGCAGCTTTGGTCTCAATAGTACAACCAATATTTTTACCTCCATCTCTATATCAGCTGAGGGCGACTCGAAAGGAGAGATAATATACGAGACAGTCCCTCAATATAAGCCTGGTCCAATATGCTCTTACTCTGAAGCCGTTATTCTCCAAGACGGTCACACTGCACTACTTGTTACAGGATCTGAAAAGGCTAATAATGACAAGAACCAGACAATTCGTACTTATATGTACGATTTCAAAAGTTCTGATGCCTCCTGGAAAGAGATTTTTGCAATCAACAATGCCACCGGACCTCCTATACGCCTGCATTTTACACTTACACCGGCACCTAACGGGAAAGTTTATATTTACGGTGGATCAGAGCTTTATGCTGCCCGGCATCTTAATGACTTTTGGTCTTTCGATCCACTTACTCTTGAATATAAGAATCTCACTTTATCGAATCAGCCATATCGGGGGGACCACACCGCAACAGCTCTTCCGTGAGTAATTCACTATATATATGTATATAACAAAACAATAATTAAACTATATCATATAGAAATGGACAGATTGTATACATTGGTGGTATACATTCAAATACTTCTGGTGATTACTCATCTTATCTAAGTCCCAATGTACTCGAGATATATGATACAAACACAAATGAATGGATATATATAAATGCAACCGGAGAGAAATTAGCTGGTAGTTCTGGTCCGGGATCAGTCTTAGGTAATTATAAGCACCGTTAATTTAATATATTTATCTTCCTACTTCTTTTTCTTTTTTTTACAAGAAATCAACGAGAATCCTAACTTATATGCTTATAGGCCCTGACAAGAAAACGATCATTTTATATGGTGGTAATTAAAATTTGAATAAAAAAAGGCTCTATGTATTCTAGGTATTCTAGGTAATTAACAATACAATCTAATATAGGAGGTACCATGAGTGGTGTGTATCTTAATGATATTCTTTTACTGGATACAACTACATGGGTGTGGTCAAGACCAAACATACCTGGGGATTATCCTGATGCTATGTACACTTTCAACATGGGATTTATTGGTGAAAATCTATTGGCGATTACACATGGTTAGGACCCTATACAAACGAAGAAGAATATAAATCAATCGGTGCTAATAGTGGATCAATATATAATAGATATGCTCTCAACCTTTCCTTATAGCGATATAAGTGTTCTTAGCATTGAAGACCAAAAAGCTGCTAAATATAAATGGTTGAGTGGCCCAGAAGATTTGCCAGAATTAGATACAGTGTCAAATATTCAAAGTAAAATGACTGGAGGAGTAATTGCAGGGATTACTGTTGGTGCTGTATTGCTTGTAATTATTTTGGGATTCTGCATCTGGAAAACCTCTCAAGATGTATATTGCGTGCCACGGTCATTGGGGCGCTTCATTTGGGGCCCACGGTAGATATATATATATATAATATATTGACTAATTAACTTATTAAATGTAATCTATTCTTCTCACTACTATTATTTATTTTTAGGGGTGGGGAGCCGGTATGGATTGAACTATTCCGCAAACTGATCCAATGCATTCTTGTATTCCTATTCCTGGCATACGCGGTGTTTTCTATTCGACAAGCTCTTAATAGCCCAACTACCAGTATTATAATCAGTACAAAAGTATCATCCGTGTCAATCCCAGGTATATAAAAAAAAAGCAGCGTTATAGAAATCACACTTATACATTTAATTTTCCTTTATATAGATATGAGATTTTGCTTTGAAGGATATAATATACCAGGCGATCCACGTACAAAATTCGATGAGTCGGATGGAGTTATAATGACATGTGGATCAGACACTGGTGTTTCCTGTGATCAATTTATGACAAAACTTGATATGAAGGTGCATCTTCCTGTATTTGGAGACTCTGTCACAGCATCTGATTGTTATCTATTTTCGCCTCCTAGCTGGTTCCTCTTGGGGACTACTGGTGATGGAAACCGTAATGGAACTAAACTTCATATTAAAATGTTTGGAGGGATACAGTTGACTGGAACCATTCATATGACTCAGTACCCGCCTGGAATGGACCCTAATGTAAAGGTCTATAAGATCAACTCAACTGATGTACCACTAGTAATGTCTGACCAAGATGTCAACGAGTGGGCTGTACGGGACATGCAAGGAAAAAGCGATTCAAATACGTTCACGATGTATACCAATAATTCAATGAATTTTCAGTATCAAATCAAAGACCATCAGTATCTCACGGACAGTGGATGGAACCAGATAGGGTTCCTGCCCCTTTACAACCACACATCAGAAATTACTTCGGCAGTCCAGGCAAATAACTTTGACATCCATAAAGATATCAGATATGCAGAAAATGACCTCATCATAGGGTTTATTGACCTATACCCAGTTGACTACCTCACTATTGTTGAACAAGAACAAAAGATCCACACGATCCTTAATTCTCTTGGGTCGGTTGGTGGTATTATCAGTCTTATGGCTTTTGTACAGGCTTGGATGTTTGGATTCCGGCCAAATTCTCCTTGGGGTGTTGTCCAGCGCTGGTCCTGTGGATGTATAAAGCGGTCGTTGGGTAGAAACCTTCGAAAGAAGTTTGGGGCCTTGGATACGCCTGTTCCGTTTGTTAGTCCTGTTAACAGCCGATTTGTGGATACGGAAAAGATGCATGGGTATTTGCTTGACGAAAGCGAAATTGGGTTGTTGAGAGACCAGCAAGACAGGAACTTCAAAGCCCTCCAGGATCGACAATATGTAATGGAAAGGCGGATGCAGTTGATGGAGCGTTTGTTAGAGTCTTATTATGTTGATACCGAGGTTTTTAAAGAGCTCGATCTGGCTATTGGTCATCACAAAAGGAACTCTTCTAGTTCTACAATAGCATGAGATAATGGCTTTTACTGTATTAATATAGCATAATAAATCAATAGAGATATAATTATGGTGGAGGTTTCTTTATTTTTTCTAAAGGATAAGAAAAATGTTTAAAGGTATGATAGAAAAACAAAAATAAAACAGATGGATTATTAAGACACTCCAATCACAAGTGACTATATAGCATAACATATATCATAGTACTTTTGTTAAGCTATGAATTGTGAGAAGTATAATACAAATATTAAGTTATTGGCTTGAAGAGAAAATGATAGCAACTACTTGTTAGAATTATATTAGAAAGCCTATATAAATACATACATATACACATTTAGACATGTACGCACACTTGTTCAACAGTCCAAATTTAAAAGAGATATTACTGATGTGGCTTTGTTCATGGCTGAAGCCAAGATTAGGCAACACAAAGTAGTAGAATGTACTCTACCTAAACAGAAAGAGATATATGTATATATCAAGCGATCTAAAGTGCCCGACAAGAGTACTGAGAGATAGCTTGTTATAGTGATACAAAAGAATATATTTGCCTTGTACAAGAAATAAAATAAGAAGGCCGGGACTTTTGTCTTTTGCCTTTTTTTTAGGCATATGGAAGTAATTTAGCTGTAGGCATAACATAATAAGCCTTTCTTTTAACTAATGAAGTTTTGGCATATAGAGTCCTATAGTGAGTTGATTGGTATTTATCGAAAAATGCAGGTAACAACAATAACTTAAAATCGATTGAATACTATGTTAATTGGATAGATTACTCAATAGATAACAGCCATTTGGTTCGATTAGATTATATTGTAAAGAGTAGAAAAAAAAATTAGGGTACCCAAGTGATAGAATAATAGGAAAGTAGATTCTAGGCTCAAAGAATATTGTTTGAATTGTTACACTAACTCTTGTGTATAATATAATAAAAACAGGGCTACATAATCAAGGGTTTTAAAGGTACTGTGGTCAAGCACCAAGATCCGAATCACATTTAAGTTGCTTGTTGTGTTCTTCACATCAATATGAGCAATAAATCCAGAAAAAAGATCTAATTTATTGGCTGGTTAGAAGGATACAAAGATGATGTGGGAGTGGAAGACGGTTGGTTTTGAGGCTGCTTTGCATTGCTAGGGAGAGTATTGAGTAATTGGATTAAGTATGATATGATATGATATGCTATGCTATGTTATGATATACTTGATTCTAAAGAAATACAGACATAATAGATATTAACTTTATGTGTTTCTAGATAAGTTCAGAATATACTTGTATAAACTACTTGGTCCTTGATCAAAGCCTTTATTTTATTTTATTTTTTTAAAAAGATGATAATAATATCGCTGACTAGAAACTGTATGTTAAATACATTATATGATTTTCTCTCTTATGAAGTGCTTACCTTTATATGGTCAATTCTTATTGAGGTATAAATTTATAGAATCTAGGACGTTATCTAATTATACTCGAAGAAACTTTAGGCAAGTATATTCATTATCAAGCCAGTTCGAATTCTGGCTATATACGCCCTGAATATTGTTAAGCCTTTATAGAGAGAGAATGAAAACGCACGCATATACATAAATGCACTGAGAATCAGATAGAAAGAAAGAGAGAGAGAGAGCTGTACCAAAGTTTCTACTGACTGGACAATAAAGATTAGGTTTTGTTCCACTTAGAAATTCTTAATACTGCAGGATTTAATCTCTCTTGATGAATCAAAATACATTAAATCACATCATAGGCTGCTAAAGTTTTGTGAAGACATTATGCTTAGAGAATTAATTTAAAATTTGTATTGGTTCATCTAGGCGCAGTAATAATAAGCAACTACATGCATACATAAATAAGTGAATACATAAGCGAATACTATTGCATTAAATTAATTGGAGGTACAAAGGCGTTACCTATAAGATTTGTTTATGTGCTTACTATGGCATCACATAATTGATGCCATGTAGTATTTATGAGACCAAGTATTATATTTTTATATATAATAAAAATCAAGGGGACTAAGAAAAACAACACACATAGAAAGAGATTGTGCAGAATTTTGGATTCAAAACTATATCGATTTGATCTCTTCAGAATCAAATATATTCCTGCGATACACAGCATTTAATGGGTGTTGGCAAGATTTCAAGATATAATGTGTATCAAGAAAGGGCAAAGGAATCGATGGGGAACTAGAAGGTTAGTAATTCTTTAGCGAATAGTTGAATAGGCTCTAAAGAAATGCCAATGTTACAAATAGGAATATATATATATATATATTTATGTATTTGGAAGGCACTATACTATATTAAAGACTTGTACATCCTGGCTTTGGCTTTGGCTTTGGCTTCGGATTTAGTTTGAAGGTTGGTATAGAACACACATATTTTATACATACGGAAGAAGATAGAGAATATTAAAGGAATAAAGGAATAGTCTATTGATTAAATGATCATCACAATTATTTGAAACGACTTGAATTAAAGATGCTAAAATGCATTTGTTTTAAAAGAAGAAGAGTCTAATTTTTTTTATTTAGTTTTGCTGCTGTTGATGATGATGATTCTGGTGGTTATGTGGTTTGCATGGCTTATCTGTAATCTATTTTGAACAATTAGGTTCGAAATGGTTTAGTTTAACATATCCAGGAGTTTGTATGTATATATGCATGTCTAGCCCTATTACTGTAACATTTTTTTTTCTCTACTGTCTTTGTAGATCGTCAAATTGATACGAGAAGGCTAATCTTTGACAGAGAATTGATATTTTACATTGATCTCAATACACACATACATACCTCAAATCAATTAAAAATAAAATGGCGGTGTGGATTTTGGTATTATTCTTTGTTTGATCTGGCATTCCTGAACAAAGATAGACTTACTGGTAATGTAGCCCCAGATAAAGAGAGTTTACGATCTTGGCTGCACGTTTAGAGCTATGATCTCATTCAGCTTATTCTCTTTTTCTTTTTTGTTTAATGGCTTGTCATTTTGTACTTCTTTTTTTACCCCATAAAAAAAAATTAGAAGAAGTACAAAATGACAAGCCATTAAACAAAAATGATGAAATTATGGCTTTTGAATATGCTTCTGAGTTCAGTACCAACAAGTTTAACTTTTTCTTGGTTTATTTATTTAACATAGTCTCTGTCGATGATTCCAGAAGCATTACTTGTGGATATCATTAGTATAGAAATTCTTTCTTTATAGGCAAAAGCTTGGAACCTTCTCCACAGCCTATCTATACATAATATACTAGAGTATGAAGTCTGTCTTATCCGACAGAAATTCCTGCCAAAAATCATCATTGTCCGATACAAGTTACCTTCACATATCTGTAACATATATGTAACATATTTGGTCTCTCCTTTTCCTTATAAAAAAATTAACTTAATAAGAGTGTCACAGTACAAGGTCAACCAAAACACCAAAAACTCTTTTTTTTTTCTTTCTTTATATATATTATATAGTATATGCTTGTTTGCCTTTCAGGATCGGAATGTCTTGTATCCCCCTTTCTTTCTTTTATTTTCTGTATTGACGTCACATAGAAAATAGCCAAAGATAACCCTTGCTTTCTTATAGTACAGCAAGGAGTTCTTTTATTTTTATATGTAAAGAATCTTAAAAGGTCAAAAGCATCTAAACTTTACAGCAAAGGGGTGATGAAATAGTCTAGACCCCTTATACTTCCCCTTTACTATCATTTTATATATACTAGCTGTTTCCAAACTAAACAAAAAAAAACGATAGGTTGGTTCATTCTTCCAAATATATAATTAAGAAATTATGATACTCCCCATACATTACTATCATTTTCTTTCTTTTCTCTCTTTAGAAAGAAGCAGAAAAACATGTTGTTTCTATAGTACTTTCTTTGCTTCTTCTTGTTTTGGTGTTTAAAGTCCTAAGATCCAGTACATTTCTTGTACAGACACCAAGGCTGGTCTAATGTTGGTTTCTTGCTGTTTCTGTTTAAAGGAGAAGCAAAAGGGTGTGTGTGTGACTTTTTTTTGGGGAACAGAAAAAATAAATAATTTTAGATGCAGAAAGTGTTGTAGGCGGGGTTGAAACTTTACTCACCAAGAAAAAGAGGGGTTTTTTTTTTTCTTGTTTTATCTATGTGCATCTTTTGTCTATTACTCATACAGAGGAGCTGTAAAATTACTATATTTGCAATCAATAGTGAAAGAAATTGTTTATTAGTCAGATTTGCTTTACAAGATAGCCTATAACTCATCGATAAATACTATTAAAAGATGTAATATTTAGAATTAAATCAAATCTACAAGATCAAAGGAAATCAATTGAATTGAAATGAAAACAAATGAAGGAAGCCCTAGCCCTAGCCCTAGCCCAGATACGCTATCATTGTCCTTTTTGATTTTGGCTGACTGCTTGATTTGACTGGTCTAAATATTGTTATTTTGGGATATACGAGTAGTTGGTGTCGCAGTGAATTACAAATTATTGGGAATCACCCAAACCCCATAAGTTGGCCCTTTTTTTTTTTCTTCTTCTTCTTCTTGGTTATTTTATATACTCATCAAAAATAGTATTATGTGCATACACAGACTCCGGTGTTGAAAGTTAACCAATTAAAAGAAGCCAAAAGAATAATAAAAAGACCTATTTTGATGGCCACTGACTACAAGGATAATCAAAATTAACAAAGAAATAAGGAATATTGATATTAGTGGCAGTGGTTTTCGTAATCGATTTAATATCAAGTTAAATTAATAATCCTAAAAAAAATCCCTTTGATAAGGTTATTTATTTATTAATTAATTAATTAACTCTTTTTTATTTGGTCAAAAAGATACGAAAGATCTTATCCAATACCAAATAACATTGGGTTGACTTGCGAGACATTTTGCTGGATAAACATACTTCTTGTAAACCAGAAAAGCTTCTTTATCAATCATATATTGATTTCAATCCAAATCGAATCAAATAAGATGGGATATTTCTAAAGGGGAAAGTATCTCCACTGTAATATTGTAGATCTTTGTCTTGCATTTTGTCTTTTTGCCTTGTAGTTTTTGTGGTTATCCTATAAGGTAAATCAGCTCCCCTTGCCCCTCCCACCCTTTTGGTCTTTGGCCTCTACTATTGCTATTACTAATGCTATTTCTCTTTGTCTCCCCTCTCTATATACGTCTCTATATCCATATTTTTTTTTATCCCTGTTTTCTAGAAACAAAATTATTATTATTATTATTAAATAAACAGACCTTTATATTTAAATATAATTGTGTGTGTGTATATAGATCTATGCATGCAACTATGTATATTGTGTATATGAGAAATAGTGAGAGTATGGAATCTAGGTTGATGTAAATAATCGAAGAACAAGATACATCATTGATCCAATAAATCTAAAGGCTGACAAACCAGCATTCACCCACAAGATCACCGACATATAAGTAGTTCCTACCGACTCCACATATATCGTACTAAACGGCGTCGATGTAACGAATGCCACCAAAAGCGCATTGGATGCTATCCAAGCCAACACAAGGTGTGTTCTAAATGATCGGTGGTAGTCTTCCTTGCTCTTATTCCCGGATCCCTAGATAGATTTTATTTTAGAGTTTATGGATTTGTTCTTATCGGAATACTAAGCAAATACAACCTGGTTTTATCTTATCTTTTATTTTATTTATTTTGATGATTACCTTTTCAATTGGTACTTTGGCATCCAGTGTCAATAGTGCTTCTTCAAATTCAATATTAACGTCGCGTTGTTCGGCAGGTAGCTCAACCTCGACTGTTTGTTGTTTGTTGTCCGAGACCTTGACCACACCCAGATCTTTAGCTACACTATTATCCCCCTTTGTTCCCCAACTATTATCATTATTAAGAAAATGATGGCAATAAAGAGTCAATTGGCTTGTTCGATTAGACTTTTCTTTTTCTTGTTGAAATACCTGACATCATGGGTATTACAAAATGCATAGATGTTTAGAATGTTGACATAACCAGGTAGTAGGAGCAGATATGGCAAGAAGCTGGTAAACATGTGCCAAGGCTGTCCGTACAACAGACTCGATACAAAGTAGAGTCCATAAGTGGCAGCCAGAGACACAATCATGTTTCTTAGACCAGTGTTCTCAAACACCAACCCCACATTAGTATTCAGGCTGTTTGTCCAACCGATTGTCTCGGAAGCATTCTGAATACCCTTGTAGATGACCCACGATGAAGCAAACATCATGTAGCACATTATCACCGAGAACGCAATCAAGGATCCAACAAACAGCCATTTTGAACTATAAAAAAAAAGACAAATTGATAGTCAATAACTCTATTACTAGATCATTCTGGGGTGTAATACACACTATATATATATATATAACGTACCCTTGGGGTCTATTTCCCATTGAGCAAATGAAGAGCAAAAATATCAAAAACATGTAAAAGTATCGGAGCATGTCAAAGATCCTTGCTCCCCAACCTTGACCGAATGGATCCACATCAGGGTTGGCTAGACTCTTTGTGATAAAGTAGAATGTGATATAGAAATTGCCCTATTAAAACGATAACAATTATATTTTTAGTTCATGTTTTTGATTGATTGGTCGATTGATTAATATTTTTCTAATACTTTGGCTGATGCTTACAATGGTTAGCCAACTAAAAATCAGGTTTATGACATTATAGATTCCCTCTATGGACAAGAGAAATACACGGGTGAATGAATGGCGGCTGGTCCAGATTGATTTGAAATGCCAGAGACCATAAACACCGGCAAAGAAACTTCCGTTGAGCCACCGGCGTCGCTGTGAAATAAACTCTGCCAATTGGTCTGGTACGTCAGTTTCAGCAAACGCACTGTTACAGTAGTGCAACAGCCAGCGTTCGTTTCTTTTGGCCACTAGTTCAAAGCACAGGATACGGTCTTCTGCCAGATACATATTGGCCTCAAACAGTCCCGACTTCTCATCAGCACCGTCTTGCGAGCCCAAGTTTTCGCCCTTGAAATATTTTTCGAGCGGGCCGTGACCATTGATGTCATTGAGAAGAGCCTGGTATCGGTAGGCCGAAAAGGCACCTGGTAAGACAGAGATATATCCAAATACACTCTCAAGGGGTTTATCAAGAATGTTGGACATCTTGTACTCAAAGTTCTGTGCGGCGACCAAAGGATTCAAGAGATATGAGAACACGGGACCAAGCATGGCTCGAATCTCCCCACAGGCACCCCCGACATTGGGGTTTCGATCAAAAGTCTTCCAGAGTTGGTAGATACTCGAGTATCCAGGACGGGTTCCGACATCCAGTAAGACACAGATGTTGGGTTGCAAAAGTGGCCCAAACGCGCTAAAAAACCATCGATGGGAATTAATCTTTTTGGCATTTTTTTCCTTGAGGCAAAACATAATCTGTACAGGCACAATGCCCTATCAAAATAAATAAATAAATGAATAAATATAGAGATAGACATATAGACGGATAAACAGATATTAATGATAAGCTACCAATCAAGGTTTAATTAATCATAGCTGCAGGTACAACGCACCTTGTCGATGCCTTTTAGTTTAAGCTCTGGATCGATGGATATTTGTGTGGTAAACTAACAAGAAATAAAGTCATATGTACACAGCTTCTTGTTTGTATTATATGTACATGTGTGCAGTTGTGTACCTCATATATGTGTGCAGTTACATGCTTATTATCAACCATGTTCTTTGCAATGCCTGACTGATAGACCCCCATGGATGCCAATACACTCAGCACACGCTTATTGATGATCTTTCGGCCGTCTGCCACAATCGAGACCACCACCTTTTTCCAGCCGTCAGGTCCCCACATTGAAGAGTTTTGCAGACTACAGAGATGTGCAATGTTCTTCATAACTCCGTGCATAGTACGTGTGAATAAGATTTCATCTTCCTAAGTTCTTAAATGAGTCTCGCGCATAAATGTATTATCAAATAAAGAAATAATTAATGAAATCCTTTAAACAAAGAATAAAAGCTAATCAAGAAACTGACCAAGTAACCAAGTAACTAACGAAGTAACTGGGTAACTAGGTAACTAAGTAACTAGGTAACTAGGTAACTAACAACAATAATGCTTATAAATAAGTTAAATTAAATAATTAAATAAACAAACAAACAAATAAATCATTATATTATATTATGTTATGTTATGTTATGTTATGTTATATTACATTACATTGTACATTGTCATCACAATAAACAGTTCGGTCTGTCTATTGTAAAGCTGTGGTCGAAGGGTGTATCCTCGGGATTGGAAATCGTCAGGCTCGCATGTGGCGGCTGTATATCGCATGGTACTAAATTCCTCTTCCTTGCGCGCGACTGCCTTGAGTAGCCGATCAGGGACTGGGCAGTCCAGGACAAGGTTTCCACGGGTGAGCTGGATACGTCGAGTGGCGTAACGACGGGATTTAGGGACTGTTACTGGATGAGATTTAAGGGTCTGCTGTTGATGTTGAGGTGAAGACTCTACCAGGGTCGTGACAGAGGCACGGCCAGGATTCTGTAGACCAAGCGATTCATCGGTCGGCCGTGGTGTGTGGCTAGCAGCAATTGGGGCTGAAAAGTATGGTATTCGGGACGAGAAGAGGTTACGGGATGTCGAGCGAGCTGGCTGCTGTTGGTGCTGCGGCTGCGGCTGCGGCTGTAAGTGTGTATGAGGATTAGGATGAGGATGTGGCTGTGGCTGTGGCAGGGGAGAATTAGAGGATGAAGAATGAATCGGAGGATGGCGATCTCCAGGGTCTGTGCTGTTGACACCTGAAGGAGAGCCATTCTTCAGGGTCATTGATCGTGTTTGGGGATGTAGTAGTGGAGAAGATGTATTTGAGTGGCGTTGGTTGTAAATCTGTTGGATCAGACTGCGTTCTTCGTTTGTTGGAGGACTACTAGAGTTCTTCCCAAAAAGCATTCCCATCCATCCCTCTAGAATGCCTTGAGATCCGTTTGACTGTGCCATTTGGTTCTTTAAAGAAGAGTATCGACGAATTAAGCAAAATAGGCTTGTATTTACTGAATCCAATGAAAAAGAAAAAATTTAAATAATAATTAAGCAATTAAGAGTGGCAAATGTATATATATATATATATATGATATATATGTGTGTGTGTGTGTTGAATAAGAGCAAGAGCAAGAGCAAGAGCAGGAACAAGAGGTAAAAAATAAAAAAAGGGCTCTAACCTGCTCTTCTTGTTCTTGTACTTGCTCTTGTACTTGTACTTGTACTTGTCGTTGTTGTTGTTGTATCCTATTTAATACACTTTTCATCATCTTTTTTAGTTACTTTTTTTGCTGAGTTTATGATCCAAGTCTTTTTTATTTTTATATAAAAAAAACATAATAATCATAATAATAAATTGCCTTTCGTAGCATTGTTTTTGGCCAATTTTGAACATCATTGTTTTCACTCTCTCCTCTTTTAAATAAAAATAAAATAAAGACAGTTGTATACACAGATATACATATAAAGAACAATACTAAACATCAAACATAAAATATAAAAGACATGCCAGCTGAAAAAGTGGTTGTCATGCCGAGTCGAAAGACTAATGAAGTCTATGAAAACTGGAAGGTCTATTCAATCAATGACAAACTAATGTTCCGCTGCAATGCGCAAGTATATAGATAAATAATTATTCAAACCGATTAATTAGTCTGAATAATGAATCAGTCAAGACAACACCAGTATAATTATTTATTTGCTTTAATAATATTGTTTAGTAAAAAGGCTCAATGGTACATGAGTCGTAAATTGGCAAATCCTCATTCGAGTCATGCAAAGGCGATCCAATTGACCTTTGAGGCAAAAGGCCAAGGTCATTCGGCTGATGACTATATGGTTGAGGATCGAGTCAATAGTTGTGTTTCATGTGATGCAAGAGATGGTTTGACAGTTCATCATGTAGGCAAGTAATAAAATAAAAAGAGGTTCAAGTATGATGTAATAAGATTATAATGTTTGGTGTTGAATAGTGCCAGACATGTATAGACGTTGGATGCCATTAGTAATTAAATCAAAATCAGTAAGTGAGTGGTCGTTTTCAGTGTTATAAATTATCCTGTTAATGTCAATTTCATTGTTATAATCTGCTTGCCTGTTTGTTTGTTATTTGTTTGTTTGTTTAATGTTAATGTTAATGTTAATACTAATATTAATTCTGGTGATTAAGAGTAGGGATCTATTGCTTCTGTGCAAGATATGCCACGATGGTTATGAAGGACATGCTCTGAAACTCAAGAAACAATTGGTCAAAAAGTATGATATTGCACTAGAGGGAAAGGGATGGATTCAGAGACCAGACTACCGAGCTGCCCGTAAGGCTGCAGCCGCCCTTCTCCGTGCACCTGAAAAGATCCCTCAGTCCAGAATAGAAGAGCTTACAACGACCGTGGACTCGTTTGCAAAAGGGGAAGGCTGGACAGATCTTAAATGGACAGATATCCTTAGCAAGTGCTCTGAGCTCAAGGATACTTTCCAAGGCCCTGATTTTGTTGAACACGGAGAATGTGTTGTCGGACAATTGATGCAAAACACAAACGACAGAGGACGATGGCCAGACCTTGAAGAGTTTGTAAAACAATGGCGCCAACATTTTCTGGACCACTTGAAACCAAAGTTCCTCAGTTCAAGGTGGACTGTTGATGGGGATATCTACACTGCTTAATCTAGTACACAATACATAGATAGATAGATACAGAGATACAGAGATAGATATATAGATGCAGGTGTATGCAAATATGCAGAGTTCATCTTACTTTTTTTTTCTTTTCTTTTCTTTTACAGATATACATTCTTTTCTCTTTTTTTTTCTTTTTCTAAATGTTTCTTTTTATGGGGGCTATTGGTTCCAACAACACCAAGAAGAAGCAGAAGAGGCATAAGAAGGATATTAGTATCCGTCATCTTCATCGTCATCATAAGCATAACTGTAACCATAATTACAAGCATAATTACCATAAACATTTTTTTGCTAGTGTTGGAATTGTATATAAATAATATTCTCTATTAACATTTTGTTTTTGGTTGGGGAGCCCTCGAGGTTAAGATCTAGAAAGGAATCAACTTGGACTCCTTTGAAGATTACAAGATGACCGGAAATTTAGTTTTCCCCAAATATTCTAGAATCCAAGCGATCTTTTATATCATAATTTTGATTTTGATTTTGGTTTTGGTTTTGATTCTGATAAATTATTGCAGAAAGAAAGCAAGCAAGAAAGTGCAAAAAAAAGGAGGGGTCAAAAAAGACTATCTATTGTATAGTCCAGGGATTGCATCTATGTATGTATGTAAAGATACATATACATACATACATATATGTAGTCTGTAGTCTATCGCATGTAGTATATAGTATATTTGTTTATATATATATGATGAGTTTGATCAAATAAGCCATATATTTAATAGTAAAAATCAATTGATCAATTGATTGACTGATTGACTGATTGATCAATGGGCTAAAGTATAATAAGAATACTAAATACAACTTCTTTAATTTATTTATACAATATATAAATAAATCATTAAGAAAAAGAGAAAAATAAAGGTAAAGATGAGGCTATAGGGCTATAGGGCTTTTGATTATCTTGTATTGTTTTACCAAGCACAAGGGTTGGCTATGCTTTCCATGTGAATGCAAATATATATATATATTGAATTTATCTTTGAGAATGCAACAAAATGCCGAATTATTATTGTACGTTATATTGAACTACTAATCTTCAGGCTCTATACTATTGACTTGGTGACACTCATATAACAAAAGAAAAACATGTACTACACTATAGATAATGACGCTATCAGTAATCAACCACAGAATATATATTTGTGTCTTTCTTATTCTTCTATTTTGGTCTTACTCCTTTATGAACTATGTGTATGGCTGCTTGTTGTTGTGGTATGTGACAAGAAGGATCTTCTTGATTTTTACTATACAATTATAATTATATGGGTATGATCTTTATAGGAGAAAAAATAATTTATAATACAAAAAAATAAAATAAAATAAAATCTAGCTCAGCCCAAGCATGATCTGAACAAAGACCATTTTACCTGTCACTTGTCTTACTCCTACAACGGCATGACTCCGATTCAATCCTAAAAAAACAGTGCCATGTGAAAAGGGGAATCGGTTAATTCTTTTCTCCCTTGTCATTGTCTATATAACACAATTTGCTGCTTGTTCTGTTTCTTATTCTTATCATAATTTTTATTTATTTTTTATTTTATTTTATTTTATTTAATTTTATTTAATTTCTTTAATGGTACCAGATACAACCCTTACCAGAAGCGCCATCTACTTTGCCGCCCTTGCTCAGACGGCCATTGCTCCAGCAGCATTTCTACACTATGTCTACTACATAGCCACAGAGTCACTTCTACTAGTCCTACACCCTTCTGTCGACCTCTTGCTTCACTACTGGCTTGGAGCTGAGCTTATTTTCTATGTTTATTTCCAAATCACACACAACCGTATGCAACAGTCACTCCCACCCGTCTTCCCAAGCGCCAAAGAACGAAGCATACTCTACTACAACTGTCTAGAAAATGTTGAAGATGTCCGGGAGTTCTTACCTGGCTGGTTTATGCATCGCAACAACCCTTCTGTGCGACCACCGCTAATGGATATCTGTCGAGACAACCTTGCGGAATGGTAAGTCTCTTCAGATAGATAATCAGATAAATAAATAAATAAATATGTAAATATATGTACATGTAAATATACGCACATACATACAACTCCCTAATATAAAAAATGTAAACAAATAAACAAACAAACAAATATAATATAATTAAATTTTCTGTTCAATAGGATCGCATGGGGATTCTTCTCTAGTCCTCTTGAACACATCTTGGAAGACGCTGCCCTGACTGACGAACTCTATGGCATGATCGATGGCTTACAGGCCAAATTCAACATTAAGCTCAAGCCAGGCTACGACGAGGATGTCCAGTCATTCCGGCTCAGTCTGGATCCCGTAATAGCCTACTATCGCCCTCTGTTCTTCTACCTCTTCGTCATGCTCCTTACACACGCATTTGGCTTTGTGTTGCAAATGTGGGGAATGTCAAAGTATGGCCCTGAGACACAGTCTACTCTCACAACGTTCCTAGAACCTCAGGAGTCCTGGCGCTCAATTAACCGTCTCACAATTATTCCCGAAAGAGTGTCGTACTGGTTCCGGGATGGCGATCGCCAGAACAAGAAGCCCGTTGTGTTTATACACGGATTGGGCGCTGGTCTGATGTGCTACTGCAAGTTTATCTATGCCCTCTTGACCTTAGACTGTCCGGTATTCTGTGTCGAGCTTCCATACGTGGCAATGCGTTGCACCGAAGATGTACCAACGATGCAAGAGACCGTGCGCGACATTGAGCGTATGTTGCACCGACACCATTTCCAGGATGCTGTCTTTGTGGCTCATTCACTCGGAACAGCCGTGACTTCCTGGTCACTCAAACTCATCCCTCGCTGTATTTCTGGCGTCGTTATGCTTGATGCCATCTGCTTTATGTTGCACTACAGAGATGTATGTGGCAATTTTGTCTACCGCTTACCGACCACGGCTGGACAGGTAAAGGATCTCAACCCGCGGCTCTTATTATATATAATTTTTTTGGGGGAAGAAAATTTTATATATAAAATTTTATATATATAAAAAAAATTGATGCTAACAAGATGATTTTTTTTTGTATCTTTAGTGTATCATTAAATATTTTGCTTCATCTGAACTCTATATTTCGTACTATATCTCACGTCATTTCCACTGGTTCCAAACAGCTCTTTACGTGACGCCCAAAGTCTCTCATAACCCAAACATGGCAGCCATGACTACCCAGTTGCCACGAAACACAAAGATCTTTCTTTCCGAAAACGACAGCATAGTTGACTCTTTGCGGGTCGACCGCTACCTAACCCATCATGGAATCGACTCGGTTGTCATGAAAGACCTCGAGCACGCATCATTCCTATTCTATTCTAGCTGGGAAGACAAGATTCTCAAAACAATCAATGATTTCACCACTATCCACGACACCAGATAAACAAGTCAAGTCAACAAGATGTCTTTACATTACACTACACTACACTACACTACACTACAGAACATTGATCGATAGATGCGCTCTTGGTCTTATAATATTCAACACAAAAAGAAGAAGAGGAAAGAAAGAAAAGTCTCCACACATTTGTACATACTACTTGTTTTCTTCCTCTTCTTCTTTTATTATTACCACATCCCTCACTCAAACTACCTCCTTTCTATATCTACTATATATCTGTCTAGCTATAGCCTTCCCCTTTATCTCTCGCTTTCTTTTGATTTTATATCCTCTCCCTCTGATCCCTTGCATATATCCACCAAAGATTGATCTTTTTTAGAATTTCTCTTTCTCTCTCTTCTTCTTCTTATATATATCGTTCTCATATATATAAAGGCTTAATAAAGAATATTATTATTATACTACCCTATATCTCCTCCTTCATATTCAACTGTCTTCCCCTCTTTATTTTTTTTATTATTTTTTATTACTTGAAAATAAAATAAAAGACTTAACAGATATATATATATATATATATATACTGTATTATGTACTATTTACTATGTTGTACTGTGTTATTTACAGATCATTCAAACCGTAACACCAATCCTATGCGCCAACCGAAGGTATTGCTCGCGTGCCAATTTACGTTGTCGCCAAATAACCAATATAATTGAGACAACAGCTACCACAAGATTTATACTCTTTTTTTTTGTTTGTTTCAAAATAATATATTATATTGTACAATATAAAAAAAAGGGGGGATTCATTCATAAAATTTAGTTTTCTTTTTTTCTTTTTTTTTCAAATCTCACACTTCCCCCAAACAATGGCAGTATTAAACCCCCACAAATACACAATTATTCTTATTATTCTATTCTTACTATTATTTTGGTTTTATTCTTAATGCTACTTATTGTTATTTTCAAAAGCAAAACAAGCCAAAAAGAAAAAAAAATTACCTCGAATTGGATAAGCTGCCAACGTACAATGCGTTTGACTCGTGGACAACTACGGAAAGACGGCAGTGAAATAGCATCATAGTCATAGAAAGTCGTCTGATTCTTGCGGTCGGCTAAATCGGGGTCATTCCACTCACACCGCACTGGCTCTTTATTACCAAATTCTGCACAATAGGGAATCGTTTTCTTTTTTTGGGATTTGGGATTTTATTATGTATAGTATAGTATAGTATAGTGAGTATAATTATTTATTCTTAACCAACCCAAGAGAACATATATATATACAAATTACCTTTTCTAAAGAGGTACACACATCACAATCACCAGTAGAAATGCAGCTATACGTTGGAGTCTTTACATCTTCATGAGAATGTGTATAGTCCCCGAGATTTTGGGTAGATGACCCATGTTCTTCAGGAGGTGGAGCTCGTCGTTCAAAGGCATGGGATGGTACTAAGAATAACCTAGATAGACTATTAGTTTTTTTTTGTTTTTGTTTATGTTTATTCTTATTACTACTGCTAATTCTCTCAATCAAGATTCCATTAGCATACGTTATCAGGAAGATTATAAGAAGCCTTGAATTATTAGATTGCATGATGAGAATGTTGGATTCAGAGGGGATGAAGTAATAGAGAGAGAGGGTGCTTTAAAATAATAATTGATTAATTGATTAAAAAATCTCTAATTCATTTATTCATTCATTCATTCATTTGTTACTTCATTTAATAAAAAAATAAAAAAGGGAACGATTTATTTATGTGACGTCAAAAAGTCATTAGGAAATATACTGCATGCATAGAAAGTGTTTGTATGTAATTATACATATTTTAAATAAATGTCAAAGGTTAATTCTATTTAAGCGCACATACATATTTGTATATAACCAAGATATTCTTATTCTTTTGTTTGCTTTCAAAACTATAGTACACATGCCCCTCCTCCCTTTGCTCTTTCTTGTACGAATTATCGTCTGTATTATTCATCAACCGATTTGTAGAAAATAAAGAAAATAACCACCTTATTCTTCTTCTTCTTCTTCTTCTTTGTTGTTATTTTTTTCAAATTGTGTGTCATTTTACATACAAAACATATCCTGTACTCCAATTTTCTACATAGTTGGATTAAATGGAATTCCCTGTGCACATATATCGGTTTGTTAATCGCTTTTTTTTGGGATATTAGTGCATTGAAGGGAAGAGATAGGGCTATATTTTGATTAAATTATTCTATGCAAGTTTCTTTTGAACTTTGCATAAAACAAGACAAGATCGAAAAACCACCAGAGTTTATAATTTGTTTGAATATTAACTTTCTCTTTCTTTAAAGTATCTATAAAATAAATTCATTTTCATATAATTTTCATTTATTTATTTATTTAAGGTTTGCATATAGAATCAATTGGTTGGATTTTATGTCAGTTAATATATACCCTATAGAAAAAAAATAGGCGATTTTAGTGAATTGTTGCAAGTTTTTCGAGGTTTAAAGTGTATTGTAGTTTAGTTTTAATTAAGCACCAATTTCTACTCCACCATGTTTTTTTGCAGTCAAAGCAAAACATCTTTTTCTTAGCTTTTTCAACCCATTACAAAACTAAATACCAAGTTATTCAAATCTAATGGCTTACAAGCGGTAGCTTGGGTGGGTCCTAGGCGGTAACCAGGACGAAATTTTTTATTTTCCTTGAATTCTAGTCAGTCTTTGTCTCAAACGACGACCCTCCTGGAGATCTTCTTCTGCTTGTCTTCTGATACGTCCAATCCGAATGACGCGGGTGAACCTTACAGGTATAGTCTCATCATATCTCAGATTGTTAAGTATATGTCGGAAGTTCAGGACAGCAGCAAGATCCCGATTCCACAAACGATGCATAACCTCTGACCCGTCCATGTTCTCCAAACAATTTAGATCGGTACATCTAAAAAGGACTTGTTTCTATTTTTTTTTTCACAAGGTCTAGAATTATTAAATGTCTTTAAAAAATACTTAATAGCTATCAAGGTTAGTATTAATAAAATACGAATCAGCAAAGTTGACAAAAGAAAGTAGCTTGAGAAGAATTGACAGAAAAATATCTACATCATGTACAGTTTGGTTGTCAAGATTGCTCGCATGCTCATTAGAAATCTCGGTAGATTTAGAGAATCGCAGGGAATCTGTCTTCTTGTTTTTCAAAAGTAGGAATCAGACATGACAATGTTAACACAAAGTAGGTTTATACTCTTTGATAAAAAGAATTAATTAAGCAATATACATATCTTCATCAATATCATAGTACTTAGAGAATAGCCTTTTTTTAGATAAAAAATGTAAAAAGTATTACATAGAAATAGATATATGTATATTATTTAGTAACTTTATAGCTTAAACTGTTACAAAATATCATAAAAAATAGTACTTCTTCTTTCCATACTTCTTTATATTCAACTTCTATTATTTTGATCAATAAAAACTATAAAATTAGAGAGGGTGTCTTCGAGTCTGAATTGCAAATGCTTGCAAAAAATATTTTACGCGGCGAATTAAATTCCAATATTTGTTTTGCAAATTTCATGGTGGAGGCCATTTAGTGAGCATTTGAAGCCAAAAGTTAGGGATTCCCTGATTTTTGACTTCAAATGCTCACTAAATTTCTAGTAAAAATTGAGCTTATTTTCCCCACTTCAAAACAAAATTTATGATAGCCAGTAGCCTCTTCTTCATACTTACTTAATAAAATAAGCCTTGGATAGTCAAGTTTATTAAGGTCTATTTCCTCTAATTTTCTTAGTATCAATGTTTTCAACTTATAATATTCATAACTGTGTCTGAGTTTTATGCTTATCTTTGATTGGGTTTTACAAATAACTATTTTTTAGTCATCTTGAAATTATCATAACTCGACACCCTCTCTATTCAAATATAAAACCGTGCATTTATGCCATTCACCAGCGTACGAGGGAATTGTCGAGGGAATTGACAAAATTTCTAGAATAAGGACTCTAGTTACAAAAACGTATGTACTAAACGAACATACTTTATAAAGCTCATTCTATATAGCCAAAATAAAACAAATCATTAACAAAAAAATAAAAATTGGCAGGGTATTTTAGTAAATAATTAAAAAACAGATGCTGAATAACAATCGGAATCGTATATGACGTGGCTCAATTCCCTCGTACACTGGTGAATGGCATAGATGCAAAAATAATCTGGGATCTAACGAATTGTATTATCCAAATTTGTTATGAAAAGGGAAATATGTACCTAAAAATGGTATAATTTTGCTATTTTAAACGATTTTATTGGATTAAATAAAAAGTAATTTTAACTCTAATAAATAGTATTCGCTGTAAATACTTTTAATTTACTAAAGGCCAACATTCTATTGATAGAAATTACAATATTTTATTTATACTGTACTGTACTCTAGTAAACAAACGGTTCCTTGATGTTTTATTTTATCATAAAACTAAAAAGCACTTCAAATGAATTGAAACATCCTCTCTTTCAACCAGGCAGTCACGTACCGTCACGTCTGCATGACGCTTCTTTTATAATATGTGAAAGACGTATACGTCTTCAAGGCACCAAGTTACATTATCTCTCTTTTCTTTCTTTCTTTATTTCTCTATTTTATTCATATATCATCAATTACAGAATCATGGCTACTGATATCGACACTCTTGTTAGCATGGGATTTTCCCGCGGAAAAGTGTAAGCTTTATCCTATATATATATATCTTGACTAATATGTCTAGCATAGGCAGAAAGCTTGGAAGGCAACCAAAGGAGCTGGACTTCAGCCTGCTATGGATTGGTAAATATACCTTTATCCTTTCATATTAAAAAAAAACACTAAAAAATCACTCATTCACTGATCGAATGTCATTTAAACTTAGGATTCTTGAACATCCAGAAGTTTCTGATGAGCCAGACGTTGAAGAATCCTCTACTGGACAATCACTAAATACCACTACTTCTACTACCGACGCGTCGACCGATACCCCTACTGAGAATGAAGAAGGTATCCTATCACAACCAAAAATCATTACAATAATGCGACTATATAGGGAGTATATAATACTGACATAACATGATATGATATGATATGATATGACATACAAAAAGGTGAAATCTTTAATGGTGAACAGACTGCTCACAGTTTGATTTGTAATGACTGCCAAAAGTTATTCCGGGATTGTAAGTTCTTTGTTTCCGTTTTTTTTGTAGACCATATATAGAAGTATCTTTGTGAGAAAGTAAAAGACAAAGGAGAGATTACATTTGTGTGTGTGTGCTTGGTTGTTGGAATATTAAATACTTGACTTATTACTTTTAGCTACTGCTGCAGAGAGACACGCCATCAGAACACAGCACCAAAACTTCTCTGAGAGTACTGAAGTCATTGCACCTCTGAGTGAGGAAGAAAAAAAGCAAAAATTGGCAGAGTTAAAGGCTCGCCTGGCTGAGAAGCGTGCATTAAAGGCACAGGAAGAAGAAGCCGAGCGTAAACAGGCTGAAAAGATCCGTCGCAAGGCTGGACAGGACTTGAGTGAAGTTAAACAGCAATTGGAAGCCAAGGAAATCAAAAAGGCCTTTGATCTGAAGCGCAAAGAAAAGGAGGATGACAAAAAGGCATTGGCCAAGATCAAGGCTCAGATTGAGGCTGACAAGAGAGACAGAGCTGCAAAGGCAAGTTGTAGTCCTGTAAATCACATATAGTTTATACATATATACATATATACTAGTCTGTGTATGCGTGTGTGTAAATTAAGCATATTGCTGATGAAGAGCAGCGGACAACTAACTTGGTATGTGATACAGAAAGAAGCTGCTAAGAATGGAACACCTATTCCAGCAGTGGCCGCTCCAGAAGTGGCTACTCCAGTAGCCGCGTCTGCACCAGCTGCCAAAAAAGAATACACAGAGGCTAGATTACAGGTATAAAAAAATAAAGATAAGGCCAACTAAATTTGGAATATATGTATATATATTGTATTGATTGATTGACTGTGGGATTATTTGGACAATTAGATTCGTGTGCCTGGTATCTCTCCATTGACAAGCAACTTCCCTGCTGATGCCACACTTTCAAGTGTCCAAACTTATCTTCAATCCAATGGATGTGTCAATAACTTTACACTGTCTACCACATTCCCCAGGTAAAGTATTGATAAGGATATAACTGCTAATAATCGGTTACAATTAATTGATGTGTACCGTACTAAATCGTGTGTGCTATAGAAAAACATTCGGTACTGACGATCTCAACAAATCACTCAAAGAATTGGGGTTGGTTCCATCTTCTGCGCTTGTCTTGACCTATATTTGAAATAGACAAATCTATCTACATATATAACACCCACATACAGCCTAATGAAGAAAGAAAGACCTTTTGTGTTTTTTGTGGGCGTGTATTTAGGTGAGGAAATGTGCAGATTTTTATTGGCTTGATAAGAATAGTATGAAGATATAGAGTTTTTGGCCAATTTTACCATTTGGCAAAAGAAAGAAATTTTCCTTCTAGTGTAATTTTGACACGGTCTCCTTTAGGATGTGGCACCTATATAATATATATATATTTTGGGTTTCATTTATTAAATGATTAGATACTGAATTGAATACTTCAAAGTTTTGTGCCTCTTTTCTTTCTTTACCTTGTCCACATGCGCTGAAAAATCAATAGCTGACATGATACCATCACCAAACTATATAGTTGTATTAGCTTATTATTGTTTAGCATTTAAATATATCGCCAGACCTTTTCATGAATGATAGCCTTGAGTGGATATCCATAAACTTTTATGATTTCCAATAGGCGATAGAGTGTAGGATCTGATGGTGGTAGATCAACCAAACTGTGATGTATTTGATTAGCACAAAAAGCAGGCTAATGTTTTTTTTTAATATTATGATTATTACCCTCCACGGTCAGGGAAGAACTGATCACCGAGCTCTTCTTTGAGGTGACTGGTGGGAATATTTAACACACTAGACAGCTTTTCCAATTCTTCTTGACTTGGCTTTGTCTAGATTTTATGGCATCTCCTTCTTTGATGAGTATTCTTTTTTTCTTTCTTCAAGGTAAATACAACACACTACCCACCTGTCCATAGAACATTGCTGCCACATACACCTCATCATGCCCAATTCTCTTTCCAATGTCTTCAAAGCTGTAAATTTACAAAAATCAAAAGTCAGGTATAAAGTGTTTAGATTGTCATACTTTATCATCCTACCTTAACTTTCGTTCTGCCTTTGCGGCAAACATGCGCTTGTTGACAGAAGCAAGTTTTGGATGACACTAGTAAAGAATATGAATGGAAATACGCGTATTTTTCTTCTTCTTTTGAGTGATCAAATGGGCCACAGCCAACAGAAAATCAACTTACGCTCATCGTAAATAATAAAAGAAAAATGAAAAAGAGAAAGAAAAAAGAAATGGAAAAAAAAATATGTGGGGAATCCAAGCGTCTTTAAATGACCGCTTGCATGACGTTACTTGGTCAGGGCAGAGATGATTGTGAGTAGTGGTGTCTAAACTACCACTATGGGAACAAAGGGCGATTTTGAGGGTAATTTTAGAGGCGATTTCAGAGGCAAATCTAGGGACAGGTTTTCGAAAACTCCCCTGGTTTGACCCTTTACCTTCATGAACGCAGAGTTATTTTAATTATACACAAGTCCTTTATGTTTGATATATATGTATATGTATGTATATTGGCTTTTAAAGATATTAAGCATGAGAGCTAAATAATCAATATAAACCATTCTGTATTATTATGCATTGCTCGTTAACTGTAGGTTTATCCAATGTATAATAAAGATAACAAGTTAATGAATTTTTTGCTATTTTGATTTACCAATAAAGTTGAACAAACTTTCAGCAGGTATGGCATTACAAGCCTCGGTGATCTTTTAAAATGTTTCTCTTCAATAAGCATCTTGCAATGCTTCAATCTTTCTAACCGTAGGTTTTGATTGATGAGTATTACAATTATTGATAGCTAAATCAATACGATTATTAGACATTCTTTCTAGCTTTTGTACACAATGTATGTTTCTTAGCTGTCCAGAGTATATATTTCCCTAAATTATGGTTTAGGTTTTGTTTAAGAAACATTGGATTTTGCTTTAGTACCGTAACAGCAAACATCTTTATAGCACTGCTTGATCAGGTTGTGTGATTTGGCCTAAAAAAAAAGAAATGAAGTAGAGAGCGATTGATATTTTTGTTAAAAAAGAAAAAGAGTTGATGTCATTTATTTAACACTTTAATATTGCTGTAGAATTACTTTTTGGTAAAGTGATATTAGTTACAGTTCTCGCTGTATAAATATATATGATTATATAATAGAGAATGCATAGCGAATAAATAAAGAGGCAAATGTATTAGTTTACTTTATTTCTTACTAGCCATAAACACCCCTTTTATTTTTGTTACTAATTAATAAATAAATAAATATTTAAAGAAATAAAGTGGGATTCTATTGAAAGGCCTAGTATGAATAAGTTATAATTATGAATATTGCTATGACCATGACTATGAGTACTGATATTTTTGTGAAAATGATATTCTGTCTGTTACATTCAGGGCACAAAAGTGGAGTTACAAAAATAAATAAAGTACAAGCTGTGAACCACAAAGACTAACGGACTTGAAGTATATCCTCTCAATTAAGCCTGTGACCCCTCTTACAATTTGATTTTAGTTAAGTTCAATTCGGTTCAAACAATTATAAAGGTTAATAATAATATGTTACATGTTACAGGCTCTAGAGTGTGTGAACAGTTAATCAACCATCGACAATCCATTGAAACACCTCATTTAAATACATCTTTGGAGAAATTTGTTCTTGTACTTTATTAAAAAAGACAGAAAATTGAAAGATAAAGCTGTATATCCTGTAAAGAACGTACACAGCCTTGAACCTTTCTTTTTTTTATGCACGCAGAGACGGAAACAAAAGAAGGGGGGGAGCTGGGGGGCTAGGTTGAACACAAAATACCATATACAGTACAAACGGTGGGATTTGTCACTTTGAGGTACTCACGGAATTCTTTACTGATATAGAGTGTCTTGATACAGGTACTAAACACAATATTCAGTGATCTTTATATTCCAAAAAAGAATTCTGTTAAAATCCGTCAAGCACTACCCGTAAGAATCATTTTTCTAGGTTTTTATACATCGAGCACTGATAACTTTTTTAAAAGTGACATCTAAGGACAATATATGTGAAAAAAAGAAAAAAAAAAGATTCTTTATGCTTTATGTTTCAAACAGAATCATATCTGAGTATAATTTATATTGCAACACCGCCATAAAATTACGTAAAAATATCTATATATAGAATTTAGTACGACCCTGAATATGCTGTTCAATAACTTTATCAATATACATTATTCTGTACCAATAAAGGATTCCGAGAATACCTGATATGTCCAAAGTCCATTTTGTACTTGTATTTCAGTTTAATGTGCTGATATATATATATATATATATTCTGTAGAAAATAATATCTATAGATGGAAATGAAAACCGGTCAACCGTAACTATTGACGAATACCTATTGGCCTGGCGATAATCTATTTTAGGATTAGCGATAATTAAATTTAGGAACCCGACACTTACTTTTATCAAGACGACAAATTTCCACCCTTCACACTCATACATGTGTATATGCATATTTACATGTCGAGTTGATTTGTTTTGCTATTGCTATTGCTATCATTACTTTTAACCCCCAAAGAATATCTAATTATATATCTATTTAATTATATTACATACGAGAAAAGATAAAAAGCAATAACCCCTTCTTTGGATCAATATGATCTAATTATGTACCAAGAGTTGTTATGGTGTCATTTGGTAATGATATCTAAAGATAGTTGATCGTGTGTAGCGGTATTTAGCAGAAACAGATCGCCCTTTATTAAGTCATTCATTTACTACAGTGTTAGTTAGTTGGTTGGTTGGCTATTAATTAGAACATAGAGCGTTGGTTTCCAAAAAAAGAGAACATGGTCAAATTAAACTCGGGGTACACTCCTGTGCCAGGTTGTTAGGAATGAAAGGGTATCCTTTATGTCAATGTGGGTCTATTGTTAACATTGAATTAATATGTATATATCAAAAGTAGACCAATGCACAGACAGGGTATTTAGATACATATACATATATATATATTCTATTCAAGTGAATTGAAGTAATAATGGTAATACTTATCATAATTATAATTATAATAAAAGTGAAATCCTATTTTAATTAAGCTCTGACCTTAAAAAAAAGAAGAACCATGTCGATCAGCCACATCAAATATAAGATCAGCCAAAACCTCTTTAGTTGAGCCAACCCTCAATCCTACTGTGATTACATCGCCTGCCTGAATGAGCCCTACACCTTTAGATGTGCCTGTCAGGATTATATCTCCGACTTCGAGCCTCATTACTGCAGAAACATAGGCCAGGAGGACAGGAATACTGGTTCCGGACATGTCAGTAATATCATTTAAAAAAAAGCAATCCCAACTTTTATACAGGTATATTTATTTACCCAAAGATCGTCTTTGGTGTTACAATCCTAGCGAATCGTATCATTAATCTACAAGCCAAGCCAAACCAAACCAAACCAAACCAAAATAAAATAGCGACTGTTAAAAGATAATATCAATAATGCTAATGCTAATGCTAATGCTAATGCTAATTAAACAAAATTTACCTCGAGTCAAAAGTCGATATTAGTTGGACCAGGGATACTCTCCTTGGAAATAAATTGACTGCATCAAAGATAAAGAAATGAACGGACAATCATAAGAAAAAATGTTTGGATGAGAATTATTGTGGGGTACAAGAAGTGTAGATTTGAAAAGAAGAGAACCAAAAAAAAAATACCCGATAGGTGTAAATGTATCACATCCCTTGGCAAGAGTTTAAGGCACTCCCTTTTTATTTGCGTCTGCCTGAATCAATAGCAGTTGAGCTCATGGGATGTTAAAGACCATAAATTGTGCTAGGTTTACTTGGAGGTTTCTTGCTGTCATGTCGATCAACAATGCATAACCTAATAAATACAATTATTAAATTTATATCCATTCATTTATCTATATATGTATTTCAAAATAACTCTAGCATAATCCATGTCTTCTGCTCCAGATATATCTCTTCCTGATATACCGATAATTAAACCCAATTAAACTATATTTATATTTATATAAAAGAAAAAAAGAAGGTCAAGAAATCTTTATTGTTGTTTGAGATTAGTTTAATGGCATTTACTCTCATGATGTACTTCACACCCTTGAGGTATTTCAACAGCGCCTTTATATTCCAGGAATGAGGACGTTGGTTCCAAATATATATATATATAAAGTGCTGTTGATACTGCATTGCCAAGTCCCTTTGTCCACTCACTTTTACATACAGACCATTCGTATCAAAATCGCCGTTGTGACACGATTTTGTACTGTATTCCAGTGATACGGTTGATTGGAAACTTTATTATAAAAACAATAAAAACTACCTAAAACGGCGTGAGCAAGAGTTTGCTAAAAAGATCATGGATATTACCAAATTCTTAATTGGTGGGTAAAGAAATTAATAAAGAGAACAATAGTTGGTGCTATGCAAATTTATAAGAAACAGACATCGAGAAGGTGAAGTTCATTTTGACAAAGCACATGACAAGAGAAAAGCGAGAAAAGATTGAAATTGAAACACCAATATATTGCTCAATATGTTTCCTACAAATTGAGTCATTAAGGATATTTGAACAAAATGCCTTTATTTTACCTTGGTATTTCTCTTGTAGAACATATATATTCTAATATCTGAGAGTGATACTACCCTTAAAGTATATTTATCATCTATAACAGGTTCAATGGAGCATATTTTGCTTCTAATAAATTCGAACGGGAAATTAATAAAATTATCACAATTAAAAACCCAAAAACATACCAAGCTTTGCTTCAAATTCGCCTGAAATCTTTTATTGTAACACTTGTTCCGTGCAATACTCGTTGAACATAAAATAGTTACCATATAGGCACATTTTCAATACAAGTACGGGAATTGTGGGATCGCAAATTTTATGGAGACAACATTTTGATCCTACCGGACCACAAATCGTGACCTTTTTGCCGGCATAGAATAACTCTATCTGGTCCCTAAGGATTGGTTCTTATTATAATAATTAATACCAGCCAGGATACAAAATATTCATTAAATATTTTCTTTTATGTTTTGCAAAAAAAAAAAGAGTCGATAAGAATTACTTACAGTCTGACGTTTTTAAACCCTGGGAACATGGATATAGTAGATGAAAGAAAGAGAAAGACATGATACGCGTAGGAAGGATGATAAATAGTAAAATATCAAGCAAGATTGCGTCACACTTTAATGACAACAACTCCTTATGGTTTTCTGCATAACTGGCTATTGATATAGTGTATTTTTTTTTATGACCAAGTCGAAATTTAGGACGCAAACGAGTATTAATTGAATACACAGCATTTGTTTTTCGTATGAGACAGTATTTTATAATTACGTTGCATAAATACAGATTGTGGGTCTTAAGATAATGAGATTTAGGTGTCTGGAGAGAGAAAGAGAGGGATATAAAAGTTAGTAAAGCTAATGCATACAATAAATATATTGTGTATTTTCAGGACACACCATTTTGCCCTGAAGGATTAGAAAAAGACAACGGACCCCGGCCAGGTAGTCACAATTGATTAGTCCGGGTAGATGGAATGTAAGGATATCCAAGCAGGATTGTGAAGGCTGGGTGAGACACAGCAAGATGTATTAATATGGAGCAAAATCTTTAATAAATATTTTTCTTTTTAATTTGTGTCCTATAATGTCAACAGTCACATAGATGAAACAAAAGGTTGTTTAAAGCAAATTGAAATATATTTATCGACCTACAGTTGGAACCAATGGCGACAGCTTTCTTGCTTGTGTGAATAAATGTTTCGAGCTTCATCTTTTTTTTTAAATTTTTTTTTGGAATTAAATAAATTTAATTAGCAGGTGAGCAATAATGGTAATAAGGGCGGGTAAATGATCGCAAGTTTGTAAGAGGGAAAAGAGGGATAATAGCTACGTCATTAGACTGAGAGATATAGAAGAAAAGGGGGGGGGGGGGGGGGGGGGGGGGAGTAGGAGTAGGAGTAGGAGCAGGAACAGGAACAGGAACAGGAAACAGGAACAGGAGCAGGAGTGGGAAATTGGGGGAGAAGAGTGGGGATTGAAAGAGAAACCCACTCACACTTGTACTCACTTACTCACTCACTCACTCACTCACTCACACACACACACACACACACACACAGCCAAAACAAGCAGTCCAATAAAATGAATAGAATATAAGAGGGAGTGGGGTAAGGATGGGAGTGCGGGGTGGTTTATTTTATTTTTTGGAGGTGGAAGAGAGGGGTAGGGGGAGGATTAGGGGGAGGGTTAGAGAGAGAAAGATGGAGATGGAGGAGAACAAAAGGAGTGGGGGGGGGGGAGAGAGGAAGAATTGGTAGGAGGGGTTCGAGGAACAAGGTGTGCCTGAGGATCGGTTACAAGTAAGCTAACAAGCAAGCTAGTTTCTTTTTTTGGAAGTTTTTCCTTTTCTTTTCTTTTCTTTTTTTTTTCTTTCTTTTTTTTTGTTTATTTATTTTATTTTAATTTATTTTATTTTTATTTTTTTTATTTTTTATATTTTATTTTTATTTTTTTTATTCTTCTTTTTCGTTTGACTGTTGCTGCTATTCTTTTATTTATTTTTGACAAAATAAACTAGATACACTTCTTTAATATCAAGGCTGCAACCCAAAAAAAAACAAAACCCAAGAAAAAAAGAATAAAAAAAAAATAGACTCTCACACACTCACACACCAAAAAAAAAAAAAAAAAAAAAAACACAAGGTCGACGGACCTAATTTTTTTTTCTCTCTCTCTCTCTTTCCCTCTTTCTTTTTTTTTCTCTCTTTCTCCCTCGCTCGCTCTCTCGTTCGTTCGTTCGTTAATATCATCATTATTACTACTACTACTACTACTACTACTTTATCTGACTCTGTGCTGTTTCCTTTAAGCATCTCATCTTCGCTTCATCTAATCCCCATCGTACGTCGTCATGTGTAGTCCAATCTTTGAGATTCGAAATAGATTAACCCATCTGAAATAACTTGCATCCTAATTACCTATTTATCACTCCATCTCATCCAACGATCTGTCTGACGATCGGATATATATACACATACATATATATATATATATTTAAAAAAAACAACCACCTTGACCTTACATTTACCTTTGTAGTAATGTCCTATTCAGACCATTCGCCAAAGACGGTCCCAAATAACAACAACAACAACAACAACAGCAGCAGCAGCAACAGCAATACGCCCAAGCAAAAGCAAAATTTTGCTCCTTATTATCAACCTGGCGACCAAGATAATATTATGGCAAGACGAGACGCCGAACGAAGCCAAGCTTCTTCTTCTTCATCATATGTGAGTCAGCAACAATCCCGCTCCTACCCGTCCCTGCCTCGGCCTGAAGTACTGCCTTCTGGGATGGCTCCTATGGGGATTCTCGCGATGGCTGGTGCAACCCACGCTAATAGCAATAACCACAACAACAATGTCTCCGTGTCTACCAAGTCCGCACCTGGACAAAACAAGCAACCCCTGGCGACCTACTATCACCAAAACAACTCGTCCTTCATGATGGCCGCCTCGGCAACAACTGCGCCTGGATCACCTGTTCCTCTGTCCACGCGCATCACGCACTCTTCTGTGCACGACCAGGTGGGCGCTCAAAAACGAAGATTTCTCGCTACCGACGATCTCTCAAAACACTCGTCGCCCTTACCAATGCTCGCAAATTCCATGAAGCCCCTTCCTCAATCACGTCTCTGGGACAGTATTTCCTCCAATCAATATCCCTATTCAAGCCAACCAGTCTCCGTTGACATTGCACAAAGATCTATAGCCGGCAATCAGAATACACCAGTGCAACACAGAAAGACACATCCAAATCAGTCCACCGAGTCCGTAGATTACCCTCCAAAAGAGCCTCTGACAGCCATGACATCTGAACCTTATCCCTCTGGTGACAATGGCATGTTTTACAATACGTTACACGCTAACAGCAACGTTCAATCAACATTGGCCAGCACCAGTACTGTACTCCCCTACGGAAGCACCAACGCATCCCAGTTGTACAATCATGTGAGTCGACTGTCAGACGAATACGCTCTTTTACTCCATACCTATATCATTCGCCAAATGAAACAGAAAAGCAATATCTAAAGAAAATACCCTTTTTTATATTTATTTATTTACTCACTCTTCTTATTTATCAATAGTGGGACCAGTACAACGCCGTCCATCTTGACCAGTCCCATCCTACAATCACAACTACTGCTATTGGAAGTGGAAGTGGAAGTGGAAGTGGAAATGGAAATGGAAATGGAAGTTCAGGTGGTGGAGGCGGAGGTGGAGGCAATGGTAATGGTAACAGTAACAGTAACAGTAACAGTAATGGTAACAGTGGTGGTGGTGGTAGTGGAAGTGGTAGTGGAAGTGGAAGTGGAAGTGGTGTTGGCACTCCTTCCACAAACACCTTTCATTACCAGCCAGCCTATGCCGACCTTGCCAACCCCGCACTATCTGCAACATACCAAGCCGATAAGAAAACCCGAGTACAGGTTGAAATGACACCGCGCACTACAAATGGTAATACGAATCAAAATACACATTCAGCGGCCTTGAAAGTTTAACAAAAGAAGGTTTCTTTTCTTCCTTTTCTATTGATAGAATCTCACTACTCGCCAACAACCCTACCAAAAATTCCTGACTACTCAACAGGTGTAAACCAGCAACAGCAACAGCAACAGCAACAGCAACAACAACATCAGTCCAATTCACAACACCAGCAACAAGGTTCAATGACAGGTAACAAATTTATTCATATTTAAACCCTTTTAATATCATTACCACTAGTATTACCATTACTACCACCATCATTACTATACCATACTATATTATATCATTCTTTCTAGATAGATTTACAGATAAAATAATATACAGCATACAAAATAAAATAAAATAAAATAAATAAATAAATAAAAAGAATTGAATATATATATATATATGTGTATGTAAATGATAATAAACGGCAGATCGAACTCATCTTCATGTCACAGTGTCTGAAACACAGTTTGAAAATGAACGCAGCAGAATGACTTTTGAATCCACGTACGAAACCAATAATGATGCTAATCAATACTCGGGAGGCTCAATCCCAGTGAATATTGCAAACAACCTATATCGGAATCAGCACCTGCCATACCCAGTAACCAACAAACGTCAACGGTCGCAAGCACAAGTACAGGCTCAAGCTCAAGCTCAACAGCAAGCTCAGGCTCAAGCTCAGGCTCAGGCTCAAGCTCAGGCTCAAGCTCAAGCTCAAGCTCAAGCTCAGGCACAGGCCCAAGCTCAGGCCCAAGCACAGGCTCAAGCTCAGGCTCAGGCTCAAGCTCAGGCTCAAGCTCAGGCTCAGGCTCAGGCTCAGGCTCAAGCTCAGGCTCAGGCTCAGGCTCAGGCTCAAGCACAAGTACAGGCTCAAGCTCAACAGCAAGCCCAAGCTCAAGCTCAACAGCAAGCCCGAGCTCAGGCACAGGCACAGGCACAGGCTCAAGCTCAGGCACAAGCTCAGGCTCAGGCTCAAGTACAAGAACAACATCAACGTCAACAGCAACATCAACAGCAGTATGCACATTACCAAGACATCAGTCAACCAAATTCACCGATGACAGCACAGCCTGTAGACCAAAATATGCTCAGTAGTCCGTCTCATTCTACTTGGGAAGAAAAAATGAAACAGCAGCAGCACCAACAACGTCAGCAGCAATTAGCACAGCAACGAGTTCAAATGCGGGTACAACAGCAACGCCAACAACAAGCCCAACAGCAACAGCAACAGCAACAACAACAACAACAACAACGGCAGCAACAGCAAGCTCAACAGCAAGCTCAACAGCAAGCTCAACAGCAAGCTCAACAGCAAGCTCAACAGCAAGCTCAACAACAAGCTCAACAACAAGCTCAACAACAAGCTCAACAACAAGCTCAACAGCAAGCTCAACAGCAACAGCAGCAGCAGAAATTTATCAATAAACGACAGAAAACCACATATGGTCATATTGCTAGGGCTCCTTTGCAGCAACAATCTAGGGACCCGGTTACAAGTCCAATATCACCTGCGACATCTTTAGTTTTTAATAAGTCACTTCTTCAAAACGAGTATCATATGAATTCATCGCCTAGCCAATTGCAAGAAAGATGGCAGAATAATGACACATCTGTTTCTGTTCACCCATCGGATCAATCTCCAGAAAGGATGCAGACCACAAATGCATTTCTATTATATTGTTCGGAGCGACAGGATGAACTCAGGATGTCTAATCCAAATATCAACAAAAAGGAGCTTAATAAACTTCTTGGAGATGAGTGGAATAATATGGCACAGGTAAATAATAAAGACCAGGGCAAAAAATATTTAGATAGATATAAATGAATTATTGAAAGGTAGAGGAGAAGGAGATATTGAAAATTTTATATTACTATTTTACAGTCATTTAGAGAAGGTTACAAGCAGCGTTCAAAGAATTCCTGGGAGCAACCTATGAAAGTTAACGATCCAATGGCAGATGCACGAATGTACGGTCACCGCCTGTCTTATCAACAGACTAAACCTCTTGCGGATCTCACCAATCAACATCTAGGACAGATCCAAAAGATGCCTACAAACTATAGATCATCAACGCAACAACTTAACGCATCGCCATACTCTGACAATGCCAGTATAAACACCTCTCTTGATCCCCCGCTGTCTGGTACAGCAGTAGATCATAGCAACACGCCAAACGATAATCTTGGGCAACACGACGAAACAGTACACTATGGTTCAGTGGCAAACCGAATCCCAAAAAATCTCGATTCATTTTATACCATGTCAAAGGACACTCCAAAATGGTTTTCTTCTTCACCATCTCCACCATCCGTGAGTCTGCAGCGCCCTGTCGAAGCCAAATATAACACTACCACCACATCCACATCCACAATCGCAAACAACAGCCATAACAACGACAACAGTGCCAGCCGCCTAAGTGTTTCAGCAGTCACTGAATCTAGCTTTTCCATCCCTTCCTATAGTGAATCTTCTCCTCAGCTTTCTCATCACAGTGCTATTTCGGATGACAAGACACCGCCTACATCATCATCGATACGTAATCGAAATTTGTTGACTCTCATGAGCCATTCAGCAGCAGCAGCAGCAGCAACAGGCTCAACAGCATCAGATGCAGCATCAGAGGTAGATGGACTTGGGTCAGTTGCTAGTGATGACTTGCAACCAACCAATAAGAAAGGACAAGGCAAATCCTACAGAAAATACAACGAAGAACCAGAGCGACTCAAACGTCCTCCAAACGCATACCTACTGTTCAATCGCTTTATGCGATCCAAGTTACTCAAAGTCAATCCCAACTTGTCAGTCGCAGAAATCAGCAAGTCTGTTAGTGCACAGTGGAAGGAATTATCCGAGGTAAACTTTTTTTTGTCTTCTCTTTATTTCTTTAATAGATTGTATATGTATATTTGTGTGTCATCATCATTATGGTTATTATGGTTATGATGATTGTGGCTCTTTGTTTTATTTTTTGACCACCGTAGCAAATTGTTTCTTTATTGACCGATGGCACAAATTTAACTCTGTGCGTTATGGTATTTTTAGAAAGAACGCAAGCCATATAACCAAGAAGCATCACGGCTCAAGCAGGAACATATGGATATGCATCCTAATTTTGTCTACACCCGCCGCTCAAAAGCCGAGCTAGAGAAGGCCGGTCATCGTACACGACCCTCCCAAAAACGCAAGGACATGATGTTAAAGGCAGAAGCACTTGGACAGGGTGAAGCGTCCACAGCATCGTCATCATCATCAAAGACAACACCCCAATTGAAAGTCCGAGATCCTCGCGGACGTAAAAAGAAGCGATTGACGCATCCCACTGCACCAAAGCACCCCATGTCTGGTTTCTTGTTTTTTGCAGGCTCTGTGCGCCAAGAGATTGCCCTTCAGCGACCGAGTGCTTCGGTAGGAGATGTCAGTAAGATCATTGCTGGCAAGTGGAGAGAACTCACCGATGCTGAGCGGAATCCGTGGTGTCTTCGGGCAACGGAAGACAAGGGACGGTACGCCCGTGAAATGCAAGAATTCATGGCGGCTTCTAAAGTAGAAAAGGCTGCTGCTGCTGCTGCTGCTGCAGCTGGTGGTAGTGGTGCTACTTCTACTTCTGCTGCTACTACTGGTGGTACTGGTACTGTTCCAGAAAAGGGCAAAAACCACAACAACCTTAGAAATGTCATCCGGTCTACTTCACCTGCCGAGCTCGACAGTCGTACAATTGCAACAGTTGTCCAGATGGTGAATCCAACTGATCGACGAGACTTTATGCCAGTTTCTGAACAGTCTATGGAAGCATACCAGTTCCAAGTCCCAGCTACCCCTCCTTCACCTAATGTAGATTCTCGCATATACTCAAGTCGCAATAATGAATAATAATAATAATAATAATAATAATGAAAATCATGAAAATCATGGCAATAATGAAAAATAATGACAATAATGACAATAATGACAATAATGACAATAATGACAATAATGATAGCAACACCAAAAAAAAAACACCGTCACCATCACTATTACTACTACCATAACTACCATCTATCACCATCACCAACAATAAAAAAATATGATTTGATTTTTTACAGTAATTCTCTGTAAATTTTAAATCAAGTATGTATTTAGTGCCTTTTACAGCATTTATCCTGATTATTTATCTTTATGCGTATTGAGAAAGAATGAGCCTTTTAAGGAAACAAATAGGAATAACAACAACAACATGATAGTAATACCAAAGCTTATTTATACTCAATCCAAAGAAGTTAATTTCTTTTTCTCTTTTGTAAATAAAAACAAATATATATGGGTGTTTATAAAGATAGAGTTCAAGGTTCCCCAGATTGTTGAGAAATGATTTTTGAGTATCAAAAAGATGCGTCTCACTGTGCTATACTGTGCTTTGTAGTACTCTTCAGTATTATGTTGTGCGAGATAATTTTTCCATCTCTTTACCGTTTATGAGCTATTTCACATGCCACAACTCTTATTCTCGGTAAGCTTTCTTGATGATCTTTATTTTATAATATTTATGTAAGCATAATATAATATACTATAATATTCTACATTTCAACCTCTTCCAAGAGCGACAGGGACAAGAAGTAAGATAGCGAATAAGAAAAACAAGTGAGAACTCAAGATTTGGGGTGATAGGTAGATAGATAGGCAGCATGAAACTAGAAATTAATTTTATTTGTAATATATTTATTTCTTTAAAGACACGCGTTGATTCTCCCTTAAATCTGCAGAGATTATCAAACTTTAGACAGATATCTCTCTTTTTTTTTATATTTACAATCTTCTTCTTCTTCTTTTTCTTTGCGACACAATACTTTGTGTATCTTGATATGATTGGGAAGATTGGTAGAGATAAAGGTAAAGGAGATTGATATAAAACGCCACAATTGATCTGAAAACCCCAAACCTATATATATATATATTTATTTATTTATACGCCTGGTTAGAAGCTAATATTGAGTATCCTGTTGTTTTATGGCAAAGGAAAGAAGTATCTTTTTTTTTTGCTCTTTTTTAAAACAGAAGTCAAGTCAATACAAGAATATTTGTTGTAACATTTCAAGGACTATATGGTTGTACATTTACATTTGTAAACAAGTTACCTAGTCAAACTTCCCCGTTCAGCATGGCTTAGGTCGGAACATGCTATTTGGGGGGAAGGAGTGTCTTAAAAGCGGCATAGATGTTGACAAACTCCCCTTCAAAAAAAATAACCTCGAAGCCCAACTTATTCTCATCAGTACGACAGTATAACCTTTTAATCACAAGTTTTTTTTTATTCTTTTATTCTTTTATTCTTTTACCCTTTTACCCTATATCATTTTTTCTTGGCCTTTATATATACAGATATATAGTTTATTTGCGCGCAAACATGTCGCAATCATACAAGCCAAATTAGTCATAGTCTTAACCTCAATACTACTTTATAAATAAAGAAAAAATAATAGTATAATTACCAATACGAATAGTTTTTTTTTCAATTATCTAAAAATCGAATAAGTTGCGGAATGTCAAATGAATGTGTGCGTGCGTGCTTGTGTGTGTGTGTGTTTTGTTCTTCTTTCAATATCGTGCAAGAGAAACATGCGATTTCCATAAACCATGACCCGAGATTTCCTCTCAAAGCAAGACAACGCGTGCCACAAACTGTGATGTGGAAGTAGAAGTAGAAATAGAATTCAAAGTTAGAAACAGAATAAATAAAGTAGAAGAACAGACCAGCGCAGTTTACCAAAGACGTCAAGTTTAGGCTGACGCATTTATAACAATTAGCCAAAATAAGCTGACCGAGTTCCACACTCAAGCTAAATAACATCAGGGTCAAATAAATAAAAAAAGAAAAACAAGTATACACTCTTTCCATAAAGTAAATTCATCCAATGACGAAAACGAATTCAAGTTATACGGAAAATGAATTTGCCCTGAAGGAAAATCAATTCACCTAATGACAGGAACAAAATTCGTCTTGCTTGACAAATCATATGTCCTGTTACCAAAATTGTTTTGCAGGACAAGTCTTGGCATCTTTGAATATAAAGGAGCACGCCTAGTTCTTGTCTGTGTTTTTTTTACAGTTATATCACAAATCACAGATAATGAGCATTCAATTCTTGTTTCAAAATGGGAAAGGATCTGTCGTCGGCGAGTACGGTAGACCTGAACCAATGTATTATATTGTTGATGAGGAACAGTTTCGTCTTGAAACGCTGAGCTCTCATACATAATATTTAGCTCAACTGCCTCTAGAGATTGAGAGAAGGATATATCCAATGCAGGTAGAAAAGAAGGCAAAGCATAACGGTAATGTCATTATGAGGGAAAGTTCAGTGAAGCGAAATTATACCAGCTATTCTGATCAGGATAAAGTGAGGTTCTTAAAAATGTTGTTTGAGAGGTGTTTGAGTATGGCCACTGCTGGAAAACAACTTGGGATTCATGTTCGTACAGAACAATAATGGGCTGGCCAATACGAGAAAGATCCTTACAGTATCTTTGAGAAACAGAGAAAGACTGCCCGTCCATGTACTCTCCATGACGAGCACAGAAGCGCTATTCTCAAATGAATTGATGAGAATCCTTTCATCATCCTAGACGAAGTAATGAAGAAGTTAAAGCAAATGTTTACCGAATTAAAAGTATCTAAAGCTATCCTGCTCGACCTTGTAAAACAATATTGTAATTTATCTAAGAAATCTCGGCTTCAACCCATAGGCTGGAATAGTGAAGTAAAGATTCAAGAGCGCTTGGATTGGATTCGTAAATGGGGAAAAAAAAAGACTTGAATTTTACGAGAAACTATCTCTTTCTTGACGAATCTTCTTTCCATATTAATTTGAAACGTAGTATGACGTGGTCCAAGTAAGATACACCTGCGGTCAGTTAATGCCATTCTCTCTAAATCTATGCGAATATATTCAATGGCGGTAACCATACATTATAGCTTCATTGAAATCGGTGCATTTTTTTTTTCGAATTATAAATCATGCATACCCCAAAATTCCTATTAAATAAAACTCAGAGTACGCTCCCCTACACAAAAAAAAAGTTTGACTGTAATGTGTTCACACGTCTGCAGAAACTCTTATACGATATCCCACGGCAGAATACATGGATATTAAAGGTTTACCGTATACAGAAGAAATTTGTACGTCATTTTTTTATTGGCGATGATATCCACTTTGATTCGCTGCTCCATGAGAAAAATTGTTCATTTACATGGTAAAGATTTGACAAATGGCGTGCGTCACTTTGGCATTTGCAGTGCTGCGAGAGGGTGATATTTCATTTGCCAAGTTGGTCAAAAGACGATTGATCTGTTAATTGCTAATGATGTCGATGGTCGAGCTTGTCATTGAACAGCCTGAGAATCTAATCCATAATATTCTAAACTTTGTCGTTTGTCTTACATTTTTTTGTTGATCATTAACACAATGTCGGCTAAGGATAAAATTCTCACTTTGTTCCCAAACAGATGCCGCAACTGCTCGAAACAACTGGGATGCTATTTTTCGCATCTGAATCCTTGTTCTTACTAGTGTTATGGTCGGCAAGTGTCCAGATAGTAACAGGCAGCGAGCACAGCTAGTTTGCTAAGGTGGAACATGATCGAGAAAGAAGATATGTGGTGGTTCTGTGGAACTTGGACTGCACTTGTCGTAATTGAGCGTACTCGTCAAATAGATGTAATTTACGGATGGACAGATATTTGTCCATCCGGGTGGATGATGTAAGGAGGACATTAATTATTTTTGTGCCAAGTTCAAGCTTGAGACCATTATCTTCTTCTACAATAAACAGCTCCACATTTGGGTATCTTGTAGCTGGATGCGACAAAGTTGTGTTTAAGGATTGATAGCTCTTGGCCTTGGTTTGTTCATTATGAGCATCCAATGTGGGATATTTATTGTACACTTTTGCACAATTTACAAGCAGGCCTTCGCGTATATTGACAAGGATTGACAAGGATCAGTCCCTCGATTACACGAGCACAAACTACACGCATCCACAGACGCCGTGTCCAATCGATGTTCAATATGGTGGCGATATTTTCATCCATTTCCGTATAATCTGTTACAGATATACAGGACAGATGACTGTTAGGGATCATATGAAATAAAATAGATGCAACAGGTCTTTGGTCGCCTGCATCCAACATTTGAAAATTCCTGCGCTGTGGTAATCCAGACACTCGGCTGTTGGATTTATCACATATAAGAACATGTTCATATTGGGATAGACTAGTAGCTATCATCTTGTCAGCATATAATATATATATAAACGGTTAAGTAATCGGACCAATAATTTACAGTTAGTACTGTAGATGATATCTTAAAGATCCTTAAGAGAATTATATCAGGTAGCCAAATAGTGAAGCCAAGAAGCTAGAAATGGTTGTGGAATGACCAAGCATATTGTGTTCCCTATTGGTTTTATCAAAGATTGTCATTGGGTTCAAATCGACGAGTTCTGCAATCAGCATTTTCTTCTGCTTTTTGTCATCCGGTAAATCCATTGCACCTTTTGCGGAAAGCGTTGGGTCTGAATATGTTCATGTTTCATTGTGTTTTATGGCTGTGGATTCGAAGTGTAATGGTGGTTTCCAATTCTTTGAGTTTTGAGAAATAGTCGGGACAGGAAGGGAAAACGAATACAGTCTTATAAACATCGTCCTCATTTGAAACAAACAGATGATCTTTCACTTTCCGGATGTTGACTTTCACACCAGCTTTAAGTTGAATATCATGAACATTTTTCAGATGCCTTTGTTGTCATATTTGTCATCGCAAATTTTGTTTCTGAAAAATATGACAACAATGTTTTTGAAACAACTTTGCCATGGCTACATTAAAAAACAAACAAAAAAAGATGCTTATAAAGATGCTTATTTTTGCGACAGCCTCATTTCCATGGGCTAGTGTCATTTTTGCAAGCTTGACTCGTTTTCATCTTGTCCTATTCTGGTCTCATTTTCTTTGACTAAAAAAGTAATACAGCATGGCACGTCAGCAATAATTCAGTGCTTGTGCTGCCACAATTTCGACAAAATGAATGCTCCATCTGAAGCAGAAGAAGCACCATCGTATTTTAAAAAAAATGATAATCTTTTTCGGTTTCTCTGTTTCAGGAATTTTGGGGTATGCATAATTTATAATTCGAAAAAAAAATGCACCGATTTCAATGAAGCTCTAAGATATGGTTACCGCCATTGAATATATTCGCATAGATTTAGAAAGAATGACATTAAACGACTAGAGCTACAAAAGAAGTGCCACAATAAACGTGGTTGCTCCTCACTCTGGTGGGCGAACTTAAAGATGCTTACAGGTAAAGAACATCCTAGTCATTTTTACCTTGTCTCAACTAAATCTCCTTTCTATCCCAATTTTTTTTTTGTGTCTCGATTCTCTTTTTCGTTTGTCCAAAAAAGGTAAGCAAATTGCCCAAAAATTAATTTTCATTCGTCCAAGAAAAAAACTAACATCGTCTCAATCTCAAGTAGAAACACTGTATCTACAAGTGGGATAAGCATGAACAGCATCAAATTATCCGAGGATTATTATATCCAATCAATAATACATGTTCACTTGAGTTTCTAGCTTAATATAACTATGATTATAGAAAAGAATGAAAAGCTCGATAATTTTAAAGTTGAACTAGTCGATTAGTCCAGTCTTTAAGTATTCTAATAGACCACTCCTAATAACTCTCCTCATTGCAATAAATGAATGAATGGTATCTATCTCTTTATTTGTTTTGGTCCTGCATAAATTTGTAGTATATATATATATAAAGCTTTATAGGATAAACCAGTGATGAACTAAAAAACATTTGGCTGCTTTAGACTTTAATAAAGCTTTAATCCTTGAATATTTACCTTACTGTAAAAATATATATTGTAAAAACAGCTCCACCGATTGTACAGCTAAAAAGCCTTGATGGTTAGGCTAACAACCATAGATCCAAAAGATATTCAGTAACGGTATATTCTTTTTTGGACATATTGTCACCATCACTCTAACTATTTGTGATGAGATCCAATTTTTTGGCTCAATAACTTTTCTTTTTACAAATAAAAAATAAAAAATAAAATAAAGAATAGAAAAGACCATTAACCTCCATTATCTTTAACATCCCTTACCTCATCATGCTGGCATCCGAGTTACCATTCGAAATCCTTCACAAAATTGGCATGTTCCTTTGCCAATCAGACTTGGTGAAATGCACCATGGTCTCCAAAACGTGGAAGCAGCCATTTCTCGAAGCTTTGTGGAGATTCAGACTCATAATAAAGCCAAGTACTCTCGACGCAATCTTAGACACTACCTCTAAAGAGAACATATACACAAAATATGGCCGCCACACGCGAGAGCTTGGGTTTGCGGGCCCTATTGTTTTGAAACAAGGGTCAATATTTATCATCCAACAGCGTTTCCAAAACCTAAAGGCATTAAACTTATTAATGCTTGACGGCCAAATTATCGATCTAGGAGGATTGGCAGATTGGGATCTTTGGAGTACACTGACATATCTAACCATCAACGCCAATCTATTGAATCCTGTTAGTGGAAAAGATGAGATCATAAATGCCTTCAAGTGTCTGCCAAAACTGGAATCATTAATTGTTCAGCAAGATGAGTGGAGAAAAGTGCTCGAATTCTCATTGACAGACTTCGAGAACCTGCACACCTTTTTACCATGTGTAAGAACCCTAAAGCTGGATGCAAGTCTTGCAGAACTTACCAACGCAGATGCAGAACTTCTCACGCATGTTACCCCAGCACTCGATTTATCGTTTGCATCCGTTTGTTTTGGAGCCAAGGATCTTCGCTGGCTGTACTACTTTGCACAAAAATACCCAAACGTGCGTATACTGGATTGTAAATCGAGTGACCAATACATCACACAGTACACCCACCAGACTGAAACCGCTAGTATGCTATCCAAGCTTCCGTCTGTCTTTCCGCACGTCAAAAAGGCAGAATTCTGGAGTCCCTCAAACTCTGACGACCTGCTGATCATTCTGTGTGGACTCTTACATCCGTTCAACGTGCCGATATCTCACTTAAAATACAGGTTTCGACATCGTCTACGCGAAGTAGTTTCCCCAGACGAAAAAATCCAGCAATGCACGCGTCTACTGCCCAAAACTCTTACTACACTATGCATCATAAATCAACAAAACACTAGACTTTCTCGTTTCAATACAACAGCATTAAGATATTGCCCAAATCTGGTCTATCTAAGCATCAGTGACCGCGACGCATTCATCTCATTCGACCTTCTCTTGGACTTTTGTCAGCATCTAAAAATATTTAAACTCGACCAAGGACTACTTCTACTTAGTACAGAGACCAGTTTCGATTCCCCAAATCATGGGCTAGAAGCTATTGATATTTCTAGAGCAAGCATTAGTGTTCCAACCTTCGAGTATACATCAATACGTTGCGAGCTTCTAGAATGTATGCGCTTAAATGATGTCAAAATTGTAGGAGCCATTGAAAAACGCACAGGGAGCTTTTGTATCTCGATGGCCTTTACTTCTTTTAGGCTTTTGCACCTCAACAAAGTTCAGTTCTACCCAACCGACTACATAACCGTAAACAAACCCATACATCTGGTAGTACTTTCCCGATACACTACAGTCACCCAAAATAACCACCATCCAAAACGACATACTCATCTTCGGGAAGATTACTATCCAAGAGAGGTGTTTGAATACATGTGGCACCATACATATTGTAACGATCGATCCGATTACGACAGACTACCCCAAACAAGAATGCTGACAAGGAAGGAGACAAAAATTGCTCGTAGATATTTCCGCAGCTCACGTCGAAATAAGCACATAGGCGAAGACGATAGTGCGGATCGTAGTATTGAGGGACACGTTCAAGAGAACGAATGGGAGAAAGACCTTCACAGAGGATATGTTTCATTCTTCTGCCAGTACATACATAAGTATGAGTTTGGAGGCAATATGGTATATTATAACGAACAATGGGAAGAAATACTTGCCCCTTTTCAATGATTTTTTTCTTTTTCTTTTTACTACTGATATATTGAATTTATTAGTTTATGAGATAAGGTATTATAACTTTGAGTCTTTTTTTTGGCTTTTTATTATTCAACCTTTAAAGTTAGATGTATAGTTTGGATATAAAGACTATGATTCAGTATTCAATTTACAGTCACTTATCAAAAGTAGTAAGCTCTTTGAAAACAAAACAAAAAAAGGCAAAACCAAAAATCAAGAAATTGAAATGAAGTTTTGTAATGCTTGGAGGAAGAGGGATCCCTAACAAAACAAAACAAAAAGCAATGATGCTTGTAAAAGCTTTAGGCTGAATCTAAAATCATTGGTATTGTCTTTTATATATCTTACAATACAAGATATAACCACTGTATCCAGCATAAGATCACAGAAAATCACGATAATATATAGCTCTTTGATAGATAGTTACAAGTATTATTTTCAATATAAAGTGTTACAACCATATCTTCTTTGGATATACAGTTGCCTTTTGCATTTGTCAACAAGATTTTTAGCACGTATTTTTTTTTTTCATTTGTAAAATACCGGTTCAAATTATCTGATAATAGTTTCTCAATCATAAATTGCCATGAACTATAGCAACCTAAACCAATCTAGAATCTCTCAGAGAAGTTCTTATATTTATTGGAAGAGGATGAGGATGAGGGTGAGAATACTCTTAGATTTGGATATCTTTTTCATGTTCTCTATTATTTTATCTATTCTAAAATACAAGTATGTAATAACTTTGTTTGGCCGATGATTGGATAATCGGTTGAAGAATTCTTTTTAATACTTAAACACATAGACTCATATTAACTTTAGCTTTTGAAGAAAAAAAGCCGAGAATTGGTCTCTTTTTTGTACAAATATATTAATGTACGATATAAAGCATGATGCATTAATTATTTGACTTTAACCAATCAGAGAACCACTTTAACTTTACGTTATAAGCTTAGCATAAAACTTTTTTTTCTTCATCTCTAAAGACAAAAAAAAATACCAAAGAAATATAGAAATTTGGGTCAACTATGTAAAAAGAAAAACTTTATTAGATTCTTATATACTACACATAATAATTATCAGCCAATATATAATAAGATTTTGATTGTGGTATAGATATTAAACATTTATTCTTTCTCTGTAATAAGATATTTAGTACATTACATACAGGAGAACGATAGTAAAGTGAAAGATGCCATCATGGCATTATGTATTATATATACTTATTTTAGAGATTTTACAGGAAAGGCTTTAACATCACTTCTACCGATATTCAAACCTTTAAGTATACGGAGTACGATACAGAATATCTTCTGATTCTGAATATAAGATATATAAACCTTGAGGAAATATATCTCAAGCCATGATGTTTAATAGTTTTATTATTGCTTTGATTGAGTGTCTCAATAAACTATTCGGTACAATTATGTGATTATGTGATGTCGATTTATATTATAGCAGTTCTGGTAAAGAGGGTTAGAAAATCAATTAAAGCCATCTTTATCTTTTTATATCAATCAGCCAAGTTCCTGATACTATCTCTATTAAACTTATCAAGAAGAGAAGAGAACTATATTTATCTGTAAACCAATTAGGTATAAAAGGCTTTGTTCAGATTTAAAAAATTGGGACGTCTATTTATTTCTTTTTACTAATACTTCAAGACCTATGGAACATAGTCGTTTAAGAATATCTGTCAAAGAAAAGCTTGTAAACCCTCTCAGAAGAGCAGTTACAGCTGGGGTCCTCGGAGCTTGTTTATACAAGTCATACTCACTAATATTGGAAAACCAAGAAAATACTTCTGTCTGGGATCGCAGAGGATTCAAGAAGATTCCGTCTCCATCAGAGCGATACTTTTATATTGGTATTTTATAGCTAACTATAGTACTAGGTTGCGTATGTACATATATACTAAGCTTGAATTTGCTTTTTTACTTCTTTAAAACAAAGGGCATTTCCTTTCATTTAGGGAGCAGCCCAATATTCAACTCCAAAAATGGCATAAGAAATATGGTAATTTCGTTGTTGATGTTATCGTTATGATGGAAATTCTTTTATAAGATATATATATATAACATATGCGTTTAATACTTCAAAGGCCCACTTATACATCTTAATATGGGTGCTCAACATTGGATCATGATTAGTGATCCTTATATTGCTCACGAAATATTTGTCAAGAATGGCGCCAAAACCTCTGGCAGGCATGAGCACAGTTTCTCTTACGAAAAGTATGCCAAAGCTGGAAGGTATTACACATAACATACAAATTTTAAAATCAAAATCGTAAATCCATACTTAATATATTTGCAGTGGTATTATATTCAGTCATCCAGGAAAGAAATTGAATAGCGCGCTTGCAAACGGTATTTTACCCAAGCTAACTACTAGTTTATACCCATAATTTGTTTTTATAAATCTGTATGCATGTGTGTTTTTTTTAAAAAAAAATGAAAAAAAAGCTATGCGAATTCTGTCCCATCAGAATGTTGATCAGTGCATAGAAGAATTTGAGTTTACGGCCGAAACTACCCTCGCACAAATGATGGAAGCTACAGAAAGGGAAGGTTCAGTTGACCCATCGATATATCTCAAGTTGGGTGCATATAATACCTTAATAAAAGCAATCTTTGGAAGAAACATTTCTTCCATTAACGATCCTGTCTTCAAAGATCTCCTTCAAGTTACACAGAACGTTTTACAGTGTTCTAGTCCTCACAGGGATATCAAGTCTCTATTTCCACGCCTTGCCTGGCTTGAATGTCTAATAGGGAATAACAAGAAGAAAGAGAAAATAGTTTCCTCCCGAGACGAGCTGTATGGAAGACTATTGAAAGAAGCGCTAGATGGGGATGCAGACTGCTTAGCAAAAGAAATTTATTTACTTAAAGAAGAGCAAGAACTGGAGGAGAAAGATCTGATTGTCATGTTGAGCAAGTGTTATAGCTAATTTTTTAGAGATTAAAGCTTCTGTAGCTAATATGCTTTGCTGAGATATATAGGCGACCTAATTGTTGCTGGAGAGACAGCTTCTACATATATGATGTGGTTTTTTGCCATAATATCACAATATACTGACATCCAAAAGAAAATGTGTGAAGAAATTGACAAGTTTATTTCTGATACTGGCCGTATTCCTGGTTTTTCTGATCGCGATCTTTTACCATATCTCTGTTGTGTTTTGAAAGAAAATGGCCGTTTTAGAAGCCCTAGCAACTTTGGAATACCCCATACTGTGAATGCAGATAGTGAGTAGTCTCTAAGCAGTACGTTTTGACTTTTATTAACCACAATCTCTACTTAGTTAGAGTTTCTGGCTACTTTATTCCCAAAGGCACAATATTAATGGCAAGCATGCATGCAATGCACGCGAATGAGGAAGTCTATACAGACCCTTCAAGATTCCTACCAGAGCGCTTTAACAAAAGCAACAAGATGTGGAATACTTCAACAAATGGACCAATAAAAGAAAGAGAGACTTATATATTTGGGTGGGGAAGGTGAGTTACCCAGGACTTGTCAGAACTCTAGTATATATAGACAAATGAATATATACTGATTCCATTTTGGGCTCTTATTATTTTTCAAAAACAAAACAAAAAGGCGAACTTGCCCAGCAATATACTTTGTGAGTATTTGAGTGATGTTTGACCCAAGCAATAGTTTGTTATTAAACAAAATTCTATGATCAGACGGAAGTCGAGATTTTCAATATGTGTGTGCGGACCCTTGCACGATGCTCAATTGAACCAGAATTCGATAAAGAAGGAAACCCAATGCTGGTTGACCTGAACCTATCCAATAGTTTAGGATTAGGTTCAGTGCCAGTGCCATTTAAAGTGAGATTGGTTCCTAGGACCAAGTTTATTTTTGCCACTACCAATTTTACTACATAAAAAAAAACTTTGGGAATCAAGATTTCGTGTGTGTCTGAGTAACCAAAGCTTCATTGGATGAAATACGAATTAATGGGCGTACGGATTAGACTTTACCGGGAATACGGCAAAGATGATTTATGAATTGCATCTTAACAGGCTACGGATAGCCCAATAATGTCAAACGATAAATCCAAGCTATTAAAAACTTATTCTGTTTATGTTTCTTTTTTTTATAAATCCAACATTTCTATAATGAGGTTAGGAGGCTACCGTGTTATCATCAGGTGAGGGCAATAGAGTGTTATAGTAATGTGGCGAAGCAGATTGTGCCTCAATCCTATTACGGCTACAAAGCAAGTGGGTTTTAATCTGACAAGGAAGGACAATCTGCATTTCAATCACAGTCTGCTTCTCATCTTTAAAAATGTATGAACTCGTGGGCTTAATCGGATAAACGAGGAAATGAACCTGGTAAAAGTGGTTTTGATACGTTAATACAAAATAACTTTTAAGGCTACGTATTGTGGGAAGGAAGAAGTTAATGGAAACATGGCTTTTTCAAATCGACTTTAATAAGGAGTTATTGCCATTTCAATTGAAGAAATCACCCGTCCTCTATTTGCACATTTCACCAAACAAACTTTGTATCTTTGGTAGTTTTAATCTCAGTCATTAAACGATGTAGAACTCATTTCGATTTCTGTGTTTTTAGTCTGTTTATCTTTTCATATACAACCCACACCCACTCCTTTCATTCCAGCCACCATGTCGAGCACTCAGCCTCCTTATGAGCACCCACGGGCCATAACCCCTCCTTCACGCCCAGCCTCGAGCGCTTCTATACATAGACAACCAATGTCGCCTAATGATCTACCCCTTGAATCTCTTTCATTGCAGGGTCCATCTCGCCATCCCATTTATGCTCCCACTCGCTCCCACTCGCCATATTCTTCAGGCAACCAAAACCAGCAATCTCCTCGGACTATTTATGCAACGATTCCTCCCGTAACCCCTCCCCCTCAAATACAACATCAACAAGTGTATAATCCACAGCAGCAGTCACAGCAGCCACAGCCTCAATCACAGCAGTCGCAACCACAGCAGCAGCAACAACCGCAACAGTTGCAATATCAGCCGCAGCAATATCAACAGCAACAGCAAATACATCCGCCACAAAATTATCAGCAACAGCCACGACAGCAACAACAAAACTCTCCGCGTGGATCTCCATCCTTAGGGCCAATGCAGCGCCCTGTGGCGCGTTATCCTTCAGAAGCATATGGGCCTGGCTACCACAGACAATATCGACCCGAACCACCTAGATTACAGCCCTCTGCTTCGAATGGGCCACATAAACCGTTTGTACAACCGTCACTTACACAGCCATATTATCCTGCTGAACCGATTTACCGTCCTCAACAGGGCTATTATCCCGCTGAGCAGCCATACCCTGTAGCGCAACCAGGACGCTTGTACTCCGATCCTTATTCCCAAGTTCCGCAAAGTGGCGCACCGTTGCACTACCCGGACCCAGCCACGACTTACCAAGAAATGCCTCCTCCAGCAGACCCCCACCGCCTCGTGGCCCCCTACCAGGCACCCCAACCTCCACCCACAGACAACAATTATATGCCAGATAGTTCTGTCGCCGTAGCCGCAAATGCAGGCAAAAAAGCAAAAGTAAGCAACTTTCCTCCGGTGACTCTTGAAAACATCGCCAAGTTCCGAGAAGAAGCCAGAAAAAATAATGATCCTCGTATGCTACTTGATCTCGCCAAATATCTTCTTGAGGCAGTTCCTCTTGTGTGCGTCAATGACACGGATGTAAAGCGCGCAAAGAAAGTGAGAGAAGCAATGGTCTTGGAAGCACAAAAGATTGTTAGAAAGTTGGCAACTCAAGGCAATTTTGGAAAATCTGGTTATGCTGAAGCACAGTTTTATTTGGGAAATGCTTATACAGGTGGGCTTATGGGATTACCTATTGATGCTGAAAAGGCCTTTGGATCTTACATTCAAGGTTCAAAGCAGAATCATCCAGGTTGCACATATCGTACGGCTGTGTGCTATGAGGTTGGGGCGGGTACCAAACGTGATAAGTCCCACGCTATTCAATTCTTTCGAAAGGCGGCCAATCTCGGTGACCCATCTGCTATGTACAAGCTTGGAATGATTCTTATACAAGGCCATATTGGGCAGACCAAGAACCCTCGAGAAGGTATCTCATGGCTGAAGAAAGCTGCCGCATTTGCAGACGAAGATCACCCTCATGCACTCCATGAGTTGGGTATAGCCTATGAAAAGGAAGGAATCCCATCGGTCATTCCCGATGTTAATTATTCGCGAGATCTATTTACACAAGCTGCTCAAAATGGTTACGCTCCATCTCAGTTCAAACTTGGATTAGCGTATGAACATGGCTATCTGAACTGCCCCGTCGATCCTCGCCGGTCAATCGCATGGTACTCCAAGGCAGCCGAGCAGGGTAACATGGAAGCTGCTTTAGCACTCTCGGGATGGTATCTGACTGGTGCGGATGGAATCTTACAGCAGAGTGACTCGGAATGTTACTTGTGGGCACGTAAAGCAGCCGATCACGGCTTTTCCAAAGCAGAATATGCTGTCGGCTATTACACCGAGTCGGGTATTGGTGTCCGCCAACATATTGATGAGGCTAAGAAATGGTATATGCGTGCTGCCGCCCAAGGAAACAGGCGCGCAATGCAACGTTTGACTGAGTTGAAAAACAATGGTGCATCTAGACCTCAGCAGCGACAAAATCATACTCGTGGACCAAATGGAGTCCCAGCCAGCAAGGACTCAGACTGTAGCATAATGTAACCAACTCTAAACATCTCTCATATTTGAATGTTTCTACCTTACTATAACTTATATTACTGATAGTACACTCCCTTTAATTACTTATACACTTGATATTAAAATCTCATGATTGATTCTCTTTCTTGATTCTGCTCTATAAAGCCATCTATCTAAATACAATAGCTAGAATGACAGTCGGTGTCCAAAGTAAAGACTTGTACCTGTCATGAAACTATGGGGTATTTCATTAACCGCTATTCCATTATAATAATCTTCCTTATGTTTATGTTCTGGGAACATTACAGCAATACCAATCTGGTAGAAAAGAAATGAATTGTATAGCTTCTGGAAACTTTTTATCAATATAAGTATGTTCTACAAAAAGAAAACATACTGAGCTTTGGAAGAGTATACTTTTACTTGATCTGTAATTCATATCTATATAAGTTTTATTGTATATGAAACACGGTGTCAATATAGTTTGTTCTTATTGTTCTCTTTGTTCCTTTTTTTAAAAATAAAAATAAAAATAAAACTTACAAACTTTGAACTACTAATAAAACTATTCCCTCTTATATGACTGGTTATTGGAAGTAGACATAATTGGCTTTTGAGTGTTCCGATTTTATCTCGATTGTACCATGTTGCATTTATCTTCTGTATAAGAAATACCTGATAAGAATTGATTATTGTACGTGTGTATTATACGCATTTGTGTACTTTTTTTTCTTTCTTTTTTTCTTAGGCACTGGGCGGAGTCACAAAAGGGACAGTTTTGAATTTAAACTTTCCGCGTACAAGACCGAAAGTGTGAGAAGAGAGTCTGTAGAGGGGAAATAGTGATAATTTTTGGGCTAGTTCTTTATTATACCTTTTTCATTCATTTCAAATCTAAATTCATCATGGCATCAGATCCTGACAAAATACAACCGATCAACGATACTAAGCTTGATATACATGACTTTCTCTCTCGGCATGTGCCAGCCCAACTTGCCAATCCTCGTAAACTATGTTATCGTCATCGTCCAGATCTTGTTCGCAAACGACTACCTGATTCATTCAACATTCAAGACGTACAACAAGTAAGCATTTACCACAGATACATACAAGCAATGTATATGTTTTTTTCTCTTTGTTGACATTCGAGACAGCAAATGGAGAAACTTCCAATGGCAGACAAAGAGGCCATTAGTCATATCTGGTCACTCTTCTCTGCTGCTCCAGACGAGCAGAGAATATTAATTCTTAAAGGGATTTTATCGACTTGCTGTATGCCTCAGCTATCTTTCTTGTTTGATGCGATCAAACCATTGCTGCGTATCGACTTTATTTCAATCTTACCACGGGAAGTATCTCTCCATGTGTTTTCTTACTTGGATGCAACGTCTCTATGCAATGCAGCACAAGTGTCTCAGACTTGGCGGTCACTTGCAGATGACGATGCACTCTGGCATAGAATGTGTGAGCAACACATAGACAAAAAATGCACAAAGTGTGGGTGGGGATTACCATTACTTGACAAGAAAAAGCGTCCAAATCCACGAAAACCAACAACTGTGTTTCGTACAACACCTGTTTCAGTACTTCCACTAGGTACAGCATGTGGACCTACTGCTACCAGCAATAGTAATACTGAAACCAGTACGGATGATGCTCTTGCAAGCAATCCTTCTAAAAGACAAAAGACTGAGGCCAGAGTGGAGTCTATCGAAACCGCCTCCTATCCAGCCTCTCAGCCTTTGGTACCTCTCATCAGACGCCCATGGAAAGATGTCTATAGTGAGCGATTGGTGGTCGAGCGCAATTGGAGACAAAACAAATATCAGGGCAGGGTACTACGAGGTCACACCGATGGCGTGATGTGCGTGCAGTTTTGCGATGTTGCTGGAATCTTGATGACTGGTTCTTATGATAAAACTATTCGGGTGTGGAACATGGAGACTGGAGAACTTATACGAGTGCTGTCGGGACATGCTCGATGCGTTCGTGCACTTCAGTTTGATGAAGCCAAGCTTGTAACCGGTGCAATGGATAATACACTCAAGATTTGGAATTGGCACACAGGCCAGTGCATCCGCACGTTGCAAGGTCATACCGGAGGCGTGCTTTCGCTGCATTTTGATTCGCGCATATTGGCAAGCGGATCGACTGACCACACGATCCGTGTGTGGAACTTTGAGGCAGGTGAATGTTGCACACTTACCGGACACACAGAGTGGGTTAATTCGGTCCGTATATTTGGCGACCACACTCTCGTTTCTGGCAGCGATGATGCAACCATACGCGTGTGGGATTTGACATCTCGTACTTGCACAAGCGTCTTGAAAGGACATGTTGGTCAGGTCCAAATCGTGCTTCCCAGTCCCAAGGGGTTCACCCATCGGTTCACCCCCGAAGCCACCGAAGCCGCTGCGATGGCTTCGAGCAGAAACATCTCCCGCACAGCCGCACGTGCTCGTCCCCTCACGGGCACAGGTGTTTCTCCACCCGGATGTGCCACGGATGATTCCCCTAGATTACAGGAACAGGCTGATTTGACTGTTAACAGCAATTGCTCAACTCTGTCTGACCGGCCAATTCTTATGTCGGGATCGTTGGACAACACGATCAAGATCTGGGATATGACAACTGGGGTGTGTCTGCGGACCCTGTTTGGCCACGTCGAAGGTGTTTGGGGACTTGCTTATGACAAACTTAGGATCGTCTCTGGATCACATGACAAGACGATCCGTATCTGGGATACCGAGAGTGGTCGATGTATGCATCCTTTAGAAGGCCACAATGGGCCTGTAACGGCTGTAGCGCTGAGTGATACCAAGATAGTTTCTGCTTCGGACGATGGAGACATCAGAATATGGGATTACAGCAAACGTTAAAGAAGTCTTTTTAGCAATATAAACATATTAATTAGTCAATAAACTACAGTCATTTGTATATAGCATCCTCTGTTAAATAAAGGCACGCGTCCTGAACTCCGATGGACAAACATCATAAATCCAATAGAGCCAATGACGTGATTCGCACTCTGTATCTCGTATTGATGGCGACATTGGTTTCTTTCCAATCAACTACAAGCAAGTGTGCGGACGGTCTAAAGGCATAATCAATCTTTGACAAGACATCTACATCGATAGTCTTCTTTGTAACTTGTTCAGATGATTTAGTTTTTTTCATCTTGTTGTCTGTGCCTGAGCATCACATTGAGCACTTTAGAAACCATCCAAGCTGATGTTGTAGTTGTCTCTAGGGCATCAAACATCTAAAGAAGAGGTGCGAAGTCTTGACCGGATGACGCTATCGTTTCTATATCTCGCGCGCTCATTCGCCTTTCCTGTTCGTCTTCTTTCCACCCCTCTTTGCTGCTCTCTTGGCGCACAATCCGTCGTTCCACGCTCCTTATTTCGTTGCTGAGTTTCCTATTTAATAAAAACTACTCTGCATATCACAATTTATTTCTGTATCTTGTACAGCTTGCCCTCAGACGATACTTTAAATATATATAAATATAAATATATATATATATTAATTAGCACTTTCAAAACGAGCATTTGATTCTTGTGTCAGCAGCACAAAAGCTCTTCTTCCTCTTATTTTTTTATAACAGGAAACTCTCGACTAATTTCTTAGCTTGCTATCTTCATTCTTATCCTTATTTTATTTTATTTTTGGTCATCACAATTTCCCTTCTTTATTTTCGCCGCTCTTGATGATTAGTAATAGATCCAGTCCTGCCAAACCAGTCAATCGGGCTGGCTCTGATACTCCACCCCGATGGACACCTCATATCGACTCTCTCAACCAAACTATTGACCCAATCTCAGCTCTATCTGACATTGACCTCCAACGGGAGCTTTCTATTTATGCAAATGCCCAATTTACGTTTGATACTGTTCCCGGAGAAGCATTGGGACAAGAAAAAGAGGAGCAATCTACTACTGCCAGTCTCCGCGCTCAAGATGCGTTCCAACAAGCTATGGCTGTTGGTGAAGCTATGCTCCATCAATCTACTCGAGAATATGCCCAGAAACCTTATCAATATCCTATCAACACCAATAGTTATGAGCCGCCTATTCAGATGTACAGAGATATGTCCATGGAGACCTACAGTGCTATCCAATCTCCCATAACTCCACATAGCCACAGTATGGTACTCAATAATGGTAAGCATCATTTAATAGCACGAGTTTTATTTCTGTGTACACAGTCCTTTATCTATCTTACTAACCATTTCAATTGCCTTTTGGTCTAAAGAACTCGGATATCCAATCTCCAGTCATCACACTCATTGCCCACCACTCTCAGTTTCTTCTTCGACTCCAAACACTCCCACATTTTATGGAAGTATCGAGTCTCCAAAGTCTGGAGGAGGAAACGATCAGTCTATTGATCAATTTATGTCTATGATGTCTTCGATGGCTTCATCCAAGAACTTTTCTGACTCACTGCCCAGCCCTCACTCTACTGCCTTTGAATCCCAACCGTTCAGACCTACCCAAGAAGGTGTACCTTTAATGCGTACTCAATCGCATGATCCTCGTCTTCGCTTCAATAACGTGCAAAGTCAACAGGCTGTAAATATTACCCCACGGCGCGTGCGTACCAACAGCATGGTCCCTTCTATCGAGACTACTAAATCTTACCCAAAGGCTCTCCCAACCCCAAGCCAAAGCACAAGTGCTAAAGATAATGCACCTGGAAATACGAATACAGCCGTAGGTTACAATGGGCATAACATAAGCCGGACTGGATCTATTTCAGAAGAGGACGATGAACGAGATGGCTCTGAAGATGAAGGTCCTAGTCATGAAATGTCAAAGGATGATAAGCGACGTCGCAATACAGCTGCCAGTGCTAGATTTCGGGTGAAAAAGAAGATGAGAGAACAAATATTGCAGCGTACTGCATGCGAAATGACAGAAAAAGCCAAACAGCTTGAAATTCGCGTCAAAGAACTTGAACGCGAGATTGGTTGGCTCAAATCGCTTGTGGTTGAAAAGAACGAAGCACGCCTTGATCAACTTATGCAAAACCGGCCTCCACATGCCGATCCAATTAGCAAGCGACCTTCCTAAGAACAGAACAAAAAAAAGAACAAAAAAATACCAAAAAAAAACCTCTTGATTGACGTGCAAGAAACTCTATATATTACGAACATCGATCCCTATGCACAATTTTGTATGACTTTTCTTTTTTCTTTTATTATCTCTCCCTTCCTTTATGTATTTATGGCTGTACGTATGTAAATATCCCTTATTCTAGATGCTCTCCTCTTCCAACGACAAAACAAATCGACTTTATGCTAGCCCAATTTTCAAATTTTCTTTATGCTTTCATCAAATTTTCATGAAAAATAATAATAAAACAAATCATCGTCATTCTTATATGTAAATATATATATATATATGTATGTATGTATGTGTATATGTGTATATGTGTATGCATTCAGGTTCTATCCTGTTATCTTCTTCTTCATGGAGAAGGTTTTGATTGTACTAAAAAAAATTATGGGGTCTCTTTTTGATCCGAGACAGTCTCAAGTATTTTCTTGATAAATTCTTCAAATACGCTATCAGAAGCTCTAGCAGCGTCAAGGTCCTTTTCAGGGTCTTCTGAAGTATCGATTTTCGTAATTAAATCGCGGATTTGAGGATACTTTAGGTATGGACGGAGCTCATCGGCATATGCTTTTATACAAGGAAAAGGTTGAATGTTGGATCAGAACCAGGATCGGGATCGGGATATTCACAGCAATGTTTAACTCACATAATCCTTTCAGTTTGTCTTCACTTAATCGGCTCTCATCTTCTTCGTCTTCAAAGGGAATCTCTTTTCGTATGGGTTCCTTTTCTAATAGCAATGCCATTGAATATACTTTTAGATATATGCGAGCTTTTCTTGTTTTTTTTTTAAAAAAAATACCTTGAACGGGCTGCTCATTCGACTCACATGGCGTAGCTATACCAAAAAAAAATAAAGGCGTTAATTTATAGTTTGCCTTGTTTTCTTTCTTTTTTGGTATTGTTTATAAATAATATGTTTCTTACATTTATGCACTTTATAGCATGCCAATGAACAGCTGTAATGAACATGATGATTTAAATCAGTATAGAAATATAAAATTCAAGAAGGTACACTGTCTGTGTGTAGAAAGCTTACTATAATATCTTGCATTTTGGGCATTTGTATTTTGCGTCTGTGCCAGAGCACACTTTGCAGTATTTATCCATTATGCAACTTGGTAGTGTTTTTTTTTCTTTAATTCTTTTTGCCCCGCCTATGCTGGAAGAACGCACAGGCTTCGTGCGACCTTCTCAACTTGAAAGCTACCAAGGCGATAAGCAGTCAATAAACACTAAGAGATCGAGCCAATCCAAGCCACGTTTCCAGTGTCAGGGATCCACAGGCACACCCTTTCCAAAAGAGAATAAAAAGATGGGAGGGAGGAAAAGGAATAGCGAAGGGAACCTTTTGGACACAAAAGGTATATATTAATATGAGTCTTTTAAGACGTTTCAAGGCCACCGACTTGTTCGAGTTCAATAATGTGTACGTAAATATTTCTTTAAAAAAATGATAGTAGTGATAACAACAAAAGCAAAAATAAAAGCATTTACATATAAAGACTTTTTTTTTCTTGGTTTCTTGTCAAGTAATGTATGTATAACTCTATATACTTATAATTTTTTGTAGCAATCTCGATGCATTGACTGAGACGGTAAGCTAACTATAACGATTATAATCGTATAAGCAAACCCAACTCAATAAAGAACTTTCCAAAAAGTACAACATCTCTTTTTATTTACAATATCTTGCTCGCTGGCCAGACCTTTTCAGCGTACAAATCTCTCCTCATGATCGTCTAATGGGTTATGGTAAGAACCAATTTCAATTTCATAAAAAAACCAAAAACCAACATTAGTGAATTAGTGATGGGAAAGGCCGAGGGTACTGGAAAGAACTGGCACGGTCATGTTACAGCAATTACAGTTGCACCTGAATACCGTCGCCTTGGACTAGCAGACGGTATGATGAACCTCCTCGAAGAAGTTTCTGAAAAGACGTAAGAAAAAAAAACATACGAGTTACATATGTATATTTTATTAAAGTACAATATCTCTTTTGGTATACTAACGCTATCTATCTTTTGTGTGCATAAAATAGCTATAATGGGTGGTTTGTCGATCTGTATGTACGTCATTCAAATGCGGTAGCTATTGGGATGTATCGTAAGTTTGGCTACTCGGTGTATCGAAGGGTCAGGAATTATTACAGTGGTGTTACAAATGAAGATGCATACGGTAAGATACTACAGTAAATGCGTATATGTGTACTAGGGCTCACAAGAAGTATTATAGACATGCGGAAACCTCTATCTCGCGATAAAAAACATGAAACTATCAGAGAAAACGGAGAGAACGTATACGTTGATCCAGAAGATCTTGATTCTTGGCGTTAGAAAGGCTCAAAAATCCATATATTTGACTTTTTATCATAATCATTCATCAAAAAAAACAGAAAAAGAAAAAAAATGCTTGAGTAGAAGAAAAGGTGTCTCTGTCTATGTTGCTTTTTTCTTTCCTTTTAGTGTTCGTCGTCGTGAGTCCTCTACGGTCGTTGAATCTATTCTATTTTCTTTTGCGGCTGCCTCTGCTTTGACTTCAGACACTAGAGCTTCTACATCTGCTAATGAAGCACGGTGGCTTGAACGAAGTCCAGATGCCTGGATCTTCTTTTCAAGCTCGTACCGGAACGCCTCTTCTTCTTCAAGGCGCTTCGCATCTGCTGCCGCTTCAGTCCGTCTAAGGACAGGGAAGATACCTTTATTGTGAAGCTCGACTCCTTCAGCTATTGTTGCCTCTAGACACTTTCTTGGGTCTTCAGACGAAAAGTTTTCTGTAAGCAGATCATATTCATCTGGCGTAAATTCGTGTCTGTCGCTATAGTTAGAGGGGCGGAAAGGATAAAAATATGGCTCGCCGGTAACAAATGGATGATGACGGGCCTCTTGAGCAGTCCAGCGCTGAAGTGGGTTAATGGCCAATAGACCACCGAGAAAGTCTATCAAAGACTCTCTTACTTGCATATCTTTATGAAAACAAAAGTGTGAGAATACTACCATTTGAGCAAATCCAGCTAAAACGTTAATTACAGACCTCTTTCTTGCTCTCGGAACCCTTTGATCATATTCGTTTTTATAGTACTGTTGTTTGCATTCATAACCAAATCTTTGATGCTAATATCCTTGAGATATCGCTTACTGGGTAGCTCAGCCCTTCCTTGTTCTCGTGCGAATTGTTCTCGGCTTTTAAATTCATAAGAATATGCCCCATTCCCTTTATCAACCTTGTTAAACAGTTTTGGTGTATTTCTTGCTCTGTATAGCATTCCAGGAGGAGGGTTTCTGTTGTGTACATGTACAGTGGTGTGAAAGCCTATTCTGAAATGTACACATTGTATGTGTGTATATATAACACTTACCCAAATGCTTCTATTATTCTAGCCAGCTGATTATATTCAGAGTTTCCGGGGAAAAGAGGAAGACCCAAATATAGCTCGGCAACAATACATCCCAGAGACCACATATCAATAGCATGACCATATTGCATACCTAAAAGGACTTCTGGCGATCTGTAGAAGCGAGACTGGATGTATGTGACATGTCGAGATGGTTTATTCGATGAAGATCCATAATCAATAATCTTAATTGTTGGAGAATCAGGACTAAGGATGAAAATGAGTTATGAAGTAAAAACCAAAAAAAAGCGAGCTTGGTAAGCTAGTGTGTTATTGTTGTCACCTTTTCAAAAGAATATTTTCGGGTTTGAGATCACAGTGGATAATATCCGCTTTCTTGAGTAAGACTAGACTGTCCAGAAGTTGCAGAGTTAAAACACGTACAAGGTTCGCAGAAAGACCTTGGTAGCTATTTTGCCGAATAAGTTCATAGATGTTGAATGACAGAAGCTCAAACACCAGACAAAGATGATTCTTGTGAATAAACGTGTGGTACAGCTTTAAGATTCTATGTCTGTCTTCTTGCTCAATATTTTGATTAAGCTGTATATTGATTCATATTAAGCAAATATCATATAGAATTAGATAGTTATCCCTTATAATTATTCAATAATTCATCGTCTCCTTGCCTGTTTCAGGATCTCAACCTCAATTTGACTTTGTGCTCGGTATGCAGCCTTATTCTTGATGACTTTTACAGAGACCAGCTCACCTGTTGATAGTCTTTCACATTTTACCACCTGCCCAAAAGTGCCTTGTCCTAGCATATCAATCACGCGATATCTACAATACCCCCGCACATATGTAACTGATCGATTGATACATTTCTTTCTTATCGTGACTTACTGATGATCGCGAGCTTCTCCAAGCACATCATTAACTCGTAAAATATAATCACAGTTTTCATTGTCAAATCCATCATTCATTCCCGGTTTACTTGGTCTGGTCAATACTCGCTTCAGATTTTCTTGTGGGCTGTATTGAGACCCATTCAGGCTCGTATGGATATCCACCAGACCGATTGTTACACGGCGTACCAAAGAAGACTTTTGTTGATAATCTGTAAGTATGAACTTATTTGGTTTCTTCGTTGGATCTAATTTTCCTTTGAAGACCTTTTTTTTTTGTTGGTGATTATTATTTACCTCCTTTGGTCGAATAGGTTTGATGAATCCGAAATTGGGGATTGGTTTTTGAAATCCTCGCCGTCGGGTACTGGCCAGATGTGGCTCGAGAGGTTTTCCTGGCTCGATAAGGGCTGAATAAAATGGAGTCTCATGATGGAAACGGGTAGGACCATTCGAAGGAAGTTCGCTGACATTCCTTCTAAGAGGGATGTTTGCTGTGGGCCGTTGAATACGCATTCTAGTGGCTTCTCTGACTTCTGCTTGTTCGAATTCAGAATCTGTGTCTAACTCAGACTCGGTAGGATTGTGGTCAGGGTCTTGGTGAGACTGGTAACGATTAACATAAGTACGATCTATCATAGACTTTGACGGCCTTAAAAATGCTTGGTACGTAGAACGAAGGGACATACGAGTAGATAGTATATGACGATAATGATTGTATTATGATTACTATTATTCTTATAAAGAATCAATAATTGAACGAAACTTTTGGCTTTAAATGTGTTAATATATGTACACAGGGAATAATGAAATAGCAGAAGAAAGAGCAGACTAACGAAAGAAAGAACAAAAAAAAATATAAAGAAAAGAAAAGAAGAGAAGAGAAAGAAGCAAAAGCAGTAACAGCACAAGAAATTACTCTTTTTTTTTTTTGGTTGTCTTCTATGTCTTTTTCATTATGCTTGTTATTCGCTTGCTATAAAATAGTTCTACTTTAAATTCAGACAATGCTAGTTTTTTTTTGGGCGAATCAAAATCAATTTTTTAAACATTTTTCTTACCTTTTTTAGGCAGAGAGAAAATAAGATTGATACAAAAAGGAGTTAGTTTTGAGACATGTTAAGGTGAATGTTCAGATTTTTTTATCTGTAAAGATCTAAACCCCAAACAAGAAACCCGTGTACGATACAGCGATGTATGATGTTCATCAGCGTACGAGGGAATCGTTGAGGGAATTGAAAGAGAACTCACTTTTTCATAATAATTTACTCGATTCCGAGTTGACAAACTTTCTAAAATAAGGGCTCTAGCTACAAAAAATGTTGAACTAAACGATCATACTTTATAAAGCTCATTTTCTATAGCCAAAATGAAACAAACCTTTAATGAAAAATAAATAAATATAGACAGGGTATTTTAGTAAAACATTAAGAAACAAATACTGAATAACAGTTGGGATCTTATATGACAGGGTGCAATTCCCTCGATGCAATTCTCTCAATTATTCCCTCGTACGCTGGTGAACAGCATCACAGGTATATAAAAAAAAGTGAACATTCACCTCTACATGTCTCAAAACTAACTCTTTTTTGTTTCAATTTTATTTTCTCTCTGTCTAAAAAAGGTAAACAAAATGTCTAAAAAATTGATTTTGATTCGCCCAGAAAAAAACTAGCATTGTCTGAGCTTAAAGTCGAAATACTATATTAAGAACTAGACGGTGATTGTGTGGAGCAAAAAACGGCCGGCGCACTGTCTCCATTTTGAGGGTTTATATTTGGGCGTTGAGGAGTAACTAAATTACCCAGAGAGTGACGACGCTGGGATGGGTGGTGATAGTACGTAGCATGTGGACCTTTTTGTACATCGCTAATATCTGAATAATTATCATCATCATCATCATTATCATCATATTGCTCATCCAGTGAGTGTGTGTCAGCAGCAGCCATTGGGACTCTCGAAGATCTTCTGGAATACTTGGATGGTTCATCTGCCAAAATATCCGTAGAATCCTGAAATTTACCCTGAGATTTTTCAAATCTTGCTCTAAGAGGTCCGCTGGTCTTGAGAAACCTGTCCGCGGCCATGGCACCTTTTTCACCCGACACATCAAGACTAGGGTTGCTTCCAGAGTTGGTAGCCTTCTCGGACTCTTTACGTTTAGCCGATTCCGCTCGTCGCAGCATTTGAGCCAAGTTTGTTGCAAGGTGGCTGCCACCAAAACGTTTGTGCGGTGGTGGACGTGTAGCTGGTTGACCAGCTCGATTGAGTTTGATGGGAAGCCACAATTGAGGGAGCACGCCCTTTAATGCAGGATTACCAAAGTGCTTTAATCCAGTGTCAAGCACGCCAGGGTTAAGTGTGACGGGTGGTTGGCGATAGTCTGTTTTTCTGTCTGGGACGGCTTCGTAATCATCTTCATCTAATGCTACCCGGCGATGATGAACAGATGTTGGTTCATTAAGTGTGGCAAATGACGTGTTCTGGGTATTTATCAGCAGTGCCGCAGCAGTCGCTTTTTTCCATCTTTTGCGATTGATATTAGTCGCATCTGAACTGTTTTGGGTTGCCTCTGACAAAGGTGTCGACGCTGACTTATTTGAAGACGTTTGATCCGATGTCGGGAGCTGCATCACATTGTCACGCAAGAGCTGCATTGGTAAATATCGGCTATTTTCTAGATAAGCAGAGTCTATCATGATCTTGAATAGTACGGTAATCACCATAAGCGGCACGCACAGAATGGCCAGTACAAAGAACTTCTTGAGGATAAATATTCCTAACACTGTCAGCTGGAAGAGAAGCAAACCAATAATCACTCTTGGGAACACCATCACCCAAAGTTTTCCGGATGATTCGTATGGAGTAAAGTGGACATAGAGAAACCTATACTTGTAAACAAAATATGTGATGCAAAAGTAGATTGTACCAAACACAAGGATCAAGGGAGAGATTGTGGAGTACACCAGGACAATGATGAAGATCAAGAGAGGTGCTGGGAACTGAACACCGTAATTAAAAGAGCTTGGTACACGGTTTCTGGCATAGTCTCGAGGAGATTTACAGATAAAGAATTCCTTAAACCCGCGGACAATCAGTGGACCCAAAAGAAGTAGATTGAGAGGCATTCTACATAAAGTATTATTTCTTAGTCTCTTTCTTTTTCTTTGGCTTGGGATATTAATTACCCTAATATATAAGATATACTTACAGTAAGAAACCTTGAAGGATGGTATAATTGATGAAGAATGGAGAAACCTGCAATTGAAATGTTTAGCTTGTGTGTGGGTGGGTGGGTGTAGATTGAATGCTTGGTAGTCTTACCGCAGGTAATTTTTCACCCAATACATTGACGATATCTTTTGGGTTATTGAAAAAGCTCACGAGTGTACTTGTAACAGTATTTACGACGGCAAATACAAGGAGAACGTTGAACAAGAGGAAGAAAAAGTATCTGAGTAGTATATTTGTTAAAGAAAAGAGAAATGATATTTCAGCATATTTGATGATTCTTACTTGCTAAACGTTGTCTCGGCCAAGGCACTACGAGCGCGAATTCCTTGCAGTTTACCAAGTACTGGAAAATTGTATGTGTGTTAGAAGTAGTAGAAGAAAAAGGTAAAATTAAGAACATTTATAAATATGCAGTGTGATACTTACAGTCGATAATTAATGGCAATATAGCCATAAAAATATTCACCAGTAGAGTAGGGATTACACCTTGTAAGAGATTGAGCAATAGGGCAGATGATTTTGCCTTTTCGGCCAGTGAAGGTGATAATCTCTCGAGGAAATCGATACTTGTAAGAGAAGCGAGGGCAGCAATAGGGATAACCCAGAAGATCGCCAGGGCGATCGTAATTGTCCACACCACTACCTCGCGCACCAATCGTTCTCTACCTCGTATAGTGACATTGTTCCACAAAACATCGCGAGGCTCATAGGCCATCACAGTACGACACACGAATGGAGTTGGACTAATTGCGATCTGAGAGACGATCAACTACAGAAGAAAAAGAAAGAAAAAAACAAACAAACAAACAAACAAACAAATCATAATAAGGTTGGTGAGGAACAAGTTTATAGAGCTATAGTGTTGTTACTGCTGTTATTATTATTATTGTGACCTTATTTCCTTTGTACCTGCATGAACCTAGTGCTATTTTATTTACTATTCTTCTTCTTAATAATAGTAGCAGATATCTCTGAAAGAAGCTTACCGCACTCGCCATATTTTTAAAGGTTACAAAGCCAACGTTTGTCATTTCAAAATCAGTGGATTGTCGTGCTTCTACCACTCGTTTGTCCAGTTCATCAAACATCTTTGTATAGTATTCGATCGCATCCACTTTTTCACCAAAAAGGCCCAAAAAGCCTGTTTTAACTTGTGGTCGATGGGATTGAGTACCACGCTTCTTTGGGTCAATCAGATTCATGATGATGGCTGTGTTGCTTGAGTTCTCTTCGTGTTCAATTGCCTGTTGAGTTAATTTTTCGACACGCTTCAGCATCTTTGCATCTTCAAGCACCAGATCAGGGTCATACTCTGGGATCTTGCATGGGTTGCCCCAGTAGGTTGCATAGGCTCTCTCTAGGTGTTTGAGAGCCGAAAGACGTTTCTTTAAGAGCTTGTTTAGATGGCTTATGTGTCGTACAACATAGCAACTCTCGACTGGACCGATGTTAAGGTGTTCGAAATAGTCCGCCAGCTCATGATCGGAACGTAATTTTTCAGGTATACCGGTGACAATAACGGATCGAGCCGTGAGGGTTTTTGAGAGGCGAATGAGGTATTTAGCACGAAGGTAAATGTGGGAATCGTAGTTCTGTTGCAGGAAATAAAACGTAAAAAAGGTAAAGATGTAGGTGAACACAAGATAGGCAATCAAAGAGTTGGAGGATTCGTCAATGACAGTGATCGATAATCTATTGACTGCTGTGATATTCGGGTTTGTGGAATTTCCAGTTTTCATGCTAATTGGAATCAAAACAGTGAGGCCAAAGAATGAACATAATCCAAACAGCTTAATTCCCATGACAAGGAATTGAATAAGCTTTTTTTTGTTTGAAAAGAAAAATGATATACATAATGTAAGTGATCCGAGCATGTTACACAACCCTACAATTTTTACCACTACTGCGTCTAGTCCGACGTTGTCCAAGAGCTGTTCTTGGCTGATACGAATCAAGGGTATAACCCAGCCAAATAAAGATGATGGCAACTCTGGTGGTCGATGTCTAGAAATTAATAAGCTTTTTGGGCCCAAGAAGTCGAGCAAGACAGTTTGTCTCTTACTTCATTTACTCACTTCTTCATATTCATACGCGGAGCAAAGATTACTGGTATTCTAAAACATCCAAACGTTACACCGAGATGCATTATAGTGACCCAGAGATTCCCGCTTTACCTTGTTCTCAAAATACAAAATACCAGGAAACAAAACAACCCAACCGAAGAACTAATAAGCAATTGAGTGTCCAGTCCACTCTGCTTATCGACACTGCCCACAACAGACAGTGGTCCGGTAACTTGGCTGCCATTGAATCCTGGTATAATGCCATCAAAGCCTGAAGAAGATGTTTCTGCCGCATCAGGAGCAGCCGTACTTGAAGGCAGCGCTGATTCTGTGCTTGATATGCTCAAAACAGCACTTGGAATTGCATTTGATAAAAGGCTTGATGCTGCTGTTGGTATAGAACCTGAGCTACCCATTGTTCCACTCAATAGATTCGACGTTAACGATACAAATGAACCCGTTGGGGTTGGGCCCAATACGGAGGAAATTGTATCCATCTGTCAAGGAGTAAATAAAGGATAATAATTATAATAGTAATAAAGAGAGAGAGAAAAAAAATGTGCATTTTTATTTTTCGATTATATTTTATTTTATTTGATTTGAAGACTTATTTCATTTTAATACAGCGCAAACAAGGGAAAAGGAGGTCATGTGACTTTGAAATACTTTTACTTTTTATTTCAGACTGAGTTTCTGGTTTTTTTTATATTACAATATATAAAAGGATATGTGGATGATTAAGGAGATCAAGACAATGTTAAAGAAGTAATTGGTTTAAAGTATGGTTTTGGTTGTTGGTTCACTGTTGATATTTTATGGAACTGTAGGTATTTTTGAATTAGTATATATATGTGACATGGCTTATACACTATTATTACTTTATTTTCTTTTAATTCATTCATTTATTCATGTGCTTTCTATGCACTTTACAGGTACGATTTAAATAATAATTATAAAACATAACAGAGGCCACCCAGGACAATGTTGTGATATTGAATTGAAAGCAACATTTGAACTGTCGCTAAAAAGTGAAATGAAATATAAGTAAAAATAAAAAAATAAAAGTTACCTCGCACTTTTAAGCGATGATATCACTTTTAATGTGTCTACTATGGTATTGACCCTATTGACCACAGTTAAAATAACATCATTATTTAATATATCTATGTATCCGTATTTGTTGTGATTTGAAGAATTCCTGAAACCAGCTAGTATATACACCTCTTTAACCTCGTCATAGTAATTATTTTACTCTTGTATCATTCACAGTCGAGTTTTAGAGACTAGTGCCTTTTATGGTCAACAGGAGTATGTATGGAATGAATAATTACATCATTGGTATATCGATTAATATTATTTTTACTCAGTCAAGTCAGGCAAGTCAGTCAAACGAATGAAAGTGATGTCGTGAGAGAGAAGATTTCATGGAGTATGAATATAACGTAGAAGACTCTTTTTTCTTGCTATATTTTATTTATTACTATTATATTAAGATCAAAGAAGAATACCCATTTTTATAGCGCTCGGTGGTTGTTACTAACACCAAGATGCATATGGCCCTGGCTTTCTCTATCTGTTGTTGGTGCTTAAACCGAGAATTTGGGTTTTGGATTTTTTTTAACTGTATTGCTTATGTCGTAAGTGATATTAATCATAATACCAATATAATTATAACCAATTAATCATGATATATAAGAAGCATATCCCAATTGAACATTGCCATCACCAGGATTTGTGCACAGTGGAAATGAGGTCTTCTTGAATACTTAACCTATTATTGACCTAAAATGTATCAATTTATTTTCTTTTCTTTTCTTTTCTCAGTTGTCCATCATCCGTCTTTGTTTGTGTCACTGCCAAAGGCAACACAATCGAATACCTTGTTCTGCAGATATAATTAGCTGTCAATTGCCCTCTTGTGCGATCTTTAAAGCATTAGAGTTATTAACAAAGTAGTTTAAATTTTTACCAACACACTAGAGTTTACAAACTTAAATATGTATATGTATAGGCAAGGTTTATCAAGTAGTCTAATAAAGACATTATATATAACACTGTGTTGTACTTCTCTTGGCTTTTATAATTATCTGGGGGCGACGTCTTGGCCTGTTTCCACATAAGCGACCTATATACTATGTGCCCAATATTCTTTACTTTTATTTCAATGCCTCCTTTAAATTGTCTATATTGTGAATATATACTCTTCTCTTATTAACAAGTATCTTAAGGGCATATAGAATTTATTAAAGTGGGTTCGAATCAGAAACTTTGAGCAACTCACTTTTCAAATCACTTGTTTTAATGGGTATACCTCTACCACTATCGAACAAATACATACCTTTTCCCTCACTCTCATTAAGATTTGTAAACCAAGGATAAAAAAAATGCCGGGATATCGATATATACACCCTGATTTACTGTGAGGGTATCAACAATCTTCAAATGGCAGACTTCCTCTACGCAAAACATTACGGACAGACTGGAGATTATCGTGACGTCAGGTTTATGTTTATATGCTACATGCATTTCCTGGAGAAATTAGATAAATTGTTCTGCAGATTGCTAATAAAGTTACTCTCCCCTCCCTCCTTTTTTTTTAATACAACATCGGTGCATAATTATATTTTATTTTTGACATATAGCATGAGCAAAACTTACAGGACTAGGGACATCAATACTTTGCTATTGTTAGCGAGACTTCTTCAAAGAAATATGATGTTGCCTTGGCCGAGTTTACCATGGGTTTTCTTGCTGAAAAAAAAAGAGGGGACTTTTTGAACGTATCTGTTCGTGAGGCAGCCAAGATATTGTGTTAAACATAATATTACATTTATCACTTTTTTTTTTCTTTACTATTTATGACAGATTAGGGACCTTGGACACATCATATAAAATTTATTTAGACGGAGATTGTGCTCTTAAAAAGGAATAGTGTGTTTCAAAATCGCGTTATTTTATATGATATAAAAACATGATATAAAATATGTTGACCAATCATCTTTCGATATTTTATGTTGTTAAACTAACGATGACATAAAACTGAAATAAAGAACAAATTATGTTTTCAAGTAAGCATATAAACAAGTCCATATAGCCCCAGCATTAGGTTTTTTCCCCTTTATTTGCGCAATCATTCTACGTATACAAATATTAATTAATATCTATTAGCTTTAATGTCTAGAAAATTAAACAGCTATTACAGTTTGAGGGTAAAAAGTAACAAACTTTGGTTCGCACTAATTACATGATTATAAGTTCGTGAGTTTAGTAAATTAACATGGCCAATAAATGAAATATCACACATTTTCATTGTATACGGAAGCCTTGGATGTGAAACATGAGACCGTATAAAATTACATATATGGTTAAATGTTTCAAAAAAAATTATATGATATGTCCAAGGTCCCTACTGAAGAAGGGTGGATAAATCAATATTATTCACCAAGATGGCTGAGGATATTAAGTAGCATTTTTGAAATTTTGGATGAGGGAAACGAGATGAGATTTTTTTTTTCATTACTGTTTTCACAAAGTCTTGACTTCCATGACATGTATATATATATATACTTTTTTTTTAAAAAAATAAATAAATGAATTTTGGAAAAAGATCAAAGAAAACCAAGCTGATTTCAAGCCAAGGATCCATAATCTGTTAAGAAAGTAGCAAAAGAGAGGCAAATGTTTGATACGATTTCAATCTCTTGTATTCGAATATTCTGGCAAAGCGATAAAGTCGATTTTGTTCAATCATACTATATATTATATCATTTTAAAAGATATAGCATAGCATGCCCAACTATACATTGACCAATAATATGTCTGTATATGCAACCAAATTCTGCTTTATTGGTTTAGAGGATCCCCTTGATCTCGTTGGATATAAATTCATAAAAGTGGTCTGATTTATATACTTCAAAATTAATAGTAGTATTAAGAAAAAGGAAAACTTCAGGGTATAATAGATAGAGAAAATGCATTAAATATTTACATACTTTGTGCATAGAGATTTTTTGTTAGTGAATAGTTTGCAAACACGAAAATGGTGCTAGCTAAAAAAATAGAAAGGAAAGGAAACTAAATTGTATAAGATTATGTGAGTGACAGGAGCGTGCATGAATTCTGTAGAGATTGATCGTGTTTAGTGTTGATGGCTGTAAATAATATATTTTTATACAAATAAAGAGAAAGAGATCTGGGCACCCCTATCTGGAGAAATACCATTACTAGATTATACTAACCAAAAGAAGATGAAGAAAGAAAGAAATATAATGAGGCGAGATAAAGTTGGAAGAATGATTATTGGTATGATCTCTAGATTGATGTGAAAAACAACAACGACAAAAAAAAACATATGATTCTAGTCGAAAATTCTAGTCAGCCAGGAGTGACATTGGGGTAAAAGGTGTATTGCATGACATGACATGACATGGCATTACATTACATTACATTACATTACATAGCATAGCATAGCATAGCATAAATGTATATATATGTAGAAATGGGGTATTAAAACTGTATTGATAACTTTGTGATGAAAAATAAAATACAAGGAGATTGGGGGATGATAGATAATAAAGATATTATTGGTTCGTGAGCTATATACTACATGAGTATTTGTTGACAAGGACGATGTTAATAGATGACCTGATGTAGGCCAACTATTATCAAAGTGTAAGTAGATTGGTACTAAAGGGATTTGCTGGATAACATTAATTAATCTTGCTCTATACTTTATATTATAGTATATTATGCTTTAGTCTAAAAGTAAGAACCTGTAATGTGTCAAACACTGACTGTTGTACAACAAATGGAAATTATGTTAAAAGAAAAGAAAGGTACAGTAAAGATCACCAAGTCTACATATACATACACAATACATCTAATTATCTCTTGTGTGTCTATTTGACTGTTTCTGTACTTGATTTAGCTAGAGATAATTGGATGTGACTTGTGAAATGAATATAAGAATAAAGAAATGTTCGGCAAGGAAGACGGAGCAAGCCGGTCGGTGTTTGGTGTATATGTAAAAGGTGGGGGAGGTGAATAGATCGATCAATAAAATTAATGACAAGATTTTTTGGTTCAATCTTGTGAAATATGATTTGTACCTTTTTTTTATTTTATTTTATTTTATTAAAATTAAAATAGAATAAAGGGGGACTCAACTGAAGCAATAAGGGGGATAGATAGATAGATAGATAGATAGATAGATAGATAGATAGATAGATAAAGAGATAGATAAATAAATGTAAATGCTTAAAGAATGTGTCACTATGGATACAAGAAAGTCAAAATAAGAATCCCCACAATTATCCCCCTTTTTTTGTCTTGAAAAACAAACAAAAATTAGTACACAATCTTGACATCTTGCTATCCCACATGCTTTCCATAATAATAATAATAATAATTTTCCTCCACATTTTTGAGTTATTCGGAAGCACATGTCATTCACTTTTATTTTTGCTTGACTCTTCACATGTCAGCAGCTGAAAGCAAATGTATCTATATCTATATAAATTATATGAATATAAAATAAGCAATTCAAGGTTTATATTCATTCACATACAACACACATTATACACACTCTTGCACGCATAGCATAGCATAGCATTGATTTGATTTGACTTTTTTTTTTTGATAAATCATATTATATACATATATATATATATATATTGTACATACCATTAGCATATCTCACACTCATTACACACATATATATTGCTTTTGCATAGAATTCTCTCATTAACTATTTTCATTTTCATTTTGGATTGTAGAATGGAAAACTGACATTGGACGATTCTTTTTGGTAGCAAAAGAAGGTAATGTAATGTACAATTGCTGTTTTGGATTTGTAGGATTATTGTTTTCTTGTTAGTGGGCAGCTCCGGCTTTAGAGCGAAGCCAAGATGAGCCACCCGGTGCTAAAAATTATGCGCTCGATATGTCTTGATTGCCATACCGCAAGAGTCATCATAAAAAACTCTTGTCACATCATAAGACTTCAAACTCCATCTCCCTCCCCTCTTCCCTCTGTCTCCTTTCTCCTCCTCCCCCCCCCCCTCTGCTTTCTGATTGACAGAAAGAGAGAGAGAGAAAAGAAAAAGAAAAGAAATAAAAGAAAAAAAGAAAGAAAGAAAGAGTCGTCCATCAAACTTGTGACGCGCCCTTTTTTTAAAGAAAATAATAACAACAAAATTTTTCATTACTTTAATACAAAGGTTCTTGTCCAAATCAACTTGTGGTTCGCCATACTGTATTTGTTTTACTGCAAGTAATTTAATGCACAACTATGTGTGTGTGTGTGTGAAATATTAAGTAGAGAAAAAATAGATCGATAAATATGTCTATCGTTACCAATTGCAGTGATTCACAAGAGTCTTGGACATATCTATCCGAAGGCAATGCAAATATCGTATTGACTTATAGTGGAAGTAATCCTTTACTGGTAATATCAAATAAATAAAATAAGGATTTTATTGATAATAAATTTTGTAGAGAAACACAGTGCTACGATTATCAAAGACGACCAATACATTGGACAGCCATCTGTTTATCAAATATGCAATAGAGCCACTATTGACACCCTGGGTCCTAACATATGTAAGCATAAAATATAATATAATATAATATAATTAAATAATTAATTAATTAATTAATTAATTTTGTTTAATAGACAAAAATCAATCTTTCTCCTCTCGTTCTCCAAACAATTGGTCTGGAATGTTTTGACAAACGACCAGCCCATCGATTGGGATCAGAAATCAACCAATCGATTCTGTGGGGATACTCTTCTCCTGACATGACCCATTATTTTGCACCTGCGTCTACCTTGACCATTGAAATCAAGGTAAAAAGGATAATACATCCAAAAACAAAAACAAAATAAATAAATAGAAATTGCTTATCTCTTCTTTTATATATATATAGCCAAAATGGGGATTCAAACCAAACTCTAGTCATATTTCAGAACATCACTCGATTAAACAGAGGATGTGCAGATATTGTATGCACTCTAATCTCAAGAAGCTCGAGACACTCTATTGTCCTCTCGACATTTACTCCAAAGACCCCATTCGTGTGAGGCGGGCAATCGAATGTCTGTTGAACACAAAGGGAGACCAACTGCGATTATTTCTAGACGGCAAACGACTTGAACTACACCAATCTACACAGGCCAGCATCACAAGCCAACTACTCGGGAACTGGTTTGGAGCTAAAGCCAGTGATGAGAAAGAGAGCTCAGTGATGACAATCATTTCAGAGCTTGTTCAGAAAGTGCTGGATGAGGAGGTTGTGCTGAACAGATTAAAGCTATTACAGAAACACTGCGATGAATTGGATGTAGAGGGGATCATCAAGATCTATGAAAAGTATAGCCAGATGGATCTTGAACTGGATCTAGAGGGATGGATTGGGGTGACGAGCAATTTGCTCAAGAGACTTGGAGATAAAGATTATACTGGTGTGGTTGATGAAAGACAGCGACTGTATGAATATGTGCTCTCGATGACCCTAAAGGATTGTTCGTTGATGATATCGATCTCTGAACAAGATGAACCAAGGCAAGTCAAAGCTAAATCAAATGATTGATTGATTGATTGATTGATGGGTTGAATTGTTTAGCCCTGTTTATTGGTGTCGAGATAACAGATATGTCTACTACCAGTATGCTGTAAAGTTGATCGATCTTGATCTCAAGGATATCAAAAAGATACCAAAGTGGTTTGATCTCGACCAAAGGATCGTAAAGAATGCAATCCAACATGGACTCGACAGTATCTGTAATGAATAGAAAAATATCCAAAAAAAAAAAAAAAGAAAAAACGAATATTATAATATTTATTATCTATAATGTATGTCCTTTAATTTGATTTGATCAATTATCTTATTGTTAGTATTGATATGCTTTATCTATATAGTATCTAATTATAATAGTATTAATTTTCCATTGTATAAGCGGAAATGATCGGGCGGGACAGTGCGACCCTTGATGAAAATATAAAATATAAATATAAATTTGAATCAAAATCATATATACAGTAATTTTATTGTATTGTAAAAATAATAATAATATTATTATAGTGGGGGAGGAGGAGGGAGGGGTAGATAGATAAAGATAAAGAAAGAAAGAGATCGCCCTTGATTGCTTTCTAATTTTTTCCGAAAAATTGTATATATAAAAAAAAAAGGGTACTGATTTATTTTATTTTTTTTCTTTGGTTTTCCTATCTCTTTATTTTACTTTATTTTACTTTTCCCTTTTCTTTTTTCTTATTGGGTGTTACACAAGATTTGTCGGATTGTTGATCTTTTGTAATTTTTTATTATAAATAATAATTTGGGGGTGAAGGGGGGGCAGACAGCAGCAACAGCAGCAACTAGAAGAAAAAAGAACATTTATATTTTTATATCCCTAATTTCCGCATTTATTTATTTTTTATTTTGTTTTGCTCACTTGTCCAAGGCTAAATTGACCAAAAAGAAAGAAAGTTTATTTGATCAAATTGATATATCTTATAAGTAGAGGCGATTTGGCATTTCTTTAATTTATTTATTTTTCTATTGCTCCCCATTCAGAGTCTCTGAACTGGCACTGGTTTCAGGTACAAGAAACTTTTTATAAATTATCCTGAACAAAGGAATGCTTGCTTAAAAGGAGATTGTTACTGGTTATTTCTCAGTGTGCTATCAATACTCTTTTCTTTAGTTGGTTTACATTTGATTTGTGAACTATTAGATTAATGTCATGATTCTTATGTCTAAATAGCAGTCCAACATCAATATTGAAGCCTATTGTTCTATATGTATTAGACATTTAGCAACCATTTTTATATTTGACCAAGAAAGTGATCAATTTAGGTCTTGAACAAGTGAGCAAAAAAAATAAAAAATATAAAATTGATATTAGATGGACGGATTGTTCATTTCATTTCATTTTTAAAAATCATCCTCCAGCCCTGTCCAATCATCATCAAGAAGGAGAGCATCACTTTCTGCCTTCATCTGACAAAGGCCCGTGATCTGTTCGAGATAGAGAGGATCCTCGACCACATTAGAAAGGAAACCAAGTGGGTCAGCATCATAATGCTCAATGACCTATATTATTATATTGTTAGCCAGCCTATATATCTATATCTATTATACTTTACCTTTGTTGAACAGGCAGTGCATCGATCATAGGCTTGTCCAACAATCAGCATATTACTAAATTGTCCAAGGAATCCCCGTATCTGATGAGGAACAATACCCAATAGACAGGGCACATCATTCTTCCCAGCCGGAGCATTAACTCTAAAATCATAAATCAAATTGACTATTGTTACATCCAATCCAATCCAATCCAATCTTATCCTTTTGTATGTGATAAATTACCCATCTTTGTGTTGAGTAAGTGAAACCATCAATTCTACTGCCAGGGCACCTGCAATAGCTGCCAGACCGGGTCGGGTAACAGTGCATTGTTGATCAAGTGTGCGATCAGTCAAAGACTTTAAATATATATATATATTTAGAAAGGATATTATTGTGATGGTTATGTATTTATTGAGCTTACATCAGTGGGCGCAACAATATCATTGCAGAAATAGCAACCAAGATTTGTGCCTATTTTTTCTTGATCTTGATCTTGAGCTTGATTTCGACCTCCGTGTCGCATTACTAGATAGGTATCGAATCCAAGGGCAGAATTGATGACAATCTTGTTTAGTTTTGCTGCCAGCATTGTGGGTAACCATCGACTCTCTCGGCTGTCTGTCAAGAGATAGACAACATCATGGCTCTCAATCAAATCCAATAAAGCCTGGGAATCTTGTCTGAGTTGTTGAGCGGGTAATGGATGTCCAGGCATTGGGATGGTGAATGAATAGCCTTTTGATACCTAAGATATAGAATAATAATAATAATAATAATATAAATTAAAAAAAAAAAGAAAATCTAATAAGAATTTCAACTCCATTCAATTTGATTCGATTCGATTAAAATTATAATAACAAAAATATTACATAATTATATGATTTTATATATGGATATTAATTGATTGATACATTACAATCGAGGGTTGAATTGCCTTTAGTGCCTTGGCTGCCTGCTCAGCCTTTGGTGCGCCTCCTTCAAGACAATCTTCAAAGGTATAGAGTGGTTGACGAACAGGGTTTGAAAACGACACTCTGCCGTTATCAACAAAGGTTATATGTCTCACACCCCACCCCTGTTTACAACAACAAAACAAAACAAAACAAATAAATTTAGTTTGATGTTTGTAAGATGTGTTTCAAATAAATAACTTGCCAATAGACATCGTGCCACATGGCATCCAAGAGTGCCCGCACCCAGCAAGAGACATTTTGTGTGTTTGATCTTTTCGAGGTCAAGGTCAGGGACAACACGCCATCTCATTAATTTGAGATTAAGATCGACCGATGTATCAGCCAATCTACCAAAACAAAAGCACATTGTGTGTATAAGGTATTGACAGTTGGATTATACAAGTAATAGATTATCAATAGTATCAATAATTTGTTGTCATGGTGATTAATAATAATAATAAGAATAATAAAGTGTTTCATATTTTTATTTTTATTTTACCTGAGAGGGTCCATGAGTGGTCCCAGGTCTGCTACTCGAGGACCCAGTTTGGCCTGTGCATTCCTCTCCCAACCGACTGACTTTGGAAGAGTATCTATCATATTATTTATTTATTTATTTATTTATTTATTTATTTATCTAGAAATAAAATGATAATGATAGATACCCTTTTGCTTGGAATCTTTTGGCTGGTATAGACTGTCGGTTGGTAAGCTGGTCACCAAGATTTGAGATGTTTCGATAGGGTCTCGGTAACACACGACCTTTAGGGTGTTGAGACCCCATGAGTGGTGAGCTAATGCTAAAAGTGGACGCAGTGGCCATCCCGGAGAAGCCAGTCCAGAAGGATCGGCAAATCCTACGATTGGCTACAGCATTAAATATTAAATGTAATATATATATATATATATATATATATATATATCCAAATGCCAATAGCAGAAAGATTCAAATCAAAATATTTTAGTCAAATAAAAATAAAATAAAATAAAAAACCACACGATTTTTTTTTAGTGCATAAAGAATCAAATATATTTACTCAGACTGACCTCATCCGAGCGATTGAAAAAATCATCCCATGTGTCAAGACTGCCAACCCGAATGTTACCGCTAGTGTGTTTTTTAATAAGAAAATAAGCAGAATCTGGACCTTGACTTGAACGTAATTTTGCATATTCTTTGGCAAGGGATTGAATCTAATATATAATTATTTAATTAATTAACTAATTAATCATCATTACATACATAGATATGTATATATAATTGTTTATTTACTTGGTCAGAATTCATTTCACTGGTTATAGGAGTCATTGGTTTATCCAGCTGCCATTGGGATGGTTGTGGTATAGGTGCAGGAAAGCAAAACCAATAATAGAACTTGTACTTCTTTAGGTCTGCAAAGGTCAGTACAAAGAACTGACACAGCAGACCAGGATGTTTAATAGCCTCCCCACTCTCAATACAATTCCACAACTAAAATCAAGTGAACATTCACACACAGGCAATCCATTCAATCCATTCAATCAAAATAAAAAATATTATTATTATTTGAAATAACAGGTACACACACACAACATATATATATATATATTTTTGCATGAATTTTATTTTATTATAATATATATATATATATATAAAAAGTGACTGATTTTTTTTTCTTTTTTCTGTTTTTGCTTTAATTGTTACCTTTGATGCTGCTTCTTGAAAGAGTGCCTGCCTGTCGAGCTTTTGAAAGTCTTGGATGGTATTTGTATTTGTGATTGTGCCAGTGACTTGAAAAGCGTTTGCAGGGATTGTGCTGGTCTTTTCAAATGCTTGAGAAGGTAAGCATAGTCGGGGAGCCACGGCTACTGACTGTCCCTGAGTGTCAAGAAGAGCATGTCCGGGAGTATAGTAACCCAAGAGTGACCGAGATTGATCAGACAGCTGGAATTCGTTTAGCTTTTTTTCAGCCAGAGTCTGCCAGAATGCAGCGTCTACAGCCGAGCTAAAAGGTGTGAACTGAAGAATGGTCATTCTGTGATGTTAACAATCACTAATTGTCAATAATGATATATTTGTTAAGGGTATTTTTTCTTTAAAAATAAAATAAAATAAAGAAGACTCAGTGAGATGGTGAGAAAGAGCAAAGAGTAGGTACGCAAGCAGTAAGGTGAGAGGAGAGAGGAGAGGAGAGAGGTGAGGACGCGTGACTGTCATGCTGCGCGTACTGATGGATGATTATAGTATAATAAAAATAAAATAGAATAAAAGCTTATCTCCTACAAGTTTGGTGACCAAAAAAAAAAAAAGAAATAAAGCAAATGATAGGCACGTGGAGACGATCGCTTCACCTGAGAAAAAGGGAAATAGAGTAGTGTGTAGTGTGTGACAATGTAATGAATGTAATGAATGTGTTGAATGTAATGAATGCTTAGATGCGTGGATAAGAAATACAAAGCTGACTTTTGTACATATATTGAATTTGAGTCAACAAATGTGTGATAGCCAGATAAATAGATAGATAGATTTATATAGCATATAATTTGTCCATTTTTTTTTATTGGGGGTGGCCAAATAAAAATTAGAATAAAATCAAAAAGAGCACGGACGCTTCCGTAAGTTAAAGAAAGTACTGCCACTGATTTTCATGTGATAAGGAGAAAATTGAAAAAAAAAAAGAGGGGGGTTTGAGTTGTATTGATATAAAGATTAAAATAAATAAATTGAGCCAATATTTTATTTATTTGGTTGATTGAATAGACAGACAGACATGTAGGCTAGGTAGACAAATAGATAGGTTGTAATTGCGTGATGAATATTCGGAATGAGTGAAGGAAATAAAGGGAGGGGGAGGTGGTTAAATGATAAAATAGAATAAAATTTAATGCAATTTTTATTAACAAGCAAGAAACAAAGAATATAAATAAAATAAAGAAAAAATTCCCACAAGCGGACAGCAACAACAAGAAAAAACCCACGACGATCTGGAATGGTGTTTTACCCCACACCAGGGTGTTGATATCAACTGATAAGGTCGGTCCATGCAATGAAAATATTATATATTGTATATCTCTACACACACACTACTATTAGTATTAGTATTACCTCTCCTTGTCTTGCTATACAGCCAAAGGTCCAACCAACCATTTCTGTATATTGATTTCAATAATAATAATAATAATAATAATAATAATAAACAAAGCCATTTTCGCTCGCTCTCTTTAAACCCTACACCACAGAAAATGTTTCTATATTTGGGTTATCGTCCACATCTTATTTAAAGTGGCGCATGGGATTTCTTTTTTCTTTTTTGATGTGGAGATGGTGAGATGTTTGTAAATGTGGGGGTTCAAAATAAATAATAATATAAAATATTATTTTTCCCCCCTATCCCCCTTATTCCCTTATCCACACTCTTCTCTCCTTTACTTGGGTCCCCCCACAATTTTTTTTTGATTTTGATTTTTACACACGTCTCTCCCCTATCTTGGCCATCATCCTATCCAAACTCAACCTTGACCCAAAAAAAGAAAGAGACGAAAATTGTCCGTTTTTTTTTTTTTTTTTTTTTTTTTTTTTTTTGGATATATATATAAAATAGCCTTTTCGAATATTTTTATTTTTTGATTTTCTAAAATTATTATTACATATTTCTACACTTATAAAAACATGACTTTTCAAGCTGCTTCTAGTCTATTGAGCCTTTCGTCAAAGTGCGCAATCACTGCTATCAGCGACAAGGCCAACATTCCTCGTCCTTACAAGTGTCCCATGTGCCCCAAATCATTCTACCGTCTTGAGCACCAAACCCGCCACATCCGCACCCATACTGGCGAAAAGCCCCATTCTTGTACTTTCCCAGGCTGTGAGAAGCGATTCTCTCGGTCGGATGAATTGACTCGCCATGTTCGCATCCATGCTGCCCCCCACCGCAAGCGTGACCGCAAATTGATTACCAAACCAACAAAAAAAACCTTACACCGCTCTACCCCACCATCGCCCACCCTGTCTGCAGGAAGCTGCTTCGAAATCCATCACCATCATCATCAGTCCGACTCTGAGCCAGAATTTCTCTTTACTCCCGACGCCTCTCCCACACTCTCACCCCGGATTGTTGTTCAGTCGCCTTCATTCTTCAAATTGGCCCCACTAGAGTGCAATTCATTATATTCACCACCATCATCATCTCCTTCCTCACCAGTATTATCCAAACAGACCATCCCAGACTATCGCCAATCTCACTCTTTACTCGATCTCTTTGACAGACCACCCCAGGCCCGCACTCTCCCACCAATCTCTACAATCCATTATCAATCAACCACATTACCATCCATTCATTCAATCCTTCCCTTGTTTTAAATTATCCTTCACTTGTAGATTCCCACCCCTTTTTCTATTTATTTTTATATATATACATATAATTTACTATTACTCTTTATGATTCCTTCTTTTTTTTTTTGTATAAATCCCTCCTCCTCCCTTCTCTCTTTTGTTATTTAAAAATCACTGTTTTCATTTTGTACATATTCAATTCACAGGCGATATTAATAAAAATAATAATAATAAAATATATGAGTTGCCATTTTAATCTTTCTACCAAAATTAATTCACAAAATGTTTAGCTGTTTAAACAAGGGTCAAAGAAATTTATTATAATTAAGAATAAAAGCAAGTGTCACCAACGTAAAGTCAAAAGTATATATGATAAATGTTAACTTATTATTATTGAGATTAATATATATATATATTGGTATGTTTGATAGGGACGATAATGGATAAGAAGACGAACAGGAAGAAAAGGTGCGGTGGTTGAATGTATGTTATTATGATTATTCAGGGTTCTTTTGGGAGACAACAACCAAGCATTGCACGTGCATTTTGTGTGTAAGAAACAAAAAAAAAAAAAAAAAAAACTTATGAAGGGTGAATGAGGGAACTGATTGTATCTTTCTCTGTAAGTCTCGGGTCAAATCAAATAAAAAGATCAATTCGATTCAATTCAACTCAATTTAGCTCAATTTAACTCAACTCAATCAAAAAATAATAAATAAAATTAGCAAGGTAGCTAGCTAGATAGCATAGAATAATAAACAAATACAAATTACAGGGTTAATAATAACAAAATATAAGCATCATGGTGATTATGCTTTATCACTGCAATTCTTCCCGCCATCTACCGTTTCCTATTTTGTATAATCATAAAATCCGCTTCAATGAGTTTCCGTTCCCAGTCATCAAGTCAATTTTCTTATTTATTTTTCCTACCCGATGGAAAATTTTTATATATATATAAATAAAAAAAAATTATTCCCGGTCCAATAGAAATCGTTTATTTTTCCATTATGTTATGTTTTGTTTTGTTTTAATTTTCGTAATCAGTATTAAAATTTGCTCACCCTTTTTCTTTTCTTTTCTTTTTTTTTTTTTTAGTTTAATTTTTATTTATATAATCAAATCAAACCAATCAAATGCATCCAAAAAAATAATCAAGCCATTCAGTTCAATAAAGTCGATTCAATTCAACTCATATTCAATTTGACCCTTTTTTTTTTTTTTTATATATTTTATTTCTTGCTTTACTTTTGGATGTGCCAAGATGTGGGTGATAACAAAATCAATTTCACCCTCATTTTTATTTTTAATTTTTTAATTTTTATATTTGACTTTTAAAAATTTTATTTTTATATTATTTGTAAGGCTCGACCCTTAAAGAAAAATAAATAAATTATTCTCCACAACTTTTAGGTTGGAAATTGAATACCTTTTTTTTTTATTTTTTATTTTTTATTATAAAAAAATATATTTTTAAATCAAAAATAACAATTTCAATTATAATAATGGTACTGATACTGATGATACTGATGATAATGATAATGATACTGATACTGATAGTGATACTGATACTGATAGTGACTTTTTTTTTTTTTTTTTTTTTTTTTTTGGACAATGATGATTTCATTCTCACAGCACACATACACATACATTTTATATATCAATGTAGGCAAAATATCGTTTATTGGTAACCATCAGTAAAGTATATATATATATATATATATATATGTGTGTGTGTGTGGTGTGATGTGATGTGATGTGATGTGGTGTGGTGTGGTGTGATGTAAACATTTTATTTATATTCTTATTATTATTATTATTTACCCCTCTCTCTCTCTCCCTCCTTTCTTTCCTTTCTTTTCCTCTCCCCGCCCCGCCCCACACAGCTCCAGTTTGGCTTTTAGGCTTGATTTTATTATTCAAAAAAAAAATTAAATAATTAAATAAATTCAAGACTAAAATGTACAAAAATATCGTGTATATATCAACCTTTGTCTCTTAATAAAATCATTACTACAGTTATAAAATTAAAATTAAAAATTAAAAATTAAAAAAAAATTAAAAATAATAATATATATAATATATATATATATATATTATATTTATTGTACTATACCCCACACATTAGTCATTAATCCATATTTTCCTTCTTTCCTTTTTTTGACCTTTCTGTTCTGGTTTTCTGGAAATATGTACATGTTCGTGTCTGGGGAGGTGCGGTGTGAGGCTGGAAGATTGTACCATTCTGTGTATTTACTAAATACACACACAGCACACAAATTTATGTCTGAATTCACTGTGAGTGGCTGAGCGGAATTTTAATTATCTTGGAATACGTACATATAAAAAAAAAAGGAACAAAACTGTCCAAGTGGTTGGGATTTACGGAACTAGAAGCCGATATAGCCGGCAACTGATTTTTCTTATTGTTTTTTTTTATAAAACTCCAAATACCAATAATAATATATATTTATGCAATTTATTACCATAGCAACAAAATAAAAAGCAAAAATGTTCTTGTTTCAATTTTAATAATAATAAATAATAATAAGCCAAACCTTTCACACTTTAGCACAATACAACAGCCACCGTCAAAATTAAAACCAAAAGCATTAACCAACGATTATATAAATATTTATCTATTTTTCACTTTTGACAGCTTATAAATATATGTATATATATATATATATAAATGGCGTGGCTTGTGTCCTGTGTCCTGTGCCTTTTATAAATAAATAAATAGAGATTTATGCGCTTTAATTCCAATGAAACAGATAAATAAAAACATTCTGGTAAGCCCGTTTCAGCCATTCTATTGTCTTATATTTCATTTCATTTCATTTGTTTGTTTGTTTATGTATTTAAAATTAAGCATCAAAGACATATTATTATTAAACATCGTTCAAGCCTCATTACTTATGATCACGCCACTTGTTATTTAACAATACCAATAGCAGTAACGACATTAATATTAATACCAGTAAGAAGAGCAGTAAAATATTCATTTATTATTATCTTTAAGGAAAGAAAAATATTGATCTCGAGCTTGATCTCAATCTCGAGCTTGATCTGGATATAGATATAAATGTATGTTTTTGTACATGTATTCTAGATCGCAACTATTTTTCAAGTTACTATTCTTCTTAAATACGTATCTAGATACTTATATGTAATGGTACCCGCACCATTACAACAGTCCCTGTATGTTGTTATTTAAAGGAGTATAATCTAAACCTACTTTATTTACTCGGTGTTTTGTCTCTCAGTGATAGTCTACGCCTCACTAATGACAATCATTACTGCTAACCAAGAATATAAATAGAAATGGTCAAAGGATTTACAAGCATCACTATTTATATTTACACACATAAAGACGATTATTAAAGACTAAGAGAAACATACAAAACAAGATCATATTGCTATTATTCATTGGTGTGGGTATTTAGTGCTTTATTTTTTATTTTTTTATAATACACACATTTGTGCCTACCTCTCAGCCTTTATTTCCCTTTTATATTATATATATATAAATAAATAGTAGTCAAGAACAGGCTTTGAAATACATACAAGTATTTAGTGACTATAGATAAATTTACTACAAGACCAATTTTGACCATAAAAGTACAAATAATATAAATATATAAATAAAATATTTTCTCTCTCTCTTATATACAATCTTGACAAATGATCCTGTTTCTATTCGCACACTTGTTAAACTTTATATTTTTTTGCGCTTTTTTTGTGTGTGTGGGTGCGTGTTCAATTTTATTTTAATTGAGTTTAGCTGCGCACAAGCTATATATATATATATTTATATTTATATTTATATTTATATTTATATTTATATTTAAAAATAGTAAATGATACACATATTGAACGCCTCGTACTAGACAATTCAATTTCTTATGCTTATTGTAACAAAGCCATCTTCTATAGCTTACATATAGCCTGTAATCTATATACAAATACAAGTACACTACACAAGAAGAAAAGTAAAGGTAAAGCAAAAAAAAAATCCTAAAAAGGAAACAGAAAAAAAAAAAAGACAATCAAGTAATGAGACGAAACAGTAAAAATATAACCAGCCTCAATACAAACAGAAACAGAAACAGAAACAGAATAAACATAAATAAAATACTATCATAATTATCATCAACTACATTTACAACTCTACCTACACAGCTAAAACTACGTTCCCGACAATTTCCTATATAAATCCAGGTACTTTTCTTCTTCTTCCCTTCTTCTTTACAAAAACAACAACAACAATACTACTTTTATTTTTATTGATATCGCTATAGTCTTTATCTCTATCACAAATATACACCAGTACACCTATACTAAAGTCTATCCATCTCTTCCAATATCTTTTTTTTTATATTATAAATATATATATATATACTTGAAGCCTTATATAGTTTCTGATGCGTCAATCTTGGCCTTCTTTGTTGCTCTCAACTCTGTGGACTCTGCTGCTTCTGGTTAACCTGGGGTCTGCAAAAAACGATGGCCGCCATCATGTAAAGGAATTCACGCTAAACATCACTTCGATCCAACACAACCCAGACTGCTCAAATTATACCGGTAATGTTCTCGCTCTCAATGGCCTCATACCTGGTCCTCCAATCATTGTCACAAAGGGCGACCGTGTCCAGGTTACGGTCTTCAACAACCTCACTCCACACACCCCATCAGAAAATGTCACCGCAGAAGAGGACATGACCAGTCACGCCTCGATTCACTTTCACGGCATCCGTCAATATGGATCTACCGAAGCAGACGGCGTTCCATTCCTAACCCAGATCCCAATAGCCCCAGGTGGATTCTACGTCTACGATTTCAAGGTAACCAACCAGGCCGGAACATATCTCTACCATGCCCACGTCGGAATGCAGGAGATGTCTGTCTATGGTGCAGTAGTCGTCTATGAATCCGAAGAGGCCGATCCAGCACAGCGCGCCAAACTTCTCCTCTCAGAATCCGAATCTACAAAACAGCATAACCAACTCAAGGCGTACGGATCTTCGTACGACGATGAACGGACGATCGTCCTCAGCGAGTGGTGGCACAGAGACCGCGTCGAATTCGAGCAATATCTACTCGGCCCTACCTTCAATGGCATCTGGGAAGCCGAATCGATCCTGTTGAACGGCAAGACTGTCTACCAGCCCATCCAAGTCAACCCAGATGCATGCAGAGGCTACGAAATCATCCCAGTCCAGAAAAACAAGACCTACCGCATTCGTGTGATCGGAGCAACCGCCTTCCGCACCCTTGGCTTTGCAATCGCCAATCACAACCTGACAATCATCGAAGTCGACGGTGAGCCAGTCCTACCATATGTAACATCTTTCTTGGAGGTAGCTTCTGGCCAACGCTTTTCGGTTCTCATCACAACTGACCAGGACCCAACTGACTACTCAATTGGTACAAATCGTCGCTGGACCGACGGTACTGTCCCTGCTACCTCAAATGGATACGCCGTCCTACGTTACCAGGATAATATTTCAGAAGCAGCAAAATCAGCATCACCATCACCCAAACGACGATCACTTTGGTCACGCAAGCTTAATAACAATACTCCAACCAAATCTGATGCTGTGCTCAAGGTCCCAAAGGGTAGCTTCGTATTCCCACCAGAAACGATTGGCTGGATCTGGGACAAGCTTACTCCTTTCTATGGCGCCTACCATGAGACCCGCCGACCGGCTGATCGAACGATCGTCTTGCGCTCTACTGATGAAAAACTATCAGACGGCAGCACTCGCTGGTTTGTCAATGGCATCAGTTTCAAGGACCCGGCCCGCAACTACCTCTCGCAGGTCCTCAACGAGACTCGAGCAGAGCTGGTGGCAATGGAGGATGAGGAGCCAGAATATGCAAACGGCTATGATCCAAAATCTGGTATGTATCCAGTCCGCCAGCACGAAATTGTCGATTTTGTTCTCCAGTCAACCCACACGGCAACCCTGCCTTGCCGAAGCCACCCATGGCACACCCATGGTCACTCTCATTGGGAGATCTCGTACGGAGCCGGCGACTACAGCCATGATGAACACGGAGCCCTTCGATCAGACCACCCTGTCCACAGAGATGTTACTCTTGTCTATCCAAGCACAAGCCAGAACTACACGGCGTCTAACCCACCCCCTGCAGACGGATCGATTGGTTGCGGATGGTCCAAGATCAGAATATTTACAGTAAGTGTAGTTTTCTTCCTTTTCTTCTTCTTTTTCTTCTTCTTCTTCTTCTACTACTTTAGATTTTAAGCTTTAGACTTTAGACTTTAATCTTCAGTCTTTAGCCTTTCTTTTTAATTTTTATTTTACAAAGAAAAATTCACCTTCCCCTACAATTATAAATATAATTATAATTATAAGTATAATTATCATCATCATCATCGTCGTATTTATATGATTTACCACCATGTACTACATAAGGAAGAAAAGCGGGCTAATCAATGTATTTACATAAACTTTTATAGGATAATCCTGGAATCTGGGCTCTACACTGCCACAATACAGCACATATGTTCATGGGCATGATGGTCGCTATAGAAGAAGCCCCTGAGTTGATTAGAGAAACTGACACAATCCACTCCCACGATTAATATTTTCTTTTCTTTCTTTTCTTTTATTCTTACCCTAAACCTTACCCTTATTCTTATTTCTCTTCTTCTTCTTCAAGTCAAATTCAATTTTTTCTTTCCCTTGTTTATACCAGTCATAAATTTTGTTTGGTTGTAGTAATATCAAGTCTGTAATGAATTATAATAAAATATATAATATATATATATATATATATATATAGACGTTCATTCATATCTTATACCTCTTGGTGATTTATATTGTGAACATAATACAGACAATAAATAATTTCTGATAATGTATCTTATATATTATAGATAGCAAGGATATTTAGAGTACAGATTAGTTTGTTGAATTTGGGTTTGAGCTATGCTTTCTTGCATTATTATTAGTATTGTTGTTATTATCATTATCATTATAATAATTATTATTATTTTTATAGAATAATAAGAATAACAAAGCTGTAGATTCTGCTTTAAGAGATATCAATAGGTGTAGTGCATATGGTCTCAATTGGAGGATTTCAACAACCACAAATATATATAGAAAAAAATCAATAAATCAACGGTATCAAAAGTTCCAATCAGTGTGTTCCTGAAATAAGAGTACAAGCCAGAGTGCAGCAGTCACAAATACCTTTTCTCATTAGCTATTAGATATTTCTGGAACTGTATAATATAATATATACACATTTACGCTAAATGTTTCAAGTTATCTTGTGAGAATGTTTCTATTTCTTTCTTTTGATACAGGTTCTCATGTCCTTTAATGTCTTATAGATTATTTTCAGAGCTCTACTCAACATCACGGCCGCCTTATTTCTACCAGAGACCTCCAATCCTTCACAATTTACACCTTCTTGGTCACCAGCATGATCTCACCCCTGGCTTACTTGACTGCCATTTTATTTCTTGAGAAAAAATTGAGCTGGGATTTATGAAGAATCAATGTCAAGGTCAAAATGGTATATCTATATATCTTATATGCTATAATCAAATTAACTGTTTATTTACATATTCTAAGTAAATAAAAAGTTATCAACAGAGTACCGAATTATGTCTCTGAACACATACACGCACACAAGCCATTAAATGCTTCCCTAATTTTTCTTTATCACTATCATTTTTGAGATTAAACAATATCCCCTTTTTCAATAATATAAGAGCTCACAAATCCTTCATAATATGGAGCGGTACTTTTGTATTGAGCAATCTATACATGTTTCTACTGTCAATTCTTTAAATGTTAAAATGAACAAAATAAAGATTATTATTTTTTTTTTTTAAAAAAAAAAATGGTGATTGGATTATTCGGTATCGCTTATTGATTTTTATTGTTGTTTAAATTTGTTAATTGGAACTATATGCACTATATCTACTGGTGTCGTTTTTAATTCAATTTAGCCTGGTATACTTTATGCAGCAATATAATACAGTTTGTACTAATGCATATATATATATATATATATTAAAGTAATCATACCAGAACGTACCTAACTGCACTCAAAAGGTGCAGTAGATTTTGAACGGTATTTTCTTTTTTTTTTTTCACTACCATTAATAATATAGCCAAAAAAGATATACTTTCCAATACACCCATATATATATATATGTACATGTGTTTCTCTTGTTATTTTTACTGTCTTTTGTCAATTCAATTATTCTACAGTCAAGAATCTAGCAGGCTCAACGCCGTGTGCTAGTAAAAATAAAAGTCAGAAAAGAAGTCTATTTGGTCCATTTAGTCTAATTGAATTGAAATGTAACACTATTATCTTTGTTTGCGTGCATTGATTTGCGGATGTGCGTATATATGTACACATTTGTATGTATGTAAATGTATGTAAATGTATGTAAATGTATGTGTGTTTATTTGGATACTCTATTTTTATTTTATTTTTCTTTTTTGATTGGTTTGAATACTAAAATCCACATTGAATACAGGAAACAAAACTTGCTTTTTTTTCTTAAAGAAAAGCAAGAAGAGGAAATAGGCATAGTGCAATTCAACACCAAAACCAAAGATTTAAATAACACTATAGTTAATGTAGCCTTATATTAAAACAATTACTCATCAAGAAGTATAAAATATCAACCAACAAACAAAAACAAAGAAGTTGGTCTGTAAAATGGCTGCCGGGATTTATTTGTCTATTTTTTGTATCACATCAACTGGTAGGTGTTACAGCTTACAATCATAATACTGTATATATATATATATATATATATATATATATTTATAAATGTATGCCTATTAGATCCAAACTCTTTCATAATGTACAGATCCCATGAATATGCTACCAAAAGGCTAGTACAAGAATCTCTGTGTGTTTATCAATATCTGATCATTAACTAATATGGGTATTTTAACTACTATTAGTCAAATTAAAGTGAGTAATAATAAAGACGGTCTGCTACACACATATACATTTCATGATCTAAACAAGTACGCCACACACACACACACACATAGCTATTAGGTTTGTTTTTGACATGGCATGTTCTTCTTTTCTTTTAAAGTATTTACACACATCTCCTTTTTGTTTTCTCTCTCTCTCTCTCTTGCTTAATCGCTTATTAATGTGAATCATAAGAATAGTAATAAAAACGAGTGTTATTCCTGATACTTTTTGTACATTGCATTACTTGATAATTTGGCTACACGAAACTGGATTTTATTTCCAAAAGTATCCAGTAAACCGACACAAGTACCTGTTTGTTACCGTTTTCTTCTTTATTTTTCTTTATAATTCTATAGCTTTCATGAAATCTTGATTTTTGTGGATTCAATACAAAAAAAGTAAAAATAAGAATACTATCAATTCAGCATGTTCCATTTCTCTCTTTTTTAGATATATATATATATGTATATGTACGCGAGTCACATATATTTGGACTGTAGATCAAATACACTACTCCAGGTTTTTGTTTGTAAAGAGCCGAAGCTCAGAAATATACTGCACCAAGAGTCTGGATCGCACAGTCAGTGACTTTCTTTCCAACTCTAAATATTATATAGCAAAATAGGAGACGGAGGGGGATTCAACAGCCTTATAGACTTTTCTTTTTTCTTTTTAAATTTATACGCCAAACTTTAAAAACAGATAGGATTGGCCTTAATTAATCTAGAAGCATAAAATTATGAGAAAGTTGTGTCTTTAGAAAAAGTATGTCGATTCATTCTAAATTTCTCTACTCAACTTTGATTCGTAATTTAAGCCAAAATCTGTCAAATATAAAGAGTAAAGAATATCGTTGACTTATAATATAAATATATGCCTCACTTTATAGGTTATTAGATTGTAAAATTTCTTTTTCCTTGTTCGTCCTCTCTTTAACTTTTTAATATGAAAATATCCCTTCACATCCACAGCATAATTTGGACAGAAAGAAATGCAGCATTTAATATCGATTAAACCAAGCATCATTGCAGAGTGTTAGAATCTCTACAGCCACCAAAAGAAAACGATAGTAAGATAATCTTTCTGAGATCTTGTACAAGTGTGGCTCAGGTCTTACAAATGTACAAAAGTGTAACAATAAGTAGAGTAGATATAAAGGAGCTAAAAGTATATGTAGAAAGACATAGATTGAGTATAGAGTATCTATAACTTTTGGGGTCAAATAAGAGCTCCTTTCTCCCAATGATCTACTACTCTTTATTATAATCATAATTCTTTAAACCATATATACTCTATGTGACAAAAATGTATACTAACAAGCGCAATTTCTAGTTTTAAAAAAAAAGTAAAAATCAAAATATTGCTCTCATTATGTACAATCCTTTTATTTCCATATTCATCGACTTACTTTGGACTCTTTGCACATTTCTAATTGAGTAAAAAGGTAGATTTATATTTTTATATTTATATTATTAGAGGTCTTTGTGGACTCAGATTTGCAGAATTGTACAGAATACTAGCCAAATGACGCAGGGTTTCTACCAAACCTTAATCAAATTTGCGGACTAGTGATATTACTGTTACCTTGACTTCTCTTTCCAAGGCACTGAGTTTGTGTGTTAGGCTAAAAATTCGAGTCCACAAAGGTCTATATTATTCTTGGAATTCTATTTTTATCAGGTCAGTGAGACGCCGGACTCCAAGGGTGACTAGGTAGTAAATGCAACAAGCTTAACTGTTTGTAGAGTATATACTTACAGTCATTAAATAGAATTCAAATAAAGATAATAGTCGTGGAATATACGTATATATATATTTGTTCTTTTGTCAAAGTCTTGGCTGACATTATTTAATATTTCTAAAGAAACAACACCGATTATTCTACTTCTTCTCTCTCTATTTTACGTAAAATACAATGGTCTACCATTCACATCAATGTTCATATTACTTTGCTATAGTTGCCGCCTTATTTTACCTTTATTTTATAAAAATAGGGCTATGTAGTTATCAGATGGCACCAGAAGCTTCAAATGCTATCACAAATCGTACAATGCCTGCTACCTTTTCATATAATAACAGACTATACACATATGGAGGCCAGGTACCTGAAAGTTCATCGTCAAATACTTTCTCTTTTATATCTCTGTCCACCGAAGAAGATTCAAAAGGTCAACTTATATACGAGACAGTCCTACAGAATAACCCCGGTCCATCATGCTCTTACTCTCAGGCTGTAGTTCTTCAAGACAACCACACAGCACTACTTTTCACTGGAATCGACGATAATAAACAGAACGATAACGAAACAATTCGCACTTACATATACGATCTCCAAAGTCAAGGTGGTTCTTGGAAAGAGATATTCACGGCTATCGATGCACCTGGGCCAAATTTACGCACATATTTTACAGCAACACTGGCACCCAATGGAAAAGCTTATATTTATGGCGGAGGTTCTATTAACCTTGCGAGTTCTTTTAATGACTTGTGGGTGTTCGATCCAACTAGCCTTGAATATGTGAACCTCACTCAGTCAAGTCAAATATGTCGATATGGACACACCGCGACAGCCCTTCCGTAAGTATTACAAGAAAATAGAAATCATAAAATGATGTATAAAAATTTATGAGAAAGAAACTATTGTATAGAAATGGTCAGATTGTATTCCTTTTTGGATCAACTTCACAATTTTCCGGTAGTATTCAGACCTTAATAAGTCCTAATAAAGTTGACATATATGACACAAATACAAACCAATGGATACATATGTGAGCCACAGGAGCTTTAAACAGCAGTATAGGTGCAAGCGCAGAACTAGGTAATTAAAAAAAAAAATACATATTTTAGTACTTTTCTTCTTCTTCATGCACAAGAATTAATGCTGTTGTAACGGGTTACCTTGTAGGTCCAGACAAGAAAACAATATTTGTATTTGGTGGTAATAAAAGATCTGGAAAACAGACTTTGTATATCTTGGGCACTAATTATCTACTCCAACATAGGAAAAAACGGGAGCACTTCTGAAGATACAGAGTACTACGGAGACCTTTTTTTATTGGATACAAATATATGGATGTGGTCAAAGCTACAAACACCTAATGGACCCTATTATGGTCGTGTAGGTTCATCAATGGGGTTTATTGATACAAACTTGCTGGCGATTGCTTATGGTAATTGATTATACCATAGTATATCACGCAAGTTCTAAAATTTAATTTATTTCACAGGAAATTTCTCATTCCCTTCAGCAAACGATATAGATATTCTTTATCTTACAGACAAAAACTATTATCAATCTAATTGGATTGGTGGGCCAGAATACTTGTTAAGCTTTGTCCAAAAGTTACAACCTCATGAAAGCATGAATGGAGGAACAATTGCAGGAATAACTATTGGTGCTATATTGTCTGCAACAATAATTGGGTTCTGTATCTGGAAAACCTTTAAAGACACTTACTACCTGCCAAATCTGCTGTACAATTTTATTTGGGAGCAAAGGTAAGGCATACGTCAGTTGAATATAATGTAATATTGAATTCGGTATTCCTTATTTACAGGAGTGGAGAGCCAATGTGGACCGAGATATCTCGTCTGATAGTACAATTTGTTTTTACATTTTTATTCCTGGCGTATTTGGTATTCTCTATCCAACAAGCTCTTGATAGTCCAACAACAAGTATAACGATGCGTGAAAAAGTATCATATGTGTCAGTACCAGGTATTTTTTTTATACCTTTCCTTTCAAAAAGGTCTTAATTAAAGAAATGCAATGTTGACTTGAATTTCAATAGACATAAGATTTTGTATCGAAGGACTTGATATGTCTGCAGAGCCGACTTCTCAAGAATACGATGAATTTAAGTATAGAATATCCTGTATAACCGACAAAGGTACCCGCTGCTCCGAGTTTGTTACAATGCTTGATACGTCTATACATCTTCCTATATTTGAGGATACTATTGGAAGATCTACGTGTTATCTATTCTCTCCTCCTAGCTGGCTTCACTTAGGCTATACAGATGATGGATACAGTAATGGGACAAAGCTTCAGTTTACATTTAATGGGAATATGGAGACATCTGTTACGATCCGTATCACTCAATATCCACCTGGAATGGACCCTAATATACAAGTATACGGACTTGAAGTGAGTAATGTACCACTGCTTATGACGAACCAAGCATTTGAGGAATGGGCTATACGCGATACTGAGGGAAAGAGTGATCCAAACACATTTACTCTTTATACAAACGAGGCTTTGGTTATGCAATATCAAATCAAAGACCATCAGTATCTCGAGGAAACCGGGTGGAACAGAATTGGCTTCTTACCTCACTATAAACATACACCAGAAATAAGCTCTTTATATGTTAAGAACAACTTTAGCATGGTGAGAGAGCAATTTACAACTTTTGATGGTGAGATCTTTGGCTCTACCACAGTATATCCGATCGACTACGTAACTATAATAGAGCAAGACCAAAAGATGCACACTATTCTGAACTCTCTTGGTTCTGTTGGTGGTATACTCAGTCTTATGGTTGGAATACAAGCATGGCTATTTGGTTTCCGCCCAAAGTCACCTTGGGGTGTTGTTCAACGCTGGTCTCGTGGACCTATGAAGCGGTCGCTGGGAAGAAATCTTCAAACAAAGTTCGACACATTGGATACACCTGTTCCCTTTGTAAACCCCGTTAATGTCCGATTTGCTGACACAGATAAAGTATCTAACGGTCAAATTGACGAAAGCAAAATTATGTTACTAGAGGATCAAAAGGACGAAGAACTTAGGGATTTGCGAGATCGCCTGGGTCTAATGGAAAAGCGAATGCAGCTGACTGAACGTTTACTGGAGACTTATTATGTTAATGATGAAATATTTAAAGAGCTCGACTTGGCTATCGATTGTCACAAGAAAAGATCCTCTGTAGTTACCGTAGTAGAAGAGGCTAGTTCTAATAATGATACCCTATTGCGAAGGAGAGTGACTAATACAAATTTAGATTAAAAAACAAACTATTATAAAAAAACAGTTCAGATAAAGATGTTGTCTTTTGTAAAACTTAGGAATATGACTTAAATTTTATACTCTTCTTTGTGCGCTAATTGAAATATTAAGCGGCGACCCTAAATTATTACCCTCACAGTATATAAGGTTGTTTTTGCATGATTGGAACGAAAAATATATTCAATAATTGCTTTTTTGTTTATATATTCTCGCTTAAAAGGACTAAATTTCAGAAATAATACTATATATTAGTAACAGATATATGTATAAAGGCCTACGCTATACCAATATATACAAAAGAAAAGTAAAAAAAGTGGTTGTATTTTAAAAGGCTTAACTATTTCAATTACCGACAAATGTGTTCCAAGAAGTTCAAATAATCCATCAAAATAAACCAGCAAATATATAAACAGCAAAACTTAATCATTTTTTTTTTTAAAAAAAGCAAAGAAATACACAGTAGTTATCCTTAATAGTTTAACCAAACCATTACCATATACAGAAAAAAGTACTGTCTGCAATAATTGAATAAAAGTTTCTTTCTTTCATACAACGTCGATCAATTTGGACTGAAAACTCTTGAGATTCAGAACTTGTCCTTATTTTACACAAAAAATAATAATAGTATTAACGCTTATACATGTTGTTATTATATTTAATGAATTCTGGAAATTTAACTTGAAAAAATAGGTTGATGTGATCTATAGATGAACAAGAGATTGCGTTAGTGGCTGTTCGACAAAACAAATAGAGAATACCCAAAGCTTAAATAAGAAACCAAATGTACAAAAAAAAAGACAGCAACAGTAACAGCAACAGCAAAAGCAAAATAATAATAATAATAATCTTCCGCACATACGCAACTTTTCCTCTGTGATTTCAATTCTTTCACTTTGACCATTATATCATAATTATGAATCAATCGTCGACCAAGGATTACTCAACATCCCATGACTTTGCTGACCCTTTCCGGTAATACGAAGAAACGTATTCATAAAGATCTAAATCGAGAATGCCAACCCAAACAAACAAGATCTATACGTGAATTGTTACTATCAAATTCATAATCGTGAACAATTATTGCAATCAATCTTGAATTTAAATACATTTCTATACTTTTTACTATTAATAATTGAAGGAAAAGAAGGGGATCTTTTCTTTTCTTTTCGGCATTGTAAATCAAGACTTTGAAAGCTAATGACAGTTGTAAAATCACGTAGAAAGGGACCTCCCAAATTAAAGACTCGATTTGAGGAAGCTAGAAAAAATTATGGTTTATTACCGGTAAACATTTTTAAAAGAACGTTTCAATTATGAAAATATAAGTGACAATTTACTACTGTTCTCAGCTCAAGGTGTTCCAGCCAGAGGAATTGGATGGAAAATGGATATGTCCTTTTTGTTTCAAGCCAGAGTTCACTTTGCCTTTGCCAAATATTGCTCGAACTGATGAAATGGATCATGTGCGTGCGTTGATAGCTGCTCATTTGCATGATCACCGAGAGGATGTTTTGGACAGAGTATCTACTACAGAGTTTGATACTTATCCTACCGTAAGACTTTACTATTATCATTATTATGTACTTTATTTAAATCCAATGAATAAACTAAAAGCGAAAAATTCATTCAATGTTCTGTAGAGGCGCTTGGACAGCAGCAGGCGTGCCCGAGCTTGGGTAGATGGTACAGTTTGTGACCAAAAGCTTTATAATGTTGGTAAATGTGGTGTATTTTTTATTTATTTATTTGTTTGTTTCATTTGAATTTCTTCGTCAAAGAGAAAGAGACAACTGCATTACATTCTTGTGCTATTAATCAACTAATTTCGTCTTGTCCTTTCTTTGATTACTTCATTGCCACAACTTGGTGTGCGGCATTTTAGATGGAGCTTGGTAAGAGTATAGGAATATAGAATATGAATAAAAAAAAAGAATGCTTATTGAAACCAATCGGTCAACAGAATAACCCCAAAGTTACTTGAAGCGAAGCGATACAAGAATATATGGCACTACAAATGCTGGTACCAGACCAACCAATATAGAAGATCAAACCTCTTGAAAATAAACTTGTATGTAAAAAAGAAAAGAAAAGAATAAAACCAAAAAAAGGGTTCTTTAAAGGGAAAATAAAAAAAAACGCACACATTCACTTGATACCTTCATTTTGACGTGCTTGGTGAATGTGCTTATTTTTCTGGTTTCACTCTTCCCATACTTAACATTTGGGCAGATCGAGGGGAGAACTTCTTGATGGCTGTAATAAGATCAGGGAATCTCAGTGGTTTCGTGACATATTCATCCTACACAAATCCAACAAACCATTAATTAATAAAAAAATATCCCAGTTTTCATTTTACTGTAATTTTATCACTAACCATTCCGGCCTGTAAACACTTCTCTCGATCACCAATCATGGCGTGTGCTGTCAACGCAATAATAGGCACATGCGTATTTTTGTTAGATGCTCTCTCAGATTCACGGATACGTTGAGTCGCTTCGAATCCACCCATGATAGGCATTTGTACATCCATAAGAATCAAATCGTATGAGTCTTTCTCAAATGCCTCTAAAGCCAATTTTCCATTCGATACAATCTTGACCCTGTGGCCGAATTTTTCAAGAATGCGGACAGCCAATTTTTGGTTCACAATATTGTCTTCAGCCAAAAGAATTTCCAGAGGAACTTCCTTTGTTGAGTCGCTTGGAAGTGCAGCATGAGTCTCCAATGCGGGCAAAAGAACATGAACCAAGTCAGCCAGATTTGTAGGAGCACTAATATATCCTGTAACTCCGAGATCAATACAGAGTTTCATATTGATATGTTGAGTATCAGGCGCAATCAACACAATTGGAGTATATCGTAGATGAACAGCCTCGCGAACTTTCTCGGCATATATCATCTTATCCACAATAACGGTATCGAAGAATGGTGCATATCGAGTGCGCGAAGCAGCAGCATTGATAGTCTCGGTCAATTCATCGACATTCTTCACACGAACAGGCTTTAGACCAATTGTTTCAATAGCCTTTGCGACGCCAGTTTGATCGTTCATCGTATCAAGATAAAGAACACTGCGACCCTTGAAGCGAGCCATTTTTTCAATAATCTCAGAGTCACTCATCTTGAATTGGCGGAATTTTATGGTAAAGTAGAAGCGTGAGCCACGGCCATAGGTAGATTCTACCCACAAATCACCACCCATCAATCGGACAAGGTGTCTGGAGATCGATAAACCAAGACCAGTTCCACCGTATTCACGACTGAAATAAGCGCAACGCACACAGATACGTACAAATAATAAAATAATGATGAAAAGTGATTAGTCCCTTGTTTATTTTAAATAATAATAATAGTAATAATAATAATGCAAATATCTGGTACTTACGTAGTACTTCCATCGGCTTGACAAAAAGTGTCGAAAATCACATTGAGCTTGTCTTCTTGAATACCAATACCAGTATCACTCACACACATTTGTACCACGACATAATCATCATCTACTTCCTTCACTTTTGTCTCCAAAACCACCTCACCACGAGTCGTAAACTTGATGGCATTTCCAATCAAGTTGGTAATAACTTGTCGGAGACGGAGGGTATCACCAATGACTTGATCAGGGATCGAACTTTCCACATTGTATATCAAGTCGAGCTTTTTTTGGTTAGCCTTCACAGCCAAGGTTTTGAGGACACCAAATATTGCTGAGCGTAATGAGAAAGGAATGGTCTCAATTGTCATTCTACCAGCTTCAATCTTGGAAATATCCAAAATATCATCAATAATTATAAGGAGATTGTTAGCCAAGTTGGATACAATCATCAAATTCTCGCGCTGCTGTCGTGTCAATTCAGTCTCAAGTGTCAAAGAAGTCATGCCAATAATGCCATTCATGGGTGTTCGGATTTCGTGACTCATATTGGCCAGGAACTCACTCTTGGATCTGTTAGCAAGCTCAGCTGCTTCTCTAGCCAGCCTGTTCTTTTGAATAGCATCTCGAAGGGAGCTAACCATTTGATTGATCTTTGTTTTGAGTGAGTCCATCTCTCCGGAAGCCTCTACTGTGATTAGACGGGAAAAGTCGTTCTCAGTTGCTGCAGCAGAAATCTGAGCAAACGCACGGACTTGAGTGGTGAGGTTTGTAGCCATCGTATTCACATTGCTTGTGATCTGGCGCCAAACACCTTCGACATCCATAACTTGGGCCTGAACACCAAGCTTTCCTTCTGTGCCTACTTCCATAGCTACACGTGTAACTTCAGATGCAAATGAACTCAATTGATCCACCATTGTATTGATCGTGTTTTTCAACTCAGCAATTTCACCATGGACTTCGACCTCAATCTTCTTTGAGAGATCTCCTTGAGCCACAGCTTTGCAAACTGCTGCAATTGCACGGAGTTGATCGGTTAGATTTCCAGCCATCAGGTTCACATTATCAGTCAAGTCTTTCCACGTGCCATCTACACCGGCAATGGTAGCCTGGCCACCAAGAATACCCTCTGTACCAACTTCTCTTGCTACACGTGTAACTTCAGCTGCAAACACACGAAGTTGATCTACCATTGAATTGACTGTTTCTTTGAGCTGCAGGATCTCTCCTTGGACTTCCACTACAATCTTTCGTGACAAATCTCCTCGTGCAACTGCTGTTGTCACAGCGGCAATACTTCGAACTTGGGTTGTTAGGTTTCCTGCCATCATGTTGACATTGTCGGTTAGGTCCTTCCAGGTGCCTGCCACGCCCTCAACAGTAGCTTGGCCACCTAGCTTTCCTTCCGTTCCGACTTCTCTAGCTACACGAGTAACCTCTGATGCAAACACACGCAATTGATCAACCATGGAATTGACTGTAATCTTGAGGTCCATTATCTCTCCTTGAGTTTCTACTTCAATTTTCTTTGAAAGATCTCCATTGGCGACTGCCTTTGTAACTTCGGCAATAGATCGTACTTGTGTGGTAAGGTTGGCTGCCATGATATTTACATTATATGTAAGATCAGACCATGTTCCAGCAACACCTTGTACCACAGCCTGGCCACCTAATTTTCCTTCAGTTCCTACTTCCTTGGACACACGAGTAACTTCGGAAGCAAAGACACGCAGTTGGTCAACCATGCTATTTACAATATTCTTTAGATCCAATATTTCTCCCTGGGTTTCAACGTCAATTTTCTTCGAAAGATCTCCATTGGCAACCGCTTTGGTTACTTCAGCAATGGATCGTACTTGAGTAGTAAGGTTGGCAGCCATGATGTTAACATTATCTGTCAAATCAGACCAAGTACCAGCCACTCCCTGAACAGTCGCTTGTCCTCCAAGCTTGCCTTCGGTGCCTACTTCTTTAGAGACTCGAGTGACTTCAGAGGCAAAGATTCGCAGGAAATCTACCATGTTATTGACCGTGTTCTTCAATTCAGCAATTTCGCCACCACTCTCGACAACAATCTTCTTTGAAAGATCTCCATTGGCTACAGCTTTTGTGACCTCTGCAATCGATCTCACCTGGTCTGTCAAGTTTGCAGCCATAATGTTGACATTGTCAGTCAAGTCAAACCAGGTGCCAGCAACTCCTTGAACAACAGCCTGTCCACCCAATTTGCCTTCCGTGCCGACTTCTTTTGCTACACGAGTTACTTCTGATGCAAAGATTCGAAGCGAGTCTACCATGTCATTCACGATATTCTTCAACTCTGCGATCTCACCACCACTCTCAACTACAATCTTTTTGGATAGATCTCCGTTTGCCACTGCCCTAGTTACTTCGGCAATTGAGCGCACCTGATTGGTAAGGTTTGCGGCCATTATGTTGACATTGTCGGTCAAATCAAGCCATGTTCCAGCGACACCGTCTACAGTTGCTTGACCACCCAATCTACCTTCTGTACCGACTTCTTTTGAAACACGGGTGACTTCGGATGCAAATATACGTAGTTGATCCACCATGGAATTGACGGTAAGTTTTAGATCCAAGATCTCTCCGCGTGTTTCTACTTCAATCTTTTTAGATAGATCTCCGTGAGCAACAGCTTTGGTAACCTGGGCAATACTTCTGACTTGAGTTGTGAGATTTGCAGCCATAATGTTGACATTGTCAGTCAAATCAAACCATGTACCCGCAACTCCTCGGACAACGGCCTGCCCACCCAATTTTCCATCTGTACCAACTTCTCTTGCAACTCGAGTAACTTCAGACGCAAACACTCGCAGTTGATCTACCATACTGTTGACAGTGTTCTTTAGCTGTGCAATCTCTCCGCCACTTTCGACTTCGATCTTTTTGGACAGATCACCATTGGCAACAGCGATGGTTACTTCGGCAATACTGCGGACTTGGTTGGTGAGGTTTGCAGCCATGATGTTGACGTTGTCAGTCAAATCCGACCAAGTACCAGCTACTCCCTGAACCTTGGCTTGACCACCTAGTTTTCCTTCCGTGCCTACTTCTTTCGACACACGGGTTACCTCGGAAGCAAAAATACGCAAAAAGTCAACCATGTTATTGACTGTGTTCTTTAGCTCTGCAATTTCGCCGCCGCTCTCGACTTCGATCTTCTTGGATAAGTCACCATTGGCAACAGCGATGGTTACTTCGGCAATACTGCGGACTTGGTTGGTGAGGTTTGCAGCCATGATGTTGACGTTGTCTGTTAAATCCGACCAGGTACCAGCAACCCCCTGAACTTTTGCTTGACCGCCTAGTTTTCCTTCGGTGCCTACTTCCTTAGATACACGGGTTACTTCAGAGGCGAAAATACGCAAAAAGTCAACCATGTTGTTGACCGTATTCTTGAGTTCTGCGATTTCTCCACCGCTCTCGACTTCAATCTTCTTGGAGAGATCTCCATTGGCAACCGCAATTGTTACTTCAGCAATTGATCGAACTTGGTTGGTAAGGTTTGCCGCCATGATATTAACGTTGTCAGTCAAATCCGACCAGGTACCAGCTACTCCCTGAACCTTGGCCTGACCACCTAGCTTTCCTTCAGTACCTACTTCTTTGGACACACGAGTTACTTCTGAAGCAAAGATACGCAAAAAGTCAACCATGTTGTTGACCGTGTTCTTTAGCTCCGCAATCTCTCCGCCACTCTCGACTTCAATCTTTTTGGAGAGATCTCCATTGGCGACTGCGATGGTTACTTCAGCAATTGATCGTACTTGGGTTGTCAGATTGGCAGCCATGATATTCACATTATCTGTTAGGTCAGACCAGGTGCCCGCAACTCCTTGTACCTTGGCTTGACCACCTAGTTTTCCTTCTGTTCCAACTTCTTTCGACACACGGGTTACTTCGGAAGCAAAGATACGCAAGAAATCAACCATATTATTAACCGTGTTCTTTAGTTCTGCAATTTCTCCGCCACTTTCGACTTCAATCTTTTTGGAGAGATCTCCATTGGCGACTGCGATTGTTACTTCAGCGATTGATCGTACTTGGGTTGTAAGGTTGGCGGCCATGATGTTCACATTGTCGGTTAGATCAGACCAAGTGCCTGCAACACCCTGAACTACTGCCTGACCGCCTAGCTTTCCCTCTGTGCCTACTTCTTTGGATACACGAGTAACTTCAGAAGCAAAGATACGCAAAAAGTCGACCATGTTGTTGACTATATTCTTTAGTTCTAGGATCTCTCCGCCACTCTCGACTTCTATTTTCTTTGAAAGATCTCCGTTTGCAACAGCCTTTGTGACTTCGGCGATGGATCTTACTTGGGTTGTAAGATTAGCAGCCATAATGTTGACATTGTCAGTGAGATCAGACCAAGTACCGGCCACGCCTTGGACTGTTGCTTGACCACCTAGCTTTCCTTCTGTTCCAACTTCTTTGGACACACGAGTTACTTCTGAAGCAAAGATACGCAAAAAGTCAACCATGTTGTTGACCGTGTTCTTTAGCTCCGCAATCTCTCCGCCACTCTCGACTTCAATCTTTTTGGAGAGATCTCCATTGGCGACTGCGATGGTTACTTCGGCGATAGATCGTACTTGGGTGGTAAGGTTAGCGGCCATGATATTCACATTGTCGGTTAGGTCAGACCAAGTGCCTGCAACACCTTGCACTACAGCCTGACCGCCTAGCTTTCCTTCTGTTCCGACTTCTTTGGATACGCGAGTAACTTCAGAAGCAAAGATACGCAAAAAGTCGACCATGTTGTTGACGATATTCTTTAGCTCTAGGATCTCTCCACCACTCTCGACTTCTATCTTCTTTGAGAGATCACCGTTTGCCACTGCCTTGGTGACTTCGGCAATAGATCGTACTTGGGTTGTCAGATTTGCTGCCATGATATTCACATTATCGGTTAGGTCAGACCAGGTGCCTGCCACTCCTTGTACCTTGGCTTGACCGCCTAGTTTTCCCTCTGTGCCTACTTCTTTTGACACACGGGTTACCTCGGAAGCAAAGATACGCAAAAAGTCAACCATGTTATTGACTGTGTTCTTTAGCTCTGCAATTTCGCCGCCACTCTCGACTTCAATCTTCTTGGAGAGATCTCCATTTGCAACTGCGATTGTTACTTCAGCGATTGATCGTACTTGGGTTGTAAGATTGGCAGCCATGATGTTTACATTGTCGGTTAGATCAGACCAAGTGCCTGCAACACCCTGAACTACTGCCTGACCGCCTAGCTTTCCCTCTGTGCCTACTTCTTTGGATACGCGAGTAACTTCAGAAGCAAAGATACGCAAGAAATCAACCATATTATTAACAGTGTTCTTTAGTTCTGCAATTTCTCCGCCACTTTCGACTTCAATCTTTTTGGAGAGATCTCCATTGGCGACTGCGATGGTTACTTCAGCGATTGATCGTACTTGAGTTGTAAGGTTGGCGGCCATGATGTTCACATTGTCGGTTAGATCAGACCAAGTGCCTGCAACACCCTGAACTACTGCCTGACCGCCTAGCTTTCCCTCTGTGCCTACTTCTTTGGATACACGAGTAACTTCAGAAGCAAAGATACGCAAAAAGTCGACCATGTTGTTGACTATATTCTTCAGTTCTAAGATCTCTCCGCCACTCTCGACTTCTATCTTCTTTGAGAGATCACCATTTGCCACTGCCTTGGTGACTTCGGCAATAGATCGTACTTGGGTTGTTAAATTGGCGGCCATCATATTGACGTTATCAGTAAGATCAAGCCATGTTCCTGCCACGCCTTCTACTGTTGCCTGTCCGCCTAGTTTTCCTTCTGTGCCGACTTCTTTTGATACACGAGTGACTTCAGAGGCAAACACGTTGAGTTGATCGACCATGTTGTTGACTGTATTCTTGAGATCTTGGATCTCTCCCTGTGTTTCGACTTCGATTTTCTTTGAGAGATCGCCCTTGGCGACAGCCTTGGTGACTTCGGCGATTGAGCGTACCTGAGTTGTGAGGTTGGCAGCCATGGTATTGACATTGTCGGTTAGATCCTTCCAGGTTCCACTGACGTTATGCACGACCGCTTCTCCGCCTAGTTTTCCTTCTGTGCCGACCTCTCTGGCAACACGGGTAACTTCAGATGCAAATACTCGCAATTGGTCGACCATGTTGTTGACTGTGTTCTTGAGATCGAGGATTTCCCCCTGTGTTTCAACGTCAATCTTCTTGGACAGATCGCCGAGTGCAACGGCCTTTGTGACTTCTGCGATCGATCGTACTTGGGTAGTGAGGTTTGCGGCCATTGTGTTTACATTATCGGTTAGATCCATCCATGTACCACCAATATCTTTGACGACAGCTTGTCCGCCCAATTTTCCTTCCACGCCTACTTCGAGTGATACTCTTCTGACCTCTGCTGAGAATCGAGTCAGTTGATCGACCTAGCATGACAATTGTCAAAGATAACGATTGATTGATTAATTGATTGATTAGTTAATTGTTATTTCGAGTAAAGATAATATTGATATATAGTAATAGACATATATATATATATTTGGGGTAGTACCATTCTGTTCATTGTTTTCTTGAGATCAAGGATCTCTCCTTGGGCATTTATGGTGACTTTTTTGGTTAGATCTCCTCTGGCTACTGCTGTGGCTACCATTGAAATATCTCGTACTTGAACAGTGACCTTGGAGGACATCATGTTCACATTATCTATTACATCCTTCCAGGTTCCTCCGACATCTTTGACTATTGCTTGAGATCCAAGAATACCTTCTGAACCAAGTTCAGATGATACGCGAGTAACTTCGGTTGCGAAATTTGATAACTAGTATAACCAAAATCAAATAAAATAATAATAATAAAAAAGAAAAAAAAATTAAAAAAAAAGAATTTATTAGATAAAATAGAACATTAGAGAAGAATGAAAACCAAAAATTTCCCCGCACTTGCACACACAGATACACAAAAAAAAAAAGAAAAAAAAGGAAATATTTGTGTATGTAGATATGTATATATGTATATATGTATATATGTGCATGTGTATGTATGTGTAGTTTGTATATGCAGTGTGTATGTGTGATAGATAATAATAATAATAATAGTGACAGTAATACCAATAATACTAATACTAATATTAATACTAATATTAATATTAATATTAATAATAACATACCTGATCTACCATGGTATTAATTGTATTCTTGAGGTCGAGCATTTCTCCTTTGACGTTGACAGTGACCTTCTTTGTGAGATCACCTTTGGCTATTGCGGTTGAGACATCGGCAATATCTCGGACTTGTTCAACGTGATTTCGGGTCATATCATTGAGATTGGTTACAACGCTGTGCCAGACACCTTTCATGTCAGGGCCGCATTGGGCCTGGACACCGAGTTTTCCGTTTACAGCAGTTTCATGGATGACGTGCAGAACACTGTCAGAGAGTCGTTTGAGTTGGTCGGCCATTGCGTTGATTGTGTGTTTGAGATTAGATTGGGGAGGATTGGAAGTTGAGTTTGAGTGTGTGTTTGTGTTTGAATGCTGGCATGTGATGCGTTGGTCAAGTTCGCCTGTCATGATAGCAGCTGCGACCTGAATAGTCTGTTGGACACATGTGGGGCAGAAATCAGAGTGTTGTTGTGTGGGGGTTGGGATGGTTGGTAGATTTGAATGGAGGGAGATGTCGTTGATTGGAAGGGATTCTATCACAGCATTCGAAAGGGTAGAGAGGTTGTCTTCGGGGGTGTTTTCTGGAGAGGGGTTCTTTGGAGTAGATGGTTGGGTTGTATTTGGGGCTAGTTGTTGTTGGTGCTTGAGGGCTACTTTGTAACGTAGATTGTCTGTCTCGAGACGTAATTGTCGTTGGGCGATAGATTGAAGGGCAACATCGATTGCCTTGACTAGGTCTGCTTGTGATGGGTCGAGTTGGTCTATGGACTGTGCTGGACAGGCGTCAAAGTTGCCACTATCAAGAGAGAGGACAGCCTGTCGGATGTGATGGAGAGCCGAGAGGGACATGAGGGCTAGAGGAGTATCTTTTTTGAGACAGGATTTTTTAGTGGATTGGAGTGAGTGGCTGGTGGAGGCGCGTTTCATAACCACGCTGGTCGTGTGAGCAGAAACTTGAAAAAAGAAACGACGACGACGACGACAGCAATAACAACGACAACAACAGCAGCAGAAATAGAAACGATTAAAGATAATTAAATTAAATTAAATAAAATAAAATAAAATAGAATAAAATAAAATAAAATAAAGAAGCCTTTTTAGATATTTGACTATTCCAATTATTATTATTATTATTATTATTATTATTATTATTATTATTATTATATATTTATATTATATATTATATATTATATACACTACACACACACTGCACACACTGCACACACTGCACACACTGCACACACTGCACACACTACACACACTACACACATTCACATAATACACTACACTCACATTACACTCACACTATATTACACACTATATACTTGCTAATAGATATTTATATATATAAATTATATTTCTTAAATAATAATATTGGCTGTAATGATTAGATAATGGAATACCAGAAGAGTAAATATTACCATGTATCAGCAATGATAGCTATTTGCTGATTTATCTACCTACTTTAATCAGGTGTAATTACACAACTACAATAGTGGTTATAATTATGATTACAATCACAATTACAGTGCTCTGGTACAAAAAATGCTGTTTTTTTTTCTTCTTCTTTTTGATATATAATAAATTGCGGAAACTCAAAAGCTCAATTTGCCGTTTTGATCCTTTCCAAAATTACGGCTTTTCTTTATACTTTGTATAACGAAAATAAACGCAAATTGGTTCTTAAAAAAATAAAATTCGATATTGAATGCACAGGCTATACGCTTTCAGAAGAAATGGTTATTTGATCGGGTGAATAAATACATACTTTTGTATCAGAATACCCTATAGGTTTTGAGTGTATTTTTTTTTTTTTGAAAATATATTAAAAGTGTTAAAATAGTGATACAACTTTTGAAAAGATTATATAGTATGTATTGAGCCTTAGAGTATTTTTGATGCAGTCTTGTAGGATATTATGATATATAGTGGTCTCTGTATGGGGTGGAAAGTGACTAGAGGCTGCATCTTCAGTTGAGCAAAGGATGAACCATGGTAATAGACATTTGATATATAAATTGTTTTGGCTTTATATAATCTGTCAGATATAAAATAGTAATTTTATAACAATCAAATTTGATTGTTTCTGCAGCCTGTTTCAATTTGATTCTTCTGTGACCGACAAAATATATATGTATTTTGTAATCCACAATACCCATTATTAGCCAGTCAGTCAGTCAGTCAGTCAGCTGAACGGACTGTATAATTTTAATTAATTAATTAAAATAAAAGTAGTATCATCAATGGTTATTACAGTTTCAAGTTTAATACAGTAAATAATAAGGACCAAGTGATTTGAATTTACCAATCAAATAGATATATAAAATATATTAAAAGATGATAATGAAAGTAATAGACTAATAATAATAATAATGATAATGGTTACCATTGTTCTTACATTTACATCTTCTATTGTCTATATAATTAGATATGATTTATAATACGTATATGTTGTATTATAAAATGCAATTTGTATAGAAATATAGTGTGTAATTTATATAATTAGGCATATATATCTTTTGTATATTTTGTATTGTATAATAGTGTTTCTCATTTTTTGTCCTTATTTTGGATCTACCGTTGGATTCCCAATTTGGGTAAGGGGAAGATAGAAAGAGAGAAAATAAAATAAAATAAAAATTGTCTGTATATATATATATAACTCAAACAGTCGAATTCATCAAAAAGGCTGTTATCATTCCCCCCCCCCCCTTTTTTTTTTATTATTTATTATTTATTATTTTCAAATATTAATTATAAATTATAAAATATATATATATTTCTTGTTGTCTGATTGGAGGTCGTCTTACGCTCGGCTGACTTCCGACTCTTTTTTTTTTTTTCTTTTTCTTTTTAACCATTTTCTCTCTTAATTCTTTATTTTTATTTTTACGCTTCTTCTTTCCTCTTTCTCTTTCTCTCTCTCTCTCTTTTATATATAATAGCACATATACACACAAAATATATATAAATAATATATAAATAATATATATACTTTCTAGCTTAAATGATGAATTCCCCACCAGACAATTGCCTTGAATTCAAAGACGACGAAGCCAAGAAACGCCAGAGTCTACGTATAAAGAGCCATGAAGGTAATATATATATATTATATATATATATTATATATATATATTAAAATATAAATAAATAAATATATATATATATTCTAGCACCTTTAGCTAAACCCAAGAGAAAGCGTATCTCTCCAGATCAGTTTAGAGTCCTGTCTGACCTATTTGAAAAGACTGATACTCCTAATTATGAGTTGCGAGAGAGAATGGCTGGAAGGCTAAATATGACGAATCGTGAGGTGCAGGTAAAATAATAAATAATAATAATTTTATTATTATTATAATATATATGTATATATACATTATAGTATTATAATTATAAAAATTACATATATTAGATTAATATTAATACAAAAAAAAATGTATTAAAATTTTTTACTTTAATATTATTTATTTATATTATTTAAATTTCATTATCCAAATATATATATAAATAGAAATATTACCTATCATATAATGTAGAATAACTACTATTTTCTTTCTTGCTAATATTTATATTATTTATATTATACAGGTTTGGTTTCAAAACCGTAGAGCAAAGGCCACCCGTGCAAAGATCCTCGATAGTCCGCGTAGAATCAAGCACCGCCCAGATCCTTTGCTTGTCTACCCTTATTCAAAACCTGTCTTTTATGCAAAGCCAATCACACCCGATGAAGACGAACCTGAGCGTCTATCTCCATGCAATACTTCCTGCTCAAGTCTTTCCTCCATCGCAACCCCAACATTTAACATGTCACCAATCGATCTCCTAGCCACAGCAGCAGAATACGTCCAACGCTGCGATGATGAAAAACGACAAGCCCAAGAAGCTGCCCAACAACGTCGATCAGAAGAATCGCGTAGTTGGAGGCCTTGGCTTTAATTAATTAATTAATTTTGATTATAATCCTATCCATTTATCTCTCTATCTATCTATCTATCTATCTATCTATCTACACCCACTACCACTACCATTCACAAAGAAATTTGACTATTATTTTCTTTCAAAAAAAAAAAAACGAAACAAAAAGGGGTATTATCAATCAATCCACCAACCACCCAACCAACCAACCAACCAACCAATCGATCGATCACTCCCCACTACCACAACTACAACCACGCTATACTCAATCAATTGGTCAATCCATCAATCAATCCATCAATCAATCAATCACCCTATTCAACCCCAAATACAACCCCCCAAACTCCAACTCCCTCTTACTCAAATAACCTCACCTCACATTACCCTCTTTTTTTTATTATTATTTTTATTTTCTTTTCTCTTCTTTTTTTTTTTTGGTTTCTCAATTTCCATTCTCTATTCGTTCCTTTGTACATAGCAACCCACGTGATTTTCTCTCTTCCTCAAAATATATACATATACATACATATTATATATTATTTTATTTATTTAGTTATTTATTTATATATATATATATATATATTCATAAATAAAAAAAAAGGAAAAATAAATAAATAAGTAATAAAAGAAGATTCGTCACACCTTTCCCTTTTTTTTGTAATGCATTTTTTATGAATTTTTGTATTGTAAAAATATTTATATAAAAAAATAAAATAAAAATAAAAATAAAAACTACAGCAAAAGCAACAGCAGCAATAACCAGCAACAGAAACAACAATAACAACAATAATAGTAAAAGCCACAAACATTCTTTTGTAACCCTTTTTTTTTGTTGTTGTTCATATTACACAACACCAGCAAAAATAATATATAATATATAATAAAGGTCATTCCAATGGAGAAAACAATCAAATGCATCGTCTACGGTGGTGGTATCATTGCCACCGGTTATGCCCTAATGAAGCTCACCGTACCTGATGAAGAACAAATGCGTGCTGTAAGTCAAAGTCAAAGTCATAATTATAAATACAAATAAGTATTATCATTATCATTAAATATTCTCAATAGCGTCTTCGCCCTGAACTTCAACGTGAATACGACATTGCCCGTGCAAAGAGCAAAGAGAAACACTTGGCACTGATGGAACATATGCGTGAAGCTTCAGAGACAAGCAGACCTGCCTGGGAAGAAAAATCAAAATAATTCAATATATATATATATATATATATATATTATATTTATAATAAAATTAAAATTAAAATTAAAATTTACATTTACATTTACATTTATAAATTATATGTATAATATATATATATATATATGCATAGAAGAATATGTACATAAATATGTATATGAATATGTATATCTATTTGTCTATCTATGTAACAATTTTTATTTTATTTTACTTTTTATTGTTATTATTATCATTATTATTATTATTATTATTATTATTTTATCCACGCTTGGTACGTTTCTTCTGTGCTCGCTTGGCTTCACGAGCACGTTCCTTCTCCTCCCACTTGCGCTGTTCAGCAGGACTCAAAGTCTTCACACGCTCTTCTTCGGCACGCTTAGCCTCAGCCTTCTTACGAACCAATTCCTCAGCACGCTCTTCAGCAAGACGCTTGGCAACCTGCTTCTCAAGAGACTCGCGGTTCTTACGGAGAGTAGCCTTGATGTCAGCAGTCAATTGGAGCTGCGAAATAACATCAGGCAATTCACAAGCAAGCTCGACCAGAGGATCGGTTTTATCCAATACAATCCCAAATGTCATTGACAATACCAACCCAGTCTCACCCTCAAACCTATTTATCATCCAAACCAAATAATTAATATATATATATATATATATATATATTGTGAGTCAATCAAGTGTCTTACTTTTCTGGCTCAATAGCAGGCATAGAAGAAATAATAAGCGAGTCAAATCCAGGAGAATTACGAATAATTGGTCCAATCTTCGCAATCAATACATCAGCCAGCTTTTGAGATTCACTATAGACAACCATCTTTGAAGGCAAATCACTCTGAGCAAGTTTGGTCATTGTTTTCTACATAAAGGCAATTGAATCAATCAATTAGCTATACTTGATACAAATATTTTCAATTCTTTCTTTTCTTCATTCTAAAGTTACCAAATCATAACGTCTTTCATGAATAGCCTTGGAATCAGCCTGAGGCAAAATTGCAAACACAAAACGATCGCTAATGGCCTTGTCCAGAGTAATATCCAATACCTACCAAAAAATATTCAATTCAATTTAAAACCCTTGGAATCCTTAAAATCATACCACCATCCTACCACAATATATATATGTATATCTCTTTCTTACCACTCTGTCAGTAGGATTATTGGCCAATTGGAACATAGACAGAACCTTTGTGATACCAAAGTTCAACATGTCGTTGCGAGGCTTCAACTAGTAATGGAATAAGTAACGATATCTTTCCTATTCCTATCAACTCTGCTGCTGCTAACCACACCCCAAAACCTTACCTTGATCCACCAATGTCCAAACTCAACATTACGTCTACCAGACACATACAACAGGAAATCCGCCGGTCCGTCTTGGATCAAGATCGATCTAGCACTTCCAACCTTACTTCCAACCAATGCAAATTGCTCCTCAAGATAGCCTACGTTCATAGCAACCCTATTATTTTTATTTTTATTTTTATTTAATATGCGTTTAAAGTACAATTCAATTCGGTTCAATTCAATTTTATTATTACTATTATCAATTCATCGCATACCATTTCTTGGCAATCTCGGTGTTCGACTTCTTTCCCTGGTACCAAGCCAAAACATAAAGGCCAAAAGCAACCAAGAGAACCATTTCCATCTCAAAGTCGCGCCATGTTAATGCTAGCAAAAATAAAAATAAAAATTATATGTGAAAAGCATAAATAAGAAGCTTGCTCTTGTTTGTTTCTTTATTATATTACTTACGAGCCTTGAGAACCTGAAGAGGTTTTTCTATGTAATTAATTTGGGTGAGTATATCATTAACATCATCATCATCATTATCATCATCATCATCATCATCATCATGTCATCATCATTTTTTTTGTAGACAAAAAATATGTATTTATGTGTATGTGTATAGATATGTAGATATGTATGAATATGTACGCGCGTGTATGTATGTATGCATGTAGGTATATTAAATTACCTGTTTGTTCTGCATTTACTACTGTGGCTACGGCTAATACAAGCGCAATAACGGCGTGTACCATTATAAGGAATGAGTTTGAGAAAGAACAAGGCCAGGTCAATTAACAAAAAATAAAATAAAACACAGATATATATATATATAATCTTATAATATTATTTTTATATATATATTTAACGGTAACGCGCTCTTATTGCTCTTTCCAGAGGTATCTGTTTCTTTCTCTACACCATATATCATACTTCTTCTGCCATACCTCTTTTATCGCCTATCTTTTATACTTTACTCTTTACCCTCTTTTAGCCCATTCTTCTTTCCCTTCTCTCTCTTTCTCTCTTTCTCTTACTGGAGAATGGAACTGATAGAAGATGCCATATTGTGCCGTGATTGGATACTGTGTTTTAAACGAACGCAAAACCAAAAACACATCATTGTAAATTGTACAGACAGGCATTGATAGATAGACATAATATTTTTATTTATTTATATTATAAAGATTTTTATATACACAAAAGAAATAATACAAATAGTGTAAGTTTGGCCAACACGACCAGGGGGCGATGGGGGAGAAGTTGGCATATGTACCAAAGCGTACATATTCATCACAAGCTGGCGCACCCTTTTAAATTAACTCCCCAGGCGTCAGAGGGCGCGTAATATTAGCTCCCGCGATGAATAAAAACGCTATTTTGTTTTTGCCAAGTGTTCGGAAGGCTAGGTATTCCTACCCTCTTTTCTTTCCCACATGTAATATGATATATATATATATATATATATATAGTGTATTGACTTGAGCCTTTTCGTGCTTGTGGTTGTGGTTGTGCTTATGTCTGATCACATGTACGTACGTATGTGTCAGTATCTGGGACCTGGCATTGGCATTGGCATTGGCATTGGTCTGTACAAGATGTACTTCAATTGTTCGTAGAAGCAAAGTAGGGTAATTCCAAAAAAATAAAGACGTGGTATATACTCCTTTTTTTTCTAGTTCTGCCACCCTTAGTCCAGCTCGTTCTTTATTTCCTCTTGAAAATTTATTTTTGCCTTCTTTGGCTGCCCGTGTTCATCATCCAGAAAGACCATGAGCTCGTGTCCTTGCCCTTGGGTTCTGTAGTTTCCAGACCTCATATACGGATCATTCTGCTCAGAAGCAGCAACACTGGCTCAAACCAAGTCTGGTTTTCTTTTAAAAATAATGATGATAATAATAATAGTAATGATTATTAATGCGAGTTCAGTCGGCTGTGTTGGTTTGGTTGTCTGGTCTATTTTGCTACCTGGCCGTTTGATTTCTTAACCCTAGTTCAGGTGACCCGCGCAAGAAGTGCGCACACTTTGGTGTGTACAGCAACTCAGGGCTTACTAGCTAGCAAGCATTTAGGATAATATATATATATATATTTAAGAAAATAGACACGCAGAGAAAGAGAGAGAAAGAGAGAGAGAAAGAAAGAAAGGGTAGCAGCTTAATAATAATAAGAAGAAGAAGAAGAGTAAGAAGAGAAAAATGGAAAACAATTTCAAATTTATACTCCTTTTCTATTGTTTCGTTTTTATTGTATATGTATATTTATCTATCGAATGGACTGGAAACAAAAACAAAAAAAAAACACCAAAAAAAAAGATCCTGGTGGCATCACGTGTCAAGGATATACAATAGCGGTAGACAGATGAATTTTGCCCGAAATTGAATTTTATTTGTTCTTTTTTTAAAGGAATATGATTGGACAAACTTGAACAATATTTGCTCAAAAAGTTATCCTTCGTACGCTGGAGAACAGCATTAGTCTGTCCACACCAATTGTAAATCTTGATTAATTTTAATTTGCATAGCAATTCAATAATGGATTGTATAATGAAGATCTAATTTTTGTAGTCAAATTTCTGGTGGAATAATATGTATATATGCTTTATTAATAATTTAATTGCGTAAAGTACTTGGCATAGTCTATCAACATGTCATGAAATATTTAGAAAAAAAAGACAGCTAACTAACAGAGGAAATGTTGTCCCAAACTTTTAATCTAGATGATTCGTACATACAGATAAAGTATCATGTTTAATTTGAGTTTGATATTAGCATTTTATATTATTCAATAAAAGTAGATAATGTGATGGGAATTGTGGCAAGCAAGAAGGTTGGGATGTGTGGAGTCTGGTGTAAAATCGTCTATAAAAAATACTTGATACTACCAGTAATATGTTCCTTTACTATTATTGTTCGTCTCCATATACCTGGCCTGTATATAGGACTTTCTCATGACCAAGCCTTCGTCGCCTTTGTAGACTTGTCCAAGAAGATTGATAAATGAAATCTTTTGAACTCTGTCATTGACAAAAATTCTGTGCCTTATCATGGTTTTTGCACTACACAGAGACTCATCATCATACTCAATCTTGTAGAACTTTAGAAGACAGCCATACTCTGATTTTCTCATTGTTGTTGCTTCTTTTAAAACCAGTGGCAAGGCGGAAGGCGGAAGAGGCTCGTTACCAAACGTTTGTTGTTCCGGATTGGTGGCGGATTCCAGGAATGACGGAAGATGAAAGAATGGCGGCGAGTTTTGATGATTGCCAGATGGAATTGTTCTGGTTATACTGTCGGTAAGTTTGCTGAAGAGAGGGATGTAAGAGGGGCTGGTAATGGTGTTGAGATGTGTGTGATAGAAATCACCCTTGGAAGAAACCTCAATGAACTTCTTCATGTACGTCTTCTCAAACCCGCTCTTTTGATTTGTCTGAAATCCTTTCAAGACACCATTGAAGCGATCAAAACTGAACAACCGAAAGCTGTATATTGGTCCAAAATCCTGGAATTGATACTTTCAAATGGAGATGACGATGCATGTTTGGTGATAGTAAATCGACCTTATACAATTCTTCACAACCACAGCAGAGTTTTTCCAAACTGACATGGGCTTTATCAATCTCTTCTTCTGTAATGGCTGGATTTGTGAGTCTCTACACGTATCAACGAAATGAATCCAGTTTACAAGAAGATGGCTTGGAAGGCGTGTTTTTAGCAGAACAGGAGAGTATATCAGACACCAGGATTCCCATTCATCTGCCTTCATAAACAGAAATTCTTTCCCAATCTTGTTTTTCGGGGAGGTGTATCATATTGGAAGTACTATTCTATCAGCTTCTTTTTGCATCTCAACAAAATCCTTATAATCAAGAAATTTGTTGCTGATCCAGGTGTCTATCATTCGTTTTGTGGTTCCGAGAAAAAGATTGTGCATAGGATCTATAATGGTCGATCGAACTGGCCCAAAGTACACAAGTCGATGAAGCTCGGACCAACGAACACCGTTCTCAATCTCCAATCGCTTTCTTTCTGCCAATGTCTTTGCGTTCTTCCACAGGTTTGCATGTCTGCGGTTTTCTTCTTTTGTGTGGCCAACCAATTCCGAAAACTTAAGCCCAAAATAGTTTACAGCAGTGAACCCATCAATACAAGTGAACTGACAATTGCATTTATAGCATGCACATGTGCTGTTGTGAGATATAAGCCCACACGTCTTTCTTGCAGCAGGGATGTCGCATGCAACCATCAACAGAGCAGCACACACCAGAGCACCTGAGCAGTTATATGTATCAATTGTGATACCTTTATACAACAGCACAAGCTCATCAACAAGAAGACGCAAATAGTTGTTGATCTCGTCAGTGCTTGCTTCTTTGGATCCAGGCATCAACCCAACAAGAATTACATTTTCTGCCTTGTTACGCTCTTCTCTTGGCAGATTGTTAATGGTGAGATATATGGCACTGCAAGAATATGTCATCCCATCAAAGGGTTTAAACCAATCGATGTTAAGTGTCAAGAGTAATGACCGTTCCTTTGCACCAATCTGAACACCATCCTCCTCAACTAACTCTTTCCACATTTTTCCGTCGTACATATCGAACAAAGTACCATCAACCTTTGGCTCACGGTTCCACTGATTAATCATCTTTCCGAAAGAAGGGCAAATGAACAGGTTCTTGAGGGCTACTGCCAACGAGTTGTAGACATACGTGCGCTTTTGAATCACTGCATTTCTTATACCGGAGTTGTAGAGATCGTTTCCGCAAAAAGTCTTGCTACTGACTTTTTTGGAATTCCAAGATGTGTATGTGTTGTTGCTATAATTGTACAAGGTATAGCAATCACTGCATGCTACGTAATTTGATACACAATTCGTAAAGTCACTATATCCCGTCATCTTCTTCAGACCAGGAATATTTGTAAGTCTGAATTCATCTCCATAATGTTCAAGGATTGTATTGATGAATGTGATCAAGATTGCCCCACTTTCATTCACAATGAACCAAAAAAAAAAATTCCGATAAAGATAGTCTTACTCTATTCCAATGAATGTCATCAGGTTTTTCTGAAGATTGTATAAGTAGACATACTAGAATATTTCCTTATTCCTTACGTTATTTAGTCCAGAAAGAATGTTCTCTTTATTTTCGCTTACCCGCAACTTTTATGTGGTTTTGGTCACTTTGAGAATGAGGCTTATTTGTAGCTTTGTCTAGTAAAGTATATATGGAATGATTGCGATACGATTATTAGTCTATGTGTTCCAGTTTATTAGATATCTGTATTTGCTATAATATGTTGATGTTTATCTTTAGGAGACAAAGTAATTTGGTGCGTAGCAACAGTACCCGCACGCGCATATTAGTACATCTATATGGGCTGCGACGACTTTTGTTGTTTGGTTTTGTTTATTGAGGGTATTATATAGCCGAGGGTGAATTGGTTACAAATTAGGCTGTGGCAAGTTAGAGAGTTTTCTATTTCAAGTCACCTAATGTTTAGAATAGTGATATTGGTTAGAAATGAGCTTGCCAGATGGCACCTAGAGTGGATACCTAAATAGTGTCTGTGTTCACGTTAGTGTTTTTACCGTGGGGATATTCAAGCTTATTTCAATATGGCGCGTTTTGTATAGGTCTATTTCTGGGTCAAAATAAAGCCTTTATCGTAGTCCATCTTTAGTCCCTTTCCCTTATTACCTGTATATCTCGGATCTTCTTTTGCACTTGGATTCAAATCAACGTCGATGGACATCAATCTACACCCTTCTCTCAGGCTCGTGGTCTCTGACAAGGTGCATCCCTTTCTTTTGATCTATATAACCTTACCTTGGAACCTCTATTGCGCTGGGCAAATTATGATATACCTTTTACTGAGTTTTCTTTGCCTTTGCGCTATGCTCTGTCGTCACTTATATCCCTCAAGCTCTTTGGCTATGTCGAAAATCTCTATTATTCCTGCATGACACCGCTCACCTGTCACCATCTTCATCGCCATCTTTTCACATACCTCTTGTTTTCTCCTTGGCTGCTTTTCTCTTCCAAAATGACATTCAAGCTTATAACGATTTGACATCACAGCTAAGCTAGACTGATCCTCCGCAACTCCCCTATTATACCTCAGCTTTCCACTTATTCGACCCTTACCTCAGCACAATTTATTCTGTAAAACTATTCTTTTTAAGGTTGAATCTGCCTGTCACATTTACTGCTATTGTTATTTATCAATCCATAGCCGTGTCACAGTGCTCTACTCTCTCATATCTCCTAGCTTTGGTATGTACTATGCGTTATCATTGTACTTCTACCTTTCTCCCGTCGGATTTGTTCAATCACGAGCAAGTCTCTGCAACCTCAATCTTTTCCTCTAATATCCTCCGGCACCTTCTGCCAACTTATTAGGCTCGAGAGTCTAGGAATTATTAAGCTTCAAGTTTATCAAGCTACTCCCTAGTTGTGCTTGTTTCGGCCACTCGTACAGTTCCACTTTGGTTTTCGAATGTCCTCCGCCTCGATTATTTCTATTCTGGGCCACCCATTCCTTTATTATTTCTACCTCCTTGACCATCTCATCAACGAGAATTTAGCTATTCCCCGGTCACCTTACTTGCGGCGGTTAACTTTGTTCGGAAAAGCTTCAACCTTTTTGTCAACTTTTTTTATGCCTTTCCCAACCTCTTTTCACTCCCACTGTTGTTTCCACAGACAGATCTACCTTTCTGTCCGGATGGAATGATATCCAGTTTTTCGAGGCCTATGATGGTAGTCCTATGTTTGGTGTGCTCTCTCAACATTTCCTCTACCAAAGACTTCATTGTTCTATTGCTCTTCACCGGGTTTTCGAAAGTCCCTGCACTCATGTTCTCATTATGTAGCCTATCCTACACCATGTTATCTCTCCATCCAAGTTTTATTCAACACAATTCCATTCATTGGCTTTACTTGCTGGGCCAACTGTCGGCGCCTGATCTTTCTTGAAGGCACTTATTCCTGGTCTACCTTGGCATAATTTTCCCACTCGGTCATTCATAATTTTCTCCGACTCTCAATATTAGACCGCTCACTCTATCGGTTTATCTCCTGTACCTTACTTAATGATACTCGTGACATTTGATTCCGTGCCCTACATAAGAAAGCTGGCTGTTGGTTTAGTCCACACTCTTGGATCCCTATATTCTTCCTAGACACTAAAACTCACCTTGTATTCAATTTCCTGGTAAAGCCTTCCGTTTGGTCGTCTATACGGACGTTATATTTCAACCAACCAACTACACCCACCATTTTGCTCTACTATCTATAATCACCTACTTTTCTTTTTTCTTTCAATGATATCGTTCTTTCCGCTACTACCATTTTTGGCTGTACGATACTAGTTATATGGAACCATCAGTGGATTTTCATTTTTGACAAAGTTCATTTTGTCCCATTTGCAGTCATATCTACTGTCACTACTCTTCCCTGCCTCCTCAATAACAAGATTGACCTCGATATGCACACAGTATATATAACACAAAATAGAAAAACCCAAAAAAAAAATCGTGATTTCCTCTATTGTTTTTCAGCGTAAAGACTTAACGGTAAATCAAAGTCTGTAGCTACCCACAATAAAAAAAACATTGTGCCTATTACAAACTTCTTTTTTTTTCTCAAGCCAATAGAGTTCAAGTTTTAATTACTATTTGAGCTCTTTGTCTTGGAGTTTTCACGTAAAGAGAAACATACACACAAATGCGTATATATATATATATATATATATAGATCAAATAATGTCTTTTCAAATTCAAGAAACTAAAAGGAGCGTATACCAAGCACCAGAAGGCTAAGTGAAAAGAAAGATAAATGTCAAGCCACAAACACTGGAAACACCAGTGCGGTCATTGCTAATACAATAGTTAGTGGTGAACTAGGCCATGTCATTTTATTGAATATTCCTACTGTAAATACCAAATTGAATGGCTATTACGCGCTTTCGGAAAGATTCACAAATTAGTTAACAACTTTGGGACATAAAGTGTTAATGCTCAAAAGACTTTGCTATGAAAAACCAATATATCAGAAGAATCTCACAGATTTTGTCTTTCGTGTATTTCAGTAAAATATGTAGTTATATAGCTAATAAGGAAGATCTATAATCTAAGAGTTATGCTTGAGTGTATTGATTAGGTAAAGGAAAGGTATGGTTTTGTTGAACTGTTAGGTGAATAAAATGCCATGACTGAAATGATCAAAGAGTTCAATATTTTATACAAATGAATTTCTTAATGTTTCATGTTTAAATTAAATTATTAAATACGGGTGTATATATATATTATGTGCGTATGTAGTTTGTACTGTGATTTTGAAATGAGATGTTTGTGACCTTGAAAGATACAACTGTAAATAAACAAAGTATTGCTCCACAAGGTTTTATTTTATATTTGGGAAACCAACACACACATCATGTGCTTATATACTTGTATAAATTTTGTGCTTTTTAATTAGAATTATATAATCACCCTAATATTATTATTATTTGGTACTCTAAAAATTATATACATATAAAATAAAAGGGAATCACCAGGGAAGAAAGACAGACGGCTCTTTCCATTACTTTAATATCTTGATATTCCTTCTTTTGTTTTTCTCTTTAAAAAAAACACAGGGGGGTTCGAAGACCTGGATCAATACCAATATCAATGGTAATATCCGTACCCGTACCCGTATCCCTATCCCTATCCTTATCAACCTTGTACTGCTTTTAGATATCTATATAAAGTCATCTCACGCAAAATGACCAAGTGTATGGAAATAATACAGTGTAAGTAGCATAGTTGATCGATATTGTTTCTATCAACAGAATCTAAACCAATCAGTAAAATAGATATGTCTTGTAAATATCCTATAACAAAATTGAGTGTCGTGGTTGGCGAAGATGTCAACAATGGCTTGGAAGAAGCATGTAAGAAAACAAAAGCAAAAAAGAGAAATTGAGGGTTTCCCGTTTTATTTTTATTATTGTCTATGATAAACTGCAATACTTCATCTGTGACTCACCGCAATTATTCATTGTCAGTTCAAGTACCTTTATCCCAAAAAGATTCCTTTTTTTCTGCCAAAGATACAATTACAGGAGCGTTCGTAGTTGATGGCGATGAGATTGAAGAAGGAGATACCGGTTTTGATTTTGAACAAGAAGAAAACTTTGATGACACCAGTGTGACCTCAATAGTAGAACCAGGTATGAATTAATACGGTATAGAAAATTAATCAATATATTTTTAAACTGACTTAACCTTTGTCTTTTGATAACATGCCCTTGTATATCCGCTTTGTTGCAGTATTCATTGTCATATTTCACTTGATCTTTTTGGTAGAAAGCGGTGGATCGATTCTCATTGACTTGGAATACTCTACTGTCTCTCTGTGATATGTCTGGCGCCCTTCCATTGACGATCAATAGCTTGAAGCATAAAACAGGATTTAACATGGCAACAGACGGAATGACAGTATACATTGCATGCTCACAATGTCATTCGATTTATCCTCCGGAAACAAGTCAAAGAGTCTGTACATTTAAGAAATTCTCTCAATCCGCCATTTGCAACAACAATCTCTTTAAAGTGTCAACCAGAAATCGTTCTCTTCCAGCAATGGTATACCCATTCAACTCTCTGAAGTACGCCTTGCAACAAAAATTCTCCAAGCCAGATTTCGTGTCCAAGATCAATTTGTGGAGAAATCGTCAAATAATTGAAAGCACCAAACTTGACCTTTTTGATGGTGCAGTTTGGAGTGATATTAAAGACATCAATGGCAGACGGTTTGTTGATGATGCCCAATCTTTAATGTTGACTCTGAATATCGATTGGTTTCAGCCGTTTGATGGACGAACACATTCCAGCGGTGCGATATATCTCTCTATCAACAATCTCCCACGGAGTGAACGCCTTAAGTCTGAAAATGTCATTCTTATTGGTATGATGCCTGGGCCGAAGGAAGCAAGCACTGACAGCATGAATCATTACTTGAAGCCGCTTGTTGACGAATTGGTGAAGATGTACATTGGTGTAGAAATGACAGACTCACAGAATAGAAAGATTGTTGTTCGTGCTGCATTGATGTGTGTTGCCTGTGATATCCCTGCTGCTCGCAAAACCTCTGGATCTACTGGCCACATGAGCACATGCGCCTGCCACAAATGTCAACGACAATTCACGACTATAAAAAAGACCAACGAGCTTGACTACTCTGGATTCAAATACAACAATTGGGTGAGACGCACAAAGACAATGAATCTGGAACATGCTGTCAGTTGGGCAAATGCACTCGATATCACTGAGCGAACACGCCTGGAAAAATAGAACGGCACTCGGCGGTCACAACTTCACGGCTTCACCGATTATCCTAATTTGATCATCCTGCTCGGTGTACAATCATTGACCCTATGCACAATCTCTTTCTTGCAACCGTCAAGCGCATAGTGCAGATTTGGAAAGAGCTAGAGTACTTTGACAACCAAGCTCTGTTGGCCATGCAAGATCTGGCAAATGGTGTTGTTGTTCCACCTGACTATGCACGTATCAACAAAAAGATAGCCGACGGATTTTCTTTCATGAAAGATGACGAGTGGAAATCGTGGTGCCTTATTTACTCTCCTTTTGTCCTGAAGCGCATTCTTCCAGTGAAGCATCTTTCCAACTGGATGTTTTTTTGTAAATGCTTACCGTTTACTCACAAAACCCTCTGTAACTGCTGACGACATATCCAGTGCCCACGCCCATCTCCAATCGTTCTGTAAAGGGTTTGAGAAGCTGTATAAAGAATTCCCTGTCACTCCAAACATGCATTTACATCTCCATCTGGGCGAGTGTATTAACGATTTCGGCCCTATCTCTGTTACTATCCAATAAGAAACAATTTTCTAATAAGGATTTTTATAAGCAATATCTTACTAAGAAATCCTAGTAAAATTATAGTAATAACACAATTAGAAAACATATAAATATTCAATATATCTCTTATCAATAAACATTATCTTTCGTTTCCTTCAAAAGTTCTCTATTCTCTTATACCCTTTCAGCCAAGCGTCGGTTTCCTCTCTCTGAGTTAATCTAAGCTTATTTTACACCATTCTTCCCCAGTTCGCAGTTGATTTTTTTTTACATAGCATTGCAAATAGTCAAGATCAATTAGAACCTTTGCAGCGATCTTCTACCAGCAGTACCTTTTCTCTATCTGACTTTGTTGAATAATCTTCAAACCCATCACCAGTGTTTCCGATTAAGCTTGACCCAAAGATTACAATTTGTAAAGGACATTATGAGTGTTTATTGGGAATTTACAAACACGTGTATGATGGTCGAAATTTTCTTTTGGGCATTATTTACAGTTGTTCTGATAATATTTTTCTTTGCCAATAACCGAATTGAGAGAATGAAACAGATTTCTCTTCTTGGGCAAGAACACTGTTGTGTGTCTACTGGAGATTTTTTTTTGTTTTCACCACAGATAATACTTTCTGTAGCAATCCTTTACTACTGCAAGCAAATGTATACAATTCTATATGATTTATTTTCTGTTCTGATAATTGATATCATATATATATATATATTATAGCTGTCGATTATTATCAATAAAGCAATATATTTTCTTAAGCTCGGATTTATCCACGTCTGGTTACCTAAACCAGCTTTCAAGCCTTTTATTTTTTGGAGTGGCATTCAATTTATTCTTCAGGGAGGTATCAACCATTGATAGAAGAAGTAATTGAGCTATGGAACGAACCTTCTTCAGTACACACTTATGAATGAATTATTCGAATTAAACGCTTGTATTTTTCTTGACTGTTGCAAAATATAGACTTACTATCACGAGTGAGTTTAGACGATTTGAAATTACCTTTGGCACACAAATGAATAAACACATCATTGACCTCTTTATGGCTATTTATCTGAATGGTCTTTTTTATTAGAGAGCTTTGTGCCTTGTTTTACTTTTATTGTTTTTTCGACCAAGAAGGCAGCTTATCCATCTTCTCCTTTGATAGTTTTTTTTCCCTTTCCCCCTTAATTTTATGAGACATAGGGCCAGCGCTACCTTTTTTAGCGACGGAGCTGTAAAGGCTATCGAGATCTTGGATGAAATTGTTGGCCTACATGTGTACAAGTATGCTTGAGTATAGCGCTTCAATATAGTTTTACTTTTTTACAGTACCTCTTCACTCCTCCAGCTTGGGCGAAATTACCAGAAGAAGCGTTTTTGAGAGGACGATCCTTCAACCCCAACTTCATCTTCATCATTAGACTCAAAGTCTGAGGTGTAATCATTGTGGAGAAGCTTATCACCTCCCTCTCCAAACTTATCCACAAAGTATTTCCAATAGGCTGTAAGGACCATTTTCCTTCTTTGGCAAACCTGTATATATATATATATGTATTTGAGTGTGCAGGTTTTATTTTGTTTTCCTTCTTCTTAGTCAATTACATCCTCCACAAACTATATTTTGGTATTACCTGAGTTTTTCTCTGGAGAGAACATGCATGTCGCTTATCTTTTAGCTTCTGTTCCTTAGACTTCTTGTCTTTTGCCTTCTTTTGGGAAATATGGCGCACGATTTTACTGCGAACAGTGGCTGCGGACACGCCCTTTCCTTCTTCTTGGCTTAGAATGTATTCAATGGTGGGCTTGAGAAGATACCAGTTTGGTACATAACGTAAAGTCTTGGTGTTGTCATACTTTTCGTAGATATTGTCCTTGACAATACACTCACGGATTATCCTCTGGGTTATATGGGTATTATGTTAATTATTATCACTGCAGACATCCACTACTTACATCCAAGGATGGAAAACGGGAACAAGTAAGTGTGGGATTGACTGAATTGTCAACCGTGGGCACCGCAGCTAATTTTACAGTGGGCACTGCTCCCTTAGGAGACACATTCTTCAAGACTTTGGACAGAACGCCATTAATTTTGTCGAGTCTCACGTACAAATCATCGATGATGTGAGCCGGAATGTCTGTATTACTCGGCACATCCAGCCGAGGTCTCTTTGGCCGCAGTTCTCTCAAAGGGTTACTTGACTCAGGATATATTTGTGATGTAAAAGCTGTAGGATTACTGTAAATTTGTTGGTGGGATGGTTTGATATTATTATTATTATTATTATTATGATGATTATTTGAAAAGAAGAAGAAACAAGATGAGGTACTTTATGCTTACCTTTTATGAGTAGTGCCCTGTCCGTGACTATCAATCGTGTCTTTGGTATCAGTAGCCTCTGACGTGTCAAATCTTTCGGACATAATAGATAACTATAATAATGATGTCCTTTTTTTTCTGTAGAAATAAAATAGAGTAAAAGTAAAAACTTGATTATTTATACGAAATTTAGCTTGAGCTTAAAGTTTGACATTCTCTCTCTGTCTGGTTCGGGGAACACGAGGACTCAGTATGTAACAAGGAGTACTGTAGTTTCATCGTCAAGGAGATACAAGGCAAAGCTTATTGGACACCAATATCTATATCTATACTGTTGACAATGGCAATGGTAACAGCACTCATATTGTAATAAAGATCAATATTTTCCCAGGAATTACATGTTTGTTTTGTTAGATTTTCCATCTACCACGCAAAGAAAGATGTGGTCACCAGAATATTTTTGTACAGCCTTTTACCTGTGTCCGACACAGCTATCAAAAGCTAGCAGAAATTAGAGCATGATCTTTGGACCTGTCAATTTTACAGTCTTCGGGTTAATATTTTATTGAAATCATCACACATTTTACTGTTTGTGGAAGAAACGGCTCCTACACTTAAGAAGCTTGGTTTTACATAAGATGCATATTGTTATGGGTAATAGCACGGTGCACAGAACTGAAGAAGTCCTGAGAGCAATTCATAGCAATGAGAATATTGAAGAGGCAGACCAGAAGAAAGTTACAGCTAAAGATAGCCAAGGTTGGATCTGTTATCACAAAGGTTATTTACAGAATGAATGAAATATATATATATATATAAATATAAATAAAAGGAAGTGGGCTCATAATTGATCAGTCTAGTTTTGTTAAAACTGATATTACTATTATTGTGGTTTGCATATTGTTGGTCAAATATTTCTGCCAAAGAATTTTTCTAGTAAAAATGAGATTCTATTCTCAAGCGCAAAACACTACAACATAAACTCACAGGCTGAATTACAACAAATATTACACGAAAAAAGAAATCAACTTGTAATTGTGATAATTTCTATTACCAAATGCAGTACCTGTTGTGTAAGAATAGAACAAGAAAATATTTTTATTTTTATTTTTATTTTTTTGTTTTGTTTTTTGTTTTGTTTTCCTCATAATTTTACAACGCTTTTTTATTATTGTAATTATTTTATTTTATTTTATTTCTTTAAAGACATACACACACACAGCAACTACAGCTCTAGAAAAAACTATAGCCAAAAAAAAACCAAAACCAAAAGAAATATATCTTTGCTTTAAATATGGGCTGCTGTTCCTCTCGTCCATCAACAAGACCAGATGAGTTACGGAGATCATCGGTGCCGAATGATTACCGTAGGGAATGATGACTTGGTAGCTGAACAAAACTTAATCCTGAATGATGTGATGAAATAAATTTGCATTTTAGCTACAATTCCTGTCCAGACCTCAGTAGATCAAAAGCCTTTACAAACAAGCCAACTCCAACTCCAACAACGACCACGACAACATCAAGAGCAAGGGCAAGAGCAAGGGCAAGAAGAGCAACAGACATCTTTTCCGTCAAATCCTTCGGGAACATTAACCTCCTCTTCAGTTACAAAACCAACGGCGCAGGATGTTAAAAGAGACCCGGCTGAACCGATTGGAGAGAGTTGGCCTGTGCAGATCCGGTTGTCCTCAACCGGTCAGGATATTTCGGTTTCAATTCCCACTTGTGCTCCGTTTCTGTCGGTCGAGGGGCTTCGGCAGCAACTGGTGCCTCATATTAAACCGGGTTGCCAGGTCAAACTGATCTATCTCGGAAAACTTCTTTTAGACACAATGTTGATTTTACCCAATACAGCACACACTCTGTCTAAAAATCAAGCTCTTTCGATCCAACGAGACGGTGTTATCCAGGCTATGGTGTACAAGAACCCTTGATTTTTGCTTTTATTTGTGCAGTCTACTAACCCTATCCAAAATCCCTTACATCCTGTGCATTGTATTGCTCTTTTCTTTATTTCTTCCTTTTCTTTTGCTTTCCAACGATACACACACACACACACATATATATATATATATATATGTCTGTATGTATGTATGCCTGTATGTATTCCATTTTATATCATTTTATTTTTTATTTCATTTCATCCGCATCCATGTAAGAACAAGTCAAATATCCATAAAGCTTGGGTATATGAAATTACTCACTTTTATTACAAATAAATAAAATATTAATAATAATAAAAAGTCAAAATACACAAGCAATGCTTACTGTTACTTTGTATTTTATTTATGAAAGCTTTATCGAATGAAAATCTTCGGGTACTTCATCAAACTCTTCTCCAAGAGCTGCTTTATATTTCTCAAGATCTAATAGACGTTCAATTCAGTATACCCATCTTTAAACCTGCTTAATCAAGTACTTACCCATCGGTTTACGCTTTCTGATCAAGTAATCTGTTATCTTCTTTGGATTCAAACGCTCCTCACGATTGAATTTCAGCCGGACATTGCTACGTGTTCTTCCAGGCAAAAGAGTCGACATCATCTGGAAATCAGTTCCAAATTGTGCTAAAGCCTGCATTTCACCCAAGCACATACACACACAATTAATAAACATTTATATCAAATCTTAATAAACTTTGATTATATAACTCACATCAAAGAATAACTCGGTCTCCTGAACTGTCCAACGTTGACTCGTCGTCTTTTTACCATATGTCTGACTGTTGACTTTGCGGGACATCGAGTTTTCTTCTACAACTTCCATAGATCCATAGTCATTTTGCTCGACCTCAGCTCCCCGATCGATCACCAGAGAATCTGTATCCAGAACAATCTTTCCGTTCACCAATCGTACCTGTGGTGCGTTTGATCTTTGTTTAAGTCAAGCATTAGTTGGATGTGTTTCAATCTAATTATTGAAATCATTCTAACCACAAAGTGTATATATATATATATGCCTTTGAATGCCTTACGTTTCTTCTAGCACAGGTCCATCCGAAATCTTCTTTTGTTGCGCCGCTTTTTTAGCCTCATCCATCTTTTTCTTTCGCTCTTCTTCTTCCCTATCCTTTCGGTCGGCTTCCTCAAGAGCAGCTCCAGTCAAATTCTTACGCTCTTCTAATTTTCGTATCTTTGCCAATCTATGTTGTTCGAATTCCTTGAACGCTTTAGATACAATACCCGTATGCGAGTCTCGAGTAAAGTGTGAAATAGGTCTGTCGAGGAAGTCTGGATTGGCAGGGTCTGTTCTAATGTCATCTAATGTTTGCAAGTCGTCTGGATTGATCTCTTCCCTTCTACGCTTGTCTTTCTTAACTTGTTTGGTATCTCCGTTGGTATGAGAGTCAGCGTTATTCGATGGGACACCAATACTAATCGGAGCCCCCTTTCCCTTAGCTTTCTTCTTGGACTTTCCTGCCTCTTTTGCCTCTTTTGCCTTTAATTTCTCGGCTTTTTCGATCGCCTTTTGTGCAGCCTTTTCTTTTGCCTTTTCTTTTGCCTTTTCTCTAGCAATCTCTCGACTACTTGGCTGACCAGGTTCCTTTGTCTTTGTCTTTGTCTTTGTCTTTGCCTTCGCATTTGGATTCGCCTTTGCTTTTCCTTTTCCTTTTCCTTTTGACTTTGAGTTTCCATCGTTTACGTCATTGGCTGTGTCGCTGTCGTTGGCATTGTCGATGTCGGATTCAGGGTCAAGACCAAATTCTGAATCAGATTCACCCATATCATTTGTATCTAATAGAGTTTTTTTATCAGCCGTATTTCCGCCATTACGAGTAGCGCGGGAGGTACTTTGTGAAGTCGATGCAGCTGTATTTCTCTCTTGGTCTGTATTTTCAGCAGGAAAGGACAGGGATATTTTGGGTTGGGACGAGCTTGTCTTTAATTTTGGTCTGGTCGCCTTTGGTTTGGTCGTCTGCTTTCCTTTTTGAACCGCAATTGCCTTTGCTCTTGAAGTTCTTCGTTCCACAAGACTATCGATTGCTTCTAAATTCAATTCAGAAAAACTTTGGGAGTTTTTGTTCTTGTTAGACAATGCACAGGTTTCAGGGATCTCTTGCTTGATATCTCCGTTGGTCTTTATGATTGGTGGTGCAGAATTTGGAGCTGCGGAATCTCCATTTAGATTCAATGATGTAGCAGATACAACCATAGGCTGTCTTCGTACCACACCAGGCCTACTGGCATTGTCACTCTTGTTTTTAACGACCGTGGGGGTTTTACTGCTAGAAGAAACGGTAGGTAGTCGAGATTTAGCCGACGATGAGCTTGTTTGGGAGGAATTTCTAGGACTAGCAGTCGCAATGCTAGGAATCGCTGAAGATTGTACAGCACTTGGTCGAGATTCCGAGACGATAATTGGAGGAGGTGGTTGATGAACTTGTGGGGGAAGTGGTGTTGGAATAATAGGTTCTTTCTTTGCTGCTTTTTCCTGTATCGGAACAGTAGATGATTGTGACGTGGTTCCTGTTCCAGTTGATGTTGTTGTTGCTTCTGTTGGTGCTGTTGGTGCTGTTGGTGCTGTTGGTGGTTTTTGAGCCGGTGGTCGTGACGGTCGTGCTTTTACTTTTGGAGCGAATCTTGTGCTGTTTTTATCTTTGGGGCATATTAGCTTTAATTGGCCACGCTTGTGTATTTGTACATATTATTCTACTCACTAACACTGAGCGAGGTTAAGGATGACATTTTTATGTTGTTTGAATTGTAATGAAGGTTATCAAATAATAAATTATTTACCTCAAAACAATTGTCAACTGTAAAGAATTCATTAGAATTACAATAATCACCGTCACAATTAAAGAAAATCCGGAATTTGTTTATCCATCCATAAACATTGAATAAACCATTAAAAGTATCCACGTCGGTTTGTGTGAATTAACCCAAAAAAAATGTAAATTTAGATAGAAAGTTTAGATTTTTTTGCTTTCTTTCATCCACAGCAGTTTGTCTAGCTAAATGTTTTGGCTGAAAATTTCTCAATAATATTTAATGGATTCCTGAATTTAACATTTCGCTAAAATATACGAGCAGTAAAAATATGTGACTTTAGGTTTAGAAAAACGGCTGTGTATGGTCTAAAGCTGCGTATTGTAACACGAACATTTTAATAAATCAAAGAGACTCCTTTTTATTCATGCATTCATTCATTTTTTTTTTCAAATACATGTAAAAAATATAGATATTTAGTATGACTGAGAATTATTTTGTGGAAGATACATTAGACTTGCTATAGTTTGGTCTGTGCAGCAAAATAACCAATTTGAACATATTCCCTTATGGATGCCATAATCTTTAGTATTCAAAGTAGTATTTAAACACGTCAGTGTCATTGGGTATTTTAAAGTAAAATCTTCAGGATTGTTTTCTTGATATATTTTTAAACAGGCATAATAGATGCCAGATCAATATCTAATAAGTAAAGTATAATTTTATATACATAATATTAGTATTGACCTAAAGATATAGAAATAAGAGTTGACCACCAGAGAGAAACATAGAGGAGATCTTGACATCTACACATCTCAATCTGGTCAAAAAATTACACTCTTTCAATCTCAATTTATTTATTTATTTTTAAACGCTTTTATTAAGATCTTCATCATCTATAAACTTCAAAGATTTAAAGTACAGATTTTTTTATTTTATTTTTTTAAAAAAAAAAGTCAAGCATCTAAAAACTGGTGAAACCCTCCCCCTATTTTAACTATTGCTAGCCGGTCTTGTTTCAATTTTTATTTTTCCAAAAATGGCCTTGGCAACTTCCTATGTCATTCTTTGGGCCTCTCAGACAGGCAATGCAGAATGGATAGCAAAAAACATTCACACAGAAGCCAAAAATAAAGGTTACAGAGGTGAATGTTACCTAATGGACGAATGGGAAAAGGTATTTATAATATATACATATATATATATATATATATATATTGAACAGAGTCTACATTATGTTTCTATGCTTAAAAAAACCCCCAAACCAAAAAATCGTAGGCCAATCTTGCGACAACTAAAGTAATCATCTTTGTGGCCTCTAACACGGGTGATGGCGATCCCCCAGACAACGCACTCAAATTTTGGAGATTCTTCAGACGTATGAAGCAACCTGACTACCTTGCTCATGCACAAGTTACTCTTCTCGGTCTAGGGGATACTAACTACAGCAATTACAATAATACTGTAAAACGGCTCGAAAAGAAGGCTAAGGAACTTGGTGCAACTGTGTTTTACGAAAAGGGTCTTGCAGATGATGCTGAAGGGTAAATATCTTATACACAACCTTGTTATCAACTATGTTTTAATGTTTTTCTTTTATAAAAAAAATACTATTATTATACGTAGCCTCGAAACTGTGGTTGATCCTTGGATCGAAAAACTTTGGACAGTCCTTCCTTCTGTTTTGCAAAAACAAGATGATATTAATGTGCCAAAAGAAGCTGACTCGGCAGATGAAACAGTCAGCGTTGAATCTGTTACAAAGAATGTCCAGGACATGAGTGTATCTGATCCATATACAAATGAAGCCAGGCGTACAGCCTTGCCCAAGGAGGCCCAGAAATACACCGACCTTCCCAATAGCTTGATCAACAAGGACGCTACTCCAGAAGCAGATGGCGCAAATACAAATCTCGCTTCTGGACATCCCTTGACTATTGACCTCTCGGGACTCAAGCCAGGTATGGGCTTGACAGCCCTGCCAAAGGTTCCTGCATCAATCACCCATCTCGAACGTCTCGATGTAAAGACGGTTGCAAACGAAGCTCACAGAATCCCTGAATTTATCAACATTCCTAGCCCCTTGATCGATGCTGCAGTCACCAAAGTACAGTGTCTCACCACAAAAGACGCCTTAAAACGTACTTTGTTTGTCGAATTAGAAGTGGATAAGGAAATCCAATTCGATCCTGGAGATGCATTCGGTATTCTGGCTCCCAATGACGATGAGTTGGTCGAAGGGGTTTTGGCCCGATTGGTGCCTTTTGAAGAAAGACATGAAGTATTGTATGCAATTCGTGGAGAAGGTATGGATTTAATAATCAAGGTGATGATACAAACTAACTACTGGTCGCAGATTTACCTTCGCATCTCCAGAATGCTTCACGTGTTACACTCGTAGAGCTTTTAAAACATGGACTTGATCTTACCAGTCAACCTAGAAAGGCATTGTTTAGACTTTTGGCTGAATACACCACAGATTTGCAGGAAAAAACAATACTCATGTACATCTGTAGTAAACAAGGTTAGTTCACCAGGTCTATTCACTTCCACCAACCATGGACTTCTTGTTCTATAACTGTTTATATATATATATATATATATCTCGCTTTTCTTTTTCCTTAGGTGTGTCACAGTTTAATGCTATTCGCGAACAATCTCCAACATTGCTTGATATACTTGCCACATTTCCGTCCTGTAAACCCCCGATTTCTCGTCTTCTCGACGCACTTCCTCCCCATATGCCTCGCTATTACTCCATAAGTAACTCACCTTTGAAACATCCGGGAAAAATCTGCTTTGCATTTAATGTTATCAACTACACCACTGCCCACAACGTAAAGCGTAAGGGCGTTGCTACCCCTTGGATTGATGCCTTGACCGGTCTTGTTCCTGCTAGAATCAAAAAACCCACGACAGTCGAGTTTCCTTCCGGACTACTTCATATCCCTATTTTTATGAAGCCTAATGCCAACACATTTACTCTTCCTACCGACACCACACGACCTCTGGTCCTCATAGGTCCTGGTACTGGCATTGCTCCGTTCATTGGATTTTTAGAACATCGTCAAACCCAGCGCAAAATCCGCAAGGCCATGGGTGGCGTAGGAACTAATCCTCTAAGAGACATTCAAAAGGAGTTTGGGGATATTTGGGTTTATTATGGTTTCAGAGAGACCACAAAGGATTATCTATTTGAAGATGATCTTGAAAACTTTGTCAAGGATGGTACTGTCAAAAAGTTAGAGCTGGCCGTCAGTCGTAAAGGAAAGGACAAGGTGTATGTTCAAGACCTTTTGAAGCGCGATATAGATGGACTCTATGAGATGATCGTAAACAAAAATGCTGTTGTTTATATATGCGGTGATGCAAAGGGAATGGCCAAGGGTGTACACGATGCACTTGCTGACATGCTTTGTGAAAAGCAAGGTTTAGATAAGCTGGAGGCAAACAAGCTGCTGATCCAGTGGATGAGTGAACGCAAATATTTGCGTGATTTGGTAAGTAAAAATAGTGTCTTTCTGGGTCGCATTTAATCCTTATTCTAATACGCACATACGCTTTTTTTTGGATTTTTAATTTATTTATTTTTAGTGGGCATAATTGACGAGTATTTGTTGTAATATATTTGTATATATTTATATTATAAAGATCATAATAATATAATATACTCGCACACAGTCAAAAAAAGAGGTGTTTGATTGAGATATGGCTAATAACCAGCATCATCATATTTCGTATTCTCCCACTATTGAAAAAACTAGTCCTTGATTCATATGGTTTCACACCAAAACACCATCTATAATCAAGCGCTTTACTGATCTACAGCAAATGTCCACATGACCATACCAAAGATTGCGTTCAAATTGTTTCCAACGAGTGTAGGGCACAGGCATCATCATAGCCGACGCAGATCGGACATACTCTTTGACAGCTTTTAGTTTCTTTAAGCTCAAGCGTCTGACATGAGTATTATTGGCTGAGTATGTTTCATGATACCACCTTATCGATTGGCCTTTCTTTTTTTTCAATTGAACAAGAGAAAATATTGAGGATCTAGGGTGGCAAGCCAAGGAGAAATCCCCGGTGGCAGACAAGCTATCGATTTTTATAGATGAAAATTCCTGGATTGGCATGTCTATCGAAAATGAGAGACTCGGCATGTGACCCGACTCCTTAATACAGTGCGACAGATATAATTTTGAGAGTTTTGGACATCGTCTTGAAATATGTTTAAACACATGTGGATCAACATAAATATAAATCATATTCAAGGTCTTGAGGGGGTGTTCAGTAAATAAATCTCTTTCACAGGCTGTCACGAATCCACCTGCTATTGTTAGCTTAATTAGAACTGGACAGTCATCCAGAAGTGTGTCAATAGAACAGGTGGTGAATCCATCAATAAGAGTTGAAGAAATATTGAGGTCAGTTAAACATAGCATATTAGAAAGCTTTTGGGTAATTGTAGACGTATTCGAGAGAGGATACCATGGCTCAGAGGAAACAGAGAGTGAAAGGCTGGTAAGAGAGCTATGTGTGTAGCGAATAATATTGGCCAGTTCTTCTTCATCCATACTTTCATTATCGTAACGGGTTACTCTATAGATTTCGAGTCGAGATCCTGCTTCATCTAAACACTTTAAAAAGTCTCGTCCTGGCCATGCAGATTGGATCATTCCAGACAAGATGAACAGAGATAAACGATTCCACTTTGTGGCTGCAAACAAGAAAACATCATTGACTTGAAAATAAGCTTCTTGTTCAAAACTGCTTTCTTCAAAGCTGAGATTGGCCTCAAAGGACTCCAGCTCTGGGTATTGCTTCAGAATCAGCGAAAGCCACGCGGGACTTTCCAGATTTGCTGTCAGAGATAACTTGCGCAGACGTCGGAATACGGGAACATCGAGATGAGCTAATGATACTTTGTCTTGGTCAGTTAATGTTAGCAAAAATCCGTTAAGTAAGAGGCTTTGTAGATGTGGGAGAGACAAGTGTATATTCTCGTAACCTTCAAGGCTTAATTGAGTGAATGAACAGGTCAGGCTGAGATGTGTTAGCAAAGGTAATGATCGAATTAAAGGAATAATGTTATCTATGAATGACAAGCTATCGATTATGCTTCCATCAAATTCGAGGTGAGCCAAACTGCTCTTGAACGTTTTGGCTAATATCTGCGCAGATACAACACTTGTAAGTACTGGTAGCCTTGAAAGCGATTTCCAGTTTCTTCCAATCAGCGTGTGATCTGTAAAATACAGCCACATTTTCGGATCAAAGTCCAGGATTTCAAGGCCAGGACAAAAGTATTCAAGCTGTTTTAGGTCGTCCTGAGTTATACCGGTTTTGTATAGTCGAAGTTCACGAATACAATCTCCAAATGAATATTTTGTCGTCTTGTTCTGCAGAAGATCTTTTATAAAATCCAGAAGACGATTGCGTGTGTAGATTTGGACAGAGATGAATGAGAGATGGTAGAACGCTGTGCGCCATGAATGACACACATTCATACAGGCATGGCGATCTTGAGGAGACACTTTGGCTGATAATAGAATTAAGAGCTCATTTGGTAGCTGGCTTGGTAGTAATGTCTTGCTTTGCTTATTAACTTTTATTGTCATGATTTATCAACAGATTATTAGATATTTTGTATTTGCATTTACATTTGTATCTGTTTTATTTGCTTTTGTTTTTTGTGCCTAATATATACATATATATGTGTGTGTGCATATTGATTGTTCAGTATCGATGATTCATTCCTTAATATCTTGGTTGTATGAAAAATTATGACTATCCTTACGGACAAGATGACCCGACAAGATTTTGAGGGAGATACTGTGCTTCTACTCTCAATTTACTGAATTTTTGAAAAGTCTACCTACTTTTTTGAATTTATTTTGGATATTTATATGAGGTTAAATTGCTCAAAATAATGAGACTAATTTGACTAGGTGTTTGAAGTTAATTTGCCTAACTTTTTGAACTAATCATAAGCAATATTCTTAAAAATGAACTTATTTCATGGAGATGGCAAAGATGATATTGTAGATAGATTTGGCAAGAAAGCAAGTACTTTTGTTGTAGATCCCTCATTTCGATAAACAAGGTTGACAGATTTACAAAAATATAATGCTTCCAGCAAGTAATATCAAAGCCAATGATAATCAATATTATATTTTTAAATAATGGGTGAGCATTTTTTTGTGGTATTTTTTCTTTTTCACAATTTAACATGAATACAATATTTATATATGAAGATGGAAACGAAATGTTATTGATAATAATGGTGGTCCTGAGCTAATGGACAACATTGTTGATCGAAATGAACTTATTGTTGAAACTATTAATACTCATGCAGAGTGCTTAGGAAATGCAGTCCTTAATGAATCTTCTCTGACTTGCCCGATGTTGTTAGAAAAGCCAAAAAAAATAAAAATAAAGATATTCATATGAAGGAGGCAAAACTAAAATGGTAATACGTGCATTATATTGTGTAGTATAAAGTTAAGTTTTTTGATCTGAAGATTAAAAAGTGTATAGCTGCATCAACTGCAGCTACAGTTGGACATTGTCTATCAACCCCTATGGAGTATCAGACAATCCTGATTGTCCATCGGAGACTCCGTCCCTCCAATGAGGTTTAGGGCTTTCTAAGCCACGCTTTTTTATTCTTTGTTTAAATTCAATATCTCTCTCTATACTACTCTATCTCTTTCAAGCCACGCATCGAGACATATTAACTATAGTTACACAAAGGATCATTATGTCCAATGAACAAACAATTTCAAGAGAAGAACTTCAGGAGTTACTCGCCTTTAAGCAAGAATGGGAACAAGACAAGCAGCGAAAGCTTGACCTCTTCCATCCCCTCCCCGAAGAAATCTTGGAAGATTTGGAGCTACCTAAAGCCAATCTTAGGAAACTCTGCAACACATTCGATTGTACGAGAACCAACTACAACAATGAATGGACGCACGGAACAGTCATCAATCGCCAGTACATTGGAGAATGTAACAAGACCAATGTATCTGCAACATCTGCAATCCAAGGACACTACAAGGATTCAGAAAAGTTATGCACGATGGCAAGTGCCTCTTCTGAGTTATTTGAAGAAATCTAGACGATCATCGACGATCTGGATGAAGACTCCACGGCCTATGAGCACTGGAAGACCATTGGCAAACGAGCCCACTGACAGGCTGTGTACAGCTTCAGTTCAGCCCAAGCAATTGATGATGAAGCACGTATCTGGCTCGAAAAGGCTATCGGAGTTTCTAAACACCTTCGATATGCCAACAAAGACAAAGACAAGAAGCTGGTCATTACTGCCCAGCTATCAATCGACATCAAGAAGTCCAAGTTCGAACAAGCAGTTCTTACCTGAGCAGCAGGGGACCCAGGAAATTCCCAACGCTTTCAAAACTTGGGCTTTTCCAAGCATGGAAGGGGAAATGGAGGTGGACAAAGACGAGGTCGTGGTACCTTCCAGTCAAAACCCCGACTACCCCACAACCAACCAGCATCTGAGACACCAGCGCGCCCCAGGCCAGTGAGCAACCTCTGAAGGACTTGTCCTTCACACAGGAGATGTTAGTGCACCCATCAGAGGGAGCACACTATGTGATGCCGGAGGATGACATTGCCCCAGGTGGATGTCTTCAACATTTCCAACACACTTGGGAGAAGATGACAAAGCAGACTTGGCCACGGGTGGTAGTCCAGGAGGAATACTGAATTCCATTCAAACAGGTCCCAATTCCTTGGAGAACTCCACAGCACGAGATATCACAACAAGCAACATTGGATTTAGACAAGGCGGTCCAGAAATTTCTGTTGACCCAGATGATAGAGGAGTCGCCTGATGAAAACGACCAATACTTATCCAAGATGTTTGTGATCCAAGAGAAAGACAAGAAAAGGCCAATATTGGACTATCAGAAAATCAACTCGTATGTACAGCTCCAACATTTCAAGATGGAAGGAGTACCAGCCTTGAGGGATATGGTAACCACCGGATCATTTATGACCAAGATCGACTTGAAGGACGCATACTTGGTAGTCCCCTTACACGAAGCCTCCAGACAATTTCTCAGTTTCTGACATTGTCAGAAGATTTATTGATTCAAGGCCTTAGCCTTTGGTCTCTGTGCCGCGCCTTTTGTGTTCTCAAAATCGATGCGATTTGCCATGGAACCACTGCAGGCACAAGGCATACAGCTAGTCTATTATTTGGATGACATATACTTAATATCGAACACTATCGAGGAGGCCAACAAGAACACTCAATTGATCATAACACATCTACAGTCCTTAGGATTCATCATCAACAAGCAGAAGAGCAAGACGATCCCAACACAAACTCAGGAATTCTTGGGATTTCAGTTCAACACCAAGACAATGAAGCTCACAGTGCCCAAAGCAAAGATGGTCAATCTGAGAGACAAGACCAAGCAGATTCTATGGAAGACTCATACTTGCAGACAGCTGGCATCCCTAATAGGGAAGTTCACAGCAATGATACCAGCAATAGGGGAAGCATTGATTCGAATAAGGTATTTGCAATGAGATCTAGCAAAGAACCAACACCTATATCAGAGGTGGAAGAATCAGTGTCCCTTGTCACAGGAAGCAATAAAGGAACTCCAGTGGTGGCAACGGAATGCTCAAGTAATCAACTGCAGGCCTGTCAAGGAACCAACACTGAACAAGGAGGCTCTGACAATTCAGGTGGATGTGTCCAATTCCGGTTGGGGCGTCGCCTCTAAGATCCTTCAGACATTGGGATTCTAGACACCAGAAGAGAAGGCCACCTCAATAAACGCCAGAGAACTAAAGACCATCCTCTTTGCACTACAGCTCCATGCCAACAGATATCAGGGCAAGTCGGTGCATATCCAGAGCAACAATATTACAGCCATAAAGTATGCCATGAAGTGGAGAGGTACAGCATCGCCTATACTTCAGGAACTGGCACTGATAATTTGGAATCTGCGAGTGGAGCAGAAGATAACTGTGACCATGTCACATATAGCAGGAATAGCCAATGTAATAGCCGACCGCCTGAGCCGTACCAAGAAACCAGTTCACAAGTGGGCTCTTCCCAAATGGCTGTTCTGCGAGATTACCAAGAGATGGGGCCAACTGACCATAGATGCCTTTGCCTCATGGGAGAATACCAAGCTGAAGAAGTTTTGGAGCTACCAACCAGACCCTGCTGCCGTGGCCCAAGACGCCTTTTGTCAGAAGTGGCCACAGAAGGGCGTGTTTGCACACCCACCTTGACGCTTGATACCCCAGGTTCTCCGCGAGATGACGAAGGAGAGGGCCAAGATTATTCTGGTCACACCCTGGTGGCAGACCCAATACTGGTGGCCAATGGTGATGAACAGGGCAATAGAAGACCCAATTCCACTCCACTTCAGTCGCCTCCAGTCCCCCTTGGCCGCATGGAGGCTATCACCAGACATTATGAGACAGTAGAACAACTGTCTAATACACAGGCCAATTTCTTGTCTCGCACTAACCAGGCAAGTACGAACAAGACGTATGATCTTACATGGCAAAAATGGGCAATGTGGTGTCAGACCAATGAGAAAGACTGTTTGATTTATGATGCCGCCATGGTCTGCAAATATCTGTCTTATCACCACCACATAGACATAGCAAAGACTCAGTTGAACATTGATAGATCGGCTATTGCCAGTGTATTTAAGGTTATCCATTCCAATAGCCTACCACTAGCTAATCATTATCTGATCCAAGTCTTCTTCAAAGCATTGCGTAATAACTCTCAGTATCCTGCTCGTCCAAGCACACCAGTATGGGATCCAGAGAAAGTGTTAGCCAAGATACTCGATTGGGGACCAACAGGCGACCTGTCCATGGTACGACTTCAATGTAAAACAGCATTGTTGCTTTGTCTAACAACGATATGGCAAACCAGCTCAGATGTGAGACGTTTACAGTTCCAAGATATTACCCTCATAAGAGTACCATCTCCACCACACATGGTTGAAACTGTACACCTCTTGGTTAAGAAAACAAAAGAAGGAATGATGAAGGATCTGACTTTGAGCGCCATACCCTCCCATCTGGAACTATGTCCTGTTTACACCTTGACTGTATTCCTACAAAAGACAGAGCATATGCGAAGCTCTATGCCCATCGACCATACCCTGTTTCTGGGTTTTGTGGAGGGGTCACAACCCCATAGCATTCGACCTTCGACTATGAGTACTTGGATTAAAACCACGTTGAGTGAATGTGGAGTCAATACAACGATCCATAAAGGTCATTCAACCTGATCTGCTGTAGCTACATTGGCAAGAAGACGAGGAGTACCAGTTGCTGCGAGCAAGAGACATGCGAACTGGAGTGCAAACAGCCAGGTATTTGAACGATACTATTGGCGACCAGAAAGAGCAGAGGCTGCTCAGATCCATGAAACAATTTTCCTGCCAACGGAAAACGAACCTCATTGGAGGGACAGAGTCTCCGATGGACAATCAAGATTGTCTGATACTCCGTAGGGGTTGATAAACAATTTGGATTGTTTGAGGGACAAAGTCCCAAGAATGAGGTGAGACCCACCCACCACTTGACATAAATTTCTACCTTATCAAATGGAACCGTCGAATTGTTGGCATGTCATAAGAGATAGAGTAGTATAGAGAAAGAGATATTGAATTTAAACAAAGAATAAAAAAGCATGGCTTAGAAAGCCCTAAACCTCATTGGAGGGACTTCGTCCCTCGAACAATCCAAATTCACCCTTGAACAAGTCATAAATGGCTTAGCCAGTATAATATATACCCTCCCAGTATTTTTGAGAGCAGCAAAAAAATAGGTCATAAGTGTATCTTAACGGAAGAGCATAAACAACTATTATAATCTTTATTGATGCTAATCCCTCTGTTACTGTTGTTGAAATAACCAAGCATTTATTGAGGCAGTTTTTTGATCATTAAGTATCATGTAACACTGTTAATAACTTTATGAAATGTGAATACAATCTTTTGTTGAAAGCAGTAGATTTTCATTCTATTGAGAGATAGAGTGGAGCAAAGATTGAGAAGTTATATAATTGAGAATGTAAGTAAAAAAAAAACAGACATAAACTTTCTTGCGAATTATATATTTCTTCAAAAATCTACTTTTGATATAAATATAAAACGCTTAAGAGCTTGGTTCAAAAAAGATACTTATACTATTGTTATCAGTCATACTATGAGAGCAAACAAAATGTTAATCTTAAGTGCCATATCCACTGTAGGCCTGATTACAGTCAGCATAAAGAAAGCAAGACCTTCTAAGAAGAGAAAAGCTGATCAATACATAGGCTCAGATACTGTAACAGATCTCTACATTAGTTTCTTGAAAATGACTCTTGATGAAATAGATAAATATTCACATATCAAAGATTATTATATAGCTATAGATAATACTCACATTTATAGTATGAGAACATAAAGAGATATATTGAGTAATAGGAATATAATTGTATGTATCTTCCCATGTATTCCCCTGAAATTATCTCAATTAAATTATTCTAGGCAGTGACAAAGAGTTAGGTTAAGCATCATAATTTTTTATAAAAAGATACTTTGTTCAAGAGAATCACAGAAGTCTGCAAAAATATGAAACAAAGTTATTTCAAAGGGTTCATCTTACATTTTTATCGGTGCTGGGATAAATGTCAAAACAAAGAGTCCATGTAAATATATCAATAACTTCACTAAAGATAGCAACGCAGACATAAGAATTAGATAAATGTAGAAACAGCAAATTAAATTAAAAGAAAAATTAGAGCTGAAAATAAAACGAAAAAACTGCCAACTCATTCATGAAAATCATCAGGATTGCCACTATTAACTCAATACTCACTTGTTGATGACAAAATCTAATTTTATATCACTTTTCTTTAATTCTACCAAACAAAACGCTCTGGAAAATACTATATATTTATGTCATTTACATGGATTTTGCTTATTCAAACAAGATAGACAGCAAGTGGGAAGTATAAACAGATGTGGGGAATAGAGAATACAGGAATATACAGACCCATACAATAAATGAAAGAAAAAAGTTTAAACTCAACTAAATAGAACATCTTTAATGCAAAGTTGTTGTGCTTTTTTTAAAAACTCTTCTCATTCAAATCTCACAATGTCTCAGCAAATCAATAAAAGTATTTCTAAGAAACAAAAAAAGCTTTCAGACTATGAAAAAGGACTTATTATCGGTGGTGCTCTCCATGATATTTCATTGACTACTATTTCGGAGAAGACAGGCATACCCATGACAACTGTACATAGCACAGTTCAAAGATGGAAACAGAATGGCACGCCATTAACAGAAAAACGCTAAGGACGTCCATCAATTTTGGGTGAGAGAGATTTACGCCAGCTTAAAAACGAAATGAAGAAAGATCGTAATGCCACACTTGGAGAACTTGTGGTGATCCAGACACTCGGATGTTGGATTTATCACATATAAGAACATATTCATATTGGGATAGCGTAGTAGCTATCATCTTGTCAGTATAAAATTTATATAAATGATTAAGTAATCAGCCCAATAATTATTACAGTTAGTACTGTAGATAATATCTTAAAGATTGTTAAGATAATTATATCATACTGCCGGGTAAACTGTGTCAGATCGATATGGAGCTAATTTAGTAGGAAGTCCTAAAGCTCTAGTATAAAAGAGAAAAGAATAGCTAAGAGCTAAAGAAGTACGATTTATGACTTGATGTCATAATTGTAACACCAACACTAGTTAAGCAGTAAATACACTCTAATAACCAAATATAGTAAAGGAAGAAAGCCTTAAGAAACTAAGACGTAATGACAAGAGCAGATTGTGTTTTCTTATAAAAAGGGACACTTTTTATTTATGAATAAAGACAACTGATACACAGTCTCAAAGTATTTCTATACGTCTCTATTATCAAATATTTTATTTTTCTATTGTTTCGTACCTGAAATACCACAGAACTCACAAACGCCATGAGACTCATGATTGGCAAATACATTTGCAAGAATACCATCCGCAAAGCTATTCGTAAGATCGGAATGTCTTCTTGCCATCCTGTGTTTAAGCCAAGGCTATCCAGAGCACATAAAAAGAAACGATTGTTGTTTGCTAAACGTTGCAAAGAAACCAATCAAAGATGGGATCGTGTGATTTGGAGCGATGAGTCTCACTTTATGGTTTTCCCAAAGGATGGAAACCTTAGAATTTGGCGCTTTCCTCTGGAGAAGTTCAAGTCTGATTGTATCATACCTAGAGTACAGTTTGGCGGTGGTTCGGTGATGGTTTGGGGCTGTGTGTGGGCAGGAGGAGTAGGCCCACTAAAAATGATTATTAACAGCCTTGACCAATTTGGCTATATAAACCTTTTGGAAAGAAAGTTGCTCCCATTTTATGGTCGCCTAAGTGAAAGACATAACGGGGAGTTTATTTACCAAGAAGACAATGCTCCTTGTCATAAGTCAAAACTTGTTGAGAGCTGGAAAAAGATCCATAATGTACCAATAATAGAATGGCCGCCGGATAGCCCAGATCTCAGTCCTATTGAGAACCTATGGGCTCATTTGAGTCGGGTGGTAAGGGCAAGAGTACCAGCTCCAAGAACTATTAAGGAGCTAGACAAGGTTATCCATGAAGAATGGAAGTAAATACCAGTTGCAGTATGCAAGGCCTACTGCATGTCTATGCCAACTCGCATAGCCCGTATGAAGAAAGCCCGTGGTGATGTTACTAAATATTGAACTTTCAATAAAAATTATTTTTCTTAATATTTAAAGGTTATATATTCTTATTCCAATGATTTTGAAAGTGGTTTCTTAAGTAAAAGTAGACAAACAATGAGGAGAGAGTTAAGGATGTTATTTTTTCACTTTGGTGGAAGCTAAAATTTTCTTTCATTTAATTGATGAGACTGTAAGATATAATAGAAGTTTTGACAATGTCAGAAAGAATATAAAGAGAATGAAAATCAATATTGAGACAATTGACCAAGGGTTCCTTTGCTTGACTTGGCCATGAGTGACATATAATTTGATATTGGGACAAGGTAATCAAGTCTTTCTTGAAGAATTGTAGCAGTGGCAGTATTTGGTAGATCATGGGTACAGATCGACCAAAAACAATGGCTTACTGCAGCAAGGAGATCCAAATTTTTGCAAGTTGCAAAAGTGTGCAAATTAGATAATGAAGAAGCGAAGTCCAGAGAGGCAATTTCCGTCATGGTGTAAAGACAATCGTGGCGTTTAGATACAATAAAAAAGGAGATAGAATATTCATTTATCATAAAAGCTAAACAAGCTGGTAGGTCATGCCATTCGATGGCGCGCTTGCAAGTAATACCAAGTCAGAAAATGTCCAAATTGACTGATTGTTTTGTGGTGGATATTTTGCCAACCTTGGCTTCACTGAATCCAAAAAGACATTCAAATTCATGCTGCACAAGCGTTGATATAATGGCGTCTGGCCGCATTTCAGTAAGATCTTGGTGTACTGATTTGTCTGCCCACTGTAAGGCCACTTGTTGGTCTTTATCTGCAAAAATCTCAGGCAAGAACATGTCAAAATAGGTGGATTGCAGCTCCACTTCAACAATTTTGGACATATTTAAGACGGACAGGCGTGGCAATTTCATTAACCTAGATTAATAAATAGGAATATGATTTAGTGAAAACTAATTGATCGAAGAAAAAGAATTGACTAACAAGTTTGCTAGTCCTTTAATAACATTGCCAATGGTATTGTTCATTGTTGCAGCCAAGTTCAACAGATCACGTTTGTTGTCACGCATGCTTATTGCCTTGCTATCTACAGAGTTGATTGTATCAGTCACCTTGATAAAATAGCTATCACTAATCTTAGCAGTGTTCGCATGCATCAATTCGCCCAGTACTTGATTACACATATTGCTTAAGGTACGTTGACCATATATCTTCATTATGGCGGGTCTGTGATCTATCAGTGCAAGAAAAAGGATGTCGGCAACAGCCATTAATTTTTTCAATGATATTTCAAGAGGAAAGGGGAGATCAATGATGTCAACATGTCGATTGTATTGTTGAAACAAGTCAGTGATGTTAATATTTCAAATGATCCAAGATATAGTTGGCATTTCCTTGTCTATAGTACGGTCAAGGGTTGGAGATGAGACATTGTTGTCAATGAAAAGAGTCATTGTTGTGCTGCTTCCTGATTCCAATGCTTCACCATTGTTGTATCCAACATAATCGTAGATTTAAATTAAAAGTACAGACACTCAATAAATACATACATTGAGTTACTGACAACTAGTAATGATACAAAAAGATATACCTTCCCTTATACAAGGAAATTACGTAAAGAACATACTAAGACAAATACTAAGACTCTAGTCAATAACACTAAAAACATAAGAACTAAATCATAGAAGATAATGGTAGAGAAACAGACATTACATGATATCACCATATCATCACCAAGCTAAATACAATGTCTATATAAACACACAATACTAATAGCAATAGAACAGCATCTCTTTTCTGATTCTTTCACTTCTTCAAATAAAACAAAGTCTCACCGTACTCCCGTCTGCACTTGCTTTATTTTATATCTTATTGTTACCTCATACATAACAATCTGTTCTTTTGAATGATTGCAATTTGAGAGCTCTGGGAAATATTGCACACAATGACCCAACTGCAACATTAGACATGATTACAGCTGAAATTCAGGAATCTTCAGATGTACCAATCAAGAGGGATGCTGTTCGTAATTCCTTAAAAAAGATTGGTTTACACTCTTATGTTGCTGCAAAGAAGCCTTTGCTAAAAAAAAAGGCACATAAAAAACAGGTTAAAGTTTGCAAGAGATGCTCATCGTCACAATCAACAGTGGAATTGGGTAATCTGGAGTGATGAGTCCAGATTCATGGTTTATCCAAGGGCAGGAAATGTGTGTGTTTGGCGCACTCCAGCACAGAAATATAGAAGAGGCTATGTATGTCCAAGAGTATAAGGCAGAGGAGGCTCAGTGATGGTCTGGGGGTGCATTTGGGCTGGTGGAGTGAGAAAACTTGTAATTGCTGATGGCATGCTAAATCAGACGAAGTACATAAGACTCTTATGACTTCATTTTATGCCCTGGTTTCGACGTCTTAAGCAAAGGAAAGATGGCGAGTTCATTTTCCAAGAAGATAATGCACCCTGCCATAAAGGTATTTGGCAAAAGAATACAAAGAAGAGATGAATCTGCCAGTGATGACATGGCCAGCAAACAGCCCTGATCTGAGCCCAATAGAAAACATTTGGGCATACTTGGAACACCAGCTGAGAGCTAGAAGGGTAAAGCTAATGAATTCACACTCGTTGGCCAGAGCTCTTCAAGGAGAATGGAAAAAAATACCGAAGAAAGTAGTGAAAGCACATTGCATGTCAATGCCAAATCGAATGAAAGAACTTAGAAAAAATAATGGATTTCATACCCACTATTAAACTTTCTAATAAATTACATATACCTATTCACATAGCTAATATATATTACTCATAATTATTTCAGAGCTCTAGCTATATGTTAAAATGATAAAAAGATGTAAAGAAGTTGTATATTTTCATTGAAAAAAATCGAGATTTTAAAAAATACTTTAATTAAATATGGGTCAGTGTATATACCCTAGTGTCTTAATAAAAGTTTCTTAGCTATCTTTTTTTCTTGATTTTAACACCCTTTTTATTTTCAAAAAAAATGCCTGCTTCCAACAACTCCCTCAAATTTGTTATGGACAAGCACTGTGAAATGATCAGTCACAGCAGTTCTGCAGACCAAACCCAGTTTTCTGGAATTGCTTTCGACCCCTTGTGCGATTTCAACCAAGAGATTGTCAATGAAATGCATGGAGAAGTTGTACTCCGATCTGTGACAGATGTCTTTGTCAACCATACCGATATGGAATGGACCCGTACCTTGGCCAGAAACCCAGCAGTCACAAACCTCCTAAGTCTCAGAAGTTTTTTGCAAACTGAAGTCAACGAGGCCACCACCAAAACCATTGTTGCACAGAAGCCAAAGACAAATCTGCCAGAGAAGGTCTACTCTGATTCTGTTGCCACTGCAGAAAGCATAGGTCGAGATTTGTACCAAAAGTACAACCAAAACCAGGTGAACAAGCTCTTCTCCTTGGTTTTCTCAGAAAACCAGACTGCTGCTGCCACTGCCAGGGAAACGGGCATCAATGTCCGGACTGCCCAGAACTACGTCAGGCTGGCCAGAGAGAAGATCCAGACCGATTTTGATGCTGCCACAGTGGAGACTGATGAGTCCAATGGGCTAGAGACGATGGAGGTTGAGGAGGTTTCTGCGCCTAAAGAACGAAAACATGGCAACCAAAAGTTGTTCCAGGCACACTCTGCTTTTTTTAAAGTTTTTCGAAAATAAACCAGATGCTACCTTGGAACAAGCAAGGATAGCTGTCATGGAAGAGTTCTCTGGGCTGCAGATTACCAAATCAGCAATCCAGAAGCACTTGGTGAAGAAGTGTGCCCTGACGATGAAGAAGTTGGAGAAGCTGCCTGAGAAGAGAGACGACGTCAGCACAATTGTGATGAGACGAGACCGCATTTTGGAGTGGCAACAACTTGCGGATTTCAACTATCTGTCAAACTGTGTGTTTATTGATGAAGCAGGCTTCAATATGCATATCAAGAGAACTTTTGGCCGTTCCGTCAGTGGCACCCCAGCTAAGACAACTGTCCTGACGCAGAGAGGTGTGTCTATCACCATCCTTAGTGCAATGTGCGAGAGAGGGATTGTCAGCCTCTCATTGAAGAAACCCACTGCAGTCGCAACCAAGAAGAAGAGAAAGTTGGACATCTACACCAACGTTGAGGTGAATGGCCGAATTGGCACCAGAACCCAGCACTACCTCGACTTTCTTAGTCATACAATGGACGTTCTGGACAGCCAGGGTATGCAAGGACGTTATCTCATCATGGATAACGCTCCTATCCATAAGGCCGATGAGGTGAAAGACTTTATTTCTTCCTGTGGATACAAGTGTGCATATATTCCTGTGTATTCACCTTTTCTGAATCCAATTGAGGAAATGTGGTCCAAGATCAAGTTTGGTGTCCGCAGAGAAGAGATTACAGAGTCAGACGGGCTCATCTTAAGAATTACAGAATCAGCTAAGACTGTCACCCTTTTGGACTGTTTGGGTTGGATTAACCATGCCATTTCATTCTTTTCTTGCTGTTTGAACAGAGAGCGAAAGCTTTAAGTATGTCTTTTATGTCTATTTAAGCTCTTTACACTCTATGTCTTTTTTTAATTTATTTTTATTTTTTACTACTTTATGTCCTCCTTTTTCTTATTTTTTTTTACCACTTTATGTCCCTCTTTTTTTTATTTGTTTTACTGCTTTATGCTTTTCTTTTTTATTATTTTGTATTTCATTATATCTTACTTCTTGTTATGTGTTCTATTTCTCTATCAACTAATTATGCCTAATAAAAATATCCATGTTTTATGCCAAAAAAATACGACGTTTACAAAAAAAAGTATGACGTTTACAAAAAAAGTACGCCGTTTACAAAAAAAAATACTATGGTTATATAAAAAAAAATTGTAAGGCATAAGGATAAAAAATTTGAGTGCCATGTACCCTTCCGCCAATAGTAAAAGGGGGGGAGCAAATTCAGATAGCAATGGAAGCAAATTCAGTTGGCAATGGATGCAAATTCAGTTTCTATGGAAGCCAATCAGATGTCAATGGATTCTAATTAGATGGAAACGGATGCTAATTAGATGGAAATTGGCGCCAATTGAATGGATAAAACCAGTACTTGTTTATTTTTAAATATGTTTATCAAAATCATCCAAATGGGGTTTTAATTTTTGATATTCTGCACATCCTATTTTGAATTGCTTCAAATTTACTCAATTTTTATTCATAAATGAGCTCAATTTTGAAGGAAAAGATGTAATCTTTCAACCCAATTTTGAATAGGCTAAAAATAGTAATACATATTTTAATAATTCTTTATCATGCAAACAAATAGAGCTGAATATGCATACATGTTAGCATTTTTGATAAGTAAACAATATATTTATTTATTCTACAAGCAAATAGAGATGTATATTCAAGTGTGTAAGCATTTTTGATAAGTATACAATATACTTATTTATTCTACAAGCACACAGATGTACATTCAAATATACAAGCATTTTTGATAAGTAAACAAAACACTTTTTTATCACGCAAACACATAGAGCTGTATATTCAAATGTACAAACATTTTGGATAAATCAACAATAAAATCGAAATTTTTATTTGATATATAATACATTATTGCTTGTATGTAATTTAAGTTTAATATCCACATCTTTCCTTTTTTTCTTACACATATGAAGCACAACACATCCTCTCAACGCAAGCCTATCTAGTCAAAGAAGCTGTCAACTACTTCTGATTCAAACAAAGATGGCACGGAGTTCATTGTATATAGTCTAAATATCCAGAATTCTGAAGAAAGTACCAACATAGACTTGGCACTGATCAAGAAAAGAAAACAGAGAACATGGGACCAGGAAAGAGAGCTGGTATTAATGGAGGCCTACAGTTATTATCACCCATTTGCAGCCTCTCATGGATAAGTACAGTGAGTGGAAGAAATTTGCGCCCCTTTATTTGGTTTCCAACTTTGTTGAAAGTGTATATACTTTTTATCATCAAAAAAGTGTATCAATGATAGCATCTAAGAATCTCATCATTGCTTACAATATATATAAAGTGTTTGTTTGATTATATTTGAAAGAAGAAAACGTTTTTAATATTTGGTGCTGCCACCATCTACATCGATTACAGATTGGCATCTTTTTCTCATACTCTTAATCAAGCTCTTCAAATATGAATTTGGAATTTTTTTTCACTCTCTTTCAATCGCATGTCTGAGATAATGTATGGTATATAGATTATATCTATTGGATCTAACTTTCCACTTGAGATAGGCTCAGACATGCTCTATTGGGTTGAGATCCAGGCTTTGCGATGGCTAGTTGCCCAAAAGTTGCATCTTCTTTTTTTTTTCTATGCTCTTGTCATGACACTGACATGACAGCTGGCGTTATCCTCTTGAAGCTTAAACCTTCTCCAGCTATTTTTTTTTAAATCTCTTAAGGGAAGGGAGATAAGCTCTTTCCAAGGTGTCTATATACTTCTTGGAATCTACATTCCCCTTCATGACGTCTAAAACTCCGATACCCTTTCTATAAAAACACCCCCAGATTATAATAGCACCTCCTCCAAACTTCACAGTTGGTGAGACGAAACTGGACTTGAAGTCCGACTTGTTCTTCTTGAGAACTCTTATACACCCATCATCCTTGTAGAGCTGGAATCGTGACTCATCACACCATATGATGGAATTCCACTGTGTGTCACATTCCAGTCGACATGTTCAATTGCCTATTGTAATCGCTTCTTCTGATTGATTTTCGAAATCTTTGGTTTACAAATCATCTTGCAAGAGTAAATACCAACACTATGCAGAAACTTTCTGAGTGTCTTGTCTGACACAGGCGTGGTCAAGTTTTTGCTAATCTTGGTCAATGACTGTGTTGGATCTCAACTGATCTCAAGCAGAATCTCTCTTTTATCTCTCTTGTTTAGCTTTGGAGGTCTGCCTGACTGTACTGTAGCTTTATGTGAGCCAGTTTTCTTGTAACTTTTCAGCACACGCTTCATGACATATCGGCTTAAACCAAGTTTTTTGGTGATGTTAATCTGGTTGGTGCCGTTCTTAATGCTCTTATGAGCAATTATAGCATGAGTAGTATTATCAGTGTGTTTTTTTCCAGTAGCCTGGATCTTAGGCTTCTTCTTGATGCATTTACTTTGATTCATTTTAGTTTATAATGTTAATATAAAAGTGAAAGAAAGATATTATATTTTTACAAAAATGTGGCTATTAAATTTAGGAGCGCAAATTTCTTCCACTAACTGTAGGAGAAGTGTGGAAACAAGTAACTGTTGCAGTCAACAATGTTCACTGTAACTACAAACAAGCACTTACCAGCAGAAGTGTACAGAATAAAAAAGACGCACTCTTTAGTAAGTTCCGGCCCCTTTTTGATCAGCATTTGAATGAGAAGTTTTCTAGTATTAATATGGATATCCCAACTCATCTTGGAAGAGTCATTTATTCCGCAATGAAGGCAGTATGTTTTTTTTAAATAATAACACTAAAACATATAATCATTTAATCGATTTAAAAATTTTCTTTTAATATTCAGGAAGAAGATGCCAAAAGCATCAAAGAGCTTAAAGATTTTGTGAAGGCCGGAAAGGCAAAAGACATGATATCACTAAATGATAAGCTCATGTCTTTTGCCAAGTATGGCCAAGAAATATCTCTAAAGGACGAGAAAAAAACACTGAAGTAGATAAAGTCCCTGAGGTAAAGTCAACGCCAACCAAGGGGAAGCAGCAATTGGTTGAGCTGTTAGAGAAACAGATGGAGATCTTGGAAAGACAAGCAGAGACGAATGAGAAGGTTCTTCTGGTACTGGAAAGCTTAAAGAAGTATATTGGAGAGAGTAGCAAGTCTCAGGCCATCATTGCTGACTCTCTCTCTCTCTCATTGCCAAAAATCATAAAAAATAAAGTTTAATTTATATCTCTTTAATTTTATATTTAGTTTTGAGTTGTTGATACCTTTTTTTATTATACAGGTAGAGAAGTAATACATACATAATTTTAAGAGCTAAATTAATTAATTATACTATTATGAAGCAGAAGCCTTTTAAGATAGTATAGTGTTGTACTTGAATAGATAAGATAAATGAGATGATATTTAATTATTTAAACATATCAAGTTAAAAACTAATTAAAATGCAATAATTACATAGAATTCTAATTATATAAGAATATCACTTTATTATCATTACTAAACGTATTTGCTTTATAGTCATTAACAACAAGTGATATACTCTATATATCAAGTGGAATAAACTTTACCAATCTGGAAGCATTATATAGAATAGTGTCTACAGTATCAACTATGTCTTCTAATACGGGATCACATGCAAGGTCTCTGATATAATCTTGTATGTTTAGTGGTTGAATACCAAACATTGCTGATGTTACATACCCATTGATACAAGTACAGTCAAAGCTCGATATAGTGATAATTTTTTTAGAAAATTTGGGATGGTGCCTGCTTATTATCACTATTTTTTGATATAGTGATAGTAATAAAATATGAATTCACCAGTATCACTATATCAAGCACTGAGTTTAATTTATTACTAAAAAAATATATATATAGAAAATTTTTCTTAATAATATGGTTGACATTAAATTTAAAGTCCTTTTTTTTTATAAAAAATAATAATAATTGTTATGGTATTAAGAGCTTTAGCTGCCTATAAGAAAGACTGCAGGCTCAATATGTTTCTGAACAATTATTCTTATTTTATTTTATTTTTTTGCAAAAATATAAAAATTAAAAAAAAATAACAATAAAACATTTGCTGGGAAATATATGTGTGTATCGTTTAATAGATTTTATTATTATGATAAATGCTTTTATTAAAAATGATTTAGTACTTAAAGTATTATCTAATGTTGGTTTGATTTGTTTTTTCTAAATTTTCTTTAGCTTTGATAGACTTCATTAATTTGTCAAGATCATTCATCAATATATGCTGAGAATTACTACTATCTGGAATCATTAAATGAAGAATAGTAGCTACTGATTCTTTTATCATTGTTCTTCGCTCTACGCTACTAATTGCATTATCTTCCTCATCTTCCTCCTCTTCCTCTTCTACCTCCACGTTTTTTCTGGGGCCAATCAAGTTACACTCCAAGATATCCATTGATTATTCAATGCTGTCAAGGTTCTCAATATCAGTAATTGTGATATTCTCACATCCTGGAAGACAGTTGAGGTCATCAAAGTTCTCCTCAATAACCGGAGAAATGAACTCTTGTATGGTATCATAAAACAAACTGGTGTGGTTGAAACAATTAGTGATTGTCTCAGAAGTAACCTTCCTCCAAGCCCTCATAATATAATTCATTCCTTGCAATTGTGTTAATGTGAAATAGTCACTTTCTGTCTTTGACTTGCCAGCAATATAATGGAGTGTTGCAAACTGATATTGTAAATGCCAGTACATGACTTTGAAGTTTTAGATAAGATCAGCATCGAGAGGCTGAAGATGAGAAGTGATGTTTGGTGGCATATAAAGAAACTCAATGTTGCTAAAGGTTACTGATGTATCATGGCAGATTGCATTATCTAAAAGGATAATGAGGTATTTGGGATTGTTTATGGGTTAGTATCTCAATAATGGGAAAAGTAGATACTGTGAGAGTGTTATTTATTAAAGAGACAAAATAATATTGTTTATATCTGCTACTATTCAAATCCCTGTAATTCAAATCCCTGTTGTGTAATGGTTGGTTTACACTGTATGAGTGTGTAGTGTACGTGTGTCTGGTGTGTAACAGTTCCGGAGATTGTTAACTTGCCAGGTTCATTAGCAAGAAGGAACCAGTGTTTAGTTGTGGGGTCTGTTCTTCACTCAATTATGGTGTGTATACCACAGATAAGAAATTTTCTTCCAAGACTTCTAATACAAATGTTAATGGCGTGGAAGGCTTTTGTAAATATGAATTTTGTTATCCAGCTGCTTTTGTTATTGAAATATTGAAACCCAAGTTCAAATCCTATAGTGTAAAAGCAAAGTAATTAATATGAAAGGAACCAATCAATAATTACTTATTATATTTTTAGTACTTACCAGTTTTCTTGTTGAAACAGTGAGATTTAGCATGTTTTCCAATAATGATTGGATCAAACTTAAGTGAACCATCCGAGTTACAGAGCAATCCAACTGTTAAACGCATCTTGTCAGCCTTGAGACAAGAAACTGCTTGACCTGAGATTGTTCTTGTTGGGGGCTGCTTGTAAAAGAGACTAGTTTCATCAAAGTTAAAGATATCTTGTCTCTCAAACATCTTTAACTTCTCCTTGATCTCTTCAACTCGTGGCTGAACAGATTCATCATTAACTTTGGCAGAACCAGCTTTATTATGCATAACTTGGCTTTTAAAGCCAAGTCTCTTCTTAATGTTTGCTACCCAGCCATCAGAGAAGTTAGGCAAATCCGTTGCTGGTATATTATGGCATGTAACAGCAATCGTTCTGACATACATCTTGATTGAATTGTCATTGACAGGATTGTTTAGTGCTGTCATATCATTGATGAATTTTTGGACATCTTCCTCTATCTCAGAATAATCTGTCTCTCTGCTGCTCATCATCTTGAGCTCATACTCATCTTTTTTCAGCAACTGATCTTCTTCTTGTAAGATCTTTGATATGGCAGTTTAGGCAACTTGAATTGGTCTTTGGCCCATAACCTAACTTGTTCTTGACTAAATCCAAGCTTTGCTTGTTCACAGATCTCAAGCTTTTGCTTTCTGGTTAAGCAAACACAAGTTTTTCCATTGGAGTCATTATTCAAAAATGACAAAAGATTGATTGATTGTTTTGGCATATTAAAAAATAGATATGAAATGTATGTGTATATATATGTGTGTAAAGAGTTTTTATCAATAAAGTTAAAGATATAAACGTGTGTTTTGACGTCTCTTTTATATTAAACCATCTGTCAATATTAAATGAAATATAATAATAAAAAATAATGACTTTATTCATAATGGCTGTCAAGAACATCTAATTGGTATCAGAGTTTAAACCAATAACAAGAGATTCTGACAATTATATTCTTAAACCAATTACACTGTTATTTTCACAAAGAGCTTTGATATCACTAATAGTATATATGTGTGCTTTAAAAATAAAATTTTCTATATAATCTAAAAGAAAGTATAATATCAGGGCTTGATATAATAGCAATAGCAGTCACCTACGGCGGAGTATATATTATCACTAAAAAAATCTATATTGGAGTAATAAAAATCATGCTTGATATAGTGATAGTGATAAAATTTCTGTCCACCACCATTATCACTATATTGAGCTTTGATTGTATGAAAGTTTTTGAGCAAAGTAGATAATATGTATATTGTCACAGATGATGCTTTCGACTTCATCTTCATCTCTGAACTGAATTTACAGTATTTAAAATACTGTGCTATCTTACTAAACTTCATCTCGACTTGCACTCGTGCTGTAGATATAACATGATTAATCCTGGCTTTTCAATCTAAAGATATATATAATAAAGTTTTGTTACAGTTATTAAAAGTCTATGTGTGTAACAAATAAGCACAATTGTGAATATTTTACCATCCTTCAGTGTTTCATTTAGTGGAAATGACTTAAAAATCTTGTATGATCATAGGTAGGCTTGGTCTTTATAGATAACATATCTGAATGGTAGGTACTTGTCCCCAGACACAGCTGTAAGGTACAGAATTAAATGGTCCAAAGTCTTCATTTCATAAAAAAAATTGTATTGTGAGTAGATCCAACAAAAGGTCCAATCAAACTACTGGTGATACTATCAGGTGTAGCAATGACCTGGTACTTTATACAATGAATATACTATTAAATAGACAAACATATTAGTAAGTGATTTAAAATCATTTGATATTATATATATTTTTTTTAGATGTTTTCACCAATCAATATCTTACTTTCTATCCATTGTATAGAGTTTTTTGCTCTTCTTCTGATTTTGGACAACATAATTTCTGCAGGATGCCATCAATAAAACCAATTACACTAGAATAAGTTTTTGCTATAATATATTTAGTTATTAATAAAAAACATATATGTCTGTAAATGTAACAAGAACGATATTATTAAATAATGATATTACTTTTTTTATAGATTGCCTTTGCAAAATGCTCACAATTTTCTGCTAAGAACTGACGTGTGTCAAACTCCAATCCGTTTTTGAATTTCTTTATCAACAAAACAGACATTTTTTTTACAATGAACCCTAAATCCTTTGCATTCATTCCCCATTTTCTTTTCATTGAACAGTATCTCTGAGAGAAATAAAATTAATACAATATCATGGCAAATGCAAACTCTATGCTCACATGAACCACATATCTTTTTGAATAGCATAAGTGCAATCACTGGAAAAATGACCTGACATATGTATGTGTAAAGGCGTAGTTACTCAGGTGTCAGGACGGGGTTTAACATTGAGTCCAGATACATATCACCATGTAACAAATTCGTCTTAGCACCATGTGCCATGACCAGCTATACACATGTGTGGGGTCAAATAAAAATGATGGGGATATAGTTCTTTAACACTTTTGGTGTGTTGATCTGACTTGGGATATTGAAAAGAGTTTTTTGAAACCAAGGTTTTATTTTTATATGTTTTATATAGAGCTTTAAAGGTGGATAATATATTTATTTTCGATCTTGACACAGTAGTATAGCTCAACATTACACCTCTTCGTTATCTTTTATATCCAATTAAATTCAATACTTGAGCAATTCTTTGGATTCTGAACCATAGTATAGTTCAATCGTCTTTATTTTAATTTCAGAAATGGTTTTATTGGTAAAAGTTTATAATAGTATTTATTTGGAAAGAACAGAATGTTTCTAGAACTATAACAATCTTATAGTATTGATTTATTGGATATCCGTTATTGCTTCTACTGGTCTGCTTAATACTGTTTGAATAGAATAATTATCTACAGAAAAGAAATGCCTGAAAATATAAAAAGAAAGCAGACTGTTTGTTGAAATATAACAGTCTTTAAGAAGCATAGACAAATTATTAGCTATGTGTGCTGGATACTACATTTAATGTAGTATGCTTTTACATTTTGTGTACACTTTTATACTTACATTGTAAATATTGGAAAAGAGCGAGCAAAAAATAGATGTCGATATTGATAATCCATGGCGTTTCTTATGATATCTTTCACTATAAAAACAACAAAAAACATTAATTTTTGTGAATCGAATAAAATAATAAATAATTTACATACCAGTAGCAAGAATATATATTAACAGAGATAGATTGTCTTTGTAAACACTTGATAGAACTCTAGTGAAAAATAATAATATTTTATGTTAACATATTATAATATTAATATAACTAAAATAAAAAATAAAGTAGTGATCCTTACCATGTAATATCATTTCCAGCTGTATAATGTAAGGGAAATCAAAGACGGGATCAACAGTGTTTATCTATAATAAGACTTCATTTTAGTAAGATACATGTCAAAATAATATATATATATACACTACCTTGATGTTTTTAACCAAATTAATTTGTAGCAGTTATTCTTGATGATCAAGTCTGTAATAAAAAAAACAAATCAGAAGGATTTTTATAGATGTCAATTTCGCAAAATATAATATTGACCTTTGTTAATCTAGACAGCAATTGTGAAATGAATGCATTTAAATGAGAGCAAACGAGTATCTATTATGATAATAAAAGAATGTATTAATTTTTATTGTTTATAAAAAAGTATTTAATAAAGAAGTATGTTACCAAAAAAAGCCACTAATATAATAATGACAAACGTTGGAAAAGAGGAAAGGAGCAGAAAAGAAGAACGAAAAAGACATAAATTTTTTTTCTGCGTTTGAAACAAAATACCAAAAAGCTTATCCAATAAACGATAGCAAAAAAAACTGAAAAGAGGTGATCAATTGAGGCCAAAAAATGTATCAAGGCCTATTTTCATCTCAGTGTTTCAAGAAGTTGTCTTTGAAGTGTTCCTGAAGCATCACTACCGCCTATAAATACTTAATTTTTCTACTTGCAATTCAATGTCACTCACTCTTGATTATATCATCTCAACAAATCTACGTTGCAAATTTACTGTAATTTACATAACAAAATAGATGGATTGTCTCTTACAAAAGAGAATAAAAAAGAAAAAGAACTAATATTAACAATTGAAAATATTATAATATATTACAGATAATGTCTATCTGCAACCGCAGACTTGCTCCTTCTCTTGCCAGCACTGATGTCCAGTTGCTACAAGCTTTGAATGCGATGAAAGAAGAGATGAAGGCCATGAAGGATAAGATCACATTGATGGATACAAGAATCGGTGTAGTGATCACTGGTAACGCAACCGCCATTAATGGCATTGATGCCTTGTCTGCCCTCCCAGCATCTGCGCATGTGTCCACTAGTGTTGCATCCACTTCTGCTGCCCTTCCCACCACTGAATCAAGTGATATTAACGCTGTATTTGTAAGTATAAAGATATAAAAGACACTTGCCAATCTTGTTGCTAATTAAAATATAATAGGGATATATTCATGGTTATAAGTGGAACCCAAAGCTAAAATCAAGAGATTAGGCAGAAATCTAAGTGAATGCCATAAAACCAAAGTGGGCAGTTGATGTTCGTTTTGATCGCTCTCCAAATAGAGAGCTAGTCAAACAACTCTTGTATTACTTGGAAAAGAAGTTTGCTGGCACTGATATGAAGACACGCGACCTTCGTAAGTGTATATACACAAACTTCTGTAGTAGACGTTGCCAGCAAAGGGAACTTCCGGAAACAAGACGAGCCTTGAATACTAATTCAAGAAGATCTGGCCGTGAAACTGATGTAAACTGTATTTTCAATTTATGCTAAATAATAACAATTAGAATATTAATTGTATTGCCTTTTTCCTTTAGAATTACACTTGCTGTCGCCTTGCTTATGATGCTTACAAGGCTGACATTGATCTCAAGATGGGTCAAAACTGCTCTGGACTGATCCAAAAGTTGGTCATGTCTGAAGGCGAATCAGACGATGATATGTCCCCCTCTCAGCCAAGAAATGAGATTCGTGTTGCTCACCCAAGTTGGAGAAGTGATGAGATAAAACCTAACAGTTTTCTTTTTTGAATGATTCCAGGCTGAATGTTAATATATGTTTATTACTTAGCTTAACAAATTCATTACGGAGGTTGACTCATTTGTTGTTAAGCAATTGGGTGCAAATTCCCGCCAACTGCTTAAGAGAGTTTATGGTAGAACAGTGGAATCAGCAGTCCCAATTGATTTAGATCCTGCTCTACCTCAATGGGCTCTTAAATATGGGTCATAAATAAAACTCATTTTTTGTTATTTTTTTTTCTTTTACTCTCAAAATTTCTTAACACATATGTATTGTTCGCAACATATATAATAAGACTACATTAGCTTATGTATTGAAATTTTTTATTAAAAAAGATATGTATTAAATATTAATTGTATTGTTTGTGTAGTAAAGCGTTGACAAGTATTTTCTTATTATTTGTGCTGGTTTTATAATCACATGTTGCAATAACTGATGATATTCAATGTACTGGCAAGATGCATTCAAAATTACACGCAATAAAATCTGCACTGCAGATGTCAACACTTTCCAAGTCTCTTGAACGGTCATGCTCAATCTGGAACCACTTAACAAACACAAACACGTGTTTATTTTGATAAACGACACGTGTTTGGAGCTCTGTGTTGTCTACTGGTGGAGTGAAAGAGTGCAAGCACAGATACTGAATTTGGCCAGTGTATGCCAACCGATTATTGCCTTGACTTCCAAGGAACAGAGATTGAACAAATGAGCTGCGACCAGAAGCATATTTGCAGCCTTTGTAAACCTGACCAAGCAAATTGATTGATTTCAACTTTATGATTTGGTTGTTGACAAAGGAGAATGGAGAGGAGGGATGCTGGTAACCTTCAAGATTTGGCATGCAGTATGCGACTTTATAGTAATCAAGCAAATGAGGATAGTCGACATCACTCATTGCTGATGGGGGTTCGATATGGAGAGGAAATGCGGATGGAGGAAGAGGTTCATTGCCAAGGACTGGAAGAGAAGGGTTTGAGTATGCTTGGATGAAGGCTGATAGTCTGAACGGGTGCTGGGGAAAAGTTATTGTATTTTTTGAAGTGGAGGGTTGAGCTGTGGCAGTAAGCTTGGCGAGAAGAGGAAGAAACGGTACTTGGCTTGGGCATGTGAGAGTAGCATGAACGAAATCACCTTTGAATGTATCTTGGACGAAACTATTCATGTATGTAACCTCAAAGGAATCTTTTCTGTTTGTATTCACGTTCTTTAGCAGACCATTATATTGCTCGAACCCGAAGAGCCAATATCCATATACTTGTCCAAAATCACAGATAGTCTCGTGAAGATGAAGATGTAAATGCATGTTACAGGTGAGAATAGTTGGAGTGTAAATACGCTGGCACTCAGTACAGAATTCTTGAAGAAATTTATGGCCGTCGTCAATGTCAGAGAATGTGATGCTTGGTTTTACTAATTGGCGGCAGGCATCAACAAAACTGATCCAATTTCTGAACATTTCAATTGGCAGGACGGCCTTCAACAAGATAGGCGAATACACTAGCACCCAGGACTTCCATTCATCAGCTTTCATGTATGGAAAACCCTTTCCAATCTTCGATTTTAACACCACGTAATCCATTGGCACCACCATTGTCTCTGCCATTGTTTGCATTGTAGCTAGCTTTCTATCGTCTATCAGTCCTTCTTTTATCTACTACTCCATCATTCTCTTTGGTGTCCCCAGGAATAAATTATGCATGGGATTGATGATCGTTCCACGTACTAGATCAAAGTATCCAAGGCGATGCAGCTGTGACCATTGAACACCATTTTCGATTTCCAACTGATGCCTTTCTGAGGGCATACTGGCACTCTTCCACTCCTCAGCATGCAACCTGTTTTTCAGACTGCTACAGATTTTCCACGTCGAATAGTTGAACCCACTGAAGTCGACCTTGTTGGTGCTTGGTAACCTGGTAAACTGCCTCACACATCTGGGGCATGCACAAGTACTGTTGTGAGTGGTGAATCTACTGGTCTTCCTGGTGGCAGGGATGTCACAGGCAACCATATGTAACGCAGCATGTACATTAACACCGGCTGGGCACTCAAAGGTTGGGATGGTTATCCCCATAAACAACTGCAGCAATTCATTGACTATTGGCTTTAAATAGTGGTTGATCTCTTTGGTCTTTGGCTCCTTAGGACCAGGCATCAAACCAACAAGGATGATATTTTCAGACTTAAATCTTTCCTCACGAGGCAAGTTATTTATTGCAAGGTAGATAGCTCCAGTTGAATATGTAACGCCATCAAATGGCTGGAACCAGTCGATGTTCATTGTTAGCATCAATGAACAAAGTTCATCCACAAACGATACGCCACTTTGGTCCTTTAGCTCCTTCCACATAGCACCATCATAGACGTCGCATAGTGTATCTACGACCTTAAGCTCTTTGTTCCATTGTCTGATTTTTTGCTCAAACCCAGAATGAAGAAAGAAAACTTGTAATGATCTCTGGATAGAGTTGTAGACGTATGATCGCTTGGCTACCATGGCACCAGAAGATGAAACCTTCATCAATTCACAATTGCATGGTAATTGAGAACCATGCTTTTTGAAGTCGCAATAAGTAGGGAGAGGCACATCTTGTTCGTAAACCTTGTGGCAGTCTTCACATACAACAGACTTCTTGATACCATTGGGGTAATTGGAAAAACCAGTCATTCTTTGCAGACCAATAAGACTTGTTGGTAATTGGAAATCTTCGCCATAGATCTTGAGTAACTGATTGATAAATTCAATCAATATGGTGGCACCTTTGTTAACAACATAACGCGAGATAAAAAGAATGGCAAAGGTAGCAATGAACCAATGGACAGGGTTTTCAGGCATGTTAGGAGCATCAAATGGGTCTATTTAAAATTAACAAAAATAAATTAGAACAAATTTTCTTTAGGTCTGTTTTTAAGAAAACAAAATCATTTATGACTGACCTTCATTAACAAACTCTTCAACGTCTGTCTTGACACCTTCTTCTTCACCACTGCCAGAGTCAGAGTTCATGTCTCTTTCAATGTCAGAGTCATTGCCATTGACCTTGCTGATCTCATCGTCTACCGAGACATTGTCAGCCATTGTGGCAGCATTCAAATCAGGTGAGTCGGCCTGATTGTCTATTTTTTTGATGGATTCAGATTGACAGGTCAGGATATATACAAATATAGATTAGTTTAGCTTGTTGTCTCTACTGGTTTTCAAATATATTTTTTTTTCTTTTCTTTTCTTACATTGGGTATCAACGTCCATCATTTGTTCTTCTTGCACAGCTGTGTTTCATTAAAATTAAAAAAATAAAGAAGTTATTACTCAGTAATCGAAAAATAAACCCTGAATATAACATACTATTTGCCAATCTTTCAGCCGTATCCAGTCTCTCAATTCTCTCAAGCTCATTTTTTCTAATATGGCGCTCAGCAGTTCTGCTTGTCACCAATGAGTATCTCTGTGAATTTCTGCTACATTGAGCACAACGGCAGACAACATTACGGCAGTGGGAGATAGAAGGCATTTTATGTGTTTTGTTTGATGTGATTTATTGAGAATAAAAAGAGGAACAAGCGTAAAATATACTTTATTTGCACCGACTTTATAGTAAAAAAAAGCATTATATTTTATGGTTGTTTAATTGAATTCTTCTAACAAGTTCTTTTCTATATTATTAAATATAGAAAGAGACATGACAATTATGATATTATCAATTCATAGTCTTTATTCAAATGTTTTCAAGAATGCCTGTTGTGTATAAAAGACATATATTTTTCTACTATGAGTTTATAAATAGATTATTGCGAGAGTAAATTCAGAAAATAGTAGGAATAAAAAAAGGGGTGGTAGAATGAGAATTATGATAGGTCTCTGTATGTGAATTTAGCCTTCCATACCAGACTGATATTCTAAAATTCTGTTAGCCAATGAAACCAACTAAAACTACATCTTTGATCTGAACTTCAAAAAACACACTGAGTCAAAAAAATCACTATTTCTACACATGTGTTTACCAACCTGGCCACATTGTTAATCAGAGCGGTTTTTTCAGTAGTGATATTATTACAGTTTTCAAGATTTGAATGGGTTTGTATATGTGAAATAACCTCTCTTTTCCACAAGAGAGAAAAAGACAAACTCAAAAGAGAATGTAGAATTAAAGATAATAAAATCAATAAGAGAAAAATAAGAGAAAAATAGTACTATTGATCAATCTCAATAGACACTAGAAAAACATACGGGAATTACCATGTACAAAGTTAAATTATAACAATAGAAATTCTGGGGTATTTTTTCATCTCAGCTTTATTTGTGTGTTCAAGATAAAAACACTGCTTTCCAGTTTTCTATTGGCTTGGATACAACAGGCGAAAATATTATTTATTATTATTATTATAAAGACATAACAATTCATTATAAAGACATAGTAAATTTAGTAAACGTTGTACTTGTTTCCTTTTTCTCTTAACACTTCAAAGTAAAAATATATAAACATTATGTCCACAATTCCTGAACTCTACAACGAAAAGTGCCATTGTGCTGGATGTAGTCAGAACGATCCTGGTTATAGTTTTGTTGCCAGAAGAACTGCTCAACATCATAACAAAAGAGCAAGACTAAATGCCATAAGATGTGAAAGGGGTACAATATTTGAATTTATTTAATTGTATTGTAATCCATGAAATAACGTGTTGTAATAGACATGTCTACCCAAAGAAATATGATGGATGTTGATGATGAACGTAAGGTTTATTTAATTCAGATACTGTTAGATATTAACCAAGTGTTATATTCTAAATGTAGCTATCTTAACCCATCAACCCGGAGCCCTAGAAGAATTGTACACTCAGACAAACTCACCTGTTTGGGAAGGAGCTTCAATGTCTGACACTGAAGACGTTTCCGTTACTAATGATGCGATCAGCAATGGCAACAATAATGACAGTGGAAGCAACAGCAATGAAATCAGTGAAGACGAAAGCGAAGACAATGTTATTGAGCTCGACAACAATGAATTGAATAGTGAAGGTCAGTTAGTGTTAAAAATTTAAAAAAAAAAGCGTTAATTTTTTTTTATAATAGATCCTTTTGCCACCCCCAATATGCCCCAGAACCCAGTGCACAGGTTTATTGCTACTTTTGTGGTGATGTTCGCTTCCCACTATGTGGTTGACAAGGGCGCTGTTGTCTTGATTGAGTTCATCAACAAGCTTTTGACAATTTACGAGCAGGATTTCCAACTGCCCTTGAGCCTTCCTGGTCTTCAGCACATGACAGGTTTCTCAGCCATGACCAAAGGCATAAAGATATTTGTTGTGCATCAGGATTGTCACAAGGTGTACGAACAAAGTGCATCTGTCCCGTCGCATTGTGATTTTGTAAAGCTTGGTGCATGCTCGTCTTGCAACTGCCAATTGATGAAAACATCAGCATTGGGTGCTTTGGTGGCCAAGCATTCATACTTGTATCAGTCCGTTGTTAATACTTTACAAATGTTTTTTCTTCATCCAGGATTTGAGAATAAAATTAGACATTGGAATCACGAGCTGAAGATGGTAGATACGATGTGTGACATATACGATGGTGCCATGTGGAAGGAGCTCAAAGACAAAGATGGCGTGCAATTCACAAAGGATTCGCGTTCATTAATGTTGACTCTCAACATTGACTGGTTTCAACCTTTTGATAACGTCATGCACTCGACTGGTGCCATATACCTGGTAGTAAACAATCTGCCTCACAATGAAAGATACAAGCCAGAGAACACACTTCTTGTAGGATTGATGCCTGGCCCAAAGGAACCCAAATCCGAAGAGATAAACCATTATCTCTGGCCTATGGTAGATGATCTGATAAGATTGTATGAGGGACTGGCAATCTCAACTTTTGAGTGTCCTAGTGGTGTCTGCGTCAGTGCCGCATTGATGATAATGGCCTGTGACATCCCGGCAGCAAGAAAGACAAGTGGTTTCACCTCGCACAACAGTACATGCGCATGTTACAAGTGCAACAGACATTTCCCTCACTTGGAAAACGGTGTCAATGTTGACTTTTGTGGGTTTGACTTCTCTCGGTGGGTGTTTCGTGACAGTGTAGAGAACAGGTTGCATGCTGAGGAGTAGGAAAGTGCTAGTACCCCCTCAGAAAGGCATCGGCTGGAGGTTGAAAATGGTGTTCGATGGTCGCAGTTGCATCGCCTTGGATACCTTGATCTAGTACGTGGAACGATCATTGATCCCATGCATAATTTATTCCTGGGAACGCCTAAAAGATTGATGGATCGTTGGATCAAAGACGAAGACATTCAAGATGGCGATTTTGCGGCAATGCAGAAGACTGCAGAAACAATAATTGTGCCTGGTGGATACACCTCTTTGAACTCGAAAATAGGAAAGCAGCTTTCGTATATGAAGGCAGACGTGTGGAAGTCATGGGTGCTTGTATACTCACCAGTTCTGTTGAAAGATGTTCTTGCAAAAGACAGATTCAAAAACCGGATTAACTTTGTTGATGCATGCTGCCTGTTGATCAAGCCAACGATCACGTTTGATGAAGTCAACACTGCCCATCAGTTTCTTCAAACTTTTTGCACCAGATGTGATGAGCTGTACAACGCCAAAATCCTCACCTGTAATATGCACCTACACCTTCATCTTCGAGATACAATTCGTGATTTTGGACCAGTGTACGGTTATTGGCTATTCGGGTTTGAGCGGTTTAACAGGTTGTTAAAAAATTTGAAGACAAACAGGAAGATCGGGTTTGAAGAAACATTTATGAAGAAATTTATTAAAGATGTGCACAAAGACGATCTTGTCAACAGTTTCCTTCAGAGTACCCGCCAGACATCTGCATTTCCTCTCCTTACCAAACTCACTTCTTCCTTTACACCCACCACCATTCCATCCATCCGTCAACGTACCTTCCACATACAGTCATTTGTCGAGGCTTCTGAAGATCCAAATGTACTTGTAAAAGGCAACGAACCTCTCCCTCCTTCCGCATTCCCTCTATCATTAAAATCCGCTACCACAATGAGTGACATTCACTATGTTCATCTCTTACAATACTATAAAGCTGTGTACAACAATGAACAATTAGTTCACTTTCAACAAGCATCGGAATCACCATACTTTGTTGACAATACAATTACCCTGTTGAAATACATCAACATCCTTGGGCAGGTCTACAAGGGTAAAGGTGAATCTGGAAGCCGTGGCTCTCTTGTACAAGCAAAGTTCATTAGAAGTACTGGTGAGCATATCATCGCATACACGGGTCAAATACAGTACATTTTCACCCATTCTTTCACTCCTCCACCCACCTCTTCATCCCTTACTCCCTTGCTCCGCACCCATTGCCGCCCAACACAACTTCTTCACAATTCTTAACATACTTTTGCATTTATCAAATGGTACACACCCAAAAATGATAAATCACAAGAGTATGAACACATTGAAACCTGCTTTCCAACATTTTCTTCTGACGATTTCCAATGTGTATTGCCAGTGCATAGAATTATGTTAGAAGTAGCAACTGCTGAGCACACAACACACAGAAAAGTAAAAAAGATGCTAGTCATTCCTTTGCCAAAAAAACAATACATTTAAAAAATAATAAAATTATAACTCCCTTTTTTAAAGGCACACAGAAAAGAATAATCATAGTGTTTGTATTTGTTGGTACGTTTATCATTGTCAGATGGAGGATGTGGAGGATGTAGAGGATAAGAAAACAAAATTTATTGAAACTCATCTCTAAAAGCCCAGTGAGAGAGAAGGGACATCAATCTAGGCAGGACTGCTAAAACAGCATCTCTACCAAAGGACCTCTTCAACATCTGACATGAATTGAAGTCCATGCAATTACGTATAAAATCATCAACAACTGCAAGAAAGTGATTGTACTAAATACAAATAAGTGATTAATCAAAGTTCTGTTTCATTTAAATCCATAAAAAACAAAAAAAAAGCTATATACAATAATGTAAACAAAAGAAATTACCTCATCACTTCTCCAACTTGGACGCACTGTACAAATCGCACAGTTGCTCGAGACTCTAGGCATATCATCTTCAGATTCATCCTCAGACATGGCTTCTTTCTGTAAGAGTCCGTTGCAGCTCTTACCTACCTTCACATCAATTTCAGTCTTGAATGTATAGTAGGTCAGCTCACTACAGTCAAAATGCTAGTTTATAAATGTATTAATATGAATACATTTAATTTGCAATCAAAATATACTTCTAACATACATCAGTCTCTCGACCTGCTTTTCTTGACCAAGAATTTGTCTTTTTGCGCGCTTCATATGATTCCTTGACTTGGTGTCTCGTTCCACAAAAGTTTGTATAGATACAATTGCTAATATTGGCCTGTCAAACACTAGTCCCAACAACCTTTGGAGCCAGGTATGCATGAAGGTCATGCATCAGCTGTCTGTTAGGTGGAAGTCTGTAATCAACATTAACATCTCAACTACGCTTGCTGTTGTTAGCTGCAACTGGTTCCGGCTTATTTGATTTGAAGTTGTGTTTCTTCAACTCTTCTCGGATAAGAGCCTATACTTAGTGTGAAATATTATGTTGATGAACTACTGTACATCTTAACACTTACTAAAACTCTAGTGCGATCCTGTTTACTAAGTTCACCAGCGTTTGCACCAGTAAGAACCACTGCACCAACAGAAGGAGCAACAGAAGGAGCAACAGAAGGAGCAGCAGAAAAGATATCAAAAAAAGCCTCAGAAGGTGTTGTATACCAATCCAGAGTAGAACTAATGGAAGAAGCTGCGAAAGGGACAGAAGCAGAAGCAGATATAGTGGTAGGAGCAATAACTGCAAGAAGTTCTCCAGAGGCATCAGCAACACTATCAAGTATTTCCAATGAATCTTTGTTCCCCTTGATGACAATGCCAATGTTTGAATCCATGGTCTTGAGACTTTCCTCTATAGCAGTGAGCCTTCTTAAAAGCTCAGTATATTCCGGGGATGGAGCCGGGGCAATTGACTGACGATTGTTAACCATGGTCTGAAAGCTATCTAATAAACTGTTATATATGAGTTGATTGTTAATTATATTTGTTTTATATATTTATTCATTGTATATATAGAGTGTTATTAACATACAAAAGAAGTTAGGTGTTAAGTGAAAGAATAAAGTATAGTTAATGGAAAGATGGTAAAAGTAAAAGCAAGAACCCATTTATTATATTACACTTGTTGCTGTAAATACTCAGGATTTCTTTAATACACGTATCTCTATTAATACTTCCTGGAATTAATGGGGTGCAAATCGGCTTTGAACATGCTTTTTTCAACTTAATCCAATATATGATTTCTGTCTTTTGGCCTTTTGGCCCTTTGGTCTTTTGTTCTTTTTGTTTTTTTTTTCATTTACAAGTTTTCTCTCTTCTCTCTCTTTCCAACATTTATTATATTCACAGACTTTCTTGGTAAGATATCTTCTTCTTTAATATTATATATATATATAACTAAAATGATAATAATTGTTTTCTATTACTACAGACACTCGCATTTTGTTACCTTCTGATACATCTCCTTCACAATGTCCATCCGGATTAGCTAAGGTTAGTAAATATACTTTATGCTGTCATCCTATAAAATTATTCTGACCTTTTCCTTTCTTTCGTATAGGCCATATCGTCGAAATTACTCTCTACTATTAAACATGGTTATGAACACGGTAATATTTTATTTTATTTCAATCTATCTCTTTTTAATAAGCACACAGCTTAACATAATTTCTATTATAGATGAACCTCTCTCTCATGAGCACATCGCAAATCAAGAACTTTCATTTCATACAAGTGTCATTGACATGGTAATTTTTTTTTGTACATATAACAATATTATTTATTTTGTATATTAATGTATATCATTTACTGAAGACAATATTAGCATCTCCTATATACTCTCTTGGTCTGCAAATAAATCCTTTTGCTTTGGGTAGGTAAATGAAATATTTTACTACACAGTTCACAAAAAATAATTTTTTTTCAGCATTTTTATAGCCAAATAAAGTATATTGAGTACTATGGTTTGCATTCATGACGCCTTTTCTTTTTGTCTCTGGTAAGCTATTATATTGCAAGCATAATTATATATATATATTCTTAATATCCACGATTTCTTGTTCAAACAGCTAATACTTTTCTAATTTCATAGAACAACCATTTACAAGCAAGCAACACACAACTGGACTTTTCTCTGGGAGATATTGTTTGGAGAATACTTGTTTTATCAGAATATTGGTCATTTCAAATTGTATAACAGATAGAACACTAGCTAGAATGTTTCTGAATATTAAATATAACTACTGTACTATAAATCTAAGAATATTCTTTTCTTTCTAATAAAAACAAAATAAACCAATAATTATTATAAATAAATTAAAGATTGGAGAAGTGTATGGAAGCAAACAGTACAAGAAGAAGTCTCTAAGATTGGATAAAATAAATTCAAATACAACAAAACCCTGTAAAAACTGGCATATCCATAAATTAAACAATGTAAAAACTGACATATCCATATAATCGATTTTTCATTTATTGTTCTTTTAATTGGAAAGCAGTAGAATGATTACAATAAAACGTAATTCTGAGTTGCCGTTTTAGTGCATGTGATAAAAACCCATATACAGAAAATGCAAACACATTCTACTATCCTGCTGTTCTGACTTTTTCCTATGTTCGAAAGTTAGTCTTACTACCTATGAGTAAGTCAGCTTCATACACTTGTAAAAACTATCTGATCGCATCGTAAAACCTAGTCTTTTCACATAATTAATTATAGTTTTACACATAAGAAAACCACACTTCTTTTCCAGTGAGACTTGACTCAATATACTTAGATAATCAAATAAGTAAAATATCAACAGCATTAAATATTAAGAGAACTTGTTGTCAGAAAATAAGATAAAAAAAAATTCATATTTATTAAATGCAAATATTGTAATATTTATAGTTTTGCAATTGACTTGTTGAATAATTAAATAAATAAAATTATTAAAAAAAATATAATAAAGATTGTGTAATTGATAATCTATTAAATGTGATTTGTTCTTTATTATCATTAAATCCAAATAAAATAATATAGTTATTAAGTCATAATCATAAAGATAATTATGATTGTAAGAATATATAATAATAATAAAAATAATATTAATTCCAAGTTGATTCATTCAGTTAAATATAGTGAGAAAATAAGATATGATGTGTGGTTGCCTGAAGTTATTGTTGACAGAATGATGCCTTTTCATTGTATTTATTGGTGTTTTGCTCTACGAATAGAAAAATTGCTTTCTATTCAGTCTTGGCCACTGTTGGAAAATCAAAAAAAATAATAATAATAGAATATAATTTTCTAGAATTACAAAGAATTCTATATTATCACCGCACTGCCAGACAACCAAAATTTTTGTTACCTGCGAATAATTTGTATTAAACCCCGTCATAAAATAAAAGTGCCCGGCTAGCTCAATCGGTAGAGCGTGAGACTCTTAATCTCAAGGTTGGGGGTTCGACCCCCCCGTTGGGCTATTTAATTCTTTTTTGTTTCGTACCTATTGTGTCGTTCCTGATCTAGGCTATTGTCATTTTCGATCTGGGTTGTTCTTCCTGTCAGAGTTGACATTGGTGTGTCGTTCCTGATCTGGGATGGTCTTCCTTTTACTATAGCAAAGTCAAAAGGTCAAACCCACTGGGGATCGGAGAGTATATGTAAAATCGAAGAGAGGATAAAAGGTCCTTTTTATTGATAGGAATTGAATTGTCTTATATAGTTTTCTAAACTAATACTGCGCATTATCCGCAGTAAACTATTATACTCTATTTAATTACAAGAGAAGTCCTTTTACTGCGGTTGATGCTCAGAAGATGTTACTGTGGTTAATCTTTACAAGACATTACTGCGGTTCGTTATCTATGAGGTATCTTTGACATACAGAACTGCTGCGGTCAATTATCCCGATTTCTCGGATTCATCAAAATAATGTCCGACATCACCCCCTCTCGAAACTGTTGATCGTCCTCGGTCAACTCTGGTAGACTCTATCATCGAGAACGGCAAGGTGGAAGAGGAATCTATGGCCAGATCACGTCGCATATTGTTACGAGCAGCGGTCGGGTGATACCAGGTGCGGTCGAAATCGTCGGATTTGGCTATTTTGAGGCGGTCAGCATGAACCCAAGAAGTATAAGGGACACCTTCCATTGTTGTGAGCTTGTATATATTCTTATCGAAATTTTTATCTACTACAATATATGGGCCCATCCAGTTATATTCTAGTCCAAATTTGTTTTCATGCCGCAACAACAAATGTTCACCGATTGCGAACTGATGAGGTTTCATGATCGAATCCCATCGTTCCTTGTCTTGTTGGCTGTTGGCGGTTACTCGAGCGTCAGCATTTTTGCGAGCCTGTTGGAGATTACGAAGAAAAGGGATAGCGCCATCGGATACGAGGGTCGGGTCGTCAGGGATAGATGTATCCATAAATGGACGTAGGGGATCGCCAGGAATACGAGGTTCGCGGCCATAAGTCAAGAAAAATGGACTGAACCCAGTTGTACGATGCTTTCTGATTCGGCAAGCCCAAAGTGCTGTTTCCAGATATTCGTCCCACCGGTGAATGGCACCATGTACATATTTACGTAACATCTGTTTAAGAACACCATTTAACCTTTCACATTTTCCATTAGTACGTGGGTGAAATGCTGAGGTTAATTTATGATGGAGCTTAATTTTCTTAATGTAAAAGCTCAAAATATGTGACATAAAGTTTGCACCACGATCTGTCAGAATTTCGTCTGGGCAACCAAAACGCATGACTATTTCTTCGTACAAAAAGTTGGCGATGGCTTCGCCCGTAGCAGCAGGAACAGCACGTGCAATTGGCCAATTCGTAGCGTAGTCGACGGCAACCAAAATCCATCGATTTCCGTTGATTGTAGTGGGAAGTTCTCCAATGAAATCGAGATGCCAACGAGAGAAAGCAGGGGGGATATCCAATGGTTCCAAAGGGGCATGGTGTATGTTGCGTTCTGCGTTTGAGGCCAATTGACATTGATGACATTTCGATAACCATTCTTGAATTTGACTTCTCATGGCTGGCCACCACCAACGCTTCTTCATTAAATCATACACCGTTGTTTCTCCAGCATGTCCGAAACCATTGTGGAAATTATTTACTAAGTCTGCACGCTTGGCAAACAGTGCAAAACGAATTTCTTGTACCGTGTCACCTATTTTAACGAGACGGAAAACCTTTTGGTCGTGGACCACAAACTTATTGCGTTGCCGATGGAGTAATTCTTTTATGTCTTCTGGCCATTCATCTTCTTTTCGTGCATAAAATTTTGGCCAGTCGGACGTTTGTGAGTCTGGTATGGTGTACAGGTATTCTGGTTCCATTGATTTAATTAATGTTGCATCGTATTCTGGGCCATCGAGACGAGAGAGCACATCAGGGACACCATTGTCTTTGCCCGGTTTGTATTGAATTATCGGGTCGTACAGCTCGAATTCAGAAATCCACCTTATCAGGCGAGGCGTGGGCTTAACCTGACTGCGAAAATACTTGAGTGGTAAGTGATCGGTGAATACAGTGAACGGTTTTCCTTCGATCATGCAGCGCCAAGTACGCAAGGCATGTAGAATACCGAGTAACTCGCGCTCTTGAGCAGGATACGATCTTTCGGCAGGGGAGAGTTTTTTCGATTCGAACGCTAATGGTTTCCAACTTCCGTTTTCGTCTTCTTGCATTAATACGGCACCAACACCAAAATCTGAAGCATCTGTTTCAATGCGGAATGGTTTATCCATGTCTGGGGCAAGTAATACAGGTGCAGTACTCATTTTCTCTTTTAGTAAATCGAAACTTTCCTGGCATGTCTCCGTCCAAACGATAGGCCGTCGTTTTGGTCCTGTCCCTTTAGTTAAGTCTGTTAAGGGCGCAGCGATTCCAGCAAACCCAGGGATGAAGCGGCGGTAGTGCTGTGCAAGGCCAATAAATTGTCTAACTTCTTGTACATTTGTTGGCGGTGTCCATTCTTTTATAGTCTTTACTTTGTCTGGCGATGGTAAGATGCCTTGCGCAGATACGTTGAATCCAAGGAAAGTTAGTTCGTTTTTGTTAAATTCGCATTTTTTAAGGTTGGCAATTAATTTCGCTTCACGTAGTCGGTTTAACACATGTCGTACATGTTCTTCGTGTTCTTCTGGTGTCGTGCTAAAGATTAGGATATCATCCAAATAGACTAAGGCAAACTTATCCAAACAATCTCCAAGAACTTTGTTCATAAGATGCTGAAACGTCGGTGGGGCATTGGTGAGACCAAAGGGAAGAACCAGAAACTCGTATTGGCCATATCGGGTGTTAAAGGCGGTTTTTGGCACATCTGAGTCTGA